CAGGGATAGTAATAGAGCGTACTCGGATCGTCATATGGAATCCGGAGAAGAATCAAAGACAACCCGTTCGTGATATAAGAGTATTCTAGGCCCTCTTGAATCATAACGTGATATTCTTGAGTCAACACAGAGCCAACCAGTTGTTCTGCGTTGTACTTCAGCTTTTGATTCTTATCGGTAGGTATTTTGTTCCGGTTAACGACATCCTTCCAAAACTCCATGGATCGGAGGCCCGATCGTACGTCCTCTATTCTGAGCTTATGCGGCGGCTTGTACTCGACCGTGGTCAGTAAGGTATTGGTGGTGCCGTCGACTCGATGGATACAAAACTGGTCCGGTCTCGAATATTGTGTACTTGGTGTTTCATCGTCATCTTCTGGCTCCTCTAAGGCATTCGAATGGTTGTCAAACATAATCCCGTTGCCAAGTTGGAATCTCTGTCGGGCGCCCGGTATCTTGCACAGTTCAGCTATGATATCATGGACATGGTCCTCGACTGCGAATCGCTCGTAACTCTCGAGGTCCTTTTCACTTCGCAGCTCTCGGCGGGAAAAGCGTCGACTGAGGCCGTGTAATTCAGCTAGGGGTGCGAATATCTGGAGTGCATCTTCCTCCGTAGGTTGCAGGTAAGTGTAAACCGCATTAAAAATTTCCTGCTGCTGTACTGGACAGTCCGACCAGTAGCGAAGTCGTGTTGGGCAGTATTTTCCAGTAGGTGGCGGGATCTTGCCCTTCGTGGACTTAGTTGGCGTGCCGGCTTTCAATGGACGAGAAAGTAGATCGTGACAGGCTTGGACAAACACCCTAAAGGTTGTCGGTTGGGTATGCGCTTCTGCTTGTTTTCGTAACTCTGCCTCTTTGAGGAAGAGAGCCTTGTAATCTGGTGAGCTGTTACCAGCCATAGAATCTTGGTAATGAGTTGGATGGAGTTCCAGTTCAAAGTATAGTAAGTGCGATGCTGGCATTGAGAGAAAGCCTCGAGTGGTTCGCAGATAACAACCTTGGTCGCTACACGTGACTTGTTCTGGTCTAGTGGATACTAAATAAAGAGGTACTCCACTCGGACAACCAATTATAGGAAACCAAGTTGAAGTGAAGCGGGACGATTACGGACGAATAGGGACGACTGAGGACGAACACTGGGGATGATCAAGGATGATTAGGATTAAAAATCAGAGCCCTCATAACAAGTAAGAAATAGTTCACGCACATCAATCACCAAGCGTTTTTATTCTAAAATATCTCCACTATTTAAGTATAGGTTTATCCCCAGTGTGTCATTATATCATGCTGCACATACAGTAGATGATGTTACAAGCTGTTGGCTGTATTTTCTCTATCCCAAACCCATTGAAATCTCGTCGCCGGCTCGGTTCGTACCCATTGCTCAGGTTTGAATGGTGATTGGTTAACTGTTTCTCTTTTTTCATGGTGCATATAAGAAAATCGTATTGTTGGGTCGAAACTGATCAAGATGATTGCTTTCGTTTCTGTATCAGATGTCATAGAGTAGATCACAGATCGTTCGTCGGCCTTGGCAAATACCACCTTGTTTTGGAAGGAAGTACCAAATGGATTCATCAATCCCACGTTGTTGTCTGAAGGCCAGAGTTGAGTCGAGACATGTTTCTTGTCGCTCCCCGTGCATCTGTGTGAGTTGAGTCGTAGGCGAAATCTCTTTTCAGGTGTGGCAACTAGACTGTTCGGCACAGGATCATTGATGAGGTCCAAGAACGTCCCGGAGGATGAATTGTAAAAGCTGTACATTGTGTTTGGTAAAGAGAAGTCAAGTCTTTCACAGAATTCACTTGAGTATTCTGGATGCACAAGCTTGTCACTACGGTATGCCCTCAGCTCCTCCCTCGTCGGACCAAGTAAAGGTAGATCAACTGTTTGTTCGCCATCATTGAATTCCTCGGGTCCCGGCAGTAATTCACCGTAATACGTTCGACAAGATATTTCGTCCAACCCTCGTCTCTCGTGGCGACATTCAAGGATCATGGGTCTCCCGGTACTTTCATCGACTTGTAACGACAATTCGGCGTACTTTAAAACTCCTTCATGTAGGTCATGATATCGCCTAAATAATTTTTTCGCTGTAATCCTACGGGACTTCGAGTCAGGTGCGAGACATATCCACTTGTAGAAAGAGCGATCACTTCTTAGCTCCGTTCTGGTCATGTGGTTGGAGACTCCATGTAGATTATCACCGAATATCTCAAAGCAGACGCCTTGGCTAGTATCTCCGAAGTCTCCAAAGTCATCTAAAATAGTTGGCTCCCCTATCTCGATTTCTTGAAGAAGGTCGAACTTTCGAATAGCCCAATGCCAATTATAGTGTTCGGAATAGAAGACAACAAAAAGATGAAGTCCATTGTGCCGCACGAATATCTCCTCCACCTCTGGTAGATCGGTCTTGATTTTGTAGTGCTCTTGACGTGTGTCGACAACAAGAAGCCATGAACCTCGGTTCAACTTGACCTGAAAGGCCAATATATTTGAATAATAGTATAGAAGAACCATATCATTGATGATCCATTGATTGGATGGGATGATCTGATTCAGGGCAGCATCCAAATTGATAACTTCCTCGGTTTCAGCATTTCGATAAACGCCCCGTATACGAATTTCATAATTCATGACGTATACAACGACTCCGTCCTGGTAGATGAATTCTGATGTGTCTGGCAACACCGCCACTGAATAAGGTGAGGCTTTGGCAGAAGCCTGTATTCGGTTATAGTAGCTGTTTAATGCCTCCCAGAACTTGATCTCCCCTGCGCGAGCGGTATAGGCTTCTCTTGACCACCGAGCAACCGACTAAAACGCTTGTTAGCCTCTAGAGACATAATTTTTGATCATCCAAACGTACTTCAAGGATGAATTTACCCGGCTGATTCCCACGCAATCGTCGGTACAAGTCCTTATTCACTCGGACAGTAGAAACAAAATCTGCCGGATCGAGATGTTTACACACCTCGATAAGAGTCTCCAATGGCAGAGAGCAGAGATTGGCGGCCATTATCAGGATCATTCAAGGCTGTTGTTGAGGAATAGATGTGAATTTGTGAATGCAACTATTTGATATGAGATGTGAATGTTCCGTTGATCTGCCAAAAATGCAACTTTCAGACTAAAGCCCTTATTATATGTACAAATATTCAGCGCTACGTGGCATTGAGGATGCAGGAGCTAAAGCAGGAGAGAGCCAATAAGGTAGATATAATACCTACATAAACAGAACCTAACAAGACATGCAAGTTTATTACTTCGGCCAGACTAAAAATGTGGTTAATTTTGCTATTGCATCAATGTGATCAATCTCTAGCTAACCTATTTAGGACTACATATGCGCACATCGACCTAAAACCCCTTTGTTATATTTATTGCCTCTGCTCGCTCGACTTCAGTGACGCGTTTTCGTAAATGATCAACTTCCTGGACCATTTTCTGTATCGCCGTAACGCCATGAGTGTGGTATGATAGGATTTGGGCGTTGTGTAATCTTTTCATGTCATTGATTTGGGCATTGTGTAATCTGTTCATCTCAATGATTTGGGCATTGTGTGATCTGTTCATCTCATTGATCTCGACTTCCATCTTTTTGCATCGGGTATCCGTCTGCTCCACTTGCATCTTTAACTTCACGATCCACGCTTTTATTTTCTTCAGATCAGGAGATTCTTCAGTTGGTGGAGGAGAATTGTTGTTTTCAACATGATGGTAGGTGTTTGGCTGCTTATAGTGTCAGTTTGGGGAAAGTCATTTTAAGCATATGTCATTGATACTTACTTTTTCCATGATTTTGCATATCTGAGCGCCTTGAATCTCGCTCATCGTACATCTGGTCTGCTTAGTGCTTTTATAGTCTTATATCATTGTGTTTTTTCATGATTTAGAGTCAAACAAGAGCTGATTTGTCTACACTTGGCGCTAGAAGGAGTAAACAGACTAAGAAGTACGCTTACTCTAAGCTGAAATTTATGTGTTGCACATGACGTGTTGCCTCAATCCTGCGTTAGTAATATTTAGCTCAATCTTGCTAACAACAACCGCATGAGCAAAACATGTAGGGTGGTTGCTATATTAGCATATGCATGTGGAGCTAGCTGACCTCTACCCCTGAATGTGCAGCGACATGCCTGTGAAAATGAATTCGCATGAATTACAATAGGGAAAAACTTGCTAGGCCTAGACTCCATCGGATTCTCGTCTTGATGACCTTCCAAGTCACACCGCTGGTTGTTCGAATAGTAGTCTCGATCCTGAGCCGTTCCTTGTCTATCTAATCAATGCTTGCATGACGCTAACAGGGATTGTTTTTAAACCACTTAGGAATGCTGCACGCTCAATACGAAGGTCAAGAGAACTGGATGACCAGAGCCGCTTTGGTATGACGGATGGCGGACTTCTGGTATATTACGCTGAACCTTGTCCTGTGTCGTGCCAGAGTACACTGGCACAAAATCAAAAAAAACTCATGACACAAATTTCGTTCTTGAGAATATTTCACTTTACAGTCCTTCCTTTCTTTGCCTTACTTGCTATTCCTTTAGCAATATTTTGGCTCCCTATATTCTTGATAACTCTTCCTTATCAAATTAAGGTGGCCAAAATACAGGCAACACAATGCGAGCAGAGCAGACACCGAACAGCAAAGGAGCGCAGGGAGAGACGGAAAAGGCGCCTGGGAAAAAGGAAAAGAAAGCAGCGCTAAGTTCCCCTGTAAACACAGCGTATTTTGATCCATGATCTCTTCAACTTACATATGCACAAACGCTAAATGATCTCTAGAAGCTTTCCACATTTCACCACCCAGCTCCCAGATCATGCCTGTGATGCATGTAGGAAGGAACAAATTCGCTGTCAGTTCGGTGGGAAGAGTGATTCTTGTCTACGTTGCAGTATGCTGAAGCGGAGTTGTGATTTACCGCCCCAAGGGCTGAAGGGTTGCTCAACGAAGAAGAGGATGATCGTTTGGAGTGGCTAATAGAATTGCAAACTCTCTTAGGATCGAAATGAGATCACACCCGGCTCGGTTCAATGAAAGTTTCGAGGAAGAAAACTAGAGTACAAAATATAATACATCAATCTCTTTGGCTTGGAGCTGTACATCAGAGAGAGAAAAAAAAAATAATTCGAAAGTCGTACAGGAATGCGGATGGTGTCCTTGTTAAACGAGATGGCGACCGAGCTCCTTGGCAATCATTCTTTGGATATAGATAAGGAGCATGTAAAAACATCTAGGAATCCCATAGACACGTGTAGCTCGTGCTTCAAGCCAGATACCGTTCAGACCGTGGGCCGCATGGAAGTCAATGTCGCCTTCAAGCAGAGAAAGCGGATTATACTCCAAGTCAATCTTCGCTTTGGAAACGTTCTGGACAAGTTTTTGAAAATCATTGATATGACTGATAGGCATACCATACTCCCAGGATCCATCGTTGAGCTCGACTCTGCTCCAAGTAGGGTGCTGAGGTAGCGAGAGGATATTCACCACGTCGGTGTTTCCAAGATCCGAAATGCGAATAAGTCGATAACCCAGCTGCTTAACAAGGCTAGATATGTTAGCTTATTAGTATGTCGGATAAGGTTGAAGACATACAAGTTATAATAAGCAGTATATAGCTTATCATATCTCTCTTGTGAGCTTACCGCCATTGTCATAATTCAGCTTGCTTTGTTGACAAGTGAAAATATCAACCCGACAAGGCTGGCATGCGCTTCAATTAAATGCAACCGGCATGGAGCTGCAGGGTTAGGAGTCTAGACCTGCGTAATGAAAATTGAAAAAGTAATGCTAAAGTGGAGAAGCAGCGAACAGGCACTAGGGAGTATGGGTGATACAGAAGCATTAGCGAAATCAATCGCGCAGAAATGGCATTACTAGCGCATTCAGCGATATCGCCAGACAGATTACCCCCACTGATAGCGGGTCCAATTTCGACGCCACCGGAAGGGGTTCTGGAGTCACTTACCTCATTAGGTAAAGTGTCATTCGCTGGATTGAAAGGATATCCCGCTTTGTTTGACGTATAAGTTAGGTTTCAGTTCCGGTTCGTTAGAATCGGTCGTGCGACGATACATACTAGTTATCAGTGCAAGAGCCCCCACCACTGGCGATATACACGAATTTTGAGTCGCGAAGATGAGCCAGCGTCGCACTGCGGAAGACATTCTCCAGAAATGTTTAGCGGATTTCGAGATCATCCAAGAATTTCTAGAGATCGATCACACAGCTGCAATATACCAATTTCGGGCTCCTCCCGGGGAACATCCCAGAACTGCAGCGTACAATAGCACATCGAAAAGTCATCCACTGAATCTACCCCGTCTGCTCTGTGTGAGAGATTTAGCTATTGACTACACACACGCCTGGCAAGATTCTGCGCAACCTTTACGGGCGAGAGTTTACGGTACTACCGACTCTTTTGTTGTGGCACGGGAACTTCCGGAAGGGACTACAAGAAAGGCTCTGAAGATTGGTCAAAAATGGATCGATCTAGAAAAGCAAAGCGGAGTACCTGGGATTTCATTGGTTCTCATGTCGACATGGTATATGCTCGAACATTTTTCAGATATTGAAGAGCTTGTCAATCTGCTGCGGAGTGATAAATACGAAAAGATCCGCTCTTATAGTGCCTGCATGTCGCCAAAACTTGCAACCTATCAGGGACTGTATTGCCGCCGCATATACTAGACTTCATGTGCTCCTTTCAGTACAAAATCAAGCACATCTGTGTTCAGTATATCCATTCCCACAGGGTTTGATGAATATCCCACCCAGATGATTGCCGTATCGTTCGGATCTTCAATCTCAAGGGTCACAGATCCTAGGACAAAGAGCAACTCATCCTCACGAAGAACAAGATTAGACACTGCTCCTTGCAGTGGAGATCCAGGAAGAGAAAGACGAAATGTAACTAGATCTCGTCCTGGTGCAACTTTAATAATGCTTATGGACTGGTCCCTTTTCATATGTACTCGTCCTTGTTGCGATCGAAGGAGACGCACGATTTTCAGGGATTGTCGGACAGGATATTGATCTCGAATATATGATTTAACGGTGTCGAGGAACTACGCTGTAATCAGAAAATGATAGTACAGACACAAGGGTGAACACACATCAAGACCATGTTCGATAAAGTAACCACATCTCGGTCCGCCTTTCACAGAAATTGATGCGGCTTCGCTAGGCGCGGATTGACTGAAAAGGGCGTCGATTTCATTTGCAACCCCGTCAAGTATCTCGTGACCTGGTCTGCCTAGACCCTTTCGAACTTGATAGCCGAGGACCTCCATTTCGTAGTTGTAGGCAGCTCCAGGCCCCGCTCTTGTGGAGACGTTCATAGTCGGTTGGCTTATATAATAATGTTTGCTCTGTTTGTTTACTATGACAAAGACTGGAAATGAGATAGTTACAGTTAATTACATCGCAACACAAGTTGGGTTGATGCCTACTTTATATAGTTTCAGTTAACTCAATCTGTGTTCGTTTGAATGGCAGCCCTGCAGGTTTGAATCTAGTCCTATTTGTTCCTCCGGATCCAAGTCATCGCTTGCCATTAAAAGAATCAGCTAACGAGAGATGGCACAGGTATGGACATTTACGAACATCCATTCGCCTTGATTCACTGGCCCCATTAGATTGCAGGACAGAGGATTATTTGGCATTTGCAGAAATAGCTTTTTAGTGCTTTCCCTGTCTCACTTCGGAACCGAACAATGATCGTTATCGCTCCAATTTCAAAACTCCTCATCACCAGATTCGCTATTGGTACTGTCGGCGTCTCCTTGTTGATCTTTTCGCTCGTAACATACAGCAGGTAGACGAGTCTCGGATATAGCGGCCAATAATCCTTGTAACAAATGCTCCTAGCATACGCCCTACTGCAAACGATCTGTATGATTCGTTCTGGGTTTTCAGCTCGAAGAAGTACAGGTCCGAGATCTGATTCAATCGTTTGTCCGTAACCCCTGAGTTCCCATCGAAGGAACTCTGCCGCTCTACCGTCATGATCTTTGTGATGAAAAATGAACCATTTGATGATTGGGTTTCTGTAGTTCCTGTTTTAGACCAGGGAATGAGAAGATGAATAGATGTCTATCTGTCTAGCTTGATGGGTCATCTAGCTTAAATTTATGTTGTTGTTATTTTACGGAGGAGTAGATGAAATTGGTTTAAACGCCCAATTCAGTGACATTGTGTGGAATGAATTCACATTAGTGTAAAATTCCAAGACAGATATGCATTCGTCTGCGCCATGGGGGGCATCCAGGGTGGTTCTCCTTGTAGCCCTGAATTTAGATCATAATTGCGGTGAGTAATGATAGGGACTGGGTGCTTCTTTGTATACAGATTCGTCTGAGCTCAGGGGGAATCTATTTTCATCTTCTATGTAGGCTAGTAGTGCATCATTCTGTCGAATCATATGTTGAATACAAGCCAAATTCTGTAGCAGTACATGTGGTTTTTTGATAGTCTTGTGCAATTCGTCGTCCCATCTCGTCAGCAATTCCTCATCAATATAACACTATGATCTTGTTTCATTGCCTGTCGAAGCTGCACCACGTTTTGCCGCATCATTTCCACCGAGCAATCGTCCTTTCCAGCCGCCACCAGCTGATAGCGTCTCAGAATATTGAAATAGATTTCCTTCAGCTCTGCATCACGCTCTGAAAGTATCTCATCGAGCTCTTCGTTAGATTTGCTCCAATAGATTCCCTCATCTATCACTCTTCGAGCACGCCCAGCAAAGTAGTCCTCAGTCCTCAGCCACTGGTCTCTTGTGACGATACTGGCGATCAATTCGGCTGTCGACCTACAGTTTGGGCCGTCAGAATATTAGAAATGTATGCGTATTTGGTTTACTCACATCGTAATTTTCGTTTAATTGTTTTTCAGTAATTTCAAAAAACACAGTGCTGTTGTTATCGAGTTATAAGAAATCTTTCACACATATCATCGGCAAAGTGTAGCTTTATATATTTTTCAAGTACTGATTAACGCACCACATCCTACTAGAACTAATGTCAGATTGTACCTTTTGATCCTTCTTTCATAACGGTAAAGAGAAGCAGCTAGTGTATTGAGAAATCTGTCAATGTGGAGAACTTGCAAACACGTCGTGTTCACTAGAATAGAAATTCAAGCGATTTGCTAAGTTTGGAATAGGTCTTGCAGTAGTGATGAGCAGGAAATGCAATTTCACATCTGTCATCTAGACTGGGAACGCTAGATCAAGTTAAGGCTTAGGTGAAATTGCTTTTTGTAGTGCGCCTGAGGTCACGTAAAGCGACAGCATCACCAATCAATCACGATGAAAAAAATCGCATACAATAGCGCTGGTGATAGTAGATTTCCTAATGGCATGCTCCCCATTCGTCCACAGCCTCTCATAAGATAACCGGTGCCACGACCGGCGCTGACCAGTTGCATATGCTATTTCTGCAGTATTCAAATCTGGCTCCTGATACTTGATTGAGCGTACAGTGATTTTCGGGTATTTTGAAGACGATAATAGAGTGCTGGACGTGGATGCGGGCGCTTTGACAGAACCAATGCTATCTCCTTGATCACAACCGTAGGCGGCTGCGGCATAGGTTAGGTAAAGCCTTTAGTGATGATTTCTCATCAGTGGGTGGAGCTCAAAGCCACCTAATCTATCATAGATGATGGATTATCTATATTTAATTGGTTTTTCTATTTACCAGCTCTCTGTGTGATAAAGTAAGCGTAAGCATTGATCTGATAGGTACTATACATTTCTATGGCCCCGATAGAAGCGACAATCAACTAGGCTGGAAAATTCTCCACATCGTGTCCATGGGGAAGGCGTGGAAGCTGGGGAATCCGACGTCTTGCCTCGAGATATGGAATAGACACCCAGACTTTCCATTGGTTGTGAAGAAAAGAAACTAGGATACTTTCTTTCGCACATCTCGGGATTGGCCCATGCTCCATGAGATCATAATGATCAAGGCATACCAAGGCTGTGCAAAAGACATGCATGATAGGAATCTCTTTCGTTATTCTTTGACCGGGAAAATTGATGGTGGCCATGCGGTACCCATGATAGATTGCTGTCGTCTCATTCGGGCAGAGAGTGGCGGCCTCGATGTCCGGGATTATATCTTCCTGTAAGCGGTCAGAGGACAGATACAGCAGGGAAGCCGCATTGGGATAGTAATACTAACAGGGTCACTCTCCAGCGAAGGCTTGTTTAAGGCTAAGAGCCACTGAGGCAAAGACGGGTACCTGTATGAGTACCACCAGCCCCAGAAGGATGATAAGCTTGGAAGACAGAACATATTGCTTATACAGCTCGAGTCCGAAAAAACCGCCTATGCAGTCTGGTTTGAAATAATGCGAGGTAAATGTGGGCGCTATTTGGGGGTTTCGGCTGGCTAGGTTTCTTTACACCGGTAGTGTCGTATGCTCCTCTACCCATTATCCAGGGAAGACTAGGGCTGATGTTGATTTTGCTCTGTAAACTTGAAACTGGTGGAGGAGTTGGACTGTTCCAACAAATTGCGGTAAACTTTGGACAAGGCTAGCATCTTTATAGTCACTGTGATCTGGTTCATATATACGCTCCTGTAAAGGATGTAATGGATTGATCTGGCAATCCACAGCAGATTGAATAATAATCTTAGGGGATTTTTGTTCAGTGAACGAGCTACAATGCTCAATGAATGAGATCCGACCTTATCTTGCGATTAGCCATGATCGTTTTGAATCTCCACGTGTGAAAAGCTTGGCTTCCAAGGTTTCGAACCTGACAAACCACCTAGCTTAGTATTTTAAACCGCGCGCGTTGGTTGGTGTTAGCATAGACTAATGGAAGGAGGTGGGGTGAAAGGAGAGTTGGCGGTAGTACATTACAAGAAGACCAATCTTTCAGACCCTGAATAAATAGTGCCAATTAAACTTTGGCTCTTATAAGTTCGATCTCATGATTGGTTCTCAGAGCTTTCTATCCTTGCTGTTCATCCCAACTTTGCAGTAAGGGGACCAAATTATCATCGCGACAGGGGTCGGGCTTGTACCTGGTGCTGCCAAGTCGGCTACTTGTAGGATGATCGGTAGTATTTCAGCGTTGCACCCATAACATCCACGTGCAGCGTGTTCAGAGTGAAGCTAAAACTGTAAGTGCAGAATTTGCTGAACTCTCAACTTATCATTAACAACACCTTTTCTCCAAAACACATGTGTTCGATGCTAGTCTGTAACTGTGAACACTTTAACATCATATGCCACATGATGACTCAGAATATGCTTGATCAACTTGATATGCTCTATCTTACATTATTTCAACTGGACGATATCGATGACCAACTATGTTCGACATTACAGTCTAAACTTGCCGCTCTTGGTGATCAGATTCCGATATTACAAAGGCTCGCTTCGTACTCCAAACTGGTGAAACAGGGCAGTGATCTTCCTGTTAGACGAATTAATTACAACATTAAAAAGCTTTCCGAAAGTTGCAAACCAAGGTGGAATGAGATTTTGAAGTTGAACTGTGAAGCCATTATCTTCTTCATGATAGCTTTCAATGGTCTGAGCTCCCTTCCCGACCAAGAGTTCTCCTGGCTTGCTCGAAATCTTGAGAATTATGTGGAGAAAAGAGCATTTCCCGCTCATTGGATTTTACGTGAACAAATCCGGAAAGTTGTGTCAAACACCCCCAGGAAGGATAACACAAAGGCTTTTCTTGCGAGTCAGTCCGCCATCTTGCTGTTATAGAGTTATACTAATGGACTTTAGAGTACAATGTAGAAGAAATGAAGTGGTGTGAAGACCCAGCTGCTATCGATCCCATACAATCCGTTGTTGACAACAGAGTTGATGACAAAATCTCATCCTGCAAGGGCGTGGGTGGTGTCGATGTTGAAGAGCATGGAAAAAATGCACATCCGTTACAAGATGATACCGATCTCGAACCAACTGTCCAGAAAGCAACCTCGACAACGTCATATGAATCAGATTTGAATGTGTTTTCTCATGCTCCACCACTTACAGCCTCAGCTTCCCTGCAACAAGTGATGACAACCGAGCACCATCAGCAAGACGTGGTGCAACATACGAGGAAGCATACCACAGAAAGTGTCACCCATGAAGATGAAGATAGACAAGAAAAAATAAAGTTAATTAAGCGAAGCAACGGTAAGCGATAATAACGCCATGATATGCACAAAGGATGCTGATAAAAGAACAGAAATTGACTATAAAGGATCAGCCATGCCGGCTAGTAACCTTCCACTTCTGATTCAACGCCTTCCAACAGCCATGGAAGGCAGCAAGCAATGGAAATGGGAGCGAAAATTCTTCGCAAACAACGTGATGAGACCGCGGGAAGTCGGTATAGACAGAACCGATTGCCTGAGTGTTTTTGTCCCAAAAGATCGAAATCATGATGTATCCATTACATTAGTGGTCGGATACGAAGCTGGAGTAGCGTTGATATATGATATGGGGGCACAAATTATTCGCGTGTGATTGTTGCAGTTGCTCCAATCACCGGAGCTGCAATTACAACAACACGATGTCCAGCAGGGACAATTGCAGTAATTTCGTTTTCGGGGTTGCCTTCAGCCTTGAAATATGGAGGGGTTGCATAATCGACTGTTGGATCATAAATCTCTATTGACTGGGCTTTTCCCTTAATTTTCCTTTTGTAGTCGACTTCGCGAAAGAGTATAGCGCCTTTAGTCTCGTATGTGAAGCCCTCCTCTGCAATAATCCCAAATTCTTCTGTCATCTTGGATGCTCGTGATTCGTGATCGTATACGAATAGGTCGGTAGAGTAATTGAGTGCGTGAGACTGGTCTCCAAAATCGTAGCGAGGGAGTTTGCGAGAAGTACTGAAGACAAGCAGTTAGAACGCAACACTGTCCACTGCACATGGTATAGATAAATTTGAATTCCGTAGGAGGGGCACGTAACACGTGACAAAAAATTTCGCGGCCTGATCGGGTAGAGAGACGCGAGATGGCACGTGATTGGCAAAATTGTAGATAGCGTCCAAGCACATGCCTGAGATTCAAGTTCCTCGTGGAAAGTCACCTTCTCGTGGTGAGGGACGTCAGTAAGTTGGACTGCAAGGTCTAGCTGAAGCTGAGAACTTTCCAAATCGAAACTCTGGTGAAACCTTTATTGGTTGGGATGACGCGGCGGGAGCCTTTCAAAAGAAACACGTCGGCAACTTCACAACGTCGACGACCCTTCGAACAACTGACCTGCCTACCTGCAGCCGATTTTTCTCACAGTGACTCACCTGCCCTCGGTTCGATTGCATGTCGATTCGTCAGTCCTTCGTCTGCAATCTGGTGTTGCCACCAGCGAGGCAGTCAGCTACTTCGGGCGTTAATATGAGAAGTACTCTTGGTAAATCGCTACTGTGGGAAGAGGTTCACGAAACTAATCGAGAATGGACACGTGGGGGGTCCGGTGTCTCAGAGAGATGGGTTATTACTTTTGGAGAATATACAATAACAAAAAGGAAACGTTCAGGATATAACGTATGGGCTCGAGGGGTTTTTGCAGCCGGTACAGCTCTTTCTTTCGAAATGAGACCATGACCACAATGTATCCAAAAATAGCGTATAGGTGCCCTTTAGGCTTGATGCATCCGAGCGTAATGAATCTACTACTAGACTAGTATGGAACCGGGGAGGCTTTGCTTTCAGCCACGTGTCTGTTTAAATAGCATCGAAACACTATTCAATATGAAAACATTGTTCTATTCGCAGCCTGAATATCATACTAGTCCCAAGTAGAAAATGTCCAATGATTTTATCTCGAAATATGAGACAAGAGAGGGAATAGAGAATGCAGCTAATCAAGATGACATAAAGGATAATAGCGAATCGCAAAAGACTCTACAGCGCCGCATATATGGGCTTGAGTATCCACTAAGAAATATTTCTAGAAACTCAAGAGCCGGTTGGCTGCTGAGCTGTTTCAAGAGGTATATTGGGCGCTATCAGGGCAAGTACAATTGGATGACATCTTCCACCAAATGTTTTAAGAGCCAATACATCCGTGATCCAATGGTGCGCAGGTGCTGGACAAGAGATGATTTCTCTTGCATCAATCACACACAACTACCAACTAGTTACCGTGAATTAAACTTTAAGCGCTCAAACTAATACCGGACTCCTTGTAAAAGGTGGCGGCACCTTCAAGCCAAACACCTGACCAGATCATCGTTTACTCGTCGTACTTGCAAAGAGAACGACTATAAATGCAAGTACAACTTAGATCCCCCAGAGCAGCGTCTAATCCGATGACGCTCCGATTTCGGATTTGAACCTTTTGGAGTAGATTCAAAGATTCTATTTTTTTATTAGCTAGTTATTTTCCATAGGAAAGATGAAATTTTATCACCATGAGATTGCATGGAATGGCCTACACATGATGTCGAAGTTACTTTACTTTCCCTTACTAATTAAGATCTAAATTGCAAGTATCACACCTTTATCCAGTCATGTTGAAGCAAATCAGCTGCTGACCTTCGACGATTTGGGTCAATTGACAGCATGGCCGTTAGAAAATTAAGGAAGATGGGTACTTCTGCATCGGGCATATCGTTTGGCTTCAGAAACGGCTTCGTAGTGCCGTTTATCAGCCTCTCTAGAGTGGTAGGTTTCAATTGTTGAATCCGAAGGAGATCTCCTGTGGCCAACAACAAGATTAAGGTCAAACTCAAATGAATTCAATCACCTTGAAGATCTTACCTCTTTTGTTGAAAAAATCAGCAGTGCGTTTTCCACGTTTAAGAAGCTGGGATGGAAAAGGACCAAGGACTTCTATCATTTTTGCTAAACGATCATCGTCGGCAGTCCATGACCCATTCTTTGACGGTTCACCTGAGAAAAGGACTATTCCTTGAATAAACTCTACAATCTGTTGAAACGAAGGTCAGCGATACACAATGCTAAGCGAGGCAAATACCTACCAAGCACCCCAGGCTCCATATATCCACCGAACTCTCCCAAGGAGCGCCAATCGTGACCTCAGGAGCCCGCAGTGCCGGGGATTGAATTAATTCTGAAAGATGCCTGTCTTTCCAAGACGCTATGATGTATCTTAGCATTTTGATTCAAGTTCAAAGACTAGCAGGTTGACTTACCTACGCCAAAATCAATTATCCTGATATGAGGTTCGCTTAAGTTTGAAAGTAATGGTGTCCTGATTGCTTCTCGAAGTGGCATCCCTTGAGAATCTATCCGGGGGGGAACCTCTGACAGGTATTGAGATATAGTCTCATCCGGATTTTGTAATTCCATAAGTATATTTGTTGGCTTTAAGTCTAGCGGGGGAGAAAGCCGTATGTGAGTATATGTTTTGGAAATCGGAACAATAGATTTTGTCATACCGGTATGGATGATCCCACACTCTCTGTGTAGGAAATCCAACCCCAATAGAAGCTGCCGCACGACCGATTTCACTGATGTTACGGGCATTTTTCCACCTTCATATTTGGCGCTTTGAAAACCTAGATGGTATCCCATAACGTCAAAAACAAAACATACATGTTCTCCATTGGGTCCATTGTGTTTGAACTGATCCAAAGTAGACAACACATAGTGGCGGCCTTCATGATTGCTCCTCCTTGAGACATCCGAAATTCTTGAAAGAATTTCTTGTTCGAAAATATCTTTAGCACCGCCATAACAATCAGCTCTAAGTATCTTAAGAGCAACATATTTCTTGGCCCTGTATTTCCCGTCAGCTTTACTTGCACTCTAATGAGATGACATTTTCCTTACTTGGAATCTCTAGCGAGCCAGACAGTGGAATATTGCCCATACCCAAGTTTCCTCAGTATGGTGTATCTGTCAGAAGCAAATCTGTCACCCAGAGAAACTCGGTGGAACCCGCCAGCCTTGTACAAATAATCTGACTCTTCAGCAATATGACGGGAACTCGGACGCTCCTGAGCTGTTGACAGTGAGGTAGACCCAGGGACTTTGGGAAACTTGGGTCGGAATTTCCCTAGAAATGACAATACTTTGACTTGATTCATCGTCTTGATAGAAGATGATGCTCTAATGGTAGAAAGTGTCGTAGGCGGATAACTTGAAACGTTCTCGAGTCACAGGCAATCAAATATTGCGTGTTAACACACCATACCTATTTGGGCCTGGTTCCAGGTCTCGATATATCTCGACGCATATTGGGACGCTTTGATTGGCGACGCCGCCGGGTCGATTAGCGCGGTAATTTTACCCGAAGACGTTCAGCTCAAACTTTTAGAACAAATGGCACATCATTGTACGGAGTATTATTTGTATATTGCGTAATTCCATGCTTGGAGGCTCGCTGATTGACCGTTCTCGCTCCGCAGGAATTCTAGTTTGGAAGTTGTACTTGCTTCTCAGCGCACCAAGCCCCTGGCCCCACACCATTGAAATGGTAAACTATACCAATTTTGCAATCACAAATGTTATAACCCTAACCCTAATGAAGCATGCATGGGAATGAACTAGGCTACCAACCAAAAGCGTGTGCCATTCATACATTTCGTACGAGGCTACTTCCTTCTCCTACTTTCTTGCTTGAACCAACCAGCGCCAAATTGACAAATTTGAATGGTATGTTGAATTGATGGACTTGCATAAGCGTGTGACCAGCCTACTGCGATAGCCGCCAGTCATGTAACAGTGCCTTGTGTCAGTACCTTGTGTCAGTACCTATCATTTGTGACTGCTCAGTAGGAACATCGTCTGTGCCTAAACATCGAATTATTTCAGCTAATATAAATAGTGAGGTTATCTGCTATGCAAAATCTCTTCCAGAACATCACTGACTTTTTGGTAGTTTTCACTTTGTCTCATACCCTTTGATTTTTTCTGGCACCTTGCTGTGCTGCTTCCTTGCGTATCATTCATATCAGCAATGTTTCGAACGGCACTTCTGAACTATCCACTGAAAGCCATCAGATGGTTCAGAGAAGATATATACAAGAACAGCCCCGAATTGCGCACAGAAGCCGAGACTGCCATCAAGAAATTCTACGACAATAACAAAGAAAACATGGAAAGACGAGGAGTCACAGAAGCAATTGTGAAGTGAGCATTAATTACGTGATTGTGAAAGGCCACTTAGCTCACTCATATAGGGGTGCGAAGCATAATGATCCGAGAAATCCTGATCCCAAAGGCGAACACTGGACAGTTGAACTGATCAAAGAAGATGGTGAATTTGTTACCAAAAGACACGTCTACCCTACCGAGGAAAAGTGACACTGTCTTTGACATATATTGATCGGGGATATCTTCGACTCTACAGCACAGGTGGATCTATCATAAGCATCGAGATTGGTTTTCCAAGTCGTTAGAAAGTGATGCAGCGAGCAGCGCCCAGTCAAATAGCTGCATCTCATTTTTGTCCAAGAGAGTATTATGTATGCAGTGTGAATATATGTCATCAACTTTAAATCTGTTGCGGCCGCTATTGGAGATCCAACACGATAACCATATGGAGAAAGAAGGGGCCATTGTACGTGCTAGTACCCCTTCTTAAGGTAACGTCGAATACGGTAATCAACGCGATAAGCTAATGCCCGCTAGAGGCCACTAGGTCATAAATACTGTTATAGAGCTCTCTTATTCGCTTGTTGACCTACATGCTAGATTATCTTTGGTTTAGATTTGCTTGAAAACGCTCCAAATACAGTAAGTCCTGGATAAGCGCCTAATTTCAGACAGAATTTTGGTGCTATGTCTCACGTGTGCTTAATTGTTAGCATGATTTTAAGCCAATCATATTGGATACAGGTTTCTTATACGTCACTATCCTGTGTGAAATGAATTACCAGAACTATGTCTAAGTTTGTTGTTTCACCATATTTTGATTAACCGATGGCTTTGAAGAGGGGCAACTGTGTATCATTGATCTCGAGTAGAGTGAAATGTGAATTCTCCTGACAGACGGGAGAGAAGAAGGTTAGAGGTCTACAGTCTTCCGGTCCATCTTCTGCTTCTCTGCGGAGCTCGGCGATCTTCTTCGCCCAAGCCTTGAAAGGCTTCTTGATTGATCGCATTCGACCATGTCTTCCAATGACGTTCACCGGGATGCTTTCGCTAAACTTGACGAAAGGTGGCCGGTCTGATACGTGCATCGCTGCCATGATAGCCCAAGAATCAAGCCATTCCCCAGGGCGGAACCGTAGAAATAAGTCGCCCGGTAATTTTACATTTCCAAGGATTGAGCATGTCACCTGGCTTACGCCAAAAGTGCCCCATGCCAAACGTGCTTCATGCCAAAAGTCGCTCCCTGCCAAAAGTTAGCCAAACACGCTCCATGCCAAAGTGCCCCATGCCAAAATGTTCTATGTGACTCTTATAGGCCGTTTCTGGCTTTGCTCCAAGCCAGATGTGCTCCATGCCAAACGTGCTCCATGCCAAACACACTCCATGCCAAACACACTCCATGCCAAACACACTCCATGCCAAACACACTCCATGCCAAACACACTCCATGCCAAAGTGCTCCATGCCAAAAGCCTAAAATTCCGAGCCCTTGTTTCCTCTCATATTTACAGCTGCTGAAGATATTTATTGTCGCGGCCCATGTTGTTCGATATCAGGGTTAACTCATCCTCCGTCAACGAAGTCCAGCTCGACAACAACCCCTTCAAATCAAACAGTTTATCATGGTGTACTCCTACATAGTATCTTTCCTCCCATTCTTCGGCTTGATCTATTGGATTTCGATCAACGGGCCTAGGAAGAGTAGGCAGCATGTCTCCCTCGTCGGTAGGCATGAGAGTGTTATCGCTCTCAAGAAAACGTGACATAATAACCCTCCTCATTTCCTCTTGATTGAGCATATGCTCCTTTAATTGATCTCTTTCTGGTTCTGTATCTGGTGTTGATGTCGCACAAAGCTTCCTTTCACTAGCGACACACATGTTATCTGTGACTTGATTGTTTTCATCTCGTGGAACCGTGAAAGCGGCTGCTATGAGTTCGGTTCGTTCTGAAGTGTCTTTCAGACTCTCGGGCCATTTTTGATTGAATAATGGACCCTGGCAAAATTTTGTGCAGAACTTCCCAGCTTTCTCTCCGTGCTCAGCGATGAAAATTCGAAGTTCTGTTGCATGAGCATCCAAGATGGCCTGTTTGACTCGCCCGTGGCGATTTGCTGTTAGAAGAGATTCGGCGTCCTGTATTCTTTGGAGAATATCCTTGATAACTCTGGAGTAATCTCTTATTTCAAGGCTTATTGGATCACATTGACCATCCCTGACTTCAGAAAGGCAACAAAGCTCTACGAGCCTAGGAGCGGGGGAGTCGGAGTCATTGCTTGCTGGTATGTCCATTGTTGACGGTTTATCGAATATACCAACAGTGTTCATCGTTACTGGGCTCTTGACAAACTTTAAAGACTCACCCGGCTCGGCGCCCTTGATAGCTCTTGTCAATCTTTCGAGCTTCTGGTCCGTATCGTGTATCCGTTTCATCAGTATCTCGATAAACCCTTGTTGGTCTGCGTCGGATGCTTCTATCCCTCGTTTCCTCTGCTGACTTGCGTAAACAATTACGTTTATCATAAGCAGCACGGTATTCTTCAGCCTATCCAAGCGTGTCCGAAGGATATCCAACCGTGGCCTTTTGAGAAGAATAGCAGCTTTCCGAGACAACTTCAAAAAAGGGCTCCCGGCGGTTGTAAATGCACTGGTAGACGAATCCTTGTCTATGACGGACTCGATTTCTCGAAACACCCGCCCGCATTCATCCAGAATCTCCTGTGCCGCCTTGAACGCGTTTTGCGAGTAAAGCTGAACCTGGTCATCTCGCTCCAGATCCTTGCCGAACTGCTGTAGAATAGCACATGTTAGGGATACATCCTTGGAGAGATTCTGGAGGTCGGACTCCGTTTGTTGAACTTTTTGATAGACTGTGCACAGCTTAAGAGCCACTCGTGCGCCAAGGTCAGCTATTTGTACGATGCTGCTGACAACACCGACAGCCTCGAGACCAGACATGTTGACTGCTCAGCTTTGTGTGCCGTTCCCAGAGCTATTATCTATTGTGTTTATTTCTCCGAACAAACTCAGGAAGGCTGCTTGGGTTTATAAACGAAAGTCACATAACAAGGCTGAAGTGACGTGTGCAGCTTAACTGATTGCGTACTAGCATCTCCATACGGAATAGCCTCACCGTAGTGCCTGCTAAGTGGGACATATATTGATCGCTCAAATTTAATGTACTTAGTAATTTTCGTATTCAGCCGTCGCCACATTTACCAGGGCTACTATGTAGAAGTCAGTGTGGCGCATGATCTCGCACCATGTACCTTTCACCTGCCAAGAAATCAATAGAATTTGTTGACACTCGCGACCATAGTGAAGCAATGGTGATACTTGACCTCTAAGGCAAAGATCGTCTTGTGCAAACAAGTTCTCTTTATTTTTATAGATATCCGAGTCGCTTAGATGCTTTCTTGGCGTCAAGGAAGTTTTTGTCGATTTGTATGCCATGAAACGGCACCGCTCAAACTACGACTGTGCATTGCGTAATGTTTTTGATTGAATCGAAATTTCGCGAGAATATTGGTCCAGAATTAGGTAATTCCGTTCTGACCAAGATTCTTTCTGTGGTCCTGAAGTTAAGGGCGTGGGAAGGGAAAGTACCTCGCCGTTGTTTCACCACGGCGGGTATTTCATATCGCCGGGATGTCAGTTACTCAGCAAGGCAGTCGTTTCACTTGCGCCTATCGATCCTGAAATCTTTACATAGTACAAATACGAACGGGAACACTAAGCCATTTTGAGAACTAACTTAAAAGCAGCTTAGTAGATATGACTCATACCTGTGGGTCAAGCGCTAAGTTAAGAATATTCTAGATCTGGACCGGTGGGTATTGATTATTAAATGGAAAGTTCTAGATTTAGACTGGAAGTATTTTGATAAAAGGAACTTCCCAAGCAACCACGCAGCTGCTCTATCTCATTTCATTCTCTAAGGACATCCTTATAATTGACGACATTTTTGTCAAGATGGAAAGTATTTGTAGTGGGGTTGGTAAAAGGATTCCAGTTGTCAATCAGAACCCAAATTCCAACGGTCCCACTAACACTAACGACGGCCTGCCAGCCGAGCCAAATGTTACCCCAAGAGACCCACTCCCGCACTCTAGGAATGTTACAGCGGATGGGTTGTCCAGACAGCAAACAGGGACTGCAAGACGTAAGACCCAACTGTGAGGATTGACGGTAGGATATTGAGACTTCACTAGGAGAAGACATATCAAAGATACTAAGTAAAAGCCTTACCATACTACGGTCCCAACTTCACCTGTCGGATGACGATGATTGGAAGAGATGGTTGAGGAGCCCCAATTTCAAGCCATTCTGGAACGCCCTTTGGGAGGACTGTCTGAAGAAGAACGAAAAGACATCTCGAGGTGTCGGCTTAGAGGAAACTCTAAATGTCATGCAGGCATTCAAGGAAGAGATCGTGAATCCATACACTGATACATCCGATTGGACCGAGGTTCACTATTTAGCCAGGTTCATGTACCATGCATTACGCCACAACACTAGACATCTCGATGGACTATTCAAGAACCGTGCGCTCCGACCGAGAGAAGCTGAGATCTTGATGTGGTCGGTCTTGAAGGCAATTCAACATCTTCACGCCCCATCACAGATCAACCGGCCAAGCGGGGGTAGAGCGTTATTAGACGATCATTTTAATCCAAAGGTCTCTCAGAAGAGGATCGCTCGGAATATTCCTCGTACCAAGAAGAAGCGATTGAAAAAAGATTCTGAGCAGAACCCTTTTTCCATCGGCCCTGGGGAGGAGAAATACCTAATGCTGGAAGATAGCACTAATCCTACTAACAAGACTTCTCCAAATGATACTACAGTGTTGGAGGAAGATGCTGGACAAGTTGAGAACTTATTTGGCATTGTGTCTCAGATGATGTCCGAATCATGGAAAACAATGATTAAATCGTACGGCCGGGAAGAATATCCTACTAAAAAGTCGTCCCAATTCGATCCAGCTGATCCATACTGGCAGCTAATGTTTGCGCGTACAGCCATGCAACATGCAGAAATTGATAAGGCCGGTGATGTGGTTCAACAAGGGTCGTATTGGACTGATCCTGATTTTCAAGACATCTCCAGTGATGCTATATCAGAAAGTGGTCATGAAGCAGGCGTTGAAAAGCATGAATCTCAGTGGTCCAGTGGCGATCCTCATGCTGATGTCGATGAAGTCCAAGAAGTTCGTGAGCAAGTTGAACCTGCATATGAGCCTATTGATTCCAGTAACAGGGAGACTTTTCTTGATTTCAACTGCCTTCAAGCAGACGAGGTAGCTAGTATGCGAGTTGACGAAGAGTCAGAGCATGTGCCGCCATCATATCTGATGACAGTGACGGAAGACAGTTTGAAGTCGTACCGCAATCAGTTGTTGTGGATGGACAACTCGCAATATCAGCCTCATGACTTTGATGCAGCCGTATCACAGCTGTATCTTACTGCACCAGAAGATGATGAAGTCTCCACAATTAAGGTACGCCATCGATATATGAGGAGCAATTGTTCTCTGGAACCATGGCAGGTACTTGGAGTTGCTCGTCTGTTGGAAATCAGAGAGGCAAGGCAGAACGATATTCCTTTGTCCACTGGAGCGTTTTTGGGCGACGTCATGGGTCTCGGCAAGACATACCAGGCTATAGTGTACATGTTAGAGGTGAGTATAAAGCCTTCATGAATAAAAGATTTCTGGAACCTATTTTCCAGCGACTCTAAATAATCCCATCTGCAGATCCTGAGAAGGGCGAAATGCCGGCAAAGTGCATGGCATACCAGAAACACTAATAATGCCAAGGCTACAGCACCAGTACCGACTTACCAGCCCTTTCTATTGATCGTTCCATCCGCCATTCTGATGCAATGGGCGAATGAGATCCAGAAAGTGACGGATGTTTTCGATGTCCGCATTCTCTTTGGAGACAAGAAAGCTTATAAAACCGGTACCTGGAAAAAAGCCTCCCTGATCACGGAACCTCTTACTTGTCACAGTCAGATGTTCAATGGCTCGTTCGAAAATGCAAACATTATAATCCTGACAACGTATGACACTTTCCGTTCCCGTCATGGGCCTCCCGCCGTAGAAAGATGGTTACGGAAACAAGGTAGGAAGAATCCGATGCAGTATAGCCCCTCGCTGGCTGCTGGTCCAAGCGACTACAAGCCTCCGGGCTGGCCTGGGGATCTGGGGGGCGTCTTTCACGATGTGATCCTTGATGAAGGGCATACCGTTCGCAATAAGGATAGCGGGTTATCGATCAGCATTCGCTGGTTGCAAGCCAAATTTCATCTGATCATGTCCGGTACCATTTTCTACAATAGTATTATGGACTTTGCTGGATATGTGGATCTCATTGTGGCCGAGGAGGCGAATCGGGTGTGGGACCAGCCGGACAAGATGCGGGAGTTGAATGTTGGACCTGGTGTTAATCCCTTCGCGCTGGATGATTCTCACCCTGGTGTGTTCTTACGATTCACTCGCCGGGCCCTCGATCGGTTTGTGTTTTCCAATTTGATTACAGTCGCCGTCGCCAGTGTCCGTCTAAAGATGATCATGCCGTCCATCATGGTCCGCAGAACTCTCAGTTCCGTCATCCACTTCCGTGGGAAAACGGCAGTCATTGGCGCTCGTATTCCCCCTTCACAGACCCGTATCATCAATGTTCAGTTTACTGACGTTGAGAGGAACCTTTACGACACTTTAGTGGCGCCCCATTACAAAGGATTGATTATGGAGAAGGATCACAAGATTGTGCTCAACATGGCCAAATACCGCATGCTCACGCTTCTGACCACATGGCTGGGTTTTGAATACGTGGAGAGCGTACTCACTGCTTCCAACCTCGACGACTTTCTGAGACTCTTCGCATACAACACCGTGTGTCAAAGTCTGGGGCGGACCGTGTATCATAAGCAGTATGCGAATGCGAGGACGTGGTTTGAGGCTGTAAGGAAAGAAGGAAAAAAGATCTACCCTTCGATCAATGCTATCCGAACCCTGTTACGAGGGTCTCCTAAGATGAGGGCTATGCTTCCTATCGTAATCCATAACTGTCTCGTTCGCAAGGAAAAGCAGATTATTTGGTGTAATTTTCCTGCTAATCAGATCCATGTCGCGGCAGTGCTGAAAGAGTGTGGCATCGATGCTCGGATCTTCCATGCCAAGCTCGATTATAGACAACGCGATATCCTGATTCATTCATTTACTAACACGGACGAGTGCCAGATCCTGATCATGTCTCTGGCGGTCAATGCGCTGGGCCTCAACTTGCACCCACGATGTAATATTATGCATTTTTATGATCTGCCAATAACCAAGGCTGTCATGGACCAGGCAATTGGTCGCCTTCGCCGGTTTGGCCAGCAACTGGTCGTCATTGTCTATGTTTACCAGGTCAGCAAGAGCTGGAATACGAGGCAGGCTACAGCTGCAGGTCAGAAAGCTGTCGCGAGCATGATCTGCGATCTGAATGTGGATATGTTCAAGATGGCAATCCAAAGTACGGAGAATGTGCGATTCTTTAACTGGGTTGTCCGCAACGGCCACCTGCATCGACTAGGGAATGGAGAGCAGCCGCTAGCAGAGGATATTACAGAGGACACTCAGATTCTTCAGGCCATTCAAGACTCCTTCGTTGAACAGGTTGGTCTTGCCGCCGACTCTAATGACTTATGATTGGTGAAATGGCCACCTGGGTTTGGGATGACTAAACACGCCTAAGAAATCTGATTGTTTTCAGGGCATTAGGATTAAATAAGAATCGACAAATTGACTTGTTCTAGAAAGCTCCGCCCGACAAGGCCAACCTTCGATATACAGCCAGACGAAAATGAATATAAATTCCTCAGTCTACGCAGCTGACACGAGAGAACCAAGACGGAGGGGAAAGGGGGCAAGGAACGAAGATGACTGCCGTCACGAGAAGCGTCCAAAATTGCGCATAACAACAAGCTTGTTTTTCTGCTCAATCATAGCATTCTTTTCCTCCAAAAGTTGAGAATTATTCTTAGAAACAAGCTTCAAAACTGCAACTGCAAGTTCAGGATTGCCGATAAGAATGCCATGCGCATCAACTTTTGATAAGAAATGTTGTATGTGGGCTGCAACAAGCTCTACAATATTTTCCACGCAACTTGTTTGCATGCCAAGGGATGCGGCTCCATATTTCTTGAACGATACCCGGAAATTTTTTTGATGTCGAATTTGTTTTGAGCCAATTCATTAGTTGGCTCATTGCGAGTTCTTGCAGACGTGGGATGTCGAATTTATCAGCAGCTAAGAACACTTGAAGATCATGGCGTACCATTTCGAGCTCAGAACTGCTGTTTCTATAGTAATAACTCTTGTAAGATAATTACTGCCACCACCACGAGCGCTGATTATTTTCCATATCATGTCCGCATGAAAGGTCCGGTAGCTGAGGCATTCGACGTTTTGCCTCCGGATATGGAATAGACACCCAGACTTTCCATTCTTTATGAAGAAAGGAAACTAGAATATTTTCTTTCGCACTTCTCGGGATTGGACCATGCTCTATGAGATCATAATCTTCAAGGCATACTAAGGCTGTGACAAAGAGATGCGTGATGATCTCTGTCCTTAATCTTCGACCGGGGAAATAGATGGTAACCATATGGTACCTATGGTAGACTGCTGTGGTCTCATTCGTGCTGAGCGTAGTGGCCTCGATGTCCGGGATTATATCTTCCTATGAGCGGTCAGAGGACATGTATAGCAGGAAGCTACATTGAAAAAGCAATGCTTACAAAGTCGATTTCAAGCGGAGGTTTGTTCAAGGCTAAAAGCCAGTGAGGTAGAGACGGATACCTGGACGAGTACCACCAGCCCCAGAAGGATGATAGGCATGGAAGACAGGACATATTGTTCAAGCAGCTCGAGTCGAAGGGCCCGCCTAAGCAGTCAAAATCGAAATGACGGGTGTGATGCGGGTGCTATTTTGGAGGCTTGGGCTGGCCAGGCTTCTTTACACCGGTGGTATCGTATGCTCCTCTGCCAAATTTCATGTTCAAGGACCTGGAACCGGTGAAAGAGTTGAATTGGTCTGTCGAGATGCGGTGAACCTAGGACAAGGCAGAGCCTACTTATATGTGTTGTGTTGCTGATGATTTACATATCACTTTTAGCACTGGCCGTGCTGGCTATTATCACAGAGTATGACAGTTGATATGGAATCGATCATTATCTCAACCTACTAGCTCGATGTATTCTAGTTAACGCTGTTGCTGTTTCTACTCGTCAACACCAATATGATGTGCAAGACTCCTGTTGAAGGCCAGGCTATAATTTCTTTTTCTCTAGATTTCAGAATAAACGCAGGAATGAGTGAGTGATGGTATGTACAAATGATGTGCAAGAGGCTCGAAAAGGTTCGGATAGATTATTATAGGTTCGAAAAGGTTCAGAAAGGTTAGTATGGGTTCGAAAAGGTTAAAAAGGGTTATGAACAATTATACAATTTTGGAAACGACCAGTGCTAGATGCTTATTACTATCTTAGCGCTAACGGATGCGGGCATAACTTTATTGCCATCCTGGATATGTAGACCACAACGTTTCGGTTTGGTTGAGAAGGGTTGAGAAGGGTTGGCTAGCGTTAGTTGCATATTACTGGCTTGGCGCTGGCGATGTGATATAAACATTAGCTATGACGTCAGAAGCTATCACGTGATAATCTGTTTCTACTATGGTTGACCCCGGTGATTTCCCTAGTACGGTGGGCCTTGCAGGGGTGTAGGCGGTCAGCAAAGAAACGCTTACCGCCTGCCTATATTAGTTATTACTACACCTTGAGAATCTATTTGTACGCGGCCCGGGACGCGCTCTAACTAATCAATCAACAATATGCCTACCACCCCAGAGCCTACTACAGCCCAAGAAGCTGCTCCAGCAGCAGCTTCTAGAGAAGAATCAAAGCCCTATTCTATACGGCTTAATAGGGATGACCGGATTCGCATATTAACACTACGGGACGCTGGATTCACGTATCTGGAGATCGCTACAATGCTCCATGTTACACATGACCAAGTGCAATATACGTGTCAAAGCCAACGTGCTACGCCTAAAAAGGCCCGAGGCAAGACTCCAAAGCTCTCCGAAGAAGATGTCGACCGGATTATTGAATGGATAAGCTCTTCAAAGCGTACGCGCCGTATGCCTTATTATAAGGTCGTACATGAGCTTAATCTTCCAGTTGGAGCTACGGCATTAGCCCGAGCGCTTAAAAAACGAGGATATACTCGTTGTAAAGCTCTACGGAAGCCTCCTTTATCAGATGAGCATAAACGTGTACGTCTAGCATGGGCACTTGAGCACGTTAACTGGTCAATTGAGCAATGGAATCGAATCCTTTGGACTGACGAGACATGGGTTACGTCAGGTTTCCATACAAGAATCTGGGTCACTAGAAAAGCTGGCGAAGAGCTAGATGATACGTGTTTACGTACATCCCCAGCTCGAAAACGTGGATGGATGTTTTAGGCTTCATTTCATGGTAATATTAAGGGCCCATGTCTATTTTGGGAGAAGGAATGGGGTTCCATTGGATCCGAGAGCTATTGCGAGAGGATAGTTCCTATTATTGATGGATATATACGCCTCAATCGACAGCAATCTCAATATCTTCAATTAATGCAGGATGGCGCACCGGGACACGCGAGCAAGGATACAAAAGAGGAGCTACGTATTAGGGGTATCTATCCGATATATTGACCAGCATTCTCACCGGATCTCAATCCAATTGAAGCTGTGTGGAATTGGATGAAGGATTGGATACAAGAACAATATCCAAATGATGAGCAGCTTTCTTATGATCGATTACGTGAGGTTGTACGGGCTTCTTGGGATGCTTTACCGGATCAATTTCTCAAGGATTTGATTGATTCCATGCAAGCTAGGTGTGAGGCTGTAATTGCTGCTGAAGGTGGCCATACCAAATATTAGCGTAGTAAGCAAAAATATATGAAACCAGCAGAATTGGCAGAGTTGGCAGAATTGGCAGAATTCGGTAAATTTTATTGGTAGTTGACCCCTGCACAAAAAACCGTACTAGGGAAATCACCGGGGTCAACCGGAGTATTTGTGGTGTGGATCTTCGCCCCACAAGTGTCTTGCAGGTAACCTGACAGTTGTCGACTTCGCTGTCAATTTGATCTGCTGGTCTCTAATAAGTACTCAATGTCACTTCTCCAGTGAGTTTTTTGCTATGGCTATGCTTCCCAAAGCTACTAGGATGTTTTCAACCCTCGTCGGTCGCTCCGGTCGCGAGTACGTGCGCCAAAAGTTACTTCAGCGTCATCCAACAAAATCAGGCCGGGACATTTATTTTGCACTGTAAGTCCAAGAATAACCTAGTTCAGATCCTGTCCTATCTAAACTACAGGTACTGATTAGAAGGAAAATAAGTGGTAACGGCAAGCCCTTCGTTCTGAAGCCTGTTTCTCGGTCTATCTTTGAACTCTCACAGGAGCTCAAAGACGAATTTGGCAGCAATACTCGACTACGAATCCACTTGGATGAAAATGAAAGTGAAAGTATACTTGTTTATGAGTATTTCAAGAGCGATTTGTTTTCGTTGATACAGAACTACCCGGCTATTTCAATAGACGCAAGACGAGCAATTTTGAAAGAGGTTGGGTTGGCATTGAACGACATTCATGCAAAAGATTGGATACACTTAGGTACAATTCCATTGGTATTAACTTGACTTTGTCATCTTAACTGATTTACCTCTAAACAGACGTAAAGCCTAGCAATGTTTTTCTCAACTGGCACGTGGACAAGAACGATCGATTCCACTTGGAAAAGGTGGCGTTGGGCGATATGGACTGTGCTTTGAAACTGGAAGGCCAAAAACTCCTGAATTATAGGATAGGGAACGTCATGTGGCGCAGTCCAGAAGGACAATTAGGAAAGGGCGTTGGGAAGCCGTCGGAGGTATTCTCTTTTGCACTTCTGGTGAGTTTTCCTTGGTTTAGCAACATCTATCTTGCTAATTGCGTCTTCTAGTGTCTCTATGTAATCACAGGCGCCCAATGTTTTCAGCCAGACTTCGAAAAGCTTGATATTGAACCTGAATTGGTGGTTCTATTCAAGCTGCTCTCGACCTTTGGCCCGCTGCCAGATGCGCTCGTTGACCACGTCAACGACGAGGAAGCAGGAACCCTTTTAAAGAGCCTGTGGCAAGCTATAATAGAAGGTGACCCAAGCGAGCGTTTTGAGCAATGGTCGGAAGAAAATTTTCCTAATCTTGACGACAAGGCGAAGAAATTGATACTGAGGATGACGAATCTTGATCCATCAAAGAGAGCTCCAATGTCGGAAATTGTAATGGATCCCTATTGGACATGAACTAGGTATTCTGTACGATATTAATAGGACTACGAACGAGCAGATGTAGTAAAACAGCTGGTAGATATGGGACTGTGTATGGAGTACTGTATGAGGATACCTGGAAGGAATTGTTGCTTAGCTCTAGATTATTGTGGACGTAACAGTGATTTTTTCTTTAAAATGTTGAGCTTCTCGCCCATCCGATATCGTATCGAATAGCGTGAAAGAAGCGTGCCCATATATCATTTATTAGATCCAATGCGTCGACGTCTTCACATGCAAAGAAATCCCGCCCAAGTTATGCCTGTAACCGGCCTATCCCGTTAGACCTTTCTTCCTCTTCGCAACAGTGGCATATTTGAAGAATCCAAAATTTTTATTTGTAACGGTCTGGTATAGACAGAGCAATAAGCGAAATTGCTAACTTTATTACTTAATTTCAGACCAAAACATCTCGCCATCAGATAAAGGGAGTTTCCGTCCCAAACCTAGCATTTCTCCAGTGTCCATTGTACGTAAAACAGGGTGGTAGTATGATATAAGATTCCCTAATGTCCTCCTACTCATTAAGCCTAGCACCGTAGGTTAAGGGTAAACATGCTTCGTCGAAATGTGTTCTCCATCATCGTTTTCGAAGACAGTGGTGAAGTGACTTTTGCTGTCACTCGAACTTGGATGCTCTTTTTCACTGAATTTGATGTTAATCTTTTAAGCCTCATAATACAAGAGAACGAGTAACTGACGCTAAGATAGCGGTTGTTGCGCCAGAAGGGATATCATCAGTCTTTTCTATAGCTTTGCTGAAATCATCCTGCACACTACTGGCCAAAAAGGTACGTTCCCAAGTCTCGGTCTTAGTAGCATATTTGACCTTGATATTCTTGCCATGATTAGCCACTGTTTTGATCAATTGGCTAGATATGATTTTGTTGGGAGCCATGATGGAAAGGGTCAAACAGTTGTGTATTTCGAGAAGTGCTCTTGAATTGATGGTGGGTGAAATGGTTTGAGTAAAAGCTCTTTAACTTATCTGGCGCAAGAGGAATCAATTTATAACCGATAATGGAGTAGGTAATCTTTTGAAGCAGCGTAGATGACTATCTATTGGTGTGACTGTAGGCACAGGGTATACGAGCTTGTGCATGGTGCTTGAGTTTGCTATGTATATGCCACCAAATTAGGTCTAGCCTCTCAACAATAATGTTACAGGTGTATGTGGGCTTGCCAATCAAATTGTGTACCTGACCGAGGCTTTCTACGTAGTAGACCGACACCGAAACTCAGCTACAAAAGATTCTACGATATCGTAAAAAGTCCGACATAGGGTTCGTGCCCTGAGAGGATTGCTGCAATATCGTAAATCGTTCGACAGTGCTAGCCGCCCGTGCATTAGTTAGCGACTTTTCAACAAATTGAAAATCCGCGTTACCAATCACTTGCGCCATGGCGATAGCGGCTGATGACGTCACTTGAAGGACGAGATGATTACTGCACTCAGAACGCGGGCCACGAGGAGGCCGTCTCAGGTCCATTCCAGGCCGAGTTGTGGGGGCCTGGGTTCACTGGCGCTACAGGTTCCACCGGAACTCGGGTGCTCGTACCTGGGCTAGTCCTCGGCCCAAGAATTTAGACCTAGGTCCATGCTGCACCCAGGTGCACGAGTCCGGGTCTCGTGACCTCGGCCCGCACACCTCGTTCCGTGTCACCAGGTCTCTAGCCTTAGTTTCCTGCACCCCAACTCTCTATAGCCTCAGGCCTGCGCTGGCCACAGGTGAACTCGCCTGTATCTACAGGTCACTTAGATCGGTAGCCTTGGGCCCACGCTCTCATGTATGTCGCCAAACTGGAGATGCACAATCCCCACAAATGTACAGCCCTAACAAATGTACGGTTAATTTTCACAAATGTTGAATATAGAATATCTCGGTGGATGTGTTGTTCCGATATGGAAGTGGTCAACCATGTTCATGCGTATACCACAATTAGTTCCTCTGAGCCTTAACCTAAATTGGGCTAGTGTAGATTTAATTTAAGCTTCTAGAAATAACATTGATTGCTTTGCGTAGCACCCTTATTACATGGAAAACTGAAAAACAAAACCAAGCAGCAAAAATATCAAGCCGATGTGCAAATTCGAATAAGTCTAGTGCTGGTAATCGTGTTAGTTCATGAAACAACAATGGACGACTAGGATTTCTTACTCGAGAGGTAACGGCATGGCGATATTGAATGTACATTTCGTAGGCAAACACGCCCAAGAGAACCAAGATGACCAACAGAGCGAAACTGTAAATGAGCACCAGTTCTAGATTTCGGCAAACTGCCGTCCGACGCGTGTGATTCTGCTGAGGAGCTTCTAAGTCCGGGTCGGTGTTGACTTCCGTATAAGGTGGTAAAGCAATACCATTGTCTGAGTGTAGGTTGGCAGCGTTCATATTTCGAACAGAGCTGGGAATGATATGCAATATTATATGTTGCCAAGAATAAAGTTGAAGTATCAATTGCGCGAGGTATGGACTTGCGACAGGAAGAACAAGGAAACGGAAGCATACTCTAAAATCTTGCTATATTTATAGTGCTGGGCTTCTGCGATGCAACAGCTGTGGACTGCCACTAGAGCGTAAACGAGGCGGTTTTCACTTGCATGAAATTCTGAGCATAGGCGTTGTCAGAGTGGCTGTATTAATGAATGTTGGTATCTATAGAAGTAGGATGACGGCGTATGACGGCGTTCAAGGCAGTGTAGTGTCGAATTCAGGCAACTTGTGCTAGTTGATAGGCTGCGAGCGATCTAACTCTCTCTTGTTGACCGGATGAAATGAGCCTGAAGGTGGCTATACTGATAGCTATGGAATCCGCCTGCAGCGAGGTGTGAGAGATTGTGCCTTGGGAACTGATTGTTAGTCAATTCCTACCGTATAAAAGGTCGCCCCAACCTCTGCCATGATGACTTTCATCTGTTCGCAAACAAAACTCTTGAGTCTCTACTTCATCAATCAGTATGGAAGATTGGACTTGCCTACCGCCCTTGGATGATCTCTTCTTTGATATAGCACCCCACGACTTTTCATTGTCATCTGGAAACATGAACGAAGACGGTGAACTTCTGGGACGATTTTGCGAGACACCAACGACATATACCGATCCTCCCGATGAACTGGCCGTGAGCGTCTTGGAGGAGCAGAACGTCAACGAAGACGATAATCACTCACCCAACAAGGAAGAGACCTCGCTGTCAGAAAACCTAATCAAAGAGGTCTCTCTTTCCAAGTGCTGTGGCTGGACAACATCCTGTGCTGAAGTACCGATTGGATTGAGTCCTGAAATCTGGCAGACGCATCTCCTGAATGGTCATGACGAATCCTCCCCAATTCACGATGGCCTCACCCCACGCATTGTGGTAACGGGAACACGGGCGAGCGAAGCGATTCACCCGCGCCAACCACCTCTCTATACAGAAGGGGATGATGAGAACATCGATGAGGCCGAGGTGCCTGGTGGGGAGACGGCCATCAATAAACCTTATCTCCAGAATCCAATTGTGTCACATTGCGGTGAAGGCAGGGATAGGCGATTTTTGGTATGGCAATCCGAGGAAGAATTGAGACTTCAGAAGAGCGAATGGCTCACGCTTTACTGGGAACAGCAAGATGTACTGGAAAAGGCATCTAAACTCCCAGCAAGCAGAACAAATTTTCCAAAACGGAAAAGAAACCTATGATTTGGATTTGAGTATTGAGTTTGTTGTATGCTTTTGGTCCGATCAATTTGTTAGCCTTGCTTAATTATGAATACAGATGAGCTTATATGAAACTAAGTTAACTAACTAGCGCTTTGAGTAATTGGTTCCGTCATAAGCGATGAGTCACCCAAGCAAACTGAAACACTAGACCGACTTACAGGTCAACGTTTTTTCACTTCCTGTTCCTAACCCACGATTTTTTGCTACCCATGGTTTTTTGTGGCCATGGCTTGCCTTTGATATTCGATCGAGTGTTGATGTATTTACTGACAGCGACCCCACGGTTCTACAGTACAATCTCAGGTCAACGTTTTTCATTCCCTGTTCCCAACACAACCCATGATTTCCCAAGCCATTTCATTGACTTTGACCAGCCGGGACCACCTCTCTTATTGATAATATAACGCTACAAGCTACCCATGGTATCCATGGCCATGGCTGCTAGCCCTTTGATACCCCAATGAGCATTGATGTATTTACTGACGGCAACCCCACGGTTTTACTGGTAAAATTCTTGGTTTCTCAATGAGTTGCAAGCCCCTATACTCTAGTCCCTCATGGGCGCCAGACCTTTCATTGGTACGGTGGCGACTATCATTCCCCTGCGAAATAGCAATCCGCGTGGGACACCATGAGTTTACTATCGCTATTGTCCCCTGCGGGGTTCAAGCCCCTATGAGGTGGCCAAACCATGGCAGCCCCCGCGGGCTTCCACCGCACAGGGGGTGGTAAATCCTATGGGTTGCCAAGGTTATTTTATCGCTCGCGGGTTACTTCCCCCCGCGGGATTCAAGCCCCTATGAGGTGGTCAAACCATGGCAGCCCCCGCGGGCTTCCACCGCACAGGGGGTGGTAAATCCTATGGGTTGCCACGGTTGTTTTATCGCTCGCGGATTGCTCCCCCCCGCGGGATTCAAGCCCCTATGAGGTGGTCAAACCATGGCAGCCCCCGCGGGCTTCCACCGCACAGGGGATGGTAAATCTTATGGGTTGCCACGGTTGTTTTATCGCTCGCGGGTTGCTCCCCCCTGCGGGCTTCAATCCCCTGTACACTCTCGTCTCATGAGGGGCAGTGCAGCTACAACGGTTTGTCCATTGCACGCGGGCTGACATCTCATATGGGCTCCGGTGTGCGGTAACACGCCGATTCAGCCAATTGTCATCTATTGGTAACGTCAATCAAGCCTCAAATACTTCTAGCCAGATTCTTATCGCTATTCCAGCTGATTGTAAAACTGGTGCGCGCTTTTGTTCATTGCCATTGCCACTATATACATGTTAAAGATAGTCAAACCTCAAGTGTCATGTCCGGTCGGCATAAACTCTGCTCTCCCGTCAATATTCAAGTGTCATCTCCTGGGTTCCGGCATAGACTTTGCTCTCCCACATCATTTCTGCCCACACTTTCACTGCCTCTGGACTCATGGCGTCCTTATCTTCGGCATATTCATCCAGCCAGTCACCGAGATCATCCAGGAGATCAAAATCGTCGTCCGTCGTGAGAATGAAAGAGTCTCCTTTCCGGTATGCGAATTTGAAATCTTCTTTGATGAAGCAATACACCGGTCGTTTTCCATTTCCGCCTCGATCTGTGTACCAAAAGCCAACGATTACGCCATCATTGATGAATATAGGAGCCGAATGCAGCTTAATATCCGGATGATCTTCGTCGAAACTAAGATCTGGCCCCAGAAAACTTTCTGGCTCTATTGACGGGAGTGGTGTGTCTGGATCGATGTATCGCATCTTTTTTGCGACTTGCTGATCTGAACAACTTAAATTCGGCTCCTGTTTGCGTTTCAAGGGTGAGCGTCGACACGACTCGGAACTAGGCCGTTGAGTTGACAATTGATAGGCTTCCATGTTTTCTGAAATACCACAGCACTTGCAGCAGCACTTCTTGATAGATTTGGTGGATAGTTCACGAACTTCTCGTGGTGAATCTCGGTACGATACCTGATGTCACTGGGTTTCGATGATGGGGGATGGGAAAGAAAGCAGACCAAGAGTGAGAGTGCGGACGGAGGCCTTTATATACTCAGACCACCAACTAGTCTGACATCCTAAGAGGTCGAAAACCAAACCGTGTCTGCGATACTACCACTAATCATGACTAGACGGAGGCACACGGCGAGGCAGACCGGATGGAAGTGGCTTGCTAGCAGGCTCTCTCAGTACACTTGAGCATGGGGGCTGCTCGTTCAAGAATTCGAGGACCACTTGGAAGCAAATTCTGCCTATCCAAGGCACATGCAGGACTGTACATGCCCAATCATTGATGCCGGAATCAGCCACAATGGTATCCAAAAAGAAGTCGGGTTGCTCCTGGATTACGAATCCTGCATGAAGTGAGCTTTCCAGCAGTGTCCTCTTGAAGAACTCCACCTTAGAGTCTTCCTCTCGTCCGATGAAACTCTCTATTAGATATACACAGTATGAGGAATTGACACTAGCGCCTGAGATGATGGTTGTCCAACTATCCTTCATTCACCGTGAGTATTTTCCGCTTCAGGATAGCTAGTGCCGACTGCGAAACGAAGAGTTGGTGCTATTGGCAGCGCTACGCATGATACAACCCCATGCTCGATTGGGACAAGCGGAAGCTCTACTAGTCAATGGTAAATGCTCTATTTTAGGGTCATACTATGCTGTGATTCAGCATGGTTGGTGGTCACCTTTCACACCTGATTGGACTTACGAGGCCAGGTTTTGCATAATAGGCTGGTCATCTCCACTCGACTTTCATGCACTGGATTGCCGTGAATTATGAGAGTCGGATCGCTCAGCCCCCTGAAAGGGATCAAACAGGTATAAAGAGTGCCGACTTCCCACCGTAAGGTCAGTCTGTCATCCTGAAATTCTTTCACCAACACCTAACACATCTATCGAAATGGAGACACAGCAACCACAGCAACCACCTACACCAGCCCAGATTGATAACTGGCATGCCCTAGGTTTCATATATGGAGTAGAAGAAGGAATAGCGACAGAAGCTCCCACCGATATATTACTCGAATCTCCTGCATCCCCTCCATCCACCATTCCCTTTGATGAGGATTCACCTCCGCGGCAGTTACCTAGCGAACGAGTGCTGTCGGGTGAAGAGGTTTGCGAAGCAGCAGGTTCCCCTTCACCAGTCATCGAAATCAGTGACGATGAGGAGAATCATCATACACGCCCACGACGTCGACGTAGGGGTCGCCCTGATTATGCTTATCGAGATTACCAAGATACAATGGAGCATGCAATTTCGGCACCGACCGTCGGCAAACGGAAAAGAGAAGATTCCAATGTGGTAGATTTTCAATCTAGAATTGTAAGTAGTTCCTGGCTCTTTTTTTAGACCTGGCTAACAATCAATAGAAGCGATTTGTGAAGGAGGTCACGGAACCATATGAGGCCTTGGAACAGGAGAACAAACGATTGAACCAAGAGAGTCACCAATTGAAGAAGGGCAAGGAACAGTTGCAGAAGGACAAGGAACAGTTGCAGAAGGACAAGGAACAGTTGCAGAAGGACAAGGAACAGTTGCAGAAGGACAAGGAACAGTTGCAGAAGGACAAGAAACAGTTGCAGCTTCAGATCCAATACTTACGGCGACAGATTGATGAACAGATGCGGCGCAATATTTTGAAGTGTGCTCTATGTCATCGAACGTTCAACGAAAGCTGGAAATTTCTAGGATGTGGCCACACTCTATGTCAGACTTGTCTGGAGGATATCGAGTCCAAGGGTTTGGGGTTCGGATATCCTTGCCCTTATCCTGAGTGCAAGAAGCCGATTCGATTTTGTTTAGACTTTTATCCAAATGTCGTGGAAGCATAGTTCTAACCAAAGACTACTGAGATGATAGCACTGCTTACTTTTGCTGTATACGAGTCAACCTGTGAAGTTTTCTATGCCTGTTTTCTCCAGCGCCACCGCTTGTCAATATGTGGTTGTCCGCTCACCGAGCAACTGTTCTGAAAGTAATACAACTTTTTTTTGGTTCTTTTGGGATTAGTAGGGACTGACAGAAGTCGCATGCTTAGTCCCACTTCACGAAGCCGGATGTGGGATGCTGCCGCGGATGATTATGCTGTCAAGCGGTGCGGAAATATACCCACCCATCTGTAAGTGCCCATCTCGCACAAAATCAGCTAAATTGTAATGTGAGAGAGTATTGGCTGAACACATCAATGCTAAGCGCTGAGCAGTATTATACTAACCAATGCTGAGTCGATCCTATGCTCACAGACTGACTCCCGGCGGGTCTTGTTCAAATTTGTACCGAGTTACAGTATTCTGATTGGCCGTCCCATTGATACTTTAGCCAATCATTCTGTGCATAGACGTTACCAACTTACGGGCCAACCTGGGTTAGGTTAAAGAAAGCGCTTGCTTAGATGATGTTTTGTTGTCCCACTTCTGAAACGCAGAGTTCTTTGTTACTCTTAGATAGCATTCACAGAGATTTATTCTACCACTTGAGTATCGACATGTTCTTGAATTAGATGAATGTGGAAGATTGTTGACCACGTTTTGTTTATCATCATAATGGCCGCTACTCTCATTCGTAATACACCAAATCCCCTCCTTCTCCCAGAGATTGTGGAATATGTCATCGACAACATTTGTATGGGCGACCTGGTGAGTTGTGCCTGTGTGAACAGCCTGTGGAATGTGATAGCCTTGAAAAAGCTCTATAAAGGCTCTTTGAATGACATGCTGAACGTCTCCTTCGACCGCAAGGTAGCGGCCTTGTTAGTCTCACAATTCCCTTTGAGATCGACGAGGATTGGTCACTTATTTCTGACCTTCTTCTCTCACCTACTATTGAATATTTGGCTGTTGATAATTTCTATTGTGAGCTTTTGATGGCTAGTTCTAATAAGTCTGCGGAACCGATTACTCCTGCTGTAAGTTCTGTCCGTCTGAAAAAGGAGCTGCCATTGAAGATATCTTGACTGACTATTGCAGGATAAGTTCTCAAAGCTCAAAGCGCTCACAATATATAGATCTGAGAGCAGTCGAGATAACAAGCTGCTTTTCCATTTGATCCGAAGCTGCAATTTGCATTTTTTCCATTTCGAGGAGAGAAGCAGAGATCAGATGACTCCAATTGAGATAGCTGAGCTTTTAATCAGTCTTCAACGCCAACAGAATCTCAAGGCTTTAGTGCTGATCATTCCCGGTTCGTCATGCTCAGCAGCCATCAGGATGGCCAGACGGAAACAGAGCAAGCTATGGCCGAATCTGAAGGCGTTGTATCTTGGGATGGGAGATGAACACTGGCTGGAACAAATTCCAGATTTCAAGGAGCTTCAAATTCTCAGTATTCAAGAGTTTATATCTGGTCCACGAATCATCAACAGTGACGTTATATCAAAAATTGGAAAATGCCAGGAACTACGGGTTATCGACGTCTATTTCCGGGAATGCAATGACATAGAAGCGCTTCTCGATATCGCGCATGGATGCCCGCTCTTACAAATGCTCCGCGTTCTGCACAGGCGTCTTGGGGGCCCATTAGATCCAATGAACACCAAATTTTCTGACCTTTTGTGCGCCTTACCGCACCTGGAATTCCTTGAACTTGATTTGAAGTTTCAGATAAATGGTGCACACATTCAAGATCTCGCGGTCCACTGTCCAAGACTCACCGTGCTTAGACTGCGTGAGACCTGGTTGTGTCTCTCCATTGCGCAGATGCGTACGGTTGATACGCTTCGGCAGCTAGAACTTGTGCAGTCCAAAGAGGTACTTTTTGAGAATCCACAACGTTTAATGGAACCGCACATATTCTCTACCCTTGTAGCAGAGTGGCGCAGGATATTTCCAAAGCTCCGGGAGATGCCTTGTCACGCCGACATATACGGTCTTGACATGAAAAGAGGTGATTTGGAGGAGATATCAGAAAGGGACGTTGTCAGCTTGAGCAGTTATGAGGAGATTCCTCTTAGTGTTTTAGAGGATACAGAGGAATATCATTCAAGTGAGACAACAGAAAGTGATATGATTACTTTGTCTAGTGAGGAAGAGATCTCTTCAGATGAGTCTGAAGATGCAGAAGAAGAAGAAGAAGAAGAGGAGGAGGAGGAGGAAGAAGAAGCGGTCTTTCCTGGTGAGCAGGAGCTCAACTACAATTACTTCGGGTCAGACTGGGTCTTTTTACGAATAAGACTATGGAGGGAACTTCGATACGGACCAAGTCAGACGGCTTATGACAGATTCGCCAGTATTTGGAGGACAAATCTTGAAATCGAGAAGATCGGCTGGCCGGTGATGCCTCTAGAAGCGTACTCGGACCCAGAGAGCTATTGAATAATATTGCAAATATCATATGGCCAGATAGATGTCGTGCACAGGATGCGTAGCACCCAACAAAGCCCGGGACTATGAGTAATCTTGTCGTCAGTGCAATTACCTCTGGGTTGTGACGGCTGCTACCCTGATTCAGTATCATCATGGCGGGACAGACGCATTGCTTTGTATTGCGGGAAAACGGCAGGGAAAAGGTGATTAAGGAGCACACAACATGTGTTTGATACTGTAGTGTAATTCTAGAGATTTTTGAAAGCTTTCTTTTTGTCAATGCTTATAGGCCCGAAATAGATATTGCTAAAGCCAGAACTAACGTACAGGGATAAGCTGGTAGATTGCGGATCAACACGAAGGATAGAAATCGCTGGTGGAACAATTTATACTCCAGGGCTTAACTGCAGTGTTGCATATTTTAAAAAGGCTCACCTACATTTCAGCAGGCGGTGGGTATTACAGACATGGGCCTTCCAATGCATCTCCTGGAGGAAATCTCCTGCCTGATCTCCGCAGAAATTACACCGACGTTCATCCAGATGCCAGTCTCGGAAATGGCGCACCAGATTTCGGTGGTAGGGGTAATGCTTGAGACGCCGGCTGTCCGCTTGGCCTGGATCAGCAAAACACTGAAAACAGCACAACGGCTCAGACGCCGTCTGAATGTGCTCCTTAGCAGCTTGGAAGGACCGGTCTCGCTCAGAAAGGGCAGTGACCGACGTCACTGGCGCGTCTTCCATCACAACATCTTCCTCGACGTAGTTCACAGCCTGGGGACGCCTCCCTCGAGGCGGGCCACCTTCGAGGACATCGCAGTAGACACGCACCGCCTCCACCGCCTCGTTCCGGCGTCGCCACTCCGCCTCAATCGAGTCGGACGTCGGCCACGTCATCAGCTTCTCATTGAGAGTGACCAGTTCCGGAGGCATTCGGTCCTCGTTCTTGAGCCTCTCCTTGGTCTCGTCGTCGGCGATGGCAGTGCCAGCAAGCTGCTGCTCGATGTCGATGACTGCTTGCTCATCATCGAAGTCCCGCCGGACGCGAGAGCGCAGGGCGTATAGGAGGCGGTTACGAGTATTGGTCACGGCTCTCTTGAGTCGCGCTAGCTTTGCGAATTGGTCCTCGTCCTTCTTCGACTGAGATTGCAACTCCAGCGCTAGTCGGTCTCGTTTCTCGATAGCCTTAATCAGCTCTGGTTCGTCCTCCACCGAAGCCTTCTGCTCGTCTGTGAGTTCACGCGGCCTCCGCGGATCCATCCAGCGTCCCATGCGCGTGATTGCTCGCATCAGCTCCGAGTCAGGTTCAAGACCTCGCATCAGGGCTTGCATGTCAACGTCAACCCGTCTCGGAAGATAGTGGTTGAGAAAGGTCCGGGAATCGCGGTGCTTCATGATCAGGTTTTGCTTTGCATCGCTGACCAGGCCTGTCAGGGGTACGTATCGCGTAAATTAGCCCCATGGCGGGAATACGTAGAGGAACTAGGAGGTACCTACCGCTAGCATTCATAATGGTGCCGCCACCATAACGAAACCGATGTGTAAATACAGCCCATGGAAACCCAGCGATCTCCCCAAAGTCTCGGATCTGCTTTGTGAGCGTGGCCCTCGAGATCGGCAATTTCGGGTTCACAGTGACTTTGCCGCGCTTCGCTTCTACACGGCAGAATACATAGTAGTTGGCCATTTCCGGTTTCAACGGAAGGGGCAGCTGCTGGCGCCCCTTCCCGATGAAGAGACGACGGAGATCTTCCATAGATCTGAGATTCGGAGCTCTAAACGCTTGGTTACGGAGGAGCATGCCCAAGAGGAACGAGTGCGGGCTGAGCATCAAAGAGGGATCATAGATAATCTCAGGGATCGGAAAAGTGTTTCTATCTTAGTATTAGCGGCGGTCTCAGCTTGAAGAAGCTTGGCTTAGAGGCGAGTTCATACGCTTGTGTTACCCCCAAATACTTCTTAGCGAATTTATTCGTGATCTCCAGCAAGATAATAGGCGGTCCGCCCCGAGGATCTCGCTGCATGGAGCACTGTAGATGTTTATATTGGAGATTTCGCATGGCGTCGATCCGATTGACTGTAAAACATGCCAAAACATTGTAAAGACATTGTTGGATGCGTTGTAGACCGAGCCAGAACCGCTTTTCCTGGGTTCGTAAGACCGTTTCCTGGAGCGGCACAAGATCTTCGATATACATCGGTGTTTTCTCCTTCTCGTCGGTGTCCAGCTCGAACTCCGTTAGGGCTAATTTCCGCAAACGCTACCAAATGAAGATCAGACAGAAGATCAAAGACAAAGGGAGACAGTTCCTAACGCATGTTTGCTGCTAACCTTGTTCATTTTTCTACCCAGCTCCTCGTCCAAAGGCACTCCAGTTGCCGCTTCATAGTAACGAAGAAAGCTCTTCCAGTCCTGTCCAAGACTACTGAGCTTGCCAATACCCGGTAGCTTTCGTCCGTCCTTTCCCGTGCGGAGACGAAGACAAAACCGAAAGAATTCGGTCAAGATCCGTCGGGTTGCAACACGGAGGACAGCCACAGGGTCCTGCCAATTCAGGTGGACGGTTCCTTGCGCCGTGCGGGCTTTCTTGCGCTTCCGCCGACAGAATCTGTCCTAAATTAGCAAAATTCGAGAGCAAAGCTGCCATCAACGTACCGTTCCCATCGTGAACGCAATTTCTCTCTCTGCTCCTTTGTAGACTCTGCGTAACCGTCATCTTCTTCATCATCCGAGGACTCGCGATCGGTCTCGACGTCGGGATCAGAGTCGGAGTCCGAGCCCTCGTCATCGCTCGACTCGTTGAAGTCCTTTTCATCAAGCCGAAAGGCCGCATTCCGATCTGAATCTGCGTTGATCCGACCAACTTTCGTCGGGGCCGAGCCAGAAACTCGTGGTTGCGCGGTAGCCGAGGCAGTAGGACGGATAGGACCAGTGAGCTGGGTGACGCACGCTCGGCCACGCCGGCGTTGACGTCGACTACCACGCGGCGCTTTAGTGTCTCGATTTGGTGCTTGGGGGACGTCTATATCCGAGAGATCGGTCGCGGAGTTGATGGCGGCTGGGTCGCTGTCCATCTGGAACGAGACATCGCTCGTCTCGCTGTCTGAGCTGTGGCCGCCATGACGCTGTGCTCGGGAGCGCATTGGAGACACCTAGATGACTTTCGATCGGAAGGAAACGTGCACCCAGGAGACCTCGACCGATAGAGGTGTGATGGAGATGGGGGATGGGATCTCTCGTGAGAGCTCTCGTAAGAGCGAAGGATGATGGGGAGGAAGCGAGTGACAGGGAAAGAGCGTGTGCAGGTGGGTGAGGAATGGGGATCGATCAAGGACCGAAAATGAGAAGAAGATGACTGGAACTGGCCCAAAGTGAGCGAGAGCCAAAATGAGCTTGACTAGGTCTCGGGGATTGTTGGGAGCGGGGGTCGTTGGAAGAGAGGGTCGAGGTGCCCGTCGAAGAAGTGGATGGGGACCGCATCTTATAGAGGGAAGCGAGAAGCCGCTGGAAAATCGTCGATGCAAAAAGCGAAAAGGCCGATTTTGACTGCAAAGGGTGCAGAAAAGTGAGGGTGTCGAAACTCGTGGTGTGGTTGCCGGAGCAGTTCAGGAACAGAGCAGCAACACGTTGCACGTGGATCTGGTCACATTAAGGCGATGGTATTGCCACGGCTGGTGGATTCCTAGAGCCACGCACGAGCGCGGAGAAATGAGGCGCCGGAGCCGAGGGCACGGGTTTTGACGGCCGGAGACGCCCAAAACGGCAGCGCCGGCGCAAATCGAAACCTTCATCTAGTAATGAAGACGGGACACGTGAAGTCGACGTGTCAGTAGACTTTCTCCATCTGAATCGTATCCCACAACGATCAAGTTAGATGCATCAATGCAGCCGTGTCGAACGCCACCCTTCCACGCGAGTCAAACTTGATAAATCTGGTCCCGTCACAAGTCTATTTCCAACGTGTAAGAGTGCATGCAATGCGTCCGAGATATCAATTCAGCATTCAAGACATGTCCGGTAGACGGTCGAATCAATCGTGACTCATTCCGGAAATTGTGCAGTCAGGTACAGAAGTGAATCAATCCGTTTTTGCACGGAATTTGCAAACTACACAGATGTCTCGCCTTCGGATGTAGACCTATGATATATTTCCTGTAGGTATACTAACTAACTACTTAGCAGACCGGAATGTCAGCATAGGCAAGAGGAAATTGATCAGGTATGGCCAACATTGAAAGGTGAGTGATACCTAACTTCCTTTGTCTCGGGTACAGCTATTGTATACCTGATCGAGGATGAGTGGGCATGTGAAGTCTTCCTAAGAAGCATCCGGGCAACAGCCTGAAACACTTGGAGATGTGGTTCATAGAAACTTATAACGCCCTGCATCTTTACCGGCCATACCGACTCCTAACGTACAAGTTATCTTCTGATCAATCTGAGCGCAAAGGGACGATGTAGCGACTTGGTAGTTATAAAGTATTCATCTCTATAAGAAAGCAGCTCGGATGATCTGTACCAATGACGCCATTCCCGTCTACCCCGCTTAATCTTCTATCCATCGTTCAACATCCTCATCTAACTATCTCCAAAATATAAAAGCAATATAACAAATTATCATCTATATTCCAATCGTCTAATCATGCCTCAAGTCCTTCTTCTAGGCGGCCACGGCAAAATCGCCCTCCACCTAACCCCGCTCCTCCTCGCTCGCTCCTGGAACGTCACCAGCGTAATCCGCAACGCCGAGCATGAAGCCGAAATCCTAGCTCTGGGAAAGGACAAACCAGGTAAACTCTCAGTCTTGCTATCTAGTTTAGACGACGTCAAGAGTCAGGCGGATGCACAGGCTGTTCTGGATAAGGTGAAACCAGAGTATGTTGTCTGGGCTGCCGGTGAGTTTCCACCCTACAACTCTCTACCATCTACGATTACCTTGCTGAAATTTGATACGGGATATAGGAGCCGGCGGCAAAGGCGGTCCTCAACGCACATACGCAATCGACCGAGACGCTGCAAAACACTTCATCGCCAGCTCCTTCGCAACCCCCTCCGTAACCAAATTCCTCCTAATCAGCCACATGGGTAGCCGCAAGACGAAACCATCCTGGTTCACCGAGGAAAGCTGGAAACGAACCGAAAAGCTCTGGACCGACATCTTACCGGATTATTGCAAGGCGAAATGGGAAGCGGATCAATACCAAACCGCTCTTGCGGCTGTTACAAAGACCAAAAATCCGGAGAGGGAGATTCAGAGCATTAGTTTGAGACCGGGGTTGTTGACTGATGAGCTGGCGACGGGGAAAGTGGCCATGGGACATGTTAAGGCTGCAGAGGGGTCGGTGACGAGGGAGGATGTGGCTGTGGTGGCGGATCGGTTGCTGGCGAGGGATGATGCGGAGGGATGGTTTGATTTGCTTAATGGGGAGGAGCCGATTGATGAGGCGGTGGAGAGGGTTGTGAAGGGGAAGATTGATTCGATTGGGGATGAGGATGTGGAGAATATGATTAGGAAGTTTGATTTGTAAGATATTGATAGTGATTTCGGGTATGAATATATTTCTTCCACTACGTACAACAGAAGTTTGGAAATATTAATACCATCCTATGTAACACGAAACAGTAAATACGTGTATATACCGCCGATACAGACCTAAATACTACAAATGTATGGTTTCGCGTCTGTTCCACTTCCCCGCAAACGCGCCATAGTCATGTTAGCCCTAACTCTACCGTCTGCCCAGTCTTTGTCCCAGATTCGATGAGAGTGCCGACTGGACAATCACAAGATTATGATTGACCCTGTCATTCGATGTAATGCCACTATAAGCTATTCTCGGAGTCGATAGAATTCTCATCCATGGCGTTGATTTTACACTTCTTGCTAAAGATAGAGCTGATAATACAGAGTTATGATTAATCTGCTGCCCAGTGCAACCTATTTATAACATCGCCGTTGCTGAGGGTATGATCAATGTTCGCACTCGCTCTCTAAGAGCCTCGAGTGGTTCTCACGGCTCGGAGGATATCTTATCTGCCGCCGAACTGGACATGCCCTTCTCTGTTCTGATGCTCTATATGACATTCCAAGGTCTGATATAAAAAGTGACTAATAATGGTACAGAATATAATGAAGAACAAAGCAACAACACCCGACCTTCGGTAAAATGTTGATATTGAAACCTTGGTTGCTAATTTGAGGAAATCCTCCGTCCAGGTCAAGATTCTGCGCATAGACCGGTCACCGCTGTAAAAGTCATTCCAAGATCATACTTACCGTTCATCTACCTCTGGGTACACCGCATAGCTATGATGTCGAATGTAACAAATAACTTGGGACTGAGTATCAATACGGTCCCCTCAATGCCCACAATCCCTAAGTAAGGCCTTTGAGATTGGCCGCTATTCTTTGTCCCCTGTTCAACCAGATCTTCACCGAATCTTTGACCAAGTAGCGAAACTCGAAATCGATGGCATACCTCACACTGAAGAAGCATATATTTAGTATAATCAGCCGTTAAAGCAATCAGCAATCCAATGGAATAAGTACGGGGGGGCTGCAAGACTTACTGCCTTATTTATAGCTTCCATATGGAGATGCAAACAGCTAAATTGATCACACACCGATAAATGTACCAACTAAGAATATGTCCTTTCTCAAATCGTTGTCCTTGTCGGAACATTCCATAATCGCTCGAGGAAATCCAGCAAGAAAACGTAGCAGTCATCATAAGTATACGGTCAAGCCCATCAATTAAAGAAACTGCAGATAACAAAGAGGTACGTAGCTAAAAATTGCAGTACTATGTATGGATGGTATACTGCCAGTTTGAGTATACATATGGACTTGGTCTGTAGAAGGTACGAGGAGCCATATCATAGGTTATCTATCAACTAGAGCTTACTTCCTCTACTCGAAGACATCTACAAACAGAAGTCAAATTCCCTATCAGAAACATATTTCGATCTCTAAAATGCGGGAAATATCATCTTCTCTAGTCCAGTGGTCGATAGGATGCTCTTTCTTCTATTTGACATGCCTCGTCATCTATCGACTAGTCTTCCACCCTATCGCACATGTACCCGGTCCAACACTCGCAAAAGTCACGTCTTTATATGAATGGTATTATCTTTGCGACCAATCCGCCTCCAACATGAAAGAGCTGCACGAGAAATACGGTATATAATATATCCGTCCTTGTAGATCTCCATGTTACTGACTCGATCAAGGACCGCTTGTCAGAATTAATCCGGATACTGTCCATCTAGATAATTCGAAATACTTGGATAAAGACAAGGAAACGGATACAGAAGTGAAGACATCGACTATTGTGAAGGGTTTTGGTCATCACTCGGCCGCGGGGTTGCCTTGTGACTTCAGTTTTCAGACAGAATGATTCAATATTGGCGGAGTTAGATTATCGAGTGTTTGGATGGCGTGGAAGCGGCGGTCTCAATTGCTAAGGATATCTCGACACGTTTACTAAGGATCCGTGTTCTGCCCCGGCATGAATCTAAGTCGTGTAAAAAGCTCTTTATCGTTACGGCGAGTGTTTTCAGGCAATTTGCATTTGACCATCGGAGTTGAGGAGTAAAGTTATTGCTTTGATGGGATCTCATTCTTGACGCACAGGCAGTTGTTTCTCCTGGAGATCGGTCAAGAGGGAGCTGGCGCTGCTTTATATCTCTTTTCATCCGGCATATCATGATTGTCTTTTTGTTATGATTTTTTCACGGGACTGCCCGCCATACAGGTAGACGTCGGTACCGCATTGGGCCTAGCGTGATCGTAGCACGGACATCAACTTCGCACGACACGGATCTCAGATAGTTAGCTAGACTTCTCAATATCACTCTCTCTCTAGCCCATCATCATTTCTCATGGTTGATATACCCGGAATACGAGAAATAGCATCTATTATGACACGACAAGACTTTCATGCATATAGAATCTCTTCTAATTTGAGGAGTATGTAAGCTCGAGGTGATCGAACATGGACATGGAAGGATCCGGGGCCGTCTATGTGCATAACAGTTATTACCGTAATAGGAGATTCGGCCATATTTGGCAGTTGTGTCTTGTCAGTAAAACCTACTGCAAATTTGACAATTGCAGATGGTTCCGAGCGGTGGTCTGTATAAGTAAATTGTCGTAATTAGAATGCGTGTTAAGTGGTTTGGTGGTAAGCCCTAATTCAACCGTAACGGTTCGGTATAGAAGATGTTAAGGTTATTCTGACCGTTCTCCGCTGAGAACACGGGACAATTAGAGCCATTACCATATAGAATATGTAGCTAACTGCTGTGTATGCTATATACAACCCAGTTAATTCTCGTTATGTAATCTCGGGGATATGTAGTTACGCATAACATACCCCGCCATATAAGCAGGTTACGTTGGTTTAGGTATGGGCGGCCCGCCTGTCCACCAGCTGAACCACCTGAGCCATCTCTGACCATCTCTCCACATCAACATACGTATCAACATGCCACAAACACAAGACTTATCGGAAATTCTAAAAAATGCTCCATTAGACTTCACTCATTACGAGGGTCTATACAAGTATTTCCACGCCCATCCCGAACTATCACAGCAAGAGAAGAGCACATCTCAAAAGATCGCATCATTTCTCGCTTCACTAGATGCCTATGAAATCCACACAAATATCGGCGGCTATGGCGTCGTAGGCGTCCTAAAAAATGGCACCGGAAAAACCATCCTTTTACGCGCTGATATGGATGCACTCCCCGTCAAGGAACTTACAGGACTCCCCTATGCAAGTTCGGTGACTATGCGAGATGCCGACGGTGTGGAAAAACCCGTTATGCATGCATGCGGACATGATATGCATATAACATGTCTTCTTGCCGCCGCCGAACTTCTGGCGAGTATACAGCATGTCTGGAGCGGAACGTTGATTGTTTTATTTCAACCGGATGAAGAGCGTGGTGGTGGTGCGCAGGCCATGGTTGACGATGGACTTTACGACAAGATCCCTGTTCCGGATTATTGTTTTGGTCAGCATGTGATGCGTATGCGGGCGGGGAGTGTTGGGTCACGGCCTGGAACGATTATGGCTGCTGCTGATAGTCTTAAGATTACGGTTTTTGGGCGTGGTGGGCATGGGTCATTGCCTCATCAGACAGTTGATCCTGCGCTTCTTGCTGCACATATTGTTGTGAGATTGCAGAGTATCGTGAGCAGGGAAATTGACCCGAGTGACCTGGGAGTCGTAACTGTCGGAAGTCTGCAGGCCGGACAGACTGAGAATATCATTGCGGATCGCGCTGAGATTGGGCTTGATTTTAGGACTGTCAAGCTAGAGACTCGACAGAAAATTATAACTGCTATTCGACGTATAGTCGAGGCTGAGTGTATGGCTAGCGGATCGCCGAAACCACCAGTCTTCACGCCAACACGTCGCTTTCCACCGACTCTGAATGATACGGACGTGGCGTCTCGATTAGCTGCTTCTTTTGAGAAACATTTTGAAGATTTTGATGCCGATACGCCGAGAACAAATGTTAGCGAAGACTTTTCTACGCTGGGTACGAGCAAAGGTGTTCCATGTTGTTTTTGGTTCATTGGAGGTATTGATCCGGAACTCTGGGATAGGGTTTTGAAAGCAGAGAATCCCACAGAAGAGATAGCGGGGAACCACTCGGCTCTATTTGCTCCTGTTATACAGCCGACCATGAGAGTTGGGGTGGATGCTCTTTGTATTGCAGCTTTGACTTTTTTGAAAAATTAGGTCTGCTGCTAGCACTAGCCCTAAGTTACTGTTATAGGAAACTTTCGGAACTGAACCATAACCTTCGTAAAAAGAAATAATCTTCTACGCAGTATCAGCCCCTTTCCAAGCCACGATGAGCACCTTTGGACAGTGGTCTGTCGACGCCTTGTAACCATCTCATTGTGGCAAGTCCTAATACTGAGGACGAGTTGATTTCCACTTATTCCTCCAGATATCAACGTAATCAACGTAATTGGTCCAATATTATCACCAAGACCTCGATCCACGCTTCTCACAATATCGGTCTTTTCACCGCATCAAGTTGAATATAGCCGGAAAGGTACAAAACGACTCGATGGAGGAATTAACAAGTAATATCGGGGAGATTACATCACATAGCCAGTCTCCGACCCGGACAGGCGCAAGCTTAAGCTCTTAGCTCTTAAATTGGTAAATGATAATACCAACTAAGCAACTGAGTAAGCTGACATAGCAATCTCCACTACATAACTAGTGTAAGAACCCGGCTGACCATAATTCTTCAAGTACCCAGGCATGCTACTGCCGAAGTGTAAACACCGAAGCTGCTACTAAGAGTACTCAATGGGATGATATTGTTACGATCAGGCCACCGGCAACTGGCTGGAGCTTACCTTTCTTTACGTTGTAGAATATGATACTGTGAATCCGAGAGCACAAAGCCGCTATTAGATCTTCCATGAAAAAGGCAGATCCTATCAGTAATCTCAAAATCTCCCTCAAAATTTCTACTCTTGGTAATTAACTGGCGGGAGAGGTTAAATGCACACCGTTTATAAGATTCGGACACGGTTAAATAGGGCTCGGTTAGGTAAAATAGGCCGAAATTCCGGTAGTTAAGATGGCGTTAAGTTATCTGGGGTCCCCGCATAATTCAATTTGAGATACAGGGTCCATAGCCTACCTGCACAGAAGCTCAAAGCGTTATTGACATTCCGGGGGCCAAAGTTGGGACGAATTTCCAATTGTGACATGTCAATTCAGTGACGACTTGTACCTGTTAAGCAGATACTTCAATGAGAATCAAATTGAGCGGTTTAACCATCTGCGAGGTTTGCTATGGAATGGTTTGGTATTCCTGAATAATCTACCCCTCACCCCATGTCAAGAGTGACGATCCCAAGAACAAACTAAACCGTTTCTTCCAGGTTTCAAAGATGGGCTACATTGCTAAATCCGCGATTTAGCCTAATCATTCATGAGCTAGTCTACAGTCTTCACTGTATAAATTGTAGCAAAGCCTTCATAAGACATGACTCCAGCTACCAGCCTACTATCAGATATCGAATGTTCTATACCTTTTGGTGTAGGTTGAAGAGGAGACAATGATGGGACCTTCCTGGTTCTTTCGAGCTGGTGCTAAAGCACTCCTGTCACTTATAGCAGTATGCACGACTGCCCAGGCATCTACATGCAACGCAAACAGCTCAGCGCCGGCAACGACTTATAATGCATCAGCCAGCTATGTCGGATGTTACCTGGATCCTAGCGTGTCTATCTTAAAGGCAGCGAAGCTTAGCACGATTATCATGACGCCAGAGTATTGTGCCAACTGGTGTGGTGAACGGGGTTTTGCGTATGGAGGTATAGAATTTGGGACGTAAGTGGATTGCTATCTGCCGAGTTGATGTTTGCCGAGTTGATGTTTGCCGAGTTGAGACTGATACATAGAACAGACAATGTTTTTGCGGTACTACGCCTGACTTCAGCTCGGCGACTAAGACAGATGATAGCAGCTGCAATTCGAAATGTGTGACTGAACCGTCCAGCTTGTGCGGAGGGACATATGTGTAAGTCAAATACATCTCAAAGAAATACGTGACTACCGTCGCTGATATTGATAGCATGTCTTTGTATCATATCTCGAATCCCCATGGGAATACAACAAGCACTAGCTTTGTACCCGCCTGCCAAACAGCGCCTCTCTGCAGTCATAAAGTCTGTGATACTTCACTGAGCAGTACCCAGCGAGTAAAATCCCTGATTGATTCCCTGACGCTGGAGGAGAAAATCCTCAATCTTGTCGATGCTTCAGCCGGATCTGAGCGTCTCGGCTTACCATCGTACGAATGGTGGAATGAAGCAACGCACGGAGTCGGCTCTGCACCAGGTGTCCAATTCACCGAAAAACCAGTCAATTTTAGTTATGCCACTAGTTTTCCGGCACCAATCTTGACCGCGGCATCCTTTGATGACGCTCTAGTTCGTGAAATAGCTAGTGTAATCGGCAGGGAAGGACGCGCTTTTGGAAATAACGGGTTTTCTGGGTTTGATTTCTGGGCACCGAATATCAATCCTTTCAGAGATCCTCGGTGGGGGAGAGGACAGGAGACTCCCGGTGAGGATAGTTTTGTTGTGCAGAGCTATATTCGCAATTTCATTCCGGGACTTCAGGGTGATGATCCGGAGGACAAGCAGGTTATAGCTACATGCAAGCACTACGCTGCTTATGACCTGGAAACGGGAAGATACGGAAACGACTATAATCCTACCCAGCAGGATCTGGCTGATTACTTCCTGGCTCCATTCAAGACCTGCGTTCGTGACACCGGAGTAGGGAGCATCATGTGTGCATACAATGCAGTTGACGGCATCCCAACCTGCGCGAGTGAATACCTCCTTGACCAAGTATTGAGAAAACATTGGAATTTCACTGCAGACTACAACTACGTTGTATCTGACTGTGGAGCGGTTACAGATATCTGGCAGTATCACAACTTCACTGATACCGAAGAAGCTGCTGCATCTGTATCTCTCAACGCCGGCGTAGATTTGGAATGTGGTTCTTCGTACCTCAAGCTCAATGAATCACTTGCTGCAAATCAGACCACGGTGCAGGCATTGGATCAAGCGTTAACAAGACTGTACTCGGCATTGTTTACCGTCGGGTTCTTTGACGGTGGGAAGTACACTGCTCTCGGTTTCGCGGATGTTTCGACCCCTGAAGCGCAATCTCTCGCCTACGAAGCTGCGGTCGAAGGCATGACGCTCCTCAAAAATGACAAAAGGCTCCTCCCTATACGTTCCTCGCATAAATACAAGAGTGTGGCATTGATTGGACCTTTCGCAAACGCCACGACTCAGATGCAAGGTGATTATTCTGGTATTCCGCCGTTCTTGATTAGTCCACTGGAAGCGTTCAAAGGCCATGACTGGGAGGTCAACTATGCCATGGGCACAGGAATCAATAATCAGACCACGACTGGATTTGCTTCCGCACTCGCAGCAGCAGAGAAATCGGACTTGGTGATCTACCTAGGCGGCATTGACAACTCCATCGAGGCCGAAACACTGGACCGCACCTCGCTTACTTGGCCTGGAAATCAACTCGACCTCGTCACACAGCTATCGAAACTCCACAAACCTCTAATCGTTGTCCAATTTGGCGGCGGACAGCTCGATGACAGTGCCCTGCTGCAGAATGAAGGAGTCCAAGCTCTGGTTTGGGCCGGATATCCAAGCCAAAGTGGCGGCTCTGCTCTACTAGACGTCCTTCTAGGCAAAAGGTCAATCGCTGGTAGATTGCCGGTCACGCAGTATCCAGCCAGTTATGCCGATCAAGTGAGCATCTTTGATATCAACATTCGTCCTAATGATTCCTATCCTGGACGAACATATAAATGGTACACGGGAATGCCCGTGGTTCCGTTCGGATACGGTCTGCATTACACGAAATTCGAATTTGAATGGGCGCAGACTCTGAATCACGAGTACAATATCCAACAGCTTGTGGCTTCATGCCAGTCCACCGGCCCGATCAGCGACAATACGCCCTTTACTACCGTCAAAGCCCATGTGAAAAACATCGGCCCCGAAGCTTCTGACTACGTCGGCTTGTTATTCCTTTCAAGCCCCGATGCAGGCCCAGCACCACGACCAAATAAATCCCTGGTATCCTACTTGCGTCTCCACAATATCACATCCGGAAGTCAAGGAACATTAGACTTACCTCTCACCCTGGGCTCGATGGCCAGAGCGGATGAAAATGGAAACCTCGTTATATTCCCGGGACATTACAAGATTGCACTGGACGTATCGGACAGCCTGACGTTTGAGTTTTCGTTACGTGGAGATCCGCTAGTAATAGATACACTTCCTGTGCCTGATGCGCATTATGATTTTACGGTTCCGGTTCATATTCAACCTCCATCTACCGAGGCCCATTCCTGATGTCATTGGATTGAGGATAAAGAGCCACACGTTAGGCTGGCACCAGTACTAAAACCTAGAGAAATACAGGAATACTACTAGTTTCAAGGGTACCTACATAATGCCCTAACACGTGGTCTCGGCATGTGTAAAACCCTAATAGCTTGTTTCCGCCGATTTCCAGAGTTCTAGAAATATCTGAGATGCTCGGAATCGTCGGCACGTCTTACGCATCGGGAACCTTGGTAAGGGAGACATCATACGGACCGGCATTTTCTTCAAGGATGATGCTTGTGAATTGCCCACGAAAGCCGGGTCGGCCATTTGCCGGTACCAATCGGACACTAACATCATTATATTCACAAAATGCCCAAACCGGTCTTTGTAGGTTCTAGGATATCAAGTTAAAGGTAGTAGATGGAATAACCGGCGATATTGTAGTACACACAGTAGACAAGTCTGAAGTCAATGACGAAAGAGGTGGAACTACACCCGTCCAACCCATGGAATCATAATACGGGCGTACATTGACCAATCAACCCAGTTCCATGTCGTGCATGCAGCTTGCGAGTTGGGGGCTATCTTGACCACATAGTCGGGTTCGCAACATCGCCATGTGCTCGTTTGTAAATGCAGTGATCAAAACGGGGGCCAAGAAACGAAGTACGTACTCTTCTCAGCCTCAAAGTTATCTTATTTAGGCAAGTGTACGGAAATGCCATACGGACGGAGTACTATGCGTAGTTAGCTCGGAGGTAAGTGACCACATACGTACCTAGGTATACACTAATGATGCAACTCATCTATACTAACGGTGTAGTAAGCTACTCCGAAACTAAATACTAGTGAGGCAGTTTGACCACGCTCGGACAATTAACCACGCTCGGGTCTGATACCCCCATGCCAAGCTGTGCAGCATCAGGTCTGGTGACTGATAGCTGTTCCCTTGTATACGTATTAGATATGCATGGAGTATAACGGATGGAGCGTCTGCTTCGGGCAAATGGATTGGAGCATTTTGTATAAGCTACTATGAGCTACTATGAGCAATATGAGTGATAAGTAGCTCACATGATGTCATCATCTACTTGATAGGGTTTGATGCAGACAATTGCATTGAATTAGATAGGATTTATTATTAGATCATCAGCTGATCATGATAGAGATAGATTAAATTTGTATTGAAATCAAAAGCAAGTCGGAACTAACTGCCGACGGGTATTCCGGATAGACAAAAAGACAACAAGCAAGCAGGAAAGAGAAACACAGAGAAAATCTAATTAGGAAAGAAATAAGGACATGACAGGCGAAAGAATGATATGAGGAACAGGAAGAGAAGAAGTCTATGATTCAGGTCCGGACTTGGCGGCACAGGAACACAACCAATCAGCGGAGCTTTTCGACACTGTTATCGACGAGTCAATGGAATGGATTTATCCTGTTGGATAAAATTGTGGTATGTTTGATTGGCGTGAAAAAAATCAAGTTTTCTCTTTTCTTCTATCACTTTCAAGTTTCGTATACCCCGCTGATCGTGTTTTGATGATATGGGAATCAAGAATCAATTTGGCGCACGGATCGAGTCACATGGTTGGGCTTTTTTGTCATGCCCTCCCGTGCCCTAACTCCCAGTCGGGTCTAGCAGCCAGAGACGAACTGGGATTATCAAATTATCGTGAAACAATGATCAGATGTCGACAATGACAACAGTCATGCGTATGTGATTCCCCCGCAGCGTCAAATAGGCCCCGCAGATTCGTAATGCCGCTCAATCGTTTTGTCTGTGCCGTAGGATGTTGGCGGGCACACCCGATATCGATGTCTTCTTTCTTCGATAGAGAAAAAAAAGGCGTAGACGAATAAATCGCTACCCGATTATTACACATCTATAGATGTCATGTTGTATGAAACCCCGAGACCGAAAAACCGAACCCAAAATGTTTGAAACCGTAGCCGAACCGAGACCAGTAACCCAGATGCAGATGTTGTAAGAAATATCACGTTCTATGCGATTGGTTTGGTTGAAAGTAGAACAGAGCCGGCTGTTTACCCTCTTCTCCGAACCGTTATGACCGTTTGACCGTTAGTCGTATACCGTACCGAAATGTAGTCGAATGCGTCGAATAGGATGGGTAGGTTCGTTTATTTCGGGGTTGGAGGAAGAGGGCCGGTTGGAGGGGGACCGGGACAGGGAGGGAAAGAAGCTTGTGTGTAGGAAGGCATGTTGATTGTGTGAGACAGTACTGAAAGTACGCAGTAGATATGTAGGAATAGTAGAGATAGTTGTCACTTGACGATCTTGAATTGAAGATGGATTGAAGTTACAGATCAAGACCAAGAAACTTTCTAGGAGAAACTCAAGGGTATTTATATCCCATTCCACGAAGAATGCAACACCCTCAAAAAAAATAATAATAATCGACTACTCCGTAGTGAGCTAGTAACTACGTATGTAGTATGGTTACGAGCTAATCAAAAAAGAAATTATCCATCGTTACGGTTTTCCCACTTCACTCCGTAATCCGTATCTGTTAAGTTACCGTAGATTTCTGACAAATTTACCAACCGTCAGCCTTGTTCCATGTGTGAGGCTAAGATCCACTCAGCCTACTCAGCTGGTGTGTAACCCATTCCTCAGCCTGGCTCGTTGAGTCACAGGACTTTTCTTAACATCGGTGCAAAACAGGTAGTAAATCAAGTCATGACGCACTGGTGGATCTAAGCGAGTCGTATGTTAACTTGTTAAGTCGGGGAGTAAGGGTACATCACCATGATCGAAACCCGAAGAAAACCTTTAAAGATCGGATTCTACTCGTGGAATTGAGATACGTACTGTAGACTTATCAAGGCCAAGTGGTATATCAAATATGTCAGATACACTAGTTTAATAAGTGTGCCACTCCAGTGGTATCAGTCGTCGCAGCCGTGCCTTCAAAAAGTCGCAACTTAATAAGGCCGGGGTTGGTTGAGTAAGCAAGCAAATCTGGCCTCTGCGCCATTTCATCTCCATGTTTTTTTTTGATCAGGCTATGGCGCTTTTACAGTTTATACTCTACCGAGTAATTTACAGAACAGAAGATATAGCCTTGTTTGGAGCCAGGCAGCAAGGGTTGGCGGTAAGAAACACGATTCTTCTTCCGGTGTAGTAAGCCCTTATCTCAGGCTTATGCAGACACACAGACACTCTTTTATTTCCATGACAGATCAGGGGCGTATGCAGCTTGTCTGTTTGTCGTTTGGGTAGTTAATCAAACTTTTACTGGTTACGGAACTACGTATCTCGTACTTGACATAAGAGACAGACGTCTTTCAAGAACGGCGATTCCGGGCATACGGCGAAATGGGAATCATGAAGCGAGCCGTCAAAGAACAGCAGCGTACCGGGATGAATCGATCTCTCTCTACATTTCCATGATCAAATTCATTCAAGTAATCAGTAATCTACTTTTCCGCATCAAAGGCGCATTCCCGAGGCCTCCGCGTCCTTTACAATGTTACAACCCCACATGGCCTGAATAACTAGCAGGTCGTAACATAGTTAAGGTTGCCCGTTGAGCACCGCACTTTTGTACACTTGAAACTTGACAGGCAGGATAAAAGGAATAAAGAAAAGAGTTTTCTCTTGTTCGCCGAGTATCCACTGTTGAATGATCCGTAAAAGGGGTATCTCCCCGTTTTTCTGTCTCAACTCAAGTAAAGGATAAGGGTTGGGGCACCCCTTTTATGGAGCCTTCTTTGATCGTTCTTTGAGCCTTCTCCCGTGTAGCCTGTTTGGGTTAGTCGTTCGGTTACTGTATTCGTATTACATTTTTCATACACATTCTGACTTTACATACGATTTCTGTACTTCCTTCTAATAGAATATACTGATTTTTCAACCACTCCTTTCCTCGTTATATTTATACAAGAAGATTAAGATTGACTCATCTAGCAATGTAACTATCAACTCATGGTGAGATACTAGCCGTGGTAAACTACCCAATCACCCGAGACCGATCGATCACAGGCGCTTTTAGTACGTATTACGGAGACTATTATGTCAGGATATCATCTCCCTATCTAACGGCTTAGTTGATTTACCTTGATTATCTGCATGAACAAGGGTATATTCTGCAAATCAGCCGACAATGCAATGCATAGTACACACCCAGCTGAAACGAGTGACACCTGACTGCACATGTTGTATACATGATCTTCGCAATCCCTGTATAACATAGTCCTACCTTGCTTAGTGAAAATGCAAGTTGAAGAATATCCCAAAAAGGAGAAACAAGAAGCGAAGTGAGACTTTAAACAATTAATTAATCTGTTTGTACTCAGTACTCATTAATAATATACGTATGTGGTAATTACAAGGCCCATCACGGCGGGTCTTTAGTGTCGGCCTCATCTTGAAAAGTCACGGGACTTACCGAGGTTCTTCAGCAAGATTCGATGTACGTACGTACCTTGTCGTATGGAGTACAAAGGGGCTCTGAGTGATGACGATCTGTGCAATGTCATGAGATTTGAAACAGAACGGATGCAAAACATATGCCGTCAATTGAGATAATGCCGACTGAGGTATATCAGGCTGCAGCACAGCCACGACCAGCAGACCTGTAGCAGGCTGACGGAAGCTCGTATCGATCAGTGGCTGTACTCGTAGAGTCATAAGCTCAGGCTGCTCCATGATTTTGAGCTCATCTTCCACATGGGAAAAAGGAAAACGTGTTCTTTTGCTTTTACGTTCCCGTGTTTCACATTCGGGTCCCCACGGTTCGTAAGCAATGAGGTTCCGTATTATTCGTTCTGTATGGAGGAATCCTTCCCCGTTTTTTTATTTATTTATTTATTTTTTTTTTGGTTTCGCGTTCAGTTTTCTAGATGGCAATATGATGCATATCTCTCTATCATATGTCTCTCACACGGGGTAGTCCGACTCGATATCTGTTCATTTCACTGCGTACTTCATCAGTATCAAATCATAAATGAAGCTCGAATGATTGGGCCTCAACTACTCCGTACCGTCATCGAATTCTCAATACCGGGCCGATACAAACACATTGCCAAGGAATCCTAGATTCACTTCACACGATCTACAAATGAAATAAATTCTTCAACGGCCCAACCAGAAAAATTCAACATAAAAAAAGTTTTTTTATCGGAAACTAGTAGCCGAAAAGGAGATCTCACCGCTGGTCGGTACCATGGCCCTGGGACATTATTTTCAATTTTCACCGCTCGATCCGTACGTCCTTCTCAGTGCGAAATGTGTATCGATGCCATTCTTCAAGTTCAAGTTACGTGCGCAGCGTATTTACCCTAGGATACGAAATACGCCGTAGTTTCACACCATAAGCAGAACAAAGAAACCAAAAATCTGACCAGTCAGAAAAACATATTGTACTCGGACACTCGAACTACGACAATCCGAGCCGATCGAAATAATTCAAGTCCATCATGCGATCAATCCTGGAGAAACGGAGTAAACAAATCTGCAAACATAATTTGTCATTGACCACAATCCAAAAATGGGATGATTCTAACCTCGGCTGTACGGAGTAAATACCCCCCCCTTTTTTTTTTTTCAGTCGATTTTCTTTTGAATTCGCCACCGGCCAATTTTGTTTGAGTTCTTTAGCTACAGCCCTTATGCAGGTACAAAAAGATAAATTCCATTATGGATACGTACCGCGTTAACGGAGTGCGGAAGTTGCGGGTAAAGTATCCATTTCATCGGGTATCGCATCACGTGAACGGTCGTACCCTAAGAACATGAATGGGCGCTGGGCAACCAATACTGACAGGAAAATGATATTCAGAATATTTGCATCATTTCATTTAGCGCCAAAGTATTTGATGATTGATGATCTTGTCATTGCTCTAAGTGTGTTCGTTCCTGCCAGAGGATTTCTTCTGTGCACGGAAAGCTTTCTCGCAAACGCGTATCGAGGCGCATCAACGGCCAAAAATAATAGCACAAGGACTTCCAAGGTTACAGTTTAGTTCTTACAAGGCTTTAGCTACAAGAGGAACTATAATAATCAACATGTCTTGCTTCCATATACATAGGGCATAATAGATTGTAGCTTGGCAGCTCCATTTGAAGAGATTTAACGTCTGAAAAGCAGTGTTCACCATCCACACTGTAAAAAATGGGTTTGCGGGGGGGATTTCAGTTTCTGTGCTTTTTTCATATTGTCGCTGCCAATTTCGTCCTTGGAAATTATCCTTCCTGTAACCAACCTTGGAAGATATGCTCAAATGATCGAATACGGACTGCATCAGTGGTAGGGGGACGACCGTAAGTAAGCTCAAATCTCCGTAGCGAAAATCATTGATAACTATTCCAAGGTTGTCTGTATCGGTATACGTATATAGAGAGCCAGTAATATCTAGGCTCATATATAGTCACCTCCAGATGTCCTTAGGTAGTTAAGTAGTAAGCACACTCACAGCACACTCTACACAAACTTAGCTTGTGTGTATCTAAGGAACTAAGTTTGCAAACTTGAATGATCGGGAACATCGATAGATTGAGAGGCAGCTAGAGGAGTAGAAGATAGGAAAGAAGAAATGAGATAAGAACTGCTGATACCCAGGACGAGCCCCTATAAGCGTCATCCGGTCCATTGTAGAGCTTCCAGTATGGCATCGCAGATACCAGGGAAGACAAGGAAGCAGGAAGCATTGCACGTACAATGATGGAACAAAGGAAAATAGAAATGAGCCACTAAATAGAGCAAGCAACATAAGGAAACAAGAAATACAAGAATATAGAAAGTAGTCATCTCGAGCACTGAGAGCTGTAGGGTTGGAGAGAAAAGTGAACCCTAAAAGTGTCAAGATGATTCTAACGAAACTCAACCTCAAGCAGTCTCGGCAACTTTCTTGGCTCCCTTCTTACCCTTCTTGCCTTTCTTGCCCTTCTTCTTTCCTTTCTTGGCCCTATCCTCAAGAACATTTTCTTCGACTTCAGGCTCAGCCTCAGCAGATCGGGCGTCAAGTTCTCCGGCTTCGTCAGCCTCTTGAAGATCGAGCTCTTCAGCTTCAGGAGAAGCCTCGCGCTTGGTGACTTCGGCCTCATCGTCTGCTTCAGGAGAGTCAACTTCGCCATTTTCTTCGGCTGCATCGTCTCGCTTGGTAGCTTCGGCTACTTTCTTGGCTCCTTTCTTTCCCTTTTTGCCCTTCTTACCCTTCTTCTTTCCTTTCTTGGCCTTGTCCTCAACGTTTTCGTTGACTTCGGGTTCAGCTTCGGGTGAGCGAGCTTCAAGTTCTCCAGCTTCTTCAGTAGAGTCAAGTTCCTCGTCCTCAGCTGCGTTTCGTCTTGTCACTTCAGCTGCCTTCTTGGCTCCCTTCTTGCCCTTCTTTCCCTTCTTTCCCTTCTTCTTTCCCTTCTTGGCCCTGTCTTCAAGGACGTTTTCCTCGACTTCAGGCTCAGGTTCGGCGGATCTGGCGTCAAGCTCTGCAGCATCTTCGGTTGAAGCGTCGAGCTCTTCGGCATCCTCGGCAGTCTCGCGTTTGGTAACTTCAGCTGCTTTCTTGGCTCCTTTCTTTCCCTTTTTGCCCTTCTTTCCCTTCTTCTTTCCCTTCTTGGCCTTGTCTTCGACAACATTTGGCTGAACTTCGGGTTCAGGCTCAGTGGCTCGAGCCTCAAGGTCAAGCTCCTCGTCTTCTTCGGCTGCCTCTCGTTTGGAGACTTCGGCTACCTTCTTGGCTCCTTTCTTTCCCTTTTTTCCTTTCTTGCCCTTCTTCTTGCCCTTGGCCTTGTCCTCAACGGCATTTTCTTTAACCTCAGGCTCAGCGTCAGCGGCCTGGACAGCGCGTCCGACGTGCTTGGAACCTTTGGCTTTTGCTGCCTTTTTGGCTGCAATCTGGGCTTCGGTGTGGTGACGAGCTTCGAGGGGAGCAGTAAGCTGGGCCCATCTGCTGGCTAAAGTAGAGACAGAGCCCTATATAATTCAAATATGAGCAAATGTTTCCTTGTTATTAGAATGAGAAGGCTAACTTACGACGTATTTCTTCTCAAGCTCATTGCTCTCGGTCTCAGGTTGGAAAGCAAGGGCGTTCGAGGCCAACAGGCTCAGGATGAATGCTTTGGACACGGTGACACGCATGATGAAGTCGAAGAGGTAATTATTAGGGGTTTTGGGTTTTTATGAACGAATGAATAAACTTAATGATTGATAGAATAGAACTGACCAGCAGTAGTACAAAGAATGAATTGAACGACAAAAGTACTGACCAGCAGTGGTGCAAATGCAAGAATTGAATGTGTAGTGAGATGGTTGAAGGAAAAGAAAAGGGCAGTATTACTCTACAGGTGACTCCCCTTTATATATTGAACGAATTTCGACAAATTAGGCATATTGACAGAATCACAACGACGTTAAACTTTGCGTGCTGTCTCGTATACCAGCTGTTTCTGTTTGCGCCCTTCAACTCCTGTCTCACATCAATTCATATGATACTCAACTGCAAGTATTAAGACTTAGGAAATCGAAAAACGCCACCTATCAAGCTGGTTCCTCAACCGTTTCAACTGATAAATACTAGAGGACTAGTTTAGCAGTCAAGCTTTTCTCAAGTGAAATGTAATAATGCCTTGTTAAGGCTCTTTCCGGCCCTTGCGTCCTTCTATTAAACTGGTTCCAGAACTGTCTCAATGGCTAAATAAAGTAATAAAGTATCGGTCAAGCTTTTTAGGGGTGGAAATATTAATACTTTTTATACATCTTTTTGGAGTTTTACCGAACAGATTAAGGAGCCTCAACGGATTTCATGTTCATTGATTGACCACTAAGAGTTCATGAGGTATGTTGCATGGCGCAATTCCCGAGGAAGTGGCGCTCCCCCAGATGTCTCAATGTCTCATCCTCAGTCAATTGGAAATTCCCGCCTTTTGAATCCTGGAATGGTTGGATCGGGCACCGCTTTTGGATATAACTCATCGTATGTTATTACTCAGATCGTCAGGACCGGTTAGGTACAACGACGTGGAGGCGGCTTGTTCGGCGAGTCACTTCAGAGCTGTTGGTAGGACCGCACCAAAAGCGTAACTCGTGCCGCAGCAGATTGATTAAAGAGGGCTGAATCAGCGAATTTAGGTGAGGCTCCCGAATTGATCATGATTAATCGTCACAGACTGGACTCATCAGCTGAAAAGATTCGAACTTGAAGCAGCTTTGACCATAAGGGGTCTCTGCACAGTCCTTTTATTTCTTTTGGAGGCTTTTCATACCGCCCATCCACGTTCTTGAGTCTGCACGAGCCAGAACCCGTCACAATATCAAAGATATTCTACAGTAGTATTCTGAAACTAATAGGCTAAGCTTTGCTCTACCATTCTTGGCATCTTGGCCGTCAGCAGGGGCCAACTGTGTGAACGTCTCATGTTTCTTAGTGTTGTTGCTCGCTGTTTACTACATTCCCCCCCCTTTTTTTTCTAGGTACTGTTCCCTTCGCATGTTTGCGCGAGCAATAACTTGAAATTCTTCTCCCCCTCTTCTTAATTCAAGGTCCTCACGAGCACATCGCCTATTGTTCTTCCCGCAATTTGCCAGTCCGCTTGTTCTTTTCTTGGGTCTAGTTTTTCAAGCCATCTCTTGTTAGTTTTTGTACTTAGGTACGTTCCCGAGCCAGTTTCTTGCAATACAGCCACATATTGTCTCTTTCCATTCGCAGTACCTAGATCACCAAGTTACATTATTTTTATTATTATGCTGTCCCGTTCCCACTATGTCCAATTAGGCTCATCTGGGCTATTTAGCGGATGCTTGTTGAGGGAAAACATGGATAAGAACGCTCCTCTGTATGAAGCCTGTGCAGTCGTATGTCACGTTTGCGGAGCCTAGAGTCAGGTGACCCTGATCTTGAGATAAGAAGTTTTCCAGTGCTTTTTTCGATGGTTCGGCCTGCAGATCGCACACTCTAGAAAGCTCCTTATATCGAGCTCAGGCTGGACCGACTCAAGGTCACGCAAACCTGGCATCCAACTGCACAGCACGGGTAGCTTTCGACGAACATGTGTAAGATACATACCCGTTCCAAGAAATGACATCTCGTTCTGTTATATTCTGGTTCTTATGCCGTGTCAAAGTAGGACCTGGCCATTTATCGGATGATTTTTACCACGGAAACAAACCAGAACACATTCGACACATTCAGGTTCCGGTGATTTGAACAATCGTATCCAATCGGACGCCAAAAACGGGGTGACTTGCACCCGAAGGCTATATTGCTGTTTGATTTTGTCGATTCCCGAAGCAACCGTCATTCAGCTCCTTCTTTACAGCTCCATCATTGGCACATGCAGATTGGCGATTCGAATGGGTTAGATTTCATAAGAGGCAAGTTGCCGCCTTTCATGATCCCCAGAAGGACGCCAGGCACGGGAATTCGGGGAGTGAGAGCTCTGCCACGAAGGTTGGCCGTGATCATGCAAGTAAAATCTGCTCAAATGGAGTCAGACGGGTTCTCAAAGATGACAGGAGACCAAGCGTACCAATAGCAACAGCGATTGCAATGAACATGGTGTGTATTTCTCGGAAATTAAAACTGTCTTGACGTTGGTAGATGGTAGTGGACACGGACAAGCCATATATCCTGACCGAACGAGAACGACAACACTTCAGCGATACCGCGCAAGATATTCGTCATGACTGTAAACCTTAAGTACAAGGACGACACGATCCCCGTGAAGCAGCGTAGATCATGACATAGATGAGCATAGCTAACCATGGGAACTGGCTCCATTCTCATCTATGTCATAATCCACGATGCACAGCGCGAACCGCGTCTGCCTGTTCTTTAAGAACCAAATCGACGGATACTCCTTGAGCATAGGCGTAGGAGCAGTTCATATCAATTGATCCCTTAAAATGGCAGCAGACTGTTTCTCCATCGCTTGATACGTCTTCAACCCTTCGGATTCACAAACAATATGTGCTAATTTAGCAATCGAAAGTACACAAGACCTCTTGACGAACAATGCAATGTATACTGACTACTTGACCCCGACTATCTTACAAGATCCGACCGAAGTACGCAAATCCCCGATTGAGTTCACCGACCTAGTCATTCGCACTTATTCATGATCGTACACGGTCCCGATTCAAGGATATATTAGGGCTTGGTAGAAATAGAAGTTAGCAGAGCAAATGACAGACAGCTCAGATAAATTGTTCAATTCGGGTTTCAATACTTCGGCCAAATTCGCAATTAATTCATAACCGAGGCCAAAGTAGTCAAGACACTTCGCATCGCTGGAGCAAAAGTAAAGAGGAACGAAAATAAGGAGGTGATCATGAGACAAGCCACCAATTTTCAGTGGATCCAGTCAGCGGTGTGACAACCTAAGCACAATTTGACTTTGTACTACGGTCAGGGCTAGGGCTAGGGCTAAACCCGAGGGTTGTGCCGGGACATAACCCCATCTTACTAGATTAAACTAGAGGGATTGCGGTACCAAGGTGAGCCAAGGAGAATCTTTCCGGAGAGACGCTGATTGCATGTGATACTTTAAGCTCGGCTAGTTAACCGCCGAATGTGACTCCTCCCTTGCCTTTCTTTTTCATATGACTATTCATATGAATCTCATACGATTGCGACCACGACAACGGAAGGGCTTCCAGTCGAGCACATCTTATCCAGTTTGCAGGCCTAACAAGAGCAGATGGCGATCCCGGAACAAATAATTGAGCCTCTTGACATTCAACCCGCCCCTTACACAGAACCCAAATATCCAACAGGCTCTAAGTTTTGGTGCACCGTCCTTGCATTATGTATGGTTATGATTCTAGGAGGTTTAGACGCCAATATAGTCGCTACGGCTGTGCCGAGCATCACCAACCACTTCCACACTGTTGCTGATGTGGGATGGTACTCATCCGCATTTCGACTCTGTACCTGCGCATTTCAATTCGGGTTTGCGAAGCTGTATAAACATTTCTCCATCAAAATCATCTTCTTGTTAAGCAATTTCATTTCCCTCGTTGGCTCCTTACTCTGTGCCACAGCTACTTCGTCGACTATGTTCATTGTAGGGAGAGCGGTTACGGGTCTGGGGTTCTCAGGGGGTTTGGCTGGGTGTTTTGCCGTCGTAACGCATATCCTACCCCTCAACAAGAGGCCGGTGTTTGCGGGTTCGATGGCATGTGTGGAATCACTTGCCATAATTTCGGCACCTATAGTAGGTGGTGCATTGACGCAGTCTCTGGGATGGAGGTGGTGCTTCTGGTATCCAGCCTCATACGATCGAGATAGCTTACAACTGACCTTTTTCACAGGATCAATCTCCCTATTGGTGGTGTATCGCTGGTGATCCTACTTTTGCTTTTCTCGGATCCAAGAAGTAGGGAAGAGGATGACCTCACATTCGCTGAAAAGATCAGAGAGATCGATCTCGTCAGCAATTGCCTATGCATCCCATCTTTAACAGCACTTTTCCTTGCCCTATCTTGGGCTGGAACGAAATATCCTTGGTCAGATGGGAAAGTGGTTGCATTATTCATTATCTTTGCTGTTCTACTCGCCGCTTTTCTCTTCAATCAATACCGACGCGGAGACTCGGCAGCACTCCCTTTTCGTATTATTAAAAACCGAAACGTCATTGCTGGCTTCGTCTTCACGGCGTGCACTAACTCTATGACGAACGTCTTGGAGTGGTACTTGCCAACGTACTATCAAGTCGTTCGATGCCATGTATTATTTCTTGGCCGGTGTTTGACTACAGTATACTGATTTTTCATCCTCTAGACCCCAAGCGAGAGCGGCTACCTGATGATCCCCATCCTTGTTGGAATGATGCTCGGTCTCTTACTCCAAGGTATCGGCACTACGATTTTCGGCTACTACGCTCCCTTCATGATCTTCGCTTCCATGTGTATGCCAGTTGCCGCGGGTTTGATGACAACATACGATTTGCACTCGCCCCTAGCGAAAATCATCTTATATTCCGGATTTGTAGGCTTCAGTGGAGGCATTGGCTTCCAAGGCCCCCAGGCGGCTATGCAGACGACATTAAGTACCACAGACGTCAACCTTGGGATCGGGGTCATATTATTCGGACAGAGCATCGGTCCGGCCGTGTTTATAGCTATTGCACAGGTGATATTCACGAATAAATTGTCGTCAAGTTTGGAAAATGTTATACCTGGTTTGTCACCTCCTTATATCGAACAACATGGACTTGGCGATATTAAGAACGGGGTTCCTGCGCAGCAATTGGATGAGGTTTTGAGAGGTATCGATCGGAGCTTGACGCATACTTGGTACCTCCCTGTGGCTTTGGCTTGCACGACGACGGTGGGGAGCCTCTTGATTGAGTGGCGCTCGGTCAAACAGAAACAGTCGTGAAGGGAGGCACGAAACAAGAATTCGGATATACAAGTTTGAAGATAACCCTGTCTTTAGCAGTAAATCTGGTACCCAGTCAAACGATATTAGACCTTGGACTCTCATATACTATATGCTTTTTGCTTTACTTGCCATAGTAAGAGGTTCTCCTGTAGTACCGGTATTGAGAGCCTTCAGAAAGTGTGATTTGACCCTCATGTCCGACCTGCGTCAGCAGGAGCTAATTTCAATCTCTGGAGCACTGCCAACGAGACCATGGATCTCTTTCCTAATATACTTACCCATATTACCTATATCTGGACTGCAACATCTCCCTTTGCGCCACATAGGATTGACCGTTCATAGGACACTTGCTGTACCAAGAAACGAAAATAGATGTAAAAGTGAACTAGCGAGGCAGTCGTACAAAGATTGGCTTTCAAAAAATGTTTATATACGAAGGAATATCTTCATCTAGCTATGCTGCACAGCAACAGCATGTAATATTCACTCTAACGGCCTACTGCCATTTTTCATGAGGTACGGAATCAGACCAGCACAGGTAGATCATTCGATTCCAGGGTAAACGGGGGAATACTGGGCCCTAAGCAGTTTTCTGCAAATTGGTGAACAGTCTCTTCTGACTTGAGTTTCGACTCTGATATGGCGGCTGCCGGAATTAATCTCGTGGAGATTTTGGGAAACTAGAGGATTCTTACCAGCCATTATATAGGCCTGCGAATTCATCGACTTTGATATCATGAAATGGTCGAATAATATGTTGAACGTGTGGTAATGATTGAACCCAGTTTCCAACCCAGTAGCTAACTAATTAATGTACCACTTCCCCGCTAGTATTTGGCCTGCTGTTGGGTTTTCCGATACTAAGACAGTCGTGATGGTATCTGAGAAGTGGATGTTGTGTCGTGAACTCAACATCGTTCTTGTCGTCCAAACTGTGTTCTCGCCTTCTCGAGGTCCCTCTTTTGGGCCTTGGTGAGTGTAATATCCTCCAAAAATTCAAAGAATGGCGCGAAAGTGTTGGGCCAGTCTCTGGCGTATTACCGCTCATTGCTTAACTGTAATATTCTGACAGAATCTAGTGAATTCTTCTGGCTTTTTTAGGATGGGGAAGTGTGCTCTTAGTAAGGCGAATTGATCAGGGAGAATCTCGGATTTGGGTTTGGGATGTCTCGTAATATAGTTTAGTGGATGCGAGCGGTGCTGGAGACCAAAGTCAAACGTTGACCATAGGTCATCTTTTGAGATCAAAAATGTCACGCGAGGAATTTGGCCATCTAGACAGAGCTTGTAGAACCCCAGTGGTGCAAGTCGAGTCTTCAAAAACAATTGTACATGGCTTGTTGTTGACAAAGTTCTTGATGTCCGAGTGCGATGCATCCTTCGACCCAGAGGTACCGTCTTCCATGTATTCCGTCATTTGAGAGCATTGTTCCATCAAGAGGAAGTTGCAGTGACGTTACATTAGACGTGCCTAGACCACCAGTAAATCGTGCATAGAGCCTCTTGCTCTCAGCTATCATCATGAAGCTGCAGGCGGAGATTGAATTCATGGGTTGATGATATCGGAGTGCAAACGTCGAGACTGTGATCCAGAGATGCATTATACCCATAGCAATGGGTGTGTCAAAGTATATATAGAGAGAGATAGAAGAGGAGAGGGCAGTAAGTTGCAGAATAAATTACAGAGATTGTCTAGGGGAAGAAATGAGCTCAGTTTGCCCGTGACGCGCCGGCAATTGTGTCATGCTGTTTGACCTGTTAGACTAGCCTTTTTGGGCACCGTGAAAGGTTAGTAATTTTCGACAAACCTCTAAGCGGCAATCATGATAGGGCGCAAAGAAGACAGCTTTGTCTGTGGCTGAAAGACTCATGGAGGTTGAAATGTTCAGCATGTTGAGATGATGCTTGGTTTTCCTGATTCAGACACCGCTGAGTCTGGTTGACGAATTCCATGAGCCAGACCATGTCAATAACTAAGGTTATTGGAGGGGGATATGCTGCTGTCCACCGTGGGCGATGTTATAGTCGGTGAAAAGGTCTGTCTCCATGGCGCGTCTATCGATTCGTGTGGAACATTTGAGCAATGCTGGGTAGATAACTTTATCCCTTGTAGATATCGCATGCTATGACGTCCAGCGACCTATTCCGGTCTAAGATAGACGAGCATCCAACAAAATGCTTCGTACAACAAATGCTGTCGACACTATAACTTGCAAGCTGACGAAACCAGTCTAATCCTCATCAAGGCCCGGCTGCATCTGCGTCCCAATCCACTCCTCCATCAGAGCCTGTCCAGAAGCAACCGCCCCAGAACCACCAGCTCCTCCTTTACGACTCTTATGACCCTTTCGCGTCACAAGCAGACACAAAACCCATCCCCAAATACTGAATCCCTCGTAACTTGTCGTAAGTTGAAGCTTTTTGTCATTGATATTATCCGTAGTCTCTGCTGCAGCATTCCCAGTCCGTTTTTCTGTATCTGAGTCTTCTGAATCAGCTACCTCGGGTATATCACTCATATTGATCCCCGTTCGAGGGTTATCTTCATCATCACTTTCCACGAGAATTTCCGTCGTCGCTGATCCGGTGAGTATATTCGAGTTACTCTTTATCCTCTCTCGATTCCCAAACGTCTTCTGCTTCGTAAGTAGCGAATGTCTTGTCCCAGACTCGCGCAGGAATATCGCGACTTCGAAATCCTCTATCAACCACCATCATTAACTCAAAAGAACACCCATCAAGGAACGGGACAAGAAATACCCTCAACCAAAACATCCTTAACCGGATTACTCTTCTTCTTCGCTAAAGCGCGCTCATTCTCCTCCCGCAGTTTAGGTAACACATGCGGTTTGATAGTATTAAATATTCGCGGTAGGACCGGATCTCGAGAAGTGGTGTCTAGCAGCCAGCGCGTATCAGCCGGGTTTTCGAGGAAGATGCGACATTCTAGGACGGAGTATTTGCTGATTCGGAGGTAGCGTCTTATGGGGGCCATGGTTATATTCTCCCCAACAGAGATTGAATTATTCACATGAGGAGAGCTGAGTCTAGAGAAATGACGGACGTCGTTTCTGTCAAGCTTCATTTTCTGGAAATGACGCAGTGCAAATGCGGAGGCACGTGATTATGGATTAAGGATTTTAATTCTTTGGGACTAGTGCGGCTCTACTAGGTACGGAGCTTAGGGTTGGAGAGAGTGAACCCTAACATATACGTTGCAGTGACTCCGTACTGGGTCGTTTGTAATTACTCCGTATATGCTCCTCAATTGGCAATTGCTTCAGCAAGAATAATTGGAAGACGGGGGTTCAGAAATGGCAATTCATCGGTGTGATCAGAGGCGCATGAGCTCATTATCCCATATAAAATTCCTCAGCGCGAGAGGGAAAAGAGCCAATCGGTGATCAAAGGTCGACTTGACTTGAGGTGAATGTTTCAGCACAATCAGTAGCGACTGAACTAGTCGTGTCTATCCTAAACCATCCCCTTGACCAAGTTCAGGGCAGGTTTCAAGGATGCACGTACCCTGGCTTAGGTTCGAATCTGGGGATAAGTCGCAAAAAAGGGGGCTAATCCTATCATATTAGCACTGATCAAAGTCAGACGGAACTAAGCTTTTAGGTATGCTAACTATGCCAGGCTGCTTCGTATTTCGTAAACAACAATTGCGCCTCAATTCAAAGGTTCATGTCTCTGCATGCTACGTACGCACTGCCCAGTTAGCTACATTTACCATACCAATATGCGCGTACACCTCTATCTAGCAGATTGCCAACTAAATTGCTCTTTGTCGAGGAAGCTGACGTGATCGTCACTAACTAACATAACTATTGTCTTCAATAGCGAAGCCCCTCGAGTCTTGACATTCAGGGGTCCAGCCAGGCAATACTTTCTCTTTACGAAGCAACCGCTAGTATATCCAATTGGTCTTATCCTTTTGTAGAATGCGTAGGAACATAAACTTTGGCCTGATTGGCTAGTTACTTGGCGGGATGGTCAAGCGCAATGGGCTGAGCAAGCATGTTTCAGAGTCAGACATTCTATATTCGGGGCTTTTGTCGTCGACTATCAAAGCGCTTAGGGGATTATTGGTTCAGAGTTACTCTCCTGCTTGCCTATAGTAATGCTTCTCTAATTATGTTTGGCTATGTTTGGATCAAAGATGAATGGTTTAGACAAGAATGCAATAACAGTTAAATCAATTGACAATATCCAAATGTATATACAAGAAGGTATCGAAAGAGATTTTTTTTTTGTGTTTCCAAATCAATTGCTACATGCAAGTATATAACATATCGAATGTAAATAATCCAAAGACGGTTTGTACTTCGTCGGTAGAGCTCACGCCGTTCGGTGTCATGCTACTTGCAGATAGACATAGAAACAAAAAAAAAGGTAAAATATGTAGCGGAGAAAAGAAAAAAAAAGATCAAAGGATATCCAAATTTCTAAACAGTTTAACCGCTGTAGTTGAGGACAGCAGTCAAAGCAACAGGGCCAGGGGCGATGTTACCACCGATACCGCCAATATCAGCCTGAGCATTGCGGTAGGCGTTGTTGACAGCACCGAGGCCGGTGGTGATGGAAGAAGTCTGGCCGGCACCGGAGATGAGGAGACCAGGGAAGTCAGAGATACCAGCGATATCAGCCTCAATGGAAGAGACATCAAAACCGGACCAGCCGTTGTTGTTGGCATCGGCGAAGTCGAACTCGCCCCAGAAACCGAGGACAATTCCGTCCTGGGCGTTCTTGGGAATAGAGCTGCTGGAAGGATAACCGATGAAACCACCCTGAGAGTCGACATCGACGGCAACGTAGGCGTTGGAACCGGGAGAAACAGTGACGGTCAAGGGGAAGTCGGGGCCGAAGAAGCCAGTGAGAGCATGGTTGGCATCGCACTTGTTCCAGAAGATAACGTTAAAGTCCTCGGTGAGCTTGGATCCGTCAAGAGTGATGGTGTAGTCGTAGCTGCTCAACTCGGACTTGGAGATTTCGATGATGTTGGAGCCGTAAGGATTGCCGTGGTTACCGCAGTAGGTGGAGCCAGAGCCTTGGGGAGCAGTGGTAGCACCGAAGCCAGTGGCAGAGGCAGTCTTGGAGGCGGAGGTTGAGGTAGGGTCAGAGGAAGGCTTGGCGGCTTCAGCGACGTTCTTTGCAGTGCCAACAGCAGCAGCGGCGGCTTTTACGGTGGTGGCAGCAGGAGCGTTAGCGTTAGCAGCGCTAGTTGCGCCGGCCCAGGTGTTTTCCCACGAGACAGTCTGGCCGTCAATGACGGCGGTGACCCAGTCGCCGACAGCGCGCTCTTGGTGTTGGTGGTGACGGCGTTCGTGACCGTGGATACGGGCAGAAGCACTGCTGGCAGTGAGGGCCGTCAGCAAGACGAGGGAGTTCTTGAACTGCATTTTGTTGGATCGGTTGTTTCGATTGATTGATTGATTGATTGAGTGATTGATTAATTGAGTGATGGAATCGAGAACCGAATGGAAGGCTGGGATATAAGGAGCGTGTGTTTCAAGGAGTGACAGTGTCTAAAATAGACTTGAAAGAAAGAATCCCTTCAGGGAGAAAGCGAGAGTGGGAATGCGAAGTTAATATATGGGGGAGAAGGAGCGCGAGAGAATTTTCAGCGGGCGCGCAGGAAGGAACGGGGGGATTAATAAAGGGTGGACACTGGGAAGGAGCAAAAGGAAGGGAAAGAGCAGGCTAGGCCCAAAGAAGCAATGACTAACGACACGCTAACCCAGGCCTTCATTTCCCGGTCAGGAACCGCCCTATGATTGGCGGACTTGCAGCTGCGATGTGGGTCCACTAATAGATCCAGACTTCCTGAAAGAGCGACCGCTCGCCATTGGCTGTGCTGACTGTGTTTCACCTTCACGAATCACTTTTGGCAGACTTACGTGGTCTGTCGACTCCATCGCATTAGCGCTGTACTATGTACGATCATCGTGTAGTGGCTTGGGGTCCTTTTTATCATTGGTGGCTGTGCTGGTACCTGAGTCTAGACTGTCTATTGGTTCGGATGGCCAATGGTTGGGTGGTGGCTATCGACGCTCGTGAGTCTCCGGACCGGGCTTCCATTGACGCTGTTTCGTCTGGATCTAGAAACAATTAAGAGCGGTATTGTGTCCCCCTCCCGTTTTTCGTGATGATGACTGAGTCTCTGCTGCTGGCTTAATGTTCTGCTGATGAATTTGGGTTCGCCGAGTAAGTTTGATCCGGCCGTCGTCCGTCCCGTCACCCCGTCGCCCCGTCGCCATCGCATTACGCGATCTTTACCGCAGCCACGCAATTCGTGTCCGGCTCAGTCTGTGGTTGTGTCCCCGGCTGTGAATATACAAATACGGTCACTACAGCGACTACACCAGTTACTTTCTACGCTACTAGGATCGATGATACTAGAGGCCCAACCAGACCGCGCTGACTGTCGGTCGTGTCGCTCCGGCAGGAGCTATGAGAACAACATACGGAGTACAAGAAATCTTACACGACGAAATCCATCGACATGTGAACTGAGATCGGAATTGCGGAGCGCCGTGCCTATATAGTACGTACAACGTCGATGAGCCACTGTCCTTTCGCCACATGGTAATGATTATGCCCAAACTCGGATGTTCTCATTCCTGGTGACATCAATCCGACCTTTGTCACGCACGTGGTCCACTGATAGCAGACTTATCTGTGAGCATGAGCCTGACCAGCTCAGGCTTGTATGACATCAACCCGAGTGGCCATGTACAACACCCCCTCAGCAGATAGCAGAGTCACATAGTACCAACTGACCGACTCCCTACTCTCGGCAACGATATGTTGGTAATGATGACTTCTGCGAAGATACAGAGCAGTAACTAACTAACCTAAGTTCTGAACAGTCGATCTGACTCATCTCTTGGCCCTTCCGATTTAATTTTATGCGTTGACCTTACTTTATTAATTACGCAAGATCTTGCCGGTCCGAACAATACTACGTAGTACGTATGCTTCGCAATGCGGCAGCATGGGCCTCTTTCTGCCCTATCTTATGCAGGATGTACCTGATCGGCATCTGCCGCCCCTAGGAACACAACACCACATGTATAGTTGCGGACACTACAGAGTACGTACTTACTTTTTGCACACCGCACAACCCCGTACCACCTGATAGGCTTCAATGCGGCATTTTTGTTTATTGACGATTTACGGTATTTGCATAGCTGATGACTAACCAATTCTCCGACGTGGTTCGCCCCGAGCCGCAACCACGATGTCGAGTTGGTCGGTTCGTGTCATGTGATACGCAAAGCCCTAATATAGAACCCTACCCTCAGCCCTAACCGTAACCGCTCGTAAGATTTATCGTACGTACAATAACGATCTCTTAGAATTAGATTATGCGTAGTACGGAGTACGTAGTGTATACCCACTTTGAGTCATGTTTGATCTTGATCGACTTGGGTGCGATCAAGCCTCTGCTTCTAGAACTTCGATGTGGATTTACAACAGTCTTGGCTTCATTTCAGAATTTTCACATCTGCAGAGATGCTCCGTTGTGGCGAGTAGATGTATAATCCTATTTCGTAAGACGTTTGCCTTGTGGATCTACGTAGTAGTACGATTTTATTGTCTTTTCTTTGCGACGAAGATTTAAATTTTCTGCGGCCTCATAATTAAGGCACAGATATTTTTACTAAAAACGGTTAGCTTATTCCCCGCGGCCCATTTCCGTGCCGCCACTCAGCGGCTAGTTCAACTCTAGACTTCTCCAACAGCTCCATCATCAAATCAGTCACCTAACACCAGTCATTCTCTTGATAGTTCGCGCTCAATAAAAAAAAAGACTATGGCACGATCCGCCATCGTGCAAGAGTACGACACTCCCCCCACCACGCGCTCCGTAACCTTCAGCGTCGACCAAAAAACCAACTACGAGCGTCTACACAATGGCATCACACGTCCCAAGGGCTACACAGTCTCTTACCACGCCAACCCAGCCGTCGAAGCGCACCATTTCGGGTCTTCTCATCCCATGAAACCATGGCGTTTGGTGCTGACCAAAGAACTCGTCCTCGCCTACGGAATGCATCACGCCATGGACCTATATCTCAGTCGTGCAGCAACATTCGAAGAAATGGCCGAGTTTCATACAGAGGACTATCTCGAGTTTTTGAGACAGGTTATCCCCGCTGATATGGAGGCCGCGGAACAATCGGATCGGATTGCGAGTTATAATATTGGAGATGATTGTCCGATTTTTGATGGGTTGTTTAATTATTGTTCGCTTTATGCGGGCGGGACGGTGGATGCGGCGAGGAAGTTGGTCAATAATCAGGCGGATATCGCGATTAATTGGTCGGGGGGTTTGCATCATGCGAAAAAGACGGAGGCGAGTGGGTTTTGTTATGTGAATGATATCGTTTTGGGGATTTTACAATTACTTCGTTTCCATCCGCGCGTCATGTACATCGATATCGACGTTCATCACGGCGACGGCGTAGAACAAGCGTTCTGGTCAACCGATCGCGTGCTGACGGTCTCATTTCATAAATACGACAAGGACAACTTCTTCCCCGGCACCGGCGCACTCGACAGCAACGGCCCATCTCACCCTCTAAACCCCGGTTCGCGCCACGCCATCAACGTACCTCTCAACGATGGCATCGAGGACGGCGATTATCTCCAACTCTTCAAAGCCGTAATTAGTTCCTGCGTTGAAACCTACAATCCAGGCGCAATCGTCCTACAATGCGGTGCCGATAGTCTGGGTTGCGATCGACTGGGTTGTTTCAATCTCAACGTCACGGGTCACGGCGCCTGCGTCGCATACACCAAGACATTAGGTCTACCCATGCTCGTCGTCGGGGGTGGAGGCTACACACCACGCAACGTATCTCGCGCCTGGGCCCACGAAACATCCATCCTAATCGATGCCGCCGATAAAATCGACCCAAATATCCCGGACACAGTCACATTCCGCAACCAATTCGCTCCCGATTACAGCCTCTTCCCACCGTTAAGCGAAATGCGAAAAATCGAAAATAAAAACTCAAAACAATACCTCAATAATCTTGTTGCGACTATTCGTGAACAACTTCGATATATGCAAGGGGCACCCAGTGTACAAATGAGTTTTGTGCCGCCGGATATTCTGGGGCTGAGGGAGGAAGTGGAGAAGGAGCTTGAAGAGCAGAAGGAGGACATGGATGAGGAGAAGGGGGAGAGGGAGCAAGGGATTAGATCTTCGGCGGGTGCGTCGTTGTCGCCGGGGGAGGCTGCGTCGAGGGTGTCGAGGAGGGAGTTGGAGAGGGGGGTAGGGACGAGGGGGGAGTTGTCTGCTTGATTTGTATTTTTATAGGTATGGTTTTGTATGGGATACGGCGCATTTGGTTTTGCGTTATTGTATATAGGGGATGGCGTCTCTGCTTACTACTTGTATTATATTTTGAGACTTGCGCAATTAGAGGATTTGATTGGACAGATTTACAGGTTCTTATTAGAAAGAATAAGGGTTTAACCAATTGATTCAAACTAAACATCCACAATATTAGTTTAATCCTATCTATTTCTCCTCCGCATCAACAAATACATCCACCTCATCTGTCGAAGAATCCACCCTCTTCACCGGATGCGGATCATGACTTGCCTGCGACGATGTCAATGACCCAGGTTGCAACGGAGCCATTAGTCCCGACGAAGTATCATTACCCAGTAAATCATGCGATGCCCCCGAGGCTGGCTTTGCGGCTGGCGCGCCAGAGGTCATATCATCGCCGAAATCGATGAGATCGCCGCCGTGGGATTGGGCATAAGATTTTGTGGATGTGGATGTTATAGATGGTTGGTTGTAATGGGTGTGGAGTTCTGTGGATGCTTTTTGACCGGGGATGATGGGTGCGATGGCGAGGATTTGTTTGTGCGCTTTTTGGATGTCGTTGGCATTACTGTTCCTGTTAGTACCTACACCCGAATTTTGTGGTTTTTTCTTCTTCTTTTCTCTTTTTTCAAAGTTGATAATGGCCTACATTTCAGCATGGATTATCCAGTCGAGATCTTCTTCACCCTCCTCGGATCCTCCAGGTCCCCCGCGGACGGCACGGAACAGTTTTGGATGCCATTCTACGTTTCCTTCGGCTCGTTTTGCTGCTTCTTCACGCTGTTGGTCTTCGATCTTGGTCTTTTCTGTCGTGGCTACTTCATGGTTTCTTGCATTCAATCCTTGGATAGTGCTGTACCATAGCCTTTGAGACTCTCGTTCGGACTGGTCCTCGAGTGGTCGTGTTTTTGGAGGGGTGTGTTTGGCGCGGGTTGCATTGAACAAAAGCTCCTTCTTTCCTGTCTTTTTTTTTTAAAAAAAAAAGTCAATTTATTATTCACCACCATTTACGGAGGGACATACTGCAACGTTCTTCAAATACATCTCGCCATTCCACAGACCCGATAGCTCATAGTATACTTCACCCGTCTGGTCATTCTTGATCGTTCCAGCAATAGCATTGTATGTACCGGAGAAGTAGCCTTTTGTTTTGAATTCAACGTCGCACACGAGATGGTTCTCAGGACATTTGATAAAGCTGTGATCTCCCAGTTCGTATTTCATCTTTCCGAAGAGAATACCTCGCGCATACATGTTAGGCTGTGTTAGGATGCTATCGCATGTTAGTCTTTAACTTTGGATGGGGGTTGTGATATTCACATACTATCGCTCGCCTTTGGCCGGATTCAAGCCGCGGTTCAATAGCCGTAATATTGCAATACCTTCCATAAGACTGGCAGCCGAGTTTCCAAGAAATTTACTGCGCGGCTTCAGAGTACCGTCTATCCTGATATGATGCTCCGGGGCCATAAAGAAATAGCTAGATTTCGGCGGGTGATGGGACGTTTGTTCTGAGATGTAATAGCCTCGAGTGCCATCGTCATAGTCCCAGTAACACGTGAAAACCTCGCCGAGAATCGGGTTCAGCGGTTTCTTCACTCCTCTACAATTCGAATTAGTTGGTATATCTTGTCGTTGCGAGTTTGGAAAATGACGTACGGAGGTTTAATGTGCCATCCACTCAAGTAGAATTTGACCACCGATACGAAACGCTCCAGAGGGTCTTCGATAGTCGGCATGGGTAGGAGTGTTTCCGGATGTGCCATGAAGCTGTAGCCATAGTCAGTACGCATGCAGTATTCTTCTCCCCGCAGACATACTTTGTAATTCGTTCCAGCATGGACCGCGGCTCGAGAATGAACGTGGGGAGAGTAACACGACTCAGGTCGGCTCCGGGTCGAAGTTGCGAAATGATATGAGAGAGGACTGTTTAATCGTATCCATCAGCCTATGTTTCTGTCGTTAAAGTGCCTGCTGGTGATGTTCCTACCATTGCCCTGCTCCGGTTCAACAACGGTCTCGTCTTCGGCTTCATTATCGGAGGACTTGTTGCCTGTCGGAAATAACAGTCAATACTCGTTCAACCCGGAGAATATAGATTTTCTGCCGCAGAGAGGATGCATATTGTGTAAGCTTACTCAGAGACGAGCGGCGGTGTGAGTGGACGTGGGGAAGCGGCATGGCTGACTGCTATCTGAATCGCACACAATTCACTGACTCCTCGGTGTGGTCGGATCGCTGCCTCTGCGTTGTATAACAGATCCCGATATGAGTCCGATATAATCCAGCAGGTTGTTTCAGCAAATTTTTTGTTGTCAGCAAGTGGACAGCTATATGCGGGATGCGGATTGGCGTCAAAACACACAGCCCCTCCGGGAAAAAAAGAAGAGACAGATCCGAGAGCTTAAATTTGTAGGGCAGAAAGAGTCGGCGTATTCTGCTTGACTTGTCGGCAACACTGTCGAAGAAAGGGTCAAATTGGATATACACAGATCCAGTCCTCGAGATATGGTTAGTTATAGAAAACGGTGGTTAATAATAATAGTCAGGGTAAGGTGAAATGACGTTGGGGGAGATAAAATGTGGTCGTGCTCCTTCCCGCAGCCTTATGACGACGTTGCCAACGTGACCTTCGTCTTTTCTTCTTCTTCGTCCTCGTCTCCTTCTCCTTCATTCCTCCTTTTCTTTTTCTCTTCACCACCAGGCGACGATGTCAGGCAGCCATATTCAGAGATATATCGACTAACCCTTCAAGTACTAACACCCAGCTCTATCATTCGTGGCCATCTCTCCGACCTCCCGAATCCCCCACCTTATTGCGTCTCTCTTAGCTGTCAGCACAGATTGATCTGATCTAACTAACTAATCCCTAGCTACATGAGCCAAGTCTTCTTCCATGACCGCGTGTGACTGTATTACCGGATCATTCGCTGAGGAACAAGTGTTCACGCGCCAAGCTGTCTGGAATCGAGCACACTCCACTCCCCGCTTGTTTCAGATCAGCGTTTATAACTACGGATTTACGTAGATGCCTTTGGCCGGTTGAAGGGTTTCGGTCTTCTTTTACAGTGAAAATATTGATGTATTCTTCTATATGCTAATGGGAACAACAGTCGAAACCAGCTGGCTATGAGAAACAGAAGATGTGGATGGCAAGGCTAAAGAGCTCTTCCCTGCGTCATCTTTTCCACCAAAGGAACATCCCCATTAGTGATTTCCTCGATGAATTCCGGATCTGGATTATTCAACATGACGTGGAAATGCTCAATCGCATGTATAGACTTGAGAGACTTCCAATTCTTGAACCATACAATCTGCATGAAACAATTCAGCGTTACCACACACCTACTTTCACTTTCTGAGAAATGGAACTAACCTGATCAGCCGGCATACGAGACCGAAAGACTCTGTCCACATAATCATCAATCTTCTTCCACATGGACTCCGTCAAAAGACCGGTACCAGGATCTTCTTCAAGCTCAAACTTGGTCCAGATGACTAGATGAACGATCCCTTTCTCGAGACCGTACGGCCAGTCATTGTACAGGATCTTGAGATCATCTGTACCCGCTCTTAGCAAGACCAATTTCAACAGAAGGAGGAACGAATATACCATCATATTTAAACGGTTCACCCGTCGGTTTCAGGTCGGTTTGATCCCAATGTAATCGCTCAGCAAGCACAAACTCCATAATCGAGCCGTATTTCTGCTTAAGATGAAACATATACTCCAAATATCTCCTCAGATCAGACGGTAGACGCTGAAACTTTCCAATATCATTCGTTCCTGCCCTTTATTCAGTCCAACAGTCTCACTAAAAAAGGGGGTGTAAATACGAACGAACTAACTCCTTAACCCTCTCCCATCCAATCCATTGATACTCCTCGTCCGGTGTAGCCAGTATACTGATATTCTTATCAGATTGTCCCTTGAGGAACGCGGGACATGATGATGGCCATTGGTCGCGCGGTACATTGACTAGCCAGTATGGTAAGGGTTTGTGGTGGATGGTGGTAGGTAAGACTGATTCTGTGGTGGCTGTGGTGGTATCTGATAGTTTTTCATCGATAGCTGCGAATATCTCGGCGGACATTTTTCTGTCTCCGTCAAAGAGAGTGTATTTTCTCGTGTCTGGGTATATAGTGACTATTTGTTTTGTTTTTTTTTTTTTAAAGAAAGAGATAGGAGAGAAGCGGTATGTTGTCCATCTCCGGTATGGCTAGACGATTTGGTGGGGGGGTTAGAGTTACTTCTTATCGGCGATAAGTTACATTGTCTATGCCTGACATTCTCCCACGATAATACGAGATGGACACAAGTATTACCAAAAGTTGATAACAACATCATACACTCATTAATAATATCCGAGCTATATGAGAGTCCACGAACAATCACGTAGCGCATTCCCTGGAGGGTCATAGAAACTTGGCTCAGCCATAAAATCACGCTCAACGCTAGCAATAACAATCAGAAATAAAATCAAGACCTCACTCTCCCAACCTCTGGCCCATCACTCTTCACAACCTTAACCCCGACCTCCTCAAACTCTTTAAGGGCCTGCTTCCACCCCTCCCCCGGATCTACCGACTTGACCGCATCCTCAACAACAAAACTCCTAAACCCAGCCCTCGCAGCATCAATAGCCGTATACTTGACACAATAATCGCCCGCAAGACCCACGACAAACACATCCGTGACGTTTCGCTGCTTCAGGGTCGCGGTGACATCTACGTCGACCGAACTTTTGAATAGCGAGGGGTCCATGTTCTGAAACGCGTCGCTGAAGACGGAGTACATTTCAACCCTTGTATCCATCCCCTTCTTCGCGAGGATATCTAATTTATCTGCTACGATTTCAGGGATAATTTCTGCTCCTGGTGTAGATGCAACGCAATGAACAGGCCAGAGACGTTGTGGTTTCGTTTCGTTCTGTTTCCCGGGTGCGGGGTTGGTCATTTCAATGTATGATTCGAATGGGTCGTTGTTTGGGGGTGGATGGTTAGAAGCGAAAGAAATGTGGTCTTGGGGATGCCAGTCTTGGGTCCCGATGCGGATTTTGAAGGCGGGGAGGGAGAGGAGGGTGTTGATTAGGGGCGCGATTGTGCGGCCTCCTTGGACGGCGAGAGAGCCGTTCTGTTTATTTCGATGTTAGTTGATGTAGTCATTGTGTGAAGAGTGATTGGGACGTACTGGTGGACAAAAGTCCTCTTGCATGTCTACCACGATCAAGGCGGGGACGAATGTGGTTTCAGCCTGTGAAGCCATCGTAGGTGTTGTATTAATTTGTATTTTCTTGATACTGCAGATGGAAGTAGGAGGTGGACAGTGTAGAAGAATGAGGGGGAGGTGAGGAGGTGGGACGGAGATAGGACAGCCCCGGTAGTCAACGTCTCATACAATATTAGAGCTAGGCTTATGGAACATTGATTCATGTGACCAAGTAGAATCGATAGAATATCTATGGGTTATCAAAACCACGATAAAGTCCACAACGCAGGCAAATGAGGATACTGTTCCTGCCACGCAGCAAGAATCTCCGGCACTCTCTCATCAAAGCTGTGTCTCGCTTCACTAGGACCCCTATCCCAAGCATGAGGATCATCATACAACCGACGCTCCTCATTAGCCGCGGCATTCAACCTATCAGCCAAATCACGTATAGCTTTCCCTCCCAATAAGGCTTCTTCATGATTATCACGAATATCAACATTAAACACATGAACGGGGCGATTCAAGGGTGATCCTCTATTGAGTAGATCATCGACAACCGCGTCCCAGCATCTCTCTTCACAGGTGATTATAACATCAACGACGCCCGCCTCAGTGCCCAGACTACCCTTGTCGCCCTTGGCAATATGGTCGAGACGTGGTTGGCCCGGTACCCAATTCTGGAATCGCTCCGGACCCCATTTAAGATTCCGGTTTCGGTCAAGCATGTTGAGAATCCCATTATTGCGATACAGTCGCTGATCCTTATTATAAAGATCCTCATACATATGATTATACGATGTAGAGTCAAAGTTGAATACATTAGGTTGCGTGATCGAAGGACCCGGTAAACGCACTAATGATCCCGTGCCGAACGAGATGACTGGATACGAACCAGACGAAAGTTGGTAGTGTGCCTCCATGGATCGATTGTTGTTTGATGCACAGACAGTGCAGAATTTGAGTTTGTATGAAGGTTCTGCTTTTCCTTCTGCGATAGTAGAAGCTGGCGCGGAGCCATCGTCGCGCGTCTGGATGGTCGGTTGAGACGCGTCGGGGAGATCTGCTTCTGTTGTAGGTAGGTTCTCGGGGTTAGCTGAGACTGCCGTCTCGAGCTGAGGATCCGCGGCCATTTTGGTAAGATGATTCGGTAGTTGATGTTGCTTTACAGCACAAGACTCGATGTCAAGGAGGATGAAAGGGTGGAAAACCGGAACTCACAGAGCCCTGTTCCCTTGGAAGATATATTAGCATATCAAACATATGCGGATAGTGTATTGCCAACAAGAAAGCGAAATAGAGGTCAGGAAAAGTTGTTTGCGTATAATAAAAGCTATCAGCATTGCAAAGCTAAGACAGCTCCAATAATATATTCATCACGAAGTCATGAAGATAGTGTAGTAAAAGGATAATACATACCATGCAAGGAATTCTCATTTCTCACACCATTACCTCCAACCAGAATTGCCGCGCACAGGTAGTGTCGGCGGGCTGGTAGGACGTTTGATGAGAGAGCTTGGAAGAAGAAGAGACGGGAAGTTTTCGCTTGTGGTTTTCCGCTTGATGGACGCTATGCCTAATTAAGATGGACGATTGATGTAGGGTTAGGGTTTTGTCCATAACTCCAAGGATGAAGGCCTTGATTGATATCAACTCTTCAAGTCAAGACGACACATGTGGACGATAGTCGGGTATCATCTCAAACCACGTCTCTCATAATAACCCACTCTCTGGGAAAGAAATTCCAAGACTGTTGATGTCATCTATATCAAAGCTGCTCAACAGCAGCGTTGCAAGAGACCTTTAATACGTATGGAGTCAGACGCACTGCATCTAACAGATCAATACGCATTATTATCGACGCATCTGACAAGATGAATAAGCACCCCATACTATATTGGTTCGCCCCCGAACAGCTGAACCCTTTTTGCGGGGAGAGCTATCCTGTCACATGCCGAGGTTGTCAGCTGTCATAACCGGCTCATCCCCAGACTTATATCAGGCCATAGTTCAACCACGCAAAGTTAAATCACTACTGCATCTACGAGTTGAACGTAGTAATATATCATAATGGAACCATCAAGCTCAACAAAAGGCTTCTTCCAACTCAAACCCACCATTCCACCTCAATACCTCGAAGACCGCGCCCTCCTACGCATCATCTCTCTATACCTCCCCACGCCACTCCCATCCACAATCTCCTCAGACCTCCTCCGCTTTTCAAAGCTCGTACTCTCAAAACCCGTTCTGGGTTACATAGCAGACGCAGAGAAGAATCTTCCCTATCTCAAACCTCTTACTTCATTCGGGGAGGAGAATAGGGATGATCCGTTGGTTACCAGTGAGGGGTGGAGGAGGTTACAAGAGATTGGTATAGAAGAGGGTATAGTGGCGCTTGCCTATGAGAAGAACAGCAACGGAGAAAAGGCGGGGTGGAATCCTCGGATTCATCAATTTGTGAAATATCATATTTGGAGTGGGAGTTCGGCTATAGTTACTTGTCCCAGCGCAATGACCGATGGCGCGGCAAAGCTTCTGGGAAAGCATTTACATGATGACCCTGAAACTAATGAAATATTTGCGCATGCTAGGGAGAGATTGATCAGTCGTCAGAATGGATTTGCATGGACGAGTGGACAATGGATGACAGAACGCAAAGGCGGAAGTGATGTTCGCGGTACTGAGACTATTGCCGTCAAGCTCAACGACGCAACGGACGGATACGATACAAACGGACAACCCTTGGGACCATGGCGAATCGACGGATTCAAATGGTTCTCTTCCGCGACAGATGCGAACATGACCATCCTGTTAGCCAAGACGGGCGGTGGAAGTGATCGTAAAGATAGCCAGATCAGCGCGTTCTACGCCCCGTTGAGGCGACGAGCCAACGGCTCAGACGAAAACCAGACAGAGTTGAATGGTATCCGAATCCAGCGGCTGAAGAATAAACTCGGTACAAAGACCTTACCCACCGCTGAACTAGAGTTAAAAGGTATGCGCGGCTATCTGATTGGCAAGGAAGGTCAAGGCGTCAAAGAAATCTCTCACATATTGAACATCACGCGCATGCAGAATATTATTTCGGCTGTGGGTGCGTATGGACGAGGGTTAGCAATTAGTCGAGCATTCGCGCGAGTCAGGAGTGTCAGCGGGAAACTCCTCTCCGATGTATCAGCGCACGTCCGGGGTTTGGCACAGGAACATGTTAATTATACGGCTCATATGCATTTATCATATTTCATTGCTGCTCTACTCGGTCGTTCGGAGGGATTTGAGCCTGGGGACGATACATCTGCCGCTACATCATCAGGGATCCTCCCAAAAACCATGGAAGAAATAAACGCACTCTACCGCCTCCTCACACCAATCGCCAAAGCCCAAACGGCGCTCAGCGCAATCAGCGGCCTAAGATCCTGCATGGAATCTTTGGGAGGAGTCGGATATCTCGAAAACGAAGACCCCGATCTAAACATCGCGCGACTCTTTCGCGATGCAAACGTCCTCGCAATCTGGGAGGGGACGACGGATGTCATGGCCGATGACTTTGTGCGCGTCGTAAAGAGGGGGAAAGATGGGATGAAAATTCTAGCTGTCTTTGAAGGATGGGTTGGAAATTCCTTGCGTGTCGCGGAAGGGGCTGGTTTGAAGGCTGAAGCGGCGAAACTGAAAAATACGGCGGAACGCGTGCTGATGGATTTACGCGGAAAGGAGAAAGAGGAACTGGCTTGGAGGGGAAGAGAGTATTTGCGTGATTTGGATTGGTTGGTTTGTGGGTGTTTGTTGATTCATGATGCGGTTAGGGATGGGGATGGGGTTGCTGGAGAGGTTATGATGAGGTGGATTCATGGAGGAACTTCGAGGGATTGGAGGGAAGAAAGTGTTTGGGATCGGAAGATTGTTTTTGGTGATGAGGTTGTTTCTGCTAAATTGTGATACGCTAACCCAGATATGATGATTAAGTAGTCATTTTCTAATATAATGTACCAATATGGATGCTGCTGTCAAGTAAAGGAAAGAAAAGAAAAGAAACAGAAACGCCAATCTATGTGAAATCGTCCTCTTTCGAGTAACAATCAGAACTTCAAATCACAAAGCCTCGCTTCATCGATCGATATTTATATGTGCATGGTCAAAACATTCCTTATCGTCAGCATTTCATTTACTAGCTGTAGTCATACTCAATCCCACTTTACTTCGTGCAGCAGCAGCACCTACAGCGGCTGAGACAGGAGTCGAAGAGCGTGTTGGCGCTGCACTGCGGTTATGTGCCATGTGTGCTTTGACGAGATGCCCAGCCGCAAGAGCAGCGCATAGACTGAGTTCACCGGCCAAGACGCCAGCGGCGACGATGCGAGCTAATTGACGTGCATTTTCACCGGGGTTGGTGGGATGGGGGCCTCGGACACCAAGCATTTCGAGCATGGCGGATTGAGCTTCGAGGATGGTACCGCCTCCGATTGTGCCGACTTCGATGGATGGCATGGATACGGAGATGTGAAGGTTTCCATCAAGACTAAATAATGTTAGTTAAGTATGTGAATCAAAGACAAGGAGAGAGAGAACATACTTCTTCATAAGTGTGATACAGTTACTGCTCTCCACATTCTGGGCAGGATCTTGTCCCGTAGCCAGGAAGATAGCAGTAACAATGTTAGAAGCATGGGCATTAAATCCACCAAGACTGCCAGCCATGGCACTTCCGACCAGATTCTTACTGATATTGAGTTCCACCATGGCGTCGACACTACTCTTCAAAACAGACTTGACAATATCACCGGGAATGATGGCTTCGGCGACAACGGATTTACCACGACCATCAATCCAGTTAATAGCAGCGGCCTTTTTGTCTGTACAGTAGTTGGCGGACAGAGAAATAGTGTTCATATCCTCAAATCCACACTGGGTTGCCATCACTTCAAGTGCCTTCTCAACACCCTTGGAGATCATGTTCATTCCCATGGCGTCACCGGTTGTGGTTTTGAATCGGATATAAAGATTGGTACCGGCCAAAGCGGTCTTGAGGTTTTGAAGGCGGGCAAAGCGGCTGGTCGAATCGAAGGCGGCCTTCATAATGCTTGCTCCCTCTTCAGAATCAAGCCAGTTCTTGGCCTCGGCAGCGCGAGCAAGTGTAGGGAAGCTAACACCAGGGCCACGAGTCATACCATCACCGTGTACCACGGTAATCGCACCACCACCGGCATTAATAGCCTTAGCACCTCGACTGGTACTGGCGACCAAGACACCTTCAGTAGTAGCCATAGGGATGAAGTAGCTTTGTCCGTCAATCACCATCGGTCCAGCAACACCAAGAGGCAAGGGCAGGTATCCAATGACGTTTTCACAGCATGCTCCATGGACAAGCGTATAGTTGTAGTGCTTGTACGGCACGAGTGATGTTTCCAGACTGCTGGCGACAGCTGAGGTAGCAGGAGTTCGTGAAACGACAGCTCGGCGAATCTTGACAGCTCGAACGAAAGCGTCTTCACGAGACATAATAGGCTGATCGGTCATAGTCTTCTCAAGAGCATAACCAGGGACTTTACCGCGTAACGACAGTTCAATGAGTTCTTCATCATTCAACAAGGATGCCTTCTTCTCCTTCACCATAGCCTCGGCTTCTTCCTTGGATCGCTTCTTGCCATCATCTCTGTATTCAACAAGGACCTTGGGGGTCTCAACAACAGGAGGAGCTCTCGGAGCTTCAGCCTCGGGCTCTTTAATACCCCATCGGGCGGCATTGAACAGGTAACCGTTGAGCACAATGCTGAGTGTCAAAGCTGCAATGATCCATTTGCTAATGACAGGATCCTCGACGCTCCTCAAGAGACTTTCCAAGACCTTTCCACCAACAGCGTCCAGGATCTGTTCAGAGTATTCGATATCAAATTTGCCTGCGTGATCGGCGCCTGCGTAGTGAACGGATGGGTACTCGAGCTTGTACTTGATGGGTGGCAGGACGGTAACTAGAGTTTCCATCTTGTTGCCCTTTGCAGTCACATAAACAGAGTCCAAACCGTTATCTGCAACCTTGAAGGGATCAATAGGAGCCGAAGAAAGTACGTTAGAGAACCTTGATAGCACAGGAAGAGAGCTTTCCTGATCGGGTTGTCTGAAACCAATCGACACAAGGTTAATCACGTTGACTAGCGCAAATCCTCCAACCATGAAGAGCTTGAACTTGGAAACGCTGCCGGCCTGGTCCTTTTTGCCAAATAGTTTTGTGTTACCAGCCTTGCTGTTGCGCGACTCGGCCCGTGGCCAGTCGTTGCTGGCAGCCACATTCTCTGCGACCTGTCGAGAAACACCATCTTCTTCAAGGGCTTTGCGGATCGACACATGTCGCTTGATACGGTTGACTTCTTGTTTGATTAGGAGAATTGCGGTATAGAAGGTGAACAAAAGAACGCAGTCGAAGAACAGGATCCAGGCGGCAAGGAAGCAGAATTGGCGAAGACCACCGTGTACTCCCGAGACTGCGCCGATAACCAGAGCGGTGATCTCAATGAGGTAGTCTCGAACGATGCCAAAACCCTCTTCCTTGATAGCAGCCTCAATTGAGTCTTGGATAGACCGGGAGGAGCGACTGTTACCGTTGGCGACGGCCTTGTTCTTCAAGGATGCTGACAATACTGCTTTGGTGAGAAGTGTAGGCTTTTCAAAGCCAACAGTGACAACCAAGAAGGGTAGACCTTCGGACAGGAGCAACATATTAATCGAAACACCAAGCTTAGTGGTGACCAAGAGACCGAACAAGAAGGCAAACACGCTAGAGAGGAGAACAGAGAAGGCAAGCCAGAACTGGGAGCCCAGTCGTCTCATTGAAAGGAAGAGCGACACAAAGGTGAGATGCATGGAGATGTAGCCCAATGTCATGATCACAATGTCAATCGTTTCGGCATGCTGCATAAGTTAGTTGATTCCTCGTCACGAAGACATGGGCGACACATACCTTGATCAAATCTACCAAGGAGCTCCAAGCGTCGGAGACATAAAGCTTCAAAGCACGACGAGAACCCTGTCCACGGGCAGCTTTCATAATCCACTTACGAGCCTCGCGTCCATCGTTTTCGGTTGACGGGTCGTTGATTTCCTGTACCGCTCGCAACAAATCGGGCAGTTCGTCGTACGGGACCGTGAGAGCGACAGACGAGTCACGCAAGAAGGAAGAAAAGAGGTTAGGAGTTTGAGGCACGTGGATAGCAGATACATTTGCCGGAATGGAAATGTCGTCGTTGGCAGGAGTATTGGCCTGGGTTGAATCGGAAAAGACAAAAGTAGCCAATGCCAAGTGCTGCGCAATCTATATCAATCAGCACATAGAAACCCAAAAATCGAATATAGACAAACCTCGCTTGGATCAGAGGCCACTTTATCCTCCAACTGCCATCTCCATGCAGTCTGTTCTCCAAGACGCAAATTACGACTGCCGTGCAACAAGGAGGCAGGATCTAGCGGCCCCGATCCGCCTTTGGCGTCAAAGATGCTACCTTCGAGAAGACCGACATAGGTGGTGCTGGCAAGCAGAGCGATAACGCCAATGGTATGGATGGGATGAGCACAGGCACGACGGGCCACAGCTTGTAGCGCGCTAGTAACCCTATTCTTCAACCAGCTGGGCTCGGACGCTTCCTCCTGGGGATTTGCGCGAAACTGTCGGGGGATCAAGGAAGCCATTGCGGTTGATTTTGTTCAAGTGGCGAATGTACCCTTGAACCTCCGCTCACACAACGCCGAGTGTATGTTATAAGTCGGAGGGGAGATATTCGAGTGTTTTGGGATTTACCACTGGTCCGACATGGAGAGAAAAGGAAGTTGCAGTATCAGTCGAGGGTTCTTGCAGGTATATCGAGGAACTAGTTGAGAGGCGCGCGTCAGCCTTCACACCGCCAGAAAGGTCAATTGAATTGACGGAAGTAGCATTACAACAACAATTGAGCAACACATAGATATATAATCCTGGAAAGATAGGCATAATGATTGTCGATGCTGTCTGCATTCTGCTCTTTCCAAGGCGGTTGTGTGTAGGTACCCCGATCATCGGATCAGAGATAGGGGAAGGTAACTCACATTCTTCAAAAACCAGCGAAATGGCACAACCACGAGCAACACACACACACACACAAACACACACACACAAAGGTAAGGCTACTTTGATGAAAAGCAAGCCGAGTTGTATGAAGACTCTGGAATGTTGAAGCAGAAAGACAAGACAACAAGCAGAGCGCAGAGGGAGGAGAACCAAGGGAAAAGGGTAGCCTGGGGATTATGTTCGTTATTTTCGGGGCACCAACCAGCGGCTTTTTTTGTTTGTTCCTTTTTGGGGTAAGCGCGGAATGGCTTAGCTTAGGTCGGACTCCGGTAGAACCAACACTGAGCATAGGAGGATTTGTTTTATTATTATCATTAATCATGTATGTTTTAATAATATACTATCTATTCCATTCCTGCAATGACTGAGCATTAGTTGGCTGCAGATACGGGTCTACCTAACGACTATTGTCTACGCGATCAAAGTGACTTTACAAGTGTGTCATTGTGATCACTGGTCAGCGATCGTCCAACTATGAATTCATTCTACGACTGTATCCAGGGTCTGTGTGTCAATATCATCAGATTTCTACCATGATGAAATAATCGGGCATGCCGTCGTCGGACATCGGCCATTCTTCAGCAACAAGCTTATTCCCTCCAGCCTATGAGGAGCATATCGTATATGCATCAGATCAGAGCGATAAGGCTGGTGGGGCAATATACATCTGCTGAGTAGAATCGACAGCAGAACATCCTACCTGACTTCCTGATTAGAATACGTTTGTCTATCCTCGATATACGCCATTCCAACCAGGCTTTCCAGACCTCAAAACAACAAAAGACAGAGAACAATGTAGTTCCATTCATCTTGTTTTCCTGGTTTGACCCTGGCCACAAGGCGGTCAGAGTGTTTTTTTTTTTTGTTGGCCCGGATGGTCTAGTACTATTTGGGGCTAGTCAACCTCGATGTTTCCTACACAGGATTAGCGTTGAGGAGATCGCGCACTAACCATAAAAGGAATGTCCGGCTTGATTCATCTTTCAAGCATTGTAAGCATTGTTCCTCTTCTTCTGCCAGACGCATGCGGGGCATATACTCTGGGAAATCCCCGGGCACGAAGCCGTCCACGTAGGAGACTACTTTGTTCAGCTGAATCGAGGCCCGATGGAGGTCGGGAAATGACAAAGAGAATCATGGGGGCGATGTCAATGACAGACTTGTGTGCTACGTCAAGATCCTTAGCAAGTCGAGATTGATTTGTTCTCGGCTGCATGAGCTTCTTTCAGGTCTGACCTGATGGAGGTTATTGCGAACAGCTTGGGTTATATGTCTGAGTATCCCGCATATAACTACTTAGTACTGATCTCACCTTTGTCAAAAGACTCAAAACATGGTGTTGTATTGGAATCTGACCGTGTGACCTTTTTATGCTCAAGTCAGCAAGTCAATCTCCCTACAGGCGGTAGTCTGGATAACGTTACTTAGTATTACCTCCGCTGAGTAAGCGATATTTATAGTTAACTTATCGGACACTGTACATAGTATATCCAGTCCAAGATGCATTGTCCCAGATTCTTATTGAGACAAGCATTTGATTGGCTGGGAGTGCTTATCAATGCAATCGCCCGATGGTCCTGACCAATCAGGGAATATATTGTATGTCTATTCATCAATGGCATGAATAACAAGACACAACAAATTCACACAATCAATAACTAGAAAATCCTGGCACTGTTGAATGACACATTTATTAGAGAGTCATAAATATAGCCTACTGAGTAGAATGAGTATCTACATAGTATGACTGCAATACTGACTCTTCAAGGTGATTCGTCTATGTGTCCGCGGGAGCTTTCACGGCAAATTCCAGCCAGTCATACATAGTATTTCAAGTGTCTAGAAATAGTGAACAAATCAAAAGACCAATAACCCCATGTCCTCCATAGAGCGAAACATGGTCTGTGCCAGATCTGAAACGAGCGGCTACTAGCGTCAAGCAGATTATCAGATTGTTTGATGCCGTCCTCCACGTTTTGTCTCCACTCTCCATTTCTTATGTTCTATTTTTCTGACTGATAGGACGTCGTTTGACTCAAGCCAAGAGCTAAGCTTTTCTTGCTCTCTATTCAAAATGCCATTGCCTCTCCCTGGCGCGTATGCCATATCCAATCATCTCGTTTACGGAGATTGGATATGCAACCGTCAGGTCGAGGCCAGGGCTATTCAGATGACCTCCCACAACTTGACAATAATAGGCAGTCATGATCAATTGTATCATGTTCATATTCATTCGCTCTATTCGCCATGCTCATGGCAATATCGACTCACAATAGTAACAATGACCCACCAAAGCGTATGACTGGGTTCTATTCTGATAGGACTTTTCCATCTTCACGCAATATCGTCGAGGTAGATATTTTCTGCAATTTACCTACTTCTCTCGCTCGTGTCAGGATTTCTTTATCTTTCTTAGGATCTCGCATTCTTTCATCTTCCTGGCAGTCTCTCTTTCTCTTTCTTTCTCTTCCTTCTCGACAACTACATCGAGATATCTGCTGGTTAAGATATCTCTCCATTCACTCTTTGCACTCCCTTCCAAGGCTCGACAACACGCCTATACAGTCGATAAAATGATGCAGGCCATCAACCGCTCCATCGTGCTGGTCATGATCCTACTCTCCTCCCTAGCCCAAGCACACAGCTGGGTCGAAGAAATGACCCTCGTCTCCCCCGACGGCAAATTCACAGGCAAAGTCGGTTATCCACGAGGCATGATACTACGCACTGACCCCGGTTTCAGCGATCCACTGATGCAATACCAACTCCCACCTCAAGGAGAACAGCTCAGTGCCAGTACATACATTTGCAGAGAATCCCAGCGAACTTCCAACTATACCGACAAACTGCCCAGACTAGCGGCCTATCCCGGCGCAGCAGTCGCGTTACGGTATCAGGAAAATGGACACGTGACTACACCGTGGTCGAAGGCCGGGAAACCTCAAAATAGTGGTATTGTGTACGTCTACGGCACGGAACGACCCAAAGAGGACGACCATTTACTTGATATTTACAAGAAATGGACCCTAGACGGTAAAGGCGGCGATGGACGAGGCCGGTTACTCACAAGCCAATATTTTGATGATGGGCAATGCTACCAGCTTAACGTCGGTTACATCTCTCAACAGCGACAGGCGGAATTCCACCGTGTAGCTAAACCGGGCGATATCGCTGGCGCAAATCTGTGGTGTCAGACCGATGTACCCCTACCAAACGATCTGCCCGTGGGCAAGGATTACACTCTCTACTGGGTCTGGGACTGGTCTACCTTGGACGAAGATGGAAAAGTCACACTCCCCGAACTCTACACAACATGCATGGATGTAACGATCGCGGACGCTGGTAAAATCGCAGGAACGGGCGCAACGGTTGCTCATGGCGAAAACAACGCAAAACAACACTTTGCATCAGTCACGAATTACGGCGAGAATGCTATCCAGACGGTATGGGAGAAATTGGCGGCCACTCCGACTGTGCCAACTGCTGTGACCCCGGTGCCTGTGAATGTTACGGCTTCTGTGTTTTATATTGCTGCGAATTCGGTTATTCAGGCTAATGGTGCTGCCACTTCGCAGGCTATTGCGGCTGGTAATGCTGCTGTTAAAGCTTGGGCTATGACTGCTGCGGCTACGGCGACGGGTGCTCGTGGTGCTGGTGCTGCTGATGCTGGTGGTGTTGGTGCTGCCGGTGCAACTGGTGCGACAGGTGCGACGGGTGCTGCTGGTGCTGGTACTGGTACTGGTGCTACAGCTACATCTGCTACTAGCGCTACTGATGCCTGTAACCCAGCAACCGTAACAATTACAATGACAGTGACAACAACCGTCGCGCCTTCCAGCGCCGCTCGATCGACCGGATTACTAGCTCGACGAAGGGTCCTTGCTTTAAATGACGATGGCGCTTTCAGTTCATGAAAAGCAGTCTTTCTTGCTTGATTTCTTATGCATTCGATCATACTTTTCCTACTTTTCCCATAACTTTTTATGTTTATCCGGATTTGGGGGGAGATTGGCTTGCATTAATGGAGTTGGTTGCTTGCATTTTTTATACCCATATAGCTACTTTAATAGAATTCAAGGATTTCTGTTGGTTTTACTACGGTCCGTATCACGAAGCATAGACGGTAATAAGGAGCGAACACGAAGCGGCCTAACGAGCCTGACAATATGAAGCTATCTTGATTCCTAATATTGTGACTAGGACGGGGGATAGCTAGCTAGATATATACGCGGCACGCACGTCCACGTCAGACTAACTAATCTGGTGCCGAAACGCGTAGGGTTTGATATTCACGTTTCGACAACTTCTTTTGTTGATGATACATGGTAAAGAACTTTTAGGGTATGAGTACCTAAGGTATCCATGGATGCTGTAAAGCTTCCATGTTTATTACATGTGTCCCGTATATGACAGCATTCACCCAGTAAGATCTTCTCGGTTTGAAGAAGGAACGAAAGGTTTGACTCATCTTGGTCGATGATGCGTCATATTCTTTCATGAGTGGTGTTCGATGTTCAACTAGGTGGACTCCACAGCGACATCTGGAGCCTTGCCGCATCATTTTTTGCAGGCATAGAGGGGTAGATCCTGACAACATTTCAACATCTACTATCTATATATAGAGAAACAATCGCCAAAATAATGGACTCAATGAAAGATATTGATCGTTCAGAACCACCGAATAAAAAAGTTAAGATCGTTGATACAGGTACGTCTCGGGACTCATCCTTTCGGAGTTGAGTAAAAGCTCACAAGTATTTCCCAGATACAGACCAGGGTGAGTCCAAGATGACAACTCCAGTTCCAATCCAGATTGAACTGTCACCCGCAGAGCATCTCCTGCGCACTCTTCTACTCGACTGCCGAGATCATGTATCTACCGGCTCTGGCAATCGCAACGCAGGCGACATGTGGTTCGTCGGCGGCTGGGTACGCGACAAACTCTTAGGAAAACAAAGCTGCGACATTGACGTGGCTATGAGTAACATGACCGGTCCCGAATTTTCTAGCCTTCTGAAAGAATTTCTTTCTTTGGAGTCAGATAAATCCAGGACTACTACGAAAGGCGATATATACAAAGAACAGGCAACGAAACGGGGTCTTCCAGCTGAAATCAGAGGATTCTATGAAATTGACCGTAATCCTAAAAAGGGGAAACATCTTCAGACCACCAGCGCAAAAATTTTTGGATTGGATATTGATTTTGTGAATTTGAGGACGGAGAATGATCTTACAGATCAAGAAGGGAGTGTTAGTCGGGCTGAACAAGATGCGAAACGACGAGATGCGACTGTTAATTCGATTTTTTACAATCTTGACTCGCAAGAGATTGAGGATTATACGGCCAACGGACTGAGTGATCTTAAAGCGAAGGTTTTGAGAACTCCGCTAGATGCTCGCAAGACATTTACGGATGATCCGTTACGGATATTGAGATTTGTGCGCCTGGCGAGTACGCTTGGTTTTACTATTGATGAGGGCACAGAGACAACGATTAGAGATTCAGAGATACAGTGCTTGATAAGTACGAGGACGAGCCCGGAGAGGATTGGGTTGGAGTTGAAAAAGATGATTACGGGGCCGGATCCGGTGACTGCGTTGATGTGGATTCATCGGTTGGGACTTTACAAGCAGGTTTTTCTGTGCGGGCAGAGCCAGAAAGTATTGGACAAGGTGGCAGAGAGTGAAGAATCAGAAGCAAAGGGCTGGGAATCAGAGAAGGGAGAATATGTGTGGCCGTCAGCGTGGCCAGAGGCTTGTAAGACGGTATCAAAATTGTTCTTGCCGGAAAGCAAAGACAGTCTCTTGGCGACTGAGCTCGCACAATCTCAAGACATTGAGCTGGTCTGGCAGATGGCAGTATGGTGTCCTCTTGCACTGCTCTGTCAGCCAGATGATACTCGCCCTTTCCCCGTGGTCAAACCGGCAACGAAAGCGATTCATGCTACAAATGAAAAATCACGATTACTGGAAGATTCGTTGAGTAACATGCGGGAAATTCGGGCGATGATTGATAATGTCGTTGGAGGCAGCGACAAGGGGAGTCTACGCCGAGGCATAGTCGGAAAAGCTATACGATCGTGGGGGAAGACTTGGAGACTGCAGGCCCTATTCACGCTGTTGACGGATATTCTTTCCGTCAAATTGGCGACGAAAACGGAGGATTTGTTGAATCGCTATTCAGTCTTGCTGAAGTATGTATCCGATCAAAAACTACAGGATGCGCCGTCAATGAAACAGCTCTTGACCGGAGGCGAAATCAAGGAGATCTTCGAACTAAGACGCAGCGGACCGTTTATGAACGGCGTCCTAAAAGCAGTGCTGGAATGGCAGTTTGATCATGAGAATGAGTACGAAGATAATGCTCAACTCAAGGAAAAAGCGATTGAATGGTTGCGTGGAGAGAAGGAGGAGCTGAATATTCCAGACCCTGATGTAGCATGATTGGCTGGCCTTGCCATGGCTATGCTGTGATGCACTCCTGAAACACGCCAAAATAGCGTACAGGTCACGTGGATAGATTCATCAACGAGTTGCGTTGCTCTCAGACCACGTCCTCAGAAGGAACTTGAGACTCTCTTGACTTATAAAGTTATGATCGTATTGATAAAAGAGAATAACCTTGATAATTCACAGTCAGGCACTGTATCTCAATACGAACGCAGATGTAGATTGAGATGCTGTTCTAAGAACGACGAGATCTGACATTCTGATTGGCTTTCCCCGGTAGCGCCCTCCCGCCATCCATCCAATGAGACCCGTTCTTTCCGATCGCGAACAATCCATCTTCTTCCTCGTCTTCTACACTACAAACCTCTCTCCTACAATGATACTCTTGCTTCATTTCTTCTACCATTACCTTGTCTATTATTCTACAAATATCCTTCCTTATTTACACATTATTACTACACAGCCATCAACTTAGAATCAACTGTCGTCCCCTCTTTCCTCTATCAAGTGGACTGACCGCTTTGCTATAATTAGCAATCCAATTTCATGCACCTAATCAACAACTAAACTACCCCCGTTTTCCATTCGACAATCCTTGTGGCGGCACAATAATATCCAATAATCATCATAATAATCCATCTCTCCAACTGCGCCCTCTTTTCTGGCTTCTGCTTGAAAAAAAAAGAAAACATATCAAGGATTTGTTTCGTTTTATCATCCTTTCTTCTTCTTTTTAGTCTGCTTGTCTTTTGATATTTTCTAGTTTTGGCCTCCACTCTGCCCAGACAGAGCGCGCTGTTTGCATTTCTCGCAAGGCTACGACTGCGCTGGTCGTGTCAGCTGTTCATTTCTTCGTGTATATCACGTCTCTCTTTTTTTTTCCCCTGGTTTCTTGTCAGCTTGGATAAAAGGTGGAAAGAAGGGGCTTCGAGATTTGGGATCTGCACAACGACAGAATAGACGGCGTGTGAGAGCGCTTCATTGCGACTAGTCATTCACTGCATGGTGACATTCTGTGGACGGTTCGATATGCAATTCGCGATTGAAGTGGAGGATCCTTATTAGCATCGTCGTTCTACTCCTTTTTATTCCCGGGCGATTCGAATCGCAAGTCACCACTATGGCGACAGCAACGACTACCTCGCCCCAGCTCAACGCTACCGGCAGTCGTGCTGTGAATCCTGCCCTTCCCCCCGTTGCTACCGATACACCTTCTAGACTCCCACCTATGCGACGCATATCATCCAGCGCCAGAGAACGTTTATCGGTCTACTCGAACGTATCACAAACCTCTCAACATCGATCGCGGCCCGTTTCGCATGTCTTCCCGCTCTTCCATTCAAGCCTGCCGTATACCTTAGTGCGCGACTTCGCCTATCCGCCTATACATCCTTTACACTACGGTCCATTACCAGTTCCCTCGCGAGCCTCTACTCCTGCCAGCGAGAGCAGACGTTTATCTGATCCACAGATCGGGTTGTGGGAACCGTCGCGCCATTCATGGTCTTCGAATAGCGGAGCATCTGATTCGCATGGGCAACAACTACCCGCCGTATCGTTTGGTGATGGACCGCCGTATAGTGAAGATGAGGATTTGCACAGTCCTATCATCACATCACGCTATCGCAAGCACAAGTCCGTACATACGTTTGGAGACACAGGGAGAGGTTTTGGCGATAGTGGCCGTGCGGGTGGTGTATTGAATAGTCAGAGTGACCGTGGCACCCTGGTAGCTGTCAACGGCGACGGCAGTGAGACTTATTATGTTCAAGGCGATCAGGATGCAAGCGATGGTCCTGGGGGTGAATACATAACATACCCGGCCGGCGAAAGCAGCTATTCCCAATACGCCTACGGGAACTACGGTGGGACCGGAGTTGGTGCCGGCGGAGAAGGTACACAAGGATCAGGCCATGATGGTGGGGATTATGTATATGAGGATGATTATTCAGACAGATATTCGCGGGACTATCACTTTTCTATTGGGTCACCGGACGAGGAAATGCATGGCAAAGCGGTTGCGCTATTTGACTTTACGCGCGAGCATGAGAATGAACTCCCCTTGAAAGAAGGGCAAGTGATTTTGGTATCTTACAGACATGGTCAAGGCTGGCTTGTTGCAGAGGATCCAAGGACGGGAGAATCCGGGCTGGTGCCGGAGGAATTCGTACGATTGGTGCGTGATATTGAAGGAGGTCTTAGCTCTTTGAATGGAGCATTGTCGTCTGGTCCAAACGAAGCACAGTCAAACAATACGATAACGACAGGGAGTTCGAATACGGCAGGAGAAACAACACCAACGAATGGAAATAATCAAGGCGAAATATTGGAAGAGCGGACAGAAGAGAAAAGCTCTTAATCAGATAGAGAATGAGAGTACGATTGATGAGTTTGGATATCTATGCCGACATGCTCAAGGTCTATATTTACCTTTAATACTGCTATAATTTGACTTAACTCGGCGCTGGACCAATCCTTGAAAGGATTGGCAAGCTCAGATCAAGCTTGATGGAAATAGAACCGGAACTATGTCTTAAAACTTATGAGTAAATGAATGAAGATACACCTTTTGCCCTCTTTTTCTTGCTGCGACATACTTCCTGAATATTCCGTGATTAGTAACTAGTAGCCTAGTAGGGATATGAATCGAGGTTATGTACCAAGGTTGCCAACAACAAGATGAACTGATTAATAACTTGCATACAAATTGAGTTAGCGGTAATACATACTGTGATGTCCTGTATTTTACAGCGATGTATTCCAGAAACACAAATACCTGTAACAAATCAACTCGCCGGATCCGATTTCCGCCTGGCAACAACTCGTTTCCAACCTTGCAGGGCTTTAACTAGTTTAGTTAAAGTTAGCTTGACCGGGCTTAGTAAGCAGTGACCTCCTTTTTTCTTCGCATTCTTGAACTTCAATCCAGACTTCCCGTTGTTGACCAGCTTTTCATCTATCGTCTGTTTGTGCAATTGAGGCTACATCGTCTGTAATACTATTTCATTGTTGATTCTTGAATTGTATTACTCTTGTCTATTTGTTTAATTATTTTTGCTCTTTGGTTTGAGATCTTGACGATTGGTTCTGTATATTCGTCATCGAGTCTGCAGAAATTATCCTGGGATCTGTCTGCTGAGCTGATTGAACTTCAATTGGCCTTGATTGGTGAGTGATAGTCTATTGAATCCATTACACTGATGTATATATGCATATGATAGCACTGACTACCATTTAACATCTTGTTGAATGTCTACTGATCGAGCTAACAGATTAGTCCATTAATACGACTGGATTTCGTACAGGTAATACGGTTACACTGTTTCGATATTCAACCAAACTAACCACATCAGGACAGAGAACCCCTCACTCTGCCCCTCGCCCGTGACTTGTGCCCCTCCAGAAACAGTCAAAAAAACACCTGAATCCTAAGGCAAAATGGCAACAATGTTCTCCCGGGGCCTTAGAGCATCACTCACCCCACCTTCTTCTTTTCGCTCGGTCTCCTCCTTCTTGACTACTTCTTCTGCTTCTCCTGCCACTTCAGCTTTTGCTTCCATCCGTCGTCCTACTCTCTTCAATTGCTCTTCTTCTCAGTTTCAAGCTGCTCGTGCTTTTCATCAATCTTCTGCAGTCATGTCTTCTTCCGCTTACTTTGTCGTCGAGTACGGCCCTGCCGGTAACAGTAAGTTTCAGTTCTTGCCCCTCTTGGTCTGTAGCTCGACCATCAACACCAAGCTACATCCATGGCCATCTCCTCCTCTCTTATACTCTCATCATCAATTCATCAAGTCAATGCTGAAACGCAATTGCTAACTCCCCCCAGCCCAGACTGGTCGTATCGACTTCAAGCTCTACAATGATGTTGTCCCCAAGACTGCCAAGAACTTTGCTGAGCTCTGCAAGGGATACACAGACGAGACTGGCAAGGTTTTGACCTACAAGGGCTCTTCTTTCCACCGTGTTATCCCTCAGTTCATGCTCCAGGGTGGTGACTTTACCCGTGGTAACGTGAGTATCTCCCCAAGAGCTCAGATGATGAGGGATAATGACTAACCATCTTTTGCTGCGTCACAGGGTACCGGTGGAAAGTCCATCTACGGCGAGAAGTTTGCTGACGAGAACTTCAACGTTCGTCACGAGCGCCCTGGACTCCTCTCCATGGCCAACGCTGGTCCCAACACGTAGGTTCCCCCCCATTCTTTCAGAGAATACTGGTGTGTGCAATTGATTGATGGTCTTGCAGTAACGGCTCTCAATTCTTCATCACCACCGTCAAGACCAACTGGCTCGATGGCAAGCACGTTGTCTTCGGCGAGGTCACCAACGGATACGAACATGTCCAGGCCATCGAGAAGCTTGGTAGCTCCAGCGGCGCTGTCCGTGGAACTGCCAAGATCGTCGACTCTGGTGCCGCTTAAAATGTTTCTATAACTCTTGTTTTAAAATGTTTTCTATTTGCTTATAGAATCATTCTACCGTCTATTCTGACATTGTGGTGTTTGGAAGAGTCTGGTAGATTGGTATCTATTTTTGCCATTAGCTTAGTCAAGTCATTGAGGAAATGCAATGTTGTATTTCTGAGATCTCTGCTTTCGAGAAGAGTCTCTGAGAATTTTGGCAATCGTCCTTTCATACATAAATCTAAAACCCAACATTAATTTATATTCAATTCTGTAATCATATATCCATGTCATTATCACTTTCCACCCCACCCCCATAAACCGGCGCAACACCCGCATTAGACCCCTTGATCACCCCCTCCAATATCTCCCTAATCTGTTTACAACCATCAATCCCCACCGCAAGCATAGCATCTAAATACGACGTATGCGCTCTGGTCTCCATATGCAACACCGAAACTTTCATATCATCATCCACATCATCTTCCGCCCCCACCGCAGAACCAGCAGGCAACGCTGTCGTAGTCCCAATTGTAATAAACGGCAACTCCTGTTCCTCAGGTAAGGATAAATCAAGTAAAGGGTCTAGCTGGTCTTGGTCTGATCCGGAAAGGTCGCGCGGCGTAGATGCGCTCCCACTCATACCCGCTGTGCAGGCACAGAGGAGTCCTGGCATGGGGATACCAGCGTCCACGAGAGCGAGTGTACATGCATTTATAGCAGCGGCGAAAAGGGAGCCGTCCGACGAGAGGACAGAGACTTGTACCGTGATTGTGCTGTGCGGGTAGAGATATGTATGTAGATGTGACTGGAAAGCGGATTTGAGTGCTGTCGAAAGTTGGGATGATTGTCTTTATGCCCTTCATCAGTATTCTTTTTCCTATCTTATAGAGGGGGGAAAGTGACGAACCGATCACTTCCACCAGCCCTCCTTTTACGATCCACGCCTGCAAAGCCGGCTATATTCACGTCTATGTCGACCAGAGCCTCGGTCGCGCTACCTGCGCCGCTGGTCTCGTGAGGACCGTGGACGGTACACATTATTGAAGTGTTGCCCATGGAGAGATATGAGGATCCTGAACTGGCTGAGTTGGTGGATATTTGTGCTTGGAGGAGTCGGAGTTCGTTCCATCGTCGACCGTCCAGGCGGAGTTTTGTGAGTGGGTAGGTTGTTGAGGTGTCGAGGGGCATGGTTTTGGTGGTGGTTGGCACGGGGAGTGCCCGTACGTCGTCGATTTCAGGCGGTCGTGAGGATGGTGAAGTTTTCCTCTGGGTAGAGCGTGAATTGGAAATTGTATGCGATTGATTTGCTTCGAATCAAATATTTTGTGTAAAGACTGATAGCAGTTGAGTATTGTGGAGGGTTAGTGAATCTGCAGTGGACTGAAGAAATCTCAAGCCGCAAAATTTAAAGTTAAAAAGCTCCTTTCCCCATGCGGTGGCCCCACGGCTGATAAGCTACAACTGCGACTACCCATCACTCAACCGCCGATAACATGCAACATGCCTTCAGATATAGATAACTCGGTGGCGACTGCAACTGATTCAGATGGTGACGATGACGATGACCTAAATATTGTTTCTGTTCGGCCACCATCATATACTACTGGTAAGTACTAAGTACTACAGACCGTCGGACGAGACAGTCTGACAGGTGCAGGTTCACACAAGAGATTACGAAGAGATGGGCAAGAGCCGTCTACTACGAATAACCACAAAAAGCAACGTGTAGAACGAGACGAATCTCCTGATTCCTCCTCCGATAACATCCTCGACGACGAATTCAACGATAGCGAAGCCGCATACCAACAATTCAAGAACCGAAAAAGCATCCAACGAAAACGAGCCTCCCTAAACGAGCGACGAGCACGCAAAGGAAAGGCCAAAGAAACAGAAAAAGATGGTGGCATATCCAGAAGGAGAAGGTCAGCTCCCGCTCGAGATTCACTAGTTGGGCGCGTCCCCTCAGAACCGTCGCGAAAACCGAAACGAGTCATGAGAGAATACACTGAAGATCTTGTATCTTCCGAAGATGATTTGATGGAACACACACTACCAGATTTCCTACAACAGCGACGATCCCAATTCGATGCGCGCATGAACCGGCTCAAAGAAGCTGGGTTACGATTACCGCCAAACTTTGACGACGTCGAGTTCTCAGATGATGAGAATTTGGAGTTTTTAAAGGAAAAACCATTCTTTAGGGATGTGACACCTCCGAAACCATATGAGGATATTCCGTTGCCGTATTCGCTGGGTCTTATTCCCGCACCTATTGCGCAGTGGTTGAGGGATTATCAGGTCGAAGGTGCTGCTTTTCTTCATGAATTATTCGTCTATCAAAAGGGTGGGATATTAGGCGATGATATGGGTTTGGGTAAAACGGTACAGGTCATTGCGTTTCTGACTGCTGCGTACGGGAAAACGGCGGATGAGCGGGATATGAAACGCATGCGGAAGTTGAGGAGAAGTGGGGATGATGTGTGGTATCCCCGGACGCTGATTGTGTGTCCCGGTACGTTGATCGAGAATTGGAAGTCTGAGTTGCAGCGTTGGGGTTGGTGGGCTGTTGGTCTGTTTCATGGTGATAGAAAGGAGGAAGCGCTGCAAGCTGCCAAGGCTGGAAGATTGGAGATTTTGGTTACGACGTATGTGACGTATCGCATGAATAAGGATGCGATCAATATGGTAGAATGGGACTGTGTGGTTGCCGATGAGTGTCATCAGATCAAGGAGCGCAAATCGGAGACGACGATAGCGATGAACGAGATCAATGCTCTGTGCCGAATTGGACTTACTGGCACCGCTATCCAAAACAAATATGAGGAGCTATGGACATTGTTAAATTGGACAAACCCGGGAAAACTGGGCCCTGTGACTGCATGGAAGAGAGCTGTGGCTGAACCTTTGAAGATTGGTCAGTCCCACGATGCTACGTTATATCAGCTAAGCAAAGCGCGCAAGACGGCCAAAAAGCTGGTGCAGAATTTGCTTCCAGAATTCTTCCTCCGACGTATGAAGACGTTGATTGCAGATCAACTACCCAAAAAGAGTGATAGGGTAGTTTTCTGTCCTTTGACGGACACGCAGGCTGACGCCTACGAGAACTTTCTAAATAGCGATGCGCTGGTCTATATCAAAAATGCATCAGAATTGTGTGATTGTGGCTCAGGGAAGAAATCCGGTTGGTGCTGCTACAAATATTTACCGTCCGGCCAGAAATGGCAAAGCTATGTGTTTCCGGCCATACAGAATTTGCAAAAACTCAGCAACCACCTTGCTATCCTGATACCGCAGGGACAAGACCCCCGAGAAAAGCAGGACAAGGATTTGGAAATGTTGCAACTCGCTGTTCCGGATCGATGGCGCGAACTGTATCAAACCCGAGACTCGATTATCAACTACGCCAACCCGGAGTTCTGTGGGAAATGGAAAGTGCTCCGCAAATTGCTGAAATGGTGGCATGCCAATGGTGACAAAGTTTTGGTATTTTCACACAGTGTTCGGCTTTTGAAGATGCTTCAAATGTTGTTTAACCATACTAGTTACAATGTCAGCTATTTAGACGGGGCCATGTCGTACGAAGATCGAGCGAAGGCCGTCGATGAGTTCAATTCGGATCCTCAGCAGTTTGTGTTTCTGATTTCAACGCGAGCTGGAGGCGTCGGACTGAATATCGTGTCTGCAAATAAAGTCGTCGTGGTTGATCCTAATTGGAATCCGTCTCATGATCTACAAGCGCAAGACCGGGCGTATCGAATCGGCCAACACAGAGATGTGGAAGTATTCCGACTCATTTCTGCAGGCACAATCGAAGAAATTGTCTATGCTCGTCAGATATACAAACAACAACAGGCCAATATTGGATACAACGCCAGTACCGAACGAAGATATTTCAAAGGAGTGCAGGAGAAGAAAGATCAAAAGGGTGAAATCTTTGGTCTTTCCAATCTCTTCGAGTATCAGAATAACAATATCGTTCTTCGCGATATTGTGAACAAAACCAATATTGCCGAGAGTAAAGCTGGCGTGCAAGTTATCGGCGTTGATTTGGAGCAAGACGATGATGACGCCAGCAGTTCCGACAATGTCACGACGAAATCTGCTGTTGACGATGAGGATGACGGGACTCTGAGTCAGATTGCGGCTTTGATACGTGGTGAGACGCCATCATCATCATCGGCAACAGCCTCACCTTCTCTTCAAGCAAACAAAAAACATGACCCAATACACGCCATTCTCGCCAGCGCCGGGGTCGAATACAGCCATCTAAATAACGAAGTCATCGGCTCTTCCAAAGTCGAAGAACGTCTCAGCCGTCGCGCCGAACAAGCCAATGATCCTCTACAAGGCGACAAACAAGTGTTCGACACATCCTCCCAACCCACCCAAACCAGCAGCTCCAACGGCAACTCACACAGATACGACAATTTCAAAATCCGTACCGAAGACGGCAGCAAAACAATCCGATTCAAGTTTCATCCTTCACAGGATGTACGGAAACGCCAGTTTTGTAGTATGGCGCAGAAATTCGGGTTTCCGAATGCGACGGAGTTTGCGCTTGTGGTTGAAGGGATGACGCAGGCGCAGAGACGGGCTTGTCTTGAGAGGTGGTATAGGGATAGGAGGGAGATGCTTTTGAAGGAGGGTGGGGGAAATGTTCAATCCGAGGAGGATATCAAGTCTGAGGATGCTGCTCAGACTGATGCTTAATTTGGGAAGTGGTCTGGATCTTAATTTTATTGCGTTGCTTCTTTAGAGATACCCTTCTGTACATAGTACAGTTTGTTGAAGTTGATTGATCTGTAATTAATCATACGATGCCCTTACAGAGTAATATTACTTGTACTAGCGTATCAACTATCCCTCAGTCGGAGTCAGCAGCCCTAACATGTACTAACCCTTTCAGGCCCTAGTCCCACACCGTAATCCTTTTGTTTGGTAATTTTCGCTTCCTTGGCAATACGTCCGTACTGAGTTAATACTCATGAAGTACTCCGTACCCTGGAAGCAATTTTAATTCTCCCGGCCGGAGTTATTCCTTCAATCCTGTGCAATCTATTGAGATTGAATCTGATTAAGTTGAGGGAAATGAATTATCAATATCCAATGTTTAGGATAGGTCAGCTAAGTTAGCTGGCTACAAAGCATGTATTAATCCATTACCCAGGTGATCTTTGTGTACTCCGTATTAACTAGTTATGCGGCAAAGGAAACCTCGGATACCATACCATGCGGTAAGCCAACTTGGCGGGATGATTGGTGAGCCTTGGATCCTTGGCTTCAGGCACAAGAACCAGTGATTTACTGTATCCATCTTTGGGCTATTCTTTTAAGAATGTTTGTGCGTAGTCCGGAGTGTAGTTGTAGTAGTACGTTGTAGAAGAATAAGGAGAACTGTGGCTGTGCCTACTGCCAGGGACGACAAGGGAAGGAGCGGGCGGGTCGGATGGTCTAGCCACAGGACCGGTCGTGCCTTCCCTGTGGTTCTTCTTCATCTGGAGGAAGGAGCACCGTCGCAAAAATCTCCACCTTCAGACCAGCCCGGTTTCTTTCATGTTACTACCACTACACTTGACTTGCTTCACTTCTTGTATATTCTTCAACACTCATATACTCTGGTATATAATTTATTTGTGATCGTTTATTCGCGATTCCTTTACCTTCGCGCTGGGTTTATTGCTCCTTGCGTCGAGGCCCTGTGTGACAAAAGTATACTCCTGAGACACGCTCGCCCTCAAACGCTGCGAACCTTGCCTGACACCAACCACGCTTGACGAGACTGGATATCGGAGGGGAATCATAGATTTGCGATTGTTCATCGATAACCTCTGTTCGCTAGCATTGGCCTCTCAAAGACCTTCCGCGTATACATGGAGTGACAAGTCGGAAACGCCGAACTACATACTCGTTTTGATTCTCTTGTTTCCTTACCTTACTATCGCTCCTTATAATTCTCAGTATAATTGCCGACCGATATGAATGGCCGCAACGGCACAATGTCCCCCGTCTCCGCTGATGACAGCGAATGGTCTGGTATCGGCCAATATCAACTTGGACTCAAACCAGATGCTCCGATCTCTCCCACTGTACAGAACCGCGGAAACCTCGCAACCCCTCCGAGCTCTGGTGCTCCCACCCCGACTGGCTCACTGGGCTTGAATGGTGGGAATCCTGTGCCTAGACGACCTGATGACTCCGGAACCCGTCGCCTCCTAGTTCCGTCGCTGCTAGATCAAGTGTTGGGACGTATCAGACCAGCAAGCAGCCGTTATCGCAGATGGAAGACTCGCTGGCTCACACTACATGCGGTCGACGTTTTGGAAACCTCATGCGAGTGATAGAGCTGCTATGAAACGAATAAGCTCGCGATAACTTTGAGACTGTCGCCACGCAGTTCACGAGTGAGTACCGATGTTTTGACGACTTGTCCGCCGTCAACAAGCTGCTGAGGCCCAGGACGGCCTCCGCGAACCGACATCCCCTTCCTTACCTCCTCGTCCGGATTTTCATGAAAGCGAAACCAGGCCCGTCAGAAATTGGCATCGTTGCAGCATCCGCGATTCCGTGATTTAGCTACTGATGTCTTTTGCGAATTGGAACGGCGATTTCCGCAATTTGCTGGACCAGATTTGCCGCGTGTTGGAAGTCCTGCGGGTAGTATGCGTGGCGGTCCTCCTCGTGGGAGTGGTCCGATGAATGGGTTCCGACCAGGGTCAAACGGGTTTCCACCGAATGGGTACCCAGGAGGTCCTCGACCATCGTCGCGTGGGCCTGGCGGTAGGGGGTATCCCCCAGGTCCTCCTGGTCCTGGTGGTCTTGGTGGTCCTGGAGGTCCCGGAGGTCCCGGCGGCCCTCCCGGTGGACGATTCCCTCCGCGCCAGCAGTCTCTTAGCGGTGGAATAAGCCTCAACGGAGAAGAACCCTTAGCGAAATCATTCCAGAGCAATACGATCGTACCAAATAAGAGTACTCTCGTGGAGGACGACGATGATGGAGGTGTGGATGACGACTATGATGGACGCAGCGATGCCTTTGGACTAGACGCTCTACAGAGCCGAAGAGGAACAACAACGACATTGGGTGAAAGAAAGCTTTTGGCGGACAGTCAGGCTCAAGTCACAACATTACAAGAACGTATTGACGAACTTGAAGCTTTGATGAAGAGCAAAGATGAAGAGATTTCTCGCTTGCAGGACGAGCAGGACAAATCGCAGGTACGTGTTAATTCTGTATTGGTGGAATAATGTACTGACAGCCTATAGATCAGTAGCAGTGAACGCGATGAATGGGAAAGCCTCAAATCTGAGCTGGAAAATAAAGTGGCAGACGTGGAAAATGCAAACACATATTTGCAGAATAAGATAGATCAGATGCAGCAAGAACATACCGAGAAAGAGCGTCAATTACGGGAACAACTTGAAGCTGCGCATGGAAATGGTGTAGATGTTGAGCTTCAGCAACGATACAGCGACCTAGAGATGCGACATGAATCCCTACAAGCTGAATTACAAGAACAAGAAAAGACCACGGAAGAAGTACGCCGCGACGCCAGTAACTTCTTGAAAGAAATGAGGGCAATGTCTGAACGAAGCAATGCCACTTGGGAACAAGAAGAGAAGCTTTCTCGCGATGTCAACCGGCTCGAAGAGGAAGTCAAAGAGTGGAAGAATCGGTACATTCGTGCAAAGACTCAGTTGCGACACTTGCGTACATCCACCGTGGGCATTCCCAATCTACATGGCGATGTTGGTATGACCGCAAGGGAAAACGAGCTTATCCACCAGAATGGACTCGTCAAAGATTCGCACGTCACCAAGTTCCAAATGTCGATTGACGAACTATTGCGGTCAGCTCGTTCGGGTGAGCCCAGCCTCGTTCTCGATCAGATGAAAGTGGTCGTCGTGGCTGTGCGTCATATGATCAATGACACGGAGACCGTAGGCGATATGTCTCCTGCACAGAAACGAGCGAAATCGAGAGTTTCAAGTACTGCCAACAACCTCATCACGGCATCCAAGAATTTTGCCGGCTCTAATGGCTTGTCACCTGTGTCCTTACTTGACGCGGCAGCATCTCATTTAAGCACGGCGGTCATTGAGCTTCTTCGCTTGGTCAAGATCTATGCCAGTCCTCCTGAAGATTTTGAAGGCGAGAACGAGGACAATATCGCGCCCATGCAGTCACCTGGATACTTTAGTGTTGCCGCCAGTCAAAGCCGGCTGAGCAACAATGAGTCAGTATATAGTGCGATCAGTAGCCCGTCGGCCAGAACTCGAAGCATAGCTCAATCCCGACGAACAATGTCTCGTAGTGGATCTGGTATTCAAGGCCTTGCTATTGGAAAGCCAGGATATGCTGTGCGGCCACAAGACCATGAGTTGGAAGAGTTAAAGGTACGTTTTTCCTGTTGTGATGTAGTAACAATCGCTAATAACATACCAGCTATACCTCGAGGATCAAACTGAAGGCCTTGTCCAGACCATCCAAGCGCTAGTGGCCAGTATCCGTGGTGCAGAGCACATCTCATCCATCCGCAAACACATCGGAGCGATATCAATTGTGGTAGGCAATGTCGTCTCCTCAACGGATCATGCTATGGATAAGGCCGAGATCAGTCCCGCAGTGCGCGAACGACTTGGCCCTGTTGTCCAAAGCCTAGCCGACTGCTCAGACCGTCTATCTCGTACAGCCGCCGAGGGAGAGGATATTGAAAGTCCCGAGCAATTGCGCGACTTGACCAGCAAGCTGCCTCCTATCGCATTTGAGATTGCCCGTGAAACGAAGGAACTTGTCCAACGCATTGATCAGCTTGAAGTTGACGAGGGCAATAGTGACGACTTTCGGTAGACAATTCATTTATTTCCACTCTTCTCTGCGTATACTTTTTTTCTTACGACAGCTTCAAATTTGGAAAGGAACGGCATATACAAGTTCATGACTTGAATGATTCAATGATCGATTCTTATTCTATTGCATCTACATTCTAATTCACTGTTGAATTATTTTTCTTGTGACAGTCTTGCCTGTCCTTTTTTTATCACCTTTATACCTTGAATTTTGTCCATTCACGCAACGTCGACTCTTTGTTATATAAATATCATACCCTTTTTCCCTGTTTTCGTCAATGTACTCCTCTTCGCTTCTTAATGCAGGGTCAAATGGTCCATTGCATACTGAATATACATATTTCTCTTCTTCTTCTATGCAATTAATTTTGATATGTAATTACCTACATTAATGATTTGAGGCGCAGAATCACGAAACTCGATATTCACGTGGAACATCTAATATGGACTGACAAGGTGGCACTGGGACTTTCTTAGCCCTAATACCACTGAAATTAGTCAACCAGGACAACACCACTTCCAAGGTTGGTATCCGGTATGATTAGATTCTGACAAACAAATGCAAGACAAACTTTAAGTCTTTTTTCTCGATTAAATTAATAATATACATTATGTAAGTAATCATTGCCTAAATCCCCCATTCTCATCTGGCGAATCATCGTGCATGGTAATAGTCACATCCACCTGCTTCTGAATACCCATCTGTCCAGACCTCAAGTCCTGTGTACTTTCACTAGATTTCACAGCATCAATACTATGACGACTCTCGAGTATATGGTGCCCGCTAGCCCCATCGTCATTGACATTGTTGTTCCTGTTGCTAGAAAGCATATTCCGTAGCCGTGAGTCGGTCCTCCGTTGAGTGGAAGTATCATGAACTGTTGTGATTGTGGTAGTCCCTCGTCGAGTCGTCCCCGTGAAAGCGCCCGTGCCTCCCAATTCGTACGAGCGTGATCCTCCATGTCCACTGCTGGTCATGAAATGGAAACCGGAAAGGATGAGTGAGCGAAGACAAGGTACAGATGCGGTGATGATTACTAGATGTGCTTCTAGATAGCCCCAGCGGATGAGGTTCATGGTGCCACCTATTATTCCATTGTTGATTTCGTGAAGCTGGACTGTTTTTGCGAGTGCGGCTGCCATAGCCCTGTAGAAGCGGTCTGTCTCAGCAAAGGTAGACGATATAAGGCTGACACAACTTACACTAGGCCACAGCTCATGAGTGCGATCAAACCGAGTTTTACGGCTAATTTGAGCTTGAGGTGCCAAAATATATACGTGGGAACCACAGCTAGATAAAGATCGACAAAAACATTGAATACTGTCATAAGTCCCATCCAGTCAGTTCGCTGAATCTGTTAGAAATAAGGACATAATGCACATACTGCTCTGGAAATAGCCCCAGTTGAGTTGAAGTGCATCCAAAGAGCATTTTCCTGGAATTGAATAATCCCACAGCGATGCCGAGGGTGTACAGTCAACAAAGATCAAGATGACAGAAACCAGATTGAAAGCGACCTCCATCACAGCAAGCGCAATCAGGATGATACGGTGCCATTTCTGGTTGCCTAGGATGGCCAGCAGGTATAAGACGAAGGCGGCACGTCCTAGAGCTGTGCAAACGATAAGCACGGCCAGTCCGAAGAGGTAGTTCTTCCGGGCCAGCGACGCATCGGGTTCAGGGACGGTTGCATCTGGATGGCCGTAGCCATATTTGACTCCGGTAGTGTTAAACGCTGCGGCGACGATACTCAGGATCTATCAGTGAGGCCTGAGTCAGTATTATCTATTCCATAATACTAAGATCGCAATAGGCAGTACAAACCAAAGTGAGTATCATTAGGATATCATCCATCCTGAATTGGTTGATCCTCACTTTTGCCACGACGCGCAAGGCAACCATGATCAACGAGATAGCTGTTAGAACCCATATCAGGACCAAGATGTCTGTTGCTGCAGGTGAGGGATCCATTCTTATTCCAAGCGAAATATTCCCGATTTGTTATGCCAGATTCAAAAAGCAACGAGTCCTTCCGGAGTAGTTATGAATGCATGCTCGCAAATACAATCATACAACGGAAGGAACAGAAGAAGTCTCATCACGGTAAAAGAGACAAGGTAAAGGAGAAAAGGAAAAAAGGGCAAGAAAAGACCATTTACCTAGATATATCAGATAGTGAAAATATCAATTCCCTCGTGGGCCAGACTTTCTGGGAACGAAGAAACTGATTAGCTCGCGACATCTGGATACCCCGTAATGATGATTTAGGGTTTTCCCTCAAACCTATTTTGCAGACATAGGGCCTCATGGTCTAGCTTGTCGATATAGTAGGTCTGAGCGGAAACCCTGAGCGTGTTGACCGTTGGACCCGGACCCTGGTATATTAGGGGCATGAAAGTCCTCGGGATATGTTGGAACCTTGGAACCCTTAAAGTTTCCCATTGAGCTGTTGGTCTGAACAGCGTGCTGCTTGAGCGCAAATGTCTTTGGTGCGAAAAGAAAGGGTCCACTGATTCAACTGCCAAGCGACTTCGAAACTTCTACTGTGTGCCACGAGGTGTCGACTATTCTAATAGGAATGTTTAACTATGATTTGCATTGCATTGATGTGCCGTTTGTACTTCAGTGGTTTCTCATGTTCGGCAAACTTACGCTCACACCGCACGAAAAGAAGCTGGACATCGACTCGTGAGTCTGAGAGTTTTCGATTGAGAGCCATCGTTCAAACTCACTCTATCAGAGAAGTGGCAACTTACAGTGATTTGCCAGCACAATCCCTAAGAGTTTCGGTACTTCTGACCCTACATGTCAACATACTTTTTCCTTCTTTCGAGATGGAAAAGTTGTGATTTGACTCCTTTGTGCTTACCCCGGTCAGTTTTTCAGGGTTTAACTTACTATGTAGTCACTATGCATGCCTAGATAAGCCTAGGCTGCATTTCGTATTCTGGCGATTTATGATTCGTCTCTCGAAGTTTGAGTCATCGTCAACTAACTTACGACTATCAACTTCATAAACCGTTCACCTATGTTAAGTAGTTATGTACTGATTTTTGAAGGGCTACACCTTCCTAGGGAGGTAAGAACGCTCCCAGGGAAAGTTTACCATATCAAAGTTCATACTGAGTACATGATACAGTTATCTAAACAATGTCAGACTTCTGGGCTTTTACGCGATATCTCTATCTAAAGGTCCTTGTCACCCTATCACGCCTCCTCATCAAGCTACTGGCCTCACCACAATCCTCGAAACTTGACTACAAGTTAGACATCCCATCTCGCGACAAGAACCGCACTATCAAAGTCCATGTATACAAGCCACCCGTGACAGAGACTGGCAGCTCAACTCCGGCCCCGGTTCTCATAAATCTATACGGCTCCGGCCTGGCGATACCTCTACATGGTCTTGACGATGATTTTTGCCGATTCATCGCTGATACAACCGGCTACGTGGTACTTGATGTCAATTATTGTCTGGCCCCCGAATACCCATTCCCCAAAGCCCTCAACGATGTCGAGGATACTCTAAAATATGTCCTTGATCATCCAAAAGAATACCAGGCCTCACGCGTCTCCATATCCGGCTTTTCGTCTGGCGGCACACTTGCACTTTCTGCCTCCGCGAGTCTTCCGCGAGGAACATTCACGTCGCTTATAGCATTCTACCCTGCGACGAATCTTTACCAAGACCCGAGTTTGAGGAAAGCTCCCGTGCCAGGTGGGAAGGACCGCTCGCCGTTTTGGACTAGAATCTTTCGAGAATCGTATATTAGAGGGATGGATGCCCGTGATCCGAGAATATCGCCTGCATTTGCGGATACGACTAATTTTCCGAGTAATATGTTAATTGTTACAGGGGAGTTGGATGCATCGGCGATAGAGGCAGAAGAGCTGGCAGAGAGAGCGAAGGATGAAGGGCACACTACTGGGAGAGAGGTCATAATTCGCAGGATGAAGGGATGTGGACATGCGTTTGACAAGAAGCTCACTGGCGAGGTCTCTGTAAAAGCTAAAAATGAGACATACGAGCTTGCTGCGAAGATCTTGAAGAATGGTCTGAAAGTCAGCACCTAAGCGACGATTTGTTTTGAGTGCGAGCTCAAGAGTTATAGTCCGCTCCGTTCAGACTCTTATCCATCCCTTCGTGTATGCGATCTAGGTTCATTGCAGGTAACGTCGTCCATTATCAACCTATATAGGTACCAATCCTTAAGCTTCCAAAGTCCATATACTTTTGTCAACAAATTTCACCGGCTAACAAACTATCAATTGGCATTATAATCAATCAATCAAGACGAAGAAAATCACAAACAGCAATGAAAAAAAGGACTAAAGGCTATATAAGTAACATATCAAACGCAATGAACAACGGCAAAAATACCTCTATCTACTAAACCATCATCCTCCTCACATTCCCGAATCTCACTCTCCGCGCTTTCAGCATAATCAATATCAACCAAGCAAGTCACCAGATGAGCCACCTCCATTCACCGGCCTGGACGAAAATCCGCTATTGTTATTATGATTCGAAGTAGTGTTAGAAGTAGTACCCCAAATACCAGCACTAGACTTTTCCTTCGCCATACTAGCGAGATTAGGTCCCTTGGTGGCTGTGGCCTTCTGTATGCCGGCACTCGCACTTGCGGTACTCCATAGGGATCCAAAAGCATCTCCACCGGATGATTTTGCGCCGGTTGATGCTGGCTTTTTACCTGCTGCCACTAAGGATGAAGGTGAATTTATGGTGGAGGTTGGTGAAGTGAGTGATGAGAAGGATGATGTGCTTCCGCCCATACCGGGTCTGCCGCTGCTGCCAAGGGTTGATATGGGAGACATTGCGGATTGGTTGTTTAGACCGGCGTTTATGGAAGTGTAGTAGTTCGGTGTTGGGGCTTGGTAGCCGGATGGTTTTGGTTGCTGTTGGAGTGGTGCTGCGAATGCCGAGCCTGTGGTTGATAGAGGGGGAGGGGACACTGTCGTAGAACCGGTTGGTGTTGTTGTGTTCGAAGTGAATCCAACGAGACCCGTGAGATCGGCACCCTGGGCTGCAGATACCGGTTTCGGTGCAACAAACTGTGTGCTTGCGGAAGTGGTAACTGTTGGCGCAGCTGGTGGTGATGCAGACTGGAAATCATCAAAATCATCGTCATCGTCTCCACCGGTCGTTCCACCGAGCATATCTATACCATGACCACCAGCAGTGGCTGGCTGTTTCCCTGCAGCCGTCGAAGAAGGTACCGTCGCCGGCGTAGAGACAACAACATCATCATCACCAAAGTCAAATAAATCAACTTCAGGCGCCTTTGGCGGTGGTTGTGATGCTTTAGCCTGTGTCCTCGATTCCGCCGTTCGGCGAGAAGGTGCCGATACTTCATCATCGTCTTCATCGTATTCCTCGAACCGACTAGATCTTCTGGCAGTATCCCTGAAATCGCTGGGGTCGCTTGCACCGCCGAAACCACCTCCGTCTCCAAACACGCCTCCACTGTAACCTCCGTATGAATCGCTGCCGAAACCACCGTATCTGCCACCGCTGCCAACACCGCTCGCGAATCCACCGCCAGTTCCCTCCATGCCGCCGAATTTGTTACGATTGGCGCGAGCTTTCTTTCTCTCTGAGCGGATGGCATCTACATCGCCTAGCAATTTGACCAGCTCTTGAGATCGGTTGCGTACGTTGATACCTTGATCCTTGCCATTGTTATCAATGTAGTGGAATTGGCGAAGCATTCGTATTAGGGACAAGTGAGATCGAGCATCGTCGACGACGCGTTCGGAGCCGTTCTTGATAAGGAATTCGAGGAGTTGCAATGCCTGTCTCAATCAACTGTTAGGCCGAGCCCTTCAGAATACTGCGTCAAAAGATTGTAGGCTGACCTTGTATATTTGTCTCCACTCCTCCGCCGTCTTCTCTGTGAATCGCTTATAGATCATAGGCATAATTTCGTTGAGGAGATGGCTGTTCCATAATCATGTCAACAAAGAAGCGCAAAGCAGATCGGATCGCAACCGCAACTGACTAGTTATGTGTACCACTCGCAATCTCCTGCATCAACGTCGAGGATGCGCCCCACGGTTCATTGTTGGTAGCTTCTCGGACCTTGGCCTCCATTTCTGTATAATTCATGACAGCTATACCATACCAATATTAGTAAATATCTTGGAAGATCTCTGCAATTGCTAATTTCTTTAGAACGTACCATTCTGAACTTTGCGTACACCGGCCTTGATATCGTACAAGGTCAGGTTGCTAACCTGCTCCTTGAGACTGCTAAAATCCATCGTTTATATTGTTATTGGAAAGCAAAAGAAACAAATGAAATGTGGATAAAAGGAAAGTCAATATCTGATGTCCAGAACCAATGCTGTTGGTTCACTGCTCCGTGTTCAAGAACGGGCTTGAAAGGAGACTGGCAAACAAACGTGCCTGATGCCATATGGCTTTACGAGTTGGTTTAGCAGCCTGAGGCAGCTCTTCCTTCCGCCGCACCTCCGATCCGGTCACGTGGACATCCCTTTGTTATTAGTTCAGGGAAATAGTTTTCCCTTCAAGATTTGCAAGGAATCACGTCCGTCCTACATATTTGCCTATTTCAAAAGCGCATAGTACTATCTCAATCCATTGTGGTGTCGCATGGTATAATGAATATAACGCCTAATATACGCTACCTACAGGTTGAAAGAGAAGATAGCCATGCTGAGGATATGAACATGACAAGAGAGCTCAATTTTTCCACTTCGAGGGATAAGAAGGTGTACGAGACAAGGAGATAAAATATATGCAGTGATGAGTGTAACAAACATGAACAGAAATATTATGCAGGAATAACCACACACAAAAAAAAGAAAAAAGTCATTCCGCTATTGAAAAACAAATAACATATCAATCAACACTCCAATACCAGCCTACCTGTAAGGATATCATCGAACGTAATTGCAAGATCATAAAAAGCCGTAAAGTCAATCTGTAAGACATAAGAAATGCCATGCCCTCGTCGAAACGAAGCAGAGACACCGAGAGACAAATAGTCGATCATTCATTGTAAAACTTCTTCATAATCAAATGCAAGAAGTAATCAACATTCACCCGTAATGTACCCTCGAAGAAATCAAGGAATTGAGTATTGTTGTACTGTGCTTGCAAAAGATCATCCAATGGTACCTGGGCACTGGCACCGGGTATCATCATATTGCCGCTACTTCCATCAAGAATGAACACTCCCACTTCGTTACTGGAAATGCTGAGGTCAACTCGGTCCCATTGACGCTCTGTATAACCTTTCCAGTGAACCAGGACTCCCTTTTCGGCAAGGGTGCGTGCGGAGTATTTGTAGGAACCAAGCTTGAACACCCGGCCGGTCTTTTGAAGTTCACGCTCGTGGTCCCATTGCTTCGTGAAGGGTAAGAGAAACCTTTTCTTGCCTTTTTTATTCTGGAGAGTGGCCATTGAATGCTCGATGTAGTCGTTATAGGTCTTCAATTGCTGCTCAAGGAACTCGGCCTGGTCATTCAGTCTGGATAGTGTTAAACGAACGCTTTCTAGCTCTCGTTCCCGTTGGATCCTTCGGCGATGCTTGGTTCGAATGTCCACCGCAATCGCATTTAATATATCTTGGTACTGATTATGTCGGCTAATCTTTCCTACTTGCTCCAACTGAAGTATGTTTTCGAGGGCGACACTTTTCAAGTCCGCATAGCTCATGGTACTTAGGTCTAGCGCTGTGTTTATTTCAGAGTAAGCGCCTTTCCTCTTGTTGTTTGCGGAAAGCTCGTCATGAACAAGAGACAGCCATCGTTGTTCATCCTCTTCCGTTGGGGGCTTGAGCATGATCTCCATGAGATTTGCACCGGACTGAACTCTGATAATATAAAGGATGCACCTCTTGGTCTCCATGAATAGGGCTTTGATGCCAGCTTCGGGATCTGTTCTCGTTAGTCCCAAAATATAATTCGAATCGGGGTGCTAATTCTCACCTTCCATATTAGTAAGCTTTGGATGGAGTGTTAGACTGATTTCAGAAGACCGGACTCCCATAAGCTCATGTTGACTAGCTTTGACTGTACCAAGATCACGTATAATCTCTTTGAGTGTGTCGTCCGGCCGTGTGCATAGATAGTCGATCTCAGATGCAACGAGTTGATGGATTGAGAAGATGTCGGACATTTTTATGTACAGAGTTGGCTTGGTCTTCGCGTACAGATCGTTGAACTCATCGATATCGAAATAAGACTCTGCTTCTTGTACGGAGATCACTAGAGACAAGTCAGACTTGTTTTGAAGAAACATAAAAACTGGAAAACTTACTATCGCCCCAGATTTCACCTAAACGCAGAATGAAGTTGCCGATATGAGGGTTCAGTGGTTGTAGAAAGACTCCCTCTTCCCCGAACAGGCGCCCTGATGCTACTTGGGAGAGGACCTTGGCAATCTCGCTCAAATCTCTCTTATGCTTAGGGTCCAAGCTATGATCGAGTACACCATGCTTCTCTGGTTCCAAGACAGCAGCCTGAAGATAATTCTTCCATATGCATTGACCTGCTACCTGTAGCACGAGGCCCGGATCTTCGTTGCTATACTGAGCGAGAAGCATCTCATATAATTCCTTGGCAATATAGCGTATACCGAAAGGCATCTTGGGCAGCGCTTCGTGGAATCTTCCAAGGAATTGCTCTGAAATGTCACGAAGGTTTTCAAGATGTTGGATGAAGATAGCCCGCGTCTCCGGATCGCGAATAGCAGCTTCTTTTGGTATATCAAGTGGTCGTCTGCTCTTTTGGCCAGTCCGGAGTTCTTCGTTGATGATAGCAGTGCGATATATTTGCAGGGGATCGCTCTCAAGGTCTATATCTGGGTTCTCAAGAATCCACTCTTTGACAATTGGATTGAGAATTTCTCGGAGAAACTTCCGGTCTCTTGGCGACTTGACGTATGCCACAAACAGCTTGATCCAGAATGAGTTGCATCGAACCCAGTCTTGCAAAGACGGACAGCTCTGTATCTCTTCTTTGATGGAACGAGTGATCAGTTTGATGAGATAGTATTCTTCTCGTCTCTTTTGTGAGTACCCAAAGAGACCCATAATGACGTGCTTTGTCTTCTCGTACTCCTTGTCACTGGTATTTTGCTCTCGTAACTTGCGGAAGAGCCTAGCGAGGTACTGTGGCTGGGTTTGAAGTAAGAAAAACAAAACCTGGTATTGCTCGAGCTTCTTTCGTGAAGTCTTGTTCAATGCCTTGAGATCAAACGGATCCTTTGACAAGATGTTGTTGTTCGACAGGAGAGACCCGACGTGTCCACCAAAATGTTTTTGATGCTTGACAACTTCATCCAGGGTAATCTTGTTCTTAACTAGCAGCGCAATCTTGATGTCCAACTGCGAGACGTACTGATCTGCCATCTCGTTCTGCCGGACTTGCTGCACGACAGTCTTTCGGAGTCTTTCGAATTCAATTTCTTCATCAAAGTCGAAATCACTGTCGTTGAGTAAATGAACAAAACCCTTGATAGTACCAACAGGGGGATTCTTTCCACTCGTAAGGCTCTTGTACGCCTGGCCTTGAATTTTACCCCTGACAAAGCTTTGGACCTTGATGACCTTGTCCATATTCTCTCGGAAGAAGCGCTGTTTTTCAGCAAATCGTAGTCGAACGAGATAACCTCTGATGCGTGCTTGGAAGTCGGTAATGGCGTCTTCGTCGGCCTCCAGATCCGACAACATATTGCCTACATCGATGCGGACGAGCATTGACCGAATAAGCCCTTGAAGTTGGATGACTTCATCTTCGTTATCTTCCAGCTCAGAGAGGATCTGCCCAATATCCCTTCGCACCAAAGCAGCACGTGTAAGTGATTGCAAAGTGGTATACAGCGGCGTATTGTTCTCAAGGTTTTCAAGATCGGATGTGACCCGCTTCCTCAAGGACATTCCGCGAGACATAGATTGCAAGAGCAGCACCTCTGGTTCCGTTTTCGCTAACGAGGTTCTTTGCTGCTCGAGATTAGACCTCAATGCGTTGGCACGAATAATACTCTGCAGATCTGCAACCGCTTCCTGATATTCATCGAGCTGATTTCGAACAATTTCGAGGTTTTTGCGGACTGCTGCAGCACGAATAGAGGACTGCAGAGAGCATATAATGTTTTCACTCTGCGCCAACTCCTCTTTAAGACCTGCTAACTTAGCCCTATGAGCCGAGGCTCGAATAGCAGATTGAAGGAATAAAACCGATCCAACTTCGTGCTGTAACTGAGCCGTAACTTGACCTACAGACCGGCGTGCTTGCATTCCACGAATGGCTGCTTGAAGCTTTTTGACCTCTTTTTCCGTACCCTTGGTCTCCTGGACTCGGTCAGAGGCCTGTTTTCGTTGCAGTGCACCCCTGATTGCCGCTTGGATAGACTTCACTCCAGATTCCTCTCGTCGCATCCTCGTTTTCAAATGAGATATTTGAGCCCTAGCTTTGCGGCCTCTGAAAAGGTTTTGTATCTTCAGGACTTCCGGTTCTTTGAGCTGCCACCATTCCTCTTCATTTTGTCTGCGTGTCCGGACCAAAAATCCTCTCGATATAGCTTGAAGGTTGACCGCAAATTGACGCATTTGCAAGCGATAACCAACGATCTGACGTGCCCAGTCACCTCGTATTATGGACTGTAGGTCGACGATCCATTGTTCATTGTCCCAAAGTTGGTTCATGACCTGACCCAATTTGAGTCGCAGTAGAGCACCCCGAATCTGTGTCTGGAGTTCATGGATAGACTGCTCGTTCTCATGTAATTCGCGTTCTACTCGTTCTTCTTCGGTTTCAACTGGCTCCGGTTCCGGTTCCGGCTCAGGTTCGGCGCCAAAGGTCGCTCCCATTCCAGAGAAACTGGGCATGCTGACGCCTGCTTTGTCCAGCCCCTTTTGCGTCTGTTCGAGCTCATGATGTTCGAATTGTAGTTGACCGACCAGGTTCCCTATGCGAAAAGCGACGATGCCGTTCTTATAGAGTAACCACGACAGAGCATGGATACAGTGAATGACCTTTGGGATATTCTTCTTCTCGTACAGATCGATCAATTCAAATCGAAATATATCAGGCAATGCGACTTCATCCAGGAAGCGGAAGAATAGAGCGATATTATCGGAGTGACGGTACTGCAAACGTGGATTCCGGAAGATCCGTAACGCCCTGTTGGGATATAGAGCTTGTACAATCTCAGCCAATGTCACACCATCCCGGAGAGCCTCTTCAAGCTGCACAATGGGCGGAATTTCCTTTTGAATGACATCTTCTATCCATTCTTTTGCTTCTCCGATATGGCAAAGATATTCATAGGCTTGTAGAAACTGTCTCTGTTTGTCCATCCAGTTGCCAGCTGCCCAGGATGACGACAAATTCTTCGTTTGGGCGACTGCGTTTCCACGAATCGAATCAGATCTTTTCAGTCGTCTTCTACCCTGCAGACCGACAACTGAAGGTAGAGCTGAATCCATAGTGAACTCCTCGGTCTCTCCAGACTTTGCAAATTTTGAGAGAGTCCGAAGGTGGCCTGTAGATGACTTTTGAAATGTCTCGAGTTCTGGTGCTGTAAAGGATGCAGTTAAACTGGGTGTAAGAGGACTGTGTGGGCCGTAAGAATGCTGTGAACGCGGTCGTGGAGGCGTTGAGGCTGGGAAGGGGAATTCTGTGTTGGTGTGAGGCGACGGTTCCTCATCTTGCCATCTAATTTTGCGCTCGGGTGTACCCGCAGGAGATACAGGCTTTCGATATACGGTGTCATCAATGGTATAGCTCCTAGCGTGACGAGTTGAGCCGTCCTTCAGTGAGCTCTTTGGAGAAGCATTGGGTGCCTGAGGAAGTGGGCGCAAAGAGCGCCGGACATTGCCATATGTCTCGGCTGCAGAAGGTCTTCTGTCGTGTATGGTGGAGGAACCTGAGGTCAAAACACTGACTTCACTCATGCCACGCTTGTGGCCGAAATTATGCAGGGATGAAGCATTCGATGAGATGGTACTACTTCGACTAGGCGCCGCATCATTCGAAAAGATAGAATAGGCGGATGAGCTGATCGTAGAAACAACGGAATCATGCCGCAATGGACTCGAGGCCGACGTCCCGATGTCGGTTTGTGATCGTCTAAATGCTGTCGGATGGGACATTACGCAGTGTATGGTGGAAGGTGGAAGGTTCGAAGATGAGAGTTAAGCGAACAGTTGAGCACCAAGGAACACATGCCTGCGTCCCTGCGCAAAATCAGTGTGTGTCAATTTCAAGATTCGTTTGTACGACGGCGGAGATGTTGTCGCAATCAAGGGATGAACAAGCGAGCAAGGAGGAAGTGCCGGCTTCTTCAGGCTGGAAGTGTGGGTGAGTAGTTGTTCTTCGTCTTGCTGAACAGATCAGCCGAAATAAGGCTGATCTCGACGACGGGCGGTGATAACAACAAAACTAACAGGAACAGGGCAAGGCCTGGTTTCGGTCGCAGTTTCCTTTGGTAGCACCGGGAGGGGTTGCCCGACTTCTTGTTTACATTTGTCCTGATCGGGAATAGCCGACTCTTTGCCGGTTGCTGAGGCTTGTTTTGCCGTGCGCAGTCACGTGATTTTACAAGCCACAAAAACAGCCGCTTTTTCAGTGTAATTACGGTATTGTGCTTATTGCGTCTGCCAACTGTGTGTAAGAGTCGTATCGGACCGTTTCAAACCTCAGGGTGCTGAATCATCGAAAATGACGATGCTGAATCAAGATCGCCCCACCGTACAAACACAGCATTGTTTGCAGCAGAAACGAGCTCGGACCTTATCAGAAGTAGTGGTCTGCTGGTCTGTGACTCTGCATTTGGCATCTCATCAGATCAAACATGGCTTCTTCAGATGATTTAAAATACGTCTACAAACTTGTCCCATCGAGTGCACCCATTCCTGAGTCTTTACCGGACCGACTGCCTGTCAGCGATCTGGACTTACAGTCGGGCTTTATTCATCTTTCGTCGGCCCGTCAAGTGCCGAACACTTTGAAATTTTTCTTCAAGGACGAGCCGCTTGTATATGTTCTCCGGCTGGAGTATGCCGGGGTTGAAGATAATATACGATGGGAAAGCCCTGATGCGAAGATATGCGGGCCACGGGATGGAGAGGGGATGTTTCCGGTAAGCATTACTCGTACTTCTCTCATGCGGGATCTTAGTAACTAGATCTAATACTTAAAAGCATCTCTATAATGGTCTCAAACTAGGAAAGAAGGAGATCGAAAGTGTGGCTGTTTGGAAGAATGAGAATGGCTGGGATCATGCGTTAGAAAACGCTGCCTCGTGGCTCATATAGATCCAATAGAATAGATGCATGCAATCCTACGGCGATTTTGCGAAAGATATGCCGGCAGCGTCACGAAGAGTAGGGGGAATCAAACCACACTCAGTCGCCAAGAGGATAACAATGCAAGATCTGACCATCTGTGATCGAGTGTCAGCTGAATACATAGCACGAAATGGCAGATAACTCACAGTATAGCGAAGCTTCAGGACTAGCCAGAAACACAAAGGTAGGGGCTACCTCACTGGGCTGACCCGGACGTCCGAGTGGGCTCTTCGAATGCCAACCTTCCATTTGCTTTGCCGGCCGTGTATCGGGTTGAATTGGGGTATATATGGCGCCAGGTCTTCAGCATTAGGCTGTTAGTGTGTACTATTTCTAAGACATCTTACGGTTGGAGACTTACGCAACCGCATTGACCCTAATGCCTTTAGGGATCAATTGAGTTGCCAGGGAGCGTGTAAACCCTACAATGGCTCCTTTGGTGGCTGCATAATCTACCATACTAGCAGAACCACGGAAAGTGACGACAGATGTTGTGTTTATGATGCTGTAGAAGATAGAATGTCAGACGAAAGCAAGACATTGATGGGGTATGCCAATACTCACGTGTCTCCCTGCTTCATGTACGTAAGTGCATACTTGGTAACTGCAAACATCTGCAGGATATTGCTTCGAAAAACGCTCTCAACGGTATTTAGATCAATATCAGTTAAAGTCTTGCACATGTACTGTTTAGATGCGTTGTTCACGAGGATGTTGAGACTCCCGTAACTAGAAAGTCCGAGTCAGTACATCTTAGAGATCCAGGATAGGCACATTGGACAACTCATACCTTCGATAATGCTCGTCAACTACCCGACGGCAATTCTCATGATCTGTCAGATCCCCCGCAAACAAAAAGCAAGACCTCTTTTCAGCTTCCACCATTTTCTTGGTGTCTTCGGCGTCTTCTTGCTCCTCGGGCAGATGTGCAATTGTCACATCGGCACCTTCTCTGGCCATAAGAACTGCTACAGCTCGACCAATTCCGGAGCTGGACCCAGTGTCGAGAAGAATGAGCCAAGGTACCTTCTCTTCATGGGCATGAATATACACTCACTCTCCGCCAGTGATTAGCACACTCTTGTCTTTCAATTTACCACTCCCGACATATTCAAAGAAGCCATCAGCATCCTCAAGCTTTGTCGACTCACTAGCTGGTTGCATGTTTGTCTCGAGACTATGATAAAACACTCTTCATTAGCGTTACCTTGCATAAGGCGTTGTATGTATATATGAGTAATTACCCCGGCTTTGTCTGACTTTGAGGAACACGAGGAGGCTGAAAGGTGCCATGTTGTTTCATTTCCTGTGATGCCATCCCATAAGACGTCCTCATCCAGACTGGGTAGTGGATACCTTAATAGCATGATTCTTCTTCCAGAGCCCGAACGACTTATATATGCAGCCCAATGATTTAGGTTCATTCGCAATCATGGTGTCGTCATCTATCGCGAGTCAATCCGTGCAGGCCTATATAAATGTTATTAATAACCTTTCAAAGTATATTAACGGAGTTATGTAGTCTTACATGGTTAGATGGTCAGTCCTCGACTCCTGGGTATGTCCACTACAAGGGCATATTCCACTACAAAAGGTAATCTAGGAAGTCAATCTGCCTCGTCGTTGGCAAGAAAACAGCCGAAATAGGCCCAATTGAATGCTTCTTTCGCTAAGGGGGAAGCGAAGGAAGAAAAAAGAAGAAAAAAAGAAGATAGGGCGCACTGCGCTGGATCAAAGGACAGTAAAGACTGCCACACTCTACCACTAATAAATCCCAGTCGCCGTCTCGTCCTTTTCGATTGTTGAGTCTTTTCACATCCCACGAGAATGGATTCATACCTAACCTTCGCTCTGGAGTCTGAAACTAGAAGCTACTCACACAAGTCACTATTATGGTACTATCTCAGATATACTCCAAAAAGCCATCCATCCATTGTCTCATGAAACCAACCAACCAGCAATCGATATGCCACTGTTGGTATCGAAGCCGATTGGCAGTTCACCGCCCTTGTCTTAGACCAATCAGAGACTAGCGTGACTATAGACCCCACACAACCGAAAAAAAAGTTATTCACCTCAATCCAGAATTCGCCTTCTTCCTTCTCTTTTTTTTTCTTTCTTTTCTTTGGGAAAGGAAACTCTTCCCCGTCAACAGGAACTTATCATCGTTGTTTGTTGACTGTTTTCTCATATATTCCTTTTCGTTTTACTCCCTGATACCCCCTCAATTCTTCATATTTTTGTAATTTTTCATTATCACCATGACTATCACCAACGGCGACGCCCAGGCATTCTTCCATGCCAGAGGAGAGATCCAGGACTACACCAAGGCTCTGGAAATCCTCGAGAAGGAATATCCTGCCAGAGATGGTTTGGATGTTGAGACCTTGCTCGACTCGGACAAGCACGGAGCCTTGACTTACAATGATTTCCTCATCCTGCCCGGTTATATCGGTATGGCGGTCACTTTTTGGGTTATCAAAAAATACCACCTTTTTACTGACCCCTCACACCAGGATTCCCTGCTTCCGATGTTACTCTTGATACGCCGGTGACCAAGCGCATCTCCTTGAAAGCGCCTCTTTTGTCCTCGCCTATGGACACGGTCACTGAACATAACATGGCCATCCACATGGCCCTTCTCGGAGGGTTGGGCGTTATTCATCACAACTGCTCTGCCGAAGACCAGGCCGAGATGGTCCGTAAGGTTAAGAGATACGAGAACGGATTTATTCTCGACCCTGTCGTTATCTCTCCCAAGACCACTGTTGCTGAGGCCAAGGAGTTGAAGGCTACCTGGGGGTTTGGTGGTTTTCCTGTGACTGGTAGGTTCTTTTTCTTCTCTTCCGTTTATGACCTCGTATCGTTGCCTTTCATGATGTTCCAACATCTTTACAAATAACTTTCGTTCCACCGTAGTCAGCGCAAGCTGTGTGGAGAAAAGATTCCTATCTGATTTTTGCTCTTTATGCCATATGCCACGATTTACGTATTTTAATATTGGTGACATTTACTAATTTCGGCAATTAGAAAACGGTACTCTCCGATCCAAACTCGTCGGTATTGTTACCAGCCGTGACATTCAATTCCACACCTCCGATGCAGACCCTGTTACCAAAGTCATGTCTACCGATCTTGTTACTGCTCCTGCGGGTACTACCTTGGCCGAAGCCAACGAGGTTTTGCGTAACTCTAAGAAGGGAAAGCTTCCTATTGTGGATAAAGATGGCAACCTTGTTTCTCTGCTTTCTCGCTCGGATTTGAGAAAGAACCTCCACTATCCTCTTGCATCCAAGCTTCCCCACTCCAAGCAGCTCATTGCTGCAGCTGCTATCGGTACCCGTGAAAGCGACAAGGATCGATTGAAAATGCTTGTTGATGCTGGTCTTGATATCGTCATCCTCGACAGCAGCCAGGGAAATAGTATGTACCAGCTCGATATGATCAAATGGGTTAAGAAGACATTCCCCCAGATTGATGTTATTGCCGGCAACGTGGTCACGCGAGAGCAGGCCGCAAACTTGATTGCCGCCGGTGCCGATGGCCTGAGAATTGGCATGGGTAGCGGTAGTGCATGCATTACCCAAGAGGTTATGGCTGTTGGTCGTCCGCAAGCCGTGGCTGTGCACAGCGTTGCCTCATTCGCTGCGCGATTTGGCGTTCCTTGCATTGCCGATGGTGGTATCCAGAACATTGGTCACATCGTCAAGGGTCTTGCTATGGGTGCTTCCACTGTGATGATGGGTGGTTTACTTGCCGGTACTACTGAATCTCCTGGAGAATACTTCGTTAGCAGCGAGGGTCAACTTGTCAAGGCTTACCGTGGAATGGGTAGCATTGACGCCATGGAGGATAAGAAGGCTGGTAAGGGTGGAAAGGACAGCAAGGCCAACAACGCTGGTACTGCTAGATATTTCTCGGAGAAGGACGGAGTCCTTGTCGCTCAAGGTGTGTCTGGATCTGTCCTTGACCGTGGATCTGTGACCAAGTTCGTTCCCTACCTTATTGCCGGTATCCAGCATTCGTTGCAGGATATTGGTGTTCGCAGCGTTAAGGAGTTGCACGACTCAGTTAACAATAAGACTGTTCGCTTCGAACTGCGAAGTGGCAGTGCCCAGGCAGAGGGTAATGTACACGGACTTCATAGCTTCGACAAGAAGCTCTACTCATAGATCCTGTTGACGGTTATAAGCAATGATTTGTATGAGTGATAGAAAAGTCTTATGAATGTATTATGATTGTTTACGCGAATTGGCGCATTTGATTCATGTGTAGGCTTGTAGTTTATCTGAAGTGGACTAGTCCGATAAGCCTCGGACCTGATGCTCCCCCCCGCGTTTGCTAGCTTACATGTAACTTAACTGCATGCCAACTACAAGCTTAATATGCAACCGAGGTAACGTCTCCTATTCATCCGTCGTATATACTCTGGTATAAAATGCTATCCATTCCCAGATGGCACAGAATTGCTGTCTATAATTACACTTCTATCGAGACAATTGGTTTATGCTTGAGCTCCTCACTCCCACGCCGATCAGCAAGTACAAGGAGACACCACGCAAAGAATCACTGCTATAGCTGCCATCGACCATTTTCAGCGCATCAAAGCTCGGCACGTAGTTCTGAATCAACAATGCCTACAAAATCGGAAAAGAGAGACGTGGCAGTCGCGCGACCGAGTTCAAGGTATATCTTCCCAGATACTCAATGTATGTATTTGATACTGAGTTTATACAAGTATCGTCCTCATCTCCCCAGAAAATGAAGTCCTACTCCTACACCGAGTGAGAACTTCCACATCATTCGCATCAGCGCACGTCTTTCCTGGAGGCAATATCTCTCCCCACCAAGACGGAGAATTCGATTGCGCAGCAGAAGATCCGCGGCGACATTTCGATGCACTCAATTATCGGAGAGCTGCTATTCGGGAATTGTTTGAGGAGAGTGGGATTTTACTTGCTAAAGATAGCGGTGCGACGGATGGTAGGTTGATACATGTAGATGATGCGGTGAGGGAGAAGGGAAGACATGATATTCATAATAACAAGATTGGATTTGGGGAATGGTTGAGGGGGCAGAATTCCGCTGCTGAGATGGATACAGGTACCACTCTCTCCTCTGGTTATTCACCATGCCTTTGCAATAGAAAGATATGCTGACGATTGAAGATAATCTGATACCTTTCACGCATTGGATAACACCACCGAATCTACCAAAAAGATTCTCAACGCAGATGTATCTTTACTTTTTACCCATTCCAGGCTCATCGGCAAATGAATCTATTACAGCACAGGGATTACCGGAAGGAGGTAGACAGGAAGTGCAAATACCCACTTCAGACGGCGGGATAGAGATCAACGAAGCACGATTCTTACCAGCATCGAAATGGATACAGCAGGCTCAAGCGGGCAAGATAATTCTCTATCCGCCTCAATTCTTGTTACTTTCTATCGTTTCGCAGTTCCTGGATCGAAGTACCTCTGCTGCTTCTAGTTTGGCAGAGAAAGAAGGGCGAAGAAAGGGGCTACTTGACTTCATTCACAGCGAAAATCCGCCGTGGACAGATAAGTTTGTATGTCCACGAAGTCTGCAATTGCTTGATGATCAGAGGGTCGTTCTTGCATTAGATCATCCGGGGCCGGAATTACATGATTCGGGGAAAAAGGGAGATTTTGAACGAGTGATTTTGGTGAAGTTTGGCAAGGATGGGCCTAGGAATGTTGAGGTGCGATGGAAAAAGGATGTACTAGAAGCGACAAAAAGTGTTTTATAAAAAGATAGTTTGATAGTCGATTATTTACACGCACTATAACAATAAGCACGCACTTACCGGCAAAGTCACATGACCCACACAACGCATCCCCACCGAATTTGCGGTAAGCCCGACAAAGCCAAATTCGCTCGAAGTTGAAGGCACCTTGAAATTTTCGCCCGTTCGCACCACCGTTTCCCTTCACACCAGTCAACCCCAAGACACATACAAACCAGCCAAAATGGAGAACGAAAAGGGAGAGATTGTCGATCTGTTAGTTCCCCTCTCTTGAATTCAAGGAAAAAAGAAAGAACTAATCTAATGAATGAAATAGCTACGTCCCCCGCAAATGCAGCGCAACCAACCGCATCATCAAAGCCAACGACCATGCCTCTGTGCAGATCTCTATCGGCAACGTTGACGAGAACGGCCGCTACACCGGCGAAAACCAGGTTTATGCGCTCAGCGGATTTGTGCGCGCTCGTGGTGAGGCGGATGACTCGCTTAACCGACTTGCGCAGCGTGATGGATATTTGAAGAATGTCTGGAGTGCTCAGCGATAAATTTTTTGTCTTTGTCAAAAAATTGTTTGCCTGTGGTTTTTATGTTGATTGGGGGTTCGATTAAAATGGGTTGATGAATTCGAGTTCGGTTTTGGTATCGGATCGGATCGATGATATGAATGATGCGAATTTTTTCTTTGATGTTCTTATGTGTGTGGTGGATTGATGGGCTAGGGTTTTGTGCCTGATGGTGAGTCTAGTTTCTGAATCTTGAGATTCGGCGAGAAGCTAATTGATAGTAGATGACACTTGTATGATTGATATACATATCCAATCCAACTCAATTCAATCCCACTCCAGCATCTCACATGGAAACCGGACGAGAAATATCAGACCGAGAATTGATAGAACTCTTCGAATCTATACCTAATACAAAAGAAGCACAAAAATAACCAAAAAGCCATTCTACTATTTCTCTTTAAAACCGGCACATCAAGGCCTCCTCACTCTTTCTTCCCATGAGAGAGGAGGTAGAACACTTAACGTACATCCAATCGCCGGATATTATTTTATATACAAACTCGCCTACTGAAGAGCCACAGTTATTTCTGAGAATACGAGCTGGGGCACAGATACGGGCGGGACATTTGTAGATTGTAACTTATCAGATTAGATGATGGCTAGAGAATAATTCTATGAATGAAATTCCTTTTTATACCGTGAGTTTTAAATTCATTACACATTTCTGCTCATCCTTCATCTCTTTTCATTTGTCAAATATCAATCCTTCCTTGGCCCAATTTAATCCCTCTCGAGACGAACAGCTGGATTCGATTCGATGAAGTTCAGATCAACTTTGTGACCGAGTAGTTCACGGATATTGCTGACTCCGTACCTGTTTTTGACTCATTAGCACATGTCAAGACACACTGGGGGTAGGAACATACTTGATCATAGTAGGTCGCTCAAGACTCAACCCCCAGCCATACACTCTCATATCCTTTGGCAGCCCCATAGACTCCAACATTTCCGGACGGAACATCCCACTATTCCCAATCTCGACCCATTTCCCCAATCCATCATGAAATCCAAAAATTTCCATACTGGGTTCCGTATAAGGGTTGTAAGCCGGTTTGAAACGAAGACGATGAATACCCATCTTCGCGAAGAAGACTTCCATGAATCCGATCAAGCCCCCAAGGGCAAGGCCAAAGTCTGCAATGACACCTTCGACTTGGTGGAATTCGGCCAAGTGGGTGGCGTCTACAGCTTCATTGCGGAAGACGCGGTCAATACTGAAGTAGCGGGCTGGTCGGGGGTTGGCGGCCAGTTTGTGGAGCATGTAAGTCGACACAGATGTTGTGTGTGTTCGGAGGACGAGTCGAAGGGCCTCGTCTGGGTTCCAGGGATACCGGTATCCGATCGAGCCGTATTTACCGTTTTCGTGCACAGCACGAACATTGTCCCAATATGCCTTGTAGTCTAGCGGCTTGTCTTCTTGCTTCTTGTCTGATGATGGCATAGTCGACGCCCGGGTCAAGTGCGGGTTGTTGGGAGGATCCTCGCGAGGGGGATCGGCCTTTACTGGATCGGCGATGTAGAAAGTATCCTGCAGGTCACGGGCGGGATGTTGCTGCGGTACGTAGAGAGCGTCAAAGTTCCAGAAACCCGTTTCGACGAAGCGGTTGGTGGGCATCTCCTCGAATCCCATCTCGAAGAAGATACTCCTGAATTCCTGTCGGACCTTGTTGAGCGGATGCAATGCACCACTGGGTGTTGGGGCACCCTTTGCTTTGAAATTGTACGGCTTGAAATGAGCGGTTTTCCACGATCCGTTGGTGAGCATATCTGCAGTCAAATCGGTTTCTTCCTTGACGAACTCGCGTGCATATTTTGCACCCTTCCAGAACTTAAAGCTTAGTATTTTGGATACCGTGATTAGCTTCCTCTTCTTCAAATCGGCGATAACCTTGGCATCCGGGTAGCTTTGCGATTCCTTGACGGTCTGTAGTACCAATTTCGTTTCGTCTTGGATCTTGTCTGTGCTCGCTCGAAGCAGATCCTTATCTTTCTTAATCCATCCTCGCTTGAAGGCATTGCCCTGTCCGACCTTGGCGACATCCTTTCCAACAATGCCGGGAAGATCTGTGATTTTCAATCCGTCGATGGCTTGAACAACAGCGTCAAAGACCTTGGCTTCATGCGAGCCATTGGCGGCAATGGACTCGCCTTCTTCTGTCAGGACAAGAGCTTCTTTGTCTATTGTCTCATATTCCACCATTGACCGCGACGCTAGACGGTCCAACGCAGCTTTTATGTTCAAGGACGGAGTGGAGGGGAAGGCTTCGGTGGAGAGGAGAGGTTGATCCGTCGACGACAGAGCGTCCAAAATGGGCGCTGTCAAATCAGACGCCATTTTTAGCCCTTCTACTAATTTCCTGTATTCAATGCTAAACGGTCGAGTAACGTCGCTGGTAACGTGGGTGGATCGGTTGATGCTGTGTGTATGACTCTTTTCGGACAAAATTAGTCAAATTTCGATACGGCGAGCCAAATCGACCAGCCATGCAGCTCTGCCCCGCGGATAGTCACGTGCTATCACATGATATGTTTGTGCCTTGGTGCCTGATGCTGTATAAACTTTCCAACGCTAACAGTAAATAAAGTCCTGAGTACTCCGTATATCACCAAGATAGATGGCCACCGGGACAATCCCAATGTTTGAGCTCACAATGTACCTATCACGACGTGTTGGATTGCCACCTTCAACCTTATTCAACAAACCAGTTCCCGATGTATCGCTAACTTCAAGTCGCAGATGTCGAATGAACTCCTGAAGCTGTCCTTGAGCACTGACCGCAGGCAGTTCATTCCCCCGTATTTCTGCTGACGATCTACACATTCACAATTTCCCGAAAAGCGGGCTATGGTAAGCACAAGGAGGCAGCGATATGGATGCCATCCAAATCATCTCTACACGCGACGCAACTTGATTTTCGTGTCGTCAATCAACTACTAATCCGACACGCATTCTACGACTATATGATGGGTGATATAGCAATGCAGCCCAATCCTGAAAATCCGCGGATGACGTCGTTTTCCAATCCCCGCCAAGGTCTGATCCATGTATGTTATCCTTCTACGATTATTTGCGTTCCTTACAGAGACTTTCCTTGTAAATCTGTGTTCCGTGCATATACGTACATAGCTGAAGCATTAGTGCTGGGAACTGGACGAACCACGATATTTTTTGCGGTGATGTCGATCCGTCGGATTCGATACGAACCTGTGTTGGACTGTTGGTATGAAGGTACTCGTGTAGTGCAGCACGAAGTGATTGGATCTACAATCTGCTCAGTCACGACTTGACCACTCGTATGGGGTTATGCCCCGCGGCGACACGTTTCAAGCTGACCGTTAGTTCCCAAACTCCTCCTAAGTGGTCGATCATAAGGGATCCAGGAATCATATGACTTTGCAAGCTTATGAAATGCTGCTCACTTTTAACACTTACATGCATAAGACTGAATGCAAATTCCAGATGATTATCATTTTCTGAGACACTGACAGTCAGACGAATATCGGGCTTTTCGAGGACAGAGGACGCCAATCAAATCGTTGATCAGTTTAATGATAAATGAACTCAAAATCTGATTCGTGAACCAAGGTCTGTGATCGAATTTTAGAACTCTTTCGGTATTGAATTAGTTATCTGGTTTCTTATTGGTGCGAATCAGGAGAAAAACACATGTCCCCTTAATACGGTGGTTACGGAGTACAAAGTTGATGCTAAAATAAGTTTAGATGGAGGATGCCTATGAATAGGTCCGCCCCAGATGGTGCCGTGACAGAACCATGGAACGGCCATGGTTCATCTCATTGAATTTTTCCTGTCTTGGCAGGAATGTATAGTAGCATCATATACGATTGTCTCCCGGTATCTCTGGATACTTCATGGAAGAGCTCCAAGAGTAGCAAATGTTGCAATCAATTTCTGAAGCGCCACTGCAAGATAGATGAATGGCGGGATGAATCTCATAAGGATGATAAGATAGCATCGACTGTACTAATCCGATAAGGCTAGTAACATATAGTTCTCTGCGCTAGTCTTTTAATGCCTTTTAGCGGATCACACATTCTAAGTTGGACCACTAGGCATTTGACTTGCCATCTTCGAATTACAACTAGTACAGTGTGCATCGACAAACCACGGGCCCATTTACCGGCGTACTCCGTGAGGCTCATACAGCTTGCTTCAGTACTGAATAAACTCGTTCCGTATCAAGAACACAGAGTGCACGTACCAGCAGTTGAATACCCTTCATAACGGGACATGTCACTGTAAGAATCGGCGCCCACCCGACAAATCATTGGCTGATCTGCAATTGGAGTGGGACCCCCCTCCCATGGAGACCAGCTGATCTGAGTCTTGACCAGTCACATTCACGAACTACTGCAAGAATATCCACTTTACAATTTCTGATTGGACACAGACTCAAATCCGTTAGCTTTTCCCGGACTTTGAGTCGTAATTCGACCAACCTTTGAGGATGCACTAGTCCCGAAGAGGCGTTACAGTGGATCATGCCATCCACATGTTTTTCTTATTGTTTCGGATTCCCTTCCCCCGGCTTGGTGGAAACCGCTAGTCCGAAAGAAGATAAGCCCCCGTACAGGAGGAGACGGTAAAATAAAGATTTTCTCCCATTAGAGCAGCGGTATCGTTGTATGTAACCATCCGCCTGTTAATGGCAGGAAACAGGGCTATCTCCTTCCCTGTATGCTCGTTAGCACCACCGCCTTTTCTTCCTTTCTTCGAAGCAGCCATTCTGGTCAATTTGCTGTCCCTTTGCTTTTTTCTTTTTCTTCTTTTCCCTATTCATCGCTCAGTATACACAAGGCGAAGAGTACCAAGGACGAGAACGCACAGCAACAGTGCAGAAGGATGTATGCTAATCCCTTTCCCCCTCTTCTTCCTTCCCTCCGTCTCTCCTGCTTTCAAAGCAGCATTTCATCCCAAGAAGTCACGACCAGCCTCGACTTGTCACATTTTGCCGTGACTGTCCGTGCTTTTGTTCTTCTCTCATCATCATTTTCAACGACAAAATGCATCACTAACTAACATCACCTCTATCTGCAATATAGAGAGATCCCTACGCTGGTCTGGATCGCTGCGACACTCGATAAACGTAACGCGTCGTGTTGTCCAGTTTCACAAATTTGATCATTCGTGGTCCGATCGCATCTACTTTGTTATCAACAACAGAGCGACTCACTCGACCCGATTGCGCTAGTTATACTTTCATTATTCACTACGAGTCATCTACCTCACCGCCCAAAACCACTCAACTTCCTTCTCGAAACACCCAACACTCATGTCGTTTCCATAACCGACCTTCTCCCATCAGAACAGTTGAACACGCGGATATATTATTTCTTTCCGCGTCCTGTTTGGCGGACAGGCCGGACTGATTTTTAAATCGATCTGTTTTGCTTGAAATATTGTCGCGCTCGATTCAGTAGCCAGTGCACTAGTCATCATGGCGAGTGACGAAGATCCATTCTACGCCGCTGCGGCTATTCTGAAAACCCTGGCCGTTGAACCTCCACCGAGTGATGATGATACAGATATTCCTAAGAAGGCAACAAACGGCTTTGCCAAGAAGCGCATCCAACTCCCTGGGGAGAGTACGCCAGGGAAACTGGCATTCACCGTCGAATTAGAGCTATTAATGCGTCGAGTGCATGATCTAGAGACAGAACTAGTCAGTCATCCTATTTTCTTTCTTATGCATTTGTCTTTTGTTCCCATGCGACTGGTCCCTCCTTTGACGTGGTCATTCTAATTCGACCTTTGTTCTAGCAGTACAAGAGACCCCGCAGATCGCGAAGACTCAAGCGCAAATACGATGATGATGATGATGACGATGATGATGATGATACCGCTGATGAAGACGATGACGACGACGACGAGGAGTCCGAGGAAAGCGACGATGATCATGCCGCCAATGGAGCTGTTGTCAGTCGCCGTCGAGCACTGCGCGGTGGAGCGGAAACCCTTCGTTCACTTCAAAATCATGTCGAAAAACAAGCCCATGAAATCAGCATACAAAAGGACATTATTGCCCGGGTCCGAGAAGAACTTGATATGCAAGAAGAACGTACGCGGCGGACACTAGTAAAAGTCGAGCATGAGGATGTCGGGGTTTTACAACGTGAATTGCGGAAACATCAACAAGCCAATGAGGCGTTCCAGAAGGCATTACGAGAAATTGGTGGTATCATTACACAGGTCGCGAATGGTGATCTCTCCATGAAGGTTCAGATCCATCCGCTGGAGATGGACCCAGAAATTGCAACTTTCAAACGTACAATCAACACTATGATGGATCAATTGCAAGTGTTTGGTAGTGAAGTGTCAAGGGTCGCCCGTGAAGTCGGAACAGAGGGAATACTTGGTGGACAAGCTCAGATCACCGGCGTGCATGGTATCTGGAAGGAATTGACAGAAAACGTCAACATCATGGCTAAAAATCTCACCGATCAAGTGCGCGAAATCGCAACCGTCACCACTGCTGTCGCACACGGTGATCTTAGTCAGAAGATTGAAAGTCGTGCCCATGGTGAAATATTTGAACTCCAACAGACCATCAATACCATGGTGGACCAACTTCGTACTTTTGCTACGGAAGTCACTCGCGTCGCCCGTGATGTCGGTACTGAGGGTGTCTTAGGTGGACAGGCTCAAATCGAAGGCGTCCAAGGCATGTGGAATGAATTGACGGTTAATGTGAACGCCATGGCCAACAATTTGACAACGCAAGTGCGTGATATTGCCAACGTCACAAAAGCAGTCGCCAAGGGTGACTTGACACAAAAAGTGCAGGCCAACTGTAAAGGAGAAATCGCTGAGCTCAAGAATATTATCAATTCCATGGTGGACCAGCTTCGGCAGTTCGCCCAAGAAGTCACGAAGATCGCCAAGGAAGTCGGTACAGACGGTGTTCTTGGTGGTCAAGCAACTGTTCATGATGTCGAAGGCACTTGGAAAGACCTCACCGAAAACGTCAACCGAATGGCCAACAACCTCACTACTCATGTGCGTGAGATTGCCGAGGTCACTACTGCTGTCGCCAAGGGTGACTTGACCAGGAAAGTGACAGCCAATGTGCAGGGTGAGATTTTGGATTTGAAGAATACCATCAATGACATGGTGGATCGTTTGAATAAGTTCGCATTCGAAGTCAGCAAGGTCGCCAGGGAAGTCGGTACAGATGGAACTCTTGGCGGTCAAGCCAAAGTTGACAACGTGGAGGGTAAATGGAAAGATCTTACCGACAATGTCAACACCATGGCCCAAAATCTTACTTCGCAGGTGCGAAGTATCTCTGACGTGACGCAGGCCATTGCCAAGGGTGACCTCAGCAAGAAGATTGAAGTTCACGCACAAGGAGAAATCCTCACATTGAAGGTGACGATCAATAACATGGTTGACCGTTTGGCGAAATTCGCTACTGAGTTGAAGAGAGTCGCACGCGACGTCGGTGTCGATGGGAAAATGGGTGGTCAAGCCAATGTGGAAGGCATCGCTGGTCGATGGAAGGAGATCACGGAGGACGTCAATACCATGGCCGAAAATCTTACATCGCAAGTCCGAGCTTTTGGTGAGATTACTGATGCTGCCACTGATGGCGACTTTACCAAGTTGATCACTGTCAATGCATCTGGTGAAATGGACGAGTTGAAGCGCAAGATCAACAAGATGGTTTCCAACTTGCGTGACAGTATTCAGCGTAACACTGCCGCCAGGGAGGCTGCAGAACAGGCCAATCGCACCAAGTCAGAGTTTTTGGCCAATATGTCTCATGAAATTCGAACACCCATGAACGGTATCATTGGTATGACTCAGCTCACGCTGGATACCGACGACCTGAAACCATATCCTCGTGAGATGTTGAATGTGGTCCACAACTTGGCCAACAGTCTGCTGACAATCATTGACGATATCCTCGATATTTCAAAGATTGAAGCCAACAGAATGGTTATTGAAAGCATTCCGTTTACTGTCAGGGGAACCGTATTCAACGCACTCAAGACGTTGGCGGTCAAGGCCAATGAAAAGTTCCTCAACCTCGCATATCAAGTGGATAGCTCTGTACCTGACTACGTTATCGGTGACCCATTCCGTTTGCGCCAGATTATTCTCAACTTGGTTGGAAACGCCATCAAGTTCACAGAACATGGTGAAGTCAAGCTGACCATCAGCAAATCTGAGAGGGAGCAATGTGCTAGAGACGAGTATGCTTTTGAGTTCTCGGTATCCGATACAGGTATTGGTATCGAGGAAGACAAACTCGATCTCATCTTCGACACCTTCCAACAAGCCGATGGATCAACAACACGTCGGTTCGGTGGTACTGGTCTTGGTTTGTCTATTTCCAAACGTCTTGTTAACCTCATGGGTGGTGATGTCTGGGTCACGTCAGAATACGGACACGGCAGCACATTCCATTTCACTTGCGTGGTCAAGCTTGCAGATCAATCGTTGAATGTCATTAGCTCGCAGCTCATTCCTTACAAGAACCATCGTGTTCTTTTCATCGACAAGGGACACACTGGTGGACATGCGGAACAGATTACACTGATGCTGCAACAACTTGATCTTGAGCCTCTCGTCGTCAAGGATGAGGACGAAGTACCTCCACCAGAAATACATGATCCTTCCGGAAAGGAGTCTGGCCATGCTTACGATGTCATTATCGTGGATACTGTTGACACAGCTCGGACATTGCGAACGTACGACGAGTTCAAATACATACCAATTGTCTTATTATGCCCAGTGGTGTCTGTGAGCTTGAAGTCTGCTTTGGATCTTGGTATCACATCGTATATGACGACTCCTTGTCAACCAATTGATTTGGGTAATGGAATGCTACCTGCGTTGGAAGGTCGCTCGACACCCATCACAACAGACCACTCCCGATCACTCGATATTCTACTTGCAGAGGACAACGAGGTCAATCAAAAGCTGGCCGTGAAGATTCTCGAGAAATGCAACCATGGAGTCACCGTGGTGGGCAATGGTCAGGAGGCATTGGATGCCGTCAAGAACCGGCGATACGATATTATCCTTATGGACGTTCAGATGCCTGTCATGGGAGGATTCGAAGCAACAGATAAGATCCGTGAATACGAACGTGAAAACAACCTTTCTCGCACTCCCATCATCGCTCTTACAGCGCACGCTATGTTGGGTGACCGAGAGAAGTGTATCCAGGCTCAGATGGACGAATACTTGTCCAAGCCTCTGAAACAGAACCAAATGATTCAAACCATCCTCAAGTGCGCGACACTTGGAGGAAACTTTATGGAAAAGAACAAGGAATCTCGACTCGCAGGACCTAATGAAGGACATCTTGCACCTGTCACTCATCAACAACGTCCTGGAATGGAAGGTCGAGCAATCACATCAGGGCAGATCAGTACTGAGACTGACAGCCCAGGCACTGAGGAGGGAGGAGAAGTTGAAGTCGACCGAGTAAGTCTACCTGTGGATCATTGTTATAATAACCGCTAACATTTCTTAGCAGAAACTATTGTTACGGTCCCATAGCAGCTGATTTCTCTATTTTCATGATTTCCCTTCATTGACAGCGACTTGATTTCACTTTCTTATTCAGGGCAAGACCCCCCTTTGTCTTCTTATCTCGGTTCTACCTTCTCACTTCAACCTCCATCTTGCATATCTCTATTTGTGATATCGATCGTTGTCCCATGTTTTTTTTTTTTTTTTTTTTCAAATGCTTCGGTGACAAATGAGGACCCTAAACTCATTCCAGAATCCGTCTAAGCAATTCCCACGACAGATGTTTTCTTTACCTAACTATTCCATTTCAATTCTTGTTCCCAATTTTTAAGTTAGGTCAAAAAAGGTTATTATGTATAACCTTTTCTTTTGGGCGTTAGCGGGTACGATGGTTGCATTCCAACTGTTTTTTCCTTTTTTGTTTCTATCTATCATACCCCAAGGTCAAATCTTTAATACCTTGAGCGTGAATTCAGTTTCAGTTTAGGAATTATATTTCTTTTACGGTTATTGGATTTTTTGATCGTGTTTTCCAAATCTTGGTTGTGGTGTTGAGTAGGAAGGGATGATGGAATTTCAATCATCCTGTCAGAGGCGCTTGAGACAACAGAGATGTATTCTCTGTTGTTTATGAAGTAATGAAATATTTAGAATTTTGAATTCAATTTCGTGCAGATCTAAGACAATCTGTTTGTTAACCAAGCAATTGACCTTATACCTAGCTATGTATGCGGCTGGATATGGAGAAAGCCTACATAAGTTGCCAAACCTAACGGAGCCTTGTTCTTGGTCTAGTTTCCGGTTTTCATTCTTGCTTCGATGTTGTTGGTTTGGTTCGACGAAATGCCAGGTCTTCTGCAAGCGACATACCACGCTCAACGTCGGAGAGCATCAAGGTATTAAGGAGGAGGACACCATGGTTCTTGGATTGAAGTAGCTGGAAGTAGCCACTTCGCGTAATCTATTCCATCATGAGAACGTGATCTTCTGTGACATGGCGAAGTGGTATCGGGTATGTAGACTCTGGACCGTTAGTATTCAAAGACTATTCTGACGTGTTGAAAACTTACTTGTCGTTTCCCATGATTTTTTTCTTGTTAGTTTTTTGATTAGCCATCCATAGCTTTTCGAACAGCCAACTTCCATCGCAATAGTTGGCCATTTTCTCCCGCGAGGAAGACTGAGAACGGCGTATGGCTCCTTGCAACTAGGTTAAAAATTGTGTTAGACTATGTTATATTATACTGAGAAGAGATGCTTACCAGCCAGCATACAAGCTGTTGAAAGATTGAGTCTTGTTTCGTGATAAGATCAGATCTATATCTGTACTTGTAGTCCATCCCAGGGTAGAGTCCAGCTCAACAACCAGTATTAGCCATTTATTTGAACAGTATTTTGGTAGCCTTCAGTGGTAGGTAACTTCTGTTGGTCCGTTTCTTTCGATCCTCGTCTTGGACGTGGGTTTGGCCAAAGCCTGAAAGACGAGGCCCATTCATAACTTTACTTTGCTCCCTGACTGCCCATGAACCAGTCGTAGCATTGTGATCGAAAGGAGGCATAATTGACTATGAACTTCACTAGACAGGCCATGGCATCGAACGAGACACCACTAAAGAATATCAGAATCAGCTAGTAGAGATAATCCTAAACCCAGTGAAACTTACAAACATACCCTGCCTTCGACAAAGTTTGCGTCGTCCAGACAGACTTAGATTTTGAGATGGTCATCAAGATATTCATTGGTCGTACACACGAATCTATGCAACTGTTCGTCCCAGCTCATCACGACTTTTGATATCGCTGTTGTGATATTCTCGATGATGGGATGGCGTGAGGGAAGATTGGACTCGGCGCTATGGTGATATGCATTCGAAAATTAAATCTGCTCCAAAGAGCTAGAAAATAGCTCAAAATACAATTACCAGAATGTCCCATTAGGAAGCTCCCTTTTTGGTAGGCTGGTATAGATCTTCGTGATGACAGATAGAAGAAGAAGAAGAGGGAAGAAAAGTTCAAGACCAGGAAAGGGCTTTGAATAGGATGGTATGAGCTGCCCTAGGCAACAACAGATGATGACATTATGCTTTGCCCGACTTCTGAGGAAAGATAGACGGAAGGCGGACGGTCAATTCAACAGCGTTTGAGCTCGATCTGATTAGCCGTGTGCAACGAGCTTTACGCCCAGTCAGGCTGCTGCTTTTATGATCCATGAGTCCTTGAGAGGGATAACTATTTATTGTGCAGAGAGGACTACGCGTCGGGTAATTCGTTTGCTTTGGACGACACTGTATGAGGTTTTCAGTTGCACGATATGTGAATATATCCCGAAGAGGAAGGAGTTACCAGATTAGGTTATCATAGTTAGGGCTAAAGTGACCTTTCATTGCTTCTCTTGCTCAGGAACCAAAAATATGATAGATACGTCAAATAACAGAGTATCCTTATATGAATAGCACTATATTAACTCTAATAATTATAAAAATGAAAGCAGCTTTTGATCTATGAAAATTTCCTACGTGTTCAGTCTTTTATCCAACCCCGCTCATCTACCTAGGTAACAGATTCCTCTCTTCAATCTGGATCCTTCTTCGATCATTTCCCATCGAATTGTTTTAATGCCAATAACAAGCATTCGTAGACGCCGGAGAAGATTATGATGATGACATCATAACAGACAACTTGATCTTAGGCATATTCGACGATGGACTTTCAATAGCAAAGTCCACTGCCAATAATAGGACCTAACTTCGACGAAATCGGACAGGCGCAGAAGCGCTCGCTGGCCCAGCCTGGGGCGGCGGAGGAGGAGGAGGCGATGCAGGCGCAGAAGCAGGAGCAGCAATAGACTGCACAGGTGGACCTCCTGCAACAGTAGTAGTCGTCGTCACTCCTGCCGACGTCGTTGATGAAGTTGCGGGTGTTGTCGAAGATGATACAACCTGGGATACTGAAGTAGTCGCCTCAACAACGCTAGTAGCTACAGAAGAAGTAGTAGCAGGACCACCAATATTCCTGCGTGTTGTTGTTGTTGTTGTTGTTGTTGGTGTCCGTGGGGTCGTGCGTGATGTCGTCTGTGAAGCAGGGCCGAAAGCGAGGACGCTCGGGCTGCTGCTAGGAACGACAGAACTTGGGATTGCAGTTGAGATAGATGGCTCGCCAACCCTTGTCGATGTCGACTCCGAGGTTACCGGTTCGGAGGGAAGGATACTTCCAACACCGAAAAGACGGCTTGAAGAAGTTGGTGATGAGCGTGGAATGCTGGTTGATGGCGAAGAAGCTGGTATCGAAGGTCTGAATACTGAAGATGTGCGAGACACCACTGGAGGGGATGACGGGATGGAAGAAGCTGGACGAGTGGTTGTCACTGACGGAGGGGGGGAAGCTGGTGGAGAAGAAGGAGGAGGAGGAGGTGGTGGTGGTGATGGCGGAGGAGGCACGGATGTAGATGTAACTCTAGAAGATGAAGGTATAGTAACAGTGACAGTATTCGGTGATGGCGGAGGACAGAACGTCTCAGTGACCGTCACAGTAGACACACAAACCGGAGAAGATGAAGGCGTAGACGGACGAGGAGGTGTCACCACTGATGATGACGATGGTCGCGGTACAGATGGTGCCGGTGGAACGCTAGACGACGGTCTTGGAGGCGTAGTCGAAACTCTGGGTACAGACGAGCTAGACGTCTGAGGAGGAGCAGGTCTTGTTGAGACGCTGGTAACTCTTCTGCTAGAAGTTGGCTCATCGACTGGTATGGCGTGAGCGTTTCCATTCCCTTGAGGTAACGCGAGAACGTCAGACGCCAAAAGCGTCAGGAGAAGCGCCAGGACCCTCATATTTGCTTGATTTATTTGCCTTTCTTCTGCTGCGTTTTGATCAATCTTGTGAACGAGGGTGTAGATGTCAACTCACTATCCGAGAGATGTAGAGAAAAGAAGGAAAAGAAGAGGATAGGGCGGTGGATTCAATATTATACTATCCGGGTCAAGGTATTCACAAGAACGCCTCAATTGATATCACAAATTCATCAAGTTCGCCATTTTAGGAATTCAGTACACCCAATCAGTTTTTGGAGAATTAGGGTTGTCGAAATAAGCTTGCGGATTTCCCTTCCGTTGCGCCATGGGTTTCATCCAGTGACGCAGGTTGCGAGAACTTTCTTTATACATCGATTACTGGTAGGTTTGCGAAGTCAATGTTATTTAAATAGAGCCGTACGACTTAAAGCTTACGACTTTAACGTACTATTTGATGTTTGAACGTGAATTGTTCTTGCTGCCATGCTACTTCCTGAGGTCCTAGTTAAAGTCCGTGTGGCCACCAGAATATTAAGACTTGCCACTGGTCTCGGAATTCACCTTCGCCTAGGAGATTAGTGTAAAGACATGAGTGATGTAACGAGGCATTGACAACCTCATCCGAGCTGACAATCCAGCAGACACGGAAGTATAAAATTTTTGCTCAGACATATGTGCCCCGAAAACATTATGTAGATATAGCATGCCAAAATGTACATATACACACTAAAAAACAACCCAAGGATGTCTCCATCCTACCTTGAGCAACTTTGCAGTCGTAAATGCAATTGCTCCACTGAAATAACAACACGCCACAAATGCAATAAGACCCCAGTAGTGACCACTACATCTAGACAGAATCTCACCTGCGATCGGGACGCCAGTTAATGTTCTAATACGTCAGTAACCACGTTTCCTACAACATAGGAAAGGCGGGGAACATACCCCAAACTAACAATCGTATAAGCAGTAGCATAATACCTCCCATAATGCTCCGTCTTACACAGCTGACCCACACAAACCGGGGTCAAACTGATATTACTTCCGCTAAAAAATCCAAACAAAACCGAATACACAATCAACAATGCCAAACTGCTGCCGGCAGGTAACCAGAGACAGGCGGTAGTTACCAAACAGCCCAGACAAGCAAGAATCATGGTGTTGAATCGACCAAGGTAATCTGCAATATATCCTGGTAACCATCTCCCAAACGCAGAACCAGCGTTTAGAATAGCCAGGATTTGATAGGAGAAACTCGGCGAGAACCGTTCCGCTAATGCATAAGAAGAGATGTATGTCACGGGAACAAATAACCCCCATTCAATCAAAAACACCCCTGCCGTGGTAAGCGTGAATATAGGATCACGAAAGATTCGAAAATCAGGTAAAATATTCTCCTTCGAAGCCGGCTTAGGGGGTAGCCGAGATCGAATCAATATACACGCCATCCCCAGGGACACCAAACAAAACAACGCAATCACTCTTGTAGCCCACGCAAACCCGATTTTGGGGAACAACGCTTCAAGGACCAAGGGAAAAACGACGCCGCCGACTGAACCACCCATGGCAGCTATACCCGTTGCTTCACCTCTGCGCTCGTAAAAGAAATGACCCACTGCCGCGATGGAGGGCGTGAATATAAGCGATGTGCCAATACCCATAAGCACGCCTAGCACAAGCATGAAATGCCAATACCTCTGACAAAACCCCAACACAATCGTCGACACCAGTATCAACACCGAACCCGAAAGAACAAGCCACCGTGGGCCCTTGGCATCAAACACAGGACCGATCTGTAGTCCACAAAAGAAAGTGAGACAGGCATAGATACCAAATATCCAGCCAATGGTACCGGAATCATAAGTTTGGAGTTGGTGCGTTGAGATGTATGTTTGGAATGTGCCGATTGTGTTGACGAGGCCCATAGCGCCGAATAGTCCGAGAAAGCTGCCTAGGACGACGAGCCAGGCTTCGAGACCACCTTCGGGATAGGTGTTGCCGTAGGGATCGGTTGAGATGCGGGTTATGGAGTGCATCATGTCATTCTGTTCCTTCTCAGAGGTGGATTCGTCTTGATTTTGTTGCTCGTCACCGTCAAGATCTCCAACGACATTATCGACATCCCTCTCAACTGTAGAACCTTGTCTAGGCACAGACTCATCTGTCACCTCATTCACCCCGCTTTTGCCCATCGATAATTCCGGCTGTGGCTCTTTTCCTCCCTCGAAGTGACGTTCTATGTATTCATGCCCATCATCGTTATCTCTGCTGCTGTGATTACCCGTCATTGGCAATCATACGTTCCCAACCAACAGAACGAGATATCTTCAACACACAACAAGCTTATCAGGTGGGTTAACGTAACGACGAAAATCCCAAAGTTTAAACCAAAAACCTTACCCCAGATTTGGTCCTTCAAGCAAAAAGCACAAGAAAAAGTACCAACAAGAAAGCGAAAGAAAAGAAAAGGAAAAAAAAGTCCTTGACTAGCCAGGCTAGTTTCGACCCTCTTTCTCACGTTATTTACCGTTTTGGGAAATTTGCGGGTTTTTCGCGTGTTTTGGAAGGATTTTTAAGTTGCTTTTGAAAGAATTTGGGGGATGTGATTGGTGAGATTGACAGATCTTGCATCAGTATTTTTACTGTATTGTACTGTATGGAGTTTTCCCGAGTTCAATTGGGCCCCGCATGGATAAAAGGTAATAACATTGCAATCAAGCAGTCAAATAGATAGGTAGTATACAGTTATAATCAATCATAAATCATCAAACATCAACATAGACATCAATACCAAAATCAACCATGCCGCTTCATATAATCGTTGTCGTAATAATATCGTAACTGTATTCACATTCAGTTGTTCATGTATAGTCGTTTTGGTTCCTCGTATTTCGTAAATCATTGAATTGTTCTTATCGTAACTCGTAAACTCGCCGATCTTCCTGACGACACCTAATATAAGCCTCGTGCGTTACCCTCCCCATACGGAATGCTGTGATCGAATGGCCCAACTCCATACGGATCTGTGACCTTCCTCGGTCCAATACTCTGCTTCAATCTTTCACGTCGTGCTTCGAGCGCTGCACGAGCTCGCTGCTTTCTTGCCTCCTTGACACGTCGTCTAACATTGCGAAACGTCCTGACTGGGAAAAGAACTCCTCTCTGGACCCTGTATTTGACTGTTTGACGTTGGTACGGCGAATGAGGACGAACAATCCCCGCAGCAAGATTCAAATCGCTACGGCTAAGTTGATGGCGACGAGCTTGCTGGCGGCGAGACTTTCTTGACTTTGAGATGCGACGAGCAAGCACAAGAGGACCGCTGAAAATCACTCGCTTCTGTGGCAATCCTAACGAATTGCTCACATATACATCTTCCCTCTCGACTGGATATTGCTCGTTTGGGGTCGCTGCGCCACGTTCATTCTCCGGCGAACTGTCAAAATCATCCCAAAATCCGCGCGGTCGCCAGAAAGGACTATCCCTTGCTTTATCCGCTCTCCTGCTCCTGGCCGACCTGACCGATAAGGATCGGGCCATTAGCTGTGGACGTACACCGTCCGAGTTTCGACGGGCACTTAATGCGCGTCTTAAAGAGCCAAATCCTCGACTGAGACGGTTACTTCCCTGTCGACTGAGATATGCATTTCCTTCCAGTGCACTGTCCACAGGATCTGGAAGTACGGCCTTTTGTGTCGGAGGTAGAGGCGGTGTACGTGGGTTGCGAAGGGGCGATTCAACGTCCAACATTGCCGTAGAGTGTTGCGGAGTTGAAACAGCAACTGGCGCACTCAAATCTTGGCCATGTAAAGCCCTAACTGCCCTCGACTCGGGTTGCATGTGAGAATTGATCACCAAAAGCGATTCGTTGTTGTGCGGAAAGTAGGTCACCATCGTGGCTTCATTGATTTCAATAGGCCCAGGCGAGGATGACACAACGGACGACTGAGTGAAATGCAATGATGGAGCATGAAGCCGTTCCATGTCCTCTGGGTTGCGCCGTGGAGATGCTGGCACAGAATTGCCCGCATTTGCAGGATCAGAACCTCTGTGGAGCACTATTCTTGGCGACGGTAGTACGTTAGACGACTTGTGCGGTGGCACCTCAAAAGCTTGTTGCATCTGTTCAGTGTGTAGGCGTAAGCTCTCCGAAGTAAGTGAAGTTGTGCGCGAATTGTTGCGACTCGTCGGGGCGGATAGAGATGAACTGCGTGTTGGTATAGGGGGCCGCCCGACACCACGACCACGGCTTTCCCGTCCGCTTTGTCCGGCTGTTGAGCTCGCAGCATCAGACATGGCGTGTTTTCTTTGCGGCGGAATTTGATCACCGGCTCTGCTGCCTGACACGCTGGTCTTACGTCGGCTCGATGTTGTGGATCGCACGGCTGATTGATTCGTAATGCTCGGGGCGGATGACTTGAGCGAAGAACGTCTTTGCGGAACAACAACTACAGGAATAACCTCGTGCACTTCTTTATTGGTAGATGTGGTACTGACTGGGACTGACATATCAGACGCAACACTATTCCGGTTCTGATTGGATATGCGACCAGATTTATGTACCAGACGATGAGACGAATCCCCATTGGACTCTGTCGATGTCCGTGTTGATCGCGGCTGTGGCGAGCTCACCGACCGCAGAGATGTTCTTTTTTCGACGTGTCTCAATGCACGCGGCTTCGGGGGGGAAGTGTCAACTACCACGGCTTCGATGGTTGAAGTGAATGATGCACCAGAATGTCTCCACGTGTTTACTCGGTCCATGAGTCTTTGCTCACTGCTTGTCAATTCGGAAGCGGATCTTCCATCGACCTTGTCCAGATCTGATGGTTCGGCCCACTGAGTGCTGCGCGAATGCTCATTTTTCTTTCCAGGGGAAGCCACTTCGAGGTTTGCCTTTTCAGGTACCGTTCGCCTCTGATCTGATCGTCCCTTAGACTGGGATTTGGGTAGCGGCGAGGAAGCCAGCCTTATCGTCCGCTTGATATCTTGATCTTTCCCAATCGTTCCCAACAGCTTCTCCGTGCAGCCAGTTACAGTAAACTCCTGCCGTGCCATATTTCCCTCTGCAGCAGAATTAGAAGTACTATCGAAGCCGTTTGAGAGAGGCGATGGGTCGGGAAATGACCTTTGCCGCTTTCGAATGACTAATGAATGGGCTGACGGGCAAGACCCATCTACTGCGTCATCATCGGACATATCTTCTCTTGCTGTCTGAAATGAATCGGCCCGCGACGACATCGAAGATTGCAGAGAAGGGAACACAGGCCGGGCTTTCGGCGTCGTATCTTTTACGCGAGGCGGGGTGACATCAGGCGTGGGCGGGCTGAACTGGTGAGAGCCTGTTGGGAGTTCTGTCATGTTACGGAGACTCAGCGGAACTGAAGGCTGACCATTCAGTCGCGGTGGGCTGTCCTGCGTATCCTCTTGAACCTGGTTTGGGGGCGTAAGCGGTAACGTTGGCGTGATAGGGATGTCCCCGTTAACCATATCGTCCTTGGTTTTTGTATATGGAGTATCATCATCATTTATTTCGACAGTAGGCCGGGCTTGTCGACGCCGAGGAAGCGTTTTATGACCCTTGAGTAAAGGCCGGTCGAGAGGGCCGTCCAATGTGCCGACGACTTCAAGATCCGGCATCGCGATAGAACTGTTATTCGTGTATGCAAGCGATAAGAGTGCTTTGCGAAGCAGATGCTAGATCAGTAGCGACTCATTTGATGGATAGCGATGACCAGATTGCTGTTAAAGACGCCGTATCAGAGAACCGCCAACGCCACAGGAAGCTGCATTCTCAGGAATAGAATCTTATATAGAGTATGTCGCATGAGCCCAAATGCCGGATTTCGGATCGCAACAAATATGTTCGACGAAGCGAATTGACTAGTTAGTATTTGAGATATAGACACCGTGGTATTTGCAAAGTGGTATTCGCGACAGCTAACGGCGTGGCTGCGATCGGCTGACGTGAGACTTGGTAAGTTGACCTTTTGACAGTACTCAGTGATAAATGAGCGACAGGGATAATCTGATAGCGCGGGCAGGGAGAAGTCTAGTGGGAAGGACAGAAGCGTTTTGAAAGGAGTGACAGAGATGATTAATGACGACGGTATATATATATATATATATTCTGAGGGTAGTCCCGCTGTCTCAAAGTGAGGAAAGCGCGATCCGGCGGAAAGAAAGAGAAGAGAAATTGCTTCGGAATCCTTAGCTACCACGCAACTCAGCATCGACTCATCCACCATCAAGAATTATTTGCACATATCGACATGAAGGTGGACAGATGAATGAGCGTTGGGTGTAGATGAGGACAGACAGAGATTTCGAGCGAGAGAGAGAGAGAGGGGGCTAAGACCACGACTCCTCAGACCAGTCACGAATAGGCAATCTGGCTTGCAACGGTAGCCGTCGAATCAGCGCACTCAACGGCTTAGTCTATGCAGGTATCCTTTTCTGCGGAGCCAACAGGATTAATTCTTGCAAGAGACTCCTGCATTGCACATATCTCTCTATTAATTATTATCGGATGTCAGATAGTAGCCAAGGGCCTGGGCAAGCTTCCGGTCTGCCGTCTCCTCTGACTGACAGGTCCGATCTACTAGTACTATGGGTTTCACCTTTCTGGTCTTCTCAAACCTCACTGGTTAGGTAGAGTAGTACCGGACTAGCGCGGACAGAAACAGCGTACCTAGCTGGTGTATCGTGTTCCGAGTGCATCGCAGTGGGATCTCACCCAATACGCGAAAGACAGATACTGAAACATTGCATCTGCAGTGACATGTGTGTAACTTAACCCAAGGGGGCACTAAATTATAGCATGGCGACTGGGTGCCTGAGGCAATGCATCCATGGTATCGATTTACTGCATCCACGGAATATATGCTGACGCTATCCGGGCCTGAGGCTTCGCTGTGCTAGCACCTAGGCCGTTTCTACAACAATAGGCCCGGAGATAGGCGATGACTCTGCGTTGTTGCTCGCATGCAGAACTTCTTGTGCCCATAGACCACCTCGAACCGCACCAGCGTCCATTACTTTTACCGTAATGCTGCGTGTTGAATCCCTCGGGAACCCTACTGCGCTCACTCTATTGATGATGCTTATACACCGTCTCTTTATAGACAGATCTTCGACCGTTGGCCGCGCACCTCGGTACGTACGAAGTGGCTGGATCTTTACCCAATACGCAAAAGACGGATCTGGCAGGACCCCAGTAGACTCATAAGAGGCTCTACTCATTGGCGGAAGAGAAAGACGGGCGGACGCGCCGAGATCCGTTCGTTGAGACCCTTGGAATCGACATGTCGTCAAATCGACCTCATCTGGGCCAGTCACAACCGCGCATTAAGCTGCTCTCGATGTCATGTCGGTGAAACGAGCCTCTCCTAGTACAGAGTAGACGTTTCGCGCGATTCGTGCGATTGTGGGTAAAGGAGCAGGGCGGGAAGAATTCTGCGATAGGTACAGAGTGCGGGAGGAGGAAACATGGAGATCGTCCGTCGCGTGTGATAACATGACGTCGGTCCATGACGAAAGGCTGGTCTGCAACCTGAAGCTGTAGAAAGAGAGTCGATCGCATCATGCAATCAGGTGACTTGAAGCAATTCGGCATTACTCACGCGTGGCTATCCATGTGCGGGACACGTATAAACCCGTAAACCCGTCAAGCCCATTTGTATGTACATACCACTATTAGTGTAGACCTATTGAGTGATTAATAACCACACGGGAATGCGAATGATGCTGATCAATGATCGTTGATGTCACTGTTTATCTAAGCAGACTAAGCCTGAGTCAGCAACATCCGCTAGCCGCATGCCGTTAGTCTCTCTCTGACCTCATCCCACCTTTTCCGGCACGCTCTCTCGTCTCTCACTGTCCCTCGATTTGCTCTTTTCCCTTTTATTTTTCTCTGTTGCCTCCTCCAGATCTGCCTCTGCACCTTATCGTCATCTCCTCCTGCTGAACCGCTGTTCTGTTCTACCGTCGTCATCTGGGGTAGCGAGCGAGATTTGCCCCTCGTCACTTCCCGCGTCTCTTTGAAATCATCGCATTCTTTTCGCTGCCTCAATTTCCTGCTGGAAAAGAACGCGGGGGAAGAAATTCAGAAAAATCAAAAGAAAACGCGCAAAACGCAAAGCTGAAAGACGAGAAATAGGAATAACATTCATCGTCATTGGTCTAGAGTCAAGCCACAGTGGTTAATCAGCTGTGTTGGGTCCTTCCGTCATCGTTCAACCAAACTGATCTCTCTCTGCTCCATTACCTCATTCGTCATCCTCTCTCCCCCTTCTTCCTATTTCTTCACTTTGCGCCATTCTCGAATTTCTTTCCTCTAGAAATTTCATACGACTACAGCACCCTCAAAAGCATTTCTGCTTTTTTTTTTCTTTTCCTTTTTCCCTTTTGCCCTTTTCCCCTTTTTCCCCCTCCTCTCTTACCTTCCCCTCACATCCAAGCTAGATCATCCCCACCGCCACCATGAGCACAATACAGAACCTGAAGAACTTTATTCGCCATGGCAAGCAGGCCCGCCTGGTAACGCCTCACGCTGAGCCAACCACCGATGTCACACCTGTCCATGCCCAACAACAACGGCAACCTCAAGGACAATACGCCAACAACCTCGACGCTATAGACCACAAGCATGGAAACGCTCAACCACCACAAAAGGAGACCACCACTACCAAGATTTCGCGCGCCGATATCGAGAAGTTAGTCGAAGAGGAGCGCCATAGCCGGTCCAGGATGCCCAAGTACCCGGGCCTAGATCGATACATTCTCATTGAGAAGATGGGCGACGGCGCCTTTAGCAATGTTTACCGAGCGAAAGATACCCAGGGCCGCATGGAAGAAGTCGCCATCAAGGTCGTGCGGAAATTTGAAATGAACAATAATCAGGTATGGATCAGGAAGTACCACATCTCTCCTTTCCCTCTGTTTGCTGTTTTCACTGCCGATTTACCACAAATGTCCATCGCCAACGTCTGGTCGACGGGTTCTAGGACGATAAACACCCCAAGCCATACCAAAAGAGCAAAGCCGTAGAGGTGCGAGATAAATCCTACTCCAGATTCGCATCATTTCTCCAACCTCCTTTCTCTGTCCAGTCTGTGCGATTTTTGCGTTGGTTTACGTCTTTTAAGTGTGGGCGAGTTACTGACGGAGTTATTTCATAGCGAGCGAACATTTTGAAAGAGGTGCAGATTATGCGCCAATTAGATCACCCCAATATCGTCAAACTCGTCGACTTTTCCGAATCACCTCAATTTTACTATATAGTTCTCGAGCTCTGCCCGGGTGGCGAGCTCTTCCACCAGATCGTGCGATTGACGTACTTTAGCGAGGATCTCAGTCGTCACGTCATCAAGCAGGTTGCGGAAGCTATTGAATATCTTCACGAGACATCTGGCGTAGTCCATCGGTAAGCGCAGAACGAGACAATAGTCAGTCCATAATGGTGTGGCTTGCTAACGTTTTCGCAAGTGATATTAAACCTGAAAATTTATTGTTCTACCCCACAGAGTTCGTGCCTAGCAAACATCCCAAGCCACGCCAACCCGGTGACGAAGATAAAGTCGACGAGGGTGAATTCATTGCTGGTAAGGGTGCAGGTGGCATTGGCACGATCAAGATTGCCGACTTTGGTCTTTCAAAGGTTATCTGGGACAGCCAAACGATGACGCCTTGTGGCACAGTGGGGTATACTGCGCCAGAGATAGTTAAAGACGAGCGTTACTCCAAGAGTGTTGATATGTGGGCACTTGGATGTGTTCTCTATACGCTTCTCTGTGGCTTCCCACCCTTTTACGACGAGAGTATTCAGGTGCTTACAGAAAAGGTCGCCCGAGGACAGTATACCTTTTTGTCGCCGTGGTGGGATGACATTTCAAAGTCTGCGCAAGACCTTGTGTCTCATCTTCTCACCGTTGACCCCGAGAAACGTTACACTATTCGCCAGTTCCTAGATCACCCATGGATTAAGCAAACAAATGAATCAACCCACGCTGCTGCTGATGCACCTCCGCTAGCCACTCCCCAGCTCCCGCGCCAAAAGGAAACCAAAGCGAACCAAATGTTCGAGGTTCAACAAACACCTCTATCAGCCGCAGAACGACGAATGGACTTCCGATCGCCCGGAGTTGTCAACCTGCGCGAGGTCTTCGATGTCGGCTACGCCGTGCACCGACAAGAAGAGGAAGGCAAGAGGCGGAAGAACTTCCGACAGGGATACCGCGGCGGCAACCCAGCAGCAGGCTTCAGTTCGCAGCTCAACCCTCTCAACGAAGACTACGACGACGATGAAGAAGCAGCCTATGACGAGCAGGACCAAAAGGGCGATCCACCAGCAAAGATTCCGCGGTCTTCCCAAACTGCGGCTAGCGACGTCGCCGCTATGGAAGCTAAATTGCGCCAAACTAACCTGGGCACCCAACCAAGCAGCGCAGCTCAAGCTCGGGCCGCAAATCGATACAACGGCGCTACACGTCAAAAGCAGCAGCAGCAGCAGCAGCAGCAACAACCCGGTGGATACGGCCAACATAGCGCTGCAGTCGCAGCAGCGGCACGGCAGAATGCGGCACGAGCAGCTAGACAACCGTTTGAGCTTAACATGTCTAATGCCACTTTGCTTGAGCGAAGAGGGAGAAGACAGCCAGGTGCACAAGTTGTGTAACCCGGTTACTATCCACTTTTTTTTTATACTGCTTTCCTTTGCTCTCGGGCGTTTCTCTTATTACCTTTGCTAATCCTAACTCTTCTGGATGGGAATACGAGTGTTGTTTCTGATTTCTTGATGAGCTTGCATCATCTTTGTTTTCGATTAGCTATGATTTTCATGTTTTGTGATGCTTTGATCAGCCGGTATAGTTTTATGGACATGGGCATGGCATAGGATAGGCATTGGCATGGCTATCAGTACAAGATACCTCGATATTCACACGAATGATATGAATAGACGGATGGATTTGTCATGACTTTTCAATTTTCTATCACCAGCCGTAGCCGGAGGGAGGTGTAGTCGACGATGATGGACCTGGCGACACAGTGAATTCTTTGACTGGTCTCTCCGTCCGGGTTGTTAGTTTGTGGTACCCGTTGCTATTCGTTCGATGGTTTCGGATGAATTTTTTGAGCTTTTTTCGCGCTGCTTCTTGGATTTTTGTTGTAATTCTGGGGTATGGTGTCCACCCGGTAGGTCTGATGCGTTCGTTGAGATAGTAGCATTTTTGCCGTTTTTGGTGATTTTTCAATCCGCATATACATTTCTCATTCTTGTCTTGCTCAATTCTTTTCAATTCATACCACCTATCCCGAAAGCGATCAAGAACACGACCAAACGTTAGAGTTTTAAAATAGGAGTTCATGTCTCTGCGAATCATCCAATAGAACAGATAATAATCATCTCTGCCATATATACAGACTAGAAAGCTATTTATAGCACGTCTGAGTGTAGTGAATCTGTCAACCTCTATCTTAATTCCACGGTTATAAATCGGGTTGCATTCCTGAAGCCATGCTTCCATATCGTTCGCTGTGGACGGGATACCGCGGCACTGAATGAGATCAATCCAGTCGTCCAAAAGTTGTTGTTTTTGTTCCTCTTTTGCCTTTCTAAGGCTGCTGTATAATCGTGAACTGCCGTGGCAATGTTCTTGACTTCAATCCATAGCTTCACAAATCTCTCAAGTATATCATCAAACTCGTACTTGTTTGATATCGCACCTTGTGCGATGCCAGCAGTCAAGTCCGCGAGAAATGAGTTCTCAAAGATTTCAGTATCTTGCAACTTAACAGCAGCCATCAGATCAAGTATAGCCATTCTAGACTCGCAATCAACGAATCGAGAGATTGACAAGCGGATCCCCTCATGGTAAGTCTCAAACCATTCATCAGCCTAATTGTTTAGGTCCGATTCTGTCGTTGGAATGAGTTTCGTTCTGAGCTCGAGCCATTTGTTTTCGTGGTGGTATCGTTCCATGAATTCGTGCTCTTTCTTCGGAGGCTGGGGGATATGCTGCACCGGAGACGTAGATAAATCACCATTGTCACTGATTGATGCAGAATGAAGCCGTGGGATAGTCATGTCGTCCATTGTGGAATTTGAATATTGTGACGGAGAGGCGTATGATCGCCATAATCGCTGATGGATGGTGTCCAGGAAAAGGAAACCTTGCGACTGCGCGGGAGAGTTGTAAAACCTTCTGTTGTCCCTTGCGGGATATGGATCTGGCGGCGAGCCAGCAGACTCGGTGAAAAAGAGACGGTAACATAGCGGATCACTTCGTCTTTAAAAATGTTGTCTATTATTATCCAAGTAACACTGCAAATCTTATCTCAGAAAGATGAGACGAAGCACGATCGAGTTGTGTCCCCAAAAATTCATGACGAAACTGTATTGAATCTTGTCAAGTTTCCACTTGTCCTTTCCAAGATGATAGAGTAAATAGCGTGGATCCGGTGCGGCTCGTGATCGTTCTCTTCGACCTTTGGTTGGCCTTTCTTGTATCTTTTAATGAAACCAGCAAGATATTCATTCTTTCTCGCTAATTTTTCAACCCGTGCCATGCTTTTGGGATTGGGTCTCCATCGTTTAGGTCTGATTTGTTCGTTTATATAGAAACATTCGTTCCATCTTTGATGTCTTTTGTACCCGCATACACATTTCGTCCTCCGTGGTTGCAATGATTCGTCATCAGCATCCCTGCCCCGTTTATTAAGGAGGTACAAGCGTCTGAAATCCCAAAAAATGTGTTGAACTCCCTTAATCCCTCGGGCCGGTCGAAAAAGGGCGTGTACAACGAACAAAATCCTTCATAAGTTAGATCCTTTCTGATGGTTGCTAACAAGCCGAGAGTAGGGCTGTTAGATTCATTGTTGATAAAACGTGGAGCTAGCAGGCAACGACCTTCTATAAAAGCATTGTGCCAGTGATCGAGTCAAATTTTTACAGTTTTACTTCGTCTTCATCTGTTAGTAAAGGCATGTCTTGAAGTAGTTGCCATCGTTCTTCATGTAGCTGTCTTTTTTCTACGGGTATTGACTCTTCGAGAGCTGACGGGTGCATTTCGGATATTGGTACCTTCTGCATCGAGGAGGCAGATTCATCGTCGTTGTCCTCATCACTATCTTTTCCGGAAAGAGATGTAGAACTCCCAGTCTTCAAGTATATCCGACGAGTTCTTCCCGGTTTGGTTTTACACAATCCTCGCCAAAAGAAAGAGGCGACATTGTCCGTGTCAGGTTCAGAGGTTGGACTGTGATGAACTTAAAGTACTGGAAAGTTGAAACCTGGTACCCACACTGATCACTTGCTCTTAATAGGAACTCAAAATCCGGGGTATCTTGGATTTCATATTTAAAGGTCTCAAACATCAAAATCATGCTTCTGGGATATAGAGGTGATGCAATTGGACGACATCACATTCCTCCCTGTTTGCAACACCACAACCATAACGACTTCCGGTGTGCCTCGGTCTTGTCGCGCGTGTCGTCCGGAAAAGGTTTCCTATATTCTTTTGACTCGTACGTGTAAGTTTACGTTGCTAGTGACTAGAATCGCGGACTTAACCGCACGTTATCCCGTACCTTGCGTGGGGCCGTGATGATGTTGGACCCCTCATGAGGAGTACTTGGCTGGTGAATCATAATGGACTTCCTTTCTGTATACCATAATCCCCCAACCGTGAGTAACGCAATCTTATTTCAGCAATGTCCAAAGTCTTCTTCATAACCGGAGCTGGAAGCGGCATTGGCAGAGTAACAGCACGAGAGCTCCTTCTCAAAGGATATCTTGTGTTTCTGACCGACTACAACGAATCGTTTCTCGAGGATACATGCACAAATCATCTCCCTTCTGTTATTCCAGAGGACAAACGGCAGAACTATAACTGGGCACAAATGAATGTATGCGACGAGGAGCAGATCACTAATGCGATTGCACTGTGTGTGGAGAAGTTCGGTGGTATAGATGTCCTCGTCAACAGTTTGTCTTCCTATTCCCAATATGCTTAGATTGGTAGTAATGGATGTAAATGGCTCACACAAATCAGATGCAGGGATAAATGTAGAACCCTTACCTAAATAGTGCCTACCACTACAGATCCATATACTGACATTTTGTAGAGCCAATACATGCGCTCCGGAATCCGGATGGATAACGTCCCGACATCAGACTTTGAAAAAGTCCTCTCCGTAAATCTTATCGGTACCTATCGCGTCTCCCAAGAAGCCATACCACATCTCGAAAAGTCCCCGAACGGCGGAGTTATTATCAACATGTCTAGCTGTCGTGCCACGCAACAAAGCAAGCACGGCGAAGCTTATGCCGCTTCCAAGGCGGGCATTGAGGGTCTTAGTATGGCGATGGCTGTGAGTCTAGGACCAAAGATTAGAGTCCATGTTATCAGTCCAGGGATGATTGATGTGCGGTCTGAGCGTAATGGGAGTCTTGTGCCGCCTCCGGAGAAGTTGAGAGATGATCTGAATAGGGATTATCAGACCGAGTACGCATCTGAATGGGGAACTGGGACAAGTAAATCCTTAAAAGAGGCACATCCTGTTGGTAGAATTGGAAGGGGGGAGGATATTGCTAGGTAAGTTGCCCGAGCTGTTTCATAAAATGATGATCGGCTAACTGTGTAGGTGGATTGAATTCTTGGGCGTACTGGAAGGCGGCTTTACAACCGGTGGAGTATGTATCAGACTTCAAATGCTTCTCTCTAAAGTCTATGCTGATGTAGGTACAGGCATACTTGGTGGACGGAGGATACTCGAGGGTACTCTCGTATCCTCCCTAACTTGGGATGCGTCGATATGGGGGTGGATTCTTAAACCTGAAACGACAGCGTTAGAATAGGAAGAGAAAGATACATAAACTCAGTCAACTAGATGCGGACATATTGAATCATATAGAACATAAAAATCAATAATTCCCAAGGCACACTAAGAAATTCCGGGACGAAGTCCGTTTATCAGTTTAAGCCCTAACCCTAAATATTTGCCCTTACTTACGGTCTTCACCCCGCCATTTAGCACGGTTCAACGGGATACTAGAAACGTGCAAGAGGTATAAATAAGTAATTTCCCTTCTGATCTGACTTTATTTCTCATTCCATAGACCCAGAAAGTCACCGAGTATAATGGCTGATTCCGTCACTTTACACGGCCGGTCCTACGCCATCCCACGACAACCTACAGTGATCATATGTGTCGACGGCTTCGATCCAGAATATCTCACCCAAGGCATATCCGATGGCATAATTCCAAACCTCGCACGTTTCGTCCAGCAAGGATTCCACGCTACGGTAAACTCTTGCATGCCATCTTTCACCAACCCCAACAACGTCTCCATAATCACAGGCCAACCTCCCGCTGTCCACGGAATTGCGGGCAACTTCTTCCTAGACCGGGAGACAGGTAAAGAGAAAATGATCCAGAATGACTCTCTGCTCCGTGGCTCTACGATCCTTGAACAAATGTCCAAACATGGTGTACGTGTTGCAGCTATCACGGCTAAGGACAAGCTAAGACGAATTCTGGCACATGGACTTCAGACTAGCAATGGAGATATCTGCTTTTCATCTGAACGCGCGGCGAGTTGCACACTTGCGGAGAACGGCATTGAAGATGTCGAAGAATGGATCGGTCGTAAAGCACCTAGTCAGTATTCAGGGGATCTGTCTATTTACGTGCTTGACACTGGGATCAAATTGCTAAAGGAAAAGCGAGCCCAGCTATTTTATCTCACTCTTTCCGACTACGTTCAGCACAAACATGCGCCGGGGTCACCAGAAGCTAATGAATTCTTCATTACACTGGATCAGCGAATTGGACGGCTAGTTGCACTGGGTGCTACAGTTGCTATAACAGGAGACCATGGCATGAGCAGTAAATCTAAGGATGATGGGAAACCAAATATCCTATTTCTGGAAGATACATTGGCTGAGAAATGGGGCTCTGAATCCGCAAGGGTCATTTGTCCCATCACCGACCCATTTGTCAAACATCATGGTGCTCTTGGTTCCTTTGTTCGAGTGTATGTGAAGAATTCAATCAATCTATCTGATATGATTGATTTCACCAAGACTTTGCCGCACGTAGAGCAGGTGTTGGACAGAAAAGTGGCGGCTGAGGAGTATGACATGCCCGTGGATAGGGAAGGCGATTTTGTTGTCATTTCCAAGAAGAACGCAGTTATAGGGAGTCGAAAGGATGAGCATGATTTGTCCAGTATTGGCGATCATCCATTGAGGTCACATGGCGGTTTGTCTGAGCAGCAGGTTCCATTGTTATTATCCCGGCCTGTGGCAGATGTTGAGGGAGCCAAGGCAAAGGACGACTGGCGGAATTATGATGTTCTTGATCTTGCACTCAATTGGTAGTTTGACCTGTGTAACTAGATTTATGTCTGTGCAGGTATGTTCATGTGGCTGAATATGATAGATTTCCTGGGAATTTATCGACATGACTGTGAAGTATATCATTCTAAGCACTAGCAGTTAACCTGGAAGTCCGACGTTATCAAGCAGAAAACTAAGACCAATATCCGTAAACTGATCAGTATAAAAATCGTAGTCGCCCAGAAAATACGGGTCAAATGCAAAGTCACCGTTCCAGACGTCTGTTTCAGGTACTTGTGCATCAGTTTCGGAAATAGCGGTATTTGCAATAAGATGAGATTGCTCCTCATTTTGACTAAATTGTTGTAGGAGATTCCCAATGCCCTTGGCAATGCTCACAAACAAGTGACGTGAATGCATGGTTGAGGTTATTCGTTTCAATATGCTGCCAGTATCTTCTACCAGGTGTTTTACTTCTTGCACACCAAGCCGTATGTATGATGAAGGCTTGAACGAGACCTTCAACAGGAATACCACAGCGAAGGTTATCATCACATGAAAATAGGTCGGTAAGCCGTCAAGGAAGGAGTGTATCTCGACGTCTGCAAGCACAGATCGTAATATAGATAGAGCCGATACCACGGCACTATTGGCTACCTCGTCCAACTCTATAGTCGCCTCTTGTGATCTCAACGGAAATACTTGCGAGCCCGCTCCCCGAAAAGCATGAGAGCAAAGATATAGTTTGGCAAAGTGATACTGCAAACTGACACCTTTACGAGGATAGTTACCAACATGATCATTCGGAGCAAACCTATCGATCCACTCAGCTCGAAGACTATCAAGCGCAAAGTTAAGTCTTCGTAGGGAGGAGACTTCATTATCTGACAGTGGCCGGTCAACGTCGATACCGAATGTGTCGTATATATTAGAAAGGACGCTCCAGCGACATACTTGGCTCACAAGGCGTGCATCATCTTCAATGGCGTAGTCACAGTCCAGGAACTTCCTTGCTTCTCGGATAGCCTCACATTCACGAGTCATTGGAGGTCTTCCAAAAGGGATAGACGCATGATGATCACAGACGTACACATGGTAGTAAAGGCGAGCACGTAGATAATGTTCTTGGTCGCCGTGTACAGCTTTGTAAAAGCTTTTATGGAGCTGTAATTCAGTCGCTATACGTCCGGCAGCAGCAGCTAGCGACCAAGACAAGTCAGGAAGCCAGAATGTACCAATGCAGAGTGCCCGTACGTCCGCGACATTGCTAGTTTGAGTTAAGGCGACCTTTTCACTTAAGGCAATGAATTCACTCCGGCATGTACTGAAGTCATCTTCCCTGGACGGCGAATGTAGAGCGCCGATTGTACACACTGCAGCAATCAGGAGTGGTGATGCCTCGCGCGTACTCTCAAAAGTCACGGTGCTATGATCTCCCAGAATTCTATATACGAAGTGATCCAACCATTCATGATACTTTTCAAAATATCGCATTGCACTGTCGGCACTGATTATGCCTTTTGATATCAGATCTTGTTGGGTAACTGAAGGCTTCGGTGTCGATGTCTGAGTAATATAAGACCCTGGAACGGCACCGGCACTGGACTTCGCGTTTAGATGAATGTTCCACGGGCTTTCTGCTTGAAGACGCTCTTCTGTGGAGTGCTGAGAATCTTGATAAGCCATATCGCTTGCTGCTGTGGCAGGCGCTTCGTGTCGAGTATGTATGGGAACATGCTTGGTAATCCTGCCAACTTCATCCTGAAGTGCTTGTATCTTCTTCTCCATTTCATGTTTCCAACTTGTCATCGAGTCAAAGTTAGCGATTTTGGATCCAGTTATATCCATGGATCTGTTCGGGCATTCTTACACGGTATCACTCTCCAGCAGCATCTGTAGGCTGCGATTTACAGTACATGAAAGACCACGCTTTTTGCATCGAGAGCACGGCGGACCCGATTCTGGCATGTGACACTTAACCTTTTGTTTGCGACATGCCACACAAGCCGTTATCTTACGGCTGATGTCTGGCGGTTTGGGATCACCGAATGCATTTCGCAGCTCTCGGACAGGTGAGGGCTCGGTCATTGCAATCTTCTGAAGGGGCTGTATGGAGATCATCCGCATCTCCTTCTTGTTGAGTAGTGAAGTGAGCTACGGCATGCAGGAACGACGGCAGGAATGTATCCGTCCACGCATAAGACACGGTTCATGGCAATGTAGATGAAATCTCGGACTTCGTCCCGTCGCGTTTTTGAGTCATGCTGGACTAGTGTGGATTCATTGGTCAGCATGTCATAGGGTTAGGGTTATATATTAGAAGTATCGCGACCTGCTCCCACCAACAAGTATGCACTTGAAGATGCATCGTTAGTTCTTGGACGACAAGGATATGCACGGTATCCGACTTTAGAAAATGTAACCTCATACTACAAGTCGTTCGCTGCTGCGAACTTCACCATATTCCACGGATTTCCTATTCGGGAAGTCTCTGAACGAGGCCAAATTTGATGCTTCGAACAATATCTATGCATTTCGCCCATAATATGTATTGCTCCATTGACAAATATAGTCTATTTTGCATCGTGTGACATGTGTTTGTGGTAGAATGCCATTGGTATCATGTCTATCCCTAACTTGTAGGCTGTACCGGACCACGAATAAGATTTTGGGAACTTTCTCAAAGTTACAGTTTCACAGTAGCATATGTCATTCGAAGGAGCTAAAGTCTCGGCTTCTTCTTTCCCTAAATAGACACTACTCTTTGTCACGTTTCGTGAAATTGATCCAACATTCGTGCTCCTAGATTTCGGCGCAATGAGCATCTGAGTCTACGGGTTTTTGTGCTAAGCGAAGAATGCATATTCACTCACCTCATACTTGGGAAGACTCTCGTCATAGAACGCTTCAAACCGACTAGTAATTCCTGGACTCACCCTTTTTTGTCGGTCGTACCCACTTGTCGTGTATTTTCTGTAGATAGCAGCCAGTAAGGTGGTCATTTCTGCCATTGCGAGACTAATTGAAAACCCTGTTAGTACTGATTACTTCTGGAATTTCTAATCAAACATACTGTAGTCCAATGCACATACGACCTCCACTTGAGAAAGCCCAGAACCACTTCTTCATCTCCGCACAATCGCCATTGCCACCGAGCCATCGTTCCGGATTAAATCTCAACGGCTCTGGAAATACCTCCGGATTTCGGTGAAGGGTGTATGGTGACATGCTTACCACCGTCCCAGCTGGGATCAGATAGCCGTCAATTTTAGTATCAACAGGAGATAGTCGTGGCTCTGAAGCTGGTAACGGAGCATACAGCCGAAGAGCCTCCTTGATAATAGCATCAAGATAAGGCAACTTATCTGCGGCCTCTGTGGTAGGATTACCATCTGCATTGCAGTCCATTTCAGGGATGTTGTTGACCTCCTGTATGAGCTTCTCTTGATATATCCGATTCTCTGGACGGGAGAGCGCCCATATCGTGAACATTAGTGTATCACTTGTAGTATCGATGCCAGCCAGAAAATGATCTGCTGCTTCTGACGCAATATCAAGGCCATCAAGCAGGGGGCCTTTTCTGGATGTACTATGTCGCCATAATTTTTCCATGATAGACATGTCTCTGATTGGGGGGCTTCTAGCGACAGAAGCCTCGAAACTATTCCACGACTTCAACGCATGTGCTCTAATCCCGGTATACGTTGCGGGTTTCTTCATGGGCAATAACCCCAGGTTTATGACAATCTTCTCCATCAACCCAGTCCTCGTATAGAGCCACTTGGTGTAATTTTTGAGATGGACAGCATACCAACTCAACAATCTCCGGCTAGGGTCGATTACATCGTTGAGAAGTTCTCTATCTCTGGAATCTCCTTTTAGTGCATGCGTTCCTCCGTGTTGATTGCCGTAAAGAAATCCAGTAATGCTGTCAAGACTAAACCAGTGAAGACTTTGGAATATCTCCTCTGTCACACCCTTTTCGTGCTCCAGCAATTCCAAATAGCTGTTGACATTTTTTTCAATAAGCGGCTTTGCAATTGCATTCGGTGACAGTATTGCACTTTTTGAGTAGGCGTGAGCCAACAATTTCTTCCTGTCAGCATGCTGCTTAACACCAGCAAATGTAAATAGATTTTGACGGCCGTAGACGTCAAACATTCGGTAAAAGTCTGTTCTCTCAAAGCCCGATCCAGCACCGTAGATTGTCCTCAGGGCAGAAAGAGATGAGAATGATACTTCATTCGGACTAATTCGTACTGCGGTGCCGTACTTCTGATGTAGAGAGTGAATTGATCGTGTTCTGACTCCATTATAGTCGTCAAGGGCAAGCCGCCACTTTGTTATTGCGTATAACTTTGGGCCTGGAACTTTCTGCAGAGGACCGATGCACAGTGTACGATATATGGAGTGGTAAACAATGAAGAGTGACAAGGCCACTACGGCCGTCGAAATGATCATGTTGCTGGCATAGGATGTCTATCATCAAGTAGCTACCTTAGCCTACCTATGGTAGATTAACGCCATGTCCGTATATGAAGTAGAATAGCTCACCTATGTCAACCAACGGCCCCACGTGTAGCAATTTCTTACTTCCTTGAGACTGATTGCTTAGTTCCTATAATATATATCTCGCTCTCGAAATATGCATATGCATACAGTGTGCCCCGCATGTCATCTCTAAAAACCACAGCATCGGAAATCCCGAACCGATCAATCGGGACCTCCGACACGTGGTCGATTAGCCCTAATCAACCACCCCTCTATCTTAACCATCGTTCAAGACTTCTAGACTTGATTCTGTTTTCTGGTTCTGTGCCTAGAACAAATATAGGAATATATGATCTGAATTTTCATTCTTTCTAATCATATTCTCATTATATGTCTGAATATTATCGTCAAGATGGCGCCCATCCCTACCCCTGAAACAACAGCCCAACCCATACTTAAATCCAACGAAACAAAAGATGTCGACGTTATGGCTGCCATGGCGCACAACGGCAAGGCACTACCAGGTATCCCTACCTTTAACTCGTTTATCGAAAAGCGTCAATGGCAGCTAGAGCACATGGCAGGCGCATTCCGTGTCTTCGCTCGCGATGGTTTTGCCGAGGGCATTTCAGGACATATCAGTGTACGGGACCCCGAGTTTCAAGACAGATTCTGGATTAATCCGCTAGCTGTACATTTCGGGATGGTGAAAGCTAGTGACATGATCTGTGTGAATCTGGATGGAGAGGTCGTTGGAGGGAACACGGCCGGTTCAATCAATGCTGCCGGATTTCAGATTCACTCTTCCATCCATCGATCACGGAGTGACGTACATGCTATATGCCATACGCACTCGGTACACGGCCGCGCTTGGTCGGCATTTGCAAGACCACTTGAGATGATCAATCAAGATGTTTGCTATTTCTACAAGGCTCATTCAGTCTACTCTGATTACGGAGGTATTGCCAACGAGGCATCAGAGGGACAGAGAATTGCTCAGAGTTTGGGAGATGGCAAGGCTGTGATTTTGATGAATCATGGCCTTTTGACTGTGGGACAGACTGTGGATGAGGCTGCATTTCTTTTCTGTCTTATGGAGCGGAGCTGCAAGGTTCAGTTGTTGGCTGAACGGACTGGGCTTGAGAAGAGGATCGTGAGCGATGAAGAAGCAGCTTATAACTATAAGATGGCAAGCACACCGGTATGCTGCTACTCCCCTACATATTCCAATTTTCATACTGACACATTGTTAGGAGACTCTCTTCGTGGAGTTCCAACCACATTACCAATATGAGGAGTATCTATCAAAGGGTGATTTCAAAAAGTAGTCGAACAAGTCTCCTGAGCGACTCTCCCGTTGATGCAATGTAAGGAGTATATCATATAGTCAATATAGCAAGACCACGGTCTTAATGACGTTTTATTCTTCAACTCGTCTACTTTCATGAGCTATGACCGCGAATTCATGTCAAATATAAAAATGACTACATGTCGGGTAAGCCGACACCTTTACACATGGCGTTCTTGTATAGATTAGGGTTTACCATGTTCCAACGAAGACAATAGATTCAAATACCAGTTATAATCTATCATGCACTTTGCGGTATACCAGAGTAATTGTCCTTTCTGTTTTGTATACGCTTGCCACTGGAATTGAGACCTTGTGAAGACTCCTTATCTAAATCCACTTAGGGCTACTGGCTTAGGGTTAGCTGTAGACGTCCTCCTCAGAGTGAATCAATATTTGATATAAGTTAGAATAGACTTCCCATGGTAATCTAGCCTTTAAACTCCACTCCTTACGTATAAAGGTCAAGATAAACTTCAAAGTTAATAGAGAGTGGCTTGGCTGTCAAGATACGATATGGTTGTTGAGGCTGTTATGTTTATAATATCAGTATGTCGGACAGACCGATATTAATGATAAGGGTGTTTAGAGAGGATACCAAGCCTCGTTATCTCAACTGGTTCCAAGCTATTGGAACTGAGTACTCGCCACCGCATTAATGTCCTAATATGCATATAGATATCCCTGCGTTGCACATGGTTAATGGTCTCAGATTATCATTTGGGATTGATTCTCCATTCTTCCCATACTTTCTGCTTCTCCCGGTTTGAATCACAGCCGGGTACAGAATGTCACCGGATATATCCTACCCCGAAAAGGGGCCATTCTCTACTTCGAAGAATGCAAATAGTGATTCCTCCCTACCTCCCAGCGATAGCGATGCGGCCGCTGTGGGATCCGTCTCCAATATAACGGATGGGTCGCAAGCTCTGCATCGGAAGCTGAGGGGAAGAGAAGTTCAGCTTTTTGCTATTGGTGGTGCAATTGGTACTTGTAAGTCCACCATTCTCTGAGGAAAGCTATCGGCGCCATTCGAATGAAGAAAGCTGATTATGTACATCTCTAGCTCTCTATGTCCAAATGGCCAACGCTCTCCCCAAAGGAGGACCAGCCGGTCTTTTCATTGCCTTCATGATCTGGGGCATCATAATGTGGGCCGTTAACGAGTGTTTTGCCGAAATGGTGACATACTTACCTATACCATCCCCATTTATCCGTTTCGGCAGAGAATGGGTTGACGACGCATTAGGGTTCGCCATGGCGTGGAACTTTTTCCTCAACATGGCATTTCTCGTACCCTTTGAAATCGTCGCGATGAATATCATGATAACCTTTTGGACGGATAAGGTCCCCGTTGAGGCGATTATTGTGGCTATGATAGTCGTTTATGCTGTGTTGAATGTTATCAGTGTACGATACTTTGGCGTTGCGGAGTTTTATCTGTCGATTTTCAAGGTTGTTTTGATGCTGGGGCTGTTTTGCTTTACTTTTATCACTATGCTCGGTGGTAATCCAATTCATGATCGATATGGGTTTCGATATTGGGATAAACCTGGTGCATTTACCGAGCACCTTGCTTCAGGGGGCACCGGCAGGTTTCTTGGTATATTGTCATGCTTGTATCAAGCCAGTTTTTCGTGAGTACCGTCATTGCCCCTTATTCTGAGACGCCAGATGCTAATATAGAAAAATAGAATCACCGGCCCTGAGTATATTTCAATGGTCGCTGCCGAAACAGAAAACCCCCGAAAGATCCTACCTCCAGCTTATCGATCTTTTGTCTGGCGTATACTCGTCTTCTTCGTCGGATCCTCACTTTGCATGGGCATTGTCATCCCCTACAATGATTCCACTCTTCTTGGGATTATATCGGGAACAACCTCTGGCTCCGGCACAGGTGCGGCATCGTAAGTTATACCTCCATCCCTTTGTATGACCAGAGGGCACGTCTAACAGATATCAGACCATATGTCATCGCCATGGAACGACTCAAAATCCACGTTTTACCTCACATTGTAAACGCCCTTATTATGACATCCATCTTCAGCGCTGGCAACGGTCTCCTATTCACAGCAACCCGTACCTTACACGGAATGTCAATCACAGGCCACGCACCACGAGTACTATCATACTGCACAAAACAGGGCGTGCCCGTCTGGGCCCTCGCCATATCTCTATCATTCTGTCTCCTCGCCTTCTTACAAGTCAACAAATCTTCTGCAGATGTAATGGGATACCTTGTTGATCTCGTTACATGTTGCCAATTGATCAACTACGGTTTCACGGCTGTGATTTATCGCCATTTCTATTCCTCTCTCAAGAAACAGGGTATCTCTCGGGATACCCTTCCTTACAAAGGACGTTTTCAACCATATACCTCCTATCTCGCCATGGGAGGAACATTATTCATGCTTCTTGCCGGAGGATACGATCTCTTCCTAAAGGGGGGATGGGATGTGATGTGGTTCTTCCTCGATTACGGCATGATTGGATTCTTTATTGTCTTATTTGTAGCCTGGAAATTGATCTTCAGGACAAAATATGTTTGGCCGGGGACAGCGGATTTGAGTATTGCTGGGTTGAAGGAGGAGATTGATGATTATGAGGTTTTGTATGAGATTAATCAGGAGGGGAAGAAGAGTAATTTTGTAGATAAGTTGTTTGCTTAGATAGATGTAAGTATAGACCATAATTATTCTTATATTGAGTTCTATTGAAGAATAAACTCTCTTAAGTACTTAGAAATTATCATACAGTACAATCCCTTCCAGTTCTCTCCTACAACAAAGTAGGTCATAATTGGCGGATCATCACTCATTCTGCACAGAATCATGCAACGTACAATCCCATAGATTGTCTCATTCCGAACATTGATATTAATGTTATTCATAACCCTCCAACTCGTAAACCCGTGACTCCAAATCCTGAAGCAAATTTTCCTGACGCGCCGAGTTCCTATTCACCGCAGAATTGCTGTTCAGTCTCGAAACTTCCAACGATCAGACTCTGGTTTTTAATCTACTAAATTCGTCGTATATCCGGGCAAGGACGTCGTTAATACCCCTGTGAAGTCCATCAACAGTCCTTTCGTTAAGACTTATATGATTCTTGAGAGATTGATTTTCACATTCGAGATTCTCGATGCGAGCTTTACTTTCCTGCTAGAGGTGCTCGATGCTGTTTGTCAAGAGTTTTGCACAATCTGTCGGTTGAATGTAATTTGAAGTTGGAGGCAATCTGTTTGATTTTTCAAGGCATCAAGTTCGGATTGAAGATCCGGCGTCTACTGCTCAAGGACCTTGAAAGGTTCCATTGCTGAGTACTCCTCAATTTCTTGATAGGTCTACGCGTATTGTTTTACCAGTAATGTGTGTTATTGAGAAATCTTCAGTAGACTCGAGAGGAAAGTTAGTACGTTCCTTGCCTCCTTATACGTATGAGGGTAGCAGTAAGCAGCAGTAGGCACCTATCAGGCAGAACTGGCCTCACGCAGATATTTTGGCATCAACCATGGGAGTGATACTCAGGTATTAGTAAGTCGTAGGGCTAGTTACCATGTCATAACTTCTCGTCTAATAATTACATTATGGCAATCTGGAGCACGCTGGCGGGAGGGACACTGGTTTTCGAGGACCCTTATAAATCGAATTAATGGATCATTGTCCACTCACGAGTTATATTTAGATAGTATTTAATAATATACTTAGGTATCTGCTCAGGGTCGCATCCCATCCAGAAAATACCTCCTATCATATAGAGTTGTCAATTAGGGCTTTCCAACTTACCGTGGGTTTCGACTTAGCAGGTACTAAACCCCCGTCAGCTCAAAGAGACCATATCTATAAACTATTGTCCTCTATATGATCAATCGCCACACTCGATATACATGTACCATAAAGATGGACTTAGGGCTAGTAAATGTAAAGGTCCATCGGGGTATGCCGAACGATATCTATTACCGATCCGATACGCCAATTTAATACACAAATCTAGTGAGTGGAGACGCTAGTATGGAATGATATCATTAAAATTACCGGTTTTCAGATGCGGGTTATCTGCCAAGATGAAAACTTTGTATTTTGCCCCTCGTTTATTTTCGTTACTTCAATTTGTTACAGCCTAGAATTGTGATATAACGATCTTTTCCAACCAATGCGATATATGAGTTATATACAACTAGCATCAACCTCAATTGCATCCATACTCCAGCAGGCAGAACCTGCCTGTTAGGGAAGTGGCTGAAAAAGGGCTGAAGCCACCCGCGTGCGGCTTGGCGTTCCCGCAGATCCACTTAAATGTAATATGATTGGATGATTGATTTCATTATGTAAATCACGTACTTGGTAAATTACCAACTCGTATTTGTGTTACATGTCATTTGATGTTCTACAGCTTCAATGGCATTTCTGCTACAGATATCGCATTGTGCAGTGCAACACAGATACGGACTCGAGAATGCAGGGCAAATATCCGCCGGCTCGGACTATGCATCTCAATATGTCTTGGTGTATGTCTCGACGCCCAGATATGGGGTAAAATACACGGTTACACCCATCAGATTAATACAACAATTCGGATTGGCTCGATTGCTCGGTAATACGGTATACCCCATAGCCCATCCAAGCTTTTTCTCTTGTCGTCGTATCGGCTGATTGAATGGGGTAAAAGAATAGACTCACTGCATTGGCAGTCAGTCAGCGATCGCGTGCGCTTGAAGAGGGAAAACTTTTTCACTGGCTGTTGTTGGTTGTATATTTAAAGATTTTCAGCGCACCTTCCTTCTTTGACTCGAACTTGTCAACTTCATCTTCTGTTCTCTCTTTTTCACACCACCGTCCTCTACATATTCGAATACACGACGTCTGTGTAGAAGACTTACTGTGGTCTATCCTTCTCTCAGAATACACCTGTCTACTCGTCTCTTGCATTAGAACATTGGCTAGCATCAACATATCGAACCTGCGATACCGTACATCTGCATAGACCTGTGCTTCTAGCGTCGATTGTATATTCGATTTACTTGACCTTGCGACTGCGACTTTCACCCATTGCGCCAATCCTTTGTCCATCAATAGGAGAATCCAAAATGAGCGGCTTTATCAACCCATTTAAGCGCCATGACAGGACGGAATTTCACGGCGTTATAATCCCTCTCTCACAAGCAACTCGCTTCCACCACCTAAACACCGTGACCTCCGACTCGGAAACCCCCGCCCATAAACCGGACAATGATGAAGACAAAGACAAGGACAAACTTGCTCGTGTCGGATCCGAAGAAAATGGCGCTGCTTCCAACCCGGAGTATAGCCACCAGACCATTGAAGCCATTCGCGCCGAGGTCGAGGCCGAAGTATCTACTTCGGGCCATGATACCACTTATGACCGTAGGTTTCTTTTCTTCTCTTCTGTTGTAGTTGAGTCGGATGCGACATGCCCTATGCGTATTTTTCGCCGATGGAGATGTCTCGTAGATCTGCTGTTTCCTTTTTAATACAGAAACCGAAATCGGATCTAATCATTCATGTAGGAAAGGCTAAAGTGATCAATTTGGCCATACAAGACATTGGAATGGGTCGCTATCAATGGCAGCTATTCATTCTATGTGGGTTTGGTTGGTTTGCAGACAAGTATGTTTTTAATATCCTGTTTGTTGATTTGCGCTAACGCGACTATTCTAGTCTTTGGCTTCAGGTAACTTTTAAACTTTCCAAATTCTTCGGTCTACTAGACCTACTAACAGCACCAGGGTATTGCGATGACCCTAAACCCAGTTGCTCAAGAGTTCGGCATCTCAGCGACTCATGTACGCTTCACGACAGCTGCTCTGTTCATCGGCCTATGCATTGGCGCATCCTTCTGGGGAATCGCTTCTGACGTCGTCGGACGTCGTCTTGCTTTCAATATGACTCTTTTGATCTGCGGTATCTTTGGTATTTGCATCGCAGCAAGTCCTACTTGGATTGGTGTCTGTGGCCTGGCTGCCGCTATGGGTCTCGGTGTGGGCGGAAATCTACCTGTTGATGGCGCATTGTTTCTCGAGTTTCTGCCTTTTGCGTCGGGTAATCTGCTCACTTTGCTGAGTATTTGGTGGCCTGTCGGACAGTTAGTGGGAAGGTATGTATATCGCCCTGTCTGGTACAGAACGGAATACTAAATGTTCATAGTCTCATTGCTTGGGGCTTCATCCCCAATTATAGTTGCGACAGTGAATTGCCAGCTTGTTCCGCTGTTGCTGCAGGAGAAGCCTGCTGTCGTAAACAAGACAACATGGGCTGGCGATACCTGTGTATCACCTTGGGAGCCATAACGTTGGCCATGTTTGCTTGCCGCTTCTTCTTGTTCCATCTTTACGAATCTCCAAAGTTCCTCCTTTCTCGCGGCCGCCAGGAGGAGGCCGTCAGGACTGTCCATGCCATTGCCTATAAGAACAAGGCCCAGACATGGCTCACGGTCGACATTCTTAACGAGATTGGAGGCCACCCCAGCGACGGTGGGAACGCCAAACTCACTCGTATCGATATTATCAAACGGTCACTGTCGAAATTCTCCGGCGAGCGTCTGGGACCTCTGTTCCACACCAAGAGACTAGGCTTCACGACTGTGATCCTTTGGTTTTGTTGGGCTACCATTGGAATGGGTTACCCTCTCTTCAACGCCTTTTTACCACAATACCTCGCTCACGCAGGATCCGACACCGTCACACCCGTCAACATCACATACCGCAACTACGCCATTACCTCTATCGTGGGAGTTCCTGGCTCAATCCTCGGCTGCTACACCGTCAACATCAAATACATCGGCCGCAAGGGCACAATGGCGATTTCCACTCTAATCACGGGCATCATCCTCTTCTGCTTCACCGTCTCAAACGACTCCGACATCCAACTCGTCTGCAGCTCCCTAGAATCCTTCTTCCAAAACATCATGTATGGCGTCCTGTACGCTTACACACCAGAAGTCTTCCCAGCACCAAACCGTGGATCCGGAACGGGTATCGCCAGTTTTTTTAACAGATTGTGTGGAGTTATGGCTCCTATTGTGGCGATTTATGGCGCAAAGAATAATGCGAGTGCGCCTGTTTATGCTTCTGGAGGTTTGATCCTGGCTGCATTTTGTGCGATGGTATTTTTGCCGATTGAGACCAGGGGGAAGCAGACTTTGTAAATCTGCTGGAGGTTGGTGAGCAACCAAGATGGTGTGCAAACTTGTACCTAGGCTCTAATAGGGTTGCTGTATACCAATACCCAGATTCTAGGTAGAACTGCACATTGGAATATTATTACATTATCATAATCATGATATACTCTGTAAATTGAGCTTCAGTCCCTTTGACGTAATCCTTATGAAAAATGTGGAATGCCATAGCTACAACATGATTGTTGCCTCCGACACAATATTCTTGTTGGTTGAAAGCTGTGCGAGCCGTGAAACCCTAATTAGCAAAGCATAAGCTCTGTCTGCTAGTTTACAGCGTTCACTCGGGAGTCCACACTCTTTTCTGATTGGCCCATTAAGATCTTCTTTGATTGGTTGAAAAAACTGTAGTAACGTGACTTCCCGTTTAGGCTGCGTTTTAGGGCTTTTTTCAAGGGCTAGCTCCCTATCTGACGACACGATAACTTCCTTTCCTCTATACATGCTCCTCCTCTTCATCAACCCCCCTCCGGGCCCTCCCTCTCACCATCCTTCTCATGCTCACTCTTTCTAAATTTTATCAATTTCATCAATTGTTCGCTACTTTCATCTCGTTCGTCTCACTCTACTCCTGCTGTGGGCTTGAGATATCCTCGCTCCGCCACTATGGCTGGAGATGGCACTCAGCGGTGCTCAATACACTAGCGCGAGAAGTCAGTTGAGCAATTTTAATCTGCAACCGGGAATCGTATCTCGAAAACATGCTCACAATGCCGTACTCATCGTTCCTCCAAGAGAGCGCGCACTCAGGCTGGAATTCACACTCTTGAGCTTCATGAGAACCCCTCTATAATCCCCCCTGTCGAAGAAAATCTTCCTCATTTTATGCGTCCTACTACTGCTTCTTCGCTACGCCGTCTCCAGCCCAGGAGACTTTCTCCACATCAAATTCATCATCAATTTGAATAGCATCAAACAGCATCTTCGTCTCAATAAGTTTACGACTCCCCTATTTATCGTTATCGTGGTATTCATTCGCAAGATTCCCCCACTCATCAAGAAGCACGGTGTCAGCGAGGACGCGGCGCTCGCCTTAGCTTTAGCTCTTCGTCTACACCGCGCCGACCGGTCCTGTCAAACCACTTTGTGTGTGCTGCGTACCATGAACCGCGTCATCATGCCCGAAAAATCGCCAACGGTGTTGATATCTGCCAGTACTATCAAAACCTGAATATCCACTCAAACAACAATATAAGTTTTGTATTAATGATGATCATAAAGTCCCAACCACTGCCTTCTTTAACTCTACACCCACTGAGCATAACATGTGCAACTCGTGTCGTCCTGAGATGATGACCCAGGGTGATACTAACCCTTCATTGCACCCGGATAGTAGCGTGCCCCATTCGCAGGGTTTATCCCTGGCTTCTACTCAGCAGAGAAGGATTTCACTATTGGCCTTACCTATGTGGCTCTTTCACGCGTTAAAGCACTTGACAGTGTCCTTTTCGAAGAGCCTTTCGACTATCAACGCTTTGTGCGTAAAAAGCCGTATGAAACAATAGTTATGAGACAAGAAGGTGCCTGATCTCGTCATGAGCAACATGTTTTTATCCCCTCTCCTGTACAATTACACATATGGTTGTAAGCTAACCAGTCTCTAGTTTGATTATGTCCCTCTACCACCTCAATTACCGTCACAGCTTTCTCAGAACTATTTCCAAGCTTCTTTAGCTATTCAGTCCTCTCCTCAGCGTGGTTCCTCGGTCATTACCCATGACTCGTCCCACACTCCTCCACTACTATATAGATTTCAATTCGTAACCGGTTTCGTTGGGGTTAAGGATTTTTGGGGGGGATCTTGGGAGTCAGGATTGAGATCAAAATGCTTGTCATTAAGAATCAAAATATCTACTCTTCTTGTCTGCTAAAGCTTACGCTCTGCTACCATGTCGAGCATTTTAGCGTTGCCACATCATTTATGCAGGCTCAGCCTACCAATCTACTACCCACGAATTGCTAAGCAGATCACGGCTTATCCCTCGCAATCCCCTCCTTATACCTCTTCAAAGCCCTAACCCTACTAGCAGCATGCTCTACAATCGGCCTCGGATACCCCGCCTTCTGCGCAATAGCACCCGCCCCTCTCCCATACGGATCATGAATCGCTTTACTGTCCTTGATATCACTCAACTCCGGCACCCACTTCCTAATAAAATCCCCATTCGGATCAAACTTCTCACTTTGAAGCAAAGGGTTAAAGATTCGAAAATAAGGTTGGGGGTCTACACCAGTAGAAGATCCAAACCCCCATCCGCCGTGGTTAGAAGCGAAATCGCCATCGATTAGAGTTTCCATGAAATAACGTTCACCACGACGCCAGTCAATCATTAGATCTTTGGAGAGGAATGAGGAGACGATCATGCGGTTGCGGTTGTGGAGCCAGGCATCGTGTCGGAGTTGGCGCATTGCGGCGTCGACGATGGGGTAGCCTGTTTGACCTTCTGTCCAGCGAGTGAAGAGGTCTGTGTCGTATTCCCAGGTGACGTTTGTAAATTCCGGTTTGAAGCATTTGTTCATACTATCGTCGGTCAGCCAGATATGGTAATATATCTCTCGAAGAGAGAGGAGGGGGTAGGGTACCAGATAAACGGCCAATGGACAAGGACATGTTTATAAAAATCACGCCAGGCGACTTCACTAATCCACGAAGCGAGACTGGCATTCTTCCCATCCAGATATCCGCCGTTGGCATCCTTGGCCTTGGAAACGGCTGTCCTCGCACTGAGAACTCCAGATGCAAGATACGGACTGAGAATAGCCGTGTATTGACCATCCACCATACTGCGCTTCTTGCTGTATTCCTTTACCCTTGTCGTGATGAATTCATCCAATCGTTTCCTCGCCTCTTGTTCGCCTTCTGGGTACATTTTCTCAAATCGTTGTTTCTCTTCGTCGGAAAGACGTCTGTTCTCTGATGCGCCAGGGATTTGACTATCGAACAGATCCCCGAAATGTGATCGGGCACTCTCGTGATTCTTACCTGGCGGTTCTAGAACACGTAGATTGTGATCACCATGTTGATGGAGATAGCCCATCCATGCACGATACCACGGCGAGTACACCGCATACTGTTTCCCCTGTTGACTCTGCAAAGCACCAGGCGTAACAACACAAGAATCATGAGCAGTCTCAAACGCAATGCCCTTATCAGCCAATAATCGTACAAGTTTCGCCTCTCTCCGCAACTCATCTACTTCATACTCAATATTGGCGAATAGATGACTAGCACCCCACTGCTCACACAGCTCCCCAATTCGTTCGGGGATATTCCGTCTTCTCTCTTGCGTCTCTATATACAACGGAATATCAAGTGTACCAAGCTCCCTCTGCAACACCCTCAGATTGCGAAGCGTAAAATCCACCCGTGCTGGACTCGAGCAATGAGCCGTCAAATCCTGCGGCGACATGATATACATACATACCAGCGGAATTTCATTCTTTGCCGCCAACTCAGACGCCATCTTTAGCGCTCGATTATCGTTTAATCGCAAATCACCCTTAAACCAATGCACGACTGCGTTTCGCGGTTTGATTTCCTTTCGAATCGGGTCGGTCTCTGCATATGCCCTGTTCAGTGTGTCGACGGGACGTTCTAGTGTACCGTTATTGTACGCTTCGCACCGCGCATTGCTCATTTCGGGAGGGTAGAATTCGCGAAGCACAATGCCAAAGTTTTCGGCCTGCTGGGCACCTGGGTGAGGAGCGTTGATGTCGTTGTTTTGTCGTTGTCCGTTGGGTTGGGACACGTTGTTTCTTCTTGCAGATGACACTTCTGCACCGTTTGGTGCTTTTCGTTTTTGTGGTGCCATCTGTGTATCTTGTGGGATTGAGCGGTAGTGATACTTCCTGAGCCGGAGACTTGAGCGCAACCCTGGCAAGAAGCAAGCCAGTCACAAGCGAAATATTATCATTCCTTAATCCACTAATCCTCATAAGAGATATCATGAATTAAAAGAATAATCAACGCGGAAAGACAATAGTCGCGGTAACGCGCTGATGTCATTGGGGTATGGCATTCCCGATCCGATCTCCGCAACCTTTTCCATCTAAACTTTTGGCTCTGCGATCGATCTAGACTCATTTTATCCAACAAGAATAAAAATGAAAAAAAGATCGGTCACCTTCTTCTCCTCCCCCTTCCGCTAACAGTCATCCGGTCTCTAATCGCCATACTGCCGTAGTCTCTTTGTGCCGCTCTTCTGCGCACTTCTCGTTCCGTATTCAAATCCGCCGTGGCATCCTTATTCACATCTTCTTTCTCGCTTTCCTCTTCGATTCGTTTCTTACGCCTCGCTTCAATAATCCTCTGAGCCAATTCCGGCTCTAGAAACGGTTGAGGAGCTTGCGAAGAATCGAATTCGATACGGATTACCTTGTTCGTATTTTCGTTGTTGTCTTCCAGGGTTGTAGCGTATCGTTTTCTTTTGTTTTCTTGTTTGTGTTCTTCTTCTTTTTCTATCGTCGCATTCAAAGATGAAAAGACTGGTTTTTGAAGTTGGATAATTGCTGGGACAGCGCTTGGGTTTATGGCTTTGTGGACTTTGGATCTGGTCAATGATGAAGATGACGTTGAGGTTGAGGATGAGGTTGATAAAGGTAAAAGGCCGCGCTTGTGCGGGATGATTCGTTCTCTTTTAGGATTCATTTTGTTGCCATCCAGAGAATTTGACATTTGATGATGAGTTGGAGTCTCGATAATCAGTTAGGTATGTATCTAGAATATGAGAAGTTAAAGAGTGAAGTGAGTGGGCTACCTCCCCCACACAGATCTTCCTAGCGGGTAACAGTCGCCCCGAATAGCATCACATGAATAGATAGATGCGTGCTGATGAATGAATGTGTTTGATATCTAATAGACGGTCAAAAACAATCAACATAGCTATGTTATAGAACAGTAATGTATTGACATGAAAATAAAGCAAATCTACAGTAGCATAACTACATAACGTCGTAAGACGGGTGGTAAACATCAAGTTTATACCGTCGGCTTAGAAAAGGAAAAGTCCCACCCGATAGGATATTTCCAAAGCAAAACTCCCCGAAGCAAAAGAATGTAAGTATAGACCGATACTTGACTGACTCAAGCCAATCCGTGCGATTCCATACCTTGCATTGGCATCGTATACGGAAAATCAACCAAGCCGTCGAGAAGCCAGTTCAGAGGATCAAAGACCTCGTAGTTAGGTTCCATGAATCCATTCACGGCAGAACTGGGCAGGTTGTTCACACCAGCGGACGACGAGGAGAGGGATAGGCCATGTGGCAGTGGTGGAGCAGGTGCTAGGCTAGGGTCGCCTGTTACTCCTGGTGTGGCCGATGAGGCGCGACCATGTGTGAGAGATGAGCCTGTCGTTTCGCCATTGGAGTCGGGGTCGGTGGGGTTTTTGAGGGAGGCTATCAAATTATTAGTATTAGTATCGTGTGTACCCTCAGAGAAGTGTTATGTATACCTTCTATATTTCGGCCCTTGGCCAATGCATCTTCTCGCCAACGCCAGACGGAATCATAAACAAGCGACATACTCATACGACATCGCACCTTGAGTTGTAACGAATCGTCGATTTCCGATGACGAGGAAGCCGGTCGCGGAGTAGGGGCACCTCCCTGTTTCCACATCTGAGTCAGGACTTCGGTTAGCCGCTGAGGTAGATCGTTGTTGGATACGGAGATTGCTCGGATGGACCAAATTGTCCTGTTGAACAGTCTCTTGGTGTACTCCAGGTCTATGTGGGCTGAGAAGAAACTCTTGCAGAGTTTCATCAGAGTAAATCCCGCCGCGAGCATCATCTGGTAGAAGTAATAAGGCGTGTAGGGAAGCACAGGGCCAACATTTGTCTCTAGGTTCAATGCTGACTCTAGGAAATTGCAGGTTGCCGAGTGTAGTGAAAGTAGGCGCTCTCGATATCCTTGCGATGACGGGTCATCAAAGAAAGAACATAGTTGTAGATGCAGATTGGCCGCTCGCAAATAAAGATCCGTGATGACTAGACAGTCGTTAACAGTCCGTCTCTCATAGATCATAGAACTTTGAGAGTACAACTTACCATCATTCTCAGGCTTCAATTGATCCTCCAACTCTTCAAAATCCCGGGTCAAAAACGACATAAGAGATGCCCGTTCGCCGTCTTCAGCCAAACCCACTGGATTCCGCCGGTTGTTATACAGAGCCTTTGTGACTTTGTCAACAAAAACTTCGATCTGTAACCGAGCTTTGATTTCTCGAGGTAACTGAAAATTGACATCGATGAGTTCGCTGGCACCCAAGGTCCAGTCATATAACGTCGAGGGAGGTTGTCCATAACCGGTAGCAACCCTGATCAGTTAGTATCAACCAGTACGAAAAGAAAAGAAAAGAGCTTACCTTTGTGCGACAACATTACAAATAGCCCACGTTCGGACTTTGTCCCGTAGTTCCGACTCAATAAGCTCAACTCGAAATTTGGAGAAATCCTGTGTATGCGAAGGTCGATGTAATCCCAACTGCATCGCAACATGGATCATCAAACCGGACAACATGAATGTTGGATCAGTCGATGTACTACTGGTGGGAAAAGGCCAAGTGCAAAGCAAGCAGAGCGCTTTGACTGCATGGAAGCTTTGAGGGATATCGGCGATTGTGCTCCAGACAAGTCGAGTCACCGGACCGGCTAACGAGTTTAACAACTGAATATCGGTCTGGTACCGGCGTGCGCCTACACTGATAATCATCCAGAAAAGCAGTGGTGAAGTGGCATAGTACTCTTCAGGTGTGACTTCGCGGTCGAGGAACGGGAGATAGGCATGATAGAAGGTGAAGAATCTGCATTGATTAGCATGATCGTTTTTCCTCGTACAAATGAATGAACTTACAGATTGAATAATTCGTTAATCCGGTCTGTCGCCACCATAACATCTTCTATTCTCTTGAACTGGTGGCTTCCAGACCGCATATAGTTCGCACCGTCAAACCCCGACCTCAAATCCAGCAGAGATGCAACCGCTTCATGTGACCCCATATACTGATCTGTCGACAGCGGAGTCGGAGTCTGATACATTGCTCCGCTCAATGGTGTAGACATGGCAGAAGCCTCCTGCTTAGCCGGCGCAACCTGGGATTTCAACGAAGCATTTGCCGCATTTGCATTTGCAATTTGTCTCCTCAACTCGATTATTTCTCTTTCCATCTCGGCATTGCGACTTCGTTTCCCGACTCGTTTGAAGTTGGATTCGATTTTGCATTCAAGTTTGAGGCGGCGGCAACGCGAGCAGTCCATGAACGGGTCTTGAATCACATCGCAGCGGAGCTATTCATGAATTAGTATAGTCATGAAAAATTCGGCATATTGGCATACCTTCTGCTGTCGACACTCATTGCAAGCTCTCTTGACAGGCTGCCGCTTCCTCTCCTCGTGTTGTTCGCCATCTTCAATCTCATCAATACTGCCTGGTGAGCTATCCAGCCCAGCGCCAGCTCCATTGCGCTTCCTTCCCACTAACCCCGAAGCACCAGAATGTATCCTCGCATTGATCCGGCCGGGACTCGTCAATGGAGTCGCATTCTGCGATTCAGAAGATATCTGGCCGACCCCTATGGGCCCTCCCCCTCCGATGCCGCTCGTCACCCCGTGCGCCGCCACTCTGGCGTGGCCCGCGGCTATGCGCAGGGCTTGTTTATCAGAAACAGGAAACAGGTAGGGCGGTTCAATGGAGATTTTAGTGTAGGTCGCCGATAGGTTGTTGTTGCTTTCTCCCAGATCAGCGCGTGCAGCTACGTCCGATGTCGCAAAAGTCGGATTGAATGGGTTGATGGAGTCTGGAGAAAATGTTTTGGCCTCGCTCCTAAGCGGTGATACGATCGTTCTTGGTCTGGGCAACAAGCGCAATCACCCCACTGTTTGCTAGACTCGCTTGTGCGGCCTTTCCTGTTTGATATTTGAATGCTTGTGCTCGTCGTCGTCTTTCTTTCCCCTTTCTTTTTCTGGAGGATTCTGAGTCAACCACGAGCATCGGCAAGTGGGGGTTTGCCGGTTTCGGGGACGTGTCATGTGATTCCCTTGCAAGGCAGAAACGACACCTGAGGCAGTAGCATTCTGCGATTCTGATTGGCTGATAAGCTCCAAGCCGGACAACCGAGGCTTAGCTTCGGCTAGGCCAATCAGATCATTTGTAACATTCTGGAAGCCATGCCTGAGGCTCTTTGACCTCAGCTGGAGGACTATCTTTACTTTTCTTTCTTTACTCTTCTTTGCCAGTAAATGCTTCTATTCATAGCGGAATGCTTGTTATGGTGGGCATTGCCACCGGAGCATGCAGTCTGTGAGGAGGCTGTACAAGAAATATGCGACCTACTATACTACGTAGTAATCTCTAAATCAAGAAGTTATATTAACTCACCAGTTACACTGCGAGCGAGGCGCGTCACTCGGACTTAGTCTCTGTAAGGCCCGCCCCATATTGAGCCCCAAACTGCTATTTCCCCACATTATGTACGTACGAGGAGGCTTAGCATCGCCTATCAGATCGCTTCCAATCAAAGCAGTCTTATCTCCAAGCCCCTACGAATACGAACTCTGATTTTGCGGAGATCACCTTCCAGAAGTGTCGTTATCAGGCAGACGTCGAGTATTTATACGGGACAGTGAGCCACTTGTTCACAGATCATTCCATGGTTCTATCACTTATGCTACAACAGAGAGAATGATATCTTCATAACCTCTGTCCATACCCGACTCTTATTCTTTCAACCGTCGTCAAAAATGACTGTCGAAATCCCTCCACTAAAGATATCCAAAGGGAGCGAGAATGAAAAAGATATCAAGGGTGTTTCTCTGGCGAACGAAGAAGCACCGCCATCATACACAGAGCAGGAGCTGCCAGTCGAAGATGAGCAATTTATCATCGAGATCCCACCCCTCACATTTCCCGATCCAGGTCTCGTAGTTGAGAAGGATCGATGTATCCTTCATCTCAAACTACTTGCGGCCCTAGCCGACTTGCGAGAAACGATCTCTACTATTGATGGACTATTCGGGATTCACGACTCGCAGGCCGACAAGTTTGGAGACGAAACGTCAAAGACCAAAGCTCTGATTCGTATTAGGGAGAAGCGTTGGGCTGTTTATACGGCCAGAGCAGTGGATCGTTATGCGGACTGGTGGAAAAATTGCGTGCCAGTGTCCGAAACGTCTCCTACAGTGTCTATGATGCGATCAAGTGGATATGTCGCCCTTACAAGTTCGACTCCGATATCTTGGACGGCAAAAAATCTGCCGCCGCTTGGTAAGTATCCCCCCAGATCATGAAGCTGATACGTACTAACAAGTGAATATAGATGTACTCATGGTCTGGCATGCTCACATGCTAAATCCCCGAACCTATCTAGAGGACTGTCTCCGAGGGGGCAAAATGAGTTTCTGGGCTACTGATTTCCCCTGGTCCTTGGTCGATGCGGCTATTGACAATAAAAATCTTGACTACAACCCTGGCGATGAAGCAATAAAGCACTTCACAGTAGACACCAAACGTCTCTGGGAGAATATCAATGAGCCTGACGAGAAAGAACTTACATGTCTTTCGTGCTCGAGCTCATTCAAAGTCCCTTGGACAACAGGACAGCTAGGAAATACGCCTGATTCCCCATTCTCTTTTTGTACAGGCTACGCCGACAGTGGGTTTGTGGCTTATTGCGAGGCTCCGCTTTGCAGGTTCAAACATGACCATCAGGTTCTGAGAGTCGCTCGATTCAACAAAGATGTTGGGGACCTGCTGAAGAACAGTTATCCCTTACCCGGAACCTACCTCAACCTTCAGGGTATACCAGTATCCGGCAAAAATGTCGGCACAAATGCCGACCCAAACATGTTCCCCAATCTTCTGATCCACGCCAACAAGGATATGGTCTACGAAGCCACTCGACCCAACGGGGTTGTAAACGACATGCTCAGCGTACGCAAAATGATTGAAACCCTACTGGCCAACCACAGACTGGTAGCAAGCATCAATGGGCGTAATGGTCTTCGACCAAGACGGGAGCAAAAAATCGCCATTCGACGCATGATGTCTCACTACTGGGAGAACAGCTCCATATTCGGCCTCGATCTTGTCGGAGCAGTGATTCGTCAGGGGACATTCATTCAAAAAATGGATAATCTCGACTGGATCCATTCACCCGCTGTGGCAGCGACAATGGATCGATTGATTCACAAATACGGCATATTCTTTGAAATCATGAGCACGAACCCGAATCAAATGGCCGTTCCCACTTTGGATGTCGATCTAGCGTGGCATACGCATCAGATGTCTCCAGGTCGATACTTTGCTTATTCGGTTTCACGGACATCGGCATTTCGACCCGCATCCCCGACTTTCATTGACCATGACGATAAAGTTGACGAAGGCAAACTCTCCGATGCGTTTGAATGGACTTCGAAAAGGTACAAGGAAGCTACAAACGGCGAGTTGTATAGTGAATGTACATGTTGGTACTGCGAAGCCACGCGGGAATCATACCTTTACCGTGGTCTATCAATCGCAACGTCATCATCGACGAGGCGTGCGCGTACCCTCGCTGAAAACCTTCACGATGATCCACGCATCTCATCCGAACCGGATAAAAATCCACACATCTCCGCGCACAACGCCGTGCGTGGCTCACAGATCGATTCCACGGCAGCAGCAAATTATAAGACCCTGCGCCTGCGACAAATGTGGGATAAATCTCATCGTCGGGCCTTGAAACGACAACAGAAACAAGACGCCAGAGACGGAAATACTGATAATGGTAAGAAACGATCAGCAGATAATGCACCTGTTGATCCGTACTATCCACTTGTGTATGGTTATCCGTTCTACATGCCGTTCTATGCGCCGTATATGGCGGATCCGTGTATTGACGGTGCTGCGTATCCGTGCAATCCTGCTTGTATGAATGCTTCTGTTGGGGCGTATGGGAATTGTGCGGCGGGGACGTGTGGTAGTTCTGTTGCGGCTGGAGCTTGTGCTGGTGCTGGCGGGGGTGGTTGTGGTGGTAGTGCCTGTGGAGGAGGAGGAGGAGGTGGCGGTGGATGCGGTGGAGGAGGCGGTGGTGGTTGCGGAGGAGGTGGTGGAGGTTGTTAAATGATTGATGCTGTTACGATTGATGTAAGCGTGATATCTTCTTATACTCTTTCTAGGTACTTGCCAGTTGCTCCTTACGTCTTTTGCTTATGTCTTTACGTGTCTATGGCTAGTCTTGAATGAGAACCTCTATAGTGAGTGATACGCCTCGCTTATGAGTGCATTAAACAGTCCGACCACACGTAGACAGAAAAAGTTCGTGTCGTTGCCGTAATACTCTAAAAAAAATATCCACAAACGCATGGATTCTATACATCGCGCTATACAACATGCTAAAATTCAACCTCGAAAAGTCCACACTGACTGACATGGGTATAAGACTCCGCAGATCAAATTGAAAGCTGAATCAAAACAATCCGAAAAGAACAACACTTCGCTAAAACAGGTACAAAAAAGCAGTCCACTATATATATATACAAAAACCAAAGCAGAAAGTCATCATTTTCTTACATAACAATACATCGTGAGTTCTTGCCTTTGCTTTTCCTTCTTTCGTTAATTGTATTCATGTTCCATGCTTCTATTCGTGCCCTCCATTCATCTGATTCTGTGGGATTGGGTTGTTGCCAATCTGTGTTCTCAGCTACCATCGCTTCTTGCGGCGGCTGCTGTTGGTTTGTTTGAGTTGGTTGCGGCTGGTCATGGCCATGTATAGGCATTGATTGTGTTTGTAATCGTCTGCCGCTGGCATTCTGCTGCATCGCAAGAGCATGCTGTAAAGCTTCCTCCGTCAGTGGTGCTGGCAGTTGCGCCGCTTCAGATCGCGAGCGAGTCCGGTGCACTCCGCCGTTCTGCGACCGAGAAGCGTTACTGTAGATAGTTGACATACGATTGATTGCCGCGTTGCCGTTAAAAGCAAGATTTGGCGATGAGCGTGAAAATCTGCCGTTGCGCATTATCGATATGTGCCTCCTTGGACTAGGATCAGCTAAGTATTGTTGATGTTCCTCGTTGGATTGGCTGGCTGCTGATCCGTGACTGGTCGACTTTCGGAAAGTGCCAAATATTCTACTATTTCTGAAAGGCCTCTTGGGGATCCCCGAAGATAGTGTTTGAGCTCCGCTATCAGTTGGGGATTCTCGGACTACCTGGTGTGGTATTGTGGAAGATGGTCTGTCCCTGTCGCTTCCACCAGGATGTACAGCGGGAATAGGTTGATTATGCGAATTCGAAGGCGGCACTCTATGGAAAGAAAGAGGTCTGAAACTCAATCGGTTTCTACCTGCAGCATCGTCGCTGGCATCTGCGGTACGCCTACGGGTACTCCAACGTCTCGAAAGTATACCAGAACCGCCACCGGTACTCGTCTCGGGTCGATCAGCTTCGTTTGTACTCGCTCTTCTTACCTGCTGAGGAACCTGTTCCATAGTACCGCCGGGAGGAGCTGTCATCGTAGGGAGGAGTAGTTGTCTAAGGTGTTCGGGAAGTGGTTGGTCTGGATTTCGCGTATAAGGTGGTGGAGGCGGTACCCAGTTGTCTGCATCACTCTCATGAGGGATATGCAAGACGGGTAATCTAGGGCGTTCCTGTTCGCGTGCCACATGCTGAGCTCTTCTATTGCTCGCTGCTGCCGTTGCTGCACGCTGTAGTGTGTCTCTAGAACGAGGGGCGGTATTACTGTACGGTCCTTCCAGGAACAAGGTAACATCGCCAACTTCGGGATCTGGAGAAGCCGATGACTGACTCCTCCGGTCTGGTATCATAGGGACTGGAATGTTGATTGATTCTCTTGCCTCTAATCTCGGCGGATTAGCCGCACCACGACGCAACTGAGTTCTCCTTCTTTCGAGCTCCACTTCTTGTTCCAGATTTGCATCTGGTTCTCTGAGTACTAAGGGTACTTCCACTCCAAGTTCAATCGTCAGTTCAGCAGTCTCGCCATTGTTGGTTGAAGTTTGAAAATCAAATATGGATATCCTTCCTCCATCTACTGGTATCGTCTCATCCCCGAGCGAAGAAGACGTGACACCGCCTGGAGCGACGGCAACCAGTCGTTGCCGTAAATGGCCATTATCAGAAAATCCTCCCACCCAGCGAGCGGCCGTCAACCCGGAGATATCAGCTACCTTTCGGCCTGCTATGAATAGAGACGGCTGGTCAAGACCTTTCCTTACCCGTCTTGCCACAATTCCAGTGTGGTCTCCAGGCAATGTAGAAGCTGCATTAAAGTCACTGGTATCGGCCGATTCTAACGGCGTTGCACTCAAATCATGAGGAAGTCCATAAAGAAACAGACCACCACCACGAAACGCCAGGGCAACGACTTCAGCCTTGGGATCGACAGCAGGGTTCAAAGAAGGCATACACTCTTCAGCGCCATCTGGAGAAACCGGTCCTGGGAAGTACGCCGAACCGATTCTGGGCTCCTTTGGTCGGACAGCTCGAAACGTCTTGAGACTATGGTCGAAACCCATTATCCAATCATCATCACCACTTATACGGCTCGGTAACAACGTCACAAAGCTGTAACCAGAGACTACCTCGGGAAACAAGATCTGTGTAGTCCACATATGAGTCTCTTGATTGCTCAAATCCGCCATTGAGTCCGTCGGAAACGGAGCTGTGATGGTGACAAAGCCGGCGTCAGGACCATCCACAGAAGATCCGATGAGCATGGACCCGTCCGAAGAAAACGATAAAGTATCAATCGTTCCGCATCGGACAGCTCGGCACTGAGTCGGTATGGCATCTTCACCCAATGCATGCACTTCTATGCTGCCGTCATATGCGATGCCAAGTACAGTACCGTTCGGTGCTAGAGCGAGAGCCCGTGGAACATCGTTCAGCGTCAATACTTGGACATGTTTGGCTTCACTTTTGAATAGATGATAGATATTGATTTGGTGGCGGTGTGAGACGACGGCGAGAACACGACCATCGTCGAGGATCGTAGCAGCCAACGGCATTCGCGAAGTCTTTAACTCGTACAAAACATTGATCTCCGGCGCGGTCAAATCCAAGACGAAGATGCGAGAAGAGCTCAGGCAAAGCAAAATATGACCGTTTGCAGAGAACCCAAACTTCAATGCCTCACCCGTTGGCAATGCTGCTGAAGACCCAACAGAACTCGATATCAATGTCACCAAAGTCTTGCGAGGACGTAGAAAGATTTGAAATACATTCTTCCGTATCTCTCGATAGAACTCTCGCTTTAGCTGGTCAAGATCCTGTGTGTTTGTCGATGATATACCGGTACCATGATATGCGGCGTAAAGTGGACACTGGGCAACGTGGTGTGCGTAGAGTTCGGGATTATTTGACGCCCTCCTCCATTGCTGATTCAAGACGGTCAGGGACGCGAACGTATCAGCATCGACTGTATAAAGGATCCTATTGATCCCATGGTTAGCTTGTACTGAACATAATGCATGTGATAGAATCTTTCCTTACCTCTGAATGACGTCGAGGGGTAATCGACCAAAAGCACGCGAGTTTTGCACCGGTCTCTCATTATCCATCAAGGCACCATGGTACGCTTTGTGCTCCTCCGTATCCAGATCCATCCTCGCAATCATCGATGGTCTACATGGGCTGCTGATGCGGCGGTCGATAGTTCAAGATGAAAACAAAAAGCGATAACTCATAGGCAGGCATCATGTAACACGGCAAGCCAAGTCCATGCCAGACAGTATTCGGTATAATCAAGTAACCAAGAATCAAGTTCGACCGAGTGCTGATGAAATTCGAACTCGTATATCACTCCCTTCTAGACAACACCTTGGTGTTTCGCACCTGAAACTACCGAGTGGGTAGCAGGGAGCTATCAACGGCGAATGCGGGGAATGGATCGAACGTTGCAGGGGTCATCTATCCGCGAATGAAGGAGCCAACCACGAATGTTAAGTTGCCAAAGCTCGCTAAACAGCATGTGCATTGATGTTGCAGTGTCGAAGCAGAGTCATCGGAGTTCAGTATGTCAGATTGATGAATCCACTGGACAGATGAACCGTCCTAATAATAGATCTCTGATCTAACCCTGAGAGGACTAGTGTACGATATGGGATCTATCATCCAGAAAGGGATTAGCGTAGAGTTGACCGCGACTTTGGCACTTCACGACGAAGGCAGCAACATGCAAGCCTGAGGCATACTCGGCTATGAGAAGTGAGCATTGTTTGTTTTCCTCGTATGTTTATAGAGGGCTTCATAATTCCATATGAATTATTAGTAAGTGGTTGTAACTGGCCAATGAAACTGGCTGTATTATATCGTTGATCCATGGATCAAAGTACATTAAATGCCTGGCGATTCAGGCATAAACACGTGCTAGGCTAATGACTAATATATTAGTAAGCTATGTGATGCCCAACCCGTGATTGGCGGCTGATAACCGGTCCCCGACCAAAGTACGGCTTCGGTTGACACTCCGGCTAAGAAAGTTTGCTGATGGAGTCACGACCTGACACAAGACTCATCTCTTTCAAGCACCTCATTGGATGCGCCATGATGGATCGTCTGCGCTTCCAAGCGTGCAATTGATGCGACGGTAACTACCACATATTACCCGAGCTCATACAAGCAAGCAGTCAATCGCAGTTGAAAGCCGCCGACATCGGTCTGCCATAATCTGAAGAGATCATGCTAACGGTGATATTCCACCATGTCTTCGAACGTGCCTCCTCCCAATGCGCCATCTTCAAAGGCCCATCCAGGCATTGTTAATACGGGCTCGCGACCTTACCGATCTCACAAAGTAAGAGCCTGCGACCTTTGTCGCAAGCGGAAGTCTCGATGTACTGTCGATATCCCAGGCCAGTCCTGTGTTTTGTGCCGAATTCAAGGCGCCGATTGCCACTACCAGGAAGATTCACTGCCAGAAGATGCGCCAACTATCGGCGCCGATAAAAACACCACCTCATCGTCGTCTTTTGCGAGTCATAAGCGCAAGCGGAGGTCCGAGGTGGTTGACCAAGATATTGACAGCTATGACAACTCGTCATCGGAGCAAGCGAACGGCTCAGCGACCTTCCATGCTCCTAGCGACAAGCGAGATAATGATAGCTCCCGTCGAAAGGTTGAGGATCCTCACAATGAGTCCGTACTGATCGTGGGCCCAGTCGCGGCAGAGGATGCCCAAGTAATTGAGAAGTTCATGCCCTCGGAACGATCAAGCAAACATATAGAGAATGGGAATAAGCCGTATAATGTTTATTCGAACGATCCCCGGAAGCCGATTCTTTATACTACGGTTTCACGACGGCGCCAAGGTGTGCGACTCGGACTTCCCCCTGGTTCGAATCAGAAAGAGATATTGGAGCATCTACTCGGACCATTTAAGCAGGATTTAGTCAGACTGTAGGTTCGTTTTTGTCTTAGAGAGAATATCTTTAACAGATTATGCAGTTTCATTGATCGATTCAATGTGGCTTTCCCGGTATTCGATGGCCAAGCGTTTTGGGACGCCTATATCTCTAATGATACAGATGATGATCCACCGACTACTCTTTTATGTCATGTGTATGCGATGTCACTGGTCTATTGGAAGCATACACCGAAATTTGCTCGTCACCCGAAGCCTGATACTCGATATGCCATCAACCTGACTGTAGCAGCATTGCACGAAGATTATTCCGCCCCTGGACTTTCTACTGTCAGTGCGGCATTACTCGATCTTACGGGACGGCCTATTTTCTCCATGACAGGCAATGCGATCAGCTGCGGAAGGCTGGTATCGCTTGCGCATTGTTTAGGCCTCAATAGAGACCCTAGCAATTGGAAGATTCCTCTCAGTGATAAAAAGCAACGAATCAGGCTGTGGTGGGGTGTTGTCATTCACGATCGATGGGGGAGCTTTGGACATGGCGTGCCTCCTCAGATCTCAAAAAGTCAATATGATGTTCCTTTGCCGAGTGTGGAGGTTTTGGTTACCCAGCCCAGAGCTACAAGCCAGCATATTCGAGCGGCACATTGCCACATCTCTCTCTGTCGCTTGACGGAAATATTAGGTGAATTACTTCCCCTTGTTTACCAACTGCAAAGTAAACCTGGTCGGGAAAACTCCAAGAGACTCAGACATATTCGGACCGACTTGGATACGTGGGAGGACTCGTTGCCGGAATGGCTTCGAGCTCCAGTTTTGGAGTCTGAAAATCCTGTTAGCGGAGCGAGTAGCTTACATTTAGCATTTCTTGCTGTGAAGATGCTTGTATGTCGGGTGGAATTGCATGTAGGTACCATGAGATCTTGTTTTCTGTCTTCAGTGCTAATGACTCTACAGGAGGTGAATAGCACGGAGACCGATAATCCAGAAGCTCGTCGATACTTTCAGACCGAGTGTCGCAAAGCAGCAGAAGAAATTGTTCATTTTATGTGCTCATTACAACCTGCGAATTTTAGAGAATTCTGGTTGCCTTGTGAGTACCAAATACTCCAGACCGGGGAGTGGTCAAAAACTAACTAGTGTTCAGATAGCGCTTTCCACCTTACCTCAACGGCTACTTTGCTTGTCCGCTGTGCACTAGAGACTACAGACCAAGAAATCGCTCGCTCTTGCTTGGCAAATGTCGATAATCTGCGAACACTCTTACGAAGAATCCGCGACGAAGAGGACTTTGACGTTGCCGACATGTGTCTGGACCACTGCGAAAGAATCATCACTCAACATCCGGAGATCAGCAACATGACGACTGCAGCCACTGGTCACACAGAAGATCAGGCGGTATACAGAGGTCCCGTCGAGGAGACGATGGCCATGAATCCTGCAGCCATTATTCTGCCAGAAACCGCAACACATAACGATATTGTAGACGACATGATGTCTATATCCGGAACATTCGGTACGATGGATGGCTTCCCATTTGATATGACTGGTATTTGGGATGTGTCTGGATTTCAAGACGTAAATTTCACCTGAGCGGGCTACAATTAGTCATGAAACATTGATACGAGCGACGGCGTGAAATGTCCTTCCATTCATTACATGGGGAACGAACGAATGTTCCGGTCAATCATTCACCGTCAGATCGTCCAATCCTTTGGTTTCCCGTGGAAAGGTTGCAAGTCGCAGATTTGACCTCAAGCAGCGGTCTGGCCTCTGATAGACAAAGGGTTGCACCGATAGGAATTAAAAATGGGACTGATCGAGAAAACGATCGACTATGGAATGCGCGAGTCGCTCAGTAATCTGGATGTTCGCTTGTTCGCGGCAGGGACCGGCTGCAGCCGGTATTTACTAAGATGATGAGAGATGGGTCCATCAACTGTCCGCGAACCTCCGCTGGTGGCTGTTACCCTCAGCACTACGCTAATGTGTACAAGATATCACATTTATCTAACAAGGCGATGTCGTGTGTCCATCTGAAGCAGGGAATAGTCAATTCGGTGGTTTCTATTGCATATGTACCACTGATGTACCACATTTACTATGCGAATATCTATCACGAAATATTATCCTTGTACAAGTTGATTAGATGAGTCCGATATGTACCAATGACACGCTCCTGACAGGAGACACTCTATATTAGCCATGGACAAATACCAAGGTCTAGATCCATAATTATTAATTGTAGCACTGAGATAATACATTTTCATTGATAAGTCCTACCCCGGACTAGAAACTGGGTATGGAGTACTTGGATCTCATCCTTCAAAATAGCGCATGTACAGTAGTATATACAAGTCCGGACCATGGATGGTGTTCTGTGGGAGCGAACCTTGAATGATATCAAGACATTCGTCCAGAATCGCTCAATTGAGTCTACTTGATATAAATCAGATCACTTCGGTCAGATCTCAGACGACACGTGCAGACCAAACCCTAACGACTTACACGCTAATCCCAAAACAGAAGGAGAATGCCCTAAGAGCGCACGAACGATACGGATGACTCATTTGCCGAAAATTACAGTACATCCCCTCCTAAAAGAATTTTCTTTCCCGCGGAATGCATTGTGTTCCATTCGTTCTCTGCTACTACTTCCCCGACAGCTTCATCGCATACGCATATAACATTTGACGTTCGATTCAAAGAATATATTACGCCGTAACAAACAGACTGTTTTATATATTACAGCAGATATGGCTCCTGGCATTAGAGAGTTTGCAGAGGTAGAGGTGCCGGAGCAGCGAATTGAGGTGTCAAAGTCTTCCAAATTGGATGCTTCGAAGCCCTTGAATCAGAATGAGTATAATAAAGGTGGACGGGAGGAGATGAACGGCTGGTCAGATAAGACGTCCGCCGCCGGTAAGAATAGTAATACTACAGATGATGATGATGAGACTCCTGTGTTTACTATGCCGTCGATGCATAAGCTCCGTGAAGCTCAGCGGCGGGTTGAGCGTGACTTTCGATCGGATACGGTGACAGTGCCGACTGTCAATATGATTCAGGTGTGTATCTTCACTGTCTTCCAAGTTTGTATAAGTTAGGAATAGGGCTAACTATACAGGCCATGATCGAATCCTCTTTCCAAGACGACATGTACGACGCAACTGGCGATGAATCCGTCAACCGTCTACAGCAACGTCTAATCGAATTAACCGGCAAAGAAGCAGCCATGTGGGCTCTTTCCGGGACAATGGGGAACCAAATCTGTCTCCGAACCCATTTGACGCAACCCCCCCATACGGTTCTGCTCGATTATAGGGCTCATGTCCATTGTTGGGAGACTGGTGCTATGCCGGTCATGTCGCAGGCTTCTGTGACTCAGGTGCATCCTAAGAATGGGTTGCATTTGACGGTGGATGATGTCAAGAAGCACATAATCGCCGATGGGAACAGTATGTCAGCCATTCCCGTTCCGTTCATTCCTGTACTTAACAGTCAACAGTTCATTTCCCGCCAACCCGCGTGGTCTCATTGGAAAATTCATTAAGCGGCACCATTCTACCCCTTAAAGACGCCAAGGAAATCTCAGAATTTGTTCGCAACTTCCCCGTTGAAGAAGGCGAAAAGCCCATTGCCATGCATCTTGACGGTGCTCGTCTTTTTGATGCGGTTGCGGCCGAGGGCGTGGATCTAAAGGATTACTGTGCCTGTTTCGATTCGATCAGTATCTGTCTTGCAAAGGGTCTTGGTGCTCCCATGGGAAGCGTTATTGTCGGATCAAAGAAGTTTATTCATCGTGCCAGGTTGTTTAGGAAGATGTTTGGTGGTGGTACGCGGCAGGTACGTTATTCCCTTTGCCATAAAGTATTTTCATAATATGGTAACATCGAATAGCCTGGAATGATGGCTGCTGCTGCCCTAAGTGCTTTGGAATACACAATGCCTCTTCTCCCCAAAGTTCACGCTTTAACAAAACGAACTGCCGATACCCTGCGCCAAGCCGGATATAAAATCTCGCTCCCCGTGCAGACGAATATGATTGTTTTAGACCTGGAAGAAGTCGGTATTCCGCCCGCAGCTTTCGTTGCATATGCAAAGCGGGCTGGCGTGACGGTTTTCCCGACTGGACGGCTCGTGTTTCATCATCAGATTACTCCTGAAGCGGCGGCGAGGCTTGTGGAGGCGATGAGGCTGCTTATGGAAGATAAGAAGGCGGGGAAGCAGTTGGAGAATCATAAGGTTACTGGTGGATATATGTAATGATTGATGATGATACTCATGGTTCGGTCTTGGGTCGCACCGATTGTTCTGTTTTGTTAATACATTCAGTTTTGCATTTATAGAATATAATTGTTGATATCGTCGATCAATCTACACTAGTATTTTTTCAACTGGGAAGTAGTAGAATCATTACCCAGGTAATAATATAGATTATCTTTGAACAATCTCATATTTGCGTCTGATAATTGTGTGTACGAAGGTATTACTATCCCATCTCCGCCCTAGGAGTACCCATAAGCTCACTTATCACTCTCTGCACTGTCGAATCCCTGTAACTACTATTCTCATCATAGTTCTGTGAAGGCAATTCCGAGACAGAACTTTCTGTTCCAGAGAGATATCGACTTTCTCTGAGGATGGTTGTCTTCATATCTTTCTTTGTTGCAGTAGGTTCTTGCTGCTGCTCCGTTGCACTGGTTACAGGACTAGTATTTGTCTGAGCGGATGTATGCGACGACGCCTGTACCATGTGAACAAAGAACCCATTGAACACAGCAGGATAACATCAAGAGATACGCCAACACCTATGTCCGCTTTCTGTCCAGAACTAAGACCAGGCTCGGACTCGGTAGAAGATGACGAGGAGGATACTACACCTGTAGATGACGCAGACGCGGACGCAATTAATGAGGTAGAAGTCGCCGTTACAATCGGCGTCACTGTCGATGTCGTCTTTATGGTCGACGTTGCTGTTGCTGTCGACGTCGCTCCCGAACCACCAAAGTTCCAATCCGTCGGCGGGGGACTGTCTTTATATCTCATAACCAAAATACGGACTTGTGAAATCTGGCGATTTCCAGGTGCCGTCTCCTCATAAGGGTTCGGGCTCGAACTCGCAGCCGGACTCGAGGTAGTGATTGCGCGTTGCGTTCCAGATGCAACTGTGGTTATTTGTTGAGTTTGTTGTGGGAAACAATGCTTAGGATTAGGGCTAGGGCTTGCAGGTCAATATCAACTTATGTTGAGGAGCCCTAACCTAAGCCAGAGCAAGCCTCGCGCGGCGCATCCCTGTTTGATAGATAGGACTCCTCTTTTCCCTTTTTGGGTTATCCATGGATATTTTCGTGGGTAACTCCATGGATCAAAAAATGCAAGCCTTAATCATAAATGTATTCTCTCATTGGCCGTGTGCCAGTCAATATATGCAAGTATCCTTCCACGATGGACTTGTACATGCTAATGTTGGACCAAACCAGAATACTGTGCCACATAATGAGCACTCTTCCAAGAGTGTATAGCTACTAGCCTGCTAGATGTAATGTATCAGGTGGAGCAAGACTGCTGGGCATAGGATTGACAAACAATAATAACATTATCCATGTTAGTTGGTGGTAATATGGTATGTACTTGAGTGCAAGTTGGTTTCGTAACAAGTCGGGAGAGTCTTGCAGTTAGCTATTATTGAGAATCCTGAAACAGGCTTGATCATAATTGATCCATAGTTGTAGATGTTTGTAGCCATCTGTTAACTCTTCACCATGATGTCCGAAAGTCTTGAATGAAGATCTAGGGTAATCGTTTCAGGCTGCTCAATACGGCTTTAGAAAGTGTTGCTGAACAATTAAAAGTAAGAGATCTTAGAAGATTGTTACTTCAGATAAGTAACTCTTACCTAGCTCTTCAGTAACTATTCCATAGCTTATCAATTTACAAGGTTGCCCAAGATCGAAGGATGTTTGAGTACAGTAGAACTTAGCTATAATGAAAGGAAGCTCTCTTCCTATCTATACTAATCTCACCTTTGCTAAACTGCAATATAGAAATAAAAAGAAAAGAAAAAAATCTTTATTTATTAATAGTAAAATAGATTAATATATTGAGGTACCTCTTACCCTTAAATCAAACCTCTGGATATATTGACATCGGTCTTGGGAGGCCTTCTGTTTATTAAGCCACAGGGCGTTTTTTTACAGTCGACCTCTCAGAAAGTTCTACGCATATTCAGGCAATCTGTGGTGCATCATATGTTCACGAACAAATCTGAGATTGGTTTCTAGAATCCAATAATATTGATCCTTATAAGAAGGAAACGAATAAAAACCTTCTAAAGCCAGCAAGGTATAATAATGGGATGAAGCACCCTTAGATAAAGATAACACAAAAATGTTCAGTTTTAGTCTTGATCATCAATGACTTATAATGGAAATTTGGTATAGCAATTTTTATCTGTTGATGCGATGCATCAATCCGAGCAGCGGTCTCTATGGAGGGGATATTGAGACCATTCTGCCAAAATGGAATCACACATTTCGAGCAAGCGGAACCTACTCTGTAGAACAACGAAACTCGTCCGACTCTGACATGGAAGGTGCGTGAGATTTGCCTTGATACCCAGAGACTCATTGATAGCTTGGGGGGCCATTGTGATATATACTCGGGTAGCTGATGCCATAGAGGACCTGAAAGTCCCTGAGTGGCACGAGAACATCCAACAATGTCCTGCTGAGATTCTCGTCTCTCCTGTTCAAGCTTTTCACACACCTTCGCATCAGGTAAAATATGCCCTCCGCAAGTAATCGTATTGTAAATAAAGCCATCTGCAGGTTCTGGGCCGGTCAAAGAGGACTGGGTCGATGAATACCGCCATAATTCGAACTTGCGTGAATCAGAGATACCACGATGCATGGTGTCACAATGCGCTTTAAGATTATTAATCTCTGTATATAAGTTCTTTAATTCTCAAGTTCTTTCTTCGCGTCGGGTATTCAAGTCCTTTAGTTCGTCCTTTAGTTCTTGGGTTTTCTGCTCTATATACGTCAAAAAGCCGGGACCTGCGTGATTCCCAACCCGATTTCGGCTTTGAGGAGACATATTCGGACTCCCTAACTCGCGTTGAAGAGCAGATCCGAAGGACTACACAGATGCAGTTCTTTCTAGACAATTCCTTTGGTGAGAGCCTATCTCAGAGGTCAGTTTACTGCAGGCAATAATGACGCAGAGATTTTCATACCACGAGATACTCCGGAAGAGAAGACATAACCACGGTGAAGTCATGTCAGGAAGCTATTGAAGAAGTCGGTTGTCTTAGGCAACAGTTAAAAAAGCAGGCAATGAGCGGTGTAATCAGGCTGCCGAAAGTGAGACGATTTTAAACATGATAGGTGAATTGGAGGAGGACGTGATCGTGACAAACAGGAAGTTAGATAGTTCAAGGACTCTAAACGAGGCCCCCTTAAGGGGCTGGCAGTTCGAGTTGTTTTCGTAGGCATTTTGAGGCATATTTCCAGCGAACAGATCGAGCTTTGATAAGCAAATGGTATGATGCAAGCTGGTCCGCTATCGTCTGCTGGTTCAGAAACAATGGCAGAGAATAAAGTCTAAGGATAAAAATGAAATTTGAGAAGGTAAGGCATCAGACAACAGGCACCTTTCTTCTCCGGAAGAACACAAATGGCCAAGGAGAGGCGCCTGCGCGAGTTCAAACAGTGAAAAGAACGATCATCTTTTCAACAAGGAAACCATCTATTTGCTCTAACACATGCTTCTAGAGTACTGTACCAGACTCAGCATGCGCTGGGTCCTATGCTTTATACAAACTATTGTTGCAAATAATATTATACTACAGTATATACAGTTATCATCGAGGCGGATGATGCACTACAGCCGATGGAAGGGAAGAATCTGTTATACAGACATGCACTCAACTGTCAATATGTAAAGAAACCGTCGTTATGCCCGTGGCCGACACATGGCTTCTCTGACTAACAGGCACCGAGTTCTTATGTCGTTCACCGGTTGCCACTGGACCAATACTCGTTTTACCTGTGCTAGTATTCCAGTCTTCGTCTTCCCAATCATTCCAACCACGTTCAGGTCCCCAGCGAATCCTTACATTTGCGGCTCGAACTTCGGAAAGTAACCGTCTCATTAATGGTCCGTTCTTCTGAACCGACGGCCAGGCGTCAAGTTCCACCTGATATAGATTCGGCAACTGCTCCAGAATCTTCTGTACTAAACCCCCGGCAAAGCCAGTGTAGAAATCGGACGAAATCCTAAACCCCTCAAAGACAGGATGCGACGGATCACACTGGATGAAAATTTTCAAAGTCCGAACACCAGTCATTTCCGTCAATCCAAGGTGTTTCGTGACTTTCCATGATTTTGGAGGAGCTGTCCAGCTCGAGCCGAGAATGAGTTCGATCTTATTTATAAGTGGCCGATAAGAGGGCGCTAGACTGATTAACGTCGGTTGTCGAGAATAATCCTGGATCTGGAATACGCGGAACGTTTGCACGGAGTAGAACAGCACCGAGGCTTCCTCGTGGATACGTCGGGATGCGAGGAACAAAGACAGTCGATGGGACAAGGGTGCTAATAGCTTGTTTTTCCGTGATGAGCCCACGTTGCCATTGGTACGTGGTGGTCCTTTTTTCTTCGTATCTCCAAATAACACATAGTCGTATACCTTCAACCGGATCTCGGAAGGTAGATCAAAAAATCTGAACGGCTGAATTTCCTGGGGCTCATCATCGAAATCCTCGTCATCGGTATTGTGCCGGTCATTATTCTCCTTCTGCTCGGGAAGGTACTCAAGAGTGAGTTTGCTGAAGTCGTCTTCCAGAGCACTCATTTCGAAAGGATTATGTAAAAACGCACCGTTGTGCGTTCATGTATCTAGCAAGCTGGAGGAGATACCAAGAGATGGAAAAAGCGCAAGTTCATTCATAGTCTGTTTATAGATAAAATATTATAGATAGCGGAGAGAAACCATGGTGGCAATAACGAGAATGTGTCTTGCATACGGGGCTGCACAGCTCACTGGAGGCCTAGCTGTGGCTCTTGGGGGCAAGACTGAATCAGATTCATTGGGTCTCCCCAGCTAATACAACCCGGCATCCATGGAAGAGGAAGATTGATGGGTCAAATTTCGTGAATCTGGGTTGGTTCAACTTTCATTTATGGGAAAGAAAAAAGAAGAGAGGAAAGAGAAGAGAAAAAGGGCCGAATTTAAGAGCGGGATGCCATTTCTTGGCACGGGCCGGCAGTTCTGCCGATTTCATTGCGCTAAGCCCGATCTGGCCTGGGCTCATGGATGACGCTGAGCTTCTCGTTGATTTTTTTAGACAACATCAATCGATGTCCATCCACTCGTCTCGATTCTCAGCAACTGACTCGGCCTTTTCATTTCGGGTTTGCACCAGACAGATCGGATGATTACTGCTTAGGAGATGATTATATAGATTCGCAATTGTCTCCCAATACTACATGATGCTCAGTCGTTCCGTTCTACCGCTCGCAAGGGCTCGACCAGTGCCATCAACCCTCCGTTCATATCCTCGATGGTACGCGCAGAATAATAAGCCGCGAACACCATACGTCCTTCCAAATCAAAAGCCAAAGCCCGCACAACCGAATCCTGCTCGATCGCAGAGCAATACATCCACCACCAACAATCAGTCCACGCAACCAAAGACTAAACCAACTGTTGTTGGTGCTTCTTCCGGCGCAAAAGCAACAGAAAGCGTCCCGCCTGACGCTGCGTCGAGTAAAACTGAGCCTAAGAAGCCCTTGTCTGAACCCGATGTGGCACCCGAACAACCTGAGTTCGATACTGCAGCTCAACCCGAGAAACCACAGAAACCTCTTCCCGATTTGACACAGGGTATTCCATCGACATTGGGTGCCGAACTTGAAGCTGCGCGCAAGGGTCGTAAGACAACTGCCCTTAACCTGACCGAGGACCCTTCTCAGCATGATTACGAAGAAGAAGATGGCGGTGGTGGTCGATCAAGCGATGCTTACGAGTCTTCCTTGGATCGTCGCAGAGCTCGTGTGGCTAATGTGATGTATGGCATCCTTCTTGGTGGTCTCATAGGTGGAACTGTTTATATGGGTCGGAACTGGGATTCAGAGGAGGAAGCTCAAGCACACAAAGACGCTCCATCTGGATGGGGTCTTGGACTCTTCTATAACCGGATTAAAGCCCGCTTGGATAACCTCACAAGCTATTATAGAGACCCTGCCTTTGAGAAGCTGCTGCCTGACGAGGATCCTTCATTAAGACAGCCGTATACCTTGGTGCTCAGCTTGGAAGACCTTCTAGTCCACAGTGAATGGACAAGAGAACACGGTTGGCGTGTAGCCAAGCGACCTGGTGTCGACTATTTCCTGCGCTATCTAAACCAGTACTACGAGCTTGTTCTGTTCACCAGTGTTCCAAGTATGATGGCCGATCAAGTGTTGCGGAAACTCGATCCTTTCCGCATCATTAGATGGCCTTTGTTCCGTGAGGCAACCAAGTATAAGGATGGAGAATACGTTAAGGTATGCTTCTAATCCCCCAATATGATTTAACCGCAAACTTACATACTGTTCAGGATCTGTCTTACTTGAACCGTGACCTTTCCAAAGTCATCCTCATCGATACCGTACCTGCTCACGCTCGTGAGCAACCCGAAAATGCCATCATCCTGCCAAAGTGGAAAGGCGACCCCAAGGACAAATCCCTTGTCGCCTTGATTCCATTCCTTGAATACGTAGCAGGCATGAACGTCGAAGACGTCCGTCCTGTCATCAAATCCTTCGAGGGAACATACATCCCCGCCGAATTCGCCGTACGCGAGAAAGTGATGCGCGAAAAATTCCAGAAACAAATGGAAGAAGAACAAAAGAGCCGACCGCGTCGCGGTGTGGGCAATCTTGCCGCTCTTCTCGGATTGAAACCACAGAGCTCTATTGATGGTCAAGCAGCTGGATCTGAGGAAAAGATGCTTTGGGATCAGATCCGTGAACGCGGTCAGAAGAATTACGAGATGATGGAGCAAGAGATTCGTGAGAATGGAGAGACGTGGCTGAAGATGATGGCTGAAGAAGAAGAGAAGGCACGACAGGAGCAGATGAAGAATATGAAGGGAAGTTTCACCAGCTTCTTTGGTGCTACCGGAGGTGAGAAGAAATAATTGACTTCAGTTCATGTCTAATCATATGATTTATGACTGTCCTGTCCTGCACATTCCTCTCTCTCCTTCCCCTTCATACGTACAATTTTTCTAATCATGTCTTCTTACTTATTTTGGTCATTACCTTCGTCTGTACGTTGTTTTTGTTACTCTCTTCCTTTCCCCTTATTCAAGTGCATTCTTCGGGGTTTCTGTCTCATGTCATCTGGTTTCACCGATCTGCATCTATCATTGTTCATGTTTCCTCAAATGTTTATTAGAGCAATCCCCTCTTTTCCCTTTTGGTGTGTGAAGTCGGTTTGTGTTCGCAAAACACAAAAAAGTATATATTAATATAGGTTATCGATCTTTGCATTAGAGCAAAGTCAATCCAACCATTACCTACTTATCTACTGATTGACGGATGACGAGGACGACATATGTAGTTGTATTTCATAATCGATGAAAGTTCTTAGTTTTAAGACTTTCAAGGGCATATTAGTCTGTCAAGTCGTGTTGATAAATGAGAACACATCTATATTAGTAAGAATAAATCAACATTTATAGCTTCTCATCATCCACATCCATTTGAGCATCATTCTCCGTATCTTGTCCGTTAGGCACTCTAGCAACTGACGACTCTTTGTTGATCATTTGTCTAGACACGGCGACAATGTTGTCCTCGATTAATTGCTGCCCGACGTCCTCAATGTCTGTGAAAGATGTTAATATCAAGTCCACTGCAAGTTTGAAGGATAGCTGCTCACGTTTCTTTGGGTCAACCTTGCCCACGTATCGAGTCTTCAATTGCTCCTTAGTCAATGTGGATTCTTCCTTGACTCGCTTTTCGTAACCCTCGGCCAACTCGACCAGGCGCTGCATGCTTTCCACATTTCGCTTGGCGTCTTCATGGAAGTCGTTCATCTGCAGTGCTTCGGTCCAGACGTGTTTGTGTAGGTTCATCAGCATGTTCTCTTCTAGGCCGGTCTTGCGGTAGTTGATCGCAAGGCTGTAATAATGGCGGTTTAAGCCGTGAATAAGGGCCTGAATGGATGGTTTGTTGAGGTGACCCAAGTTGGATGTGGTCTGGCGAGGCTCTTGGCCCATGACAACCGTCTGTGGCGCGATGAGTCGGAACGCATCGATAACGACCTTGCCCTTGACGGACTGGATGGGGTCGACCACGACGGCTACGGCACGAGGTGTGAGCTGTTCAAAGGACTGCTGCGTGTTAATATCTACGGATGAGAGCCAGCAGCCAAAACCGGGATGCGAGTGGTACCATCCCACGACTGATTCGGGTCTAATACAAAAACGGTCAGTGATAACATTCGAGGAGTCTTGTAATCATGTAGATCCTACCGGCCAGTCTGCTTCAAAAAGTCCATCATTTTCGTTTGAAAAACAGGGTCCACAGCTTCGACACTGACACCAGTTCCACTCTGAGGCATAGCAAAAACATCCACAACCCTCACGGTATATTCATCCACGAAGTCTCCAAGCATCAAACCCATGACTTCCATAGGAACACCAGCTCGGCCATGTCGTAACATCTTCAACAACGCCAACGACGAGATATGAACGGTTTCCGAGTTATCGATCAAGTTGGGGCTGTCCTGTTGGCCATGACGTTAGTTTCAGTTTCAGTCTCGTGGTCTGTCCAAGCTGGAGCTAACTTACAGCGCCTGGGGCTGCGCTGCCCATTCCCATGCCATGGGCAGTTTGAAGCATGCGATTTATTCGCTCCATGATAGGCGATTCGTAATCGAGTTAGGAGATGAAATGATTGTGATGGAGGAAAAGCGAGCTCCCTTCGCGGGAAGCTTAATGCAAGTTACACAAAGCTCGAGCTGGGAGTACCAGATGCTATTGTAACAGAAAAGGCGAAAAGGAAATCGAAGAACAAACGTCCAAAGAACAAGAAAACACAAAAGATTTGCTTTGGCAAATGATGGAGGTGTGAATGAGCAGTACTGTTGGTTGATGGAAGGTGAATGAATCTGTGAGGCAATGATCAATCAGCCATCCGTTCATAGCTCCGAGTGCATACCCTGTCATTGGTCCACATCCGCCTTACCGCCTTGCTCATCCTAGAGCGCATTACTTTCTGCTTCTCTTTCCCCTCAGAAAGTCCTTTCATCCTTCACCTGTCAGTGCTTTGGTGTTGGTGAGAGCCTTTTACACATTCTTTCCTGGTTTATTGGATTACACACAGCTCCAGCCAGTTCGAGCTACACGATCTTGGACATTTGCAGTCTTTAACTCATCCTACACATCCACTACACGACTTGTTCGAGACGTTCATCTTTCCTCCTGCTTAACCTCGACTCAGTACGACAGCACCGTCAACGAGGACGCACAGCCATGTCTGGCGCCGCACCCCTTGACCCGATCAACCTAAACGGTACCGCTGACAAGGGAAAGAAAGTGGCATACTTTTATGATTCGGATGTCGGTAACTATGCCTACGTCTCAGGGCATCCCATGAAGCCACACCGCATACGAATGGCACACAGTCTGGTAATGAACTATGGACTGTATAAGAAAATGGAAATTTATGTGAGTGGTCTACGAAGTCTTGCGAATCTCCCTTTCTTAATGTACAATAGTGCTAATTTCCACAGCGTGCCAAACCAGCTTCCAGATTCGAAATGACACAATTCCACACCGACGAATATATCGAGTTTCTATCAAAAGTGACTCCAGACAATATGGAGATCTACGCGAAGGAACAGAGCAAGTACAATGTCGGAGATGATTGTCCAGTATTCGATGGATTGTTCGAGTTCTGCGGTATCAGCGCTGGAGGCAGTATGGAAGGTGCGGCCCGCCTCAACCGCAATAAGTGCGATATCGCAGTCAACTGGGCAGGAGGACTCCATCATGCGAAGAAGAGCGAGGCCAGTGGTTTCTGCTATGTGAATGGTAAGCTCCTGCGAGAGACAATCGCAACGGGTCAGCATTCTAACTCAGTCTTTAGATATCGTCCTGGGCATCCTTGAGCTTCTACGATTTAAGCAGCGTGTTTTATACGTCGATATCGATGTCCATCACGGTGACGGTGTCGAGGAAGCCTTCTATACTACAGATCGCGTTATGACCGTCTCCTTTCACAAGTATGGCGAGTACTTCCCCGGTACTGGTGAGCTTCGCGATGTCGGCGTCGGATCAGGTAAATATTATGCGGTCAACTTTCCTCTCCGTGATGGAATCGATGATATTTCCTACAAGAGCATATTTGAGCCGGTCATCAGCAACGTCATGGAATGGTATCGGCCCGAGGCTGTTGTTCTTCAGTGCGGCGGAGATAGTTTGTCTGGCGATCGTCTTGGTTGCTTCAATCTCAGTATGAGAGGTCATGCAAACTGTGTCAACTTTGTGAAGAGCTTCAATTTGCCAACTTTGGTGGTGGGTGGTGGTGGTTACACTATGCGCAACGTAGCCCGTACCTGGGCCTTCGAGACGGGTATACTCTTGAACGAACAACTCGATCCGCAATTGCCCTACAATGACTACTACGAGTACTTCTCGCCTGATTACGAACTGGATGTGCGCCCATCGAATATGGATAATGCCAATACCAAAGAATACCTTGACAAAATCCGGAGTCAGGTTATCGAGAACCTTAAACGCACTGCCTTTGCGCCTTCCGTGCAGATGACCGACGTTCCTCGCGATCCGCTTGTGGACGGCTTAGACGACGAGGCGGACGCGATTATGGATGATCTCGATGAAGACGAAAACAAGGACAAACGATACACCAAACGTCGCTTTGACCAGTATATTGAAAAGACCGGCGAGCTTAGTGACAGTGAGGACGAAGAAGAACTTGCTGCCAACGGTGTTCGTCGGCAGCCCGGAGCAGTGCGACGGAGAAATCATGTCAGCCACCGTAACCTTGATGTTGCGGACTCCGGTTTGGAGAGCGGCATTGCGACACCCAGGGAACCGTCCGCAGTGCCTGACCAAGATGAAGAGATGGATGTAGCAGCTGATAGCGTGGCCGAGAAGCCTCGGACGTTGACGGTTCCAGAACCAGCAGAATCAACACGCCAAACTTCGCCCGAAGCAGACGCAGGCTCAAAGATCGAGGAGAAGCTAGCCGCAGAAGCCCAAGAGGCAGCTCGAGGACCTTCTACACATGCCGAATCACCGGTCTCCGCTCTAATCGACGCACATTCAGATGTTGATATGGAAGATACCACTACGGCAGCAGCTGAAACAGAAGCTGTTCCCTCAGGTGAGACCGGTGAACAACAGAAAACTCCTCCAGCTTCGCCTCCGGCTGCTGTTGCACCGGAACCCGAACCGGCGGCGCCTACCCCTGCTGCTGATAATACAGCCAAACCTGAGAAACCAGAAGCGACCCACGAACAAGATAAAGCTATCGATGAGCCTAAACCCGAAGAAAAGGTTACGACGGAGGCGCCTACGAAGACCCAGGAAGAACCAGAAAAGCGAGCCAAATCTGAAGTTAAAGAGCCGGAGAAGACTGAAGCATAATCGGGACTCTAAACAGGCGAAGGTCACCTCTTGAATTTACTGGAGTCAGGGACGAATATAGGAATGGTGTTCTTGGTTTTGATGGTGTTTTGTTTTGGTCATTGGATGTCACCTTTTCATCTGACAATTGTCTCTCTGGGAATCTGTTGTCATCTTCCATTTATGTCTGTATGTATCATTAAGCATTGAAATAATAGCGCTAGAACAATTTGTGCGCACAATATCCATATCCCATTCCTAATAGATTATAGCTGTGAGTATCTTGCTCGAGATTGTCGACTCATGAGTCGTTAGGGCTAGGAAACGGAATGATTGAAGAGGCATTCCCAATAAGGACTAGTCTTAGGGTACAACCGCATTCCAGCTCCTCCACCAATCAGCACGTCCATGCCAAGATTTCGTCTTTCCAAGCCGGGGCTCACACACTAAGCGAGAGGATCGAATTCTGACCCGCTTGTGAATACCCTCGACTCGCACCTATTTTCCTTTCCCCGACCTGGTGTTCTTCCCGTCCAGTCAATTTAAACAGTTAACTTGACATACCGCCAAAATGTCGAAAAGAGGGTGAGTTTCTCGATTTTCTTCATTCTGGATTGTTGTGAGGATGTTGTTTTAGGGTGGGATGTGGTGAAATTTCGTCAAAACGGGTTTGGAGATGGACGGCCGACGACAATGATCGATTTTTGTCTCTACTCGACTGGCGATGATATATTAGTGTTTTTTCGTCGAGACTTTGGAGTGCATGCAAGGATGAAATGGCTGTGGATTTGCAATTTTTTGGACAGTGAAACTAATGAAGTTTTGTGTACAGTCGTGGTGCCGCCGCTGGCAACAAGCTTAAGATGACTCTCGGTCTGCCTGTGTACGTGGACCCTCGAAATCCCGCTCAACTCGATCCCTACATTGAAATACAAATCGAAAAATAACGAAATGAAACAATCAGTGAACTAACATAATCTATAGCGGCGCCGTGATGAACTGCTGCGACAACTCCGGAGCCCGCAACTTGTACATCATCTCCGTCACCGGTGCCGGTGCCCGTCTCAACCGTCTCCCCGCTGCTGGTGTTGGCGACATGGTCATGGCCACTGTTAAGAAGGGAAAGCCCGAATTGAGAAAGAAGGTTATGCCTGCTGTTGTTGTCCGTCAGAGCAAGCCTTGGCGACGACCCGATGGTATCTTCCTCTACTTTGAGGATAACGCTGGTGTGGTGAGTGGATATTCATCTTGCTAGGACAAGGATGGTTCACATGGTGCGAGGCGTTTGAGATGTTGGTAGAAACACGTTGAGCTTCGATGTGGATCGTTCTTTTCCAGTGTTACTTTCAAACTCGGAAGTGCAGTAACTAACAAGTTGCAGATTGTCAACGCCAAGGGTGAAATGAAGGGTTCCGCCATCACTGGTCCCGTTGGAAAGGAAGCTGCTGAGCTCTGGCCTGTAAGTTCATGTCGCAACTATCCAGCACGACTGTCATCACTAAACATACTTCTCCAGCGTATCGCCTCCAACTCCGGTGTTGTCATGTAATTAAAGAAGATACACACAATTTTTAAAACCAAAAATTTCACAATGCGATACCAGTCGGGATTTACGGGACTCCAAAAATCTTCTTTACCCTTCTCATTTTCCTTATAATGCAACCCGAAAGTCCATCCCAACGAGTTACGTGGAATCGTGGGGGACGAGAGCTCGCGGAGACAACATGGGACCGGATTTTGTTTCCATTCTTTCCATGAAACAAGGCGTTTTTGTTAGATTGCGTACGCCCTGAAAACTTTGATGCATCACCATGGACGTTTTATCGAATTGTTGTACGAGAAAAAAGAGACGATAAAATGAATACTCTTAAAGATTTATCTTGTATCCGCCCAAGGAGCATGTCGATTTACCGACCCGATCTGATCCGGAATTGCTTGTCAATACTTGACGTCTACTACTCTCGTCTATCGTAAAAGTCACAGAACTTAGAAGACAGTAATGTAGGATTGTTATACATCTCGAAGATGTTCTAGGGTTAATGTGGGGAATGAGCTAAAGTCTCACTGAGATTGCGGGGCCAGTTCTTCCATCTTCCGCCAGAAGCTCTTAGAATCAATCATTTCTTTTCCAATAATCACAACTTCTGAAAAGAATATACATCTTGGAACACCTGATAACTTGTCAGTCAGTTGTTTTACACTTCTCCGGTGCTTCCAGCTCGACGTCTAAGACGAACTGGCGAAACTATAGCTCCGTACCCCGCTTACGATAGCTGATAATCACTAACTAGAGCTCCTACCGCGAAAGTCACCTCACATATTTGAGACTGATAAATCAAAATGGACGACATCGACGAACCCACTGGCCCTAGCCGCGAAGAGACTGCCAAGCGAGAACAAGAAGAAAAAGAGCGCAAGGCAAAGGAAGAAGCTGAACAGGCACAGTTACCCTACAAATGGACACAGACTATCGTGGAAGCAGAAGTCTCAATCCCCGTGCCTGCTACGATCAAGGGGAGAGATCTGGATGTCGTTCTCACAAAGACGAAGATTAAGGTTGGATTGAAGGGGCAGGCGCCGATAATCGAGGTAGGGGAGTCTATAGAGCTGTCTCATTGACCTGCCTAGGTGCCGTACTAACGCTTATGATGTAAATAGGGCGACTTCCCACACCCAATTCACGCGGATGATTCTACATGGACCCTCGAAACCATCCCCACAGGCAAACAAGTCACCGTCCACCTCGATAAAGTGAACAAGATGGAATGGTGGCCGCACATCGTGACCAGCGCACCCAAAATCGACGTCACAAAGATCACACCCGAGAACTCGTCATTGAGTGATTTGGATGGCGAAACGAGGGCGATGGTGGAGAAGATGATGTTTGATCAGAGGCAAAAGGAAATGGGGAAGCCGACGAGTGATGAGCAGAGAAAGATGGATTTGTTCAAGAAGTTTCAGGAGGAGCATCCTGGTTAGTATCATGAATCATGGGGGGTAGATCTGAAAAACTATCTGCTGACATGTTTGCATCTAGAAATGGACTTTTCGAATGCAAAGATTGGTTGATTGAGTGCATGGTCATGGTTTATGAGTATTTACGAGGAGTGTCACGGTTCGTTGCTTTGTATGGATAGTGTTTTATATTTCTAGTTATGGAGGGAGTGTGAATACTACCATTATCTTGACACAAACAAGATATATATCCAAGCGCAGCTCAAAAAACTGGAAACTTATATCAAGTGATATTATAGAACGCCCAAGGGTTGCTGTTAGAACTCTACATTTGACCTGCTCCAATAATAGGTTGCTGACAACTAAATATGCATCCACCATATGATTCGTCATCTGATATCTAAATTCCAGAAGATTTACTATTTTCACGATGGCTCCAATATTTAATAAAATACGCACCTTACTCTGTCACCACTTTCTACTTTCAGTTATCGCACAAGGGTTCACGTGGTTGACAGGATGTAACCATGACTTGCCCTAACTTCATCCATCTCTCCAGCCCGCGACACCTCTTCCTCTTTTCGATTTGTGTTTACTAAACATTTCCAAACATTTCTATGAAAGGTTGAGGATGGAAATAATGAAACAATTCGAGATGAAGAATTTCAGTACTAATTACTTCAGCAAAGGTGGTGATTTCACAATGCGACAAAAAAAAAAGCAATCTCGACGAGGAAGTTGCGGGACCTAGATAGGGTTAAGTTATGATCAGGTAGGGTTACCCTGCCTATGAACCCGCTCTGTTTTACCTCGAGGCTTGTTGAAAGTATTCTTAGCCCTAATTTGAGGTTTTAGTCGCGCGAGACCTGGAACTGCATAACGGGAGGACCAATGTTACATCTCCCTCTGCATTGCCAAGCATCATCATCAGACAGTTGGTTCCTAAACAGCCACTTCATTGTTTCCTCGAGTCCGCGACCCCCCTTGGTTTGATGTTTAAGCGCCTGATGATGATTTCTCGTCTGTACTCGAAAATGGTTCGGCCTCAGGTACCAATCGAGTCCATGTGCTTCCCCGGTTGATGATCATCTGTTAGCGGGGATGTTGGTTCTTGAGTCAGCGTGAGCATATTACAGTTACATTGGCAGCAAGCCATATGTTGGTTTTACGAAAATGGACGGTTCTATTGAGATGGATAGGGGATAGAATTATTTCCTATATCTATGGCCGAGTCGGCCACCGGGTCTCGACATCTTGTGCCACAGCAGCATCAGGGATCAATTTAGTTCGATAGGAGAGGCTCTTGACTACGAAGATAATGGTAAAGACATTTTTCCTCGCGGCATTGTCTGCGATGAGTACCCTGGTCCAGGGTCGTCCTGGCCAGGAACGCTTTCTGAGCGAAAGGCAGTCGACCGATAAACTTGTCTTTGCTCATTTCATGGTATGCCACGGCAACCTTCCCCTGACTCTCTTTGAAGCGTTCAAACTGGCTGACTGCAGCTTGATAGATTGGTATTGTCAGTGACCGCCACAGCGCAGCCGACTATGACGCCGACATGCAACGAGCCAAGTCATACGGCATCGATGCATTCGCCCTCAATATCGGCGTTGACCCCTATACCGACGAGCAACTAGGCTATGCATTCGATTCCGCAGCAAACAACGGCATGAAAGTCTTCATATCATTCGACTTCAACTGGTGGAGCACCAGCCAAGCCACTGCCATCGGTCAAAAGATTGCACAGTATGCCAGTAAACCTGCTCAACTCAAAGTTGATAACAAAGTCTTTGTCTCCTCCTTTGCTGGGGATGGTGTTGATATTGCAACTATGCGTTCAGCTGCCGGTATTGACCTGTTTTTTGCTCCTAATTTCCATCCTTCGTACGGCACGGATTTGTCTAATGTTGATGGATTGTTAAATTGGATGGCTTGGCCGAATAATGGGAACAATAAGGCGCCAACTTCGGGTTCAAATGTTACGGTGGAACAAGGTGATCAAGAATATGTCTCGGCTCTTGCTGGGAAGGCTTATATTGCTCGTAAGTTAGCTTCATACTAAAACCGAAACTAGGCTGACATGAATAGCTGCCTCGCCTTGGTTCTCGACTCACTTTGGCCCTGAAGTCTCATACAGCAAAAATTGGGTTTTCCCTTCTGATCTTCTTTGGTATAACCGCTGGAAAGATCTGTTGACACTAGGGCCCCGGTTCATTGAAATTGTTACCTGGAATGACTACGGTGAATCTCATTATATCGGACCTCTTGACTCTCCTCACACTGATGACGGAGCTTCTAAATGGGTTAATGATATGTAGGTCCCTTTTTGGCCTTTGGTCGGTACCAGATATACTAATAATTCATCAACTAGGCCTCATGATGGCTGGCTAGATCTTGCAAAACCATTCATTGCAGCTTTCAAAGCCGGCGCCACAGCCGTCGATAACTACATCACCAGCGACGAACTCATTTACTGGTACAGACCGACCCCTAAGGACGTTAACTGTGATGCTACGGATACTTGCATGGATACTTCAGCCAGCAACTCCAGCGGAAACTACTTCATTGGCCGCCCTAATGGATACGAGACTATGCAAGATTCGGTCTTTGTGGTTTCGTTGTTCACGGCTGCTGCTGAGATTACTGTGTCCTCTGGAGGCAATACGCAGACTTTCCAGGCTTCGGCTGGTGCGAATGCGTTCCAGGTTCCTATGGGTGTGGGCCAACAGACCTTTTCTGTGACAAGAAATGGTCAGACTGTCTTCCAGGGCACGAGCTTGAAGCAGATTATTAATGGGTGTGTTTGTGGGTTGTATAACTTTAATGCCTACGGTTTGTCTTCCGCCCTCTTTCTTCTGTTATGAAAGTTTAAGCTGACTTGTTTTCTTTTGGGCGATATAGTCGGCACTCTGCCAGCTGGATTCAATGACCCTCTACAACCAGATGGTCTTGCGTCGCTCGTTCAAGGTCTACATGTTTCAACTTGCGCTGCTACTCCTAGTCTTGGGACTGCACCACCAGTAATAACGACAACTTCCACCTCAGCTCCTGTAATCACTACTAGCACTACAACCACAAGTAGCACCAAGACCACCAGCACAACCACCAAGCCTACAACTACAACTACAACCACAACCACATCAAAAACATCAACAACAACCCAACCCTCAACAACGGAAGTCTGCATCGCCGGCACCGGACCAGGAAACTACGTCGGCCTTTGCAGCTTCTGCTGCAACTACGGCTACTGTCCACCGGGACCATGTACATGCACTCAATCCGGTGCTCCTGTACCAACACCACCGGTTACGGGCACCGTGGGTGTGCCGTTAGCGAATGAAGATGATTCGTATTTGGGGTTGTGCAGTTTTGCTTGTAATCATGGGTATTGTCCGGATACGGCTTGTAGGGTTGTTTAGTTTTGTAAATAGGTGTCTTTGAGGGGGTATCTGCAAGATATGACTGAATGGGTACTACTCGAGATGAAGCCAGACAGAGTTAAAGTCGTAATTAAATTCAAAAGCTGAAAACATCTGTACAAAGATAGAGTCTTTTTGAGGCCACCTGATAGAAGTTTTTAGTTATCAGGAACGATCTGTGATTAACTCAAACGGTCCCTATGATCCTTTTCTTTCTTCAAGCTCTTGCAGTAGCACCGCAAAACCGTCTAAGAGAGTTTCTAGCGCCATTAAAGACTTCACAGGTTTCAACACTTCACAGGTTTCAACACGCTACAGTGAGAAGCGTCGGCGCCGAATTCCAGTAGTCCTAAGCAACCTCGTAATTGACATACATCATATGTCGTAGAACTCTGGGATTCTCTATCAATTATGTCTAAGACAAGACCGAAGGCCGTTGATCCAGACGAATTCTCGCTGCTTACTCTAGCTCCCAGTTGACAAAGAGTAAGAGTAGCAGCAGTCGTACTTGACCAATTCCGGCCATTTGTCGCTACACATGTAATGGCGTGTAGCCTTCATTATTCAAAGCTTCAATATTTGAACAACAAAGAACCAGATTTTTGGTCATTATCAAATAACCAGCACGTGTGGCCATATGCAAATGTGTTTCACCCTCTGAAATCTGCCAGTCGAGGCCAGCCAACAGAGTATCGACAATTTCCTGCAACTCTTTGATATCGCAGGTCAGGCTCCCTTGACAGCACAGTGCAACTGGGCTGTAGAGTCTGTTGTATGATTCGCTGTCGGTGGAAGCGCCGTTCAATGAGTGTCTGAACCAATTGTGGTCATACACGATAACAGGCTAATTGTAAACCATAAATCAATTCATCATAAGTGAGCTTTTCATGTCGAAGTATGTGAGAGAACACTGAATCAAGGCCATAGGCAATCACTGCACAGAGTTCTTGACGCCTTCTGTCTGAGGGCAAATTGGTGTCAGGAGGTATCAAGTCCTCGGGGATGTACTGACACACTGACTCCAAGTTCTCACGCAATACGTTCTTGCATGCACAATGGATAATTCAGCCGCTTGAGCACTTTCGTTTCCTTCTCTATAACATTTATACCAATTTTGAATTGCATTCCAGGCAAAGGATACTCTCAATGTCTCACCTGGCTGTTTCGCAGTCCATGGTTCGACTGCCTTGGTCACTGTCTCTACCAAATGATCGGGACAAAGCGGTAAAAATGAAAGACAAATGCTCCACATCAAGCCATGAGCATATTCCATGTTCACCCTACCTTTCCATTGGTGGTTAGCTCGACGGTCAGAACTGCCATTATTGATCAATAGAAACTCTCGGGCGGTTGGGTGGATGAAATAAACGTAATCCTCTCTGATGACAAAGAAGAGGCCGGACAAATTTCGCACGACATTGGTATAAGAATCAGGTTTGTACAAGTGCTTATCTATATCCTTATACTTGATTCTCTGGCTTGCTTCTGCAAGAGTATGGGCAGTATTGAGTGCCGTGATGTGCAAAGTTGAAAACCACGCATCTTGGTCCGCAAGAACGATATGAAACAACATCGTAGCCCGCCTTCAATTCTGAGTCTTTTCCAACATATGTTCATAAATATCATCTACCTCAGGGGGCAACCGCGCCAAAATCTCCTTGATATCAGACACCTTTGCATATGTAGAAGGTGCCGCTTCGATGATTTCAAATATGAGCGTGAACCATAGGTAGGTACAATTGTCCTTTTCCATAAAAAGACGCACTATTTCCTGTTTCTTCTCGTCTTTGAAACTGGAAAGTTTCTTAGCTCATTCCTGGATGACTAGACTGATGTCTTCTCTTGTCTGGTTTGAGGGATCGTTAGGGTTGACGTGAAAATAGCGATTTGTATCTTGAAGCGACCGGAGCTTCACGTCAGTCCGATCGTAAGGGCGCCCTGTTACCAGAAGCTTCAGGCATGGTAGAGGTCTGTCTTGACTTTCATTAGCATAGTATCGAACAATGTAATCTAGCAACTCGGTGCAGTCCTTTACTTGGCATTCATCAAGATCATCGATGAGACAAATGATTTCTCCGGCGTAGTCTTGTTTGGCACATTGCATCAATGCATTCCAAAGCCTGTGGAAGATGTTACGCAGATTCTTTCCAAAATCCTTGTGACTCCCTAGCACACAGTTGATGAGACACTTATCAGGATGTAATGTGAACAGTTGATGAAGTATTGCGCTCAAAGCACCGGTACTTTTGATTCGATGGGGTTCTTCCTCCTTGAAGAAAAAGTAGCAGACTGTCGAAGTGGCTTTCTTTGTAGCCAGTCTTCATCGATGAGAGCCCGCGAAAGGATCGACTTCCCACAGCCCGGACTGGCAGACAGTCACAGAGTGCAGATTTCATCCACATCTCGCCATTTCCTAAACATCTCGTCGCAGAAGCACCACTCACACGTTCCCCTGGTAGGACGTGGATTTAGATTTCTGCCACGTTCATATTCGCAATTGCTAGATAGATTTTCCAGAAGTTGTCTCTTGTCCGTTTCGTCCCGCTAGGTTTAGTGCTCCGCTCTGATGAGGTCTAGCATTTCCCTAATCTTCCTCTGCACAATGGGTGATTCCTCGATAACATGCCATTCCGCATCGGCCCTATTCTGCATCTCATTTTTCTCGGAAAGGTCAAGTAGTCCCCGACAGATCTTGTCTTGGTCCTCGATATCATCTTTCATCCTTCCAACGCGCATCTGTGGCATCCCATGCACGTTTCATTTGTCCTTCCGGGAGACGGCAAATGACGATAGCCTGGTACTTTAATATGAGCTCATAGAGCTTGATTATGGAGACCTTTAAGTCTGGAAAAATTTGGTAATTCAAAAGATCTTTTTCGCAGAGGCGTCAAAATCGCTGCTTCTCACACGTGCAGTTGAACCCGTCAAGCATGACTTCTGCTTGCTCCAGGCCATCTGAAAGCAGCTAGGGACCGGTAAGTATAGAATAATCATAGTGTTAATTGAGTAAGTGTCCACTCACCGAGAGGAAAACAGACACTCCCGACCAAGCCAGGGTCGTATACGGCTGAGATTTGGCGGCTAGCCTAATGATCGAGTTGCATCCTAGTGCGAACTTGACCAGCTTTTCTACCTGTGGGCGGGCTTTGATCTCACTTGCTCCCTTGGCACATTCCACTGCTTGTCTTCGTGGGCTTTGGCAAGAGCGGAAACAATTTCTCGGGTTGTCTCTATATCTGACAGCGGATCAGAGCTGTTTTTATTTATACACTTGAGTGAAAGGACTTTCCGGTTATACTTCTCAACCAGAGTCGGAGTTCCCTTTTTGAGCAGATTATAGGCAAGCGTCCAAAGGTCCTCATCATCCTCGTCGTCTGTGTTGTGTGTCGGCTGAGAGTCCGTCTTTGATTTTGATTCAAGCTGGAGGCTTTCCCGGGCTTTGATGGATAGTTGTCTTTTGCCCAATGGGAATCTCTCCCGGAACTTCTCCAGCATGCTATGCTTCACTGATTTGGACATGACGATAGATTTCTTCTAGCAATCAAAATGAATCTTTCTGCAGGGAGATTTCCTGGGAAGTTGGAACAACTGATAAATAGGGGCTGAATTGACCTTTGCTGTCCAAACACCACCTTTTTGTTGCACAATGTGATACGTGATATGCGCCTTGTCAACACGGCCGCCAGACTCGTATCGTTCTGGCCGATTGGGATCTGGGTGATATAGATCCTATCACTTTAGACCAATCAGTCAAAGTCCACTGACCTATTCCCGTGATACAATCATCAGTGTTATCCAACGTTAGCGAGAATGGACTCATGAAACCGAGTTCACGATTCGAACGATCACAGCCATATATCCTGAGATGTATCGACTTGTGTCAAACAAAACAAACCTAAGACCGGGATAAGATGAAGAAATGAGTATTTCGTATATTGCATATGGTACATATAATACACTGCGCTAAAAGCGACTCTTTTGCATTCAAGACCCTCAAAGAACGGCCATTACCTGAGACGGAGATGGTAGGTGTCCAAAGCCTCTTCAGACAACTCACTCGGAGAGCCCACCATAACATCCTCTCCTTTGCCCGACTTGGGGAATGCAATTACATCGCGAACAGATTCCTTGCCTAGCATGACGGCAATCAATCTGTCGAATCCAAGTGCGATACCTGCATGAGGTGGACATCCAGCTTTTAGTGCTTCGAGTAGATGCGAGAACTCAGTTAGGCGCGACTCTGGCATCTTGAGTATATCCCTAAAAACAATTTCCTGTACACGAGCATCGTGGATACGGCGACTTCCACCTCCCAATTCGACGCCGTTGACAACTAGGTCGTAATGGTCAGCTACTACTGCTGCAGGATCGGTAACCATGAGATCAACATCAGCGGCTGATTTGGGTGCTGTGAAAGGGTGATGTGTAGATGCGAGACCCGCTGTACCTCCTTGGCCCGGTTCGTTCTCGTCAATTGGCGAAAACAGTGGGAAATCCACAACCCATAAGAAACTGAATCCGGTTGGTGCCTCCTTAATCCCTGCCTTAACAGCTTCAGAATGAAGAGCCTTTCGAAGGTCTCCCAAGGGAGTTGATCCTCCGGAGAATGGAGCATTTTTGCGTGCCTGCAAAACAATAAGGTCACCGTGATCCGGTTCTAAAAGTTCTTCCACTCGCTCTGCAGCCTCAAAGCCAAATGGCATGAGACCACGTAGAGGTCTCTTGGCGTCGTACACAAATATTCCGGGACCGCCGTCTGGGTTCTTATTGAACTCTGCACCGGCGGGGGAGTCAAGGAAGCGGGTAATGAGCTCTAATGTTTTAGATGGGTCATTATCTTCACTTTCTAGCTTGAAAGCTTCCACAATGGGGTTTGTGAGAGGCGAAATCTTTTGAACAAGATCCACTGGTAGCACATAGTCAAGTCTGATGATCTCCATTCCTAGACGGGCATCAGGCTTATCAGACCCAAAGCGACTCATGGCTTCCTGGTAAGGCATCCTCGTGAATGGTTCAGTGCCAAGATCTATACCGAGAAGGCTCGACCATAGCCTCCGAATTACTTTTTCAATAGCCCCCATGACATCTTCGCCAGTAGCAAATGACATTTCTAGATCGAGCTGGTTCCTTATTGTCAGGGTTTTTCTTCGATCAGTTCATAGGAATGACATAACGTACTTGAGTGAATTCGGGCTGTCTATCAGCTCTCAAATCCTCATCTCTAAAACAGCGTGCGAATTGATAATATCGAGGTATACCGCTTGCCATGAGAATCTGTTTATACTGCTGCGGGCTTTGAGGCAGGGCATATGCCAAGCCCTTGCGACGAGTGGGAACTATGAATTCCCGTGCACCTTCAGGTGTAGATTTGAACAACAATGGCGTCTCTATCTCAATAAACGGAGCCGAATTGTTCTCGAGCTCCTCTCTGCAGACTTTGCGCGCCTCTGAGCGAAACCGAAGTGCTTCACGAAGGCTTCGGTCCGATCGCAACTGCAGGTGCCTTTGTTCTGCTGGGAACACGGTCTCAGATGTCATGATGATATCCTTGGAAAAGTCGTTGAGGAGCCAAATATCTGTTAGGTTGATCTCAAGACTATCGATCTTCTCAACCTCTTTGCTCTCGCGGTCCCCCGCACCACTTCCCTTTTTCGCTTGAAGTGTTCCTTGGATCGCAACAGGGCTATTACTGGGAATAGACTTCAATTGCTGATGGGAACCAGTTTTCGCAGAGGATATGATCTGAATATTTTGTCGCATCGTTGGATCGGTTAACCTGACAAATGATAGCTTCTTAGATATGTCTGCTCTATTTCCCAGGTAGCCGTGGAGGACAACCGTATCCCCCGGCTTTGCATCTTGCAATAAGGATGGAAAAGTATGCGTTGCATTCGGAAACTCGACTACAAAACCACTGATCGTCAGTATATTTGATTTCAGGTAGCTTCTCAACCCAATGACTCCTCTAACCTGCAGTTTTATACCGCTCAAGTTGAACTGTGATGCCTTCGATATCCTTAGTTTGCTGTAAGGGTTTCACCGATTCATGGTGATTATTTCTTCTATTCGACAGGACTATCCGTACACGGCCGAGGCCTCTGGAATGAGCAAAATTCCAAATCTCAAGATAGCTTAGTCGAGATGAGGTTCGCAGAGCATGCGAACTTCGGCGAACGGAAGCTGCGAGCATTGCCGAAACACGACAACACGATGAACAGTCGATGATAGTGGAAAGGTATTTTTACAATAGAGAGCTTAAATGAAAAATATATGTGCCGTAATGCAATATAAACACGATCAAGTGATCAATTGACTACTCAATTGTGAAGTGGGACAGGTTGAAAGTTCCCAGGGCAGCTGTATGTCATGAGAGTAAATTCTTAGCTCTCCTCCCAATCTGTGCTAGTGCGTTCTATCCGGCGCTAAGTATAAAAATTCCCACTCACTTTGAATTTTTCTCTTCTTCCTTCCATCCTTCCAAGTTTTGAACAGGTGAGCCATACACTTGCGATTACACTAAAACAATTCAACTAACATTTTCTTCGATAGATGATGAAAGCCTAGTGTGTTCTATATGATTTATCCCGTCCTCTTCGCTGGGCTGCCGATTCTCTTCTCTGGAAGCTCAAGGATCCAGACCCGGAGAGGATGGGAGGATGAAATAGGCGTTCGGCACAACCAACCTTGTTAACCAACGGACGCGATGAAGGCATCTCTGATCCAAATAATCATTACTTGGTGGTGTCATGCCAGGTCTTTTCAACAGCTGATGGGTGACTGGACGAGGCTCAGATCGAAAGAGTTTTGATGGAGAACACTTCGAATGAGCGAAGAAGACGAATATTGTTGGCTAATCTGAAACAGGGCATGTATCTGCTGGGGTCAGTAGCTACTACAAGGTACGTTCAAGCCTTTTTTTTTAAAAGTCTCCCTTGAATCTTAGGATGAAACATTTCGGATGTAAATCACAGACCTGTTCTGAAAGCGCAAAGCCGTGTGGATATTTCCGTTGCCTTCCTTCTGATCATTGATTCAATTTCCCTTCCGATATGCAAAAGACGACTTGATGATATGTTGCTAATACATATAACAGGTTCTCGTATCTTCTCTATCATTGAGAGTTGGCCTCGACCATCGCCGGAGATCAATATCATTCAGACTTTTTTGACGGGGAACAGTCTCACTGAATCTGTTGGTATTTTAGTTTAGTCTTAATGTGAATATGAATGAATCTCATCCAGCGAGATGCTCTACAACAAGTACGCCACTGTTTCATCGTCTGAAAGGTAAAGACTATCTCTAGAATAATTTCGACACGAATAACTGTGGTCTTCGATTGATTTCATAGTTGAGGAAGAATTAAATACAAATACAAGCGCTGTCTATGTAGTAAAAGCCGTTGAACTTTGACTAAGAAATTGAGACGCCCTGATAAGTCTAACCTGATTTGGACTAGCGTGTATTTTATTTGAGATTATTGAAGACCAGAAATTATTTGTTGCTCCGGAGTCAGCTCGGAGTGAGTAATTGTTTTCGCACCCACACTTATCTGCTGCTCGAATACCTTTCTAAAAGATTTGAGCCTTGGGAATGCCAATTCCTTCATAATGAGACGAGCGACACCTCGCCAAATGCATCTTCTGCAAGGTGCTTCAGTCTCACGACTTTCGAGCTTGGTTTGCGTATGCGCCGGACACCAATCGCTTCACACCTTGTCACAGAGACCAACAGTCAATGCCTCTTTGGATATCGAATTAGCGATCTCACAAAAGAGATGCATAACTCAGCAGAATATACGTCGCCAGAAGGAGGCCGAGATTCAATGGAAAGGGTTTGCGGAAGAAATCAGGGCAGGAAAACGGAAAGCTTTCCTCGACCATCTGGAGGAGCGAGAACTTGTGAATCAGGTTGTAGGGTCAGTATTTCTGTTATAAGTCGTTCAGTGAAATGACTTTCCCTATATACTCTGCACACGGCGAGCTGCTATGGCGATCAGTGGCTAACTTTCGTTTTGACATTTAGGCCACGAGAGGTCCTCGATAAAGTCTTTACGGATAAAAGAACGGGGTTATATACTGGTATCGATCCGACAGCACCGTCTCTACATGTCGGTCATATGCTTCCGATTATGGTTTTGGCGTGGGCCTTCAATTGGGGTTACCCTATTCATTTCATAGTACGTTTTTCTAAGCCTTTCTATCCTATTACTACTGGAGCTGACCCGGTCATGTAGTTAGGAGGCGCAACAGCAAGATTCGGTGATCCCACGGGGAGACTTGGGCCTCGACAAACTGAGCATCGAAGCGTCCGAACGGCGAACATGGCCTCAATGCACATGCAACTGAAGAGAATTAGCGCGAGTATCGAAGATTACGGTCGACGTCATGGCTATAAGAAGGAATGGGCGTGGAGGCGAGCTCTTACAAACAACAATGTTTGGTGGAATGGGACACCTTTTGTGGAGGTGTTGCGAGATCTGGGTATGCACATGAGACTAGGTCCTATGCTGGGACGAGACACGTACGTATAACGTCTCCAAAGGAGGTCGTGCTACTTTTGAAATGGATATTCTGACGTTAAAACAGTGTCAAAACTCGATTAGAGGGTAACGGCATGTCTTTCGCGGAATTTTCTTATCCTCTGATGCAGGCGTGGGATTGGTGGGAGTTATTCAAGAAAGGTGTTCAGGTTCAGGTTGGAGGCTCTGATCAATTCGGCAATATTCTTTTCGGTATGGAAGCCGTGAAGCAGACAGCCAAGAATACCGCCATCGAAATTGATCGAAGGCCAGTTGAAGAAGATGCGGACAAGCCCGCTGGACTCACCACTCCACTCCTAACTACTTCCTCAGGCGAGAAGATAGGGAAATCCGCTGGCAATGCAGTATGGTTGGATAAAGATATGACCTCAACTTTCGAGCTCTACCAGGTACGTCAGTTCCATTACACTGTGACTTCTATATTCAACTAACACTTAATAGTACTTTGTCCGGACACCAGACGATCAAGTCGAGCGATATTTGAAGATGTTTACTTTCCTCCCTCTGGATAAAATCACCCAGCTTATGGAAGAGACGAGACAAGATCCCTCAAAGAGAGTTGCACAACATGCACTCGCCCGGGAGTTTGTCGACATTGTCCACGGTCCGATAGAGGCTGAAGCCGCAGCAACGCAGCATCGACAGCTCTTCCGACCCCGTTCATCCATTTCAGAGCCGACGCCACCGCCAACACAGCCTTCCAATATCCCCCCTCATTTGGCTAATGATCCCAAATATAGCTTTATGAACCGGGCGGCAGGAAACAAGTTTGCTAAGCCTACGAACTATAAAAATATGGAAAGCAACCGCGTTACTCTTCCCCGATCCCTTGTGCTCGAGCAGCCTCTGGCCAAAGTCCTATACAACGCTGGCCTGGTAGTGTCCAATAGTGAAGGTCACCGGCTGATCGTTGGCAAGGGAGTGTCCGTTGGTAGCCGACCCGGAGATTCTGGCCAAATGTCGGATGCATTAGAGTTCACCCCCATTAAAACATGGGTTCCAGCAAAGACACCCGATTTCTTGATTGATGGGAACCTTTTGATCATAAAGATCGGCAAGTGGAAGCTCAAATTGATTGAGCTTATTGACGACGAAGAGTTTGATAAACGGGGCTTGGACGTTCCAGGGTGGGCGGAGTTCAAGGAGAAGAAAGCTGCAGGCCAAATCACTACTGCAAGCCAGATCACGGAGATGCCGGAGACCCCTTTCAGGCTCAGGAAATACCATAACAATCGAGAGTCGGAATAACGGTCATACCCGCCGTGTCTTGTGTATAAGGAAGATATTGTAACATTAGACCGCTTTGATGTCGCTAGATTTGTATGATATAGGTGGTTAGTGTACATAAAAAGGCATACCCACTCTCCATTTCTTTTGTAGTACCGGACTAGACACCATAACCGAATTACTTTCTGAATAAGCAGGTAATGTACCTTTGGCCAGTTTCAGCCTTCAGGGGATTCAGAACCCTAAAGGGGTGATGCCTGATAGGAGGGCGGAACCGCGCTAAGGAACCACTCAACGCGTCTGAACGCGTTGATTAACTAATTGGAGCTTCTTTCCTGAGCTCCGTCTCCTGTCACTCCCCACGCCCGGATTCACAATTCCTTTATCGAGGTCATTGTACAATGCTACATCTCTAATCGAACGCTTCTTGCCAGACATCGATACAGTCATCTCTGACTGACTCGGTTTTCCACACTCGACAATGGCCAGAGGAAGCAGTGCCGCATCCTCTCCTCCCACTGCATCAACACCTGCTTTGAAACGCTCAACTTCTAGCACCCAAAATATGAAGAATCAGCGATCAATCTTGGGATTCTTCCAAAAATCTTCACCTGCTACTCCTTCAACCGCGCAGAAGAAAGCACCACCACCGGCTGAGCCTGCTTCATCACCAGCGCAACGTGCCTCCGATACTAAATCGTCTATCAAAAAGAAACCTGCACAGAATTTGACGCCAGCGCCGAGTAGTGATGTTATCGAGCCCGACGATGATGACTCAGCTACTCCGCAGGTACGTTTTGTACCTCCGAAGTTTTGTGTGTCAGTATGTATTGACGAGTGATGTGGTTTACAGATCGGTAAAAATGCACAAGACGATCAATCTTTGACCCCAACGAGAAGGGTATGTGTTATCCGATCCATTTCCGGCCGCAAATGCTTACGATATGAATAGGCAAAAAAGAAGATAAACTATATGGAATCTGATAGTGAAGGAGTGGATGATGACGAGGAGATTTTCCGACCACAGCCTTCCCGAAAGAGACGAAGACCAGCTATTGAAAGCGAAGATGAGTTTCAAGATGACGGAAAAGACGCTCCTGTGTCTGATGATGGTATGTTACCTACTCCTTTTGAGGTTCCTAAGCTGACTATAGTAGAAATGGATGACTTCGTTGTTGCCGATGACTCGGAAGAAGATGCTCGACCGAACAAAAAGAAGAAGAAAGCATCTGCGAAACTCGCACAGCGCAATAAGGCGTCGACCGAGGAACCAGTCCGCTCAGCAGATGAAGACCTTGACTCGGACATCCCAGAGGCGTCGGCTGGAGGTACCGCACAAAAATGGACATATGATCCAGAAAGCACAGAACCTAGACAAGAGCGACAACAACGAGAACCTTGGTCGGGTGGAACCACGAAGCGCAAAGAAAAGGCACATGAGACTGAGCCGGAGAAGAGGTATCCATGGTTGGCCAATATTATGGATATGGACAGAAACCCCCCTGGCCATCCTGACTACGACCCTCGTAACATTTACATTCCGCCTCTAGCGTGGACCAAATTCTCACCCTTCGAGAAGCAGTACTGGGAGATCAAACAGAAGTTCTGGGATACTATCGTTTTCTTCAAGAAGGGCAAGTTCTATGAGCTCTATGAAAATGATGCAACAATCGGCCATCAACTGTTCGACTTAAAACTTACCGATCGAGTGAATATGCGCATGGTCGGCGTACCCGAAATGAGTCTAGACCATTGGGCAAACCAATTTGTTGCCAAAGGTTACAAGATCGCACGGGTTGATCAATCAGAGTCCGCACTAGGTAAGGAGATGCGTGAGCGCGACGACAAGAAATCCGCCAAAGGTAGCAAGGAAGACAAAATCATCAAGCGAGAGCTATCATGTGTTCTTACAGCCGGAACACTGGTTGAAGGCTCTATGCTTCAGGATGATATGTCAACATACTGCGTTGCCATCAAAGAGATAATCCTGGATGGACTACCGGCTTTTGGAATTGCATTCGTCGACACTGCCACTGGCCAATTTTACCTGTCCGAGTTCAAGGACGATGCCGACATGACCAAGTTTGAAACATTTATCGCCCAGACGAGGCCACAGGAGTTGTTGTTGGAAAAGTCTGCTGTGAGCCAGAAAGCAATGCGTATTCTCAAGAATAATACTGGCCCGACGACTCTTTGGAACCATCTCAAACCAGGCAAGGAATTCTGGGAAGCCGATATCGCCATACGAGAACTAGATGCTTCAGACTATTTTGTTTCTCAAGAAAGTGACAACATCGATGCTTGGCCGCAAGTCCTACGTGAGGCCCGTGAGAAGGAGAATGCTATGTCAGCATTTGGTGCATTGGTTCAGTATCTTAGAGTTCTTAAACTAGACCGTGATCTGATTTCCATCGGTAACTTTACCTGGTACGACCCGATCCGCAAAGCTACGAGTTTGGTTCTGGATGGACAGACTTTGATCAATCTGGAGATCTTTGCGAATTCGTTTGATGGTGGTTCTGAGGGAACCCTGTTCCAACTTCTCAATCGCTGCATTACCCCTTTCGGTAAACGTATGTTCAAGCAATGGGTTTGTCATCCGTTGATGGATATTGACAAGATTAATGCTCGCTTTGATGCCGTCGATGCCTTGAATGCTGATTCGACTATTCGCGACCAATTCTCGTCGCAACTGACTAAAATGCCGGATTTGGAACGATTGATATCTCGTATCCATGCCGGGGCATGTAAGGCGCAAGACTTCCTCCGTGTGCTTGAAGGATTCGAGCAGATCGAATATACCATGAGCTTACTCAATGACCTTGGATCTGGCGAAGGACTTATTGGTAAACTTGTCTCCTCTATGCCAGACTTGGTGTCACCACTTGAATACTGGAAAACAGCATTTGATCGACTCAAAGCCAAGGAGAATGGTATACTTGTTCCTGAACAGGGGATCGAGGAAGACTTTGACGCTTCCCAAGCGACTATTGAACAGATTCATCGTGATTTGGAGAATCTCCTGAAGAAGTCTCGCCGCGAGCTTGGGTCGACTGCTATCTGTTACAGAGATAATGGCAAAGAGATCTACCAACTTGAGGTCCCAATCAAGGTCAAGAACGTTCCCAAGTCATGGGATCAGATGTCGGCAACGAAACAAGTAAAACGTTACTATTTCCCTGAATTGCGAGCACTGGTTCGCAAGCTCCAGGAGGCACAAGAGAGTCACAGTCAGATCGTCAAAGAAGTCGCGGGTCGATTCTATGCACGTTTTGACGAGAACTATGAAACCTGGCTGAAGTCGATCAGGATCGTTGCGCAGCTGGACTGTCTGATAAGTTTGGCCAAGGCCTCATCGTCCCTTGGAGAGCCAAGCTGCAGACCAGTCTTTGTCGACAACGATCGAAGTGTCATTGAATTCGAAGAGCTCCGCCATCCCTGCATGTTACAGAATGTGACAGATTTTATTCCTAATGATGTGCAGCTTGGTGGTAAGCGCGCCAGTATCAATTTGTTGACTGGTGCGAACGCCGCTGGTAAATCCACAATTCTTCGCATGGTACGTATTCTACTTCAGATTTTTTTTAATCTTATTAATGAATGGTAGACTTGCGTTGCGGTCATTATGGCTCAGATTGGCTGCTACATCCCATGCCAGAGCGCTCGTCTCACCCCTGTGGACAGAATCATGTCTCGGCTCGGAGCAAACGACAACATCTTTGCCGCTCAATCAACCTTCTTCGTTGAACTATCTGAAACAAAGAAGATCCTCTCAGAGGCAACACCTAAATCACTAGTGATTCTCGACGAGCTCGGTCGTGGCACCAGCTCTTACGACGGTGTAGCCGTCGCACAAGCCGTGTTGCATCACATTGCAACACACGTTGGAGCGCTCGGCTTCTTCGCAACACATTATCATTCACTGGCCGCCGAATTCGAAAACCACCCCGAAATCTGCCCCAAACGAATGCGTATCCACGTCGATGACGAAGAGCGTCGAGTCATATTCCTCTATAAACTGGAAGATGGCGTCGCCGAAGGTAGTTTTGGTATGCACTGTGCTTCCATGTGCGGTATCCCCAACAAAGTGATTGAGAATGCAGAGCACGCTGCAAAACAATGGGAGCATACGAGCCGATTGACTGAGTCTCTTGAGCGTCGTAAAGGTGGCGGACTTGTCGGTCTCGGATGGTGGAGTGATGTAGCCTGGATACTCCGCGAGGGTGATGATGCCAATGTGTCCGATCGAGGACTGGAGATCCTTCGTAAGGCTATTGAGACATTGTAACTGTTTCTATTATCTCAGCTTTTTCGTCGGATATCGGAACTTCTATGGGATTGATGGGTTAGTTATATGGGTGAATTTGTCACAGGTTATTTCGGTGTTTTGTTCAGATATATCTGCCTTGTCTCCTGACAGTCGTTACATGTATCTATAATAAGTAGAATTAGACTTCATTTCTACCAAGCTACCTACATAGTAACATTGCTAGCTACAACCAACAACGTAGCCTAGTCCTAGGCGACACGTAACCATACGCCATCCAATCTCGTAGTCTCTTCTCCATCAAATGAACGATGAAAATCAGATCATCATTGAATCCGATTGAAGCTACCTAAGCTACTTAGTTAAACGGATGAACGAACAATAAAGAACTTGACCTCCCCAGAATCATCGTGTCCAAATCAGAAATAGAAAGAGAAAACATAGTATGCAATTCGACTAATGAAATCCAAACCCCCTTATCAAATACGGCCAAGAGTTGAGTTAAGATTGTCGTTTTTCAAAGGTTCATTGCAACATTGAGTAGGGGTTCAAACTGAAATTGAGAATGCAGAAAATGAAAGACGGGAGTACTTCTCGGCTTGATAGAGGATGTATGTCGGCGCAACGAAACCCTAAGCACCCACAAAGTTAAGAGGCCAAGATTTCGAATAACGAAAAGGAATTATGGAGCAAACATACACCTTGATGAATCCAAAGTTCGCTACTGTCGTTCACTCGAATGCGAGCGAAGAAGATATTCATCATTGCTTGATATATCCCGTACCCAGAAGAGTTTCACTCAGTCTTCAGCCTTGATGAAAGCGTCGAAAGCATCTTCAGCCTTCATGAATCTATCGTCGTTGACTGGATCGTTGACGGGGGTGAAGGTGTTGCTAGAAGAGCAAAACAGGATTGTTAAAATTGTTGTGCTAGGAGAAGCTTTGCAAGAAACGTAGAGAATAGCTTACGTAGTAGCCTGCTTTGAAGAAGTCTTTCTAGGCTTCTTAGTGGACGTGGCCATCTCCGCGTCAAGAGCATCACCGGCGGCATCGTCAATAGTAGGGCCTAGGGGAGTCTGGGGTGCAGCGGTGGTGTCTTGGTCTTCAGCAGCGGCGGCATCCTTACGCTTTTTACCGCTTGTCCGGCTGTTAGGGGTTTTGGGTGTTTTAGCTTTAGAGGTAGGTGTAACAGGGTCGCTGCCGGCATCGCCATTACCAGCCATCGCATCGGCATCAATCGGGTACACATCAGTCAGCTTGCGCAGAGCCTTGCGGTATAACACCTGAGCAGATCCCTTCGTGTACCCGCCATATTTAGCAAGTTTCTCGTAATCAACCTGTAGTCGTAGACCGTCAGCTTGTATTCAAAAAGGCGGTGATCATGGACAGATTAAGTCTCAGGATCAGGGTGAAATACCTTGCCATTCTCGGAGAAGCGGGTTCCCAAGGCAATGAGCTTCAGTTCAGACTGGCTCAAGTTGATGGTGACTTCGTTCTTATCGTTTGCAGACATTTTGCAAGTTGTTTCTGAGGCAAAATTACATGTTAGTTTCGAAGAAATGATAGCAGGAACGTAATCGAAAGAGAGCTGTTATTGGAAAACTCAGACCCGTTGAAAAGGAAGGACTTACCTTAGAACTTTGAGATTTGAAATAGAGATGGGCTTGTGAGTGATCGAGTAAGGAGAAGAGAAGATTCGTAAGGATCCGAGCAGATTTGAAGACTATTTGGGAGTAAACAGGGTTTCTTGTGAAGAAAAATTGAGAGAAGATGGACTGAGATAGTAATGAGAGGAAGAAGAAGATGAGAAGAGAGGAAACTTACATTTCTTCAAGTAGATATCGCTTCGGTAAAAGCCCTGAGTAGGAGTAAAAACCTCTGGAGGAAAGTTCGGTCAGAAAGTTGAGGAACGAAGATGAGACAAGGACGTGGTTGATATGAGAGGAGACAAACAAATGTAAATGTAAACAAGATTATTAGGTAAGGTAAATAGAGAGACAGAGAAAAAGCTGATGGATAGCACGTGAAAGTCCCCTCACTCTTGCTAAGAGGTAGAGGATAAGCACATGCCAGCTGGCAGGGCGCAGTTTGTTGTTTGACATAGCCAACTTGGAGGACGCTTCTATTACATATGGATTGGAGGATTCAGGTGGTTGGGGAGGGCTTGTTTGGCTCTGAGATATCCAAGCAATTTCACTTGATTTCATGACAAGACATCATTACTGGCTTAAGGCTTTCAGGTATTCAAGCCTAGTAGATCATACTTTACAGTCCTGTCATAAAGTTCCATAGAATGAAGTTTATCACAGAACGAATGAGGTTCTAGACATAGTCAACTGCAAGAGGCAGCAACAAAGGAGGCCTACTAGTCAACCCTGCTGCCCCTCTCTTACTATTTCATCTTAGCGTCAAGTTCCACCAGTGAGAAAGACTGTGCTAGTTCCTAGAGAGGCATCAATTAAGATACATATATAAGTACATCATGTAGGGTATAAACAAATTACTTAGCCCCTTGACTCTGTATCTGAGCAAATATATGATCCCACAACTCTGGGTAAAACTTAGGCGTCGAACGAGCATTCTTACTGGTAGGAAACGCATAGAATTGCTTCAATGTACCATACCCTGTGGAATAGGTATTTCTAAACGTGACCGGCCGTAAGAGTGATTTATCACGTACAAGATCTGATATACGCACTTCTGTCGTGCGTGGGATTGTGGTAATCTTCATGGTCTTAATTGATAGCGTAGCCGTCGATGGGAGATTCTTGACGTATTCTAATGCTGCCTCTCGCGATTTTCGTGCAAAGACTGGAAGATGGAGGTAGATGTTGTTCACGAATGGGGCAGTTGTATATGCCACGAATATGAGGGGGAGCATGCCGCCAATGACAACTGAGACGTCAGTAAGAACAGTATTATGATTGAATAAGCACCGTACTGTAGACATACTCAGCGGTGCAAGATAGGAAGGAAATTCATCGGCAAAAAATGCCGGTGCAATAATGATAGACGACGCGCCGGCGACGAATATCGTGGCTGTACGCAGCATGCCGAGAAAGACTATCTTCCCTGTTCCAGCATGATATACAAGGACATGTTCCGGCGCAGCTATTCGACTCAGTCAGCTTTGATATCCTGGCCAGCAGAGAGCTTGTACGCGCCTCGTTGCGCAGTTGGTTTCCAAGTTTGGGACGGTGCATATTTGACAACTGGTTTCGCAGCTACGGCTTTAACCGGCTTCTTTGGAAGAGCATTGGCTTTGGACGCAGGTGTCCTAGGAGTGGGCGCTTTAGATAAGAGTGGTTTCTGAGTCGAGTAGTTGCGAGAACAGATATTGGTCCGGATATGCGTTTGGGCAGTACATCGTGGGACTGGACGTGAAAGTATAACGCGACGGAGCTGCGATATGAGCGATTGAGAGATTCTCATCCTGAGCTAGGGTGCAATTGACATTTGATATCTTTTCTGGAGTTTGATGTCGTCAAAATAAAAGCTTGGGTAAGGTTGGCAGCATCAGCGAATCGGAGACCGAGGATAATCAATCTTGGCGCCCATTCCATCGTTGCAGATGCCACCTCGTCACACCTGAACAGTAGAGTCATGTCACGGCCAGTTTATATTCACTTTGTTTTCACGATGTGTTAGTTTTTATTTTATCTATCTTGAACCAACTCATTCTATTCACAATGACATCTGTCCCCAGCCTTTCAGTATGGCATTTGTTTGTCTCATTGTTATGCCTGGTACAACTCGTATCAGCATATCAGCAACTATCAGAGGAGACACTCAAGAAACTCCCACGACCAGGTAATGACTTTGATATTCACGAAGGAAAACTCCTGGCGCCGATACTCCGAACCCGCATACCAGGAACCCCCGGATCGATCGCTGTCTTGAACCATTTCAACGACTTCTTCAAACAAACATTACCGGACTGGACAGTTGAGTTTCAGAATTCGTCCGCCAGAACGCCTATTAGCGGGAATAAGGAGGTACCTTTTGTGAATTTCATAGCCTCGCGGGATCCACCATGGGCATCAAAGGGGGACGTGGGAAGATTGACTCTCGTCGCGCATTACGACAGTAAATACGAACCGAAAGGCTTCATCGGTGCGATTGATAGCGCGGCACCGTGTGCCATGATTATGCATGCCATGCGAAGCATTGATGCGGCTCTGACGCGGAAATGGGATGATATGCAAGCAAAGGGCGATGGGCTGGATTCGGGGCTTGATGCACATACGGGGATTCAAGTGCTCTTTCTCGATGGAGAAGAGGCTTTCAAGACGTGGACAGATTCGGATTCATTATACGGGTCACGATCGCTTGCGGAAACGTGGGATGAGACGACACATTCGGCAATGTCAATATTTCGGACACCTTTGTCTTCTATATCGCTGTTTATGCTGCTTGATTTATTAGGGTCGAAAGACCCTACCATACAATCTTACTTTCCCACAACGCACTGGGCTTATCAGAACCTTGCAAGCTTGGAAGGACGACTCCGGAATCTAAAGCAGTTCAAATCTTCGCCGAATTACGACATCAAATCTGGACACGTAGACGAACCACAGTGGCTCGTCGACGCCGAGAAGAGCGAGCATCTTCTCAAGAGCTGGACCGCTATTCAGGATGACCATGTCCCATTTATGCGCCGAGGAGTAGACGTTCTGCATATTATTGATACACCTGGCAGGGCGAACTTTCCGACTGTCTGGCATACCATCCATGACGACGGCGAACATCTCGACCTTCCGACAGTCGAAGACTGGAGTATGCTTATCACGGCATTTGCTGCAGAATGGATGGAGTTGGAGGGGTACTTCGATGCGCAGGATGCCGCCGAGAAGATGTATATTCGGAAAACTGAATTGTAAGATTTTGTCCCGACTCCTTTTGGATTTATGTGTTTGACTTGTGTGTGTACATATATCTACTCATAGATGCAGGCTAATAGTCTGTGTCAGCATTGAATGAATGGACCGTGCGCATTATATTGTCTATGGATTACTTACGCGAAGATCAAGTCTAAAATACACAACAGACAGGATTGTTATACAATGCCTCCCAGGAAATATCCACTCATCCAAAGAACACCCCAGACCGGTTGCAGAACGGACCTCAGAATTGCCGGACCAGGACAAACTCCACTGGAACCCCAAGCAACACCAAAAACCACTGCTCCAACAATAAACCGCCAATCGATATCGGCTACTGTAAGCTTTGGCAAGGACCATTTGTGTGCCAATGTTGGCAATTTCTCTGCCTTACCCGGTTTAGCGGCTAAGTACCCATAGAGCGAGGGACCAATTCCGAAGAGGATGATGAGCGCCAACGACGGATCGAATTTATCGACATCGCCGCCGAACAGGGCAAAAAATCGAATCACTTTCTTAGGATCTGCCATACCAGAAAACAACAACCCGAGCCCAAATTGGAGGCCCGCAAGATAAGCGAATACTCTTCTCGACTTTGATGAACGTGTTAAAATCTTCGGACCAAGGACAAATGTAGTGAACAATGACGAAATGCAGCTCGTCGTCATGACGACTAATTCGAACCCGGATGGATAAACAGGGAGGTAGCAGGGAGTGGCACCATTGTTGCAGGCCGGAATCAAGTCTACACCTGTCAAGAGAGGCGAGAAATTGGCGGTGACGAGGGCCGTTGTGAAGAAGATGGCGGTTGCGATAAGGGAGCGTGCCGAAAGACGAGATAGACCGCAGAGCATATGTCCGGATGTACAGCCTTGGTCATTCTACAGAATAATGTTAGCGGTTAATTGGCAGGAATCAGGGCATAGGATCTTGAGTACTTACCTTCGTACCCCAACCCGTCAAAAATCCCCATCCCACAGTCGCAGCCGCCGAAATCCATAACGTCGTCGTAGACCCCGGCTCAGGATATGAAGGAAGTAGAGAAGGTGCGACCAATTTAACCAAAAGGGGGCTCGTTATCAATCCAGCCAACATAGGAAAATTCTGGTCCTCGTTCACATCTACTGGTCCATTGGGCTGTTTTTCTTTCTGTTTCTGGCGACGGAGCAATAAAGCGGGATCTTGTAGACAAGCCCGCAGAATCGAGGAAATGCCAAAAACGCGGCCGTTATGAAGCAGCAATCCGAAGGAGCCGCTGAAGAGCAGTAGAGCTCCTAACGTCGTATGGACAGGGGTGAACATGCTTGTACCCTGCCGTATTCCGATTTTCCTCCAAGAAGTGGCGGCGTTTGAAAACGAGTGGCAAGTAATCTAGATGTAGTATATGAATTTATCTTTGAGTTTGTACGATAGTCGTATATGATCGTGGTTTTAGCTGGCTCTTATCTGAATGTTCATGTCACACAGACTGCGAGGATTGAGTGACTCGAGCATGAAAGACATGGCGTGGTTGATATTGCTATCAAGGAGTTAGTCTGTCTGTAGAAGTAGGAGGCGAGAAAAGGGCATACGGCGACCTCCAGAAGGAGATGGAGCCCGAGAAGGTTATGTCGGTATGGTATCATCATTGATCATACGGTAATTAATACAATCGCCTTTGATTCCTTGACGTTTAATTGGGTTAATATATGATGGTTTTGGTAATAATACAGGTACAAATCTCCTCTGATACCTGAGGATTACCGTTACGTTAGCTTCGAACTGGAGACTGAGACTTGGTTGAATTGGACAGTGTTCTTGACAGTAGATAATCGCTTTGAGATTGCGGTCTAGTCATGCTGCGAAATGCATTGCTCTCGAGCCTCTATAGCATCAAGCAATAGAAGTTCGCCTCGAAAGCAGATTCGACCACATCAAGGTTCGGTGATATGGCGAAATTGAGTTTGCTTTTGCCGGCATATTTTCAGAGCCCAAGATGGGTTTGTAATACAGCATACCGAGTGCCGCAGTTCTCATCCAAAGCATGAAAGAACTTCAAATGATCCCTTTATTTCCAGAAAAAAGAGCTATTGCTACCATATACGCCCAATTCTGTCAGTCGATCATGGTCGCCGAACACGTGCGAAATGACTCCATCCCCATCGTGAAGCCCGAGCCAATCATCTTCTTGCTAGTAGAATTGCAATTGTAGCGTCTTCTCTGTCCACTATGAGTATAGCGAGTTGAATCTATGATTTCTCGAAAAGAAGTCCAGAAATCAAAAGAATCGATATATTGATACTATCCTTGTCCTGGTCCGTCAATTGCCGGCATATATGTGTCACATGAGGCCTGTCTCTGGGATTGGTCGGATATCTTCCGATCGATCGCCAATCTATTTTTGTTCGAAGGTATCACTGGCATGGGTAGAGAAATTTACTAAGATTTATTTGAGATTCAGTGACAGAGTAGGCTGTCTATATTTTCATGCCTTTTTATCAAGCCACCGAGTCATCTGCCGGGAAGATCCGTCTTCCTTAAAAAGTCTAAGGTGGATGTGATGCCTCAGGCAGCACTGGATGAATCTCAAGCATCTCTCACGTGCTGCCAACTTGTTCCTGCTTTTTCTGCAGATACGTAATCTCTCCGTATCTCTTGTTTTGGCTCTTCTCTTCTGTACATACAACGTCCTTGCACATATACACTCTTTATATTTTGTCTTCATGAATAACGAACATGTTCTTCATCAGCAGCTTTCGCGACATCTCCGCGCGAAACCTCCACATCCTCAAAGCTCAGCCTGTAGCCGAGATATCAGGTTCTCTAGGTGACCTGGGCACATTCCTGCCCATTGCCATCGCTTTATCTGTCAATGGCACAATTTCTCTTTCCAGCACTCTCGTCTTCTCGGGGATAGCCAATATCCTGACCGGTCTATTCTTTGGGATACCACTCCCCGTCCAGCCTATGAAGGCCATCGCTGCTGTGGCAATCGCTAACTCTTTTACTAACGGTGAAATTGCTGCTGCGGGCATATTCGTAGCTGCATGTATCTTCGTTTTTAGTGTGACCAGTTTACTGCGCTGGTTCGCCGATGTGATCCCCATTCCCGTGGTCAAGGGAATTCAAGTCGGGGCAGGATTATCTTTGATTATTGCCGCTGGTGGCAGTCTTTCTGGTTTGGGATGGATTACTCCCTCATGGGCAGATAACCGTATCTGGGCCATTGCGGCTTTCTTTTTTTTGTTAGTGACCAACTATTATCGAGAAATACCGTATGCTTTGGTGGTGCTTGGGGTCGGCCTTGTGTTTGCTATTTTCCGTGTATCGCAGGAGATGGATATGCCCAGTTTCAGGCCGTGGATACCCATTCTGACAGTTCCCGGGGATGGCGACTGGCGTGCTGGCATTGTCCAAGCGGGTATTGGACAACTACCACTTACAACGTTAAACTCCGTTGTGGCCGTTGTCCATCTGGCCGGTGACCTGTTGCCGGATGTGACAACCCCATCAATCACATCCGTGGGTCTGAGTATCTCGCTCATGAACTTGGTGTGCTGCTGGTTCGGGGCAATGCCCGTTTGTCACGGATCAGGAGGTCTGGCAGCTCAGTTCCGATTCGGAGCCCGGTCAGGGTCTAGTGTTGTGTTCCTGGGGGTCTTGAAGTTATTGATTGGACTGTTCTGTGGAAACACTCTGGTGGGACTGCTCAAATCATTTCCCTACGCCTTGCTCGGTATCATGGTCATTGCGGCAGGTCTAGAACTTGCCAGCGTAGGAGAAAGTCTCAATACAACAGGCGCTCGAGACCTAAGGAAATACTCACCGGGTGGCATATTAGGTGATCATGAACGCGAGATTGGCCCCGTCCTAACTGACGACGAAAGAAAAAAGAGGTTCACGGTCATGATGGTTACAATCGGATTCTTGGTCGGATTCAAAAATGACGCTGTGGGTTTCATTGCGGGGATGCTGTGTCATTGGAGTTTTCAGATACCGGTCTGGTTGCATTCGAGGAGACATGAAGGGCGCATTCGCTTGCCGGAGTGAGCGAGTCAGGTGTGTTACGATTCAGGATATAATGATTCTTTCTATCATGCAACAAGCGTATAAAGAGTCTTTGGGAACACCATGTGGATATACTCAGCTGAGTTACACATATATATTTACACATATACATGATTTACGATAATGAAACTTACATTTCATAGATTACAACTCAATGGACATAGCCCTGGTAATCTAGTTTGATGCAATACTGTTGCACTCAACGCGTGAAAGAGGCGCAATACTCGGCAGCTGCCAGAAAGGGGTTGTCCTCATCATACCTCGATCGGGATAGTCCATGAGAGAATTTTTTTAGTTGAATTTCTGAACAAAGACTGTCTTTGTATTAACGTTGCACAGGAGTAAATAATATTGCATAGGGGCAATTAACGCGCAGGAAAAACAAACATATTCACAGCCTCTTTCATACAGTCTCTATGCCCTTATTTGCTACTGGGCTTGTGAGCCAGACCCATCAACAAGTACATATACCTTGCTAACTCCCCCCCTAAGGATTTGTTCTGACTTTCATCTTTTCTCGTCATTCATTCACACTGCATAGCAAGATATCTGTTTTGTTCTCCTATATATCGTGTGTCAAACCTCAACTAAGGACATATTTTGCTTCCCTTGAAGGTTCTTCTGGCTTTCTTCCCCATCACTATGGATTCGCCTGGGCTGCGAAATATTTGTTCTGTTCCCCTATATCTGATCTACTAAACCTTGTTTGAGAACATATCTTTTCCATCCCCCGAAAGGTTCCTCTGACTTTCTTCCTCCTTTGCTATAAATTCGCTTGGGCTGCCCAATATCTGTTCTGTTCCTCTGTGTACCACCTGTCAGCCTCCAAGAACATCTCTTCAAGACCTCTACATCGTCAAGAATGTGGCTTTCCATCAGGATGAACATCTGTTGGCAAGGACAGACCATTCTTGGTCTGCAGGAGCAAGTCTTGCCCAAGAATGACTGCACGAATTCTTACATATCTGACGTAGGACCAGTTCATGTAAGCCAAAGCTTCGACATCAATTCTGTATCAGAAGATGCAAACATTCTTTTGAAGCCCGGCAAGACCATGCGTCCTAACTGTAAGTATTTTCTTATTCAAATTTTTAAACTTCCCATATCTGCTCCGGACTTGTCATCTCAAACCAGTCAATATAACTTTGGTACTTTGAAGGCTGATGTATGAGATTTCTACTAGTTTACAAACTCTTCTTGCATTTCTCCAAATAATGCTGGTCTTGGATTTAGCATCGGCTGACAGGACAGGTCTACCGAGAAGCCAAGACGATGGGACTCGTCGAATCATCAAGGGTTGTCATGTCACTCATGTCACTATACTATACTGCTGTGGTTGCGTACAGGGTGACCTTTGTCTAGAGACCAATCAGGCGATAATAACGTTCTGTGTCATGGCAATACAAAGGGGATGAGTGGCTTAGTTCCAACGGCCTCAATTGGTATCCGCCGTCCCTTGAAGAAAACAAAACGGCTTGGGAGGCAGCGAACCTTCTCCGTCACTAGGAAGAGCACCGGTGTATATTGAATATGTGTGATCAGCAATTGAGCGCGTGCTAATCCTGAATAGGCCCGATGATCTCTAAGGAGGCGAACGATGAAGCTCCCGAGTTCTATCGAGATTTCGGCTCTCAATGATGGAATGTTCGTGATTTCCTGGTCCCGCGTTATACGTGTGTTGAAAAGCTCTTAAAACGGTCACTGACGCCTCTTTTTCAGCCGCCACGCTGTTGATGATATCCTGCGCTTGGTCCTTCTGAGGAAAATTGACATGTATGAGACGAGCGAGCTACCACGGCAATTCCTTTCCACCCACTCATTGGCCTTTTCATCACTGTCAATATACAATATCTATTCGGGAAGTTCTCCTCCCTGTTGCCAGCACCGCCTGCCGCATGTAGTTTAGCACCTCTGGGAGAAAGGGCACATCAACACTACCTAGTGAGAGTTCCTTTCTCCCAAGGGGGAGGCATCAGTTAGGGAAGCAATACACAGAGAATTCCTTGCCCCCATCTCTCAAGAATATCTATTTTATGGAGCCAGACCAGCAACGATCAGGCTTAAAGAGAGCTTCGCTGCACCATCTGGTGAGTTAAGGGCGATGCGAATTGGTGTCTTCGGCAGGACTTCGATAGCGTTACATCACGTTCGCCAGCTATCATGAAGATGTAGTTATGCATTTTGGTATGGAGTAATAGAGTAATACCTCAGCCGACAGACGCTAATTATGACTGAAAAGAGGCACCACTTAATGATATTTTCCCCGCTGTCATAAATAGGTTCGCTGCTTAATCATTCGGTTTCTTGCCTAGCCTCTGATGACTATCTTTATAACTAACGTCGAGTCAGCTATTGCAAGGACCAACCAGAGCTCATACCCTTCGTTTCGGCTCGACTTTTGTCAGTATGTTCAATTTACCCTCACACCCTAGCAAGTCATGACTAGTTGAGCAAAAGAAAACTAGTCTAACAACTTCTCATTTTCTTATGCTCGGGCTATTTAGGCTATGCCAACGCTTAGCTGCAAGATGCAAGTGACATGAAACCGCAATTCTAGAATAGTACTCCACGCCTGCAACTTACATCCGTGTGAATGGTTGATTCAGTATCACTTCGTAAGCACGGCGCGTGCTCTAGTTATAAAAGTGCCAGGGGTAGTAAACTATGCAAATTACTTGTTAGGTATGTAGTTAGATGATCCGGCCTTGACTAGTCCCTTTTCATGCCACCAACTACCTACACTGGACTTTTTGCGATGGAGGCACATCGCCTACTAGGGTAACAATGCGGTGAGCAATTGCGATATTAATAGCCTTGTGCTCAACGTGCTAAAGAACTCCTTGTCAAAACACAAGTACGCTCTTCAGCGACTCGTAAGTTATGTCATGCCAATTGGTACGTAGTGCTGCTTACCTGGTAATTACCAGAACGGAAAGCCAGAGGCTGGCTAAAGAGGGAAGAACGAATCCTTGAAGACGCTCAGGCGGTTAGAGATAATGCCATTCGGCGTTGTCGCACGGCCTATGAAGGTTTTTGTGCCTCGAGGTGGGCCAGGGAGTGGTATGTTCTTACGGAGTCTGCACGGAGATGCTTGTTGCTGACAGAAAGGAATAGGGGCCTCCCTCAGGAGCTTGCGGACGAAGTGAGATATTAGGTTAGGGTTCTTTAACTGCCTAGCCTGCATCCCCTTCGGTAACACGCGTGCCATAAAGAAAAATAGCACTGCAGGCTTGATTTTAGTTTGAAATCTATTCGGGTGTACAAAGGGCGTCTCCTAGCTGGACTGGGACATGTATCTTGTTATCAGCGTTCCTTAGAACTCAAGACTCTTTTTAGTAAATTTATGATCATACGCACATAATAAAAAATGCACTTTAGACGCTTGAATTTGCAAATTGTAGTCTTATTTCCATTGAGATATAATTGCCCTAGAAACAAGCTTTATGCGGCTATTGAGTAACGCTACACAAAGCTGTAATGTTACACAAGACTCAACCGTTATTTTTTTGTGTCTTCCTTCAACGACACAATCCTATTCAGGACTTTGTAATCGGCTGTGCTATCCGGATCTAGACAAAAATATGCCACTCGCATCCCCTGAAATCGAACACTCTCTGGAGTTATCTGAGAATCCGTTGGCATTTCCTCACTTTTGGTTTTCGGCCAAGGAGCTCTTCGGGTGATTTCTTCCAGGCCGATATCGATCATAGCATTCGGGTAGACCTCCTCGGACTGTGGATTAACAACAGAAAGAAAACCATCAGGGTGCGTGTCGGGATTGTCGCAGGTGAACAGGAAATTGTGGATACGAACGCAGGCCTTAACAGGGCTATTCAGTGATGGGCACTCCGAAACCCAGTGAATATAGATGTAGCGGTGTCAGTGATGACCAGAAAGAATCTGAGGTAGAAAAAATCCACTTACGCTTTAGGCTTTTTGAACTTTGCGCATTCCGCAGGCTTATCGTATTTAGCGTGTACCAATGTGACAAGCCCGCTATCTGGATCTTTCTCGAAGGTGGTCGCGGTTATGGGAAACGGTACTTTGAGCAAGCCGACCGATGTGCCTGGAGTGAGCCGAAAAAAGTCCTTACTAGGCGTCTCGCGGAAGTCGCTTCAATCGATATATACTGTTCGAGAGAATGGAACATGGTGTGACTGGCAAAGTTAGTCTAAGGTGATAAAAGTGGACGTTTCTTGAGATGAACATACTCCAAATTCTGGGTCTTTGGAATACGGCAGTTCCACCATTTCCAGATAATCTTCAGGGAGATTATCGATAACAATGGGAATTGGATCAAGGACGAGCATTAAGCGCGGGACAGTGACTTCTAGATATTGTCGAACAGACTGTTCAAACTTCTTGACTTCAATAGTTGTTGTAGCCTTGGAAACCCCAAGCCTACTGACGAAAGGATGGCCCCGAGCGGAATACCACGACGTCGAAGAGCAATAAGTGTGTACAGACGCGGGTCGTCCCAGTCACGGACATGTCCCTTTGAAATCAGGTCCATGATCTTCCGTTTGGACAGCACTGTGCCAGATAGATTGAGTCGGCCATATCTTTCAATAAGAGTTAGTAATGATGACGAATAGATCATTCTTTCTACAATGTGAATGTGATTCAAGAAGACATCAGTGTACGAGACTGCTCACTCTCGTTGCATCGGCCTATAAACACCAAGTGTGTCACACAGCCAGTTGTAGGAAGTTCTCGCCGTCTCAAATTCAGTCGTGCATAGGGAGTGCGTAATTCCTTCCAAGCTATCCACCAAACAATGAGTGAAGTCGTATGTTGGGTAAATTTTCCATTTGTCTCCAGTACGATAGTGGATTCCAATTGTACTGTCTGGGATTTCCCCACCAACGGCTTCTTCTACATTGCTGGACTTCGCTAGTTGAATCACACGATAGGCAGTTAGATCCCACATTTGGGGGTTATTAGAGCCCAAATCCTGCTTCATGCGAAGCAAAGCCTCTTGAGGACCATATTTCCCGTCCCGCATTGCTCTAAACTCTGCAAGTGACTCATCAATTGGATGATTCCTGTGGCAGCAAGCGTAACGAGGAGTGGCCCCTTTACCGCCCCCGCGTTGCTGGGCAATTTCACTTTCTGAAGTTGAGTATCGCATTAGTAAGTGAGAAAGGGAATGACAAGCAGATGATAACATACTGGAGCAATGGCAGACATAAGCGCCATCTCGGCGGATCAAGTCCTCCGCAAGCTCATAGAGGTATCAAAATAATCACTTGAATATGTAATCTTGACAGGGCTGAAGCCTAGCCATCTAACCATCTCTTCTAGGGCTGGTGCGAATACAGATATCGGCTTAATCTAGGTATATTCGATATTCGTATTCGCCGTACCAAAAGCATCGAATAAATATTCGATATCTGTATCCGCCTTCCCAGATCACGGCGAATAATATCGCCAGAGATATCGGCAATATTCGTATCCGCCGCGGATATCGTCTATTAGTCACGTGCTGCTAGAAAAATTTCCTAAATGGGTTGGTAACCAATTGCTTGGATAGCTTCGATCTTCTTGACCTCAGAGCCTACGGCAAGGTGGTCACTGCCACATCGTATACAAAACAGGAATAGTTGATTGTGATATTTCACATTTGTTAAGGTAGCGAAGGTTTAGGACACCTCACAGGCTCGCACTGTAAAATCCTTTCTCTTCTCCAGCTTATCCTTCATGTACGAATCAACGATAGTGCCTGTTGAATTGAATCAATTGCATTCAAGATATTATATTCACCAACTATGCTATATAGCTTCTTCTACTTGGCTTAGTTCCATTACCTGCTATCCACCTATCCAATGGAAACCCGGGGCAAACGTCAAAACTATTTTGCATTGAACGACAGTTACAATAACAAAGCATTACCCAAAGACCAACTTTCAAGTCCACCCCCTGAATCGCTAATTCCATCTACACTCACACAGCCAGAATACAATGCATTCCTTGGTATCCCTGATGTTGAGATTAACCCTTCAGAATCTACATTACAGTCATTATCCTATCCAACAACTTCAACAGCTATAGATTCTTCGATTGTTTCATATACTCAACATCTTCTACCTATAGCTAATAAGGAAGCATGGTTCTGGGCTTACTTCAGCAAGCATGAGATTCTATGTGAGTGGTATACAAAGAAGCACAAGAAACAGAAGTTAATGGACATGGATATTCAGTGTGCTATTGTAGATAAAGATACTGGCAAGTGCTGTAGCTAGATTATAATAGATTCAAAGTGGCAGAGTTCTACTAGCAATATGACGCTCCATCTCTTACAAAAGCATTCTATTTATCCTCTGGGTGCTTCAATCACCAAACCTATTAGGAGTCCAAAGGGAACTTTGCTTAGCTTATAGGCAAAAAAGGAAGAAACCCTTACTTGCCAATAATAGCTGGAAAAGGACATCCTTCGCTAGATTGTTATTAATAAATAACCCTTTACAACTATTGAATCTCTAGCATTTCAGCGGATCTTCTCTAATATCCTAGGAGTCGCACTTCCATTTACTTCTCGGTATACCCTCCGACAGCGGCTTATGGATGACTTTAATATATAACGCGCTTAATTGAAGGATGAACTTAGGTTATCTTGCAAAACAATTGCTTTATCTCTTGATATTTGGACAAGCAAAAACCACCTTCCAATCCTAAGGATAATTAGCTATTAGCTTACAGAGAGTTTTGATTACCGAGAAAGTGTTCTTGAATTCAAAGAACTTTTAGGACCACATAGTGGAGAGAATCTGGCTACAGCAGTTGAGGATGTACTCCTAGAACTTGACCTTCAATCCAAGTTGACTACAATAACAGGAGACAATGCTAGTAATAATGAGAAGATGGTTTCAATTCTATCTCAAGATCTGAGGCAAAAACTTGGGGTTAACCCTCTATTCCGTGACTCAGAAAGTTACGTCTGTTGCTTAGCTCATATATTAAATCTTATTGTCAAAGATATCCTTAAGACTTTAAAATCTAGCAATATAGAGGAAGCGCATGTTGTATGTGATCATTTCAAGGAAGGAGAACAGTTGTCTGTTAGGTCTTAGAAACCTTTAGCAAGGATTTGTATCCTAGCTCTTTGGATACACTGAAGTCCCTAACAAAGGCAAAAATAGAATGAGGTCTGTAAGATTATTAATCTCTTAAGCAAATACATTGAATATGATGTTGATACAAGATAGAATTCTACTTTTTGAATGTTAGACGATGCCTTGATGGCAAGATGCCAGGTCGATAAATTTCTGCAGCTCCAGACAGATTTTCCTCTCTTTACTACAATGGATTGGTCTCAGCTCTCGCAGATCCACAATATCCTTTCGAAATTCAACGAGTTGACTCTGTTCGTGTCGAAAAAGAAACCTTAAATTAGTCTTGCCGTCCCAATCTACTACAAACTTCATGATTTACTTGATAAGGCATCCAAGCGCAAGGAGAGATTCCTAGATCTTGACAAAGATATATCATTGGCTGTGAAAGAAGGTATGAAGAAGTACAAAAAGTACTATACCTTTATAGATACTTCTGATACATACTACACTGCCCTCATCTTGGATCCTCAGATTAAAGGTGATCTCCTTCTCAATAAACTAGAAGATAAGACTACTGGGAGGGAGATCCTTCAAGCTCTCCGTGACAGTCTCCACCATGATTACTCAGTCGCCACTATAGAATTAAGCTTACCTACAGGACAATCCCTACTGGAGCACAATACCAAGCACAGTGATGTAGAGTCCCAGTTACTAAAGAGGTTATAGCCACGAAATCAACCTCTACTTTCTAACATTGATCGCTATCTCAATAGCCCCCAGGTCAATATAAATGACATGAAGGATCCGAATTAGTTGTGTAATTAGTGGTGAATATCCCAGAATGGCTGCTGCTGCTAGAGATTACCTAGCGATTCTAGCCTCCGAGGTTCCAGTGAAGAGGCTATTCAATGCAGGAAGAGACATACTGGGAATTCGAAGACACTCAATGAATTCCGAAATGATGAGGATGTTGATGTTGATGGATAATGTATATAGGAAATAGCTTACTGTCAATGTAATAATTGATAAAACACCTAAATGATCCAACGATTGATTAATCTACGGATTGCTTCAAATTAGCCACCTTACTAATAGATAGTAGATGCTTCATAACCAACTACAGCTTTTGATATATATATATCTCAATGTATGTCAGATGGGATTTCTTGGATAGCCAGGGACCAGGGTTTGCCGGCTGATCCCACCTAGTTATATTATTGATTGTGTTACATTTTTCATCTAGGTAGACAACTTATAGAACTAGTTACGAGAGCTAATAATTATGATCTTGTGGCTCTTGGCTGAGCACTGGGACAATCATGTATGATTTCATCTCTCTCCGTATGATTGAATGTACGGCGGATAATTCGAATATCGGCGCGGTATGGCAGATATCGTATCTGCCGGCATGACCAGCAGTCGAATAATATTCGATATTCGTATCCGACGTGGAAAGAACAGCGAATATCGTATCCGCCGCCGATATCCGGTCGAATAATATCTGCCGAGGCGGATATCGTCAACAGCCCTAATCTCTTCAATAGCTGTGAAATACTTCTCCTCTTCTTTCGCAGGATTGGTGTCATCGTAGCATAAATAACAATCCCCACCATGATGTTCCGCGAACCCGAAATTGACTACGATAGCTTTGCTATATCCTAAGTAAAGGAAACCGTTTGGTTCTGGGGGAAAACGAGTGACAATCCTATCGACCCCAGCAGACCCTAGGGGCTTCTCCTTGTATACCTCTGCAAGAAATCCGGAGGTAAAAATAGACTCCATAGGTTGAGTGACACTTTCTTTGGGGTTCGTTTGTGGGTTGGTTTCTAGCCCCGACGGCGCCTCCGCTTTCGCCTGTTGATTGTTATCTTCAAGGGGTTCTCGTTGGCGGGAAGTGACATCTGACATATTCGTCATGCTACTTACTTTGGGGAGAGCCACTAGGTTAGGAGCTACTCATGAGTCAATCGAATCCACATAAGATAACGAACTGTGCCCCTCAACTTCCTCAAGTCCAGCTAGGAACACAGACAAATTAGGTCCTACGCCGCCAGTGTCACCATCTACACATTTATCGTCCTTTCGACGCGACGACGCTTCATGTCGGAACTAAATTACCACTTCACCACAAAGAGGATCTCCTTAATGGGGCTTTTTGGTAATGGTTTGTATTCCAGCGCAGATGTTCCGTATCTGTGTATTGGAATCTTTTGGTACTAGTCCGAACGGGGTTAGGCTCTGATAGGAGCGTACAATCTGGGTGAGGAATAATTGACTCTGTTGTGCACGTCTCTTCTTCCTTCTCTAGCTACACATCTTGATCTTCTTTATATACAAAACGTAGTGGCAAAATATCACGGATTTACGGAATAAATGACAATCCTGACTCCAAAATGTAGGTCTGTAGGTGTCGGATTGGTAGGTTTGTTCCAGGCCAATCCTGAAGAGTGTTTTACTAGGATGAAAAGAAAAGAAGTGGCTAGCAAGATTGTATCTGTTCCCTCCTCTCTGTTCATCAAGTCTCAAAGCCGGGTTTTTATAAACATCTTTGGCGGGGTGATTTGTGAGCTATCATGAGGGTAAACATTGGGCTGAAATCTAGGTGCCCAGATATATGACCTAAGGTGCCTTTTTAGACCTGTAAGATCGAACATCGAATCTCTCTGCCTCGTTTGTAGTCCAGATTATCTGACAGTAGGTAGTCTTTCCAAGCCTGGGTTCAGCGCTCGTGTTCTCACGGATATGTTGTTTTTCCGGGGATTCACGGATTAGTAATGATGTCCAGATTGAGATTAGCGTATCAAATTCCAACACAAGCCAATCACATGTTCCGCTCTGGCTGGCTCCTTCTCACATTCAGACAGACTCGACTCCCCAACTTCTTCCACTCAGCAACAACGACTTTGTTTCCTTTCTCTATGTAGTTATCCAAGTTCATCTCACTCATTGCTATTCTCTACTTCCATTTCTCTCCTTCTTGTTCTCATACTATCTCTAATTTCATTATCCATCTCGTTTTCGCGCCCTGCTGGAAACCTCGATTCGCATCGCGACGACATACCTCTACATTTTCTTAATACGTATCTATCCAAGCACACATGGCTGCTCAATCCACGCGACAATTCGGTGTAACGCCACCAATTTCCGTGAGCCTGCCGACCCCTCAAGAACTCGCTGCCAACGATGACTTGATCGCCGAATTGAAGGCCCAGAACAACTTTGAATTACCCGCAGAGACAGAGCGGAGATAACAGACTCTTCAGCTTATCCAACGAGTCGTGATAGAATTTGTCAAGACAGTTGGTCGACGGAAAGGTCTCTCTCCAGCAGCATTGGAAGCGGCTGGTGGAAAGATATTCACGTATGGTAGTTACCGCCTGGGTGTCTATGGTCCAGGTACGTGTACCGATTCTAACGACAAGAAGAAGAACGAGTATTTCTGATGATGAGTAAAATCTGATATTGACACCTTGATTGTCGCGCCTAAACATGTTCTGATCGAGGATTTCTTCTCTGACTTTCCCCAATTCTGGAACGAATGTCTCCACCCGGTGCGATCGAAAAGATGACCCCAGTCCCCGATGCGTTTGTGCCAATCATCAAGTTGGAATTCTCTGGCATTAGTCTCGATCTTATCTTTGCTCGCTTGATACTTCCATCTATTCCACTCAATCTTGATCTGAAGAATAACGGCTACTTGCGGGGCTTGGATGACAAGGAAGTGCGGTCGCTTAATGGAACTCGTGTTACCGATCAGATTTTGGAGCTCGTGGCTCAGCAGAAGACATTCCGACTAGCTTTGAGGGCCATTAAACTCTGGGCACAGCGTATGTTTGATGATGTTAAGCGATACCCTTCGCCAAACTTGCTAATGAGTCTTAGGTCGCGCTATCTACTCCAACATTGTCGGATTTCCAGGAGGTGTCGCATGGGCAATGCTGGTTGCACGGGTATGTCAGCTAGGAGACATTGTCGAAAAGATCTTCGCCAAGCAGCTCACTTGGAATGATCTGTTCACTCGGCATACATTCTTTTCAAGGGACTATAAGTACTACCTCCAAATCACTGCCTCCAGCAAAACCAAAGAAGCAGATTCAGTCTGGTCAGGTCTGGTAGAATCCAAACTTAGGCATCTGGTTGGTGCTTTGGATAGGTAAAATATCATTGCTGTTGCGCATCCCTTTCCTAAAGGTGTTGAGAGAATACATGTGGTGAAAGATGACGCAGAAGCAGAACAGGTCAAGAACGGATCAACCAAGTATCAAGCGCAGGGAACAAAGACCGAAACAACAGACGAGACCAAAGATCCAGCCCACACTGCGGCTGCTGAGACCGGTGCTGAGGATGCTCAGGTTCCCGATCCTGCGACTAACGGTGCGGTTGACAGCCGTACAATCTACACCACCACATACTATATTGGCCTTGAGCTCGAGCCGCTAGAGCCAGGTGCTTCGCGGTCTCTCGATATTCCTACCGACGCCGACGTATTCGAGTCGACGTGTACTTCGTGGCGGGGATTTCAAGAAGGGATCAACGACCTCAGCATCACACATGTCAGAAGGTATACATTCTGTTTATTTTACGATATCGTGCTGAATTTCTAACTACATGCAAGTTTCGATTTACCCGACGATGCCTTTGAGCCTGGGGAGACACGACCTGTCCGACCGAAGAAGAAGGTCGCGAAGCCAGCGACTGCAGCGGCTCCTCAGAAGCGAAGCATTGACGCTGTAGACGTAAGCCGCATAGAGCCGAGTAACTTCATTGCAGCCAAACGACTGAAGCGCTACTTTGACAATGGCTTGGCCTTGTGATAATAGGTTGATAGGGCACCATGCATCCGGAAGCGAAGCGACAAGTATCATCGAATGGATTCACTCATGCGGCCACGCCGGCTTGATTCAACAATCTGGTATTTTGTTTGCATGTGACGACATCTAGCATGGAAACATGATACTTGATACATACGCAAGTCATACCCTCCGCGGCGGGTCTAAATTCGATCACGCTTGTCTATTGCCATGTGGTCTCGTAAACCAGTGAATGATCCATCACGATGAGGGTTTACCAGACTTCCTATGTGATTGGTTATAGTGTCGCTTACTATTTACAGTAATTCAGTAACTCCAGTAACCAGTTTGACTACACTACCTGCGTGGTGATATGATCAAGCTCGATTACTAGGTTGGTGATATCCCCTCTAACCCTTACTTGCTTCTATCAGAGGTATCCAGTTCGCGCCATCTTTCGATCTGCAAAAGCTGAGAGAACCCAAAACGGGACGCGACAAATTCAATAAAGGTGATTTAAAACGAAAGAACTATCTAGTTGATTGTTGGTATTTGTTTGTATGATGCGAGAGAGAAGCTAGACAACTAGCTCAGAGATACACTGGCTTGGTCATCTTTCCGGTCAGTGTCATCTATCTGAAGCAAGTCAAATATTTGAGCGTATTCTAGATAGATACTTGAATGAAATCAGTCGTAAGTACTTTCTGCCGTTCTGTAAAAGTACATACTTCTCAAGATCGAAGAGACTGAGCATACCTACACATTTACCCAGGTAGATTCTGTAACAATACCATCTCTCGATACCGTCCACTCCGCTGCATGAGTTCGGTGTGCGTCCCTCTATCTTCCAGCCGCCCTTTATCAAAGACAAATATGACATCTGCATGTTGAATTGTGTTCAGCCTATGCGCAATTGCGATCGTGGTTCGGCCTTTGGACGCATTGTCCAGGGCTATCTGTATGGTACGCTCGGACTCGGAATCCAGCGCGGAAGTCGCTTCATCAAGAAGAAGAATTCTCGGGCTGCGAAGAAGCGCCCGTGCAATTGATATGCGTTGTTTCTGACCTCCAGAGAGAAGGAGGCCTCGACTGCCAACTTCCGTATCGAATCCCTTCCTATGATGACGATGTGAGAGTCTAGAGGTTGGCATACCAGTAAAGATACTGGGCACTTACGGTAGGGACAGGATGAGATCATAGATGTTGGCATCCTTGCACGCTTGTATCAATGTTTTCTCGTCGACTTTGATATTCTTCTCGTCCACCCCGTACAGGATATTGTCTCTGATAGTACCACGATACAGGGTCGGTTCCTGAGCTACGAGTGCCAGCTGTGATCTGTATGCTCGGAGGTTAAGGTCCGCAATATGACGACCACCAACGAGTATGCTTCCTTGTTGGGGATCGTAGAATCTCTCCAGTAGAGAAATAATCGTGGATTTTCCGGAGCCTAAGACGCGGATTAATCAGTGGACCTGATGCCATCGATTGGAATCAAAGGAACATACAGACCTGACGTGCCGACTAATGCAGCGTACTGGCCAGGTTGGATGCTAAAGCTGACGTTGCACAGAGCCAACGCCCCGGGTCTCGAAGGATAACTGAAGCTCACGTTGCGGAATTCAACAGGCCATTCCGACTGAGGCAAGTTGTTGTTGTCGCCTTCATACGACTCGTTAATTCTGGGTTCTCGATCCGCCAGCACGCGCAGCCATCGCGCCGCCCGACGTCCCTTGGAGATGTCTCCCGCGAAGCTAGCGAGGGTTCCGGCAGATTGTACTCCGAATATGACTTCGGCGAAAACAAGAAAAAATTGAAACCGCGAATACTCTCCGCGAAACAGCAACCTGGAACCGTACCAAAACGCAAGCGCCATGGCGAGGTATAGCGCCGATTGCGCGCTAGCATAGAGCCCGGAGTTGCGCAGATTAGCCTTCCAAGACTGCCTGAGCTGGTCGCGATGGAGGGCTGCGTACTGATCTAGGACATACGCCTCCATTGCCAGAGACGCAACAGTGCGCATGGCGTTGGTGTATTCGCAAGCCAGGCTTGCAGACTTGGCGTTGTACGCCGCCACCGTCTCGCCAAAGTCCGCCAATATCTTGAAACGAAGAATCCCTGTTCCTAAGATCACTGGCACAGCGCATACACAAACAAGTGTCAGTTTCCATCCCACCGCAAGGGCGATAATAATACCCCCGACTACGGTAGCGAAACTGCTCACCAGCACGCCGAGCGTGGTTCCCGAAACGGACCTGAGATTCTCCGTCTCAGCACTTAGGAAGCTTGTTAAAGATCCAGCGTCGTTTTCTGTCTTATCGAAGAAGCTGATGTCCTGCTTTAGCATGCTTCGAAATGCCATCTCCCGCGCGCGGCTGATTAGTCGCTCGCTACACAGACCAAGCGCGATACCCTCACCCATCTTGAGAACTAGTAGTAACAATGCTAGGCCAAGGTACAGCAGTGCTAGAATATTCACATCGTGTCGGATTTGGGAATGCTCCGTCAATGGCTTGGCCAATGCAATAATTGCCTTGGCGTACAGGGCAGACTGGGCAGGTTGGGCTAACCCGGCCAGGGAGCTCATTGCGAGGCCTGCAGCTAGGACGGGCCATTCTGGTAAGTTGAGTTGGGCGACGAAGGATAAGTCGCTCGAGATGTTGTATGGTTGTGAGTACTGATCTTCCTTTATATCGCGTGACCTCTCATTGATTGAATGGCTGTCAAGTTCTGAGGGTTCGGATACGGGAGCGTCGTTGAATGACTCTGCCAGGTCTAATTTGGCGTGTCCGGACATTGACGAGCTGTCCAGGGTACCACTCTGGGCTAATACCAGCTTGTGGTATGACCCACGCAGCTCCATCAGTTCATTGTGGGTGCCTTGCTCAGCAATCTGGCCCCGGTGCAAAACGACAATATTGTCTGCGTTTCTGACGGTGGATAGTCTATGTGCAATAACCACGGTTGTTCTTCCTCTTGACGCTTGGTTGATAGCTTTCTGCACGGCCTCCTCCGATTTCGAATCTATGGCCGACGTTGCCTCATCCAGAAGGAGGATCTTGGGGTCGCTAACGATTGCTCTGGCTATTGCGATGCGTTGTTTTTGCCCACCGGACAGCAGCATACCGCGAACTCCGAGCATGGAGTCATAGCCATGGGGCAGATCGGATATGAACTCGTGCGCGTTCGCGAGTTTCGCTGCCTTAATGATTCTCTGTGTGCGTACCTCTTCAGGAGCAACAGCAAAAGCAGAGTGCATGAGGCCCAATGATATGTTTTCCTTGATCGTGCCGTGGAAGAGCACCGGCTCCTGTTGGACCAGAGCGATTTGCTGTCTTAGCCAAGAAAGATTAAGGTCTCGTATGTCGTGGCCATCGAGATCCACTGACCCCTTTACTGGTTCGTAGAACCTCTCGATTAGATTGACAATCGATGATTTTCCGGACCCGGATGCGCCGACTATGGCGGTCGTTTTCCCGGCGGGGATGCTCAAGGCAATATCGTCTAGGACAACAACGTCAGGCCGGGAAGGATATATGTGTTGGATACAGTTCAATGTCAAATTTCCTTCAACAGCAGTCAACCGAATCCCGTGGTCCGACAATGAATCTATTGGTGATTTTCGGTCAATGACCGAGAATATCTTTGAAGCTGCTGCTGCCCCGGCGCTGATAGCCTGGACGTGCGGCCCAACTGACCCTAAATAGAACGCCCCCGTGATGACGGCCAAAATGATGGTCAGGATGTCTGAAAGCGTGATATCTCCTGCAACTAGAAACCGAGAGCCCATCCAAAAACATAGCCCCGAGTTCATGTATACAAGACACATGAGAATGGCAAAAAGGGCGCCAATCCCAATCTTTGCGCGAAATCCCCAGCGACGCGCCTCGACGAGATGTGCACTATACTTCTGTGCCATCTTGTCTCTCATCCCAAACGCAATAGTATCCCTGATTGAACCGAGTATTTCCTCAGCAATGGAGCCACTGACAGCATGGGCGTCCTGCGCCCTCTTCTCCCAGACGGTAACCAGCACGCTGCCAACGCACATGATGACGACGATGGCCACGACCGTGCTCAGGCAGATCAGGGTGAGTTTCCAGGACTTCGTAAAACCAATCAACACCGCTGTGATGAAAGTACTGGTGCCAGTAAGTACGAGCCCGACCTTTTCCGAAATCGCTGACTGGACAAGGTTGAAGTCCTTGCCAATCCGCGTCGCCACTTCTCCTGCCCCAAGCTGATCGAAGAAGCCAATGTTCTGTCGAAGCATGCACTTCAGGTGCTCCTCCTTTGCTCTCAACGTCAGCTTCTCCCCAGTGTATATGAATAGACCGATGGAGATGTAATTAAGAAAAAAGACTGCGATAGCGAGGTAGACGTAGTCCAACACGTATGATGTTATTCGTGATCGGAACGAATCTGCGACCCTGCCATCCAAGCCAGTGTCCTTGAGTGATTCAGAAGCACTGCCAAATACGAGAGCCAGCAGCGGAAAGCCAGTCCCTGCAGCGATTGCCGAGAGGCATGCAATGACTGTCAAGGCCTTCTCCAGCGGTGAGGCATAGCGGTACAAGTGTATCAACTTAGACTTTGACGGGTGAATATTGATTTGATGCTGGAGGATGTTACACGACGTATCTCCAGATAGTCGCTGCCTCGACTCATCTGTCCGTGAACTGAACCGACTGCTCTGCAACGGTCCCAAATTGGGTTTGGCCTCATTAGGGTTTTGTGTAGTGAGTTCAATTGTGGAATAACATCCCGTGCTACCCATGATCAGCCCGTCCTGGAGGGAATGCTTGAATTCGAGATGAGTTTCAAGCGCGGTGGAAGCATCAAATGCTCTATCTCCTTGATCTATCAGTGAGGCACTAGCACGGCTGTCGTTGCCTCCGGTTATGGATAGGAAATAGAGCGCGACGTGTCTCATACAGATCAGCTTGGAAGAAGAAAGAAAGAAAAAACATGTTCTCTGGACAGAAGACCGAGGGGGCTACTACTTTCGTTCCATTCGCGTCTCGTTTCTTCAGCTGACAGTGGCTCAAATTCAGTGGATTAAGCCAACTTACTGTGGATCACAGCCATTCCCTTTCGCTGCAGAGCTGGTATGCCGATAGTTACTGATTACACATAAGGTTTTCACAGTTTTACTTGGTAATACCGATAATTACATAGATACCACTATATTTTCTCCCTCCAGGATTTCCGGGGGTTCCGTTGGATTGTTTTGCGCCCAGCTTCTTGGTTGAACAATGCTGAAGTTAAATAATCTCTCCTGGACTTACTAGAGATCTTCTCTTCACATAGTCTCTTCTTCCTTCAACCAAGAGCACATAGATTCAGCAATAGATCCCTTCTTGACACCATGTCAGCCATTTTGCCCTCTTTTCTGAGCTTTGTGTTCGGTATCTTTGAGCCGATTTCCATGTTAGTTCTAAATTCCCCCCTTTCTGACAATCTAAATCCGTTCTCACAACTCCCATAGCCTGGCAGGCGCAACCTACGCCTTTTCCTACACGGAGGACTTTGTCTCACAACAGCTCGGTCCAGTCACGGTTCCAGAAACCCTTAGCCCGGCACAGTACGTTGTTGCTCATCAACTAGGAAATACCTATGTTCTCTTGATGTTTTTGGCTGTGGGAATCATCCACGCGACTACTGAGCCCGCCGTCGTGCGCAATTACCTCTTCTCGGTTATGCTGTGCGATTTTGGCCATGTCTTTGTCTGCTACCGAGCCATGGGGTACGAGAAGTTTTTTGATGTCTGGAACTGGAATCCCTTGACTTGGGGAAACGTGGGCATTTCTGTCTGTTATTTCTTTCTGCGTGCGTCCTACCTGATTGGGCTTTGGGGTCCGCCGCGAGTTGCCTCTCTGAAGCAAAAATCTAAGTTGAACTAGGACCAGGTTTGAAAGGTTTCGAAGTTTTCATTCCAAGGCCTAATGCTATGTACTTAGTAGAGGCTGAAGACTGTATATACTGCTCAGCTGATCAGCACCGTGGGACTCTTGACTATATATAGTATATTAAGTAGCTCTTGCGCTCCTGAGGGATTTGATCGGTATCTAAATTCCCTGTATATTGAGCTTCACAGCGACGATTTATAACATTATCTACCGTCTTCCCACAATGTATCACATACCGGTTTGCCGCTTAAAAAATCTTATAGGAAGTGCAAAATCCTGCTCCCTTCTCATCAACGGAAACTGCGCATATCCCGCTGACCAAAGGAGGAAAGCCGTTGTCCAGATATAGCCAACAATGAGATGCCACCTCTGTGAATGACGTGACTTGCTACCAAGCGTCCATACCTGCTGCACCGATTCCTCAGCCAGTACAGCAACAGCCTGCAGGGACGTCGATATGACTGCACCGCTTTCAGTGTACGGGATACCACTGATCACATCGCCGTGTAGATGGATGAGCCCGGAGATCAAGAACGCGAAGAACAACGAGCTAATCTTCACCAGAAGCTTTTGTCCTTTGGGAACTCGCAAAACATCCATGACGAGGAAAGATGCTGTTTGATGAAGGAGCCATCTGAAATCTTGGTGCCAGCATACTCTATCACATATGTTAGTATTCTTCTGTTGTCGTGATGTATAGAATGAAGGTTAACTCACCCCCAGAAGGCCCGGACAGTGTACGCTTTCCAGAAGTCACCAAACCTAGGGCGACAATCTTTGACCTCATACAGACCAAGGCTCACCAAGACTACAGAAAAGATGTCGTGTCCCATAGACTGAATCCAATAGCCAATAATCCACGCCCCTGCCATCTGCCCGATTCTGATCCCGGCATCCAGCCAAGAAACCTCACTGCGCCATACTCGGTCAAAAAAAAAAACCTTATCCGCACTAAAGTCGACCTCAGGCTCAGCTAGTACCTGACTAGTGGCAAAATCAATGATCAAATGAAGGATCGCAATTCTAAGAAGTTTGGTAAAGAGAAACCTAGGCCGCGATGGCACATAGGCTGTGTCCTTGGAGTTAAAGTGCGGAATGTTGCGAACTTCAAGCGGAGTGCCGATCTTACGCCTGTTAATAATGAGATCTAAGGCGCTTCTCAGTGATAAAGGGCTCAGAAATGAGCCACTGGGGGACGAGTAACTGAGACGAGCATAGTGGAAAAACTCTAACACTAGCTGAACACCGAGCGCCGAGTCGATGTACATGTTCCATGCTGAGTTGGGACTTGCCAGATGAGAAGTCTGCGTCACGAAAATTGCTGAAAGAATGGGGGGGAGGAATCTAAGAATCGGATTGATCTTTGATCTTGATGCTTGTCGAAGAAGTATGACAGTCGTGATTATTCCTATGTAGGGCAGCGGCGAAAACTTGGAGAGGACCATATTGAATCCCCGCTAGAAATCAGAAATGGTCTGGAACTTCGGAGTACAGCGGAAAGTTGCATTCTTGTGTCTCAACTATGGTACGTATATAACATGAGCAGATTGGATTGTTGAATTGGGATGCTAGCCTACCAGGACTTAAGTAACGCGAGTATCCGAACCCGAACCCGATAGCTGAACCGGCACTGATTTGGAATAAATGATGAGACTATGCTCGCCCCGCATGGTTACTGGACCTAGGTGATTCGTCAGTATCTAGCCGTTAGCCCTAAGTTAGTTATCTAGTTAGCTATTTCAAGCTTATATCTACTTTTTACCACCCTGCAAGACTCATACATGTACCTTATTGTGTGGGGAGAAGTGGGGCTGCACAGACTTATGTAGAGGCGTTCTTCAGTAATCAGCTTTGAATTTACCTAATATAATCATGGTTTATTTCAAGGCAGGTATGGAATTGCAACCAGGAAGTCCACACAGGAAGTACAAGTGATGGATCCTGAAAGGTCAATCTACCAGAGCTGAAAAGGGAGTTTTAGCTTAATGGAGATTGCAACAATAAGCTTCAGCTGCGGCCGCCCGAGTCCGCTAGTCCAATGCATTCACTCCTGAGGCTAGTGGCTTTGCTAGCTTTAGTTACCTGAATCCCTTACGGCCTAATAGGCTACTGTAAGGCTTACTGTAGACCAAACTGTGACCAAAATTACCATAGGCCTAGGTTAACCCCCTCTATACCTCCTCTTATTTAGGTTTCAGCTAGCTCACCATGGAGCTTCCAAATCAGCACAGAAGGTACGATGACTCATGCTAAAGCAACAAACGGTTGTAATTATACAAGTTAGGTTACAAAACATCTGAAATGAAGTGTGAGACGTCACGGGCAAGGACGAACAATGGGCAGTAGGAGTCTGATAACCCTGAGAAACCCACACTGCGCCCTGATTGGCTGAAAATTTAGCCTCAGCTGGGAGGTAGATTATTTGACCAATCAGAATCAAGAAGACCCAGCGACAGCCAGAGCGAACCCTAAACATGTGCCATACACTACAGTCTAATTTGTCTACCTACGACACAAAATTTGAGAATTAAGACATCTAATTCCTTTTTGCTACTTTTGGATAAAATCATCGCCCCGTTAACCTAGGAACTAGCATGACCAACTTATCATCCCCTTCCCTGACATGCATGATTCCCAGTAGCGGCGCTGCCTTGAACGGCTGAGGAAACGCCGTTTCTTCCACACCCGGCACAATCTGCATGTCAAATCGATCAAGTAAGCATGCCACCACCATAGCCATTTCGACGAACGCGAGATGTTGCCCAGAGCAGTGCGAGATACCTCCACCAAATGGACGATAGTTCGCCACCTTGGCCAGATATGGGCTCCTCAGAAACCGGTTGGGTACAAACTCGTCCGCATCGGCACCCCATACGGCTTTGTCTCTCTGTAGCGTCGAAGTAGCTACCAGGAGCGACGCCCCACGTCGCAACCTCTTGCCTGTAAAAACAGTGTCCTCTTGCACATGGCGGCCGGATGTATGTGGACCACCATAGAATCGTAAAACCTCTCTCCATAGGGCCATAAGACACGGCAACTGATTATCTTTGAGGGCTTCGGCAGGGCTGAAGCTGAGGGCGTTGCGAGCGATGCCTGCCGTCTCTTCGCGGACTTTGTTTGCTAGGTCAGGCGACTCAGCAAGATGCGCCAGTACCCAGAAACATGCTGCGTGGATGTTGTTGTTCGACGCCAGCAGCCACGCAAGATGATAAACCGCAATATCGCGCTGACTGAGGCCTAGATCGCGACTGGTCTGTTCCAGCTCCTTTATTAGAGGGGATAGGGAAGTGCGAGCTTTCATTGGAATATCCATGTACCGGTCGAAATAGTCGAGCACCTTATCGCGTAGATTGTAAACCTCGGGCTCTAATAGGCGGGGTATGCGCAGAAGCAGATTGTGAAAGCGCCTGTCAAGTGTACTTGTTGTGGAAACGAGGTCCGGTGCGATATCTAACAGATCGTTGCCCCAGAACCCGGTAATGTTGGCCCGGAGAATAACCTCCTCACATAGCGTATATAGGGAAACAACTTTCCCCTCTGTCCTGGGTCCAGGGAACCTGATGCATTGCTCAGGCAGCGTCTCTAGGCGCAGTGCGTTGGATATGTACTCTGCCACCGGGCTGGCGATTTGACCAAGATTAGCACTAGAATGGAGGTTTCGATGGTGGACGTCGACGATCAAGTCAATGTTGATACGGTCGCGTCCGTTGGTTCGTCCTTGAATGTGCTTGCTCATGAGCTTGCAGCCGGCAGGGGACATGCCGAACTGCTTGAGAGTATCGAGTTGGAAGGCTGTAAAGTCCAAGGCAGTAGTATTTCGGTAGAATTCTTTGGTTCCCTCCGCCGATGTGATGATGTATAATTTTTTACCCGCAATCTGTACACCAAATAGCTTTCCTTCGCCAAAGCAACTCTCGGCTTTTTTGACAAGACTTCCTGCATCTTGGATAAAGCTGCGAAGGTGGCCAATGAATGGTATATAGTACGGATATATTGGGGGCTCGTCCTTGTAAAAGTGTGGACTGAGGATGAATTTCCAGCAATACCAGAGTATCCAGAGCGCAGCAGTCCATGTTGGGAGTAAAATGAGGAGGTGTTGCGAGCCCCCCAAAACTGAGGAGAGAAGTTCTGATATCATTTCAATGGAGTGTGCTTGAGGGAAAGTGCGTGAGGCGATTGAAGGAAAGGATCTTACTAGACAACCAGTGACATAGTGAATCAAGTTGGCAAGTTTTATACGGACTACCTCCAGACGTACGTGACTGTCATTGTATCAGACAATGCGTGAAACATGAAATAGGCGCTAAGTTGGACTGGGCAACAGTGAGAAAGATTGCAGCTGATGACAACTACGGGTTGCAGCACATAGCCCTAGAGGCAAAGCGAGATAAGAGACTCCACGTATAGCCATTCTGGGCTTAGATGAGTAAATACGTAGCATAAAAACACGCGCCCAGCAGGAACACGTTATGATACACTCCCCATCCAGAAATTTGACGTGAGAGAGGAGAAAATGCTCTGAAAATTTTTACAAGTTAGACTCACTGGCAGCTGAAATTCTTGACCTTCAGAAAGTTCGACCATCGAATGTGGTGTACGTACATACAATCTTTTTTTAATAGAGTTGCGGCCGCCAGCTCCACCGTATTAGGGCTATCTGGCCCACATGACTCCTATGTATTTTTCCGTACATCTTCTTTTACGTAGCTCAATCAGTTGGCATTATCCCCGAGGCTGAAATAGAACCTCCGAGGCTTCGTCCAGGCGTAAAAATTTGTATCGTAAATTTAGACTTTTAGTCTGGCATTTTCCGTTTAGAGATTATTGTGAAGTGTCAGATATTTCGTAATTGCACCAACACTAGTCTACACAGAAAAATATAACAATTTTAGTGCTGAGGCTATCCATGAATATAACAAAGCTTATCTGTCTTGCTAGCCTAATGAAATCTGTGTATTTGCTGGAGACGGTCAGTACGCTAGCACTTCTAAACAGCTCTGCAATGGGAGTGTTAATATTTTTTGCTATACTTCAATTATATGAGTTCTCATTCAGTAGAAAGTGCGTTATGATGTTTTTGATTGTTGATATGGTTACATTCCCAGCATAAGCAGATCACCACTGACACAATGCGGCGAAAATCTGAAGATACAACCAACTTGACTATTCACCAAACGGTTGGCGATGATCTGCGTCAACAATTGCAGCGTCAGGTTATAGGCAGCGACCTATCTCATGGAAAGCAGCCTCTCTCACCAACCAGCCCTACAGATGCTTCTCATTGGCAAACATGTACAGCAACTGCGTCTTATGCGGGATTCAGCGAAGGCTCTCTTAACAGCCAACATATCACCTTGAACACCTTTACTCAAACAAGGGCCGTTAACGCTCTCGTGGAGAAATACGGCCGCATGTCACATATGTTCATCCGCGATAAAGGTGCAAACTTCTTCGTAGGCTGCAACGGCAACGCAGCGCTCTGCTTCAAAGTCAAGGCCAAGGTTGCCATTATTTTAGGAGATCCCCTTTGCGAGCCAGACTTGTACATGGCCATCGTGGATGAATTCGCGCTCTACCGCAAGAAGCGAGGCTGGGACATCCTCGTCCAGGCCGTTAGCCACGAGTTTACACGACAGGCACGAGAGCGTAACTGGCCGAGTCTATGCGGCGTCCGCGAACGAGTTCTGAATCCGCTTACCAATCCAGTTATTCATTGCGAGGCTGGAAAGAGCGGCAAACGCATGTTGGCACAGAATAGGTGGCTCCTTAATCCTGATAAAGGCGGGCTGTCACTATGTATATATAGCTCTGATACTCCCAATCGGAATTTGGAGCTGGAAGATAAGCTAACGGGGGTGTATGAGGCGTGGAGACACAAGCGCAACGCTTCTGGTGTACCGCAGCTTCACTCAGCCACGTACGACATTATGGCCTTCCCACAATTGGGGTTGTTCATTTACACCGTTGACCGAAATGGGACTGTCAATGGGGTGGCGGCTCTCCGGAGACTGGCATCGGGTGGCTACCACGTTGATCCCTTTGTGAATGCACCGGGTTCTCATAAATGCATACCTGACTTGCTCATATTCGGTGCCCTGTCTGTGCTGAAGGTGATGGGCGTCTCCTATCTGAGCTTAGGCGAGGAGATTTTGACTACAAATGTAGAGAGCTTTGGATTTTCCGAGAAACTGCAGCAAAGACGACGAGCTGCAAGTCGCTGGGTTCTCGCAAGACTACCTCCAAGGGAGAAGTCTTTTTTCAATGATAAGTACAAACCCGACCCAGAGCTGGAGACCAGGTTGTATTCGGTTTTTCCTTCTGGGGAGCCTGGCTTGAGGCATTCAATAGCCATGATGCAGTTCTCCAACATTAACATTTGGTCGATACTGCTTATGGAGCTGTGGAAATGGATATGTAGCTTGTTTTCTTGGTCCAAAATACTTTCTGGGAAAGGAGACAACTAATCTTATGTACAAAGATCTATCTGTTTCATTTCAGAAAAAAAGAAACATCCTTCGATAGATGAAAAATATGTAGATTTCCCGCACCTAGTCACTGAATAGTGCGGCGTTCAATCTACGTCAGGCTAGAGTTTACGACTCATCCTCCAACAGACCAGGATCGTAAAAAACGAATCCTATATATGCAACCACAATCATGACAGCATCAAGCGCAATGAAGTATCCTTCATGAGTGGACAAATACCCTGCAAGGCCCTCCGCCAGCTGCACAGTCCGATATATGCAACGTATATATACGGCCAACACACTGATTGCTGTGATCGTAACGAACGCATCATTCCTGGGTACCCGGCATCCTCTAGATTTGACAAGAAAGTACGCAAAGCACGCTATATATGCCGTCATGGATACACACTGGAAGACCAAGCCACCAACAACAATATAGACCCCTGTCCAAGCATTGCCTCCCTCACTATTAATCTCGCCGGTAGCTATGCCAGCGCCCGCCGCCTGAACAAGAAGACTAATGATGTCGCTGGTGAGGAATATGCGCACGTACAATTTTGGGTTGATTAAGGAGAATTTGTCACCGGAAAGCCTGATGAAAATGCCAAGGTAAAGGTATAGGGTGGCAGCTAAGAAGACGGGCGCAATCACCAGGCATATCTCCTGCATTGGGAAGGCCTGCGAGTTGTAGGGGCACTGTGACGACCAGGTACGACCGATCCAGCCGATGAGTTCACCAACCGCGCAGATGGTGAGGAGGTAGCTGGACCATACTTTGTATCGGATGCTGCGATAGAGGTTGAGGGCTGTAAAGCCGAGGAAGAGGATGTCAAAGACAATGCCAGCTGCAAGACTCGGTATGTAGCCGTAAGGTGGTGCTACGCCTGGTAGGAGGGCGTGACAGCCTTCCAGCACACTATCGGGAATGACTCGCTTCGATAACGACATCCTTGGAAGTCTGGGGTTGAGCATGGTAAGCAGAGAATCAGCAAGGCTGCTGTTAGGACAATAAGTCACTGGGAACGTGACACTCAGCCATTTTTGGAGACGTCTCCCTTGGCATAAAGCCTGCTAGCTGGACGAGCTTTGTCCAGTTAAGGGCTGAAAACTAGTATGTACGTATTCAGCCAAGCAATGAGGAACTGATTGTCGCAGCTAAGTGGAGGTAGAAAAAAAAAGCCTTTTTTTTATTAGAAAGATATGATCATTATTGAAGGCCTATTATTGTGGACGAATCCTTCCAGGGTGGTCCACTTGTATTCTAGTGTTTTCATATTTGTTACCTGAATTTCTGACATTACTCCGTAAAGTTACAAATAAGTTGCAAGGCTTCTGAATCTACGTAAGTCGTAAAACGGTCCTAGTTGACTCATTCTTCCACCGTTAATCAGTAATCATAAAGTTCAGCTCTGAAGGTACGGATTCAAGTGTGGAGAACTAAGTTGACATCTCTATCAGCCCTTGACTCAGCGAGTGGATAGCAATCTCTGGCGCTTGCGCGGTTCAGAAGCATTTAGCCATGCGGCTTTAACTCATTTGGAGGCGATCATTATCAGGTAGTTATGGCCTTTTTGAACTAGATCTTCCAGTGAACTCGGTGAATTCCAAGGTTGTCCACCAGACGACTATGGATCAACAACATATGGGTGATTCAAGCATGGCTCAGCTCCTCGAAAGCAGCAGACAAGTCTCACGCCTGACAACATTCGAATCATTGCCAATCTTATCCTGCCTTCTCCTGATATCTGCTGCTATCATAGTGTGGAAAATATGGCAAAATGCGCTCGATCCCAGAGAGCCTCGACTGGCTCCGGCCAGTGTTCCAATCATTGGACATATTGTGGGCTTTGCCATGCATAGCTTGCAGTATCTCAATATCCTTCGGTACGTTCGGCGGATGAGCAAAGCTGAAGGTGTCATTCACTAACAAGATCTAACTAGTACAAGGACGGGTCTTGGAGCATACACAATGCGCATCGGGACATACAAGCTGTATGTCATCTGCTCCCCGACCCTAGCACAAGCAGCACTACGATCTCCGGACCTTTCGGCGGACCTCTTAGTCCCAAAGGCAGCGCCTCAGCTCATGAATCTCAGCCCGCACGTCACCAAGATCTTAAAGCAGGGAGACTTTGCACGCAACAATCATACAGCCTTCACAGAGAAGCTCTCATTGAACCCAAGCTTGAGCAAGACCGAAAGGGCAATCCTGGACGGCATAGCGACCCTCCTCAACGATTTGAGAAATGTCACAGAGGTTCCAGACCTGCTGAGATGGCTTTCCAGCGGCATGGTGCTTAATAACAGCACAGCACTCTATGGGACTGGAAACCCAGTCGCAGAGAATCCAAAGTTGATCGAAGACATGTGGTAAGATGAGCCCTGTTTTCTTGGTAAAGCAATTCCATTTTCTGTTGGCTGAATCCTGCGATTTGATTAGGACCTACGAATTCAACCAGTCGAAGCTTCTGATCCCTTACTTTTCCCGCCTCCTAGCTCCAGGATAAGAAGAAGGCCATCAACCAGGGGTTTATTCCATTTGGTGGTGGCAAGCACTTGTGTCCGGGACGGCACGTCGCACAAGTTGAGCTCCTCGCTATGGCGGTATTCCTCATTGTAGGGTGTGACGTTTCTGGATTGGACGGAGAGGATGTCGTAGTTCCGAAGGCGTATTATGATGATATTCGGAAGAAGCCAGCTACAGATCTGGGCGTGATAATAAAAAAAAGGGCTGAGTTCCAAAACACCCAGTGGCGGTTTGAGATTTGTGGTGTCTAATTAGAATTATTGATCTTGGAATATCTTGGAATGTTACACCGTAAATACTCATACTTGAATCAAGTTCAGTGGATTAAACCCTCGGACATATCTGATTATAGCTCATAAGGAATCACACACTTCGAATAGATTGTAGGTAACTCTATGAAATATTGTAATGATTGACTGTATCCCCTATCCACCTTCCTGTCTCACCCCCTCCGCAAACCAACCTGAGTCCCATACTTACTAGAGGTAACAACAGTAATATGCTCCGTCCAAGGCTTTGGATCCCGATGTTCAATAATCGGAAAATTTTGCACCAGCCTTACAGTAACATATGCCGCCTCCGTGAGAGCAAACTGCTGTCCAATACAGATTCGCGGACCGCCACTAAACGGAATATACTCCCAGTGAGGGCGAATGCTCTCCCACCGCTCTGGGCGGAACTCCTCCGCATCAGGCCCGTAAATATCCTTGCGTCTCTGCAATGCATAGGTGGACCAGAAGACCTCTTGACCCTTAGGCACGAAAATGGGTGACTTGCGGTCTGCACCACCCCCGAGCGGAAGCCAGGTGTCTCGGACGGCCATGCGGCCATTGAAATTGACAGGGGGCCAGAGCCTCAGTGTCTCGGAGAGGCACCAGCGGAGGTACTTCATGTCTTTGAGCTGCTCGTGCGTTGGGATTTCTCCACATAAAAGGGAGATTTCGGCGTGGAGCTTGGCCCAGACTTCGGGCTGACGGGCAAGAGTGAACCACAGATTGCTCATTAGCGTAGCAGTGGTGTCGCGTGCAGCAATAAGGACGCTAATAATCTCATCCCGGAGGACTTTAGGATTTTGGCTTTCTTTGGCCAGTTCGTCTAGGAAGACGTATCGCTCGCCGGCTGTTTTGTCGAACAGCTTGCTCTGTCGCTGGCGAGCGATGGCTGCGTGGATGTATCCGTAGATGAATTCGTCCGTATTTTTCATGTGTCTTTGGAATGGCTTGTCTGAGATGAAGTAGCGGCCGAGGGGACCCCATTTCTCCTGGTTCCGCAGCTCAAGGAGAGCGCTATCGAAGGCGTTCGCGAAGTTGACAGGAGTACTGGAGTCTGGGAGCAACGATTCACAAGACTTGCCGAACAGGAGCTCGGTTGCAGAGTCGATGGTAAAGCGCAGGAACATCTCTTGAAGATCTACAGTCTCGCCATTCTTGGGAATCAGGTCGACCAAGTGTTGAACGTGTACCTCCAGAGCAATTAGGTCCTGGTACTGCTTTCGGATGAAGTTTGGTCGAAGGAGGGCTCTAGAGTGCTGCCTTTCAGTGAGTATGCGCGTCGGTAGCAGAGCGCAGAATAGTATGCAACATACCTCCCAATCTTTGCCATCGGTAGTGAAGATTGCCTTTCCTGCTAGTTTACCTAGTCTCTCGCGACGAGGTTTGCCGAGCTCCCAGTCGTTGAAGCTGAGGGCCAGCACTGTGAATTCGTTGTTAGTTCTTGTAAAAATAGGACATATATCAGAAGAACCTTCGAACGACAGCCACATACTATACTTGATATTTTCGGGCTCGATTGTCATAATAATCGGCAGCCCAGAGAAGCTGAGCCGAATAGTGTTTCTGTACTCCTTTAACATCCTAGCTGTTTTCTGCAGTACGGTGTTGTTGGCGTAGGATCGCACCACGCTGATGACTATATCGAGGCCGAAGATCGGATCCCATCCTTGAATCTTGGTGATGGGTTTGCACCCATACTGCTTCATGAACCGACGTCTTTCCGCTCCGAGTGTGAGCTCGTAGTAGAGGCGGCGGCAGAGCAAGAGCACGCCAGTAGCGGTGATCAATGGCCAGAATAGCATATTGAAAGGGATGAGTCTATGTGAAAATTCGTCTAGCAGAAGAGTACTTGTTTTAAAGGTCTCATGACAGCCCAAAAGCTTTTAGGGCTGAGTTATAATGTCTTATCAGCAGGTAGATAGGTTATTCCCCCTTTTGAAGCATCAATATGTCAAAGCACCGCATTTGCAAGAGCTACAACAAGATAAGATCCAAACGATTACTCTTCAGGGTGGAGCGGTAACTAAGCAATACGCTTGATTAGCATGTACGTACATGTAAAACGTCTGTCTACTCCCGACCTGAAGCCACAGTTCAGCTGACTCCACTAATTCTCTGCCGGTACATGACCTAGTCTTACATTGCCTCGTCTTACATGGCCTCGTCTTACATGACCTAGGTCAAATAGGTCATTGCATTATGTACTATACTACACCTTCAGAGTATTATACACAATATCTTGAGAGATAAACTTCGACTAGTTAACTTGTTCTTCTAAGTAACTATCGAACCCAGCCCTCAATCAATTCTAGAGTAAACAAATCACCTCTCTTGCTGATTCCTCCCTATGATTCGCCTCAGCTTTATCTTGTTGCTACTCGCCGTAGCCGTGATCCTAATACAGAAGAGAAAAAAGCAAGACTCACAAGAGCCGCCCTTTATATCATCGACAGTGCCGTATGTCGGCCATGCCCTGGGGCTTCTACGATATGGGGCCTCTTACTTCATCTTCCTACGGTCAGTATCCTGGTATATTCGCACCAACCTTAATAGTAACAGTCACAGATCACAAGTTCGGTATCCCATATACACAATCAACCTCTTATCCCAGAAATCCTACATAATCAACGATCCCGAACTTATCAGTCTAGTTCAACGCGAGCGCAAACTCATATCGCACAATGGCCCCTTCGTCGAGACTGTGTTTAAGAGGATGCTTGGCAACAATGACGAGAGCATGGGTATCATAATGTCAAATATGGATGGACATGGACAGGCGCCCTCCTATCGACGAGACATGAAGGCCGCAGAGCATGAGGCTCTCGCGCCTGGTCGGGCCGTGTCACAGATTTATGAAGATAGCTTGGATGAGATTGTCAAGATCTTTCGCGATCTCACTTTGGCGGGTTCCCAAAGTGTAGATCTCATGGAGTGGCTGAAAAAGGTCTATACTTTGTCAACTGCTACTGCTCTATATGGCCCGCAAAACCCGTTTACGGTATCGAGGGACTTAGTAGAGGCGTTCTGGTATGAATAGTCTCCAAAAGCGGAAGCACAGTTACTCAGCTAACCTTCCATCCTATAGGGACTATGACTCTGGTCTCAAAATGCTTGTGCTTGATATATTGCCTGCCGTCACAGTACCCGCCGCTTTGAAAGGCCGCGAAAGGCTCGTACGTGAGCTCGAGAAATTTCTAAAAATGAACCTGGCTGAGGGAGCCAGATACGCTGAGATAGTACGGAAAAGGCTAGGTGTCAATAATCAACATGCCTTGTCCGACGACGGCAAAGCGCGCTCAGAGCTTGGGCTGCTCTCCGGCCTCCTGATTAACACTGTCCCCGTGACGTTCTGGATGCTGGCCTACATTCTTTGTTCACAGTCACTGTACTCTACAATTATGTCCGAGCTCACGGCGGCGATCGAGAAGCGCAAGGATGCAGATGGTCAGATTGCCTACGTCGACGTGACAACTATCAAGCAAAGATGCCCCATCCTCGTCGCAACATACCGAGAAGTCCTCCGCGTAAGTGGCTCCGCAACAGCCACTTTGCTCGTCAAGGAAGACACATTTCTCGATGAGCGGTACTTGCTCAAGAAGAACGCCATAATCCAAATCCCTGCCAACTCAATACACGCCGATCCTGAAGTCTGGGGTCCCGATGCCGCGGATTTCAAACCAGAGCGCTTTGACGAGTCATGTAAGCCTACCAGGAAGCAGCACCCTTCTGCATTCCGTACCTTTGGCGGTGGTGCAAGTTGGTGTCCTGGGCGACACCTGGCCATGGATGAGGTTATTACGTTTACTGCGTGTATGCTTTACACCTTTACTATTACACCAGTTGGCTCTTCAACTGGCTTCAAGCTTCCCCGGAAGAATGTTAGAAATTTAGGGTCGATTATGAACCCGATCGGTGCATTCAATGTTGTTTTAAACTGTCGGGAGGGGCTAGAGGGCGTAAGGTGGACATTCGGAGTAAGGGACTAGGGATTCGTTTAGAGACTGGGATCACTGATACAACAGCTAAGTAAAGCTGTATTCTTCATGCCTTGGGAATCTACATGCGAAGTAACTGGTCTTGAAAATTATGACTGCTACATGATTTTAGAAATCAAATTCTCGAAAACCTTAGATTGGCTGCCCTCCTGAATAATGTAAATCTATTTTAATTACACTTGCCGTTTCGAACTCTTTAGGGGTGCTAGAATTAATACGCTATAGCTGCATGGAGACTGAATTATAATAAGGTGCAAGACCCGAAACCCACTTCACCCCCAAATTGTCACGGACCTGGATCCACCTTAGTTCTAACAGCGGTGCGTCGTGATACGTTAGGATAATTGAACCTCGCACAGGTCCCGACCAATGATATAGTGGAGCGTGATGGATCGTATGTAACGAAGTATCGAACGGTAATGAGACGGTGACTGGAATAGTAACAAACTAAGATAGAAGAGATCCCCCGTACAGCCTGGTGCCCGTACGAGTTAGAATGCCTTGCTGACTCTCACTGTTGTATTCAAGTGACTTATGTCAAAGAACTATGAAGAACTAAATACATGATGGTAAAAGAGCGTCCTTATATATCCAGTCCTCCATGTTTCGTAGTATGAATATCGTAGTATCGTAGTATGCTACGATATTCTTGCTACAATACTATCTTTTCCGTCCAATCAATTCTCGGAGTTTCGTAGTACCCTTATCTTGATAAGATAACGGTATATCTTTCTTACCATCACGTGACTCCTGCCTTCTGATTGCACAGTACGCTTTACTGTTCATGACTGGTACTGGTTTCTTCTTGTAATTTGAAACCTTTCCTTTTTCGTAGTAGTACCTTTTAGCGTCATGCAGTTTAGCTTCGTAACACGAATACTCTCACTACTACGGTTGGGGCCGGTAATTTTGTTAGTACGATTTTTAGGCGGTCAGGCTCCGGGGCTCACCGCCTTTTAAATAGAATATTGACCATCCGTCTGCTTTCAGCCTTTCAAGCCTAGATATATGACATTTGACGATCAATATGGCCACCCCCGAGCCTACCAGCCCCCCTAGGGCAACAAGCGCAGCAGCTCTCGAGCCATCTGATTCCAGGCAGAATTCAGCACGGCTGAATAGGGATGAACGGATCCGAGTATTAACCCTTCGAGATGCTGGATTTACATATCTTCAAATCTCTCAGCAGCTTCAAATTAGCTATCGCCAAGTCCAATATACGTGCCAAAGCCAGCAAGCAACCCCTAAAAAGGCCCGTGGCAACCCTCCGAAGCTCTCCGAGGCTGAAGTTGATCATATTATCGAATGGATTACTTCTTCGAAGCGTACGCGACGTATGCCTTATTATAAGGTTATACAAGAGCTTAACCTATCTATTGGAAAGCACGCCCTGGCTCGAGCCCTTAAAAAACGAGGTTATACACGATGCAAGGCTCTTAATAAACCTCCTCTATCAGATAAACATAAACAAGTACGTCTTGCCTGGGCCCTAGAGCATTTGAATTGGACGACTGAACAATGGAATCGTATCCTTTGGTCTGATGAAACATGGGTTACTTCAGGATTTCATACGAGAATCTGGGTAACTAGAAAGGCTGGTGAAGAGTTAGAAGAGACTTGCATACGATCCTCTCCTGCACGGAAACGTGGATGGATGTTCTGGGCTACTTTTCATGGGAATAACAAGGGTCCGTGTTTATTCTGGGAGAAGGAATGGGGAACTATTAACTCAGAGAGATATTGTCAACGGGTTATACCAATTATTGATGGCTATATTCGCTTATTACGAGACGATATCTGGCTTCAATTTATGCAGGATGGGGCACCTGGCCATGCGAGTAAGGAGACTCTCGAAGAGCTTCATTCTCGTGGGATATATCCAATTTATGGGCCAGCATTCTCACCTGATCTCAATCCAATTGAAGCAGTATGGAATTGGATGAAGGATTGGATTCAAGAACAATATCCAGATGATGAGCAACTTTCTTATGATCGACTCCGTGAGATTGTACGAGCTGCTTGGGATGCACTGCCTGAGCAGTTTTTGAAGGAGCTCATTGACTCTATGCACGCTAGATGCCAAGCTGTAATAGATGCTCGAGGTGGTCATACAAAATATTAGATTAGTAATCAGATATGACTGGCAGAATTCATTGGATTTCAACCCCTGTAAAAAAGTCGTGCTAACAAAATTACCGGCCCCAACCATAGTACTATGTACATTAATTCAGCCCCACTTATAGGGAAATTTTGTAGTTTATACTATAAATAGTTAGTTTGATACAGTACATATTTTAGCGTATTTAATCGTTTACGTTTTGCTTGTAAATCAGAAAACCAACCATATTTCACATTTAAATTAATCTAGGAAGGTTTAATGTTTCAAAATATGTCACAAACAAAACAAAACGTGACTAGTGACACGTTGAAAAATACTGACCACATTATAACGCCTTGGCAGTGGGGTAATTAAAAGAGAGTGTGTGTAAAAGGTGAAGGAGGTTTCTTCCTTAATTTTATGCTCACTGAGAAGCCAGCCTATGTACGTAATATTCATAGGAGCTGGGAGTTGCGCAAACACCGGTGCATTCTCACGTTGTTTTGAACTGAGGTTGTTTAGGGTTGATATTAGTATCCACGCCGCGTAAGACAACCCCCCATGTGCGTTTTCGAATACGCGTTTCTGTTCCGAAGGCCTTGATCCAGTCGTTCTTGCGAGTAAGCTGGTCCACGTCGTCCACAGTGCCTAATAATAGCGTAATGTCACCACTAGGTAGTATGCGGGCCGCTACAATTCGTCGATGCGCGATCGTCGTATCTTGGGTGCTGCGTATCGCGAGATTTGCCTTTTCAACTACCTGATCCGGAAATCGGCGGATTGGGTTGACAATGTTGGAGTCAGTATGTTCCAGGTAGACCTCTAGGTCCTCCTGGTTAGGATAAGGGGTCAATGGCGAGCTTCCTCCACTGCTCAGTCCCACGCTCGGGACAGTAGGAGGGTTTGAGGGCACGTTACGTCCCCATGCTTGTACGTACGACTCAGAACTCGCTGTCACGTGACTGTAGCTAAGTGTCGGAACGTTGGTTTACTAGAGCGATGACTAAGCGAAGGCGAGCACTAAACAATACGTATAAGGAACTAGGTCTATTTTCCGGCACTCCTCTAAAACCCCTATCTAGGAGTATTGAACCTGTTTTTATATACAAGATTCCATAGAAGTGATATCACCAAAAGTCGACACTTGTGCAAATCGAACTTTCTAGAGATAGGCTGTAAAGTTGATTTGTAATGTTCAATATCGCGTCGGAATGTGATGCCAATTCTCGAAATTTCTTGATACGCAAATCTTGTCCTATTCCCAAATTGGTTTAGTTCATTCTGAGTTCCAACACTAAGAGAATTTTTCGCGACGCTGCCGCGTGTGGTCGTAGGGAGTGTAGGGCGGCAGATCGCCTCTACCAGGCGATTAGTGTTGCTTTTTGTTGTAGTAATCTCTCGAGAGGCCTGAGAGACTTCTTTCTGCGTCTTTTCAACATTCAATTCAACGCGCGCGAGGCGCTGCGCCAACTGTTCATTCGAATGTGTCCTTCACCCGTCGAGCTAGGTGTAAGAACGCGTCAACCACGGCCGTTGATATTTCACGTGGCATGCCAATCTCCAGTAATTCTTGATGTTTTCTCAAGGCCTCGAGGTCTTTGATAGCCGCTGCTGCATATGCGCGTATATCGGGGTCATCTGCAAACCGTGGTTCAGGCCACGGAGTGCCCTTTTTTCCTCTTTTCGGGCCCATGACTCAACCACTTCGATTGAGCTGGCGAAAGCCGGTAAACAGGCTGTCAAGGAGGTCTATTTCCACAGAGATTCTTTCCCGCAGTACTTTTTACCTGCGTAGGTGCGTTTTCATAGGTGCGCGAGGTTTTTTGGTATTCACGCTCTTCTGGTGTGCCTGGAAATCGGATTCCTCTGAATTTCTGATACCGCAGTCATGAGCTCACCGTCCTTTCCCCAACTGCAAAGAGCCGAGATTGAGTGAAACTATGGTCGGAGCACTGTCAACTTAGTTTCCAATTCCCAGCAATGCGTTATTTTTGCCATTGGGCGAGCGGAGGAACAGGAATGATGATGTTTCTGCTCCTGCGTTGATAAAGAACCCCCAGAAGAGACCGGCGCATCGTCATTGGCCTCTAGAACAGCTCATTTGTTATGCAATGTAGTCATCTTCGTGATCGTCTCCATGTACGCGCTCAAATATCAAGGGGCTATGCAAAATAGCTTCACGCCCGAACCAAGTATTACCAGGATTATGCAATCCCGTTCGCCCCCATCACCAGCTCAGCCTCCTGCTCGCTGCACCAACACATTTTCCCTGTCTAATTAGGCATGTATGACTGGCGATACTTCGAACACGCAGGTCTCAATTTTGGTACAAGCCAGACCGGCCCAATGGAGCACTTAGCCCACAATTCAATCAACAAGTAGGTTTCTTCCACGTCAGCACCACGTCGTAATCGCTGAGACCGATCAACAGAGAAGGTGACATCCTCCACTTGGAGTATCTAGCCGGGCTGGCTGAAAGTGGGGAGTCTAGACGGTGGTCATGAGACAAGGCAGAATCCGGCCAAGACCGGATTATCAACAACTGCACGATCAACGAGGTGTTGGCATAGAAAGAAGAAACAAGGTAAAAACACGGTTGAGTCGCGAAGAAAAGCACAGTTCGATACTGAGCGTTATCATCATTCTATGAGCTGACTGTAACAGTGAGCGCTCTGCGAGAAACACGGCTGAGATCAGACGAGACCTACGAGAAGGCATGGATTCCAGGTATCTAGTCCAGCTGAAAAATCATAAAACAAAGGCATTGCATGAAAAAGCGGGTTGATGAGAGCGGAGCTGCCAATCAGTTGTCATATTGCAGACCAGGGTTGTGCGGTGGCGGATGGCGCGGCGCAGCCGAAAATTGCAGATGAGACAGAAGGATTGCACCGCGAGCAAGAGAAAAAGAGGAGATGAAAGAGTCGAGTAAAAACAGCGAGGGAATGCTCGTATTTATAGATGCTGGCGTTCGGGCGGCCGCTAAACCGCAACAGACTGCACCAAACCTAGAACGGACGACACTAAACGGGAAGCGGAAAACGGCCCCGCTTGCACCAGGACGAATTTTATTTTATAGTATTATATATAGTTTCTAATAAAGATTTTAAATATCTTATTGATAAGATAATATATATTAACGTTGCGTTGTTATTCATAAAAATTAGATATTGAGATTTGTTAGCGATCGCATACAAAATTCAACTTGGCCCTTGAGCCCGGGCCGACCACCACCTGGAGGGTGGGAGGCGACGCGACAGGTAGCATTAAGGCTTGGAGAGACGTCGATAAGATAAGCTTACCGATAAGCGTCGGGCATTTACGATTTGACCCCGCACAGTCATACGAGCAATTCTCTTTCTCCAATCTTGACACTGATAGGAACTTTGCAAGGAAGGCAGCTTAGGAAACCCTGTTGACATGCCAGGGACTATCGTCAATGAGCAGGGGCTTACTCCTGAACAGCTCGAATTCTTCAATGAGAATGGCTTTCTAGTCATCCCACAGTACCTATCTCCAGAAGAGATTCAGTCGCTCCTCACAACCACCAATGATCTACTGGAGAACTTTGAACTCTCGACTCACCCAATGACTCGCTTCACAACCGGTGACGATGGGGAAGCCGAAGGCGATGAAAAGGCCAAACACGTTGGAGACAATTACTTTCTCTCCTCCGGCGACAAGATCCATTTCTTTTTCGAGCCTGACGCAGTTGCGCCACCTGATGACACCGCACAAGATAAGACGCCCAAGTTATTGAAACCGAAGCATCTTGCAATCAACAAGATTGGTCATGCTTTACATAGCAAATCGCCACCATTTCAGAAGATTACAATCTCCAAACGAAATGCGGCTATCGCACAGTCACTGGGTTTCAAGGATCCGAGATGCCTGCAGAGCATGGTGATCTGCAAGCAGCCCAGCATCGGTGGGCCGGTACCGGCACATCGGGACTCTGAATTCTTATATACCTCACCTCCGTCTGCAGTTGGGTATTGGGTTGCGCTTCAAGACGCGACACCCGGAAATGCATCCTTGGGTATGTGGAAAGGCTCACATAAGGGGAATAAAGGTGGTCATATCCGTCGGCGATTTGTTCGCGCTCCAGAAGGCGGTACAACATTTGTGACCAATGATGGACCAAGTCTACCACTAGGCAAGGAAGAGGAGGCATCGGGACAGGAAGAAGATAAGGACTTTGAAATTCTGGATGTCAAAGCTGGAGATTTGGTGCTTATTCATGGTAATGTGTTGCACAAGAGTGAGAAGAATACGAGTGATAGGAGTCGATATGCCTATACCTTTCATGTCATTGAAGGGGCTGAGGGATGGATTTACGACGAGCGAAACTGGTTACAGCCGCCGAAGGAAGGCTTTTCACGGTTGAATGATGCTTTGTAAAAATTAATATGCTTGACAAACATACTACGTATAAAGGCATCGTCCACGTTCAGTTTCTTAGTGATAGTATAAGATTTGATCCGCTGCAATTATCACATAGCTCGAATGAATGCAGACGTCACTGCAATGCTCGTTAACCTGGTCTGTATCCACATAGCTCGCAAACATCGAATGCCAGGTCCAAAGAAGTGCGTCATAGAGGCGATCCACAGACAGAACTAGCATGGACGTGAGGTACACAAACGAACGCATAAAAGAGTGACTCAAGTGGGACAACAATCGAGAAACTAGGGACGCTCGAACACGAAACAAGACAGAACGCGAAGAGAAAAGACACTGACTAATCAAACAAAATGCATAACAGCAAATGCATACATGAAATCAAACTATTCCTCCGGATGATACGTCTTCCCCGTCACTGGATCAACAGCTCCTTCATCAAAGTCGGATCTATGATGCGCCTCTTGACTTCCCACAACATCATCAGCCGGTGAATTTGTAGCCGCAACGTTTGAATCCTGCGGCCTGAAATTTGACAGGGAAGTATCCTGTAACGAGTACAGATTCTGATTATTGCTCGTATCTACCGAACCTGCACCGGTCGATGTTAAATCGTAGTTAAAATCCTGGTCTGTCATATCTTGAATAATTCGTCGGGAGCCACCGCCTCCACTGGAATCTATGCCGGCTCCTGTGCCGGATTTCGAAGATACGAGTTCCTGGCCCGTTCGATCGAAGCAGCGTTCCTCATAGGTGGCGGGTTCACCGAGATCTTGGTGCGCAGTGCGTACAACGGTGTTCCCAGATGGGTCAGTGTGGGAGGCGGTTGTGTAACGATGGCCGGTAGTTTCTTTGCCGGTTGTGGTCGTTTTGGCTGAGCTGTAGTAGTATGAGGTGGTTGTGTTGTCGTCGGACATGTTCGCCTGACTCTTTTGTAATAGAACTTTTGTGTCGATGGTGACGAAAGAGTAACTTATGTGAGATCCGAAGAAAAACGAGTTTCAAAAGACGATTAAGACTTGATGCTTCATAAAACCCAATACGGTATGCAAGAAACTGGATTGAAAAGATGACTGAACATTAAAACAAAATTACAATGCTGACACCTTGAGTATGGAGAGGCAGCCTTCCTTTATAAGCCTACTTCAGATATCTAGATACATACATGGCATTCGGGTTGTGGCAACGAATTCCGGAACCATGCATGTAAAAAAGCTCAACCTTAACCTAAATCTAAGGGACGTAGTCAAAATAAGTTTAAAATGACATCAAGTATCCCGAATATCTCCTGACAAGGAAACTACACCTCGCCCCTTAGATCATCGATCCCAGGAAGTGAAAAATACTTCGAATTTGAATCGACATGGTTTGTTGAAGTCTAGGTTGAAAGTGGATACATGACTCGGGAAGAACCTAACCTTTGACCCTCTTGATTTGGATGTTGAAGCTCCTGATTATGGTAGGCCTTAGTAAGTTGAGCGGAGGTGTATTCCGCGCCTGTCGAAGGAGGGTTGCAATGTCATAGGTACAAGTGCTTGCTCCATAATTCAAATATATCAAAGAATTTGAGAGGCAAATTCTCAATCCATAAGAAGTATTCCATGGAATGAGTGTGTTGGTTCAAGTATAGAGATAGGAACGTATCTATTTACTGGCCGATGATTTCACGCCACTATCGAATCTTTGCCTTTGCCGTCATTAACCATATCCATAGAAAGCTGAACCATGTTATATGCTGGAACTAAATTATGATAGAGGCTGGTAAGCTACAGAACCCAATGGCTTAATCGCGTCTTGAACTTTATAGATAACGATATAGGAAGTCCAAATTCGTCGAGTTCAGTGCATCCAGACGTGGCGTACAAGAGCCAAAGTTCCGCGCAAATTCTTCGTCGAATAGATACGGCTCTGATAAGTCAATATCAACTTCGTTGCTGGGAAGAGATAATGGCGTCATCTCAGTCAGGTTTTGTGGCTGTTCTTCGTTGAGGGTTTCCTCTTGTTGTTGCGCTTCCTGCTGTTGCGCTGATGATAGTGAAGGTAGTTGATTTTGTGGGAATTCTTCCACAGAGATGACGCTCGAAAAAATGGATTTCGTGGAGCTTGGAAATAACTGCATATTGTGTGGAACCTCCCTGGATGGGCTTATGTTGCCCGCTGTTATTGCATCAACGTTCCCACTGCCACCATTCATGCTCGTGCTGGCCACGCCGGCCTTATTGTTGTTGTTCTTCTCTTCTGATATCTTCAGATACTCCGCCGTACTCTCATCTAGACAGTGAAAGAATATTTCCAAGACCCAATAATTCAAATCCCAGGATTTCTGTAGCTCCTTCAACCCGAGTAAGCAAAGCTTCGCTCGATGTTCGGCGAGTTTCCGTTCTGTGTTTTCTGAGCGCGAGAAGTGCACAGTGTGAATACAAAGAGTAGCAAATATGTTTGTAATTCTGTAATGTAAAAAGGAAAGTTAGAATCCAGCTAATTTCTGAAGCTTTGGCCATGGAATATAGACTTACAAGTGGATGATACCATGCTCAATCAAGTTGTGAGATAGCATGTCCTCAAGGATTCGCGTACATCGACAGGCTGCTTGAAGAGCCAACATTCCTTCCTTTTGATTCTTTTCATCAGATGGATCGAGGTATGACGGCCGGTATAGAAGTATATAAAGATAACTATGATAATTCTTGGTCAGTTTCGTACCAGCATATCGGAGCCGCATGCAGTAACTCACTGGTAAGTAATGTTGACAATTCCCGCAAAGTACATCGTACCATGCTCCAGTGCTTGAGAAAGCTTAAGTTCTGGTGGTAGTTCGGATTCGAATTGCAGCAACCGACCTTTCAATTTCTCGCGGTCACTAGGGTCGTATCGAAGTCTGCCCGGGAGATATGCCGCCCAGACCACTTCACGAACTACAAGCACTCAGTCATGAGAATGTAACCACAGTTCAGAAATAGCGGATAGATATACGCAGCCTAGATGCCCTTGCCATCTGTATCATGTATGAAATATGTTCCGGTCGTTGTATACCGAATACAGCCGTATTTCCCACGAAACCCGACTCATCGAAATCCTCCTCATCCAGCATCGAGATATCGCAATCTTCATCTCGAATCCGAGGTGGCAGCCCGTAAGCAGCGGCGACTTGTTGATCACGTATCTTTGAAAACGGGTCAATAGCCAAATAACAAGTTACTCGTGTTACGTAACGTACATATAGGGACCAGAATATGCGTTTTCTGACTCTCTTCTCCTTGGGTTTCAAAAGAGATAATTTGGATCTGTGAAGCTAAGTCAGATAAATTGAGATAACGACTAGCCTTCAGACTTACAGCATATGCAGACCTCCCGTCTGAGCAAGACTGATAGCAGCGCCCAACCAATACCGGGTATCTTTCTCGTGGCCAGGGGTACTACGCCAGAAGCTCAACAGAAACAACGCCTGCAGCTTTGAAAGCGAATCCGTCTCGCAATCAGCATCAAATATCTCCTTCCCCCTATCATAAAAATGGAACTTGGTCTCATAACGATCACTAAATCCAGATGCTCGAAGTACTTCATCGCTACAGAGGCTAGCACCAATGAACAGCATTGATTGCAGCAACAACGGGGAGATGGTGTTATCGTTACACGACTTGCTAATCTCCACTCTGTCGACAATCGGGAAGCAAGGATGAAACCATTCGAAGTAAGCCTTAAGGAGCATCTCACAAACAGCTGGCTCCGGGAAGTCGAATATGCCTTCACGAGTCAACTGCTCAATTTTGCGTGCTTTTCGACTAGCAAAGAGTGAAAAACTGACTGATCTTCGGCACACGACCTCGGGAATGGGATATTGCCATCTTATTTTATTTGACGGGGTTGCTGAGTCACCACCTTCGAGTGGGTTGTTACCTTCTTCGACGACACAAGTCAGGGGACTAGATTCGCCGAAGAAGATAGTTTGATCGAGTTCGCTCTTAATCCGGGGATGCGACGGCTCAAACGTCATACTGTTGAGGTGCACGCTATTGTCGGGAGAGAGTATATCTCCCTGAATTCTTGGTCGGTTTACTATGTTCTTGACTCCTTCTCCAGCTTGTGGGCTTGTATGCAGAGTACTGGGATGAGGGCTGACAATATATCGGGGATATCTGCAAACGAGGTCAGTTCATGCCACTTGAAGTTCGCATCCATGATTGACTTGGTCGAGCATACTTTCCTCTCCTCGAAACTCCAATCTCACAATGCGCACCCGAGGCTCTGCAATTATCGCAGGGCTGTTTCTCGACAACATTACATTTCACTCGGCGAGCGTTGCAAGTGATACAGGCCCTTTTTGCGCGAGTTCTCACAGTCCGCTGTACTTGAGACTTTGGACTCATGGTTGCTGCCTTGGACAATGACTGAATATGATATTAGTTTATCTCCAAAATCAAGTCATCTGAAAGCAGTTTTTGATTCGTCATTTGATGTCTTGACTAATCCTCCCGAAGCACATGCATGTATGCTCGAGAGCATGTGTGACGTTGAAAAAATTCACACCAGTGACACAAACGACATTTGTCACCACGAGTCTTATCAGAAGATAGAAATATTGTAAAAGGGAAGTTAAAAAGAAAGACACGAGAAAAAGGGATCTGGGGCAAGCTACTTGCCAGTGATCTCAAGCAGGTTTCGGCTATCATGTAACCGATACGCATGTTTGACGTAATCTTTGATAGATATCTTAGTATTATTTTAAAATACAGGTAATCTCAGAACACATATAGACCTGACTGGCGAACTCCGGGTACATTTGATATATGTCAAACGCAGATAAATACACGAAGGTTTGATCTTACGGCGCTCAGTGTCAAGTTGTATTGAAAGAAATTGAATTTACTTATTCAACGATCATCAAATTTCTATACATATAACACCCGCATGCAGTCATGCCAATCTAACTCCATTCCATGAGGGTATCCAAACTTTTCTTTTGTAGTTTTTCTTCTCAGAACAATATCATCAAGCAACTTTGAGCATATCTAACATGCCTTTCGTTTGCCATGCCTGTTGCGCTCGGTCAACCTCTTCTCGCACTCGCTTGTGAAGTTTAATAACTTGCGCATCCACATCTGCTGATTGACCGAGATTACCGGAGTAGATATCGAGTATGTTCATCCCAACTTCAGCGCAGATATTGACAAGTCGTGGTTCCATGATATACTTATAAACCCATTTTAAGATGGGTTGGAGAGTCACCTCATCACGATTCATCAATGCAGTTCTTAAAGCCGAACGATGTCGCAGCGCTGTTATGAGTGTTAGTTGTGCGGTCTTGTCGGTAGCGGCTAATACTCGATCTAGAGCTTCAGAGTAATGAGCATGACGAAGAGCGGACTCCCAGTCGGATTCCTTCTTTCTCTTCTTGGTATCTTGTCCTTGGATGATGATATCAACTCCCTCGCCGAGGAAGTCTTGACCGCGTGTGCGCTTGTCGAAGCCTCGTCCACGAGCTTTCCTTGCCTCCTTTTTATCGTATTCTTCAATTCGACCTTCCAACAAAGCTTGCATTTCTTTCTGACGTTCTCGCTCTCGAATCTTTTGCTCACCCGAGAGCCGGGTCTTGATTGAGAGAAGGCCGGATTGCATACCAACAGCGATATGCTTATCTTCCCTTTCAGGGCCGGATGTGAGAACACGCAATGAAAGAATAGGTGATGGATACTTCGATCCAGCCACGACTGACCATCCCGTCGTATCGAACACCTTCAAGTGACCATCTAAAGCTCCACTGACCACACGATCACCCTTCGATGCCAGGGAAAGTGATGTAACTGTCTTCTGGTGACTCTTAATCATATGTAAAGGCTTGCCACCCACCACATCCAAGACTGCAATCTGGTTATCTGCAGAAGCCAGCACTGTCGTACCGGAAGGCATTGGTAGAACGCTCTCAATTGCAGCACTCATCTGGAAAGTCATCACAGCGCGACCGTCGACACGTGGATCCCATAGTCTCACTGTTTTATCATAACTTCCCGATACAACCATGCTGGCAGAAGCCATGGAGCCCGGAAGGAAGGCACCGCTTCGGACATAATCTGTATGTCCCGTAAATGTTCGCTCACTATTTTCACTTGGTAAACTCCATAGTCGAACTGTACGGTCGTCACTTGTGCTGAGAAGTGTGGTCGGGTCGCTAGGAGAAAATTTTGTAACCCACACGGGCTGTTTGTGATCTTTCCATGTTTTCAAGATAGCACGAGAATTCACGTCAAAGACTTGTATAGTACCGGTGTCATCGCCAACTGTAATGATACGTCCATCAGGTCGAATATCGGTACCCCGTGCTGTGTCATCAAATCGGGTAATCGTTTTTAGGAGCTTCCGAGTCCGAACAGAGTAGATTTGAACTCGCGCACCGGTTGTGACAGTGAAGACATCCGGGGGTTGGGCGGCAGAAGGATATGCAGATAGCGAGGATGGGGCGGAGGGTTGTGTAATGAGATTGATCGGGTTGTTAGATGGCGAGGAGACTAGAAGGGGGTTTTTGAACGATCTCCAGTATAGTTGTTCGGTCGTTAATTTTGTCGATGGCAGCTGCGGGAGCTTGACTTGAGGGAGAGCGAGGACTGGCGCAGCCATTGCGGCCAGTAAGCGGGCAACTGGTTCTCAAATGGTCGTTGTGTGATAATATGAGTATAGAACCGTTAAGGTTATTGCCGGAAAGATCTGATGTATAGAGTGGTGATACCTATGTTGAGACGCATCGATTGATTTCTGAATTTTTCCGGAGTCTCCAAGAAAATGAGAAAATAAATTACAGTGTACCGTAATACACGGTACGTAACGACAGAAGTGGATATTTAGTGCCTATCGTGATTTTGACCAACCAAAACTCTTTTTCATACCTTAGAGCGGTATGCCGCGTAATCCGTACATTTGAGATGGAATTGCTAGAACGATGACCTGAAACGGTAGAATTGTTCTTTATCTTCTTAGATAGAACCGATGAGTCTATTCTAGGAAGGATGTGACTACTGAACGAATTATTGGGCCATGGAAGCTTAGACAAACTGATGCTAGTAGTCAGCTAAGTTGAGTTAGATGATCTCGGCCTCATTATGCGCGACGATTATTAATAACTTAGGTCGTTAAACAGCGAAGAAATTTCTGGCCCAACAGATAGCTTCCAACCAAGGCATGTTGTTGTAAAGAATTGCGATACCGATATTGATTTATTTTGAAGAAGCGTCACTTTCATTAGATCATTTGTAATCAGGTGGTTCACTTATTCAGCAAGGAATGCCAGTTGAATGACCTCGGCGTTCGGGTAGCGATGCACTGTGAATTGTCTTCGCTATAAAGAATGAGGCAGTATGGATCATTGCATGTTATCCTTCAGACTCAGGCCCATATCACCAACGTCTGCCATATAGACGTCCTAAATTGAAGAAATCGATATATAAATTGTAAGCGACCGTACTGTCAGATTAGCCCTTACGAATTTAGCAACGTTTTGGTCTAACGATATTGACATCAGGTACCAGACATTCACTGATTACAATGACAACTCAAGACCATCATCGTGAGGCCATAGCATGGCTCGAGGATTTCCACAAACACACGGACTCAATGGACCCCAACCTTGCCATCCCCAAATTCTACGCAGATGACTGCGTATTTACCTTTGCTGCAAATCCGTCAGTCACCGGACAATCCAATATCATTGAGTTTTTCAGCACCCAGTTCCCGTATCTGGAGAGTATGCACCACACAATTAGGCATGTAGATGTCCTGCCGGATCGGATCTATCAGGAAGCCGAAATCCGGTATGTGGTGAAAGGAGATCCCGAAAGAAAGGATATTGTAGTCAATGGCATGGCAGTCATTGGGAAAAGGCCCGAAGATGAGAAGATGACTTTCTTCACGGTGTATCTGGATCCAACGGAGTTGAAGGAGAGGATCAACGCCGTTGCGAAGGGATCCATTTGAATGTTCTAGTTGGCTTTTTTCATCCTTTTCCGTCGTGGAGCGGGAGTTGAGAGGGTCGGCGACAAATTGTTCTTAGCTGCATTTAGGATTTTCATCTTGTCATTTTCGAACTCCGTACCGTGTACAGAGTAGCTAGCTCAGAGGATCAAAGCTTAAATGACCGCTCTTCCAGCCACATCCAATCCGAATCACTGATACATGACTTTCTAGACAAGCTGCAGAAAGTAGCGGTGGTATGCACAATCGCTTTACCTAGATACTCGATTGAGTAATAGATCTTCGGATTAGGCTGCAAAGTTATGGAGGAGGTTTTGATGGAGATAGTGTACTCCGTAGTGAAGCAAACTAAGGCAAGCCGGGATGAGCTTACATTGTGGTTGTTGCAGTATCAGCCAGTTTTTGGCGGATAAGGTACCCCTTACTCACAAAGGTGCGTTGTAGGACAAGAATTTTCCGTAAGGAAACCCCTGCATAAACCTTCTTGAAATGGAGGAGTTGTTCGCTGATGGGGACAAAACCACCAAGAAAACAGTATTACATAATCCATATATATCACGTGCGGTAAGATGTGGCTGGGCGAATCAAAGAGCATGGCGGTGCAGGGGTCCGGCGGCTATTGGCCAATGGGACGTAAGAAACGAGCATGAAGCTTGGAAGAACCCATACATTATACTCGATCTGGTATAGGGTTGTGTCCTGCCACCGCATGACGCAGCGGGCATTCCCAGCCTCCCCGCCCTTTGGCCATTCCCCATTAGGCCAGAACAAAACAAGCCTCCACCTGAGAGAGCTGCGCCTGTTTCCAGGCTTACCATTTTCTTTCCTTTCTGCATTTTTGTTATCTCTTGTGAATCTCTGCCATCGCTGATCTGTTGTGCCCAGCTATTACTGCTGATCAACTGGGCAATCCTTCAAACCACCATTGATTTACAGAATGCGCAGCATCAAGATCAGCATCTAGATTTCAATCACATCATACGAAACCACTTTCTCAGCAGAGAAGAGAAAGACAGTTCGATTAGAGGCTCTTGCGTTTCTCAGACGTAATGGCGCAAAAGCAGGTCAAATTACCCTCTGCCCATGGGCACACAGCTGGGATATTTGCGGACATGTCCGTTGATGGTCCCCAAATCGGCACGTTGGTGGTCATCTTTGACCGAGCGAAGAATCTTCCAAATCGAAAGACTATAGGCAAACAGAACCCATACGTTGCTGCACGCTTGGGAAAGGAAGCAAAAAAGACAGACACTGACATGAGAGGCGGCCAAACTCCACGATGGTAAGGATATCAACTATGTGTAGAATCCAGTCGAAGCAGAGAGCACTGACACCAAACCAGGGACCAAGAAATCCGGTATACCGTTCACGAATCTCCAGACTACCTTCAATTAAAAGTATCTGTCTTTAACGATGACAAGAAGACAGACCTAATTGGAGAGACGTGGGTGGATCTTAGCTCGGTTATCATCCCTGGCGGAGGGCAGAGCGATTCGTGGCACGAACTACGGTTCAAAAATAAATATGCAGGTGATATTAGACTCGAGATGACATACTATGATACGCGTCCGGAAGATGAAGCCGTCATTGAGAGAAGGACTGTGGTGGCAGAGAAGCCGCAGACGAGGTCTAGCCACAATGCTGCCAATACTGCGCCTACTAGTTCGTCATCACTCTCGGGACCGCGACAACCACGACCTATCAAACGACGGCCCCTACCGGATGACCCTACTGGGGCTTCTTCATCGCGAGCACCTCCTGCTGCCCCTGCGAACCCTGTGGCTTCTGCGGCTACTATGGCTCCTGTGGCTCCCGTGACTCCTGTGGCTCCTGTGGCTCCTGCGGCCCCTGTTGCCTCGATAGCTCCTGCAGCGCCTATTCAAGATTTCCCAGCACCAGTGCTCTCCAATACCCAGCCCCTTCATCCGAGCCCAGATCATGCTCCGGTTCCAAACTCTCATCGACAGAGTGATGCTCGACCATCCTCAAGACACGCCGACATACCGTTACCTCGAGCATCTCAGATCAATCAGTATGATTGTAACATCTCTAAGGGAAATAATGTCGATCCTGTCGATCAGCGGGGTGACCCATACAATGCTCAAGCTCGCCCTTACCATGACCCTAATGATGACTATTATGGAGAACCTCAACGTCAAATGCATCCTCCTATTACAGAAAACTATGGTAACCCCTACGAGCCCAATGTCTATCAGGCGAGAAGCTCTCATGAAGGTGTTGAGCCGTACTCTCTATATTCAAACCAGCCGCGTCCCTCTTATCCCGACGACACCCATTACAGTGCGGAACCTACACCCTACGTACCAAACAGACACCCTTCTCAGGCGCCATCTCAGGAATATGCTAAGAACACCCAAGGTGATCCCTCGTACCCTGAAGAAGGTAGCCATTATCGATATAATAACGCACTGATTCAGTCGGACCCTCGCCGACAGAGTCCTTTGCGTCAACTCATGGCACCAGAAGATGATCGGTTTGCATACGCTTCTATGCAGCCAACTGTGGAAGATGAGAACGATGAGGGTCTGCCACCCCCGCCTCCTGTTCACAGAACGACTGTAAACACCAACGTTCGCCCTTCATCATCATCGGGTCCTCCTGGTTACAAACCTTACTCTCCACAAGAGTATACGCCTCCTCAACCTGATGTGCGTGATTCACATAGGTCTACAGTTGTATCACCGGCGGAACAAGATCTCGCGATTTCAATGTCAAGGCCCTCTCAAGCCCCATCGAGATCTTTCTACGCCGAACCATCAAGCCCGGCGGTTCCTCCGAGCCTTGCTGCTGGCTATAACGTGACCAATGAACCAGTGAACAATCAACATGCACAAGCACCCGAACGCCAATATGACCACTTTCCTACTAATATGCCTTCACGGGAAGTTGCGACCCGTGTATCAAACGTACCCCAACAGCCCCCAATTTCTGCCATCCAACCATTACGTTCTTCTCCAGCACCGACAATGGATAGGGCTAGATCAATCAGCCCGAACCCACGTCCATTATCCTACAGAAAGTCTGTAAGCCCTCGTCCACCATCAAGGGATGAACGCGACGTGTCTAGCGTGCCCTTTTCTCCGGACTCGTTTGATACCTACAACCCGAGACGGTCACCATCTGCTACTCGAGAGAATGGATCGCTGTATGCAACGCGCGATCGGAACGTCGCAAGTGGTCAACCGCCCAAGGCAGACACAGATGACAGTCCTATTATCGGTGATGACGGACGAATCATTGATCCTTCAGATCATCTACCATCGGAGAGCTGGGCTCCTGAACCAGAGAAAAGAAACAAAAAGCCCGAAGTCATTATTCGCTTTAAACATAACCCACAACATTCCTCGCACGCTGCACGCTCATCGCCACGGGAGCAACAGCATCATTCTGCTCCAACGACTCCAGATGCTGTTATTCGGAGCACAGCTAGACCTCGCAGCACTTACGTGTTACAACAACCGCGGCAGTCCTATGAACGCCATCAACGCACGGCGACAACAACTACGTACACCCCACCTCGGCCGTCCACTCGGGACTATGACAGGCATGATACGTATGCACAGCCACAACAATATCACGCACCATCACCGGCAGCGTATAGTACTCCACCGCGTCGGAGATCAATCTCCCCCAATCCCCAGCCACGTTCTTCGCCGCTTTACTCCTACGGCGATAGCGGACCCCCTATTCCCGCTAAGGTTCCTATTGCGGCTCCTGTCTCTAGTGGATACATGGGTGGCGGGATGGACGCATTGAGTCAGGAGATGCAATCGATTGATATTGGTCCAGGAGGATATGACAGCAGTCGCAGTGTTAGGAGATATGCACCTCGCGTTTCAGTTACTGGGGGGCCTGGCTATCGATGAACTATCACGGTGAATTATGATCGTGGTCGGTTATGTCACTAAAAAATTCAAGGGGTGTTTGAAATTAAACCTCGAGAAGAGCATTATTGGCTGTGGCCGATTTCGGGCGTTACCAAATTGGATTGGGTTAGGTAATTTTCTTTTACATTTTGCACGACTTGATTGGTTTTGTTTTATTCTGCTTGTACTCAATTTTGCCATAGTCTGTACTGATAGATGATGATAAACGCATTGAATCAATTCAAATATGACTCGTAATGATCACAGTTAATTCTTATTCGCATACGGAGTACAGAATACGTACATATAAACTTCGGCTATCATAGGATCTAGGCTGCATGGTAATGCATGCATGTACATAAGTGGGTCCATTCTGCAGCCCTACAGAGCTAAAAAGCGGTTAGTAGCATTACACACGGTCTGTGCGTAAGCTTGCCCTAACATCGTTGTTCTACGACGTCTGCTCTAGATGAATAACTCGACGGCTGGTCACTCGAAGAGCATATTGGATGGATTATTCCTAATACTTGCCGGAGTCTGCATTCACCTTCTAGCATATATTGCCTATTAAGTGATATTTTGCTGGATCTCTCCTACAAATGCTTGCACTTTTTGCCAGACAGTCGACGTGGCCGCGTAAAAGAATACACCAACGTCGTAATACCATTATTATTATGCCAAGGTGTGGATTTTTGATTTGCTTTGTTCCTGATACAAGAAGCTTATTTGCCACTGGTTTTTGATTCATAGACCACGTGTGTACGTATATGACTCAGTACGCATCCCCTGATAATCATTCTTCCCCCCTGGATATCTGTCATCCCTATGCAACCTGAGGCACGGTTAGATTTACATGTCTAATCAACTTAAAATAATTATTTATCTGTTACAGTTCCCCGAGGTCCCCGAAATTGATGAGATCGACTTTTCAGACTGTGAGGAATCTGAATTATCATCGGGATCATTGAGGTCCCCGAACTTCTGGTCTATTCTTCAGCTGGTAACAGTGAGATCAGAATAATTGCGCTCAATAACTAACTAGTTGATACGAGTCATTACAAAGCCTGGGCTTTTAATCATGGTTCAACTGTTTCAGGGGTGGACATTTCCGACATTCTGTGCTTGTACACTCAAGGCTCTGATATCGTCATCGTTTTCAAGGAGAGGCATCAAATTGCGCTGCTGCAGATACGAAGCTCGAAATAGAGACACCTTACCTGGAAGGGTAAACGCCAGCAGGTTAAAGTTGGTTTTTGTCATTCAAGCTAAGATTGAGAAACAAAGACGGTATACCCATATGAGACCAAAAGTGGATTACCGACGAGACGTGACGTTCGATATTGCGGGGTTAATCCGTGAAAAATCCAGTTCTAGTACTCTATTTCACGGCGAAGTAAAACTGGTTTCGGTACGATTACCCTGATAGGGAGATTTTCTTTATCACTGCAGTTCCGTTCGCGTAACCAACTGTAAGAATCTATCAAGTCACTGTTCAACATGTCCACCTTTTTGAGATTGATTCAGGAGTACCGGTGCCAAAAATTCATATGACAATAGCCTCTGCCTCCAAAATACTGTCTTTGATACACAAACTGCCGGAATGGCACTGTGGATCCAATCAGTACTGGAACATTTGCGGAGTATGCTTGTCGGACACCGCTCCTTTGTCCTACAAATTCGATAGAAGAATGCGGATGAGTCCGTCTCAATTGAGACAAAAATCTCTTAATAGGATTTCTATATCATGGTCGGGTAATTTTACGCCTTGAAGTGGTGAGTATCGTGCTGTTCCCATGGTATCTTGGCCCCCTCAAGGCGTCTGGTAAACCCAGGGAAACGATAGAAATATAATACACATTCGTCGTAGATATTCCAATGGATCCCTAATTACCGTATTTGTTTAAAATTGCCCGGTGTAGAATCGCGTAGTGTTTGATGTCGGACTCGTTCTTGAATTTTCTACCTACAATTGTTCTTCTTGCAGGTATAAAGCCTCCAATATCCTGGTAATCTCACCTTCTTCTCCTTCTCCTTCTTCTCCTTCTTCTTTTCTTCTTCTTCTTCTTTACTCACTCATTCTTCCAAGTCTGAAAAGCTGGGACAGTCTCAGAGAAAGTGCATCGTCTCTGCTATTCTTACTGTGTAGTACAGTAACCGCATATGCTGCTTACTTGACTATTGACCTTCATCTGACACAGGCGTCCGGCCACCGCTCGACTTTCCCCATCCCTTCGTCCCGCTGAGTCAGAGCATTATTGCCATTTTTGTGACAAGGGAAAAGTACAAAGAAGAGTCATAATTACTTCTGTGCCTCCTCTCCTTCCCCCCATGGACCTTGGTCCGTCCATCTTAAATAAGACCAACTTTCCTTCTGTTGTTGAAAACCGTCCTAGGACTCACGATAGTTCTGCTATTGACGAGGCCGTTTTGTCTCGTTTTTCCCATTTTCCCCATTTTCATGTGCATACTGATTCAACGTCATCCACATCGACGTTGTCACCTACATTCACTCCGTCCTCCTCATCCTCACCATCTCTATCCGCAACTCCTCTAATGTCGTCAGATTTTACGAGTGCTGCTGATAAAGAAGAGTCGAGGATCGAGAAACCTGTTACGGTTCGTGCTCCCGATGAGTACCCCCATAGTCATCACAGAGTTATGGCGATGGCCGACTTGGTTTCTGATCCTTCGTACTCTGTACAGTCTACCTACTATCAGACTTATCATCAACAGCCTTCCGCCCATCTATACACAGATCCATCTGGACGTCCGTACTGGCAACACCCTCTGTTGACCCCAATGACTTCCACTTCACCTCAAGACTACGGTCGACACAATGACTCCAATCCATCTGTATCTGCTGGCGTGGAAGAGTCTTCAGTCCGTGGCAATGAGAACGTGTATAATGAAGATGTGACCGAAAAAGACGAGACTCATAACGGCAATGATCGTGATGAGTACGGCTCATCACCTACAAATGGTGGTAACAAGAAGGGTAAGACTCAAAAGAAGGGAACCGAGCCCGACACAGAGGATAAGGCAGAGCCCCAACAGCCCAAACTTATCCATATGTGTCAATACACGAATCCTGAAAGCAACATCTGGGAAACATGCACTGTGAACCCCGACCCTCAAGAGAACCACGCTCGCAAAGTCGTGTCACACATCTTTGGACGTAATAAGAAGCCTACGCAGAACATCCCAGATGAGTTGTGGATTTGGTACTGCCGCAAGCACTACCAGCGTTGCAAGTATACCTACTCTGAACAGTGGCCTCAAAAGCAGGTCGATCTTGTGCGACTTGCACTGAACAATTTTGAGCACTGGGGAGAAATCCTCTACTGGAATGTTGTGCTACGCAAGCGTGAACAGGATCGTCAAGCACGCTTTCGTCGTGGTGCTAGCGTGAAGGAAGACAATAGCGATGACTTATTTTCATTTGGAACATCCTCGCATCGTCATACCTCGAGAATAGCTCGCAACTGGGGTGATAAGGTTCCACGATCGCACAAGGCGCGCGTCACTGCTGCTGCTACGGCTGGTCGAGCACTGAGCCCTGATTCTATGTCTAGCTCACGCAACGTAAACACAAGGCTCACCCCTACAGGTCGTCGAAAGGCATCGCCAAAGAATGTTCCCTGTCCGGTACCAGAGTTTGTCTATCCATACCTAGGTGAAGGTAGGAGCTTTGCCGACGTACGAGATTTGATCGATCGGATTGAGTCTTATGTCCAGGGTAGAGACAAAACCCCTGAGGAGTTAGCACGTGAGATAGAGGAGGAAGAGCTGTATGGGAGGGCTCCAGAAGTTAGGCGATTCCCAGATATTGAGATTCTGCCTGTATTCACACCGCAATACCAGCGTGTTATAGACAAGAAGGACGAAGAAGATAAACGTGGAAAGAAGACCCACAGCATCCGCGCTACGGATGTTAGTATCAGCCAGTCTTCCTCCAAGACCTCAAGGATTCTCAGGACTCCTGTTAATAGCAATGTCTATAGGGATGCTGGGCATGATTATCATTATCAAGTTTCTGCCGTTGCTCCTTCTGGCCAGCAGCAGCAACAACAACAACAACAACAACATTCATACCTTCAGCTTCCCCCTTTGGCTCATGTTGTTACAGCTAATCCTCAACTCCACCTTCCACCTCTTATGGCACAACATTCCACCACGTCTTATTCAACCTCATATCGTGACTACACATCCTATAACAACCAACAACAATACTATGGTCGGCTGTATGAGTAGCGTGATTTGATCTACGAGTTCTTCACTATGAGGTTTTGAATGAAGTTCAAAGGCGAGTTTTGGAGTCGGTGTATGTACTTACTTACCATTTAGAGAGGCATGAATACAGTTGAATAGCGTGGTATGGTATAAGGGTGGTTGAAGAACCCTGGCTATAACCAAACGAAGGCCGTTTCATATATCCACTGATCTCAATTTGGATTACTTTAATAAGGAACTGAAGAGCCATCCTATTTGTGAACACTAAAATAAATTAATAATATACTAGAGGTGCCCTTCATCCTTAAATCAAACTCACTTCTGGATATATTGACTTGAGCTCAGGGAGGCCTCCTGTTCGTTATAGCCAGTTTCTACTGTATTATTTAATTATGTACTTGAAATATAAAGAGACAAGGACACGACTCGAACAAAACACGACGAAGCCGTAGTAAAACATGGAAAACAATGTGGACGCCAGAATCGAACCGGAACGAAAATGCAACGAAGTAGCTGTAACGTGCTGAAATACAAGCTTAACAAGGCTGGAAAATATAGGATCCTTTCATATCGATATCTATATCGTTTTTCGGGGAATAGAAGGATGTAACGGGTGGACAGGGAATGATCAAGGAGGAATCAACGACAGCAACGAGTGAGAATTTTGCCGACAATCCGATATGATGTATCCGTGATACTCGATTATTGCACCTCCTCAGTATCATTTCCATACCCTGGAATGAGCTCATAGCCCCCCTCAGGGGGTAATGTACGTGCCGCGACGACGACAGCAGCAGCACAGAAAAGCGAGATGCACCAGCTGACAGTGCAGAAAGCAAATGATTTATCCAGTTGCCAACCGACAAAGAATCGTTCATCGTTATCGAAGAGATAAGCCTACAGTCATTAGCATGGTGTCAAAACCAGACTGATAAGCCAGAAAACAAGGATTCTCACAATCAAAGCCATACTAGCCACCTGCACCGCAACAGACAGTATAATAATTGTACTCAGGACCCCCCAGCCGGTCTCGCGCAACCTTTTCCCTCCAGAAAGAATAATGATATATGCGACTATTGCGAGCGACATCAGGACAACAGCAAAGGTCATGAGAAACCCGACACTGCGCCACATGGAGCAGAAATAGCGATTTTCACCATGGCAGTCTTCGTATTGTGGAAATGGTTCGCAGATATCGGTTAGGGAGGAGCACCGACGGTGGAGACCGTAGGAGTAATGTAGTGGAGGCTAGCTACAGTCAGCACCAAAGTGATACTATCTGAAAGAGAAAGTCAAAACTAGTTTAATACCTTCTCGCTATTATAACTGACCCAACTGGGCAAAAGTATCGAGGAAATAGTGAATGCGTAGGCTGTATAACTTCATCAGCAACCACGATGACGTAGATGGGAATAGCGGCAAGGCATCCAAATAGAAAAACACGCACCGATCAAGAACAAAACTAGAGTAATGCCATAGACAATCGTCTTTGTTAGTATACCAGTATAGTTGCGACCCGTCTGGCGACTAGCATTTGGCAGTAGAGGATCCCATTCTTGCGGCGCCATGGTTGTGGTGTGTAGGTGGTGATGTCTCGTGGTGGTTGGATACGATCGGCCTGCCGCTGAGTATCGCCGCCACCACCGTTGCGCGTAAGGAAAAAGAGAGACAATTGTATGAAGTCGCCTGAATGAATTAAATCAATTTAAGAGTCCCCTCGGTATCACGTTTCATGTATTTGTTGGTGTTGGGAATATGTCACGCTGGGAAAAGGTCGAGGGTTGAACAATGGATGAGGTTTACGGGTTGGCCGCTCCAGTTTATTAGTGACCTTGTTAACCCGCCGGAACAAGGAATCCATTCCTTCTACTCTCCCACTCTGGTGATCATTCGTATTTTTTCCCTCTTATTGATATACATCTAGACTCCATGATCAGCACTGACCTCCCTAGCACACAGTGCTCAAACTCTCATTCTCGTACTCTTACAAGTCGGTGTGGAACAACACCTCAATTATTGGTCCTTAGCACTTATCGGGGCTACATTAGTGCCACTGTTCTGCATACTTAGGGGAATGCACGCCATCGTTTGAGTAGGGTACAGTGTGGGCTATTAGATCAGTGGGAAAATCAAGGAATTATGAAGCATATGACCTCGGAGTGTTTCTATGAGATGTATAGGGCCCCTCCATCCCACCTCTGCCATTGATTTTTCATTCCGTAATACAAAGCCACCTAGTAGGTACATGCCTGGTGCGGTCATATGTAGTATCCTATTCTCAAGCCGAGGAATATATTTATATGTGCCTTGTGAGATTGCAGTGGATTTAGTTCAAGGTTGGTTAATGAAAGACGGTAGAGTTAATGTCACATTTCATTGCCATTCTAATCTAACGGGCATTCCACCCTAGAAGATGATATTTGAGGCCATGTATCAGATTAGAGACGTACAAGAAGCATTTAATAGTGACTAATCTATACATCGTCTCTATAAATTTTCAGATCATAAAGCAAAGAAAAGCATTATAAGAGTAACCCACCTAATGAGGCCCAGCATGCCAGCTGGTGTGTCATAGCATCAGATGAGACTTTTCGTAGTTGATAATAGAGGAAAGGAGGAAAATGAGAGCATGTGTCTTATATGAAAAGAGCAGTTTACTGTCTCCCATTGCTGAACATAGCCCGGAAATCATCATTCGTCTTCTGCGACTTCTGTTCTGTCGCTCCTTCGCGCTTTTCATGCTGCTCATCGCTGCGAGCAGACGCTACACTTCCACCACGTTTGAATCCAAGTCCACCCCGACGTCCGACTCCTGGCTGTGTTGGACGCTTGATAGGGCCGCCGACCTGAGGCATCAAAGTTCCAGTAGTTTTAGGTTTAGCAGGACCGGAAACCGAACTTGCGTTCCGCTTCAACACGTCGTTAGCAGTACCTACTTGAATGTGCCAACCAGGAGTAATTTCATGTCCTTCCAGTTCTAATGAAGCTCTGCCTGCTGACTTGATATCGACGAATTCGACAATTGCTCCCTCGCGGTCAGGTCGTAGCACAATCTTGACAAGCGGGCCGAATGGCTCAGTTATCGCTCGGATACGGCTGTCGTTCACTGTGTCGGGGATGTTCATTAATCCTAGCGTTCGGGCTGCACGGTCATCGGCTGCTCTTTGACCTTCCGAATTTGTCGGTTCCGCCGACTCTGATCGCGCTTTCGGAGTGATTACGGTGGCCGCTCGTTTGACGGGTGCAGGTGTAGAAACTTTCACTTGTAGTGGTCTCCCACGGAATTCCTGTTTGTGCATAGCAAGAGCCGCAGTTGCCTCCTCCTGAACATGCTGTTAGCCATAAAAGACAGAGAACTGGAGTCAGTAAAAATATTACATACCTTTTTGGAGAAAACTATGAAACCAAATCCGCGATGTTCGCCGTTCACTTTGCTAGGAATCCGCACAGTTTCGATAGTTCCATACCTGGAGAAGAGTTCTTTGAGGTCGTTTTCACGAGCATCAAAATGAATGTTGGAAACATGAATTTCTCGTTCTTCGTAGATGGGTCCATGGCGATCTTGCCGTGCCGAAGGATCGGAAATCTTGACTTGCAGATTGAGTCCGTCGCCGACAACTTTGTTATCCAGCTTGGTTGCAGCGATAGCTTCATCGGCTGACTTGAACTGAACATAGCAGAATCGGCGATGTGTATTGTACTTGAGAGAGGGGAATCGAACTTCAATTATTTCTCCAGCCTAGAGTCGACGAATCAGCATAATTTCCTCTCTTGGGGGTCCGCCTTGTACCTACCACGCTAAACAGACTTCTGATAAAGGCTTCATCGGCAGTCGGAGGGAAGTTAGTGACATAGACTGTCGAGCCACTACCCATTTCAACATCCACAGTTTGGCCATTGATACGCTTCTGATCACGAGTCAAAGCAGCAGCAGCGTCTTCTTTGGAATCAAACTCGACAATCGCCGTAGCAAAGTCATGCTCGGAGGGCAAGAATTTAATATCGTTGATAGGTCCGCACTAAGTAGATTGTTAGCGTGACTCTCTAATAAAAAATTAAGAACAAGGAACTTTTACTCACGTCACGGAAAAATTGTCGAATCTGAGACTCAGTGACGTCTGAAGGCATGCGCTTGACCATGACGCTGGAATGCTCGCGGTCCCTCTTCAACTCTACTTGCTCCTCGTGACTGTTTGATATCGTTTCCGAGCGAGCCTTCTTGTGAGGTGTTTCGGTGGTCTCTAAAGAATCATCCTCGCGTTTGCGTTTTGTAGCAGCGGCAGCTGCAGCACCACTCTCCGATTCTATTTGCTGCGCTGCCACTGCTTGGACTGCTTCCGCACTCGCCGCGGCAGATTGTTGGGTGGCAGCAAGCTCTAGAGCCTCTTTTTGTCGTCTCCGCGCGACTGCTTTCATAGCCTTTTGTATCTCGACAAGAGCTTCTTGAAGTTCATCGGCATCCTCGTAATCCTCGCAATGTGCAATATACTTGCTCATAATCTTCTCTGGCCAATCTAGATCCGGTCGCCTGATGGCTTGCTTCAAGACACCTGTAGCGTAGCTAGGGCTTGGAGTCCTTCGAGCAGCTTCTGGCGTCATTGCAGCCTCGACAAAGGTACGCCAAGACATAATCTCCCAGTTGTAGTAGTCTAGCCAGAATTCATAGCTATTTCCACGAGTAGCTATTAAGCCTTTGTAGTATTCGCGAGCACTATCCCAGCTCCCACTTTCGCTCAGATAACGCGTATAGATTCTCTCCAGGCGGAAGTAGGGATCTCCTTGATATGCTTTTCCAAACTTGTTTTCTCCGAGCTCTTGCACTCTCTCGATTGCAGAACGGATGCCTACTTCCGCAACATCAAGGTCTTCGTCGATGGCGTCTGGCAGGAATGCACGTCGACGTAGGTAACTGCACCACATCGAGTGAACTTTGATGACCTCCTCGAGACCGCCAGCATCTAGTAGGCCTGTGCTTGTAGCCCTGTGCTTGAGCTCTACAATCTGATCGAATGAGAGACCCTCACGTTCTGCAACTAGCAGACATTGGGACCACAGCGAACCTGACCACGGGCAATGCCTTGTGGCACGTTCAATTGTCGGGAGAACAGGTGCAAATTCATTACGAGGCACAGGCACTGGTGGTTGTATCAGAAACATGACACAATCCTCCCACATGGCCACATCGGTGGGGAAGCGCAGGAGAGCTCGTTGATACAGAGCATTGATCAGATGAGGGTTGTACATATTTTTACGAGGATCTTGCAGAAGTTCCCATTCAATGTACTCTGAATACACAGCCCACTCCAGATTGCGGTCTTTTGATTCTAGCGCCCTCTGCACCTTTTGTTCGAAATCTTGGCGAGCCGCATAATTTGCCTTGGCGTCTGCGGCTCTTGCAACGGTGTTGGCCATGATCTCCTCGTAGTTCGCATTGAAATATTGGCTGATGAAACCCGAGAAGATTTGGAAACTCTCGTCCCACGCGGCATGTGGAGTCTGTAGTCGAGACTCGAAGACCGCTCGGACCTGTCCTGCCTTTTCGTTGGAATGAGAATGTGAGACATCCTGGACACACAGATCGAGGAACTTTGACCAAACAAGATGGCTGTCATGAATGCGCCATCTAGTAGCCTCCGCTGCCCGTTGCCATATCTGAAACACTGATGGCCAGTTGAAAACTTCTCGACCAACTATTCGATCCTCTTCACTCCACTGATTTTGGCCGGCTTGGCCATTGGCGGAGTTGTAGAGATAAAGCATCCATTCTCCAAACATCGTCCAAAGCTTCGTACTTCCATACTCCTCATCCACGGCACGTCGACAAAGTTCCATGACAGCAATCCTTTCGTCGACTGATTGTGCAATCATGGTCTCATCCTGAATCCAATCCACCCACAAATCCTCACCCATAGCAAAAAGCTTATCCATGTCCTCCCGAGCACTGCGCAAGTCTTTCAGTAGATCGTAGGTCCTTGGATCGCCGTGGGCGTCAGGATCATGCGGTGGGTAAACATGATTCACGAATCCAGTATGGAGAAGCTGAATGAACTGGACATGTGACTCGTACGAATGAGGGTTCGCCTGGATATGACTCCACAACTGATTGGCCTGTTGCTGGGCCTCCGGGGGCAAGGACGACTGGGAAAAGTTGCGCTTCACATACTCTCGGGGTTCTGGAGCACGTGGTGGATTCTGCACCAGTTTGACCGGTTTTGGATTAGGATAGATGGGCGAGATCGACATGTTTGCATAGACAGTTTGATTTCCTTTCTGGTTGTGAGAAGGATGACTTTGGCTTTGAGACTGGCTTTGACCTTGAAGGGCAGCCGCCTCTGCTAGGGCCGTCATTGATCCATTGCCTTTGCCCGCCAAATTACCTTGGTTATTGGAGCTTGCAGGCGTGTTTGGGGCTCGGTCGGGCAATCGAGACTTAAGAGCTTGCCGAGCGACCGGTGATGGACCAGAGCTGTATTTTGACCCTGCGGCGCGGCCTCTTCGTGGTTTCTGAGGCGAAGTATTCGACGTCTGGCCCGAGTTCGCCGATGCGTTGCTCTTGTTGTTGGAACGTGCTTGGGTATTCGACTGGCGCGACTGCGCAGCTGACTCTTGTGGTGAAAGTAGCGAGTTAATATCCATTGTGCGTTATTTTCTTCTTTCAAAGTTCCTGCGTCTGTGAATGCGATCTATGTCTTTGTTGTCGAGGCGACAGACCTGTCGGTTATGAGCGCCTCGGTAAGAAGCTAATAAGAAATTTCGCACCCAAGAAAATAATTTCTCGACGGATCCATCCCCTTGTTTCCAGTATTCGAGATCCTCCCAACGTCCGTATGCGTTTGCGAACAGAACACGGTAGGTAAGCTTGAAGGTGACCGGTTTAGTGAAGCAATGTCGGTATCTAACCGCGCGATGCTAACGAGCACCTATCGGCCTTTCCGAATACAACAAGGAAGGAATAAAAATACTGCTATCGTACTCTAGGTCGATAGGCGCTGCAAATAAACAACCGATCCAACTGCCGTGTTGTTCAAAGAGGTGGAGAGAGGTAAAAAGTCGGATGTTTAAATGCGTAGTTAGCAGTTCGCGGAGGAAAGCAAGAGCTAAGGCGTAAGCAGCTTAGCTGTTTTCCTTCCTTACGGGATACGGTAAGTGGTGCCGTCAGAGGTCAGCGTGGCCGTGGCTGTAGCGTCACACGATAAGAAGTGGAATCTGCAAGGCGATGGCTGTTGATGAGAAGCTGAAACAAAAGGAATGTGAGGGAGTAATGGACATTCAGAAGTCGAAACTTAGAACCGGGAAAAAGGAAAGGGAAAGGAGAAAAAGAGAAGGTGTGGATCATGACTTACTAGTGGAGTACAGCCTGAGATTAAAGAATGACTGCGTTTGCTGCCTACATTCTCAGGCATCTATATCTATAGTTCAGGTTAATAACTTCTTCTCGTTTTATGTAGCAAGTGCCCTATCAGAACACTATGCAGAAGTTGTATGGATCATTAGTCAATTATATTCTATTACTTTTTAGTGGTCCTTCGGTATTCGCTACCATGACTGATGGTAAACAGTTGTCATGCTTTTCGCGAGTCTATCGCTGTCATCCCGACATAGAAGTCTAACAGTAAGTCGTCACCTCAGCTCTGTTATTCATAGATGGAATAATTCCTTCAGCTGCTTGATTGTATCATCGGGGTCGGTAACAGAGTGGCCGATCGTCCTAGGGTCACTGTAAATCTCGTAATCGTTCCCGCCGGGGAAGCACTTGTCGCCAAAGAAGTGAATGTCTTTATATTCGACTCCGCTGATCTCCTTCTCTGCCTCGATGTGTCGGAGACAATACGTTTTGTCCCATCCGGTGGGGAAGACGTCAAATGAGATTTGTCCACCGATGGAGTACCTGATATAAATTGTAAGTATATGGTGGAAGGTACACTTTTCGTGGGCAATGTCAACTCACGTCAAACCGTACTCCGGGAATTCTTTTCTGAGAGCTTTCACAAGAGTACTCCTTATATTGTGGACTTTATCATATCTGGAACCGTTAGTTCGTAGAAATCCACTCAAAAAAAGGATGCTTACTCTTCGAATTCGTTCCTCTCCTCAACAGTAGCGTTCCTTCCAATGGGACTGACGTTAATCATCCCATTACGGAACTCGATGAAAGTACCCCTTTTCTTCGGCAATCTAACCTCGGACAGGTATTTCAAAAGAAAATTGACCATATTCTGGTATTTTTCCTCTCCAAGCCACTGAATAAAGCTGGTGCTGGCTAGGGGTTTACCTAGACGAAATGCATTGAGCCCGTTCTCCGAGAAGCAGTAATCGAAAAGCGACGTGACGGGCACGGTGGAAGAGCCAAGTTGCTCTTGTTGTTTTGAAAAGTCTGACCCGCCCACCTAATGTTTTGCAATCATCGTCAGGAATTCCATCCTCGAAATTATTTCGAATTACAGAGTGATCAAGCACTAACATAGCCTATTGCGCATCTGTGACGAAGTTGTGAGAGTAGCGTTAGCATTTCGGTTGAGGCGCTCTGTTTCACGGAGAGGTTCAATTAGTAAATCCCCATGTGAAATGTGTTTAGAGCAAAAATTTCAGATCGATAACTTACACCCCGAGCTGGTGATAGAGTTTTATCAACATCGAAAAGGACAACGGTGCCCTTGAGAGGGCGATTCTCCAAAGGGGGGTAGATGCTGGCAGCGACCGTAGCCATTTTTTTTAAGAATCGAAGAGTGAAAGGAGTAGACCGGTTCGGAGGAAATCGTTATGGTATAATAGAGTCGATTTAGTTGTCGAATTGGTCGAGGCACAGCTTCGGAGTAGCTGCTCTCTTCGATTCAAGGATACCCCGTAGACTTTCCCGCCAGCTAAGCTACTGCGCCATGTGTTCTTTTCAAGCGGTGAGAGGGGCATCCTTATCGATAACGTTAAATAGCCCTCCACGATCAGAAGCATTCAGGATAAGTCATGGCTGCTGAGTCTAAATAATCTGATACACTGACACTATTCTGAGGAAAATAGGTAAATAATCCAAACAAAAATAACGACTAACGCTTGATGAAGCCAATGTATCGACCAAGAAGCAAACAATGCTATGCCCTCCTCCAATCTGTCCCAAAATAACCAATAATCTCCGCGCTCAACGACCTAAGGTTGTCTGGAAGACTTTCGCTGCAAGCTCACTTAGAAGCCTTGCACGGTCCGACTGTGGAAGTTCGCAAAAAACATCATAAACACTCTTTCCTTTCGCGTCTCGCACTGCGCCTAGTCTATTACCAGCCACTGCCCCCGCTAACGCACCAGGTACGTTGGCAACGATGAACCCAAGAGCACCACCACTGACCGCACCAACGATGGACCAGAATTTCTTGGTGGGCACTGATCTTCTTTGCCCATTGATATCAGTCTCATCGCTAGCCAGCCCTTCTTCGCGAAGCATTTCTTCAAATATCGAACCGAACTGATTGGAATCACGTCCTTCTCGTTCTCGTTCTGATCCACTAAAGTCAAATGATGACCATGGGAATCCACCTGCTCCGCCACGGGGGATGTCTTCGTCGGCACTCTCACTGCGGTCGCCGCCGAAATAGCTCCTTCGGGCCGCATCGTAGTCACGTCTGCGCTCTGCGTCGGATAACGTATAATAAGCATCGTTTACCCTTTGAAACTCTTTCGTGCGAGCAGCCCTCTCAGGAGAGTCTGCAGGTACTCGGTCAGGGTGAGTTCGCAAAGAAGCCCTAAAAATATATGGTAATTAGTATGCGCGACAAAAGAAGCAGAAAAAAGGGGCCCGGCTCCACACCTCTTGTATGCAGTACGAATCTCCTGCTGCGTCGCAGTAGGAGAGACTCCGAGAACTTTATCTGGTATGTATGAGCATAAACATGGTCTGCTTACGGACGACGTAGCTTACAATAATTCGGTTGACCTGATAAAATAGATGTCAGTAAGACGCAGGAAACTGCGATCAAACATTCTCGAAAACACTTACTTGCCATAGCTACCTAATGTTCCCTGAATAGGATTTGCGGCAGACCATAAAGTTTTCAAAATACGATTATATCCTTCGAGATAATTCAAAATGCGACTTTCCAGTGGGGATTAATCTGTTGTCCATTAAGATGACGTAGCGCTCTATCACATGTCTCCTGCGCCACAACTTCAGCCACAACTAAAGATATATCACGTGATTATGCTTGGACTTTCTAGGCTTCCCAGCCCCTGGCAAGCTAAAATGCAGATAGCCAATCAGAATCGGCGAATGGTTTAGGTCTCCGCATCCCAGCCACCTCGTTACAATTATTGCACACAGCTCTGTCTTACTTGCATGAATTACTTCCTTCGCCAGCTGGCCTAGATTGACGTGCATCTCAAAATCTTTCGGTCTCCATCATTGCCTGATGTTTGATAGCGGGGCCATCTGCACATTCTGATTAAAATTATCTATCGGACGGTTGTCTGATACTTACTCCTTGATAGATACAGGCGGGATCTTAGTGTGGATCAATCCTTGGGACTGGCTGAAGCTTCCCATATCGATTGTACTCAGTTTATTCCAGAATTGTTCTCACAACAAGCGCCAGAGAATCGCAACTATGGGTTGGTTTGACGGCAGCTCTTCTGTCTCAGGAAACGGATGGGTGCGCAAACGATCGCCTCATCGATCCGCTTCCATCTATTCCTCTCGTCACTCTAGACACTCGGCACCATCAATATTCAGCCTCGGCGGTGGAAGCAGGAACAGATCGACCAGCTCATTCTTCTCAACTTCGTCCTCTTCACGAAAGGGAGTCCGCCCTCGTTCTGGCTTCATTGAGCGCATGGCCCGCCGCATCAAGCGTCTTTTACGAGACATTTGGAGCTATGCTCGTCGTCACCCGATTAAAGTATTCTTTTTTGTGATCGTGCCATTGATCACCGGAGGTGTTTTGCAGAAGTTGTTAGCCATGGTTGGCTTGCGGTTACCTGCCGGCCTCGCGGGTCATCGTTCGGAATTCGAGCAAATAAGCCGTAGCGGCAACTTCGGGGGATTGGGTGGCAGTGGTGTTGGCAGCGCGGGACTTGGAGAAAGCGTTAATGGATTGGTCAAAATTGCAAAAATGTTTTTATAAATGCGCACATACCTGATCTTTTCATCTGAGATGAGACATAGATGGGTGGTCGATATTGGAGCTTGGATACCTAGGACTTTATGAATTTCACGATTACAACACACGAAAAAAGCAACAGCTCTGTAGGAGTCGTAGTCTGCAGTTATAAGCAGATCCCGGGGAAGCAATGAATATAACTGAGTTGACACTATCTCCAACCTAATGCATGAAGAACCACTGATGCGTTGTCACCTAACGAACTGGACGATTCGGCTCCATCAATCTGACGATAGTGGGATCAGAGGTGAATGATGGCTGTTCTTTAAGCAGATCACTCGCTGCCAACTGGACACATGGAAGGCGGCACCCCGCCGAACTCGTCTCATTCAGGAAGGAACACATAATGTCGGCCCCCACCAATCATATGTGGGCTACCTAGTGGGTCCGGCTTTTATTGTTAGTGCCGAATCATACAAACAGGTCGACATTATCTCGCGTCTCCCTTTGATACGTATCTTGCCTGCCATGGGTGATGCCAGCCCCAGGAAACCGGCTTCTGAACGGAGAAAGCAGCAGATTAGACCAGCTCAGAGGGGCCACCGTCAGTTCGACCCATGCATTATGATCACAATCGAACGGCTGGCTGACGTGGAGGACAGGTGAAAGGCAAAAACGGCATGTGCAAGCTCTTGAAAGACTACTGACTGCGCAAGATTGTTCCTAAATCCAGTTCCAAATGGCGCTACCTCCACTTCAATTCCATCTGAAAGTGGTGCGGCAAGCAATGCTACGAGTCACGCACAATCAACGTCTCCCCTAAAGATTTAGTGGCTAATGAGACCGGGGACACACGCGAGCTATTAGTATACGGGAGTGCCGGTTCGCTGATACAGGCGGATTCTATGAGAACACCAGACGTGTGGCTGAGAAAGCGGTTCTACGATCAATTGATTCAAGATCTACATTGTCCTTAGGCCAAGTCCATTGCTGAGGTGAGCACCATGCTCTGAAGTATATCAACCTATCAGTCAATCGGTGAGGCTCTCCGCTGCGGCTAGGGCTTTTCGAGACAGACCCACATGCTCGAATAAGCAATGCTCACCTCATCAAGAATACGTTCCAATCACTGCTAGGTCGAAAAAGTATACATATATATATGGCCAGCGTGTGCAGGATGAAAATCGTAGGTACGGACGAGGAACTTTTATCGTCTTGGGTCTTCTTTCCCGTCGCATATCTACTCCTCGTTAACCCAATCCCGATGGATCGCCAAGTCAGCACAATGGAATACAATCAGTATGACAATATTTTTGTATCCATATACGCTTGGAAGTACCGACTCCTTTACAAAGGCTTGGCCAACAGAATCGGACTACCTCGCAAGCATATATTTGATGCGATGGAGGCTAGTGTTAAAAGAATGGGCACGTATATAGATGTCTTACAGATACATCGGCTTGACCGCGACACACCCCGTGAGGAGATCATGAGAGCACTCAAAGATGTCGTTGAGAGCGGAAAAGTACGCTACATTGGCACAAGTTCTGTACGTTTTGTCCAAGAATTTTTCTGTTGCTCCAACTGCTCATCGGTGCTAATCGCACTCCTCTTATGCATTAATTGCCATCCTTCAAAAGTCCCGAAGACACTGCGATCCCTGTATCATGACCTTAATTGGCATAGGTCTGTGGAGCGGCCCCTCCTACCGAGTGCAACCTCAATACAGCTTGGATATTCCGTGATACAGCGGCCCAAATGACTCGAAGGTAATAATGGTAATTTGTCGTATCTTCACACAAACACACGCAGACAAACTCTGGGTTGTAACACAAATTACAAATAAATTACCGTGCTGCTATAAAGGCGCTACTGCTCCCCGTAGAGAGTGGCTTGTTTAGTTTGAAAAACATCCCGTTAGGGCGCTGATCTCCTCAATCTTATCCTCATCCGTCACACAATTCGGAGCATATGGACATGGTTTATTTCTCTGTTGTGTTTGAGAGGAGAAACAAGATGCCAGACCTGTTAAAATTCTTGTCTTGTTTGCCTAATTGACCGTTGAGTAGTAACCTTACGATTCTGCGAACGGCAGTGGGAATAATCCCATAGTAACGACCATTGTTCCCATTGATTGCTACATGCTTAAAAGCCGACGCTAATCAGAACAGTCACATAACGCACCTTCTCAATGGAGTTTGGCGCTCTTGGGTTGTACTTTTACTTTCCGATCCTAGTCATTGTCCTGATTCCTGTGTGGGCCGCCTACCGGTTGATCCTATGCCATGAGAGGACGCATAAATCGCCCACAATTTCGTCTTATAACGCTATAAACCCCGAAATTGATTTCACGAACAAGGGCAAATACGATGTTATCTTTTCCATTAGCAATCTGAAAAGCTACAGGTCTGCTTCTCGCATCATCGACATCATGAAGATTGCAGGCGCACTCTGTTTGAGTCTGTTCTGCTTCTACTCTTTTGTAGTCGCCTTTCACCACAATATCAATCGTGGTTTGCGCCGTCAGGCTTCCGTGACGAACTCGAGCTCCGTCCTCGTCGACTTTGAGCTCTATAAACCTGTCGAGTTTGATCCGCCTAGTCAAGAATGTGACAAAGTCGTTTTATTGATGGAACACTCATTTGGATACAGCTATGGACAACCGTTTGTGGGTTAGTATTGCCTACCATCATATACAGACCGTGCAAAATTTAATACATCAATTATAGGAAGCTTTACTCCGCCGGATTGCGATTTTGATACCGTGAGGATCAATTTTACTGTCACGTCACGAGGACGGCAGTTTGATCGTCTGGCGTTAATGTATCTGAATGATACGGAGGTTTTCAGGACATCCACAGCAGAGCCGACCACCAACGGGATTGTCTGGACATATATTAAAGAAATGTCACAGTATCTGACATTGTGGAAAAGTCCTCAAAAAGTCATTTTCGATTTGGGCAACCTGATCGACAGCACGTACACGGGACCATTTAACACTACATTAACGGCGTCGTTCACGAAGGAAAACAGCGTACGAACGGCAGACCTGATTCTCCCTATTTCGGCTCGCAGATCTGTAAATGATTCTGCGAGTGCTTTCAACGTGCCGTCCGACAATGCTACGGTTGATCTTACCTTTCCCAACAATGTACAGAGAGCGGTAGTTTCGATTTCAGCCTGTGGTCAATCGGAGGAAGAATTCTGGTGGTCAAGTGTTCTGAATCAAGACATAGACGACTTTGACTCAACCGTTGGTGTACTCTATGGATTTTCGCCCTTCCGTGAGATCCAGCTTTATATCGATGGAGTACTTGCTGGGGTCATTTGGCCTTTTCCAGTTATTTTCACTGGAGGCGTAGCACCCGGCTTTTGGCGACCTATCGTCGGAATTGATGCATTTGACCTGCGCGAACCAGAAATTGATGTCTCGCCTTTCCTTCCGCTTCTGCTCGATGGTAAAGCGCATTCGTTCGAAATCAAAGTTGCTGGGCTTAACACTCCTACCAGTAATGGCATAACTCTGTCGGAAACTGTCAATTCGTACTGGGTAGTTACGGGAAAAGTCTTTGTATACCTTGGCCATAGTGAGGATAGTATCAAGTCGACCGGCGTTCCCCCCTCTATCCATGCGCCAGATCCGGAATTCAGCTTTTCACGAAATTTAGTATCGAATTCAACAGCAAACGAGACTTTGTCATACTCGGTCTATGCCCACCGAACTCTAACGATTACATCGGGTCAAACTTCATGGATACAAGACCTGTCATTCTCTAACTATGGATATCTCAATCAAGAAGGATTGAGTCAGAGGAATATCCAGAACACTACCGGAATATCAACTGTCAAAGGTATTGGACTCAGTGGAGGTGTAGAAGAGTACATAACTACATTCAGCTACCCACTCGATGTCAACAATACATATGCCTTGACAGCGAGTTCCACGACTATTGACGCTTCTATGGATCGTGGACTATCAATATCATCCTCTGGAGGCCTCGGCATATCTACCTACACTCTTACTTCTGGTCCAGTATATCTACAAACCCGCCAGTGGGGCGATGCTCATTATTATGCGGCTGGGGGTTCTTCTTACTCATCTGGAGAGACTACTCAAGAATTTTCAGAAACTTCCGGCGGGACAACGTATAGCACTTATGTGCAAGCAGTCAATGGCACTGTAGTGACACCCAATAGTCAGGCCTTGTCATTGCCGGCGCAAAATAGTTGGTTCTCCGCCGGAGGACGTCCTAGTATTAGGAGCATTCTTGGACGAGGTCCGAACTAGTTTATATTTGTTGTAGTACATAATAGCTAAGTTTATGAAGTTCTTCATATGTGATCTCATGTATTGTCGTCCGGAGTTAAGAATTCTAGGATAAGAAAGTGGTTAGTTATCGCAGACCCACCAAAGGCTTACTTAATCTCCACTGTGGAGCGACGATAAGGAGTCACGTGAGAACTCCCCCAATATTGGACTCAAACTTCAATTTCTATTTCTTCTTTGCCTCTTTCATCCAGTTACGTTGGTCGCTCATCAGCTGGCTGTCACCGGAGCAGCTATGGCCGTTGTTACTTACAAACAAAATATTACAGGTATGATAAGCGCTGGATTCAGAAATGAGGCAGAAGTATCATGACAAGCTAACCGTTACGAAGACTCACTTGCGCAATCGATAGAAAGTTTGATTAAATCGCAAAGCGTGGAAACCGATGAACGACCGAACAAGCGTCGCAAACTTATTCAGGATGTGACAGACGATTCGTTTCAGGTAGCAGATACAACAGCTCATGATGATTATGTTGTTCTATGTCGGATCACTATCGATTTGGTAAGTTGCATTTATAGCAAGTCTCCGCGCAAGCGCGCATCATTATGAAAATGATAGCTAACCTTGAAAATTATATCAGGCGTGTCCTGGGGGGGGTTTCTCAGAGTCCCTACCCACGACCGATGGCCTACCTGTATTGCTGAAATATCGAAACGAGAAGCGCATTCTATCTTCGTCCGATCTCGAACTGTCCGATTCTCAACGCACCTCCGGCAACGACACTAATGAGCACTGGCTTGACGTTCGGACAATCAACCGAAAACAGATTTCATCTGTCCGATTAATAGAAGTTGATGTCGAAAATGTCGTCTCACATTTGTCGCTTGCCACACGCGCCACGTCGATAGACATACCCAACGGAGATAGGTCCCTCTTCTGCTATCGCGCCCGTGTCTCCTGCCAAGATTCCCATTCTTTTCGCCTGCGCGTTGATGTTCTCTGGAAAGATACTTTGTTCATTCCAGCCAATGCCAGGGTGAAAGGACCTCCGGGATTAGCTTTCGTGAAATATACACCACCTGGAGAAGGTTTGTACCGACAAACAGAACAATCTTATAAAGGCCGGGTACAGCATCCCCGATGGACACCTCGCGATTTTTATGACAACGTTCATGTTCCAGCCGATACGCCCGAGGCGTCCAGTGAGATAATATGTCCGCAGGTCAAATGCAAGCTTTATCCGTTTCAAAACCGGGCAGTGCGATGGCTACTAGAGAAAGAAGGCATGGAGCTAGATATGTACGGGAACGTAGTTCCGATGAAAACGAAGACTGCCGGGCTACCAGAGTCTTTTCAAGAGTTTACAGATGTGGAAGGGCGACGTTATTTCTCCAGCCAACTCTATAGGGTTGTGGCTACCGATATGTCTCCTTGGTACGATTCAGATAGAAACCTAAGAGGTGGTATCCTTGCTGAAGAAATGGGTCTCGGGAAGACAGTCGAGTTGATCTCATTAATCTCTCTTCATCGACGCGACATGACAGCTAGTGATAGTGACGGACATCATCCTGTCATTAAATCCCGCGCAACTCTTATTATCACGCCTCCTGCGATTCATGAGCAGTGGAAGCAGGAGCTACAAGTGCACGCACCGTCACTCACAGTCTTCGATTATCAGGGTTTTCAAGCAAATTCGAAGCTGTCTGAAGAACAGCTTCTGTCTTCACTTACAGAAACTGACGTGGTCCTGACCACGTATAATGTGCTTTCAAAAGAGGTCCATAGGGCAACTGACCCACCAAAGCGGAATATGCGCCACGAGAAACGTTTTGAAGTTCCAAAATCGCCGCTTGTGCGCATTTCTTGGTGGCGAGTTTGTCTTGACGAGGCTCAAATGATTGAAAGCGGTGTCAGTAATGCCGCTCAAGTTGCTCGTCTTATTCCTCGTGTGAATGCCTGGGCCGTAACGGGGACTCCCATACGCAAAGACATGAGAGACCTTTTTGGACTTTTGCAGTTTTTAAGATATGAGCCATTCTGCGGCTCTCTTGATCTTTGGAGCAGACTTTACAGTGATTACTACTCAGCATTTAAGTCGATAGTCAGTAGACTGGCTTTACGACATAGCAAGGAGTTCATCAGAGATGACTTGAAATTGCCGCCACAAAAACGTGTCGTTATAACTATTCCTTTCACTGCGGTTGAAGAGCAGCACTACAGCGAACTGTTTGAAAAGATGTGTGAGGACTGCGGTGTTGATCTTAGTGGGGCGCCTCTCGAGAAGGAATGGAATCCTGAATCCCAGGCCTCGATAGAGAAAATGCGAAGTTGGCTTACTAGGCTTCGTCAGACATGCCTTCACCCTGAAGTTGCTCGCCGGAACCGTAGAGCACTAGGCAGGACGAACGGACCGTTACGATCTGTGAATGAGGTACTCGAGGTCATGATTGATCAGAACGAGACTTCTATTCGTGCTGAAGAACGTTCGTTACTACTTTCGCAAGCTCGTCGTGGTCAATTACTTGAAAATGCCATTCGGCGGCGAGAGGCTCTGGAGATTTGGCAAAAGGGATTAGAACGTGCGACCCAGATGGTCGATGACTGCAGAGAAGAACTGCAAGCTGAAATTGCGAAAACTAAAAGCAGTGTCATCAGCGCATCGGATCCCGGCTCAGATAGTGAGAGTGAAAAGGATGAAGCCGATCAATCAGGCAAAAATACTCGTATCGGAGCTTGCAAATCACGTCTCCGATCAGCTTTGGAAGTACAACATGTTTGCAAGTTCTTCACGGCTAATGCATTCTATCAGATCAAGACTGATAAGACGATGACGGAACCTGATTCAGAGGAGTTCAAGGCCCTTCAGAAAGCCGAAGAAGAAGCGTACGATGAAGCGAAATTAATTCGAAAGGAAATGCTGAAAGATGTTGCACGGAAGGCCACAAAACGCATTAAAGTGCTTGACGATAAAGCAAAAGGCAATTCCTTTGTCAAAATTCCTGTGATGAAGGTTAAACTTCCAACCCTGGGAATTGAGGCACGCCGAATATTCGAGAGACTCGAAAACCTCTGTGACGCTTTGAATAAGAATCGCGAGCTGTTTAATGAATGGCGAGATACAATGGTTAAACTACTTCGGCAGTCGTTGGTTGACGAAGAAAGAACTACCGAACTTGAAGGCAACGAATATGAGACCTCAACCAAACATCAAGACGAGATGTATGTCTACATGGAGGGGCTCCGTGTATTGTTCGCCGATCGCCACGAAGCTCTTACTGGTCAAAGTAATTTTTTGATCAAGAATGAAGTCAGATTCGCGGTAAACGAGGCGCGAGAGGGAAATGGTGCGTCTCCCAAACTGTACCTTAAGCTCATGGGAACTCGTGATGGAATAAAACCGAAGCCGGATCTGGGTTCACTCCGAGGACTCATCAGCGATATGCGAAGCCTGGCGACATCGCTAGAATGGCAAGCCATGGAAGGGAGTTCACGAGCTCGAGCGGAATCCGTGATTGTTAACGAGGCCCTTGAGCGTATGAGTAAGACATCAGTCGAACAGGCAAAATCAATTGCAGTATTGGACCAGGAAGTTGAGCTGTTCAGGGATACGATGAACATCAGACTGGAGTACTATAAACAACTGCAACAAATCTCAGACACTGTTGCTCCATATGATGAAGGAAGTGTGGGCAAGCCTGTAGATCAGGCAGTTTATGATTCAAAATTGGAAATCGAACACAAGATGCAGCAGAAATTGGACAGTCTACAGTCTAAGCGACGATATCTGATTCATTTACGAGATGAGTCTGAGCCAGACGAAAGTACGCGAATGTGTATCATTTGTCAGTCTACGTTTGAAATTGGTAAGCATAAATTCCAAGTCATTGAGCTACTAGTTTGAGTTTTGAAATTAACATTCATCTAGGCGTTTTGACTGTTTGTGGTCATAAGTTCTGTAAGGGCTGTTTACGTATTTGGTGGCATCAACACCGAACATGTCCGACATGCAAGCGGAAGCTAAAGGCAAACGATTTTCATCAAATCACGTACAAACCAAAGGAGCTGCTTGTACAAGAGGAGAGAACGCCGACTAAGGTCGAATATGGACGCCCTTCGCAGAACGGCATATATTCAGACGTTAGTACGGGCATTCTGCAAGAGATCAAAGACATTGATCTACCCACCTCCTTCGGCACCAAGATTGATACGTTGTCTCGACACTTGATGTGGCTTCGCGAGCATGATCCTGGAGCCAAGTCAATTGTGTTTTCACAATATAGAGACTTCTTGGGAGTCTTAGCCAATGCATTTTCTCGGTTCAAGATTGGGTTCAGTAGTGTGGAGGCTAAAAATGGAATTCAGAAGTTCAAGGAGGATGCTGCGGTAGGTTTATAGCCGTGTCAAATACTATTTGCAATCGCTAATGGTTATTGAATCCGCAGGCTGAGTGCTTTTTACTACATGCTCGAGCCCACTCCTCAGGTCTCAACCTTGTTAATGCAACCCATGTTTTCCTTTGCGAACCTTTGATCAATACCGCAATCGAGCTGCAAGCCATTGCTCGTGTACACCGTATCGGCCAACATCGTCCGACAACAGTGTGGATGTATCTTGTGTCCGACACTGTTGAGGAATCAATCTATCAAATCTCCGTCTCTCGAAGACTGAGTCACATTGTGCAAAAAGAAAAAGAGAAACAGAAAGATCTAAACTCTCCAAGCCCTGGACTGAAGAATGGAACCACGATAGAGAATCTTACCGAAACGGCTATTGAGTCAGCTAATTCTCTAGAAATCCAGGATGCTACTTTGAGCAAAATGTTTGCTTCGGGCTCTGCAGGAGGCGAGCTGGTTGGTAAAGACGATCTTTGGCAGTGTCTATTTGGTGATGGACAAAGAAAAACCTTACCGAGTAAGAATGATGACGCCGTGCGGGAAGTCGATCGGTTCTTGAGAGGAGAGGCGGCAGAGAAGAGAAGACAAGATACAATGGATTTTTGAAATGGACACGGACGTTTACGAACTTTATGACATTATTGACTTTGTCATTCATATAGCCTGCATCTGGTGATCATTTGATGTAGTAATTTATGAGGCAACAACGCGAACAACTGTGCAAATTACTTAAACGAATGGTCAGTAAATCGGTCTCTACATTTCTTCTGTGCCTAACTTGAAATAAAATTGTAGATATAATATACGTAGGTAGTTTACCTCGAAAATGCAGCTCGCGAAGCTCCCGTGTGCTCGCGTCCTGCTTTGCCATAGCTACAAGTAGTGGACTTATAGCAGCTCCCTCCTAACCCTAATTTCATCTCTTCTGCCACAGCCTCGCTACAATACACTTTTTGTCATTTATCTTCAATATTATCAATTTTAAATAAGATAGTAGATGGCTCATTTCATGCTCATGGAGCTTATTCTAGACCAATAAATGCCAATATCAGCCCTTGGTTTCAATGCGAAGCGAGATTTGGCTATTGGCACAATTTAATAGTAGTCTTAATAGCTCCCTATTGCTATTCTTTATATAGAGAGCTGGGAGCTACATCCCCTTTCGATATAGGCTTTTGCTAGGTAAATGGCACAGGATCTCCACTTGTTAGGATTTAGTATATATAGTATTGCCTTCAGGGCGAAGAAGACATTCTGGGAGATCAGCTAGATATAATCCGTGACAGTGCGGACATCTTGGAGGGCACTGGTGAGGGTCTAAGGCTGCATAACAATTAGTATGGCTTTCTTCAGTGTGTTCCAAGAAGTCATAGGGCCGACATCGAGATGGGCGAGCATAAGAACGTGCACTATGCCACTTCCAGCAGCGTGTACACTGGATGGCTCTTGTTTTCCTGGAGAGAAAACAAGTGTTGGTGATGGTGCTAATCAGACGAAGCTGGGTAGACAGCGCTGGCTTCGTGCCTTCTAGGAAGTTGACGAACAGCTAGAAGAAAGAGTTTTAGGATTAGCAGCACTCGCAGTAGTCTCGCTAATGGATATAGACCTGAGACTTGTGGCTTCGCTAATCTCTGAAGCTAAGGATGTACGGTTAACATCGATTATGGAATATCGGCTGTTTAAAATCTGGCCATCTTCCTTGGAACGTTTGTGACACGGTATAAGACCCAGCGAGAGCTGCATTCTATCTGACAATTGACAAAGAAGGTGGAGATAATATCCCTTTGAGCTTCCAGGGCCAGGAGGGCTTCTGGAGATGAAGGGCAGAGAGCAAAATCAGTCTTCGTGGCTTAGACTTCTTTCAGCACAGCACTCCTTGAGTTCAGTTATGGTCGTAGACTGGAATAATGGCGTAGGCCTCCATTTTTTTGGCTGCGTGGTCAGCTGAAAGACGCAAAAAGAGTCGGTGGTTAGGAAGGGGTTTTTTAACTGGAGGCATAGACTTATTCATATGAGTTTTAGATCGAGTTGTGGAAGCTGATTTAGATGGAACAGCTTGGGTGACAGTCGCATAAGATGACTGATCGGGACCTGAAGGAGAACGAGAAGGAGGGGGTGAAAGGGGTAGGGGGTTAGGGGCAAGGGCAAGGAAAGGGCAAAGGGCAGGGGGCCCAGAGGTCAATGGGATGCCGCTCATGTAGGCATTAAAATGTCATTGGGCTACCGAGGCAAGGTCAGTCGCTGAGAGCAGTGAGGGCTTTCAGTAGGTGAAGTGTGAGGCCGGTAGTTTGGCTGCGATGTTTGTCAAGGAATGCAGCTATAAGGCTAAAGATCTTTTGACCATCAGCAGCTCTTGTAGTGGCTGCAGACATGGATTCCAGTAGGGATGTCTGTTGGGCCAGAGCCTTTCCGCGCCATGGTGTTGCCAGATGCGTTGAGACGCGTCAAAGGCCGCACTACTAGAGGCTGGGAAGTGGAGGGTTGTGAGGAGATTAAATCTCTAACTAATTGGCATAGACAATTACTGTTGTCGCTAGAATGCTGTCGGTGTATACCCTACTATTCGGGAACGATTCCGTGGGGAGAAGTGATGATGTCTATACACCTAGTCCAGTCAGGGTCCACGGTGTCACGTGAACTTCTATATACTTCCATCTGGCGGAGTCCATAGGCGGTCAATGATTTACAATCATCCGTCTCCCACTGCCTAGCTGTGGCACATGAATATAACCATCTGCACATAAATACAACATCGAACACACCATTCATTTCACCCCATGAATCCATCAAATTCACTTTGCAGCTCATAAGATGTCTTCAGGTGCCGCACCGGCCGAGAGCCCTGAAGCTCGCGAGTTGAGCTTGGTATCCAAAGTGGAGCTCCGGATTGCCCTTGCCGATTCAGACGAGAAGCTCCAAAAGCTCCTACAGACATATTTAGCTCCATTACTACTAAAACTAGCATCGGAGCATCTGACTGTGCGGAACAAGGTTATTGCAGTCTGTCAACATATCAATTTAAGGATAAAGCCGCAATCGATACAGTTGCCCATCACGGCGCTGTTGAAACAGTTCAAGGAACAGAGCTCGCAATTAATCAGACATTTTGATCTGATCTATATTCAGCAAGGTATTGATTGTCTGGACGCTTCAGCACGCGTAGAGCTTTTGCCTGCTGCGTTGGAGGGTATTTCTCAGCTTGATGTTACATCCGCGCAAACGGCGAGTGTCTTCAATTTGATTTTGAGGTTGTTACCTTTGCTACGGCTTCCGCCAAAGGATAGTCCCGAAGATCGTAAACTAAGAGAGAAGCTATCTCTCTCCGAGGCGGACACGCGATCCTTAGCTTTCTGGCTGGGTAAACTACTGCTCCTCTCACAGGCAACGAAAGATGCTTGTACTTGCCCCGGACTGTCTCCATCAGAGTACACGTTCCTGAACAAATCTGCATCTTTCGATAAGACTTGGAACCCTACCATACAGGGAGGGCTGAATCTAACAGAAACGAAATATTTCGTCGCCAGCTTTCTAGCGAGCGGTGCCTTTGACAATTCAGGTCGATTTTTGCCTGCTGTGATACTCTCTGCTGATTCCAACTCTCGTCTGTCAGACATTGGCGATGATATCCTAAAACGATTTAATCCCGATCTTGAAAATGCTGAAACCGTGGAACAACTGTATAAACTCTACTTTGGAACCTCCGGCAGTGATGCAGCTCTTCCTGCTCGTCTCCCTCTCCAGGTCAAAATATTGAGTTTTCTTGGTAAATCCGTCAAAGCGACCACATATACTGAAGAAATCAGCAAGTTACTTGACGAAGGCCTGTTCTCATCTATGGCTCAATCTGCTCAAGGCCTCCAGGCCTCAAAGCTTAAGTCTCAAATCTTCACGTTCATTACCTGGGCTGTGCGTATGGGTGCTCCATCTGATTTGAGAGTTATTGCGCTGAGGGCTGTTGTTGGTTTACGCCAGTTTGTCGAGTCGCAGGGATGGCCGGATCCTGGGGTCAGTGGCCAAAGACTGTCTCAGACAGATGTTGGCCTGCGAGGATTGGCATATGAAAGTATCGGCGTATTGTCTCCAAAGATTTCATCGGGAGGCGGCCTTGACTATATTGATATGGATCTTCTTAGATGGCTCTTTAGCTCCCTTGCCTCTGACGCTTCAGCGGCTGAAATCTATGTTAGTATTGAGCAAGCCCTAGGCAGTATTTTGAACTCCTGCACTGGAAATCTTCCTGAAGGTGTACAGTCAGAACTGGGTAGCTTCCTCGAGTGTCAAATGCGAAGTCAGCCTGGCACAGAGTCTTCGTTGACCGGTTACCCTATTGCTCGCAGTACGCACTATACTGCTGTACGATATGCGAATCGGTGTCTACCATACTGGGACCTCACTGCTCGATGGATCGATTTCCTTGCCATTGCAAGTACCTCCCATGCGACAAGAGAAGTCATTGAAGAAGGAAAGAAAGGCCTTCATCCATATTGGTATCGAATGCTCAACCCTGTCAGGGGTACACCATCTTCAACAAAAACAGAGGATCTACCACAGTACAAGTTTCCCAGCTTTCAACAAGCAGCACAATTATTGGTAAAGCTAAGTGATTCTGACCTCTCGCAAAGCAATGTGCGCGGTGTCATTGCACCGGCGATTCGATTTTGCAAAAACCTGCTTGTATGGGAAGCGTTATCAAAGACGCAAGCACCTATTAACATCGACCAAGACTGGGAGTATAAACTTGAAACCCTCCTTCGATCAGATACACAAATGAGGAATGTCGTAAGGAATATCATCGCTCGACAACCCGATTCAATCATGACTATATGGCTGAATAGTGCTCTCAATGGGGTTATTGTATCAGCTGGATCTCAAAGCACAGACTGCGGCCGGGACTTCATAGATATTGCGTCGTTGAGTTCAAACCAAGTTGTAGCAACAGTCACTTCCAGAGCACCATCAATACTACAACGGATTTCATCGACTAACGATCATGTGCTTCAACGCATTGCTGCAAGAATTTTTGGAATCCTTGCTTCACATACATCCGTGACAGAAACAGACTGTCAACAAGTCTTTTCTGAGTTATTGGATACAAGCATGGCATGGAAGGGAGCTGCTGGCGAAGCAGCAAATAAGGTCCGAGGTGCCGTTCTTTCAGCTGCATATTTGCTTAGTCGATTGGCGTACCGCAGAAGAGTGAGCGTCATCCACGAAGCCCATATCGGGCAATATATCAGTCTCGTCATCGAAATACTTGACCACTCACGAGACTTGCAACTTTCAGAGACCGTACAAGTGACGATTGGTCAACTAGCACTCTCACAAGTGCTCAAATATGGCACACTATCACAGTCCAGCAAATGGAAAATCATCCAGACTAAGCTAGAAGAACATGCCAAGAAAGAGCAAGAGAATGCGATAAATGCATTAGGCCAATTGGCCTTGGTTGTACTACATGATGGAGGAGGGGACCAATCTGCGTTTAACGAGATCATGACGTCGCTACATGCATTGCATGAAATTCGCAAACCAGAGGTCCAATTCCCTGTCGGCGAGTCGTTAAGCACCGCTGCGGCAGGATGGGCGTCAAAGTCACTGACTGGTGAATTCGATGTGGATGAAACAGCATTGGAAGCAAAAATTCCGACAACAATCCTCTCAGAATTAGCTGATAAGTTGATTGCGGACTGTAAGGCTTCAAAGCCTTCTCTACGAAAAGCTTCCGCCATTTGGGCCCTTTGCCTTGTCAAGGACTGCGGAGAGCTCGAAGGAGTTCAGCAACGGCTTCGAGCATTTCAATCTGCATTTACTAGTCTCTTGGCTGATCGGGATGAGGTTGTCCAAGAGACAGGTTCGAGAGGATTAAGTTTGGTGTATGAAATGGGTGACCAGGATTTGCGAGACGATCTTGTACGCGATTTGATCGGCTCTTTCACTGGTAATGGCGCCAACCTGGGAGGCAAGGTAACAGGCGATACTGAACTTTTTGAGCCTGGTGCTCTTCCCACGGGTGAAGGAAAATCGATCACAACATACAAGGACATCATGAACCTAGCATCTGAAGTTGGGGATCCCAGTCTCGTTTATCGTTTCATGTCTCTTGCATCAAACAATGCGATTTGGTCAAGTCGAGCAGCTTTTGGCAGGTTCGGCCTCAGCAATGTCTTGTCCGATTCTAGTGTGAGCGGGTATCTTGCGCGAAATCCCAAGATCTATCCTAAGTTGTATCGATACCGATTCGACCCAAATCCAAATGTACAAAGGTCAATGAACGACATTTGGCAAGCGCTTGTCAAGGATCCTACGGCTCTATTAGACACGCAGTTTGATTCAATCATGGATGATCTACTAGCCAGCATTGTCGCAGGAAGAGAGTGGCGGGTCCGTCAGGCCAGTTGTGCCGCTATCGCAGACTTGTTACAGGGTCGCCCGATTGAGAAGTACGACAAATATTTGAACGATATCCTAAGCAAAGCCTTTAAGGTGATGGACGACATTAAAGAGTCAGTACGCACAGCAGCTCTAAGGCTTTGTCAGGTCATTACGAATATCTTGATTCGCACCCTTGAAGTTGGAGATACAGACTCGAAGCGGGCAAAGGCTATGCTTGAGCATATCATTCCTTTTCTCCTGGGTCACGACGGAATGGAGTCCAGCGCACAAGAGGTACAAGGTTATGCAATATCGACCTTGGTACAGATCATTAAGAAAAGTCCGAGCTCTCTCCTGCGTCCGTTCATGGCTCAAATATTAGAGAAATTCCTATCTTCTCTAAGTTCTCTGGAGCCTCAAGCGGTGAACTATATCCATCTGAATGCCGACAAATACGGGCTCACAGGGCAGGAGATTGATAAAATGCGACTATCAAGTATTCGAATGTCCCCTATGATGGAAAGTATTGAAAGATATCTTCTAGATGGTTTGGATGAGAGTACCATGAAAGAGGTCGCTTCCAGATTAGAAGTAGTCCTACGCACTGCTGTTGGCTTGCCATCCAAGGTCGGCTGCAGCAGAGTTCTGGCTCTCCTGAGTGGCAAGCCACTTTTGTTCGGTCCTTATGCCGACAGATTCATTCAACTATTGACTAAGCACGTCCTCGACCGCAACGAGACCGTCAGCGTCTCGTACAGTGCCTCGATTGGGTATCTCATTCGACTTGCAAGTGATGAGCGTGTATTAGAGACCATTACTTTTACCAAATCGCTCTACTTCAACTCTGAAGAGACTTCTCAGCGAACAGTATCTGGAGAAATCCTACACTCTATGTCGAAGCTATCAAGCGATAGGTTCTCGACCTTCGCTACTGCTGCATTACCATTCGTGTTCGTCGCTAAACAAGACACGGACGAGCAAACTCGCGAAATCTTCGAAAGGACATGGCAAGACAATGTCGGTGGACCTCGAGCAGTCGCGTTGTACCTGAAGGAAATCACAGCTATTATATCCGAGCGGCTAGAGTCATCCAATTGGACCATCAAACACAGTGCTTGCCTTGCGACAGCTGACGCGGTCACCAGTATCGGCAAATCTCTCGATCAACCAACACCAGAAATCATCTGGCCTATCCTAGAAAAGGCTGTGGGTGGGAAGACGTGGGAGGGTAAAGAGAAGGTCCTGAAAGCGTTTGTAAAATTCACGGAGAATTCGCGGGCATTCTGGCAATCCAGAGGAGACGTCAGCCAACAGATGAAAGTGAGTGACATACAACTTTCCTGCAGCCCTATATTCAATAGTGCATCGTATAGACCTACTAAGTGGCCGATTACTAACCATATTGGTAGGTGATTATTATCAGAGAAGCCAAGCGAAACAACGTGGCGTACCGGCCACACGCACTAAATGCGTTGGCCGATTTTGCAGAGATCCGGCCTGATTTAGACCTTCTCTCGGACGCTATCAACATCGTAGAACCAATCGTTGACGATCTCATCGATAGCGAAAATGTGAAGATGGACATAGATGGAGACCGTTCCAAAGCACTGTGAGTCCAAGGCCTTTAGCGCGTACCCCTGCATGTTGCTTAGCTTCACTTTTCACCTTACTTTTCTTGACAAGGCTGAGTCACTGATTCATGTCAGGGAGAATGAGACGTTAGCAGCATGTACCGGATGTCTGGTCCGGTGCATCAACCCCACAGGCAACGTACCGGAATCTGGTGAGTTTTGGCCAAAAAAAAAAAAAACTTGAAATCATACCGTAGCGACCCACTGACATACGTGTACGAGTCACAGACCAGCTGAAGTCCGTTATCAAGTGTATAGAATTTTGCCTACAGGGCAATAAGCGACAAGTACTGGACAATCTCTACAGCGGATTACAGAGTGTATTTGACAGGATAGGGGATGAATTATCCAAACAGGCAGTCGATCGCTCGGCGTTACAACAGCAATTACAAGTGCTAGGCAATGGCCTACTATTCGTTGAAATTGATCCGTCGATTGAGAGCCTGCGTCTAAAGCGTGCTCGAGTAGCGGAGAAATTCATCAAAGTGGCCTCTCAAGGGACCCAGGGCACCAGTGAAGTGGAAGCCGGCGCAAGGGCCCTGACTGACAGTCAACGACAACGCATGGAACTGTGGCTGGCGTCAGAGCGAGCTGAATCAATCCAACAGATTCTTAAATCTGCCCTACAACAGTTGTAATTTGTGACCGAGAAGTGTTCAGACCCTGTCCTAGCTTGATTAGGCTGTGGCTTTGGCTTAGTCGTGGCTTACTACCTACGTTATTGTATGGAGTAATACACTAGACCTCGACGGTCCTGTCATCCTGCTGCTTATGTACTAGTGCTGAAATATAGGGGACTCGGACTACGGGCAAGTTGATTGGGCGAAAGAGAAATTTTCACCACGTGGAAGATCGACGACGACGAGGCCATAGCCTAGTATGTACGAGTCCGAGTACTAGCAAAGTTAGATAAAATACCACTATGCGTGAATGTATGTACCCCGTACTTCTTGGTACCGGTGTGTTGAAAAAGAAGCATGAAACTAATCTGAAGTTTCTCCGTTGGCATGATCATGTGATGATGGTGATCCAGTCAATGTTCATAAACACAAGCATCGAGTGATGAAAAGTATTTCCCGGCGCTTAGTCCAGGAAGACATGATCCATCAATCCTGTCGACATTCATGACCAGACGCATGTTGTTACATACTTATATTTCGCCTAGATACGGACAAGGTTTGAATATGGCTCAAGGTACCATGGGCAGATACTTGGTATCCGATAAGTACTCCGTACTCATTAATTTTTCTCCAATACCGGTGGGACTTCGCGGACATGTGCCCGCTCTCCAGTGAGTATGGTTACAGAGATTTCTTCCAAAATTCGATATGGATTACGGAGTAAAGGAAAATGTATTTGGCATAAAACGTCGTAACTAGTATGGACGGAGTACTGTACGCCGTACGCGCGATAACCTACTAACGAGGGAATGCAAACTGACTTAAACTTTAGAGTTCACGTAGCGTGCCCTGTGTCCTTCGTACAGGGAGTCAAAATTATGCCCAGAGAACGACAAAATTCGAGGACTAAATTCAAGTCTCTTTTTATTTTTCAAGTGCATGACAAGTTTGAATGCAATTGATCCACATTCCTGTCCTAGTCTTTTTTTGGGAAGGAAGATGATGCATATGCGGCCCGCCGGATAATCTAAGCCTGTACAGGAAATGATAAGCGGGATCACGCCAATCATGATGGAGAATTGGGCGATTAGACTTGGATATTAAAACATTAGTCAATAATTTAGTTCATTACGTGCACTGACTCGAGTCCGTACGAACAATAATACGATACGGTTGGTTTAGCTTGATAGGTAGCCAAGTCTGGATATACTATGTAGGGCGAGTGCAAGTCTGGCCAAGTTAAGCATTAGAGTATGGTCCCGAGTAGGTGGGAGGATCTAATTTTTCTTTCATTCATTAACAGATCAATTGTTCAGGGTTAAATTAAGTGGTCAGTACGTATCCATACGTAGTAACGAACATAATATCGACGTTAAGCAATAGTTCATCGTGGCGTCATGCAGCATTGATGATGTCGGCACCCTTTCAACTGCACTCCCTTTTCTGGAACGATTATTCATTCCGACGCATTGCATGTGTTGCAGGATGGATGGTTCGCTAGGATTCCATACCATCAACCCTAATTGGGATCAGCCAGCCATTCTCACGATTTGCATTGTACGTAGTTCATAGTCAGGTGCTTCTTTAGCTATGTGTGAGTAGGCCAAAACACTTTGAGCGATCATCAAAATTAATTGTTTCTTTTTCCGTAATGGGAATTGGAGTATAATGAACACCGGTGTCTGTGTCGGGCTATTCTCCGCAAAAGTCAAAGTACGGAGAATCGTCCACGGAGTCTACTTGCTCGAGAAAGAACGAGGAAGAATATATTCTATGTAGACTGCCTAGCTTAAGAAAAGAATATTGGAATCAGTCTCTTTTCCCCAAGGGGGAAAAGAAAAATGACAGGGAAAAGAGAAAATTCCATATCACCGACATAGCTAGGATTGTTTGTTGGCCAAGGCTAAGCTGATCCGTGGCTAGTGCGCCCCACAGTTTGTTGTCAACCACATGGTTGAACGCTCGGATGGCGATATTTAGGGTTAGCCTGGTCTCAGAAAATCCGATCCATTTACAGTACGAATACGTTCTATACGATACGTGTCATCCGTATTATCCAAAGATAAACACCGACCGCGCCGAGCCGGAGCCGATCGACCAGGCACTTTATAGATAATTGAATATGTTAAGAGTTTAAGATCATCAGACATGAAATCATGCTTATTCGCAAAGTGACCAGTCTGATCCTTCGACAGACGAAAGCCACTTACTCCTTGGCGATATTACATATTCACAGTCGTAGATAGGGAACAAAGTCTGATAAGGCTCAAATTTGCTCAGCATGTCGTGATATGACTGGTCAAGCCTAACAGGATTGCAAGAGGATGTTATCCACCGGCGACAACATTGGTGGAAAGCAAAGATACGATTCCCGAACCCTAATGCAGCAGTTTCAGAGCGCTTTGACCACATACTGGCATGCATGCGCTTAACCACTGTGCTGGGCTCGAACGAAAAGGTTAAAGAGTCAAGACTTGCTCGTAACTTTTTGGGGTTTGGTCCAAGCTGCCTCGTATTTAGTTTCTTTCTTTTTTTCTCCTCCTTCGTATGGACTGATCGCTCGGACTTTGTCGGAGTTGAGCTTTCTGCTCTGCTTTCCTTGATTTGAGTGAAATCAAAAGCTATGAATCAACAATCGAGGAGAAGGTTCGACGGTGGCAAAGGAAATACACTGAGACAGAGTACAGAGTACGGTATAAAATACACTAGTGAAAGCGAAGTAAAAGCTTGGCATCCGGGGCGGCCGAAACGGTTTTTTTTTTTTTCATGAGATCCCAAGCGCAGTTTACGGAATCATCCAGTATCTCTGTATGCCGATGTATCAATCGTTACCGAGTTTCGACCGTGCTGGTTTTTAGCATTTTCGATGGGAGTGAAAATGGGGGGGAGGGAGGGAAAAGCAAATTGTTTACACGGTATAAATGATGAAAGAAAACGTGATTCTATCAAACACTTGGATCTTGGGTCATGCTGATAAGACTCAACACCCTATCATCTGGCGATATTCTGTCGAATGTGTCTCCCGGCATTTGGAATTTCTTCCCAGTGAAGGACGAGACAGCCTTCCTCACATTCGGTAAAGAGCTAATATCTACGGAATGTATGAAATGCATCAAATGGATATGCATAATGCATATTCCGAACCATGTGGAATCTGCATTTTTGCCACAGGTGACAACATTCAGTACGGATACGTACTAGGTGTACTGTAAACAATACGGCGGTTAGCTAGCGATTCCACTCAGATCGTAATCCACTCTGTAAGCAATTCTGGTATCGAATCCAGTAGTGTGTCAGCACCCAAGCACGCTGTTCGTGCAATGTGACTTATCTGGGCTAGATTGGAGTCGTACTAACTGGCTTGATGATTTGAATCTCCAGGCGGAGTGTCGCAGCCAAGAAATCAGGACAGGGGGTGACGAGCTGAGAAAAGGCATCGAGTGGCTGAGAATAACATGTCCTCTGCCTTATCATCATGTCATACCTGCATGAACGGTCGTTGAGGGTGTGAGGGAAATGTGCAACAGAAAAATGCAAGGAGAAGGCGAGGCGGAGTAATGTTGTTGGTAACAGTCCCTGGATCGATGGCTGGCTGGACTCACAGACAAAACAAGAAGTGGAAACCTCGCTTATTCAGTAGATAAGCCGGCCTTGACCCGACCTAGCTAAGCGCGAACCATGTCTGTGCTGTATCCGGTATAGCGCCACGCTTAACATGCATCATGCACTGCTGATTGGCCAGTCTATTAGATTTAGCTACCACGCTAGTCCCGATAGAGCGGCTGAATCGACGCCAAAATATTGAGCTAAGCCACGTTGGGGCCATATCCCGCGGGCTCTGGACAGACTCGGAGCACTCGGTTGACTCCGTTAGCTCGCTTAGTGCCTTAGGCATGTCCATTTTTAGCCTCATCTTTTTCTTTTCCCCAGATACATGCCTCTTTATTTTACTTGGCTGTATTGTGTACGTTGTACTATCGTTTTTTTGTCGACCGGCAATTACGTACACCCTGCAAGACCCGTTCGATTTTCCGGTCTTCATACATACAGCACACATGGATCGAGGCTTGAGCCGAGCCAAGAATCACCAGTGTCACCACCGCGTGGATGTGGGCAAAGACGTTAATCATGCCATAAATTACGATCTTGGTAATGCAGATGTATTCGTGCCACATACTTGTCACAATGGCTATTATAGTTCGTTTTCTTTACAATACCAATTTTTTTCCTCTTTCCCATCTTCTTCATAAGTTCATATACGATACGTAGTGCATTCAGGCCTAATCGAACATGCATTAGTTCGCAGACTCTTGCCATCTCTTTCGGTATTCCCGTGATCATGCTGGATGGGGCCTATCTTCTTTGGTTAGAATTCAGGGCTGGTCTGGACCCTCGCCTTCCGAATCGGTCAACCAGACCTTAGCTCCAATTGACTTTGGTGCCTATCTCTCTATCAACCTCTATATATTCATCTCCCTCTCCCCCAACGCCTAACACAAACTCTATACATAATTATAAATACACAATCGCCACTGGATCGCACCTTATCTCACCTACACCACGTTACCATCCTTTTTGGTCCATATATTTGACAATGTCCTGTGTTGGCTAGATTAGTCTCGATACCCATTTTGTTTCCGAAGAGGAAAGATAAGAAATAGCTGCGAAACGCCGCAGTTCGATCAACACTGGACCGATTCGACTTATCATGATACTCACCAGTACCCTGCCACTCAGAGATGGTTCTATGATAGCTGGAAAACACTCCCTTCGACTTCCAATGATTGCCCCAAAAGATGAACCCAGCAGTCCCACGACCCCGCTGGCATCGATCGCCCCCAGTACGGCAACTCTGGGTATTCCACCCCGGATACGGCTGCCCTCTCGGTCAAGGACAGGTTGCTGGTAAGTGTTTATATAATCTATCTGATTCCGCTTGGTTTCTGACTCAATTTCTCTTCCAGGACATGTCGTGTAAGCTTCTCTCTCATATGACTTCTGTGATCCACTTATATACTAACCATCCGGTGGTGCGTATGGACAGAGCCGCAAAGGTATGGCTGGGATCCCCCAAGTATCATGAATGGTGAAAATTAACGCCGCCTAGTCAAATGTGATGAACGTCGTCCTAGCTGCGGTCAATGCGCTCGTTTAGGACATCGTTGTGATTACAGTCCCCGTTTGACCTTTCGCGACGATACAGCTCGAGTAGTGGAGCGCATGACCGAGGTATCTACCACGGGCAATGTAGTATGGGATTGTACGTTTTGCATCTAAACATTATAATTATTCTCATGTTCTTACAGATCAATAGCCAAAGCACGCACCCTCTCTCCGCCCGTCACTCCCGGCGTATACGATTCTCTACCTCCTTTCTTCATGTTGACTTCAGATGACGAGCGTGAGAAGAAAGCAGAGGCAACCGTCCCTGGTACATATCATGTCATAGTCAACCCGGACAGCTTTACGAATTTAGAATACACAGACGAGGCTTCATCTGTCGATCTAAATATTGGACATCTTAAGATCCGTCGAGGTTCCGGAACCAGCTCAACGTTGAGCCAAAGAGACGACCTTCACAGCGTGAATGAACTCAACGATCCAAACGTTGTCATTCTGGATACTTTCGAAGATAGTAACCATCGTTCTCCTACCGCAAATTGGAGGAAGGCAAGGTTATCTCCTGCGTCAGATATCACTTCTGCCTCTACACTGGCCTCCCCTACTTTCTTCCCTCCCGAAAATCACGGTCCGTTAACACTAGGTCCGAATACTGCTAGATATAACAGTCAGGAGGAGTTACTACTTGCTCACTTTCGCGACGTGGTCTGGAAACAACTTATCCAAGGCCAATCCAGTCACGACCTCTTCTCTCCTGTCTCAAGTCCTATAACTCCAGGTGTAGAGATCTTTGAAGCTCTCGCGTCCACTTTTCAACCCGTTAGTAAAATCAACTCTAACCCCCCTTCAAACCTTGTACTGACTCTCCCAAAAGTTATACCATGCTATCATGGCTATCTCTGCTCTGAGCCTAGCTCGTCAGCATCGCAGCAAGAGTATTGATGCATTGCAACACTACCACCAAGCATTCCCTTCTCTCCAGACTGCTCTCCGTGATACGAATGATCTTTGTTCCGACGGTCTTTTCCTCACTCACTTTCTTCTTCTGGTTTATGAGGTAAGCAGCATAACCTTATATGGCTCTGCCTTCGCGGGGGAGAAAAAATTGATAAACTAACACCCCAATTCAGGTGGCCGCTGCAGAAGAGGGCGGGTCAAATCTGTGGTCACATCACATGGCCCGGTTAACTCAAATCTCCCTCATGAGAGTATCGCAGTACGGCAGCGAGCAATATCCCTATATCGTCTGGTTGGTTTGCAATATCGACCTTTATGCCCTACTCAGCGGTGCTGGCGCCGGCGAGTTTCTCAAAGCAATGCTTGACAACAACCTGCTTCCCAGCCCAAGGAGCCAATTGTACCCTTTAGCTCCAAGTGGGCACAGCGTGATATATCCAGAGGAGCACGACACATTACCGTCTGTTCTGCACTTCAACCATGAGACGTTTCTTCTAGCGATTAGACTTGCTTTTCTTGCTGCCGATCTTTATCGTCAGACTGAGGAGTATCGCACCAGCTCCCCACGATCTCAAAACCAGTCTTTCGATCCCAAACGACGGCTCTATGAGATCAGAGACAGCTTCCATCAATTGTGGGACAGTCCACAGGCTCATTATCTCTTCGAGAATATGAAAGTGCTCCCTCAGCGGTCTCGTGAGGTACTGCAAAATGTATGCCTTCGCGTAGATAGACTTTGTCTTAATAATACGGACTGACATCTGTTTTAGGCATTGTCACTTTATCACTCCTGCATGCTTTATTCTTACACAAGCTTGTGGCGTGGACAGTTACTCGGACCAGAAGGTGCTTCAGATGAGATTATTGCTCATCACGCAAACAGTATCTTCCATATTGCGGAGATAATCGTCCATTCGCATCAATTCGATCTCCGTTTTATCATTTTCCCACTTTTCATGGCCGGCGTCTCAACTTCGTCAGCAGGGCAGAAGATGATGGCTATGGATCTTATATCCAGTATGGAAAAGCAAGGTATCGGACGCAACGCAACGACGACACGACACTTACTTCAAATGGTCTATCAAGCACAAACGGACCAGCTTATGACTGTTGGTCACTCTGCTAATGTTGGGTGGTCAGATGTGATGGTCCAGCAGGGGATGCAGATCGTGAACTTTGGATTGTAGAATTATTGATGCATATATTTACATGATTTTATGGCTTGCATTTTTGTATTTGTTTATTTTGGATCTTTTCTTGGGAAGGTATACGGGTTTTGGGTGGAGTCTTGTACTTACATGATGATATTTGAGCAAGCGATTTGGGAATTGGGCTGGGCATAGTGAGGCTTTTTGGGTCTATTTTGCATATTTATGAGCATGTACATCTGGCTTTTTATATTGGGGCTTTCAAATACACGATGGGAAAGACCTTTATGCATTTTTACGTACAGCCTTTGCCTCTTCACGACCTCGGGAATTTATATAATTGCAATTGAGAGATTAATCTGATTGAATTACATGTGAAAGTCCTCCATATTCTCTGGTCAGTAGGCCGCAGTTATCTTATCATTTCTGTTGTGAGCAACAAATCTAATTATTAGCACGAAGAATATGCAGCTTGAATCACAATCCTTTTGAGTCGAAGATTGGAAGAATAAACAACAATGCTCTCTAAATTTAGATGCATATCCTGGTTAGCGGGTCTCGGCCCGATGCGGTAAAGTGGGCCTCTTGAATGTCGGCCAATCATACTACAGATCATTATTTACTTCTATGCTGAATTCTGATATGTAGTGTTGATACTCCTCAAGAGAGTAGGATAATCGATGTAACGTCTGCATGCAGTATAGCTCAGACTGTCGCTTACATCTGAATAGTAAAAACATCCAAGCTAAAAAGCCTTGTGAGAATATTTGGAAATCGACTAACTTGAATAGTCAAGGTAACCGCCGAGGAACTGTGATATCTCACTTGGCCAGCCAATCATAGTAAGAGAATGGGAACTCTCGCGCTTTTTGCCCGAGCTCTAGTCCAGCCAATCAGCGCTTGGGAGGATGCTTCCTTCCTCCTCGTTGGCGCCTGACTAGAACGACTGGTACTTTGATCATCAGATTCTGAAACTGTGTCCTTCATCATTTCCCCTTCGTTTCTTTTGTTTTCTATTTATGACCTGAATTGCATATTCAGAATACTTACGACTCGCGCAAGAGTTGCATTTCCTTCAGTCATCCGGAAGCGCATTCTTCCTGGAGACCAACCGATAAGAGTTGCCCCTCCTTCAAGTGTGAACTGGATTCATACTACTACTGACAGGTCAGGCATGCATTTGCTATTGTCTCGAATCGCATTGGAAGTGGTTTCAGAATATGCCCATATGAAATTATCTGCATGTTTGTTGTTTAGTGAAGTTATACTAAATTAATCTGTGGCACAGACTCTTCTCTTCACATCGTCACCGCGCGGCTCCCGCAATCGGGCTGAAGCTCACCATGAGTCCTACAAATCCTAATTATCATGGCAGACAAGGGGAGGAGATGTTTTTGAATGGCCCTTCCGCCGGTCGCCGAGATGGAGATGAATCTCCAATCGTGGAACCTCTGAGAATCAATAAACCTCCATCAGCAGCACCTACCCCACAGCCAACGGCTCCTTCTAATAATACTCTGCCTTATCCCGACGACCGACCACGGCCACAACAACAATCATACTCCCCTCCCAGTCAGACTACACCATACCCTCAACCAAGCAACCGCGTTGCCAGTCCTGCGCATAGCTTATCGTCATCCAGGGGTGCTACATCTCCAGCAGGGTACCACTCCGCTTTACGGCCTCGCGATGGACGGGAACAGAAACCCTCTTTGGCCGAAAGACGGGGCAATGCGCCTCCCAAACAATTACCGGAATCGCCTGGTCCAGAGACTCCTGATAAAGATAGCCTCTTCCAGAAATTCCCTCCTCCAGGGCCACCTCGTCCCGTGGCGATCGAGTCTAACGATGCTAGATATAATCAACAATACTTCCCACCTCCGTCGGCTACGAGCGCAGCACACGCTCGCTTAAGGGCTTCTAATCCGGACTCCATTAATCGCATCAGCTCTACGGCATCTAATTCCACAACTCGTGCGCAGAGAGGTTCCCCTCCGCCGCCTGAGACCCCGATTGTCGGTCCTGGTCAACGACCAGGAGCTGATATCGAGGCTCGGTTTGCAGCTGCAGGGATTGCAGGCACATCTACTCTGGCGAATCTACAGTCTCGTAATGCAGCTGCCCAACAGCGAGCGAATCAATATGCTGGTCAGACCGAAACGACTCGCCCTTGGACTCCAACCGAACAACCGGGTACGCAACCCCACGGGCCTCCTACAGTGTACCAAGGATCTAGTGAAATTGGAACCCAGCAATACCCTCCACCTACGCCCTCCCAGCCTATACCTCAACAAGCTCCTCCGATCAATCATGCCGATCGACCCACTATCCCCCCAAATGCCCTGGAGCAGGACCTTCAACGAATGAACCTTTCTGCTTCTCCTCCCCCCGCTTACTCGAGCGTGCCTGGCGCTAATACCTCCCATCAGTATCCCAATGACAAAGGAAGGCCTGTGCTCAGCTCCCCTCCTCCACAAGGACATCCGGCTTCAACTGGTGCACCCTCCGTTGCTGGCTCAGCGGTGGGTGCCGCCGCAGAAATTCCCCCGATCAGTTCCCCTGCTCCTTCCGTACAAAGCCACCCGGCCTTTGCCAATGATCCAAGGCAGCAACAGCACATACCACAGCCACAACAGTTGCCGCAGGGGCCACAACAAGTAATGTCACCGCAACAAGGACAGCCAACAGGAGCAATAGTTGAGCAAAGTATACAGACAAGCGCTTCCCCAGCTCCTGGAGGATTTCCACCAGCGTCACCACCGCCCTTACCTGAGGGTTGGATTGCTCATCTTGATCCAAATTCGGGTCAATATTACTATATTCATCTTCCTACGCAGTCTACACAATGGGAATTTCCAAAGGGACCCACACCACTCAATCTTAACGAGACCCCCATGTCGCCCGTTGGCAGTGTTTATAGCGCTCATCCTCTCACCTCTCCAGGATTTTCTACTCTCGGCGGTAAGCCACTAGCCTCACCGGGAGTCCCAATGACACCTTTATACGAAGGTAGTGTGATGGGACTCAGTACGGTTGGAACTGCCGTAACTGGTCCTCCTCCCAGCAGTGGGGTTGAGCTGTATAAGGTTGCTGCTACAAATGGTGTTTACTTTGGACCGTACTTGCGTTACTGTAATATGGATCTAGAACGGGGTATTTGGTTAGGGTCTATCTTGCTGGTTACGGACGCTCCACAACCTCCGACGATCCATATTCACCAGAGTGTAGATTTATCGCCAAACCCTCGGCAATTAAAGGGCGTTAATATACATCAACACCAGCGCTGGGTGTTTTATAAGTACGACATTGACTTGCAAATGGAAGATTCCGGGCCTGCAAAATGGACTTACGCCATCACTTCGCATCTTGGCTGCACGCGATACGAGTTCCTCGTCGCTGGACGATACGAGACGAACTGGAGATTTATCGCGACGTCAGGTAATGACTTCTCTCTGAACGTCAGTGCCAATGAACGAGCTCGGTTAGGCGGTGCCGGCTTTATGTGGAAGGATATCATGCAGAAGTATGCGGAAGTAGGAGGATTTCATTGCCAGTTAGGGCTTGGTGGCCAGATATCAGCGGATAGAATCTGGAAAGAGATACCCCTACTCAAGCAATGGCTAGGTATTCACGGAAAAGAGCAAAGAAAGAATGCTCCGTGGACCCCGGCACACGAGGAGGAAGTTTCACATGCTTATTTCCACTTTTACACGAGTCATTTCGACCAGCCACATCTTCGAGAAGCGTTTGCACAAATTCCATATATCCTGCAGCTGGACGACCACGATATGTAAGTCATAGTCTTTGCTCATTATGTTCCGATGCTAATATCGGATTGACAGATTTGACGGATTCGGCTCTTACCCACAGCATATGCAATTCTCAAACATGTTCAAGAACATTGGCCGTATCGGTATTGAGATGTATTTACTCTTCCAGCATCATACGACCTTGGAGCTTCTCCGTAATGTGAACTCCGATCATGACTTATTTACAATAACTGGGACAGGGTGGCATTTTGTCAAGTACCTGGGGCCAGCAGTCGTTGTCGTTGGCCCCGACTGTCGATCAGAGAGAAACCCTCACCAAGTCATGGCTGGTCCAACGTATCAAGGACTGTTTCCCAAAATTGCACTACTGCCGCCAAGCGTGCAGCATTGTATCTGGATGATTTCGGTTCCCCTGATCTATCCAAGGCTAGAATCCACAGAACAGATAGCGAATGCGGTGGCTACTGGAAAGAAGGCCGTCACAGGGGCATACAATCTTTTGGGTAAAGTGACTAGCTCGGTAGCAGGTGTCGTAGGGGCCAAAGATGCTGTCGGCTCAGGGTTCGATGCGGTCAAGCGGGCAGTTGGCAAGACCGGATTAATGGGTGGCGTACTCAATCCATTTGGCGAAATTGATATTCTCGACGAGCTCCGAGACCAGTGGACTCATGACTCTAAGGATCTCGAGCGCACGTATCTGATCCGTACCCTACAGGGCATTGCAAAGCAAAAGTCTATTCGCATGACATTCCTATCTGGAGCAGTCAATGTATGCGGAGCAGGTCTAGTGCATGACCCGAGTCATCCATCAGACCACAAAACGATGTACCAACTCATTTCATCACCGGTGGTCAACACACCACCGTCATCCTATATCCTGAAACTCCTTCATAACAATAAACCGCTCTATATCCCCGCCAACGGACAACGCTCAACCCCATCACAACCCACAGATACAAAGGAGGACATGCTGGAACTCTTCCAGACAGATGTCACGGGTCAACCCAGGGAATATCGTCGACTCATGGGTCGGCGCAACTACGTCGCTATTGTCGCATATGATCCGGAAGTTGTGTCAGGAACATTTGGACAGACAGATATGGCGCGTGGTGGTGGTAAACTTAGCCTTGCTGCTGATTTTATGGTTCAGGGTGAAGGTGCATATGGAAGTGTAGTCAAGTATGGGCCTGTTATAATCCCCAGTTTGGGATTTGGTCAATGAGCTTTTTTTTCTCTTGCCATTTTTCTTTTACTATATAACTATTTTCTTTGGAGTCTTTCCTTGTTGTCTATTGTCACTGCGCTGTATTGAACAATACCATGAGGCTGTCGTTCTGTAAATTCAAGGTTCTTTCTAGGTCTAGATATTATACTATTATATTATCAACAATACTCCATCGCCGGATTCCCATGAGTATTCATAGAGATATTTAAGCGTGTTGTAAATCTAGATAAAGTTTGTATTCTCATTCATGGGTATATCCTACTCATTACGCATTATAATTGTACATTCTTCCAAATAACAAGTTCATATACAGCAATATAAATGCCACTCATAGACAAGAGACTCCTTGACTTTACAACCATCTCCATGAGGTCGGATCTCCACCAGGAACACAGAGACCTATTCTCCAAAAGTAATCGCGATGCGCGAAGAAGAGTTCCCAGATTCGATAGCGTGTTGGTACTAGGGACCATTGTGCTTTCATTTCCTCCTCTTTTCCTTCCTCGGGTAGTGGTTGGTCATGACCTGATGACGGTAATATTGAATCGGAAGGCCTTTGGCTAGCAGGCGATGATGAGAGTACCTGCTGTTCTTGCGTGATAGAAGCTAGTATTACATTCTCTTCTTTTTCTGCTTCGCTACTTGATATGCAGCGGTTGTCAGCATTCCCAATGCAGTGCTCTACATCCTCGCGCGAAGGGGGGAGATCAAGTTTGGAGATGTAAATTTCACCGGCGTGCGGTGTATAACCCCATTCTGTCAGAGGTAAGAGCGGAACTGGATCATTCATATGCGTTACGCGTCGGTACCGCATATATATATCATCCTCATCTCCGTCTTCTGCTTGGGAGAAGGAAGACGACGAAAGGCCAAACATCTCATTGGTAAAGTCTGCCATCTTGTCATTTCCCACTCTGGGCTCTCCGAATGTGGTGACTTGAGGATCTAGTCCTCGCGAGTCCATTTCTAGACCTGCTAGAGCCGCTACAGCGCCGCCAAGGGAATGTCCGATAAGCCTTACTTCGTAATCCGGGTATTTTAGACGAGCCTGGGTGACCGCAGAGAGCACTGTGTCGCGAGAATTCTTCCATGATGTCCAGAATCCGGCATGAACGGTGCAGTTCTTGCACTTTCTTGTTTCGGTGAGGGAGGCCATTCCGTGATTGTTATCGTTGTCGCCATCCGCTGGGTAAGGAACATACTCCTGCGGAACGGCCGACAAGTCGATGATAGTATTCGTCAGCGAGTACGTCCCGCGAAATGCAACTATTATACGTTTCGTGGAGGGTGGGTGCGATAAAGCGATATACCCGCACGAGTCTGAGAGTAACGGCCCCGTATTCCAAGTCTTGAGAAGCACCGAGATTAGCCCAAGGTCTTCAAAGAAGAGGACAACAGCTTGTGCTACTCACCGTAATCAGCTCAAAGCCTTTAAACTCATCGCAATGACTCAGACACCCGAACGGGTTATGGATCCCAGTCGTGCCAATACAATAGGCAATATCTGCAAGACGTGCCGATTCCTCAAGTTCGGCAAAGAGGGCTGCAGATACAATCCTATCCGTGATGTTATGTTTATTTCGCTGTTGCTGCAGGGCATGTTGTGCATCGCTCTGTACTGCTGCGGCATCAGCTAACAGAGTAGTGGCGATTACCACGACTGCGTAACATCTGAGCAACAAATAAATAAACTGCGTCATGGCCTTGAATTAACGGTCCACGAGGTGTGGTGTCGCTATCTCGTATAAGTATAGATGCGGGTTTCTTCATATCTTGAAGTCAGGAGCTGCAACATTATCTTTCCCACACACAAATATCTGGGAAGAGAAGAATTTGTAGAATAATCGGATGTCATCACACGACTCGCTCAGTCTGGGGTAAGTCGGCCCTTACTAGATTTGTACTAGTGCAATATAAACCTTATTTATTGTCCAAGTGAACCAATCAGGTGATCGTACAGGCATCACATTTTATGTATGCATTCGATACAACGAGTTCGTACTGCTACCTGCTATTTGCATATAAAAGCTCTCTCAAGTAAGTAAATTTACTTGGCTCTAAATAGTCCACACAACAACTCTACCGTCCACACCACTCGCTGTAGATACGTCAGCCTCTCCAACACAAATACACCCATATAGATAGATAAAACTTACTGGTGAACTTCTTCACAACACCACCTTGCTCCTGGAAGACACGGACAGTGCTGATGGTGTTTTGATGAACTGTATCAAGCTGAGTGTTACTCTGGGCCTGGCCGCGAAGATCCATTTGACGGAACATGTTCAAGGCAGACTCTTCCCGAGCATCTCCAGCGTGACCACGCTTGTTCTCAAGCGAACCGGCCAATTCCCATCCGCTCTCATTGCCCCGGAGACGATAGACTTCACAGTCCTGTAACAGAATTAGTTCAAGTAGTAAGTAAACCGAGGCCGCGTCTACTCACATGACCTGCAGTAATAATTTCGTTCTCACCACTCCAGATAAGGCTGTTAAAAGGCAAGAGTCGAGTGCTTATATTGAGCATGGCCTTGGGTGGCTGATCAGGGGCGCTTGGGTAGACGACAGTCACGCTGCTATCGTGGGAGGCAAATGCAAGAGCATTTCCGCTGGGCGAAAAGGCAACTCCATGCACCCATCCAGCAGAATCATTCAAGAACTCGCCGCAGACGGTATTGAACGGAAGTCGCTCGCCCCAGGCCGAAGGCTCTGGTCTCTCATCAACGCCCTTGATGTAACTGGAGAACACTCTGGCATGGGAATCTGTAGATCCAGCGGCCAGGAGAACCGAGTTTGGGTGCCATGCAAGCGTAGTAATCGTACTACGGATAGGCTTCTTCAGATGTTTGGAGATCCACCAGTCATTCTCCTCCTCGAAGTAGCAAACCGCAATTACACGAGCTCCGGAACCGACGGCGAATTTCTGCTCAGAGGGGGACCATCGAACATACGTCGCAGCACGGTTGATTCGGAGGAGGACGAGTGTGGGCTTCCAACCGTTGGGCGTCTGTTCCCAAACATAGGCATTACGGTCTATTTAGAGTAGTTTAAAGTTAGTCGTGGAACATAAATTAGCTGGGAAGTTGTCAATAAACACCTTGTGAGCAAGTGACTATACGACCACTGTTTGGAGCAATATCGACACCTGTGACGGTCTTGTCGTGGCCTCTCAATTCATCCTTCAATGTGAACTTGTTGCCTGCCGCCTGATAAAGCTCCACATTGTTCTCTCGAGCGACGGCCAGAGTACTCTTGTCTTGGGAGAAAGAATGATCCGCAATTGGGGAGTGGAAAAGATGGTGAACCTCGAAAGAAGCCATGTTGTTATTTGAAAGTGGTTGCGACAGGAGTATCTCTCTACTGTCGAGGTTTTGGTTGTCTTGTTCGCGATGGGTTGATGACGGGCCGGGCTGCTAGGTAGTAGATAGAATGACGCCGTGCTCCGCCCGATGCACGTGACCTCAGTAGCTTGAACCCGCTAGGTGATTTTCTTACGGGAACAACTTCACATCTTTATTTGTTCCGAACAATTCTCCCTCAGTCTCGTTTGAATTGACATTTTTATCTACAAGATCGATATGGCTACCAGGGTTGTAAAATCTCAAAATGGCCAAGCAAATGCCAAAAATGTCGGCGCACCAAATCAGACGTAAGTACGTCCAAGCTAGTACTTCATGAGCTTAGATACTAATATCTTTCTCAATAGGCTGTACATCAAGAACCTGCCGGATAAGATCCGAAAGCCAGACCTCAGAATGGCATTATACATGCTTTTCTCTACATACGGCCCTGTCTTGGATGTTGTGGTTATGAGAACAGCCAAAATGCGAGGACAGGCACATATAGTCTACCGAGATATTCAGGCTAGCACACAAGCTATGCGTGCTCTTCAGGGATTCGATTTTTTTGGCAGAGAGCTAGTGAGTCACAATATTCATGATTGTAAAAGACCGCTGCTAATACACTATGCTATAGGCGATTGTATATGCGAAAGGGAGCTCCCATGTTATTGCTAAGCTCCGCGGTACATACATGGCAACCGCCACGGCGAATGCTCCCGTAGGAGCATCAACCGACTTGCAAAAGTCCATCTTCGGTGCTCCGCCCTCGGCCGCGACTGCTGCAACAGTTGGTACTAAACGTCCTCGCGAGGAAGAAAGTGACGAAGGCGAGGCACCTATGGATGAAGATGAGAGTGATGTCCCAATGGAAGCCTCATCGGATGAGGACTAGGTGTGCTATGGCCAATCGAACGGTGATACTTTCGTGTTGACAAGCATGAGCTCGAACCGTCAATCGCTCCGGACTATGATGCCACGAACAGTCGGCTGGGAAGACTTAGATTAATGCAGCCACCAACAAGGCCGAGCCATGTGGGAAGATAGTCTTCCGGTTCAATGTTTTTATCGCCGGCAATCGCTTTCATGGCACTGGCGGTGTTACAAGGGTGAACGAAATAAGCTGGAATGCCAGACTGTGGATGATACTGTTCTTAATGAGTTCATGAAGATCACAGCGACAACATCGCGACAGGGTGTCATAACGTACTCCAAAACTGATACCGCCCATGACGCCGTTGCTTTTCAATGATTGTTGGTGTTGATGCGGGACGAGGAAGTTGTATATGTCATCTAATGCCGCAGGACCTACCTGAAAGGCCCCTTTTAGAAGGAAATACATGACAGGTACATTATATGACGTTGAGAGTGCAATATCATAGTCAATGGCCAATTGTTCTTCATTGACCCCATCGCGAATAAGGGTTTCCTAGCGTGGAGTCACGGTTAGGACCAATGTAACTACAACAGGTAGGACCTTCGGATGTCTTACTCGATCGTCGTCTTCGATCAGATCTTCTTGTGAATCCTCACCATTCTCTGTGCGCCCATCCACAAAGGTTTTTTTTCCTTCAAGACGCCCTCTTTGAACGTTTATAGATTTTGATATCCTCAAAATCGAACGCCCCGGCTGTAAAGACATCTTAATCAGCTACGATCTGTAAAACCCCGCTACTGCGCTAGTTCCATGCATCATGTAAGGCAATTGTATGATTGACGTCCCATGCGCTGGATTGCTTCAAAGTTCACACCAACCTCAGATGGCAAATACTCAACTGCTAGCCACCCAAGATTTCGCCCGCCTCCAGCTGCATCAACTCGTCTCACAAATGCCTGGCAGGCACATTCAAAGCTATCTGCAGCTAGGAACGGAAACGTCAAGTCCTCGCCACTTTCCATGTAGATCTCCCACGTTGTGTTGCAGAGTGTACACTATCAACCGTCCGCAGTGTCCAATATAACTATACTATGGTCCGAACTTCCCATAAGTCGCTGCGGATTGAACCTTAGAGTCTTCCGACAGATGGGACTCGGGAGGTGTGATCATTACCCAACCGTGATCGAAGAGATCGCTCCTATTGTATGTCGTCGCGATGTACCATTCAGAACATTGAAAAATATGTGATGATTGTAACATGTCAAGTCAGGAAGGCGGCAGACCCATGTGCAATTGCCGAGTGTTTAAGGTGGGGGCGGTCAAGCTTCCACTCGACACATCCATTTTTATCTCTTGCTCTCAATGTCCCATCGATGTTTTCAACCATCAGTCCTTTTATGCATCTCAAACCCGCAACTAATTCGATGAAAAGAGTACAAATATTTTAACAAAGACATGTTCACACCTATCACGTTCTCTCATGTGGCTGGACGACAAGAGCGGGTACCGAAGCATGGCAGCCGTTTGCGGTCTTTTAATTCACCTTTCTACTCCGTACACCGCAGATTCGCTAGCATAAGTTGCATTCTGATCTGAAGCATGTTTTGGCGGTCTCTATGATTGCGCAATACATAAGACTCGGAGAGAGTCTAGATTCCATCTAGCTGCATGGATGTCGTCGTGGCGCATCGGAAGCATGGCATCACTAGACAGTAAGCTTGCTTCGGCCAGCAGTGGCTGTTACACTACCACGATTAGGTGCAGCATCGGGGAAGAACGTGTCTCTCTGAGTGGGTGACTTCGCAATAACAATCCCCGCAAAGCTTACTGGAAGCCGGGACGTACAGGGGTGGCTCCTTGGCCGCTAAGCATTGTCCGCCAATCGACCCACGCCAGACGCTCCGTTTTCGAACAAATGCCTTGTTTTGCTGTCCATCGCAATATCACCTGAATACAGCCTGCTTGTGCTTGGTACATCCTACGGCGAGCAATTAGTCTCACTAAGGCCCTTCTACGTCCGCTTCCATCATGTCTGTGCAGTGACCACCGCAATATGCGGCAGTTAAGTTATTTCTTGAGTGGGCAGCCCTACTCGTTTATGGAAAATAAACCACGAGATCATTACGCTTTCGTCCTTGTTTTGATGCTCCACAATCAAGGCCCTAGCTCTGCAGTTGATTAATTTATCAACATAGTCTCGGCCTTGTTGAGTTATTCCATCTGAGCCGAATGTCATCCTCACGGTTACTGGGAATCACTTCAAGCAATTATTTCGATACCGACAACAAATCCGATATTTCAACTGTAAATCTATAATACGCTGGGGCTTGATCTGTTCGACGGGATCTTGTGAAACGATCGTCTCTCTGACCCATTGAGACTCATCATCCTCCCGAAGGCAAGTTCACGATTTATATAACGCGAATTTGGCAGCACTGGTCAATTTAACTTGAATACAAGGCCATGCGTTACACATGAGATCTGTGGTACAGAGATCCTAGCAGAGCTAACCTCTCAAAGGTACATTGCCTTTTCGTATACATCTTCTCTAATGTCCGCGTACTAACTGCCTATTGTGGCAGAGCTTCTGGGGCCTTTTCCAATGGGTCACGCATCCTCAAAGCAAGTGCGCAATGAGCCCCAAACCACGAGGCGGCTGTCAAAACCACCGACAAATATATCCACGTTCAATATAGTGCAACCAAAGACCGGAAAGTCATCTAGAATCCCTGGTCAAGACCAGAATGAATTGCTTGACGAGTCAATGTTCTGGAAGAGTCCATGGACGGGTGATCTCTTACCTAAAGCCAATCCTGAAACAAATCTGTCGGATCATAATAGAGTGCGGCCTTTCGCATCGCTGCCTAACTCACAAGCTGAACTACGAGGATCACTTCAAGGGAGCAAACGCTGGTCAAGCATTGATGACTTTGCTCTAATGAAGCATGACCACTCATTGTCACGGTCAGGTTCTTTCATCTCCAGAACACTTTCGCGACGAGCATCAATGGTCCAAAGGCCTACTTTTCAATCACAACGCGAAGACATGACTGTTGGAGAAACTCGCAGAGAGCCCGTCATCCATTTCGGTCCATCAGATATAGGGAGTCATGATTTGCACTTATCCGTGGAGAGCTTGACTTCGGAAGACCGATCTCCAGTCGAGGATTCACGCGCTCTTCTGGGTCGTCGGAAATCCTTCCGTAGACCAGGTATTGCAACGCGAAACCCGTCTTGGGGGCTGTATCGCACTCCGCTGTCGTCAATCCAACAGGAAGAGGAGAGACCTTTTCTGTCTGAAGTCCCTGCTTCACGGCCTCCGTGGGGGCAGGAAGAGGAAGACAACTATATGCCGCTATATCATTATGGTGGGCGCGCAACCTCTCCAGTCGCATTGGACTACTCCCACCTAAGCGGGCTTAAGAAAGGCACTTTGAGGGTCGTCAATGCGTCTGTATCCCCAGCAAGCACTGATCGCCTTCGTCTTCTTACGACATCTTCTCTAAGCAAACTTCCCAAGCACACTATGGCTCAAGCTGATTCTGCTGTGTTCATCTCAGACAGTGCAGATGAAGATGAGGCTGTTGTTATTCGCGATAATACTTTCTATTTTGAGGATTCTGACGTCTCGGGAGATGGCGAATACATGGAAACATGTGAAACTCCGGGCTCAGAAGCAATCGGATACACAAGGGTGCAAAAACCACAATCCAACACAAACGCTGATAGCGGTTATAGTTCAGTCAGCTCAATTCGCTCCGGCGACTCTTCCGGACAGTCAGGAGCCTCACCTTCCAGCTCCCCAGTGCGTAGCCCTACACGGTACGAAGTGGCTAAGCATGTGGACAAGAGAGGTTACTTTGTCAATGGTATATCCAGACCTAAAGAGGTCACCCTTGAGAACCTCATTCAGTCGGGGAGCACGAAGTCCTCAAACTCCGGAAAAGGCAAAATCGCAGGACATCAGGAAATGCCATTATCTGAACACAGTCGCTTTTACGCTCAGCTCAGCCCCTTGAGTATTCCGTCCGTTCCAGAAAGAACCGGCATCTGTGATAGGGAGAGCGATCATGAGAACTCTGAACGAGAGATGGACAATGACGAGCAGACACAAAGTCCTTTTTCACCTATTCTTCCGAAGCATGCATTTGTACAAGTTACCAAGGACTACTCCGAAACAAATGCAAACAAGCCGTCGGAGCCTCATATGGCATTTGCTTCTAAGTCTCTTTCGAAGTCACAATCTCGGATCGAACGAAGCAGGGCCTCTTACGGGAGGCGACCAGCACTCCCAACCCGTAATCTTCCTGTAGACAGAGCGCAGAACTACGAAGCTCCTCGAGGCCGAACCCGGTCATGCAGTGTTGGCCGTCCCCGTACCAAATTGGTCAAAAGTTGTAAAGTTGCTGTATGAGATATGATTGCCATGCTAATCAGTGTGTGAGCCTATGTTTCGCGATCCTTTTCTTTTTTTCTCCCTTCTCTCTTTTAGACCATTCTTTCAGCGTTTCTTTTTATGCCTTGCTGTGATCCGATTATATACCACTCATTATTTATATTTATTACGGTTTGCTTAGGGGGCGTTGCTAGGGAGCGACTCGAAGAAGTGTTTGCATATATGGAGTTTGATTTTCTGTTGTTCGTCTATCTTTCTTTGCGCATTTGACATCATATACTGTATCGCAGTTTTCAAGTAATGACCTGCTTAGGATATTCTTAGGTATGAGGAAACTACGACATTTTTTACTTTATAATAGGAAAGTAGAGTTCTGATCAATATTCATTTATTCAATTGCCATCATCACATGCTCAACACAAAAGAACTTCGTTCCACAATACAGGCAATACTTCCCATTAATAACCATACAAGACAATTCCTAAAAAGGTTTCCATCAGCAAGCAATAAACATGATACCCAAGATTGTAAAGTCCCAACGCCTTGCAACCATGCAATATCAATTAACTAAGACGGTATGGTATAATGGAATATGCATTTATTCAACGCGGATCCGCTTAGCCTTCTGGGCGGCCTGCTTTGGCACAAAGACAGAGAGGACACCATTCTTGAATGTCGCCTTGACACCGTCCTGGTCAACACGAGTGGGGAAGGTGAATGTTCGCTGGAAAGTGCCAATAGAGCGCTCGGAAGCCCAGTACTTGAATTTTGGCTCTTGTGCAGACTCTGGCCGTTGCTTCTGCTTGGTGACTGAGTTGTTTGTCGTCTTCTGGACGCTGACTTTTACGGCTCCATCCTCTTCCTCATCTTCAACGGTGGGTGCGTGGTAGTTTGAATGTGTGCTCGAGGCACCATCACTATGAACAGACATGGCATCGTCATTGTCGTCAGTTGTGGTGGAGTGTGAAGGAGGTGCGACGTCGTAGTTGCGTTCAATCTGGCCCTTAATCACTATGGTTTCGGGATCGGTGAATTCAATCTCGATATTTTCTTGTTGAGCGCCAGGAAGCTCTCCATCTAGAACGTAGGATTTTTCTAATTCTCGTACATCAAATCGAGGTGTGAAGGAAGTGAGTTGACGAGGAGCAAGCGCAACTGGAGTGGATTGGGCTGCGGATGGTTTGGCACGGCTGGATTGAGCTGGCTTTGGTGATGCAGGGCGACGAGTGTCGCAGTAGTCATCCATGAGTTGGAAGAGAGGCAGGAAGTCGCCAGGAGACAGGGTTGTTGTGTAGAACGACATTTTGTCTGAGCTGTGTAGAATGTTTAGTGTGATGTTTGGAATGATGGTTGGTGGTGATCGAATTTGATAAGAAGAGTTGCTTTTTTGAGTGTTGCGATCTCAGTGATGCTGATGTTTGATGAGTAGTGATGATGATGATGATGATTGAAACAGGAATCCTCGATGGAGCGTACAACTGGCGAGCTTATATAGCTCGTTGTGTACGTGATACAGCATCTTCGCGATGTCTCTACTTCCTTTCTGGATGGTTGTAGATGCTTCTAGTAACTTGTGGAACGCCGCATAAGCTGGAAGGTGCGGGAAGACCCACCGTAGCTTGTGGAAAGTCTTGGCAATATTGGTCCTGTTGCCACGTGACTAATCAAGGTCAGGGAAGCTTCGAGGTTTTCACCATTTGATATTTCTAATCCCCGGTGACGAATACGTCTCAAGCTGTTTGTGGCCTTTTCGCAGTAGATGTTCGATTGTAGAGAAGTCTTTCTTGTTCACGTCAAGTTGCTTACGGAACTCAGCCCTAAATTCCATGGTTAGCTCTGAATTTCCGGACGCGAAAGCATATTGGAGATTAGCAAAGCAACATACTGTGCGAAAGCTCGAAAGTTGTCTCTAGTGTTCTATCAAGTATCTGTCAGAGGACTTATACAAAAAAAAGTTCCGTGGTGCATACCTGTGGTTTCTTCCGGACTTCTCTTAGACACTTTCGGTACAGCGAAAGGACTTCTCGCTGTAAGCCGGACAATCGTCGCATCTTTGCAGTTAAACTATAGTAAGCTCTGTTGAAGATATCTTTTCGCCTTAGTGTATAGCGCGCTTATTTGTCGGTTTGTATTGGACGATGCGAGCTGGATATAATGGACGGTGATTGAGATGAATGGACCAGGATTGCTGCGGTTGTCAGATAGCCGGTAACCGGAGCAGAAACCCCTACTTAACCCTTCACTGTGGATTACGTCGTTGCGGCTTATCGGCCGAGTTGCCGACATCAGTGTACTTTCATAACTCCATCTTGATGTAGATATACTATGTAGGATTAAATTGGACGCAAACTGCTTCTGATATATTTTATATGGTATCGATCTATTGAATTGTTTCAGCGTTGCACAATGTCTACATTCACGGTAGGTTCAACTTGCAGAGCATTGACAGCTATATATTTCATCGGAGCATGCAGCACTTCCAGAGTCAATTTCTGACATATACAACAGCGTCTAGTCCGCTTCCTGGCCAAGGATGGTCAAATATACTATGGCGACGCCATCCTTCCCTCCGGAAAGGCTGATATCTCTCAAATCACAAAAGCCAGAGTCATCAAGGGAGATATATTCGGAGAGCACCAGGTCACAGATCAGGTTGCCGAAGTCAAGCTCCTTCTAGCGCCATTGGCTCGCTCCGACATCAAGACAGTGCGATGTTTGGGATTGAACTATGAGCAACATGCGATAGAATCCAATGCACCCATTCCTAAATACCCTGTTTTGTTCTACAAACCCGTTACATCAATTGCCGGGCCGAATGATGACATCCCTGTTTCGTATATGGCTCAAGAAGGGGAAGGGCTGGACTATGAATGCGAGCTTGTCGTTGTCATTGGCAAGGAAGCAAGAGACGTTTCGGAGTCAAAAGCCCTAGACTATGTATTGGGATATGCGGTTGGCAATGACGTTTCTCATCGCGACTGGCAGATCAAGAAAGGTGGTGGCCAATGGTCATTGGGGAAGGGGTTTGATGGTTGGGCACCCTTTGGACCGGGTATTGTTTCGTCGAAACTGATCCGTGATCCAAATACGCTGGACATTTCTACGAAACTTAATGGGAAGATTGTCCAGTCGTCAAACACGAAGGATCAGATCTTTGGTGTTGCAAAGACCATTGCCTTCATTTCTCAGGGCACTACATTGTTACCTGGAGATGTTATCTTCACCGGAACGTAAGTCTCACCTTATTCGAAGCGTCTCTTGTAGTTTTTACTAATGATCCATTACTTGCAGTCCTCAGGGTGTAGGCATGGGCAGGAAACCCCAGCTTTGGTTGAAAGATGGTGATCACGTTGAAGTGTCTCTCCAGGACGTTGGAACGTGCTCCAACCGTGTAATCTTTGACAAGCCCACTGCCAAACTTTAGATTGTTGATTGAAAGCGGGTAGCTATTAATTCGATAGCATGATTATTTTGCAAACTCTGAGGTAATGGGTCAACCGGCAGAATCATAATAGTATTTCTATCAAAAACCGTAGCCATCCCATATACATTCTCAATCCTAGTTCACCTGTGTGCCATATCCACGGATGGCCTCAGCAAATGCCCAGCTTTGCGATTCTAACTTTTCCTTGTTCTTGACCTCAACGCCATCCTTAGTGATAACTGCAAGTGTGTATTGATCCAAGCTTCGGGCATCTCTGTAGAACAAGACTCTCATGCAATCTCTCAAAGCTTGAATGGCTTGCTCCTTTGAGATATTCTCGATCGGCGTATCCTCCGGGAAAAGACGACGAAGGATGGGGACGGCTAAATGAGCACCAAACCCGGTTGCAAGGTGAGGCCCGCTGAAGGTAGTTCCGAGCAAATCGGCAGAGCTGAGGAAGGGGCTGCCATCGCTATCGAATCCTGCAACCAGTATGTGGTTCCACAAAGGGTTCATCTCAGATCGACGTTTGTAGAAAACCTTGGCAAGGTAAGTGTGTAGATTCTTGGCATTGAGTGTGCTGCCGGTAGCTGTGTAGTTCTCTCGGATCTGAATAGAGCCCAACAGACGGTCGATGTACTGCATGTCGGACACGTCACCACCAAAGCCCACGATAGCCGCATCATCGAAGGTACGAATACGGTTTACATCGGTGAACCGAGCGAGTGATCCGTAGGATGCTGTTATAAGGCCGCGAGTCAGCTTGTCGGTGATGTAAGTTGTGATGGATTAAAAGTGTTACCTAGGTTGTCTGTGGCCATCGCTACACCTCCATTGAACTTTACTGCAATCACCGAAGTTCCCGTCACTGCCGGTGATTGTGTGTGCGTTTTTGGTCCGGATGACTGCAAGTAGGAGTGATCATAAGGTCCATAAATATCATCTCTAGGCTGTTATATATATCATTAGTAGCTGTATACCGCCCGTAGCATGGATAACAAAGCAACTCACACGACCCCAGGTTCCAGGGAAATGATCCATGTTTATAGTTCGATATAGTTCAAGACTTCCTCAAACTTTGAAATATTAGGAGACGAGAAGTGAAGTGAAGGCCTTGATGAAGTGTGTTTGATGATTTGTTGGGAAGCTTCCCTTCCAGAGAGCTCTTTCTAGGCAGGAAGCTGACGGAGGCGGTGGGTCTTTGTCCGCATCTACCAAGCCACATCTAATTGTGGCTGGAGTTTTAGTTACAAATATGAAGCCCAACTCGCATCAAGTAACTACAAGCTTTAAGGAAATTCAAAAATGAATTTCATAGAGAGCCTTGGATGATCCTTTCCTAGGCATTTTATACGTCATAGTAGACCTAATTGGCAGAGAATTCGGTTTCATCGGCGGCAAGGAGAGTTTGTAAGCTATGAATTTGTATCACTTGACATTAAAATCATCCAAACGCTAGGTATAGCGTCCAGTGCATAACTAACAAAGGTCTCAAAACATTACAGAGCTTTATTTCTCATTCACGGCGCGTAGCAGTAGCAAAGTCGATGGTCCGATTCTTGTCCTCCTGTCTGGCTTCATCAATCTTGGAGCGTATAGCCTGCTGCATCTTGTAAAGTTCTTCCTTATATGCCCATGCAGGCAATGAGGTGTGATCCCATATATCAGGCGGAAGCGCCGATGCATATTGACTCTCGTTGTCGATGCCGGTATGCTCCCGTAGCTTGAGAAACAGACTCGGGTTCTTCAGTGAGGATGACGCTGATAATTTCTCGTTAAAATGAACACCTTGTTTCTTTAATGCTAGAAACTGCGTTGTTTTGCCACTCGCAATCGGGTTTGGCGATCCAGGTGGTGATGGAGGTATCTCAAGATTAGGAACAGGAGGTAGAGTCAAGTCCTGTATCAGTGCCCGAGAGGTGGAATATGGCGATGATTGACCTTGATGTTGCTGTCCCATAGAAGATCCAAGTATCTCTGAGGGCTGTTCTGGGCCCAGGACAGGTCCACTTATAGGACTTGATTCTAATGGTGGTGTGTCCATATGTTCCGCAGTGGCCTCCCCTATGTCATATGTTAGAATAGAATTACTTGGTAAGAGGGATATTTGTCACCTCTTTCTATGCTTGTAGTATCCTTAATAGATGTCTCTCCATCTCGATCCTTTTTTGCCTTTCGAAACATTAATAACAAATTTAAACAATAATTTAGAGCTCAAGTACTCACCTCAGAAGAGATCTTCACCTCAGAGGGTGTTGCTTCATCCTCGCTACTGCTGTCATAAGATACCAAGCCCAGCATTTTGCCCGCCATAGAGTGTGCCTTTCTATCAATCCAAAGATTTGTAGAGTATTCTTTGTTCGTGGTGGTTGTTGATCGTAAAGCTGGTTGTAGAAATTCAGCCTGTGCCGTGCTTGATTGGCTGGAGAGCCCCTGCTTCCTTACATAATCCCACGAGGCAGCGACAAGCTCCGCGTCACTACTATCATCCCCCGGAGCTTGCCTAGCACCTCTCCAATACCACATTCATCTCAAAAAAGATCTTCTCTCAATTCCCAACCCTCTTAAAAGCTTTATATTCGAAATACCGTCGTGTGAAGAGCTAGGTTCTCGTTACACTTCTGCGATGGCATCTCTTCTACCTCATTTCACTGCTCCGATGGTTGCTGGACACGAGAACAGGGAACATAGCTTTAATCCGTTCGTCAACACGCTGTCGAACTCCTGATGATATACCACTGACATTTTTGCTCTCATGATAGATACACTGATAACGGTGGTTCCACTCTCGGTATTGCCGGATCCGACTTCTGCATTCTGGCCGGCGATACTCGTTCTACTTCAGGCTACAACATCAACTCCAGATACGCACCCAAAGTCTTCAAGATAGGCGGCGATGACGAGACCGGAGAAGGCGCTCATATTGTTCTTTCGGTCGTTGGCTTTGCTGCAGACGGTCAGGCTTTGAAGGAGAGGCTTGACAGCATTGTCAAGGTGTACCGATATCAACACGGCAAGCCCATATCCGTCAAGGCATGTGCACAGCGTCTGTCGACGATACTCTACTCGAAACGATTTTTCCCCTACTACGCCCACGCTATCCTCGGTGGTTTGGATGAAGAAGGACGCGGTGCTCTATACAGTTACGATCCCGTAGGCTCTTACGAGCGAGAGCAGTGCCGAGCTGCAGGTGCAGCATCCAGTTTGATCATGCCATTCCTCGACAACCAAGTCAACTTCAAGAATCAATATATTCCTGGAAGTGGAGAGGGCCATGCTTTGGAACGACGCACGCCTGCTCCTCTACCCCGAGACACCGTCGAGCAGCTTGTGCGCGATGCGTTTACCAGTGCAGTTGAGAGACACATCGAAGTTGGTGATGGCTTACAAATGATGATTATCACTAAGGACGGCATTCAAGAGTCGTACACCCCATTGAAGAAGGATTAATTTTGGAGGGTTTGATATTCCTGTTCAGTGAATGATGTACTTAAGTAAACTCTAATCATAGCCTTATAGACCGGTTGTGAATTCTCATGGTAATCATATAGTCGTCCCATATAACCTTGTAGTATCTTTATTTAAAACCGAACGCCAGACACATGCGCCAAATGAAAATCAAAACGAGTTTATAAACCACCTAGAACCTCTCTTTCATTCTAGATGCAATAGTACGTAGGTTGCCATACACCTTGCTCTGTTCCAACAATTAGTTCACACGAACATGGTATCAGAACTGATGTTAGCGAAACAACTTACCGGAGGACTACCCAAAATCAAACTGACTATAGCCTCTTGGGCCATCTTGGCATTTTTGAAAGTGCCCAAGATGTGGACTTTCTGACCCGCCAAGACTACTCGAGTTCTTGTCGCATTTTCAATAGCAAATTTTGTTTTGCCGTTATGACCAGCTGATAGGACAATGTTAGCCATATCCAGTCAGTCTCCGGTGCCACGGATTACAGTACCTATTCGGCCAATTGCTCGACTCAGATGGTCACCGCTCAAAGTCTTAACATCCTTGATCTCGAAAGAGTTGATATATAAATCATCTAAACGTAGTAGAGCGATAGCGTCATCTACATCGAAAGATAATGCAAAAGCTTTAACGAAGTCCGCTCCTCTCTGAAGTGCCGACGGATCGGTGGTCAATCTGGATAGTAAATGTATTAACGATTGAGTCTTCGAAAAACCAATTGCATGTAGTATATACCTGCTATTTCTTAATTCAACAGTGCGACTCTTCACATTCATCCGTACTTGGAGTTTCAGGTGTTCAACGAGAGGAGGGTATATTTTCGGCCAGTATGTTTTCAATGGTGTCATCCGATGGGGAGGAATAGGTACTTTTCTCTGTTCGACACGATAGACTCCAGGAGTGTCCTTGGCGGGGGTAAACACGGGACGACCTTCTTCATCGACGTGCATCACATCTTCTGTGTTATCTTCTTGAATAGACTCGACTGTGAAATCTGGGGCGTTCTGGGAGGCGTCAATCAGGACTTCGTCATCGTCTGCGGAGTATTGTTAGTAAATAGGATTGGACCATCACAATATAGCCAGTACGAACTTTGCTCCTGAAGTGAGCTATTGAGAGCGGTATCTTCTGCATTTTGGGGCTTGTTCAAAAGTGCGGTAGGGGCAGGCATGGTGGGCGCCTTTTCCCGGTTGATATGCGAGTTCAAAAATCAATAGAAAGGTCTTCTTCTCAGACAGTCGAGATGTCGAATGCAGTTGAAGAATATTTGCTAGGAAAGATTCAATCAACACTTTTGATATCTCGACAAACTGTGTGGGGTGACGGAAAAAAATGTTGGGTGCAAACGCTGCAAACAAGTGCACCTGCCACCACTCAAGGATAGGATGATTTCATTGCGGACTAAGCCTAGTTTGGCCCAGAGGCGGCAGCAGCTTTTCTCGAGCAAGTCTGGATCTCCCTCCGTTTCATTGCTTATCACCTCAGAATTTCTCGTTCTTGCTCTCCTTCAGGATGTAACGGAGAGAATGTCTCATACAATTGGACATCAGCTGAATGTCTTTCGGCAAGCAGCGAGTCCGTTTCTTTTTTATGACGCTCGAATAAGCGTCAATATTGGTCTTGCAATCCAGTTTAGACGGAGTTTCATAACACAAAGCCCCTATCGGTCCGGAGCATTTCACGACTCTCAATCCAGAAATCACTCCAGAATCAGTGGGAAACTTGCCTCTGGCAGTCTCTTACTGCTCGGACTCTCTACGAGCTCAGTTGTTGAAAACGGAGCAACTCGTACTGCTGTTGTTTCTAGCGGAGGAAAGGCGACATCATGTGCACCTAAATTATACCAGTATTCCCGGCAGGGTGTACTATCCAGATCTTCGCGACAGATCTGGAAGCGCGCCTTACATACGAAACGAGACGATCCTACTGAGAACCCAAGCAATGATTCCAAGAGCGATAAAGTCACCCAGCAATCCACCAAAGAAGACCATGGAGAATATTCATTACTGCATCGGAATATCCGTGAACGCCTCCCCAATCTTCACCAATTCCATCGACCAACAAAAGAAGAACTGTTAGCAGCAGCTACCGGGTTCTGGTCAAGGTTACGGGTCAGGTTCAAATGGTTTTCCATAAGGAGCGTTCGTCCATTCAATCTGGACGAAATAGGCGCGCTTTTCTCATGGGTCCTATTAGGTCATGTCCTCTGGGTGATTCTTGGAACAACGACTTTTTTCTCTCTTATTATCCTCACAATAAATACTGTGTTCGCACAAGGTAAGATATATCTTCAGCCAATTCATTTAACATGTGATTGACCGTACATAGAAACTCTAGCTCGTTGGGTCGGAAATTACCTCACATCATCCTCCGGAGTCCAAGTCGTCTTCGAATCTGCCATTGTGCCAAAATGGAGAGACGGTGTTATTACATTCAAGAATGTGTTCGTTTCCCGTAGACCCGGTCATGGCCACGGAAATGTAAGTAAGGGATCATCGAAGACAGCCGCCGCCGCCGCTGCAGCCGCTGCAGCGAGCGACGCGAAAGAAACCGATTCGAGTAATGTGGTCGCTGAAGAAGACACGAACTACACACAATTTGACGTTTCCATTGATACTGTCAACGTGACACTGTCTTTCACCAAATGGTTCAATGGCAAAGGACTCTTACGGGATGTGGAAGTCAAGGGAATAAGGGGCGTCATTGATCGCACTCATGTTCATTGGACAGACGACAATGCTGATCCGAAGTCTTACCGCCATGAGCATAATCCAGGAGATTTCGAGATCGATTCTTTCAAGATGGAAGATCTTCTTGTGACAGTCTACCAACCTAACAATTTCAGACCTTTTGCAGTGAGCATATTCTCTTGCGATCTTCCGCAACTTAGAAAACAATGGCTCTTTTATGATTTTATGTCTGCGAACATGATGTCTGGGTCTTTTGACAACTCGCTTTTCACGATTCACCCTCGTCAGACGAACAACTTTACTGGAGCTCAGTTGACTGCCAGCGGTGAGGAAACTGTAAAGGGGACGCCCTGGAAAAAACAAAGCAGAATTAGAATTGATAGCCTCAATATCGATCATTTGAACCGTGGTGTCGAAGGCCCTTTCTCTTGGATACACGAAGGTGCTGTTGATATCGTTGCAGATATTATGCTCCCTGCAGACGACAATGAGTCTTTGGCCAAATTTGTCTCGGACTTTTATGACCGATTTGAAGCCACAGTAACATCACATAGTCATACTGGAGCAACAGATGAATGTGCACAAAATACCAACACACTGAGTCTTGTTCCGGCTGACGATGGAAATGATAAACGATTCATCATCACTGACCTACGCATCCATCTCACTAATGTGCGGGCCGTTGTCCCATTGTTTACAAAAGATCTCTCATATATCAACAGTGCTTTGATTCGGCCAATTGTGGCATACATCAACTCTCGACACACGTTCATTCCTATACACTGTCGACTTGTGAAGAGACTCAGCGACTTTGACGGGAGCTGGACTGTTTTTGACAGCGGTCTCATGGATGACCTCTCTGCTGCGGTACGCATTCCCAACGTTCACGATTCGTGATAGCAAGCTAACCATTCTTCCAGGCATACGATGCGTTCGCCGCGGACGTAATGGACGAACAAGCACGCATGCGACGATTCAAGAAAGTTGGCTTCTGGTCGCTACAGCTCGCCGCGCAGGCCATCTTCCTCGGCATGGCCGGAAATATTGTTTAAACATACTGTACGATAATGACCGTTCTCGACCATCATTGCAGGCGTTATCAGGGTTCTCTCGCGGCGTTACATTATATACACTGTCTCTTTTCTTGGGGTGCCAAAGGCAGCAGTCTGATAGCTCTTTTGAAAAGTACATTGTGTTCAGGAAGTATGCGATATGAATGAAGCAGACTGGGGTTCTCTCGGCGACAGTCAAAAACTGTAGTTTTTGGCATGGCGATATCCTGGAAAATAAATATGTGTAAATATAATGATCTGATTACAGCACCTAATCTTATGAAATCTCTTCTTTAGTCACTAGCATTTCTAATACGTACGTGTCTCAAGTATCGAATGACAGTATCTTCAAAGATTCAAATGTACGTAAGCTCAGGGTAATTTCAGGACGAGCTAATGAGCGGCCGCGGCTCTTCCACTAAGCCTCTCCCGGTTAGGCGGCTGCCCACCTGACCCCGGCCGGACTCTTTGTGAGGAGAGCAACTTGGCGCCAGGGGAATCTCGTGGGTTTCAGTCCTCTGTGACAAGTTACACCGCTGCACTCTCCCTCCTAGGGACTGTTTCGAGTCGTGATCAAGTGTCCAGAGCTTCCAGCGCCTGCTCAATTCGATTCGCTGTTTCTGCTCGTGTGTTGTTCTTCAGGCTCGGTATGCAAACCCGTCCTTCGACTATACAATCCATTCTACCCGCCCCTTTTCTGCAATTCATTCGTTCAATCATCAACCGTCACTCACCTCGAGTACAGGCTAGAAAGTACCTGCAGGTGCTTCGAAGGATATTTTCCAGTGACCTGGCCTAATCGCGATCACGAGACTTCTTACCTTGCGCTCGGATGGGCGTGATTTCTCCTCACTTTTTACAGACAATTCCTGCGACCGCCCCTCTTCCGTCTTTTATCTGATCCAGCAATTATTCCATTGAGCACTAAATGATACGCCAATAAGTCGCGCAGGATATATAGAGGCAATCTATATATATATATATATATATATATATATATAATACACGAGAGTCGATTTACACACGGAATCGAATTATCGTCTTCGCTCCAGGGGTGATCCCGGAACACCCGACGTTAAGCTAAGCAAAAGGTCGCGGTTGTCAACTTGAGCATGCAGAATGGATGAGGATGCTGTAAACGGCGGGCACCATATGGTGGGCGACGCTATCAGATCTTCTCCTTCTAATGACTCGCCCTTCAGTTCGCCAGCGCAAACTCCTTCGAATGCCCTCCATAACCGCGGACCAAGGATGATGCCACGGACATCCTCGATCGATTCCGCAATTTCCTCTATATCGTCCGCATCTCATTCACACAATTCCTCGATCGACCTGAACTCTTTGAAACCGTCCGATATTAATAATATAATTACAGCAGCTGGTTCTGCTGAAGCAGTGATTCTACATCTGCTTAAGGATAGGCAACATGCAATCGCGCGGAATGACCAACTCTGGCGACTGCTCGAGAAACAGCGTGCTCTTGTGTTAGGGTTAAATAACGATCTTGAACGTGCCATAAAGGACAAGGATCGATACAGGAAGAAGCTGAAAGAATTGCAAAGTCAACCGCCACCCTTACCAAGCCACAGCCAGCAGTCTTTGCCCTTGAAGGAAGCGACGTCGAAAGATCAGAAGTCGAATGCGACTATCGTTATGGACGTTCCACCCCAGCAGAATTCAGTTGGCTCGCCTCAGGATGACTCAACCCCTATTGAAGACTCGACTGAAAGTGTTCCGGAGCCAGCACCACTCTCCGTTTCGCATTCAAACAAAGATGTAGAACTTGAAGCTCTTGAAAATAATGTTGTCCTTCCAACTCAATCACGCGGCTTTCCTACAGGAAATGCCAATCAATTCGCGTCAGGATCGCAACACACCCATGGTCCCCCTGAATTACCGCCGCCAAATCGCAAACCCCCCCCTGCCCCTCTCAATCTCAGCCATATGGGGCGCCGCAGCTCTCCCATAGACCCGCATGCATTTCAGAATTCCGACTCGGAGCACGAGGATGTCGACAGAGGGCGAAGAAGAACAAGGGAAGATGATGATAAGGAACGTGAAGCTGCTGCCTTCCGCGAACAGGAAGCTCGCAGTAGGTCGAAAAAGCAGACATCAGAACCTTCATCTGGCGAGCAAGCATCATTTCCTGCTGCCCCCGGCGCACTTCCCTCTAGCCCCAGAAAGATTGTTGCACAGTCTCCTTCGCAAATGGCTGGTGGACAATTTGTTGCGACAGAATCTCTGGCAGCCATTATCAATGCGAAAGAATTGGAGCCTATGCCACTAGCGGATCGAAGGGGAATGTCCCCCCCTTCTGGTTTACCTTTAAGTCCTCGGCCTGGAGACCGTCCCCTGGGATCTCCTCTTCCAAGACAACCTAGGGAAGGAACAGGTATGTCCTTCTCGCCGCCGATGTCACCAAGAGGCACTGTCACGCCTCTTCCTCAATCTCCCCGGGCAACCAAACAGCCCGACCTGCAGGCGCAGAAACCTTCACAATCTCCCGAAGGCCCTGGATATCAGATTCCATCTATCGACGTCTCCGTGAAGATTGATAGCCCACACTCGCCATATGGTTTTAATAAGACTATATATCAAGGCCTTGTTTCGGAAAATTATCCTGGCCTTCTTCTACCACCGAATGCGTTGCCATCTATCGAAGTTAAGGTTGCATCCTCCCGACTTCGCCCGTCTAGAAACAGCTACGTCGGCGGTAGACCAGAAGAAGAACCCGTCTTCATCCTCAGTGTATTCTCCCGCTACGATGGAGCGGAGTTATGGCGTGTAGAGAAGGCGATTTTGGCCCTTCCACAACTTGACCAGCAAGTCCGTCAATCATGCGACTTTTCCGGGAAATTACCAGACCGCGCAATATTCAGTGGCCACTCTCCAGCCAAGATTGATGCCAGAAGGGAAGCTTTGAATTTGTATTTTGAAACTCTTCTGGATACTCCGATGACAGAGCCTACAGCTTTGGTCATTTGTCGCTTCTTGAGCTCCGATGCAATTGAGCCACGCGATGATGAGACTGTTTTGATGAAAGCCAATGGCAAGTCCACACCGGAACTCGTTCGTGGTCCTGACGGCAGACCACGAAAGGAGGGTTATCTGACGAAGAGGGGTAAGAATTTCGGCGGGTGGAAATCCAGGTACTTTGTGCTACATGGCCCTGAGCTCAAGTACTTTGAGGGTCCTGGCGGTGCGCATTTGGGCACAATCAAGATACCCAATGCACAGATAGGCAAGCAGTCTCAGAACGGACATAATCAATCTCCGTCCCGAGCCGACGATGACTCTGACAATCAGTACCGCCACGCTTTTCTCATTTTGGAACCCAAGAAGAAGGACACCTCAGCCCTTGTGCGACATGTTCTATGTGCTGAAAGTGACGCGGAGAGAGATTCTTGGGTTGATGCATTACTGCATTACGTTGAGATTCCATCATCGGGGGATGAGAAAACGAAGGCGAAGTCCTCGAATAGCTCCACAAAACATTCAGCTACGTCAAACACCAAGACTCGAAAATACCCTGCGGGTAATAAAAAGGGACACAAGGGCACAGAGAGTCCCGACATGGATGTACAGGACTCTGTGCAGAGTTTCAAATATGATGATGCCGTTCCTGCTGCACCTCCCGTCTTTGGAACAAAGGTGGACGAAGGTAGCAGAGGATCTCCCACATCAAACGATCATGTTATTTCTGATGCTGCCAATGCGGGAAATAACAACTCCAAAATTATCTCCGGCCCAACTAATGGAGTTGTAATCCAGGATGTAGGGGCATGGGGCAACAAGGCCGCAACTTCAGTAAAAGAAAAGAAGCGAAGCATCTGGGGCTTTCGAGGACATTCATCCTCGGACTTGGCTCAGGGTGGAGAATCTGAGTCTCATCACAAATCCTCAACAGAAAGGAGAGGCTCGGTTCGACCAGTATTCGGGATGCCTTTGGCAGAAGCAGTACAGTACTGTGGACCTAGAAACATTGATGCGGATCTGCCTGCTGTAGTGTATCGCTGCCTTGAGTACTTGCAAGCAAAGAATGCTGCTTCGGAAGAAGGGATTTTCAGGCTGAGTGGCTCGAATGTTGTGATCAAGGCACTTAAGGAACGGTTCAACACTGAAGGAGATGTGGACTTTTTGGAAGGTGACCATTACTACGACGTCCATGCAGTGGCTTCACTATTCAAACAATACCTCCGCGAACTACCAACCACTGTCTTAACGCTCGAGCTTCAGTCTGAATTCAGACGGGTACCTGGTAAATTTTTGTGTCTTAATAGTGCAAACATCAAAGCTAACTTTGTCTAGAATTGGATGATCATGACCGGAAGATCGCTGCTCTCAATGCATTAGTGCATATGCTTCCCAAACCCAACTTAACCCTTCTAATGGCCATTTCTCAATATCTCATTACCATCATCAACAATTCCGACGTGAACAAGATGACAGTTCGCAATGTCGGTATCGTCTTCGCACCAACGTTGAACATGCCTGCGCCCGTCTTCTCCCTATTCCTCACAGAGTATGATAGCATCTTCACTGATGCACCGCATCAACTTAACCATGTGGAAGCTCAGGCGGCCCCAGCTTCTTTAATACCGGAGGACGTTCGTTCTCCGCGACGTCAAATGTTCTCGGAACTTCCAACGCCATCGTACGGCCAGACATCGTTTTACGTACCAGATGATGCCGATCACCATCAGTCTCAAGATGCAATTAGAGCGAACTACGACACTGGGTTCATTCCCATGATTCCGTCATATGATGGAGGCCAACGAGGCGTTGATCCTCGTTCACGTCAATCTTCTAATCCGCACCGTATGACTCGTATGTTGGATCCGAATGAGAACATGAGGTCTACCAAAGCAAAACGCAGAGAGAGTTCTATGCTTTTCATGGACATGGGCCACTACAAAAATCCTTTGCCTCGAATGGGAGAAGATCAAAGTGAGTCCATAGCACATTATCGAAAGATGAAGAGATAATTGACTGTCGCTTGCAGATCTCGTTACACACGAATCCGCCTTTGAATAATGATTTTCTGTTCTTCGTTTCTCAATACTCCCATCTATTCCTTAACCTTCTACGCCATTTACCATTTACCATTTATGTGATGAATGTCACGAAATCATACATGACATGCTAATATCTGCCTTTTCTTACCTTCTCATGGCTTGATCTCATTCACTGGTTAACAAGGCCAACTGTTTCAATTGTTTGCAAAGAAAAGGACAATGTATGGTCTTGACGGCTTACTTCGGCCCTCTTCGCACTCAATCAGCGTTGAAATCGGAGCGTTTAACTATCGATTGCTTTAAGTTGTTATATTTATACCCTTTCTCTATTGAATTTCAGCACTTGTGTGCTGTTGACAGTCTGACTTTGGCGCGAGTCATTTGATAAAAAATACAATCATTACTTTATTTTCATCCATATTGTGGTCCGTGACTTGGTCGTGAAATAGTTCATCATATTTTTGCAAATCACTGATATATTCTATATTACAGGAACCTCCTTGTCCGATCTCCCTGGTAAAACCCTAATAGTTCACCGGTTTCCGAAGCCCATTCTCTAACATTATCCACCAGCGCTTTTGCAAGTCCAACATTCTTAATCTTACCACCTTCGGGCAGGGAGGTAGAAGCAGAAGTCGTGGTGGCATATTCCGATCCAATACTTGGAAGAACGTTATCACTAGCACTCAGACTAACGAACAGTGCAAATGGAACCAGCCACACACACAGTCCGAAGTAAGAAGCTACTTCAGTGAAAGTAGGCATATTCTCATAGTCCGGCTGGTACGGTCGACGCCATGAGGTCGCATCGCGCGAGGAAGAAGAGGGAACAGGCGGTCTCGAGAAATGGCGGAACCAAACCCAATGATTCAGACAAACCAGTAAACATGACAGAATGAATAGCGGATCGGACAGCTTCACGATGGGGAATTTCCGAAGGTTACTTGCATAAACAAGATGGGAGATTATGGAGAGGAGGGAGAGGGTAAATGGGAAACTGTCAAAGAGCCATAGGAGGATTTGAATTATGATGACGCTGTATATGAGTCGAGAGAGGATTCGGCGGGCGATGACAGTATGTTCCTCGACTAGTTCGGAGAGGTAGTATAATCCTGAAGCTGTTTCAATAGACAACTGATTAGCTTGGATAAGCCTTTCAAAGTATAGAATAAGGACGTACCAATGGCCAGTGTCAGGAAAGCGAAGCCTGCAACAACCCCTGTATACCCGACGAGTGGAAGAATCCACATGCTGGAGAGGGAAACAGGTTGTTGGCTGTATGAATCGACGATGATATATCGAGGGCTGCGCCAAGTAGCGGGTGTAGAAGCTTGTTCCGTTTTAGTCTGGTGATGTATATGCCTATACCACCGGGTATGAAAATCGAAGTCTATGACAGTATGTTTCTCATAAATCTGTCCTTTACGAGCATGTGTCGTTGGCAAGTATGTCGAAATAAAAGTTGCAATGCAATGAAGTTGGCTTAATAGTCTGATGATGATAGGCCAGAGAAACAATCAACTTAATCGGTGTGGGTCCTCTCCGCTGTTCTGCCTGAGGCAACACAAAATTTGTACAAATTCGGTTTTCCTCCATCCCAATCAACTAACTCTATTGTCCTGCCACATTCACTTCAATTAGTCCGGACTAGGAATTTCTTGTCGTTGTCAATCAAGCATATTCTTTCTCGGCCTAATAATACGACAAACATTCCAACATGTCGCGTCCTGAAGATATCCTGTGAGTTTGCAAAGCCCCTCCTCAGTCAAGAAAATAAACTAACACAAGACAGACCCCCCGATCTCTTTTATAACGACAATGAATCCCGAAAATATACGACCTCCTCTCGAATACGCAATATCCAGGCTGATATGACGCACAGAGCCTTGGAATTACTAGACCTACAAAGCCCATCACTCATTCTCGACCTCGGCTGTGGATCAGGTTTATCAGGCGAAATTCTTTCCAGTGTACCTCCGGACGAAGGCGGTCCACATATGTGGATTGGCATGGATATTTCTCCAAGCATGCTCGATGTCGCTCTACAACGAGAAGTCGAAGGCGATTTATTCCTGGCTGATATTGGCCAAGGAGTACCCTTCCGGCCCGGCTCGTTCGATGCAGCGATCAGTATTAGCGCTATCCAATGGCTTTGTAATGCAGAGACCAGCGATGTGAGCCCCGAGGGCAGATTAAAACGCTTCTTTGAGGGCCTTTATGCAAGTTTACGGCGGGGTGGACGTGCAGTGTGTCAGTTTTATCCTAAAAACGATGCCCAGCGTAGCATGATCAGTTCAGCTGCGGTCAAGGCGGGCTTTGGTGCTGGTATATTAGAAGATGATCCAGGCACCAAAAATAGCAAGACATACCTTGTGCTTACTGTGGGTGGAGGAGGTCTGAACGGGGACATTACTGGTGTCGTTGGTGGCATGGACGGTGTTGATATCGTGGATTCGCGCAAAAGGGATAACGCCGCTAAAATTGCGAGATCATTACAGGGGAAGAAAGGTAGCAAAGCGTGGATTTTGAGAAAGAAGGAGCAAATGGCGCGGAAAGGCAAAGTCGTCAAGGCTAGTTCAAAGTACACTGGAAGGAAGAGACGGGTTGCTTTTTGAAGGTCCTGATTCTTGCAGTTCATACTTACACACGACACCTTGTGTCCACAACACCCTTCTTTTCTGAGGTCTAGCAAGACTCTAGCAAGCTATGTTGCAGTTCCTGCTCGTTTATGTCGCACGCCAGTGATCCTCCGTCATCACGCTCATCTTATATGATGAGAGACCAGGTAGCAGAGCGCAAGCGAGGATCGCTCGCCGCTTATCAGACGTCATGTTACTAGCATAGTATTTCATTTCTCTCAGGAGTTATGAATTTTCATAAATTGATACCCAAATACTGTTGTTCATTGTGTACGCCTATCCACGCATGTCAAACACGACCTTCTCAACGTAGTGCATTTTATGCATTTTACATTGTAGATAAAAAAGCTAAGACAAATGCGTGAACTCTATGAATATAAGTGTACATGTGTCTCAATAAAAAGTTCACAGCGCCATCCCCGAGTACAAGTAGCGACAAGAATTCTAGAAAGCAGCCTCCATCTTATCCAAAACAGCCCGAGTGAATTCATGGGTTGTGGCCACACCACCCATATCGCGAGTTCTTATTTTACTATTAAAGGCATTAGTGATGTGCGAATTTGATTGTTGATATCGTCATTTAGGAAAACTTACCCTTCACCAATAACATCATAAACGGCTTTGGAGATTCTGTTGGCATGTTCGTCCAAACCAAGGTGACGGAGGAGCATAGATCCGGAGAGGATCAAAGCAGTGGGGTTAGCCTGATCCTTTCCTTTAATATCGAGACCGACGTGACGGCAACCAGGCTCGAAGACAGCGACCTCACGGCCCATGTTGCAACCAGGGACGATACCGGGACCACCGACAAGAGCAGCACCAATGTTAGACAAGATACCACCGTACAAGTTGGGCATGACCATGACATCGAACTGCTGAGGACGGGAGACAGCTTGCATGGAAGCGTTGTCAACGATCATGTCGTTGGTCTCCAAAGTAGGGTAGTTCTCGGCGACCTTCTTGAAAGTGTTGCGGAAAAGACCGTCGGCCAATTTCATGATGTTGGCCTTGTGAATGCAAGTAACCTTCTTGCGGTTGTTTGCCAAAGCAAAGCTAAAAGCGAATTTGGCAATGCGCTCTGACTTGGCGCGGGTGATAATCTTGAGAGACTCGACGACACCCTGGACAGACTGATGCTCGAGACCGGAGTATTCACCCTCGGTGTTCTCACGAATAATGCAGAGGTCAACATTCTCGTGTCGGGTCTTGTAACCAGGAATGTTCTTAATAAGGACAACGGATGCATAGATATCGAGCTCCTGGCGCAAAGCGACGTTGAAGGATTGGTGTCCTGAGCGCTCAACGGGTGTGTGAAGAATACCCTTGAGACCCAACTTGTTGCGTCGCAGAGAGGCGATTGATTCCCTGAAAAGTTCTTCGGAGTGTTTGTTTCCAGTATCCACGCCGCTAACGTCAACCTGTTCCCATTCAATGGGGACGTTATCTGCCTTGAAAATAGTCTTCACTGATTCAGCGACCTCGGCACCAATTCCGTCACCTGAAGGACAGGATAATAATCAGTCTCATGTAGCTTTCCAAGCCAATCCGGTTACAATATATCCGTACCTGGAATCAAAGTCACTGTGTACTTGCCGCCGTACTTTGTGGGCTTGAAGATATCAGACTGAACCGTGGCCATAGCTAAACACGACACAATTAGTCTCGCACAATTCAATTAGAGGCGATTAGAAGCTTCGCTTACACCTTGTTGCAACAAAAGATGGGCGGCTGGTGGAAGTGGCAGCGCGCAGGATAGCCTAAACAGCTCGTCAGTGTCCAGTTCCTAGTTCCGCTAAGAGGGGCGCATTATGGGCATCATACCTGCGTGGGCTGCGAAGATCTGAGAGAGAACATCCTGATCGTTGATATCACCTCCTTCCGTCTGAAGAAAAAGCCACGCGAAAGAGAACAATTGTGCGAAGGGAGAGCAATTGCAGAGATTGGGGAAATTGGAGAGAGAAAAATGCATGGGATGGGATGCAATGGTTACAGACGGGATCCGCTGTGAAAGGAAAAATGCCCGCCTTTCGCTGTAATACGAGACAATTACGCAAAAATACCGGCTTGGCACCTAATGGCCTGCCATTGCAGTCTTCCGGAAGTCGGACCTTGGTATTGTAAGTAACGAGCATCGGATCGAAGGCACGCCAAACATTGGCAGACTCAAATTACGTCGTATTTATTTTCTTCCATTGTTTATTTCTTATTCTTAACTGTTCTTCTCTAACAGTTCATGAATGACTGGATATACAGCTCAGCGATGCAATCAACATGCGTCATATTGCATGTACGTATGAAGAGTGAGGATATATCTGCCTGAGGTTGCACAGCAAGCTCTTAAGCTCCTGCCGATTATCCGGATCATCACTTTGCCGCTAACAACCTAACCTCACCAAGATTGCAACAGCTTCAATCGACGAACGCTCCCTGGCCATATCACATTCCATGATCTCTCATACAGTCCCAGCGATACTCAAGTCGCCCTCCGCCATAATCCCACCAATTCCGCGCATTGTAGACAGGGTCCTTGCATGGTGTGTACGGTGAACCAGTGGAAGGCTCTTCCGGTTGGGCTAAATGTTGATCTTGAAGATGGTGCACTGTGGTGTCTTGATCATGCTGGTATCCAAGAGACATATACGGCTCCGCCTGTGAGATTTCATGGTCTAATTCGTCGATGGGGTTCGAAGGGGAGCTTTTGTCAACATTGAAACTGGAGCGCTTGCTGTCTACTGTGGTAGTATCGGAAAGCTCTGGCTCGCTATCCATCTCCACATCGAATGAATCAGAGGCTCTTGGACTTGTTTTCGCTACCCTAGAGATGTTAGTCGTGCGACATTTTGATCGACTTGCGAGCCGAGACAAGAGACATACCAAGTAGCTTCATCGAGTTTACCGGGCACATTCAGGTGGCCATTCCTGTTATACGGCGAGACAACGAAGCTGTGTGCGGCAGCAGAAGCATACACGATGCGATTGGCAACCGATTTGCTCTCCGGAACCTGCTCAACCTGTGGTGTGAGACTGTAGGCGGAAAAACGAGCCACGAGTTCATCCTCTTGGTTTCGAAGCCAAGCATCGGATTCTGATAGACCGCACTAGAGTTTGATCCGTCAGTGGGCTCTCAGCTCTGTCTTCCATCCAGCTATTGAACTCGTCGCCCGTCGGTGGGCTTGTTTCGAATGAACTCGGAAATAAGGTAGGCAATAACTAACCTGCTGACATAGAGCGCTCTCCTCGCATGTCATATACATTGCTGTAGAGTGTGCGGTATGGCCACAATAGGGACAATTGAATGCCATTCTGGTTATTTGAATTACACGGTACTATGCAGTCGCTTTCAAGATCACAAGTACTGCAATGATTGGAACTTTGAAGCTGTGACGGAAGCGCAAACGGTGACTCTGAGGGTTCTCCTACACTGTGTGTTTGACAAGAAATATACATATACCAGATGTTTTACATATTCTATGCCCTCTAGTGTGGGAATCAATTCATGTGGGAATAGCTGCCTAATTGGGCACCCATAATTATCCCACATGAACGAAGCCCACATGATTCAGCTGAGTTCTGAAGAGCATATAGAACTAAATCTGTAAAAGTACCTTATCAGATATTGTTAGTTGTATGTGATTGTTCTGTAGTGCGACATATTAAGAGCTGATCAAGGCTTATGTAGATTGGCTTATGAGACAGCCTACGAAAGCACAGTCACGTGGCTTGCATTACTGTTGGTGCCTGAGGCCGCAGCAGGCAGATATGGGTTGACGCGATCCTAGCTCCAGGAGCTTCAGCATCTCCAGCATCACTCTCCGAAGCCCGCAGCACCAACAGCTTCGGATCATTCACACTGCCATCTCTTATCCTCTAAGACAAATCAAATATTCAACTATTGATATCAGGATTTATTGTTCCAATAGATCGACATAGCAGCTGCGGTTTCCAAAAGAAAACACTCCAAAGCTCAGCCGTCTCTAGATCAACCACCATGGTGGGTTAACCAGCAATTTCTTCATCATCGGATTTGAAAGATGTCCTAACTGTATTCTTTCCAGACTTCTATCGGCACAGGCTACGATCTTTCAAACTCCGTCTTCTCTCCCGATGGCAGGAACTTCCAGGTAAGGAAAACGTCTATACTACCTTGAACCTTTCCATAGATTGCTAATTCATTTCAATTTTTCCATGGAATAGGTTGAATACGCCGTCAAAGCCGTTGAGAATGGAGGCACCGCTATTGGTATAAGATGCAAAGATGGTGTTGTCCTTGCTGTGGAGAAATTGATTACAAGCAAGCTGTTGAAGCCTGGTGCGAATAAGAGAATAGCAACTGTTGACCGAAACATTGGCATTGTACGGCTATTATATACATCTATCTAGGACCGTATTTGCTGACTTGCACTCTTTTCGGTGTCTTATAGGTCTCCGCTGGCCTTGTACCTGATGGACGACATTTCGTCTCAAGAGCGCGAGACGAAGCCGCTTCCTGGAGAAAGACCTACAAAGGACCTATTCCAACATCAGCTCTCGCCAACCGGCTCGGCGGTTATGTTCAAGCCTACACCCTTTATTCTAGCGTCCGTCCTTTCGGTGTTACTTCGATAGTGGGAGGCTGGGACTCTGAGGCAGAGTTATCTGTGGATGGTCAAGTAGGAACAGGACCCAGTGTCGGAGCTGGTGGGAAAGCCAAGGACCTCAAAGCTGGTGGTCCAGGGCTGTATATGATTGAACCTAGTGGTCTATACTGGGTAGGATACTCACATTATTCTATTCGAGTATTTGCGTGAAATATTGACTGACTTTATCTCATATAGGGCTACTACGGTGCAGCGACTGGCAAAGGACGACAAGCAGCAAAGGCAGAACTCGAGAAACTTGACCTTCCCTCGGGAAATCTCAGTCTTCTCGATGGTGTCAAGGAAGCAGCTCGAATTATCTACGTCGCGCATGAAGAAGATAAGGATTTCGAACTCGAAATGACATGGATCAGCTCTCTTGACGGACCAACTAAGGGACGGCATGAGGAGGTGCCTCGTGAATTGCTCGAGGAGGCCGAAAAGGCTGCTAAGGCGGCGATTGAGGGCGAAGATGAAGAGGAAGAGGAAGGTCAAAAGACGAGCGAGGGAGAGCGAATGGAAGAATAAATCAGACATCCTAGAATATGAATTTTCTTTGTTGTATTAATTCCTTTTCTTTTCGCCTTCTACGCAAGTAGTCTGATCTACTTTGGTCACACTGTTGGTGACTTATGATTCAATCCTCCTATGATATCGTAAAGAAAGCCCTCCTATCCAAGTCCCAGTCTCAGTTCTGAATAAAACATTATCATGCCACAATTCTCCCCTCAGACCACCCCTTCTTCTTCAAGGCCAACTCGACAGCTGCATGGCCCCAATCCTCACCATGGTTATGCTTCTTCCCGCTTCCCAATCCAGCCCGTTCAAGACCTTGCTCCTCGGTCAGCAGAGTCAACAACCCAAAGACAACAGGGACATTAGCCTCAAGTTGAACGCGCATGAGACCGTGCGAGACGGCATCGGCGATGTACTCAAAGTGCATAGTTTCGCCTTTAATAAGCACGCCGATGGCGATGATGGCGTCGAAGGGAGCTGTTGATGCGGCTGCGGTATTAGAAGAGGTGGTGGCTTGCTGACTCAGGTCGGTAGTTGATGAAGATAGAAGGTCTGTTGCGGCTATATCGCCTGTCGACGAGCTGGCGGCAGCTTGGACATGAGATGCTCTATATATACTTTACACAGATACCACGCACGGTTAGCTTTGCTTTCCATACCATGACGCTGTGTGTCCATGAGCAGCGCGTATCAAATTCAACAAGATTGAAACTAACTTTTGAACTGCGACTGGTAATTCATAACTTCCAGGAACGCTTTGGATGACAATATTATCCTTCGAGACTCCCGTCGAGACGAGGCTATTCACAGCTCCGGATACCAGCGCCTCGATGATGGTTGTGTTCCAACGAGCATGCACAATGGCAATTCGGAGTCCAGTACCTATTTAATAAGATTTAGCATCAATTGGATGATAGCGCTTCAGCACGGAGCGAGCAAGACAAGCAATGCGGGGATCTCCGTGGACAATTAACTGACCATCGTAGGTTTCACGCTCGCCGGGTCCTTTGATTGAAGCCATGTTGTAGTCTTGGGTTGAGCTCCGGTATTTCTGTATATTGAGTGGGATTTTGTCAGACTAGAGGTATGACTGAGGAGGAATAAGGTAGAGTGGTCAAGTCATTTTCGCCGATTTACTGGGATCTTAATTGTGGTTGGGGGGGGGGGGGGGGTGTGTCTCCACATAGCAAGATGCATAAGCTTATTACCATAATCGCCCTACTAGCCTCACTCAGAGAAACAACCCGCTCTTTTTAATGTACAGCTGCTACGAGGAGCTTTTTCGCGAAACAAAATACAGCCAGAGAACGTCATTTTATTGAAGGATGAAACTCATTGTATATATCATTAATGTTCTCTAAAGCTCAAATACCCACCAGTGATTTACTCTGATCAAAACAGCTAAAAGCTAAAACACAAGCAAATGATGACCCAGGCCGATGAACTGCCTATCATATCTCCCTAGACTCCTGTGCGAACCGATGTATCAAGCAAAACACTCTACTCCACTGTGACAGACTTGGCCAAGTTTCGAGGGAAATCAACGTTCAATCCCTCACCGACGGCAAGCCAATAAGCAATCAACTGCAAGGGAATCACGTTAAGGAGACCTTGCAAGCAGTCTACCGTTTTGGGGAGCTCGATCTTCTCAGTCTGGGAAGCTGGGAACTCGTCATCATTCTCGTTGCAGATGACGATGGGGCGACCGCCACGGGCAATGACTATGTAAAAGATTAGCTGCTATGTTCCTGTAGCAAGTGCATAGAAAAGAACTCACCTTGCTGATATGCGTTCAATGACTTGGCAAAGATATCATCCCGAGTGAGAATCATGATGATGGGGAGGTTCTCATCAACCAAGGCAAGAACACCATGTTTCAATTCACCAGACATGACAGCCTCGCAGTGGAGGTATGAGATCTCCTTGATCTTGAGGGCACCTACAGTAGATATATTAGATTCGGAAAATTTGTGACAAGTGGGATAAAAGAGCCGGCTCACCTTCCAATGCTGTAGAGTACTGGCTACCACGTCCAAGAAGCAACAGACTCTTCTGGTTCTTGAAGAATTTGGCACACATATCCTTGATGCGGTCATTGAGCTTGAGGATTTCACGGAACTGATCAGATATCTTAGAAAGACCGTCCATGATCTCCTCGCGTCTCTTCTGCTTGGAAGCACGATCCTCGCTGAGGGAAAGCGCGAACATGACCATGGCAACGAATTGCGAAGTGTAGGCCTTGGTGGAGGCGACACCAATTTCAGGGCCGGCGTTGATGTGAACACCACAGTGAGTGAGGAGGGAGATGGAGGAGCCGACAACGTTGACGATACCAACAGTCAAGGCGCCACGTTCAAGGCAGTATCGGAGTGCCATCAGAGAATCTGCAGTTTCACCAGACTGAGACACAAACACACAGGTATCGTCACGGAAGACAGGAGCTTGACGATCCAAGAAATCGGAGGCGAGTTCAACAGCGATGGGGATCTCAGTAAGCTCCTCAAAGACACCGCGAACGGCCATGCAAGAGTGGTAACTGGTTCCACAAGCGATGAAGATGATGCGTCGGCAACGGCGGATTGTGGAAATGTACTGACGAAGACCGCCAAGAGTCACCTTCTTGTTCTCGACATCCAAGCGACCACGCATGGTGTTGACGACAGACTCGGGTTGCTCGAAGATCTCCTTCTGCATGAAGTGGTCGAACTTGCCCTTCATGATCTCCTGCAATTCCAACTCGATAGTCTGGATAGCACGGACGTTGGAGGTGCCATCATCCTTGGTCAGGCGATGGATGTTGAGCTGACCCTCGTGGATGTGAGCAATGTCGTCATCCTCCAAGTACAAGACCTTTTTAGTGTGCTCGACAATAGCAGAAGGGTCAGAGGAGAGGAAGAATTCTGCGGGCTGGGGGATTCCGTCGTCCGAAAGGAAAGCACGAGACTGTGAACGGTGCAAAAGCGACTTGTCTGGGGGGGCGAGAAGGTTGGCAGCCGATTTCTTGATAGCCACATTCTGAGACGCTTGTTCGGCAGGAAGAGCACCCTCTTCGGAGTATTCGACATCGACAAAGTCAACCTTCATCTTCTTGGAGGTGCGGACACCAATGACGAGAGGAGAACCCTTGCGGGCAGCAATCACTTCATGTGGGTAGTGGACGGACTTCATGAGAAGACCGAAAGCACCCTGAAGCTCCTTGATGACGGCCTTGGCCAAGACAGTAAAGTCAATATCCGGATGCTGGTCGTAAAGGTACTTGGCCAATTTAGCAATGCATTCGGTATCGGTCTCGGTTTCGAAACGGAAGCCCTTACTCTCCAAGAGGGCTTTCAATTCCTTGTAGTTGGTGATGATACCATTGTGAACAACAGAGAACTCCCAGTTGGGGTCAGACCTACGAGACGTTAGCATTCTGAATTCTGGTTTTATTAGACAGAACTTACCTGTGAGGGTGGCAGTTGAGGCGAGAGGGAGGGCCGTGAGTAGCCCAGCGAGTGTGGGCAATTCCAGCATGGGAATCGTAGGTCTTGTCGAGATTGACATTTGACTCAGCGATCAAGGCCTTCAATTTCTCGACTTTTCCGACTTCCTTGAAAGCAAAAACCTCATTCTTCTTGTCTCCATCAATAGCTAGACCAGCGGAGTCATATCCACGATACTCGAGTCTGGAAAGACCTAGAATCAGACAAGTACTGGTCAGCGTCCGTGCAGATGGTGGTTGGCGGGGTTGTGGAAAACTCACCATTGACGAGAGTCTCTAGAATGTGCCGACGATCCTTCTCGACAAGGTAGTTGATGTAACCGAAGATACCACTGTTGAGAATTAGAGTTAGCTTATCCAGGTTTCAAAGAATAATAGAGTTGGTGTTTCTTTGTATCGTACCACATGGTTGCTGTTCAATTCAAACGTTGAAAGAAAGTAGACAATTTACTGTAAACACGATAATAAAGGGAACAGCGAGTCAATTGACAGTAGAGATGAAGTGGATGAAGAGGTGTTTTGTCTGTGGTGAGAAAAAGGTGGGGAGGCGGTCAGAACGAGTGAGCCGGCGAACTGGAGGTGTAAGATCGAGGCAGCTGCTCTTGCCGGGCAACGGTTGAAAGAGAGGAGTAGGTTGTCGGATGGAGGATGGAGGATGGATGATTCACAGGGAAGAAGTAGATGAAAGATGACGAAGAATATGCAGAATGGAAAGGAAGAAAGAGGGAGAGAAAGAGAATGAAGATATAAATAATGGTGTTACTACAATTGATTTCCCCACTAGTCCTAAAGCTGAATCTTAGTTAGTTGCTCCTTCCTCAGCGCCCTGAATACAAAAGGAAGGGGCAGGCCAGCCGGTATTTTACACTGCCAATACGAGACTCTGTACGCTAACAAACAAAAACGTGCTTTCTTCATTGACTGTTTACTATGTATTTACTTTCGAATGGCGGTCGCTGATACCGAAGATCTCCACAATGTGGGCTATGCTAGGCGTGGCGATTGGAGGTTCCAGACATTGGCAGAGAAGTCCCTGGCCTGGTTGGTGTCCACTCTGCTGAAACCATGTCTCAAACCAGCGTGTAATCAAATTACCAGCTCGTATTTTACTTGTTGGACGACTTTCGTCATCAGGTATGACAGATGCACCTGTTCCCTGTATTAAGATCCATACCGTATTGTAATACACTGGTATCGAAATCCTAGGATATTGTATGAGTAGCAGTACGTACTCGCAGATCAACTTGAAAAGACAGAGAAGAGGAAGAATGCATATTCCCCACTACGAGATAACGCTATCGAACGATCTGTAGAATAGTGAGAATGACTGTCAGTTGTCAGATCTAATTCAGGGGGCAATTGATGGTTCCTAATCTAGGAGTCGTGGCAGTGCTCATTCTATTTTTATGTTTGGCTGCACGGATCAAGAAAGAAAGGCTTCGTGAGGTATGTGACCCAATAATGGATTGAGCTACCAAAGCTGGTCTCTAACTGCTTGGCTTCCAAGGCTGGTTGATGGGAAAAGCTTCCATCCGGGATCTCAATATGAGTTTATTAACCTAATATTCCGCCTCAATTAGATCGTCTCGGTACATCACGCCATAGAGGATTGATATGGGGTTCATGAAAGAGCTGTTTTGGAGTTCTAATGTCGTTTCAGGACTCGATGAGTACGTAAATGGGATAAATATAGAAGTAGATCTCCCCGTCGGCCCGGAACATTAGTCATTCCGAGCTAGCATCTGATTCGTGTCTTCCGCATCTCTCCCATCAACGACACAATTATTGAGGCAACCTCGGGTGTATTATTGTACCCCATTAAGAATCCAACTGGCCTCTACATACGTCTTGTACCTGAAAAAAGGCAAAAAGAAGAAGGAAAGTGAACCACATTGGTCGCACTTATCCCCTCAAGTCGAACAAACAAACCCCTCCACTCCAACCCTTGCGGCGGGGCTATTGAAAAAGGGAAAATGGCAGGCTCAGCAGATGATCTGGACTTAGCAAAGGTGAGTCTGCTACACAAGATTTCCCCCTTTATGCTTGAGAAACAGGTCCCCTCTCGGTCACGTATTGTTAATTTAGATTGACTATAACAGGCTTTCAAGGACCTAGCCCAGTGCGTCTCTCGAGGAACAGCCCCTCCTGGAATTTCAGCTAACCCAAGTTAAATCTAGCGGCGAAAACACAGCTCTTGCTTTGGAAAATCATTTGGCTAGGCTAGAGCAAAAGATAGACGAGCTCCTAGCCGCGGTAGAAGACAATCCTCCTGACGGGCAGCAAGAAACCCGACCAAACGGAAAGGGAGGGTCTAGTCAGTCATCCGGCGATAAGCAACCAACGCATCATGAAGAAGCCGATTCCTCGAAGAGCGCATCGAAATGAAAGAAACCATCTGAGCCCTTTTCCACAACTCCCTTCTCGGTGATAACAGCGTCGATAAGGGCTGCTGGTGTGACGTCAAATGCAGGATTCCATACGTCGATACCGGTGGCTGCCAACTGAATGGTCTCCATCTGCAGAGTGTCTCCCACGCGCCCCTGCAAGGGACCCTTGATGGTAGTCACCTCGGATGGGGCACGTTCTTCGATTACTATTTCAGTCCCCGTCAGAGTTCCTCGATCAATGGTCGTCCGCGGTGCAGCCACAAGGAATTTAACTCCGTGATATTTTGCGAGTACGGCAAGAGCGTATGTTCCAATCTTGTTCGCAGTATCGCCATTAGCCGCTACTCGATCTGCACCGACAACAATTGCCGATACTTTTGAATGGGATTTGGCGAGTAGGGACGCAGCCATGGAGTCTGTTATAAGGGTTGCGGGCATCTTCTCGTGCACTAATTCGTACGCTGTTAAGCGCGCACCTTGGTTATAAGGTCTGGTCTCTGTGCAGTATACGCGGTTCAGTGCATTTTTGGCGTGAAGCGATCGGATGACACCTAAGGCTGTACCATACCCCGCAGTCGCAAGCGAGCTATTTTCTCGATTAGCCTGTAAAAAAGAAACAAATTATGGATTGTAGGCTTGATACTCACCCCGTGTTGCAATGTGTGAGAACATTGACCTTATTTTGGCCCTGTGTCGCTGCTCGCTCAAGAATCCATTTTGCTCCGTACTCGCCAATGTTCTGATTGTCACTAAGGTCATGAACGAGCATCAATTCCGCCTCTTTCAAATACGCGGCAACAAGTGACTGTCCCGTAGAATCCTGGGCCCTCGTGTGCTCAGTCACCATGTTTTCGAACTTGCGCGCCGCATCAGCCAAGTTGACAGCAGTCGGCCTGCTGGTGACGAGGTAGTGGAGCTTTTCGATGATAAACAGGCCAACCTCTTCCGAAGAAGATGACAATTTCCCCGCTGTGTGTATCTCGTTCAACTCAACGGCAAGCGACAGGATTGCGACAATCGCAATCGCGGGGGCGCCACGGACGCGCATTTCTTTAATCGCATACCAACCATCTTGCGCAGATCGAATGGGAATATATTCGGTGACGAAAGGGAGTTGCAGTTGATCTATTATTTGCAACTGGTTGTCGAAGTATTTGATGGCTTGAAGAGACATGTTGGTGGAGTTGGTATATCAGAAAATAAAAATTTGTTGCTTTGCGATTTTTATGCGCTGACCCCGCACTGCAAGAGGGAATATAAACCCAAGCGGTTTGTGTTCACTGGTTAGTTTGTGAATTAACTTGTGTTCTATGTAGGAAAGACAAATTTTATAAGAAAGGAATCAACGGGCCACATGCTATTTACAAAGGTCCTGACTGGGCCGATGGCGAATTTTCGGGCATATACCACAGTGGGGTTTCTTTGCACTCAGCTTCTCTCACATTTATCATTTATTATGGAATAAGTCCTACTGTCTGTTTCCTTGCCACGAATTCATCTTTATCTCTCAACTGTCATGGCCTCGTGTATAATATCTAGGAGAGTACCGCGCCATCCCAAAAGTCACTGACCAGTATCACAATATCACTCTTCAGATACTAAAAATCAACATTTGATCTTCCAGTGCATTCTCTCAAACTCGTCACTGAAGTACTGAGTATTGTTTTCTAGAGCTAAGCGCAAGGCCAGAGGGCGATTACTGAATCATGCCGATTCCGTCTTTTCATCGTAGTCTAATCGGCGTCTAACCAGTCTCGTTGACTGTAGCTGCGAATTCACGATAGGGAGGTAGGTGGTCTTATTTGGCGAGGGATATTCAGAGATTATCGTGCCGCGATGTACAACACTAGCTTTGATCAGACACGTATAGCGAAAAAGCGCAGGATAGAATACCATTGTTTCCACGGACAAAAGTGTCACCGTAAGACCGCCTCAATTGCCCATTAACATATTCTTCTGTTTTCTCTAATGCGATATTCATGTATCCATCAACAGATTGAAGTTCGCCTGTTCCCCAGTCGCAGTTAGTAACGGTTGAACGCCCTCCCAGTCAAGACCATACCTTGGTAGACAACACCAGAATTGAGCTTCACTGTCACGGGAGCTCCGGTTATTTCGCCGAGGAAAGTCGAAGGATCTTTGCCTTCTGACTGGTTCCCGTTTTCCATGGTTGTAACGTGCTGGTTCTTGGATGCTATTGTCCGTTGAGTCGTGTCAATGACTGAAGAGTAGAGATGAAGTGACGAAGAAATAGGTGGTTCAATCTACTTTCTCGTTGGTAGTAAATGATTGCCGCGGCTGACCACACCGGCTCTGTAGTGTAACGGTTAGCACGGTGATTTCTGATGTCGCAAATTTGGGTTCGATTCCCAACAGGGCCTGAATTTTATTCCGTCTTTTTCAGTTTTTTTTTTTCTTTCAAACGAACGCGCCAATTAGCGTCGACTATTTCCGTACTACATACACTAGACCTTATTAGGTCTAGCGGTAATATTGCGTGTTAATCGTATTTGATACTCCAAATGATTTCCATCGCAGCAACATCCGAAGACTGCATCCCAAGAAGTACATATAGAACAGCACATGACTCAGAGCTCTCAATAACTCGATGCGCTCATTTTTCAATAAGCCAGCCTGGGCTAATACAGCCGACGAGCCTTCTGCCCACGAATTCTATCGCCGTTCCCATCAGACATACGATGACATTATAAAGGCAAATAAACAACAGCGTCGCGAAGAAGCTGCGAAGTCTGCGCTGAAGCCCGCCGCCCAACCAACCAAGAGTGCTGTCCGATCTTCCAAACGTCGCCGCATATCAGACCAGGATGATGGGCTAATAGAGGACGATGGTCTGGAATTAAACAACAATAAATCACTTAGTCCCTCTCCGCAAGATGAACAGCCAGCTAGAACGCGCAGTACTGAATATATTGAGCGCCGGGGATCTTCCGAGCGCTCTGATGACGAGGGCGCGTCAGAAGGGGGGTTGGCTGTTGATAAACAGAGAATGGTATCACCGGAGGTTGAAGTCGTTGAACAACCACCATGCATGGAAAACTCCTCGCTGCCTCACCGGTCTATACTGTCGTCGGAAAAGCATACAAAACCGTCACCCTCGAAAGATGACTCATCAGCGAACGTCAGAGAGGAAACCGTGCCTGATAGTCAGGATAAAGGAAGACAGGCAGACAAGAAGGACGATTTTATTGTGGAAATACTAGTCACGTCCGAGATTGAGAAGACTCGACCGTTGATTGTTCGGCGACATATGTCACAACGATTCCGAGATATTCGCTTAGCATGGTGCGCACGACAAGGGTTTGATCAGAAAATGACTGATTCAGTGTACTTGACTTGGAATAAAAGAAGATTGTTCGATGTCACGACGTGTAAGAGCCTTGATATTAGTGCTATGCCGTCTAGTGGTTTGGATTTTGAGGATGAGCCGCATGGTGTCTTGCGCATCCACGTCGAGGCTGTGACGGACGCTTTACAAAGAGCGCGTACTGAGACAGCCCTACCTACTCCGCAAATAGTTGAGGACGAAGCCGATGAGAAGCAGAATACATTCCATATTGTTCTAAAGAGTCCCGGCCATGGTGATTTGCGAGTGAAGGTCTTGCCTCGGACACCTGTCCTCCAGATCATTACCCATTTCCGAAGCAAACGAAACATATCTTCGGATAGCAGGATATCCTTATCTTTTGATGGGGATATACTCGACCCAAATTCGCAACTGAAGGACTACGATATTGCCGATATGGATCTTGTGGACGTTATTCTTCGGTGAGCAGACGTAGGTATCTTATATAATATAGTTATAAAACCTTTCCTTCCAGATTGGACACTGGTAATATGACAACCACACACTAATGCGCTGCTTTGAATACATAGGAGTACAGTACCTAGGTAAAATTCAGTATGTATAGAGTTCTGTTCGTGAAATTTACTAGTGTTGTTCCTTCTGTAGTTACAGATCAACCAATAATGGTCGGCCCCAACGGAGCTTGGAAAAATTTCTTGCCCCTCCACACATCAACAAAGTCACTCAGTTCTCAACGTCAAGCGCACTTACACCCAGCGACAATATCGTCATCAGTTCAACATGAAAGTAATCACCGTCAATTTCCTTACTTGCGCCGTGAAGAGCTGCCGGGCTTCACCAGCGTCCACTCCACTCCATTTCAAAGACGCAGAGCTGGAACAGCAAGAGCTCGATTTCAACCCCGACCTGATCCGGAATATCCTACCACGAATCGATTGGGATTCTTTGAGAATTACGGCACAAGAAGTGAGTCTGCTGATTCTCTGTTTGCACTCTAGCTTTGAAAATTGGGAGTTGACATTAGACGTGAACCGAACAGCTTGGATTCCCCGATATTTCCAGCATCAAACCCAGCGATGACCAAATCGACGAAAGTATGCTAAAAGATCTGCACAAACTACTTATGGAAACACAGGTGGTTGAAGGAAAGCTGTGTTGCGCAAATTGTGGCCATGAATACCAGATCAAAGAAGGGATCGCGAACTTTTTGCTCCCCAGTCACCTAGGTGAGTAATCAGCGAGTAAATCGCACTGGCTCCCATCAGTAACTTCGTTGGGCTGATACTGTTTCAGTCTAAGAGCGCTTGCTTCCCTCTTGACATAACGGATATGGGCAATGCTTCAAAAGATCCGTAAAGTCTCTGGCTATTGAACATGCATACTTTTTCGAATCGGTATTGAGCATCCGAACCCTGAAGCTTCATGAGGAATTGCAAAGTTGTTGTCCATGCAAGGCTCTCTTACCTCGACAGTATTTTGGCTTCATATGCATATGAATGACAGCTCTTGATTAAAGTTGATCGAATTTATCGATGCGACAATGGTCAGCTTACAGCATGCCGGGACTATTTGACAGAGATGTAGTATGGGGCTGTGCAGGCATCATTGAAGACATAGAACCATTATGGATGAACTCAAGACAGGCACATCAACCGCAGCCCACAGATCCCTCTAAGCGCAGGCTGGCACCTCCTAATTTCAGCTCCAAAGATCCTCCCGCTTCGTGCTATCATTTGACATTAAATGCATGCCAGATTACAGGGGTCTCTACACAATAACGAATTACGATCATGACCACATGAATGGAAGCTCCAAAGCTACTGTCTGTCCCTTGTTTTTTGATAAATGTGATATGACATGATTACAATAGATTGGTGATTGACCAGATGAGGTTCAAATAATATACATAGCAACCACCCCTATGCACCCACGTACTAGCAAACTCCGAAACTCCACTCTTAGAAACATGAGAGTCGGAGACATTCAACCGAATCTTTGAATTAAGTCGCCAGCCATGCACTCCACGAAGTACGCCTATCCAATGCATCCCAGGAATGTAATGACCATTACTGTTTTTGTTTTCCCCTCCAGAGAATGAACGGTACCCTGAAATGTATAGCTGCAACGCGTCTTAGTTGAGGAACCCTTTACAACCTGCTGATCCACATAAGCAGGGTATTCTATCCTCGCTATCCCACTCTCTTTCGAACTTATAGTCGTATGTGAGTTCTTCATCTGTAATTCATTATCAGTACCGATACTCGCAATCCCACCTTAGAGATCTTAGACCAACCTTTGCTGATGTCCCGAAGCGCATAAATCACAATCCGCTTACTACCATCCACCCGAATGATCTTTGCCGTGCAATTGGGAGTGCAGCTATGGTTGATGAATCTGGCAATGCCACCACGTTTTGTGGCATCAATGACTGCATTTTCATCAATACGGAAAAGATAACTGCTTCCTATTCCGCTCTTCAAATATCTTCTCTCTCTCATATCGGCCACTTGTTGTCGGACTTTCTCGCCGACGTATTCGATAATCATATCGTTAGCTGCAATATTTTCCTCGGCATACAATCCCCAATTATGAATAGCCGAGCGCGCAAATCTCACAGGCTTCTTACGCTTTTTGAGTTGATTGAAGCGTAATGCATCGCCATCACCGCCCTGAGGTGGAAGGACTTGTTTCTGCGCATTGATATCTGCTGCAAGTCGTCGGTTTTGAACTCTTGTGGATCTAGACGTAGAATTGTTTACTGGCTTTGTCGGGCCAGCCTTCCCAGAGTCGACGGGCACGGACTGAGGATCGCTTTGCGCCAGCGCCTCTCTCTCCTCTCGGGCCTTCTGTACTTTGATTCGGTGAGGTAGGTACTTGGACTTTTCTGCTTCAAATATTCTCTTCTTGCCTTCCGTTCGAGCTGAACCGGTGGAATTCGGCACAAAGTATCCAGGGATAGTGGTCGGTGTGAAAACTGGGCCCGTCTCTCCGAACCGGTTCAAAAGCTTTGCTTCTCGCTGTTTCCATGCCCATATAGTTACATCACCCACATTTGATGGTAACGTGTCGGACATGATGTCTCTGAGAAAATCGAAATCCTCATCATCCTTGATGATGGTCTGCCAGCCGTCCAGATCCAACACTAGTGCACCATCATCTAAGACGCTTGGCCGTGGTTCATCATACGAAACAATTAAGTTAACTTCAGGTTTAGAGTATATGTCGGTTTCTGCATCTGCCATGATTAGAGATATCCTTTCGGCGTTTGAAGTCCAGGGCGCACATACCAAGACTGATTTCTGGAGAGTGTAACATTCTCTCATCATCAATACTGACACCGCCGAATGAATCAGGATGAGAATCGACTTCAAGAATGGCTGGCTCAATACCAGAGATCTTGTAGTCATCCTTTTGTCGTTTTCGAGAGTCAAGGCTATCGTCGATAACTCTCTTCCTCTTTTTAGACAAAGTGATGTCAAATGATTGATCATCTTGCTGCTCAATCTCAACGCCTGCCGTGCTTACATAGCCACTAGTCTCAAGATCTAAAGATGGACTTCGAGAGATGTCACTATTGTAAGCTTCATCCTCAGTATCAGAGACAGACGTGCCGAAGCTCATCTGGCTAGGCGACCTGCTTTCAAGTTCGTCTGTCTCCCTTGACATTGGCGTCCGCGCATCATCATCTGAGTCTCCTGCTTCATGAAGATGTCGAAGACGATGATGGAGCGGCCGTACATCTCTTCGTCGTCGTATATGCCCACGTCTTTCATCTAAATAATTTGTACCATCGACTTGGCCGCGATAAGATTTGCGAATGCGGGGAAGCGTAAGAAGATCCAGGGGACGAGAGCGCAATGATTCATTTGGTAGCCCAAATTGAAATGGATTTGTTTTACTTGTTTCGGGATCCCGAATGCCCAGAGCCTTTCTTCTTTCTGAATGTCTGTCTGGGTCCAGATATTCATATAGGAAAGGGGCGGCTATGCGAAATTTGACATCCTCCAATAGTTTTGTCTTCAATTCATGGATAACAATGCCGAGAACCTCCTTTGATGGATCCAAACTACTAGCACGTTGCTGTTTCTCTTCCTCAGCCTCCATTTCAAGTTCTTTGACTACCCTCTGCTCTTCGACCCTGGCTTTCTGCTCTGCTTGTAGTCTTTCAGGACTCGGGCTACGCTCATAGTTTGGGTTCCCATAAGGCTGACTCTCCATGTTCATGATGTAAGTGAATAGAGGTGTCATATGACACATTTTGTAGCACCTCATGGTCTCTTCTTCACCTCGTCGGGAATTCTCAAAGATGATATAATATCCAGTCTTATCGCAGCGAACGGCTTTCCAATCGAATATTCTCAATCGTTTCTGTAGATGAGGCAACGTGGACCCTAGAACAGGGACATAACAGTGAGCGATGAAAATATAAGGGTCTCGTTTGATTTGTTGCAAAATAGGCGTCTCCTCGACTGATGGTGACGTTGCGGGTTTCAGAGCAGCCCTGGGACCTTCTGGTGGGTTAAAAACTGGGCGTGTTGATGAGCGCCCAGAAGGCCCCTTCGGGGCAGTGGGCGGAGCCTCGTTGTTCTTTGGAGGGGTATTACGATGTCCCGATTCAAGCGATGGTGGGTTACTTTTGCGCCAGGACTCGATAGCTTTTTCCACCAGTCGCTGAGATAAGAGTCCGTCGCGGTCAAGTTCCGCTCGAATGCGTCGTGTACCAATGCGCTGTTCCTTTTTGCACTCGTAGTAGGCACGTCTCGCTGCAGCCGAAGCCGATAATGGCCCGTGATTTTGGAAAGAAATTGCATCTTTGAATTTGACGAGACAAATGCCGAGGGGTCTTCCAGTGACCGGATCAGTGCGATTATCAATATGAGCAACCTCCCCAAAGCTTGAGAATAATGCGGTTATGGGGCCAATCGGTGTGAGAGGGTCAAATCCAGTGACTACTAGCTGGGAAGGTGCAGCTCGACCGATAGATGTTGCAGGGTCGAAAGGCCAATGACGTATCGAATATGGCGTGGATCTCAGTCGCACTTTCGGCGCATTAGCGGAACCACGCGTATAGTCATCGATGGAAAGGCGTGGATCTGTCGAAGCTGGGGATTCGTGGGTTTGGACGAAATCTGTGTACTCGAGCTTCTTCTTCTTATCCTTCGTGCCAGGCTTTTTATCCAGTTCTGGATCGTAAGTCACCTTGCGACCTTTTAACTCGTCTATGAGAGAAGCGCGTAACCCATATGACGGTGTCTTTGGGATACTAGAGTGGCTATCCTTTTCAAGCTCAGTATGCTTGACATCAATGACAGAACGGCTTACAGGCGGCTGGTCATCACTAAGACCGTCAGTATTGTGGGATAAAAATTGTGATGGCAACGGAGCAACGACTATCTGCTGAAGCGAACCATTCATTGTAGGCAAGTCTTCCCCAAGGGTAGGCTCAGAATTCGCATAGGTTAAGTTGGTAGCATGATTGATATTCTTGGCAGGTACATCGTTTCGCAAATGTGGCGCACCACCTCCATCTTCGTCTTTCTCATGAGTCAATAGAATATTTTTAGAAGGAGCAGCGACTAAATTTGTAAATCCGTTGCTGGTCTCCGACCTTGATCTGCTTCGTCCACGATCCTCGGAGATTTTGGATCTTCGTGACTGCAGGACGGACGGAGCAGTTGGGAAGAAGTCAGCAAATCCTGCAGACAATCGCGACATATTGTGACAGGCTATTCGCCAAGACCTTTCCAAGCCAACGCAACCGCCAGCATTGTCAAGTTCGTGTCTGGATAGCTCAAATGACCCGGTAACAATGTTGGAGGGTGTTGTCGGAACGGACGATGTCGCTTCAAGGAAGTGACGCGCAGAACTGTATTTGACAATCACGATGAAGCGAAAGAACAGACAAGGACCCCGCGGGCTTAGCCAAGTCACGGGCGGCTTGAGATAGAAATTGAAGTAAAAGGACCAAGAGCGGGAGACGTGAGCCTTTGTGGTAAGAGCGTGTAGCAGACAGATAAATTGCTTCAGTCGCGAACCTGTCGGCAACACTAGTGGTTGGCCCCACAGGGATAGAAGCGGCAAGGTGTCCAATCAGGTAATGATTGAAGCACTAGCTGCTAGCTTCCATTGCAGCCTCGGTAATTTATCGAGGGCTAACGTAATCAACAAGCGGATCGGCACCACAAGCGAACCGGCACTTTTTCCGAACGCGTACGTACAAAATATTGATCTCAAATCTCAATTTCTAACCCACATACTAATTATATACAAAAAATTAATTCCTAATACAATTAGGACATCCAGTTATTTTATGTCCTGCAACACCACAACCACTGCAGCGAAATTGATGTCGTACAGGTGGATGAGAGACTGGGAGCTCAGGCTCGGCCGGAGCAGTAGTAACAGCTTGAGATGATTCAATCTGACCTTGTACGAGTGCTTGAGTTTCCTCTCTGGTAATTCCTTGCTCATGAGATATTTGCTGCTTGGATCTTTGACGTTTTTGCTTCTCCTTCTCATGTGGAGCCCGTGTAAACACTTCATCACTAGCCTCAGATGAACTTCTTGTATGCCGGCTTATTCGCTTCTTGATTGTAGTCATTTGGCGCTTGGATTGACGTGGATTTTGAGGGGTGTGTAAGCAGGATGATTGTGTATCACTTGACCGACTTGGGGGGGTTGTTGGAGTCTTCAATCGAACAGTAAGCTGTTGATAAACTCGATCTGGATTGAATGGTACTAATCCAGTTGCTGTAAAGCTATTCCGAACAGTTTGAGCTTTATATGCCATCGTACGAGCCTTTGGGAATGCAGTGAGAAAGGCGAACTTGTCAATGTGATTGAATCCAAGCCTCATCCGCTGCTCAACAAGCTGTCCATAATGTCGCTTTAAAACAGCAAAACAGCCAACATCAAGAGGCTGTAAAAGATGTGTAGAATGAGGAGGCATACAGACTGCAATAATATTATTCTCAGTGCATGTACGGTCAAATTCAGCAGTTAAATGGCTTCCATGACCATCAAGAATCAACATCCGATGTTTTCCCAATGTACGGCCATCGGTAAGAGGAATAAAATGAGCTTTAAGCCATTCTAATCCAATCTTATCTGTCGTCCATCCATTATCGCTAATATTGATTTTCCAGTCGTCTGGAAGATCCTCAAACCAGCCTAATCGAGTGTATTTCTTTGCCTTGAAAACAATGTACGAAGGCAATGCCCATCCAATCGAATTAACTGCCTCAATTGCAGTTATCCATTCTCGATTACCAGGCTGTAATAGATTTGGCTGAGCATATCGATCACTTCCAGTGATAACCTTTGCAGTCGCACAGAGTCCCATAGCAAAGCCAGTCTCATCAAAATTGTAGATATCTTCTGGTAAGATCTCATACTCTAGTATAACCTCTCGTACGCGATCAAAATATTCTTGGATTATCTTCGGATCTTCGCACTTGGCACGTTCATAGTTATATTTCCGTGAGAACTTTGATTCAATCTCTGGACGACGTTTGACAAGATTATATACCCAATTTTCTCCAACCTGTTGGTTTCCGCGTTGTGAGAGAAGATAATCAGCCATCTCTCGTACAAGAGAGTGTCGAGGGGGTAATCCACGTTTATCTAGATCGAGTATCCATTTGACAAGCGATTCCTCCTCACACTGAGTTAATTTATGACTGTTGGCGCGTACTTGAGATCTTTGTTGAGTGCCGTTTAATCTGTCTTGTAGAGTCGCCCGGGGTATACTATAAATCCTTGCAGCTTGAGCCACGCGCAAGATTCGTCCATTTTGTAAATCGGAAATAGCTAATAAGATTCGTCCTTCTTGCTCAGCTAAATCTTTCTTATTTTTATTGCGAATTGGTGGCATTTTGGCGTGTTGTATAATATGGAATTAATATTGTGTACGCGTTCGGGAAAAAGTGCCGGATCGCTTGTGGTGCCGGTTCGCTTGTGGATTACGTTAGTGGGAGCCATGTTTGAAAAGAGGTTATGTAAGCTTGAGAGGTGTCATGGGATGAAGGCCTTATGAGGAAAGCGGTCTAGAGTAGCAGAATTGCGGGATCAATCAGCTTGTCTCTGTAGCTTAGACCCTTCCTTTCTCTCTTCCCAAGCTTAGGATTTTCATTAGTTAGGACCTAATAATATTCAGTTCGAAGTCTGTTAGTGTCCCGACACTTCCTAAGTTTCTGACATTTAGCCTCATTGCCTTCTTTCGTTCATTTTCGCCCGGAAATCGTCCTTTTGTCGAACAAATCGTCACCTCTCTAAGAAAATCTTTTCATTGTTTAGTAGGAGTAGTAGTAGTAGTAGTAGAAGAAGAATTATAGCTAGCCACGGTCTAAAGAGCCGCTATGTGACGGCTGGGCATGGCTCTGCGTTCCCGTCTCAGTTCACGGATAGGGCTAGGAGCCGTGTAACCCTATCCGCGCCGTATTGGGAAGTGATATCAACATCAGACGTCGGAACTGGATAGGGAAAGGCGCCTTGCACAGAGATTTACATGAGAAGCGAGAACCAGACCTTTACTTCATTTCTTCCTTTTTCCCCTTTATGCTTAATATTACCTGTCGACAAGCACCTCTTGTACGAGATAGTTAGCTAGAATAGCGTACTCAAACCAAGCAGATTGGCACCGTCACAGCTATCCAGGTGTGTGTTTAAGCCTGCAGGCACCAAGAAATCCGCAGCACAGCCACGGGTAGTGCGCTATAGGGGCGCGCCACAGAGAAAGGAAGCTAAGGAAGCAAGACTAACAAATGCAAACATATCAAACAAATAAAACAAATAACCAATTCGCTTCAAAACCACATATCCCCATATCTTTCAACCCACACATCTTCGCACTTTCATATCGTACAAACTGTACGGTTTTCTCACATTCCAACAATCCCATAGAGCCCACAAATCTCACCCTTCGCAAATCCGACCCTTATATCCCCTACTAACATCCCCGTTGGCTGGCTCCGAATCCCTCGATCCAAGGCTCGTATTCGTGTCAATATTGGTCATTACTGACAACGAGGCTGACCTGGAGCGCACGTCATCTTCTTGTGCATTCGTACGTGTTCCCACGTCAGTGTCCTTGTCATTTGCAAGCGCTGATTGAGCTGCTGTTTCTGCGCTTTCATACATGCTTATTGCTTCTGGATCTGTCACATGGAATTAGTCTAACACTTGCAGATCAATGATAAATTATGCGATTGTGACCGCAGCTGTCTTTTCGCTGAGCAGCTTTTGCAAATTGGTTGTACGGCGGAATCCTTTGATTCACGTCCATATAAGTGTACGTTCATCTGCGTACAGTGGGCATTCCATAAGGATATATTTTACGGATTGGCCGGATAGCCCGCACACGCAGTACGGATGTTCTCGCTTATTAATTCTCTAGGGATAATGGGCTAGGCCTATTCGCTCTGTACGGAGCTAAATTAGGATAGACGACGTTGCTTTCCAAAGGAACGTCCAATACTGGAGTGTGCGTTTGGAAGGCTGAGTGACAAGTTTCTTGGTAGGCTTCCCAGCCTTCTGTTTGTCCCACAATTTCTCCCAGGTATCCTTGGTTGATTGTTGTATTCTCTGTTTTGCAGCCGCGGTAAGTATTATCCAACCATTAGTAACTTCTGGCACAAACTGCCTTTGTGCACCCATTAGAGCTATATGTTTTGCAGCTCTGTCCGCAGCCTCGTTTCCAGGAACACCCTCGTGGGCTGGAATCCACCGTAATGTCACATCGATGTCCTCGACCAAGCATTTTCTTAGTAGATCAACACAGTCACGAATGTACGTTTGACCTGAGACCATACGCGGATTTATTAAAAAAAAACCCCTCGCGCACCTATGAAAACGCACCTACGCAGGTAAAAAGTACTGCGGGAAAGAATCTCAGTGAAAAAGACCTCCTTAACAGCCTATTTACCAACTTTCGCCTGCTCAATCGACGTGGTTGAGGCATGGGCCGAAAAGAGGTAAAAAGGGCACTCCGTGGCCAGAACTAGACTTCCGCATAACCCAACTTGGGTCGAAGGTCTCGACCCAAAACCCAACCCGGACCCAATGCTGGGCCCCAATAAAACCCATTAAGATCCAACGTGACCCAACCTTTGCATAAATTTGATCATAAAGCCGCTCAGTCATCAAAATAACATACTGTTTTTTACATCTGTTCTAGGTTATACCAACTATCACTATATGTTTGTCGGGCTTGGAACTATAAGGGATCTCCGGAAGGATTAGCCTAGGGGGAGTACCCAAAGGTCCCTGGCATATCGGCCATATGGGGACGAGATAGTGATTTTTGAATTTTTGCATGTATGATTCTGATAGGGGTGAGGCCAGTAGGGCGTCACCAAGGCTTCCAGTGGTCTGTCATAGCCAGTAGGGCTGGGTACGGACAATAAACTTGATTAATAAATAAATAAAGTGAGACCCCCAAGCTTGCTGGTTGTTACACTGGCAATATATAACCTAGGGCTTTGTGCTTACCGCCTGGCAGTATAATTAATCGCTTCAATGATTGCCTCATTAAAGGTCAGTTACCCCTGCGAGCTCCGTATAGCAATGCAGGTTGAAAATTTTCAAGGATCTGAAAGGGATGTTGGGGTGGGAATTGGGGGTTTTCTGGGTTATTTGGGTTATTGCTGGGTTATTGCTGGGTTATTTGGGCTCTTACTGGGTTATTGCTGGGTTTTCTGGGTTAGACCCATAGAAAGGTGGATCTTATAAACTAATCAAACCCTATTAGATTCATACATTGCCTTTCCATATTGCATTTGCATTGCCTTTCCATATTGCATTTGCTTATTTTCCTCCCTACTTTTAAGGTCGATTTGCTTGGGGGGCGGATAGCTGAAGTGGTAATGGCTATCCTTGGGGCCTCCATTCGGTACCCATCTTCGCTGATTGACAAGGCCGTAGGTTCGACTCCTACACCCCTCACCAAAACAATTACCACAAATTATCGTGGCAGCTGCAAGTGGGTGCCGCTGCCAAGGCTCGCGTGCTAGCGCTTTATATCAAGCCACCGTAGGGCTTTTGCCCTAAGAACCGCACCAATTCTCGGGAACCCTTTTAAAAACCATCCGACCCACCCACGGGACAGGACACCCGAGGCTAGCCTAGCTAGTGGTTAGTCCCTTATGGGGCAAGACTGTGACGGCCAATAAGTAGGCTGCGATGCCGATATTGGTAACTGGAAGCTCAGAAGTGGTTGGAGAGTGGGCGGTAGTGGAGCAATAGGAAAGATAAGGAACTATTGTATCTAGCTTGAGAGGACAGAAGCGGCAGCCGGTTACTATGGGTGCATATATAAATGTATAGTAGCTTAATGTGTATCCCCCCAATATCCCTAGGGGGGGATGAATAGGGGTGAGGGCACACTAGTCAGAGTTTGTACTGATTAGGTGTGCCCACGGGTTTGGAACTATAAGGGATCTCCGGAAGGATTAGCCTAGGGAGAGTGCCCAAAGGTCCCTGGCATATCGGCGATATGGCGACGAGATAGTGATTTTTGAATTTTTGCATGTATGATTCTGATAGGGGTGATGCCGATAGGGCATCACCAAGGCTTCTGTGGTCTGTCATAGCCAGTAGGGCTGGGTATAGACAATAAACTTGATTAATAATAATAATAATAAGGTCGATTTGCTTTCTATTATCCCTAAATGGAATTACTTTATGAGTATCTATCTTCTTCCCTACCTTCTTAGTTATCTACCAGGCTGATTAATTATGTCGCAAAGTCAGCACTCTGACTTCGCATCCTCCTTTTATGATGGTGAGATAGATAATCTTAGCTATCTAATATCATCAAACCACCTGGCTACTCCATCTACTAGCCAATACGCACTTGATATCTCCGACCAAATATTCCTCTAGCAATCCCCTCTTTCTTCACACGCGTTGGACCTGACCGAAGGAAGGCCTTTCTTCTCTATGATAGAATGGCGCATAACGACTGGGTGGATTGGTGGCTTCAGACCAATTTTGGGAGAAAGAGCAAGATTAACTGGGATTCGACGCGACATGCAGAGATTTGGGACTATTATCACCAGGTTGCTCATAGTGTAGATGGTGCGCTAAAGGTCATGTGTCAACGCTGTGGAGCTATTCTTGAGCACCCCTATACTGTTAACTCAAAGACAAAGGGCAAGATACAATATCATGGCACATCAACAATGCAGAAGCACCTTAAGACAGCAGGGCGTTTAAAGAGTGAACGAGGGAAGAGAGCAGAGATAACTGAATTTCTTAAGAATAGTGTATGTTCTTATATTCTTACAAATTTTTCTTTTAAAACTTACTCCTAGCTGTGTCTACTTTGCTAACTTAATTTATATACTAATATTAGAGAGAATCTTCTACTAATATATCTTTCTCGCAAGAAGCTTGGGAAGAAGATATCTTACAGTTCCTTACACTTAATCGACTTCCATTTCATCTTATTGAGCATTCAATGTTTCAGCGGCTTATTTCTCGGGCTCGCTGCGCTCCATCACTGCTAATAATCCCATCTGCTGATACAATCCATCGCCAATTAAGGAGCCTTGTTCAAGACCGGCAAGAGCGTGCCCTTCAAACACTACCTGCTGGCTCAAAGATATCAATTGCACTAGACTGCTGGACATCTCTATTCTCATAGGCGTTTATAGCAATCACAGGCTATTTTATTGATGCTGATTGGGTCTATCGCGAGGTACTACTTGGGTTTAAGCCTCTTTATGGGCCACATACTAGTGTGAACCTAAGTAGCGTCGTTCTTCAAACTCTTATGGAGCATAACCTTGAATCACGAGTATTTGGGTTAACAACGGATAATGCATCTAATAATAAGACCTTGGTAGATTCTCTTCAATAAGCTCTACCAGACAGTGTTATTATTATCCAGATTCCATGCCTTGCTCATGTTATTCAGCTCAACTTCAACCAGCTTCTTGATCGCATTAAGGTAGTCCCATTAAATGACTCTGCTGTGACGAAGTGGACAGAAAAGTAGTCAAGACTAGCCCAAGCGAATGCGCAGCACCAAGGGCGAGAGATATCTTATACCTTAAATAAGGTCCGCTATCTCGTAATCTATGTGAACGCAAGTCCTCAGCGCCGGGAGACTTTCTATAATCTCCAGACGTCAAGCGTGAAGCTAGTGCCTATCCAAGATGTGAGAACTCGATGGAATTCAACTTTTCTAATGCTTCGTCAGGCAAAGCGTCTACGCAGTATCTTTACGCCATTTTGTGCAGAGTATGACTGTGAAGAGATGTTACTTCAGGATGAGGAGTGGCGCCAGGTTGACTATCTTCTTTGTATTACTGAGCCATTCTTTGACTATACAACTCAGCTATCAAAGACCTGAGACGTCACAGCACATTATGTGTTTAAGATTTACAATAAACTCTTCGAACACCTTAAGCAGTTAATGAAGCAGCTACGACGAAAGCGCGCTCCATGGAAGCAACAAATGCTTCATGCACTAGAGGCTGGTCAGACAAAGCTTGATGAGTACTACTCTCAAACTGATTATATTCCAGGGCACATCTATGCAGTCAGTACGATGCTGGCACCAGTGAATAAATTCAAATTCTTCCTTACAAAGGATTGGGATCAGAAATGGCGGGATATCTATCGCAAGTCCTTCCAATAGGCTCTTATTCCATATCAAGAGCAACTTTCAATAAGTAACCAGTCTTCAGACAGGTCTCACTCAGCAGCTCGGCTAAGCTCAAAGCTTGATAAGATGTTAGATGAGAGTGAGACACAGCCAAATGCAGCAACTGATGAAATGACCCAATACCTTGATAGTGGTTTGTTTGCACGAAGTCTTTGCTAAAATATACTAACTACTTAATAGATACTATTCATATTGCGCCTCTTGCATTCTGGAAAGAGCATCAAACTCGCTTTCCAGCAATTGCTGCCCTTGCGCGGGATATACTCTCCTTTCCTGCAACAGGCGCAGGAGTTATTATTATTATTATTATTAATCAAGTTTATTGTCTATACCCAGCCCTACTGGCTATGACAGACCACTAGAAGCCTTGGTGACACCCTACTGGCCTCACCCCTATCAGAGTCATACATGCAAAATTCAAAAATCACTATCTCGTCCCCATATCGCCGATATGCCAGGGACCTTTGGGCACTCTCCCTAGGCTAATCCTTCCGGAGATCCCTTATAGTTCCAAACCCGTGGGCACGCCTAGTCCGTACAAACCCTGACTAGTGTGCCCTTATCCCTACCCATCCTCCAATGTGACACCTAGGCCACCTTCCTCCAACGTATCCCATCCCCACACATCACTAATCTCAGCCTCTCTGGCTGTCCGCTCATTATCATTGAATAGGTTGGCTTCAGCCATGAATTGCAGCAAACCCTGCGTCGCTCTAGGCTCAGCAAATAGCCTAGCCTCGGGGTTTTCCTCAGCCGCTGTAGGCAGTGGCACGCCTGCTTTTTTGAGGGCTTGATAGAGAGTTCTTCGTCCTGCACGACGTCCACGGCACTCAAAGAGTACATGCCTTACTGTCTCATGAGGTTCCTTGCAGGCCTGACACTCAGGCGATTCCCGTTGGCCTATCCGGTATAGATAGGTGCCAATTGGAGCATGTCCTGTCTTTAACTGGTAGTAACGACTAGCCACTCTTTTTGGAGCTTTTCCTGCCACTGGGTCAAGGTTCCAGCCTCGAGGCATCTTGTAGACACGTCCGTCTCTATGCCTGCCTTGTACAGCATTGATTTGGGCCCATTCAGATACTGCAGCTCTCCTTGCTTCCGTGCAAGCCCTTCTAACGTGCGCCAGAGATAGGTGCTCAAAACCAGGCGCGGTTTGTTTACTAGCTGCACGTTTAGCAGCTTGATCAGCCTGCTCATTCCCTTCAATCCCTGAGTGGCCTGGGACCCATTGTATTGTGACTGGCTGGCCTCTCAAGGCTAGTTTCTCAGCTGCCCTGTGAGCTCTAAGAACAAGGGCTTGCCCAGGGCCTGGCCTTGTCGATCTGAGGCGATCAATAGCATTCTGTGCGTCAAGTAACACCCAGATAGGACCAAGAGGTTGCCTCTCCAGTGCCCATTCAAGGGCTGTGGCTACTCCCACTAGTTCTGCGTCAAAGACCTCGTGTCCGTGACCCATTGGCACTTCTACGTGTTCCCAGGGGCCTTCAGGTACAGCCTGTAAAGTGACACCGGCTCCTGCACGTCCTGTATCGAGTCTGGAGCCATCGGACCAAAACGTTGTTCCAGCACGCTGTTGATTAGCCTCTGTTAGGGCCTCTTCCTTGTCAAGTACTCGGATCGAGCCTGGGAAGCCTTGGAGCTCGCATTGTTCAGTTCTCTCAATTCCTCCAGAGGGGTCTCTGTTCAACCGTTGAGCAAGGTGCTTTGCCAGTCTTTGGCCTAGTCGATTCGGCATCTTATTGTCTCTAGAGGCCCACTCACGGTCGTCTAGCGGTTGCTCTCCAGGTTGTGCGTGGAGGTCACCATGTCTAAGGGTTACTGGAAGTATCTGCGCTGTAGGATGCGTGTCAGGCAGAGCTAGTAGCCTCGCTGTATATCGAGCTACTCTAGCGTCCAGTAAGACTGTCGCTGGCTCTAACGCTGCCTCTCTGATTAGGGCTCCGATTGGGGTTTTTGGGAACATGCCCGTAATACCTCTGGCTTGCTTATTGATCAGAATCTGGATCCTTTGTGCCCATGTTTTCTGGCCTTGCCACCATATCTCGGCACCCCATAGCAATTGGGCTTGCACTGTAGCCTTCTGTATGCGCCTCACTAATGCTGGAGGTAACCCATTAGCTCTGCAGAGTGAGTTTAACCTGATTATCGTATTTCTTGCTGTCTTAATTCGAGCGTTGTAGTGGCTCTTCCATGTAAGTTGGTTATCTAGGAGTATCCCTAGCCACCATACTGTAGATTTGACAGTTGCCGACTCGCCTCCAACCCTGATCCGGGCTCGAGATACGTTTTGGGCCACTTGACGTCTGTGTCGTCTATAAAAGAAAGCGGCCTCAGTCTTTTTGCGATCAAATTGTACCCCGTTAGCCACCCCCCACTTGATGGCTACTTCCGCGGCTTTCTCGAGGATCCTACAAGCCTCCTTCACTGAGCTTGCGGCTGTTATTAGGCCTTGGTCGTCCACAAAGGATAGACATCGAACCTCCGGCACACTCCTCTCAATGGCTCTTGATAGCCCATGAACGTATAGAACAAAGAGAATGGGTGACACCGGAGAGCCCTGAGGTAACCCAGAGCTTATCGGTACTTCCTTTCCCACGTGTCCATCAATCACAAGAGTGACTTGCCGGTCAGATAGAAATGAGATCACCCAATGTATAAGATCTCCATCCACGCTAGCCTCTCTGAGCACCTCTACCAGTTTTGCTAGGATGACATGGTCAAAGGCCCCCTCAATATCCATAAATAGAGCTGCAGCCAGCTTCCCATTTGCCCAAGCTTGATGGATCTCCTCAACTAGACATGCCACAGCATCAATTGCACTGCGTTGCCGACGGCCTCCAAATTGACCATCATGGAAGAGGTCTTGAGCCTCTGCAAAGTTTGTAATTAACTCTGCTACGAGCTTCTCAATTACCTTGCCTAGGCACTTCAATAGGCTTATCACTCGATACGCACTAGCCAGTGTGTAGTTGGTTTTACCGTTCTTTCTCAGTAGAACTCCCTTGGCTGTTTTCCAGACACGTGGATGTATCCCAAGCCTAAGGCACTGCCTAGTCAGGCTAACCACACGCTCTGAGTCTAGATTCCATAAGAGCCTGATAGCCCTGAAGTTCAGTAAATCTGTACCTGGAGCTTTCTCTAGTCCCTGGCTAAAGAGGGCATTCTTGACAACTTCCTCGTTAACTAGCTTGTGGGCCGATCCTCGCTCAGGAAGCTGTAACTCCATGTTACTGTTTGGAGCCTGTGGAAATGCACGGTGTCTAAAAACCTCCTCCTTCTCGCTAAAGGTGGCTGCAATCACCTCCCCTGAGGCCTCATCGGTGAGGGCTGGTGTGGTGCCTTGTGTTTGTGGTTTAGTATAGCGTAAGGCTGTCCAGCACCGTTTCTGATCTGGCAGAGAGCCCTCAGACGTGCCCTGAAGGAAACCCTCCCAGCACTCTCTTTTAGCTCTCCTGATCAGTGAATAGAAGCTCTTACGTGCTTCTCGATGCTCCTCCTCGCTAATCTCACCCGCTTGGTAGGCTTTACGAGCCTTGGAATACACGCTTCGTTCTGCCTCAATCTCACTGTTCCACCACCGCTTAGATCGAGCACAAAGTCTGATCTGTTTGCAGTGCTTATTCAGGACCTCTGTCAATGTTCTCTCGATCCACTCAGCTTCACGTTCCACTTCCTCTGTTGAGGTTGTGTCTGTTAGTATTGGTTGAGTCTTTGCTAGTTCGTTCCAGGTGTCTTTTGCCTCCTGCAGAGCCTTTTTGTTTCCTAGTAGAGCCTCTATCTGCCACCCTGTGACTTCTTTCCTTGTGGGCTCTGTACTCGTAGTTGCTGGAGGTTCCCAGCTAGCCCAGATCATAACATGATCTGATGGCGTGAGCCTCTGGCTTTCGATTTCCCATCCAGATAGAGGGCCAAGGGCTTGACTACTGATTGTGAGATCAATAATTGAGACCCTAGGCTCAGTAGATGTTTCAAATGATGCTGTAGAATCTCTAAGCTTATGAGGCCTTGTTGGCTCGTCAGGGTCGTTATTAATAAAGAGGTCATGCCTCATTATTAGATCCTCGAGGGATCTTGCGTTAACCCTCTGGTCAATATGGACATTCCACATCGGGCTGTGGGCGTTGAAGTCTCCAAGAATGAGACATCGGCCCTCTAAAATTGGTCCCCAATCAAGATCCGTGAGGGCTCTTCTTGTAAGTAGGCTCTCTCCTGAGTATGTATGACGTGCACCTAACCAGTTGTCATAGCAGTTCACTATCCTCGTACGCCTCCCCTGTTCTAGCACGTCAACCACCATAAAATATGGATGGTTAGCTAGATCTGTACGCGCCTCCACCACTAATTCTCTCACTAAATCTCTCCGAATCGCTGTCACTACTCGAGCATGTTCTCGAGGACCCTCAGGCCAGTAGAACAGGAAGCCAGGATGGCTTATCTGGTATTTTCCACGTACTGGGGGTTCCTGGAGACAGGCTATCCCGGCACCAGCCTGTAGTGCCACTTCTAGGGCTGTATGTACTACAGCGCCTGTACGGGCACAGTTGTGTTGTAGTACTATCATAGATCCTCACTTTGAGGCGCTTCAGTGGCTGACTTGAGCTCTGGCTCTAGTGGTTGTTGGCTATTTCCCTCATGAATATCAGCCTCTAATTGCATCTCAGGCAGCAATTCATCTTCTTCTGGAGTTGACGTCTCCTCCTCTAGAGACTGTCCAGGTCTCTCCTCCAAGGTCAGTACCGGTTTTGGAGGCACTACCGCGAATGTCTCATCTAATGGGATGAGGTCTTGTAAGGATTGTTCCCTCATTCTCCGGATAGCCCTTTGACGAGCCTCCCTAGCTTTAGGGCACTTAGGAGATGTAGCCTCGTGTGCACCTTTGCAGTTAGCGCACTTGATCACTGTGTGTTTGCAAGGTTTAGCTGGCCCAACCCTACAATCCACTACTGTACATGAGTGCTCTATTGCCTCATGATCACCTGCGCAGATCGCGCATTTAGGAGACCTGCCACCACAAGCCATGAAGCCAGAGTGGCCAATTCCGCAGCATCGAGGGCAGATACTCTCAGGATTTGACTCCCAATAAGGTGCTACTCGATGGTGTCGGCCTCCAAACTTGATGCCTTTATTGATCAGTGTTCGAGCTTCCTCCAAAGAACCTACTGTGATCACAATTGTGGCAAATCTCTGGTTGCTAGCCTGTATAGTCTTGGCTCTTTTGAGCCACGTTGGCTCTCGTTTAAGCCTATATAGTGTTCCCAGCTCAATCTCTTCTTGGGCTAGTGCTAGGCCTTGGTCATTATACATGTAGCGGTCCACAGGCACTGCCTGTACCTTAACACGGTGCCACTGTTCGCTAATCTCCACGGAAATAACTGCTGGATCTGTTTGCCTTACAGCGGCTAGTAGAGTATCGTTGTAGACGGGCACGAGGGTGCTGCTGCAAGTGCCTCGCTCTAGGAGCACTGTTAAGGCCCCTGAGGCCGCGTATCCAGAATCGACCGCTCTTACAAAGTCAGGAAAACCTGCCTTAGCAAGGGCACGGTTAAGGGCTAAGAGGATATCGGCTTTCAATGCGGTAGGAGCATCTTTAGGATATCGTCGTCTAAAGATTAGGCGCCTCTCCTCCTTACTCCGGGTACTTACGGGCTTCAAATTAGTTGTTGACAGAGCCTTCGAGGGTGCCAAGGCTTGTTTCTTATACTGGACGGTTTTCCATCCTCCAGATTGGGTATTATTCGCGGCAATAGCGGCCCATTTCGTAGGTGCGGGCTTGGTCAGTGGCTTAGCGGTAGTTTCGGGCTGTTTAGTGGTCTTCGCGGCGGTTCCAGGTACCTTTTTAGGGCCCTCAGGTGGCTGTATGGCTTGCTTCGTAGCCTTTGTTGGATTCTGATATCGCGGTGGAGGCTGAGGTGCGGTTGAGTTTATCGCGCGGCTCTCAGGCGCGGCATCTAGCTGTATTGGGGTGGACGCTAAGCCTCCCGTGGAAGCAGCTCTTGGCGGTGGCCCGTGCGCCGCAACCTCACGCGTTGCAGCGAAGGGGTCGAGTGGTAGGATTTGACGGCTTTGTAGCGCGTTCACGTAAGTTTCAAGGCTCTCTAGCCTAGCGTTGAGAGTAGTAATGAGGCCCTGTTGGGTATTGATCACGTTTCTGGCAGTCGTCAGCTCCGCGGAGAGCTGGTGGACCGCTTCTTGCAGATGGCCGTTGAGGTCCTCGATCAGGCCCATCACGAGGCTATCCTCTGCAGTAGCACTCGCTGCACGCATTGCGGTAAGTGTAATCTTCCTCTTCGGAGCCGCGCTCAATCCAGACCTAGTTATAGGAGTCCGAGATCCTATAGTCAGCCTTGAGGCCTTCCTTTTCTCGAGGATCGTTCCTGGGGCTTGTTGGGTTTCTCCAGTCTGTCGTGGCGCTTGTAGAGCGTCGCTGTTGCTCAAAGTAGGTTCATTGGACTGTTTCTGACAGTCTCCAAGTCCTGCAAACAGTGCACGGGTAGTTGGAGGTAGCTGTGACGTTTCCTGGGAGGGTGTCGATAAATCAACCCCAGATCCAGGTCCTATGATTTCTGGATCTCCAGTGGCCCCTGGAGGCCTCTCTGGACTTTCCATGAGGGTTTTTCGATGCTAAGAAGCCTGCAAAGGCCCTTGGAAAGCTCAATAAGCGTGGTTCGTCGTCAAATCAGGATCTCGCTTCCTTAGCGGCCTCAAGGTTTTTGATAGAAATGAGATCACCCAATGTATAAGATCTCCATCCACGCTAGCCCCCCCTAGGAATATTGGGGGGATACACATTAAGCTACTATACATTTATATATGCACCCATAGTAACCGGCTGCCGCTTCTGTCCTCTCAAGCTAGATACAATAGTTCCTTATCTTTCCTATCGCTCCACTACCGCCCACTCTCCAACCACTTCTGAGCTTCCAGTTACCAATATCGGCATCGCAGCCTACTTATTGGCCGTCACAGTCTTGCCCCATAAGGGACTAACCACTAGCTAGGCTAGCCTCGGGTGTCCTGTCCCGTGGGTGGGTCGGATGGTTTTTAAAAGGGTTCCCGAGAATTGGTGCGGTTCTTAGGGCAAAAGCCCTACGGTGGCTTGATATAAAGCGCTAGCACGCGAGCCTTGGCAGCGGCACCCACTTGCAGCTGCCACGATAATTTGTGGTAATTGTTTTGGTGAGGGGTGTAGGAGTCGAACCTACGGCCTTGTCAATCAGCGAAGATGGGTACCGAATGGAGGCCCCAAGGATAGCCGTTACCACTTCAGCTATCCGCCCCCCAGGCGCAGGAGTTGAACGGCTCTTTAATACTGCTCGGGATGTCTGCCATTATCGTCGAGGGAGAATAAAGTCGGAGACAATTGAAGAATTAATGATGTTTCTTTGCACTTCAAGGTTTGATATAGAAGAGCAGGAGGCAAAGCTTCTGGAGAAGTTCTTCTCCTATGAGGAAATGAAATCTGCAAAGGAGGAAAAGGATGAAAAGCTTGACAAGATTGAGATAGATCTAATTAGTGATACTGAGGAGCAGGATACTATAATTAATGATGAGATAGGGCTAGACGAGGTAGGCGAGGCAGATGAAGTAGGTGAAGCCCAGATACCACTGCCTAGGAACAACACCCAGGTACGGGTCTCAGGATGGAAGCGCAAGAGTCGAGATGATGATATCTTTGAGTATCATTAGTTAGTGTTGGAACGTCAATATCAAGCCTTATAATAACTGATCTTTAATGAGGCAATCATTGAAGCGATCAAGTATATTGCCGGGCGGTGAGCACACTGCTCTATAGCGCTGAACTCCCGGCACCCCTTTCTTAGGAATCAAGCAGAATATTAGGAATCAAAACAAATTCCATTGTGTTTCACTTCGTCGGACCGCCCCTTCTTCAAATCTATTGAGCTGATCTAGGATGGGGATAAACCGATAGTTAGATTTTATCTGTAGATAGAAATATATTATACTTTGCCTTCTGATTCTTTGATATTCCTTAGTCTTTCCCGTTCTTGCTTCCCCTGATTTAGCTGTAAAGGAAATACTGAATATTACAGACAAAAAATGCATAATTTATGTAGTCACGGGCCTTGGCATATATGTTACGTTTGTAACCCAAGTTGGGGCCCCGGACCCAGGCTGGGTTAGAGTCTTCGACCCAAAACCCAACCCAGCCCGGGTTGGGTCCGGGTTATTATTATTATTAATCAAGTTTATTGTCTATACCCAGCCCTACTGGCTATGACAGACCACAGAAGCCTTGGTGATGCCCTATCGGCATCACCCCTATCAGAATCATACATGCAAAAATTCAAAAATCACTATCTCGTCCCCATATCGCCGATATGCCAGGGACCTTTGGGCACTCTCCCTAGGCTAATCCTTCCGGAGATCCCTTATAGTTCCAAGCCCGTGGGCACGCCTAGTCCGTACAAACCCTGACTAGTGTGCCCTTATCCCTACCCATCCTCCAACGTGATACCTAGGCCACCTTCCTCCAACGTATCCCACCCCCACGCATCACTAATCTCAGCCTCTCTGGCTGTCCGCTCATTATCATTAAACAGGTTGGCTTCAGCCACAAATTGCAGCAAACCCTGCGTCGCTCTAGGCTCAGCAAATAGCCTAGCCTCAGGACTTTCCTCAGCCGCTGTAGGTAGCGGCACTCCAGCTTTCTCGAGGGCTCGGTATAAAGCCCTCCGTCCTGTACGGCGTCCTCGGCATTCAAAAAACACATGCCTCACTGTCTCATGAGGCTCCTTGCATGCCTGACACTCAGGCGATTCCCGTCGGCCTATCCGGTGTAGATAGGTGCCGATTGGAGCATGTCCTGTCTTCAGCTGGTAGTACCGACTAGCCAGTCTTTTTGGGGCTTTTCCAGCCACTGGGCCAAGGTTCCAGCCTCGAGGCATCTTGTAGACACGTCCGTCTCTATGCCTGCCTTGTACAGCGTTGATTCGAGCCCATTCAGATACTGCAGCTCTCCTTGCTTCCATGCAAGCCCGTTTAACGTACGCTAGAGACAGGTGCTCAAAACCAGGTGCGGTCTGTTTACTAGCTGCGCGTTTAGCAGCTTGATCAGCCTGTTCATTCCCTACCACTCCTGAGTGGCCTGGAACCCATTGTATTGTTACTGGCTGACCTCTCATGGCTAGCTTCTCCACTGCCCTGTGAGCCCTAAGAACAAGGGCTTGCCCAGGGGCTGGTCTTGTTGACTTGAGGCGATCAATAGCATTCTGCGCGTCAAGGAGTACCCAGATAGGACCAAGAGGTTGCCTCTCAAGTGCCCATTCAAGTGCTGTAGCTACTCCCATTAGTTCCGCGTCAAACACCTCGTGTCCGTGGCCCATTGGCACCTCTACGTGTTCCCAGGGGCCTCCAGGTACAGCTTGTAAAGCGACACCGGCGCCGGCACGTCCTGTATCGAGTCTGGAGCCATCGGACCAAAACGTCGTTCCAGCGCGCTGTTGATTAGCCTCCGTTAGGGCCTCTTCATTGTCAAGGACTCGGATCGAGCCTGGGAAGCCTTTAAGCTCGCATTGTTTAGTCCTTTCGATTCCTCCCGAGGGGTCTCTGCTCAGCCGTTGAGCGAGGTGCTTTGCCAGTCTTTGGCCTAGTCGATTCGGCATCTTATTGTCTCTAGAGGCCCACTCACGGTCGTCTAGCGGTTGCTCTCCAGGTTGTGCGTGGAGGTCACCATGTCTAAGGGTTACTGGAAGTATCTGCGCTGTAGGATGCGTGTCAGGCAGTGTCAATAGCCTCGCTGTATATTGAGCCACTCTAGCGTCCAGTAAGGCTGTCGCTGGCTCTAACGCTGCCTCTCTGATTAGAGCTCCAATTGGGGTCTTTGGGAACATGCCCGTGATAGCTCTGGCTTGCTTATTGATTAGAACTTGGAACCTCTGTGCCCATATTTTCTCTGGCCTTGCCACCAAAACTCGGCACCCCAAAGGAGTTGGGCTTGTACCGTAGCCTTTTGTATGCGCCTCACTAATGCTGGGGGTAGCCCATTGGCTCTGCAGAGTGAGTTCAACCGGATTATCGTGCTTCTTGCTATCTCGATTCGAGCCTTGTAGTGATTCTTCCATGTAAGATGGCTGTCCAGGAGTATACCTAGCCACCGTACTGTTGGTTTGACAGTCGCCAACTCGCCTCCAACCCTGATCCGGGCTTGAGATATGTTTTGGGCCACTTGACGTCTGTGTCGTCTATAAAAGAATGCGGCTTCAGTCTTTTTGCGATCGAATTGCACCCCGTTGGTCACCCCCCACTCGATGGCTACTTCGGCTGCTTTCTCAAGGGTCCTACAAGCCTCCTTCACTGAGCTTGCGGCTGTTATCAGGCCTTGGTCATCCACAAAGGATAGACATCGAACCTCTGGCGCACTCCTCTCAATGGCTCTAGACAGCCCATGAACATACAAAACAAACAGGATAGGTGACACTGGAGAGCCCTGAGGTAGCCCAGAGCTTATCGATGCTTCCTTTCCAATGTGTCCGTCAATCACGAGGGTGACTCGCCGATCAGATAGAAACGAGACTACCCAACGTATAAGGTCTCCATCCACGCCAGCCTCTCTGAGGACCTCGATTAGTCTGGCCAAGACAACATGGTCAAAGGCCCCCTCTAGCCTCGTATTGAGGGTTGTAATAAGGCCCTGCTGCGTGTTGATCACGTTCTTAGCGGTTGTAAGTTCGACAGAGAGCTGGTGGACCGCCTCTTGCATCTGGCCCCTCAGGTCCTCGATCAGGCTCATCACGAGGCTATCCTCTGCAGGAGCGTTCACTGCACGCATTGCGGCAAGTGTAATCTTCCTCTTTGGAACAGCGCTCAATCCAGACCTAGCTATAGGAGTCCTAGGTCCCGTACTCAGTTTAGAGGCCTTCCTTTTCTCGATGGTTATTCCTGGAGCCTGTTGGGATTCTCCAGCCTGTTGTATCGCGTGTATGGTGTCGCGGTTATCCAGAGTTGGTTCGTTGGACTGTTCCTGGCTGTCGCCAATTCCTACAATCGGTGCAGGGGTGGTTTGAGGCAGCCGTAGCGGTTCCTGGGTGGGTATCGAAGAATCGACCCCAGATCCGGATCCCATGATTTCTGGGTCACCAGTGGCTCCTGGGAGCCACTCTGGACTTGCCATGAGGTTTGTCGATGCTTAGTAGCCTGCAAAGGCCCCTTAATGTAAAGAAATCGGTGAATGGATCGTTCCGTGCCTAGTAAGAGTATGAGATCACCACTAGGTAGTATTATAATAACACGAATTACATAGCCCCAAAGGAGAAAGCAGCTCTATTCCGAGAGGTCCTCCATCTGGAGCCCCTAGAGGCAGATTTGTCGGATATTAGGCTACAATTCAGATATCCCAAACCATATATGATGCCACTAATTAATTAGATGAAGTCCGTACCGCAATAAATAATGTAAAGCCTGATAAAGCACCAGGGCCAGAGGAGATCCCTAATCTGGTCCTCCAAAGGCTGTGTTTGTACGCGCACAACACCCTGTCGGAATTTGGCACCACTGCAAGAAGCTGCGGGGAGTTTCTGTTATAGGTGTTTCATGATTTCGGGATAGCTCACAAAATCCTTTGTGAGCTCATATCCATACTTCACTGGTTGTTTGTACATGTCTCAATTGCCGGATTGAGTCCTTACTCAATCCCCAACGTAGGTTCCTACGCAGGCATAAATATGGCCTGCGTTCCCCATGAGATAGTGGGAGTGAGGAGTTATGAATAAGGAATCATGTTACTATATTGATCGAACTCACCCTTAGGCTTGTTGGACTAGCCTTGCACCAATCCCTGCTTCGTGTTCTGGGACCGTGCTAAACCAACAGGCTGCTTCCTACTATTGAGGCCTATCTCCGGGCCACTCAGGAGTGGTAGGGAATGAACGGGCTGATCAAGCTGCTAAACGTGCAGCTAGTAAACAGACCGCACCTGGTTTTGAGCACCTGGTTCTAGCGTACGTTAGAAGGGCCTGCACGGAAGCAAGAAGAGCTGCAGTATCTGAATGGGCTCAGATTAATACTGTACAAGGCAGGCATAGAGACGGACGTGTCTACAAGATGCCTCGAGGCTGGAACCTTGACCCAGTGGCGAGAAAAGCCCCAAAAAGACTGGCTAGTCGGTACTACCAGCTGAAGACAGGACATGCTCCAATCGGCACCTATCTACACCGGATAGGCCGACGGGAATCGCCTGAGTGTCAGGCATGCAAGGAGCCTCATGAGACAGTGAGGCATGTGCTTTTTGAATGCCGAGGACGCCGTACAGGACGGAGGGCTTTATACCGAGCCCTCGAGAAAGCTGGAGTGCCGCTACCTACAGCGGCTGAGGAAAGTCCTGAGGCTAGGCTATTTGCTGAGCCTAGGGCGACGCAGGGTTTGCTGCAATTCATGGCTGAAGCCAACCTGTTTAATGATAATGAGCGGACAGCCAGAGAGGCTGAGATTAGTGATTTGTGGGGGTGGGATACGTTGGAGGAAGGTGGCCTAGGTATCACATTGGAGGATGGGTAGGGATAAGGGCACACTAGTCAGGGTTTGTACGGACTAGGCGTGCCCACGGGTTTGGAACTATAAGGGATCTCCGGAAGGATTAGCCTAGGGAGAGTACCCAAAGGTCCCTGGCATATCGGCGATATGGGGACGAGATAGTGATTTTTGAATTTTTGCATGTATGATTCTGATAGGGGTGATGCCGATAGGGCATCACCAAGGCTTCTGTGGTCTGTCATAGCCAGTAGGGCTGGGTAACGTAATTCACCACCGAAGCGGCACCACTACCGAGCCGGCATTTTTTCCCGAGCGCGTACACGATATTGATTTTATATTATTCAACACGTCAATATGCCACCAATTCGCAATAAAAACCGGAAAAATTTAGATGAGCAAGAGGGACAAATCTTATTAGCAATTTCCGATTTACAGAATGGCCGAATTCAACGTGTAGCTCAAGCTGCAAGGATTTACGAGATCCCCCGGACAACTTTACAAGATAGACTCAATGGTATTCAACAAAGATCTCTCGTACGCGCCAACAGCCATAAATTGACTCAATATGAAGAGGAATCGCTTGTCAAATGGGTGCTTGATTTAGATCGACGTGGATTACCCCCCCAGCATTCTCTTGTACGAGAAATGGCTAATTATATACTTTCACAACATGGCAAACCACAAGTTGGAAAAAATTGGATAACTAAACTGATTAAACGCCGTCCAGAGATCGATTCCAAATTCGCAAGGAAATACAACTACGAACGTGCTAAATGCGAAGATCCAAAGATAATACAAGAACATTTTGATCGCGTACAAGCTGCTATATCTGAGTACGGCATCTTACCGGAAGATATATTCAACTTTGATGAGACTGGCTTTGCTATGGGACTCTGTGCAACTGCAAAGGTTATTACTGGAAGCGATCGATATGCTCAGCCGAAGCTTTTACAGCCTGGAAATTGAGAATGGGTGACTGCAATTGAAGCAACAAATTCAACTGGATGGGCTGTGCCTTCGTACGTGATTTTCAAAGCAAAGAAAAACGTACGAGAAGGCTGGTTTGATGATCTTCCAGATGATTGGCGAATCAATATTAGCGATAATGGCTGGACTACAGATCAGATAGGATTAGAATGGCTTAAAACCCATTTTATTCCCTATATTAATGGTCGTACGGTTGGAAAATATCGAATGTTGATTCTTGATGGCCATGGAAGCCATTTGACACCAGAATTTAACCATATATGTACTGAGAATAATATTATTCCAGTCTGTATGCCACCTCATTCTTCGCATCTCTTACAGCCTCTTGATGTTGGCTGTTTTGCTGTTTTAAAGCGACATTATGGGCAGCTTGTTGAGCAACGAATGAGGCTTGGTTTCAATCATATTGATAAAATAGACTTCTTAACAGCATTTCCACAGGCTCGTACAGTGGCATATAAAGCTCAAACTATTCGGAATAGCTTCGCAGCCACTGGATTAGTGCCTTTCAATCCAGATCGAGTTATACAACAGCTTAATATTCGATTGAAGACACCAACCCCCCCTCCAAGTCGATCAAGCAATACGGCATCATCCTGCTTACAAACACCTCAAAATATACGCCAATTTATACGCCAGTCGACTACAATCAATAAACGTATAAATGAGCGTACAGAAAGCAACCAAAATCAAGAAATCAATCAGGCAGTTGTACGGTTGTCAAAAGCCTACGAAATGATAGCAAATGATGTTTTACTCGTACGGAAAGAGAACTACGATTTACAAGCTGCACATGAGAAAGAGAAGCAAAAGCGCCAAAAATCTAAAAAGCAAATATCTATTGAGCAAGGGGTTACTAAAGAAGAAGTGTAAGCGCTCGTACAAGGTCAGGTTGAGGCATCCCATGCTGTTACTACTACTCCGGCTGAGCCGGAGCTCCCAGCTTCTCAAGCAGTCGTACGCCGCCAATATCGCTGCAGTGGTTGTAACGTTATGGGGCATAGAATTAACCAATGCCCTAGTCGTATTAGTAGTTAGATTTTTGTATATAATTTGTATGTGGCTTTGAAAATTGGGATTTGAAATCAATATCGCGTACGCGCTCGGGAAAAAATGCCGGCTCGGTAGTGGTGCCGCTTCGGTGGTGAATTACGTTATAGACAATACACTTGATTAATAATAATAATAATAATAATATCTCTTAACATTGTCTTATGCATCAATTGCATATGAGCTGATTAAATTATTAATATTACACCCAAAAATCTATGGAACTTTGACGAGACCGGATTCATTGTCGGACAAGGAAAAAACGAGTCAGTGGTCACAAAGTACCCAAAAACAGCAAAAAGAGTTTCCTCTTTGTCTTCTCGAGAATCTCTTACCGTCGTTGAGAGTATAAATGCCGAAGGGAGAGTCATTCCACCGTTAATTATCCCAAAAGGCGAAAAACATATGGAGGAATGGTATCGACGTATACAGGATCCGGAGTGGCTTACTGCTCCTGCTTCAAATGGATTTATCACGGATGAGATCGCATTTGAATGGCTTCAACATTTTCAGCACTATACAAAGCCAGAATATACGTTCGAATGGCGATTATTAATTATGGATAATCATACAACCCATCTCACTATACAGTTCGTTCAATACTGTGAAATTTATCGCATTCGATTATTCAGATTTCCACCTCATTCCACGCATCTATTACAACCACTCGATGGAGTGCCTTTTCAGCAATATAAGCACGTTCATGGAAGAGTGGTAAATCAAGTTGCTCGGCTCGGAGGCTTCGATTTCAACAAAAATGACTTTTTTGAGGAATTACGGGATATTCGAATTCAAACCTTTACTCCGCGAATTATTCGCCACGGTTGGAAAGATCGAGGGATTTGGCCATATAATCCTGATATCGTATTGAGCAAATTGCCTCACCCAGATGAGGCAATTATTGATGATGGGAATACATTAAAAATTTATGGCGAGATCGATGACACTATTCCCAGCTCACCAACAACGAAATCAATTTCTCCACCATCAACGGTCACTGCGCTTCGTCGATATATCAATAAGATAGAGAAATCAATCGAGGGTATAAAGGATATTTTGGAGGAATCAAAACCTGGCCTCGTACGCCGTATAAAAGTCGTGAATTCAAGCAGCCTCGCCATAGCGGGATTAGGTGAGCTTCACCGTGAGGATTTTGCAAGGCTGCGCGACACAGCAAAACGCAAAAATAACAAAAAAACCAAGCGTCAGGTAAAAGCCTCAGGCGCACTCTATGTAAAATATGCGAATCGCCTCATAAAACGCCGCCATAATGGGGATTTATTGAGGATTCATAAACAGCACGTACTTGGGGTGCCGGAGGCGGAGGATGCTGAGGCTCCAAGAGAGCCTCAAAACTTGGGTTTCTTCATTGATTCTACGGGTAATAGGTAAATCATATATGTATTTCTCATGTGCCTAGATTTTTTATATAATATGCGTTGGTGGACTTATAAGCATTAATTTGAAGAATTTGAATATTTTGAGCGTTGAGCCCATGTGCGCGTTGAGCCCGGGCCGACCCCCAGTCCGAATAGGGTGGGGGGAGGTGAAGCGACGGGTAATGATATATTTTGTGAGTCTATCAACAATACCAATTGCATCCATATACGTAAGTCCTGTAATTGGATCTTTCGATGTCGGTAAACCTTATATAAAGCTGACTGTAATCTTTTGCCATCGTTCCTCTGGTATTTCCGGAATCTGCATTTTTCTGTAGGGTTTGTGGTTGATTGGCTTGTTCCTGTTGCAGCGTTCGCATTTTCTGATATAATCTTCAATGTGTTTTCTCATCCTTGGGAAGTAGTAAGATTGTTGTATCTTTTCCATTATTTGGTCAATTCCTTGGTGTCCATGTGCTGGTAGATCATGGTGCAGCTTGATGATTTCAGTATTGTTGATGGTGCTAATATTGATTCTTGCTATAAGGCTAATCCGTTCCGTTTCTGTGCTTCTTTATTTGCAATTACTATTATGAGTATCTTGTCTTGCTGTGTTGCTTGAATCATGCGGTTGTGAAAGTCATGGTGGTTGACTGTAATTGTTGTTGCTAGTATTGCCTTAACATTGTAGTGTATTCCATCTTCGTCTTCTTTAGGCTATGTATTTTTGGCTGTTCAATCCCAATAGCATAGTCTGGTCTTCTGCTGAGTGCATCTGCAACGTTTTCTTTTCCCTTGATGTGCTCAATTCGAAACTTGAATCTTGATAGATATTCAGCCCATCGTATTTGTCGTCCAGTAAGTTCTTTTGTTGTAAAATATTTCAAGTTGTGGTGGTCGCTTTTCACAATTTGTTTCTTCCTTAACTCCTTGCAGATAGTGTCTCTATTGCTTGAATGCTTCCACTATTGCGAGTAGTTCTCTGTCATGAACGTCGTAGTTCATTTCTGCTGCGGTGAATTGTCTTGAGTAGAAGGCAATAGTTTGCACAATACCGTTGCTTCCCACTTGTTCAAATGCAATTCCGAGTGCATATCCTGATGCATCTGGTCTGATAATCTTTCGTTTTTCTGGGTCATTCAGTGCTAAAATCAGTGCTTTCGTGACTAGTTGTTTAAGCTTGTCGAATGCTTTTTGTCGTTTGTCGTTCCATACAATTCTTCGTCCTTTCTCAGGAGTTCTGTCATGGGTCGGCTATGTTCAGAGTAATTCTGAATATAGCGTCTGATATATCCAGGGGCTCCTAAAAATCCTTGTACTTCCTTGATGTTGGTCGGTGTTGGCTAGTTCATAATAGCATCCACTTTTTCTGGTTGAATTTTCAGTCCTTCTAGTGTATGAATTATTCCTAAGTAGTTGACCATGGTTGTGTCAAATTCACATTTCTTGATCTTGAGCGTAAGTCCTACTTCCATAAGTGTCGTCATAACTTGCCGTACATGTCCTTCATGTTTGTTTGGGTCCTTTGAGTATACAATGATGTCGTCGAAGTATACTGCAACGAACTTGTTAAGGTACTGTATCAAAACATATGTCATGAAGTGTACAAATTCTGTTGGTAATCTTTTCAGTCCCATTAGAGTAACTGCCCATTCGTACAATCCTTTTTCCATAAGAAATGCGGTTTTCTAAATATCTTCTTCAGCTATTCGGAGGTTGTAGTAACCCCATTGGATGTCAAAGACTATCATGATTTTTGCTCCTTGAAGTAGATCTCGTTTCTCTATGCTTAGATTTCTCGTATTAGCTTCCAAATAACATTTGATTGAGCCTTCACATGGCATATCGGCCATAGGAAATACTAATCCATACGAGCCCCCATCCAGAGAGAACCACGCTTATTGATCTTTCCAAGGGCCTTTGCAGGCTTCTTAGCATCGAAAAACCCTCATGGAAAGTCCAGAGAGGCCTCCAGGGGCCACTGGAGATCCAGAAATCATGGGACCTGGATCTGGGGTTGATTCATCGACACCCTCCCAGGAACCGTCACAGCTACCTCCAACTACCCGTGCACTGTTTGCAGGACTTGGAGACTGTCAGAAACAGTCCAATGAACCTACTTTGAGCAACAGCGACGCTCTACAAGCGCCACGACAGACTGGAGAAACCCAACAAGCCCCAGGAACGATCCTCGAGAAAAGGAAGGCCTCAAGGCTGATTATAGGATCTCGGACTCCTATAACTAGGTCTGGATTGAGCGCGGCTCCGAAGAGGAAGATTACACTTACCGCAATGCGTGCAGCGAGTGCTCCTGCAGAGGATAGCCTCCTGATGGGCCTGATCGAGGACCTCAACGGCCATCTGCAAGAGGCGGTCCACCAGCTCTCCGCGGAGCTGACGACTGCCAGAAACGTGATCAATACCCAACAGGGCCTCATTACTACCCTCAACGCTAGGCTAGAGAGCCTAGAGACCTACGTTAACGCCCTACAAAGCCGTCAGATCCTACCACTCGACCCCTTCGCTGCAACGCGTGAGGTTGCGGCGCACGGGCTACCGCCAAGAGCTGCGTCCACGGGAGGCTTAGCGCCCACCCCAATACAGCTAGATGCCGCGCCTGAGAGCCGCGCGATATCAGAATCCAACAAAGGCTACGAAACAAGCCGTACAGCCACCTGAGGGCCCCAAAAAAGTACCTGGAACCGCCGCGAAGACCACCAAACAGCCCGAAACTACCGCTAAGCCACTGACCAAGCCCGCACCTACGAAATGGGCCACTATTGCCACAAATAACACCCAATCTGGAGGATGGAAAACCGTCCAGTATAAGAAACAAGCCTTGGCACCCTCGAAGGCTCTGTCAACAACTAATTTGAAGCCCGTAAGTACCCGGAGTAAGGAGGAGAGGCGCCTAATCTTTAGACGACGATATCCTAAAGATGCTCCTACCGCATTGAAAGCCGATATCCTCTTAGCCCTTAACCGTGCCCTTGCTAAGGCAGGCTTTCCTGACTTTGTAAGAGCGGTCGATTCTGGATACGCAGCCTCAGGGGCCTTGACAGTGCTCCTAGAGCGAGGCACTCGCAGCAGCACCCTCGTGCCCGTCTACAACGATACTCTACTAGCCGCTGTAAGGCAAACAGACCCGGTAGACCTCGCCATGACCCGGACCGTGGGTCCCTCCTCGCGACCCGCGACCCTCCCCTCCGGAGGGTCGGGTCGTAGATTGACGACCCTCACCGCACCTGAGGGTCATAGAATCTTTGGAGGGTCACCCGCCAAGCGACCCTCACGGCCCGCATATGCATAACTTTCTCACGCTTTCCCTAATTCGGATGGATAATTCTGCTGACAAACATTCATAAATTCCTGTTTTTTATACCTGTTTCGTATGTCCGACTATGAATCCATTGTTTTCTATCAAACCCCTACGTATTTTTATGAAATATGTCTTCTAAATAAGCCTTCTTGCTCGGTAATCCTGGATTTACACCTTTTTTCTGCCTGGGAAAAACCGTTGTGGTGTGTATTGTGAAGAGTTGGAGAGAGAGGCATGTAACGATGGGGAAATATATATTTTGATTGTAGAAGTATAATCTGAAGAAGTTACAACTTTGATATTCTTGGTTATTAGCCTCAAACTTCCTGAAATCCTGACTTAATTATATTGAACATCTATTATCCACTTTCTACATACCTATGCCGTGTCGAAATTGAGCGAAATATATCGATCATGTTCAATTATGTTCTGCCAAAGTCGTAGGGTCGCGAGGTTGACCCTCAGGATGACCCTCACGAACCTCAGGATGACCCTCACGAACCTCAGGGTGACCCTCACGAATTTCAGGGTGACCCTCACGAACCTCAGTTCTAGCCAATTAGCATGATGAGTATCAAATGTGATCTGTCATTTTACCTCCTGAGTCCCTTGCCGAACTGCAAAGGAAATCTGGTAAGTCTTCTCTTCTTCTAACCATCTTCACCATGTCCCAGTTTTCTGACGCATTCTCATCTACTTATGAGGGTCCACCCTCAGATTTTCTTGAATACAGTGCTGATGATGGTCCAGGTCTAAATCAGCTCTACTCCCCTATCCCATCTGGAAATCAAGATACCTCCCTTCCGTCGTCTGAGCTTCGAGCGGCACCTGATTGTCTTCATCGAATTTGCCCGGTCCGGATTAGATCATTCATCATGTACTCCCCGGAAATGGGCAACGAATTCGTGCAGTGGTGGCTTCAGACCGATTTTGGGAAAAAGAGACAGATATCTTGGGATGCGAAACGAGCTGCAAACTGCTGGAAAAACTTTGATCAAGTAGCGTTTGAAAAAGATAGAAAGCCTGGGGTGATGTGCCATCAATGTCGGAAGGTACTTGATCACCCTGCGTCGGCTCACTCAGGGACATCTTCAATGAACAAGCATTACAATGGGATAAATTGCCGGAGAGTTGCCTCAGCTGCAGGAAAGAAACCAAACATCAAGCTTGCGTTAGAGCATGCGGTATGTTCGAGACCTGACTTTGACATTGAGCAATGAGCATCCCAGTTCTGACCTCGACATCTAGGCGCAGAATGCGACGGTACGAAGATTCGATGAGCGAGTTTGGCAGCAGAAGCTTGCTCAGCTCCTCACTGTATCGCATCTTCCCTTTCTTTTTCTCGAGCACACCGAGTTCCGTGATTTGATCTCCTACGCCCGGCTGGCACCATCAATGCCAGAAATTCCTTCTGCCAAGGTTATGCGCCGGCAGCTTCGAGACCTCGTCCGTGAGAACCAAAAGAGTATCCTTCAGAAACTCCCTTCTGGTGTGAAGCTATCACTTGCCCTGGATTGCTGGACATCTCCATTCCGACAGGCATTTATGGCGATTACAGGATACTTTCTCGACGAGAACTGGGAATATCATGAGATATTACTAGGATTTGAACACTTACATGGATCTCATTCCGGCGCAAATTTGAGTGTAGTGCTCCTCAAGCTGCTACAGGAGCATCAGATCACAGATCGAGTGCTTGCGGTAACCACCGACAACGCTTCGAATAACGTTAGTCTCATGGCAAGTGTCCACGAGGCGATTGAGTCACTACAATCCTCGAACGATGTCGTTATCATTCGGGTACCCTGTATTGCACATGTGATCCAGCTGAGTCTCAAAGATCTCCTTGGGAAGATGAAGGCTGCTCCAAGGATTGATACGGCTGAGCAGACATGGTCTGATGATCGGGTGGATAGTCTTCGTGTGAGGCAGCAGAAACGCGAGATCGTGGACACTTTGAATAAGGTGCGACATCATGGCTTTTATCCTCATTCATTATCCTAATCTGTTTCTTAGGTTCGAAGCCTTGCGATTTATATCAACGCGAGTCCTCAGCGCCGAGAGTCATTCTACAACTTGCAAACCAAGGAGCCAAAGCTTGTGCCAATCCAGGATGTTGCTACTCGGTGGAACTCCACGTTCTTAATGCTTGTACGCGCAAAGAAACTCCAGCAGACCTTCTATGCGTTCTGCTCTCAGTACGACCAAGAGCACTTTGCCTTGAGTCAGGAGCAGTGCGGCAAGTGGACTATCTTATCTGCATTCTCCAGCCTTTTCACCGATTCACGACCCTTCTCTCGAAGTCCAAGGATGTCACCATCCATCGGGTCTTTAAGGTCTACAATAAGCTGTTTGACCACCTGGAAAAGTCGATTAGACAGCTTAGACGGAAGAGGGTCGCTTGGAAGCAGGTGATGCTTGCATCTCTCGAAGCGGCAAAGAACAAGCTCTCAATCTACTACAAAGACACTGACAACATGGATGGTCATCTCTACGCCATTGGCACCATCCTTTCTCCACAGGATAAACTTCAGTTCTTCTCAACCGCAGACTGGGACCCAGAGGAAGGCGGAATTGATTACCGAGCAATCTATCGCCAGAGCCTTGAGTCCTCTCTCGAGAAGTACTCGGAGAATCTTGCCCAGGAGCAGCAGATAGTGGATGCTCCCCCAACGAGTACGGCAATGGATGAATTTGATTTAGCCTGTGTTCGAGACGAGTCGCAGCAATCTCAGATTCGACAGCCAGTTCAGTCTGACGAGCTTACAAGGTATCTTGACAGCAGTGAGTGTCTCGTCTCTTGATATCAATGGGAATAATTACTGATTTCTCTTTTAGACACAGTCCCAAATGCCCAACCTCGAACCTGGTGGAAATATCACCAAGATGAATTCCCTGGAATGGCGAGGCTTGCACGAGATGTTCTTTCTATTCCAGCTAGTGGTGCAGGAGTAGAGCGGCTTTTCAACTCTGCACGAGATATCTGCCATTATCGTCGAGGCTCTCTATAGCCTCAAACAATCTCAGATCTTATGATGTATATGTGTACATCACGGTTCGAGATTCATGAAGAGGAGCGAATAATGCTCTCTGAATATCTTTCGACTCAGGAGATACAGGCTGCAAAGGAAGAGAGAACTCAGCAACAAATCACCGTTGATCCAATTAGTGATGATGAAGAGGATGAAGGGCTTTCTTCTACAGAGCCCCAAGAAACTTTGCAAGGCCCATCTGCAAAGGCACTTGGCAAAAGACGCCTAAGAGATATTGCCGAGGATGCGGAAAGTGATCAGGAGGGTGATAGTGAGGTTACGTCTCTGCCAGAGACACAGTACCGAGTGTCAGGTAGAGTTCGCAAGCGTTCAAGGTTGCTTGATGGATATGAGATGTAGAACATGTAGTTTAATTCGTTTAATTCATCTGTTTAATTCGTTTAGTTCATTTTGATTCAATGCTTTCAGGGTGATTAAAGCTAAACAAGTAGACCTACAAATACTGTAAGTGAAATACTCAAAAATACCGCTAAAATCTACAGAATTTATGCACCTCGTGACCTGATGATGTTTGCATTGTTTTACTACCCTGAGGGTCGGGTCGCACCATCAACGACCCTCCCCTTATGGAGGGTCAGGGTAGGGGCTGACGACCCAAGAACCTCCGTGGTCCGGGTCGCGGTCCGGGTCGTCAGGGTGACCCGCGGGTCGTGGCGAGGTCTAAGACCCGGCAGTTATTTCTGTGGAGATTAGCGAACAGTAGCACCGTGTTAAGGTACAGGCAGTGCCTGTGGACCGCTACATGTATAATGACCAAGGCCTAGCACTAGCCCAAGAAGAGATTGAGCTGGGAACACCATATAGGCTTAAACGAGAGCCAATGTGGCTCAAGAGAGCCAAGACTATACAGGCTAGCAACCAGAGATTTGCCACGTTTGTGATCACAGTAGGTTCCTTAGAGGAAGCTCGAACACTGATCAATAAAGGCATCAAGTTTGGTGGCCGGCATCATCGAGTAGCACCTTATTGGGAGTCAAATCCTGAGAGTATCTGCCCCCGATGCTGCGGAATCGGCCACTCCGGCTTCATGGCTTGTGGTGGCAGGCCTCCTAGATGCGCGATCTGCGCAGGTGACCATGAGGCGATAGAGCACTCATGTACAGTAGTGGATTGTAGGGTTGGCCCAGCCAAACCTTGCCAACACACGGTGATCAAGTGCGTCAACTGCGAAGGTGCACGCGAGGCCACATCTGCTAAGTGTCCTAGAGCTAGAGAGGCTCGTCAAAGGGCCGTCCGGAGAATGAGGGAACGATCCTTACAAGACCTCATCCCTTCAGATGAGATATTCGCGATAGTCCCTCCAAGACCAGTACTGACCTCGGAGGAGAGATCTGAACAGCCTCCAGAAGAAGAGACACTGACTCGAGAGAACGAAGGAGATTTGCTACCTGTGATGCAATTAGAGGCTGATATTCACGAGTCAGAGCTAGAGCCTACCCCAGCCACCGAAGCGCCTCAGAGCGAGGAGCTATGATACTGTTACAACACAATTGTGCCCGTACAGGCGCTGTAGTGCATACAGCCCTTGAAGCAGCACTACAGGCTGGTGCTGGGATAGCCTGTCTCCAGGAGCCCCCAGTGCGTGGAAAATACCAGATAAGCCATCCTGGCTTTCTGTTCTACTGGCCTGAGGGTCCTCGAGAACATGCTCGGGTATTATTATTATTATTATTAATCAAGTTTATTGTCCGTACCCAGCCCTACTGGCTATGACAGACCACTAGAAGCCTTGGTGACACCCTACAGGCCTCACCCCTATCAGAGTCATACATGCAAAATTCAAAAATCACTATCTCGTCCCCATATGGCCGATATGCCAGGGACCTTTGGGCACTCTCCCTAGGCTAATCCTTCCGGAGATCCCTTATAGTTCCAAACCCGTGGGCACGCCTAGTCCGTACAAACCCTGACTAGTGTGCCCTTATCCCTACCCATCCTCCAATGTGACACCTAGGCCACCTTCCTCCAACGTATCCCATCCCCACACATCACTAATCTCAGCCTCTCTGGCTGTCCGCTCATTATCATTGAATAGGTTGGCTTCAGCCACGAATTGCAGCAAACCCTGCGTCGCCCTAGGCTCAGCAAATAGCCTAGCCTCGGGGTCTTCCTCAGCCGCTGTAGGCAGTGGCACGCCTGCTTTTTTGAGGGCTTGATAGAGAGTTCTTCGTCCTGCACGACGTCCACGGCACTCAAAGAGTACATGCCTTACTGTCTCATGAGGTTCCTTGCAGGCCTGACACTCAGGCGATTCCCGTTGGCCTATCCGGTATAGATAGGTGCCAATTGGAGCATGTCCTGTCTTTAACTGGTAGTAACGACTAGCCACTCTTTTTGGAGCTTTTCCTGCCACTGGGTCAAGGTTCCAACCTCGAGGCATCTTGTAGACACGTCCGTCTCTATGCCTGCCTTGTACAGCATTGATTTGGGCCCATTCAGATACTGCAGCTCTCCTTGCTTCCGTGCAAGCCCTTCTAACGTGCGCCAGAGATAGGTGCTCAAAACCAGGCGCGGTTTGTTTACTAGCTGCACGTTTAGCAGCTTGATCAGCCTGCTCATTCCCTTCAATCCCTGAGTGGCCTGGGACCCATTGTATTGTGACTGGCTGGCCTCTCAAGGCTAGTTTCTCAGCTGCCCTGTGAGCCCTAAGAACAAGGGCTTGCCCAGGGCCTGGCCTTGTCGATCTGAGGCGATCAATAGCATTCTGTGCGCCAAGTAACATCTAGATAGGACCAAGAGGTTGTCTCTCCAGTGCCCATTCAAGGGCTGTGGCTACTCCCACTAGTTCTGCGTCAAAGACCTCGTGTCCGTGGCCCATTGGCACTTCTACATGTTCCCAGGGGCCTTCAGGTACAGCCTATAAAGTGACACCGGCTCCTACACATCCTGTATCGAGTCTGGAGCCATCGGACCAGAACATTGTTCCAGCACGCTGTTGGTTAGCCTCCGTTAGAGCCTCTTCCTTGTCAAGTACTCGGATCGAGCCTGGGAAGCCTTGGAGCTCGCATTATTCAGTTCTCTCAATTCCTCCAGAGGGGTCTCTGTTCAACCGTTGAGCAAGGTGCTTTGCAAGCCTTTGGCCAAGTCAATTTAGCACCTTGTTGTCTCTAGAGGCCCATTCCCGGTCGTCCCGTGGTTGCTCTCCAGGTTGTGCGTGAAGGTCACCATGTCTGAGGGTGACTGGAAGTATCTGCGCTGTAGGATGCGTGTCAGGCAGAGCTAGTAGCCTCGCTGTATATCGAGCTACTCTAGCGTCCAGTAAGACTGTCGCTAGCTCTAACGCTGCCTCTCTGATTAGGGCTCCGATTGGGGTTTTTGGGAACATGCCCGTAATACCTCTGGCTTGCTTATTGATCAGAATCTGGATCCTTTGTGCCCATGTTTTCTGGCCTTGCCACCATATCTCGGCACCCCATAGCAATTGGGCTTGCACTGTAGCCTTCTGTATGCGCCTCACTAATGCTGGAGGTAACCCATTAGCTCTGCAGAGTGAGTTTAACCTAATTATCGTATTTCTTGCTGTCTTAATTCGAGTGTTGTAGTGGCTCTTCCATGTAAGTTGGCTATCTAGGAGTATCCCAAGCCACCGTACTGTAGATTTGACAGTTGCTAACTCGCCTCCAACCCTGATCCGGGCTCGAGATACGTTTTGGGCCACTTGACGTCTGTGTCATCTATAAAAGAAAGCGGCCTCAGTCTTTTTGCGATCAAATTGTACCCTGTTAGCCACCCCCCACTTGATGGCTACTTCCGCAGCTTTCTCGAGGATCCTACAAGCCTCCTTCACTGAGCTTGCGGCTGTTATCAGGCCTTGGTCATCCACAAAGGACAGACATCGAACCTCTAGCACACTCCTCTCAATGGCTCTTGATAGCCCATGAACGTATAGAACAAAGAGAATAGGTGACACTGGAGAGCCCTAAGGTAACCCAGAGCTTATCGGTATTTCCTTTCCCACGTGTCTATTAATCACAAGAGTGACTCGCCAGTTAGATAGAAATGAGATCACTCAATGTATAAGATCTCCATCCATGCCAGCCTCTCTGAGCACCTCTACCAGTTTTGCTAGGATGACATGGTCAAAGGCCCCCTCAATATCCATAAATAGAGCTGCAGCCAGCTTCCCATTTGCCTAAGCTTGATAGATCTCCTCCACTAGACATGCCACAGCATCAATTGCACTGCGTTGCCGACGGCCTCCAAATTGACCATCATGGAAGAGGTCTTGAGCCTCTGCAAAGTTTGTAATTAACTCTGCTACAAGCTTCTCAATTACCTTGCCTAGGCACTTCAATAGGCTTATCACTCGATACGCACTAGCCAGTGTGTAGTTGGTTTTACCGTTCTTTCTCAGTAGAACTCCCTTGGCTGTTTTCCAGACACGTGGATGTATCCCAAGCCTAAGGCACTGCCTAGTCAGGCTAACCACACGCTCTGAGTCTAGATTCGGGCACAGTTGTGTTGTAGTACTATCATAGATCCTCACTTTGAGACGCTTCAGTGGCTGACTTGAGCTCTGGCTCTAGTGGTTGTTGGCTATTTCCCTCGTGAATATCAGCCTCTAATTGCATCTCAGGCAGCAATTCATCTTCTTCTGGAGTTGACGTCTCCTCCTCTAGAGACTGTCCAGGTCTCTCCTCCAAGGTCAGTACCGGTTTTGGAGGCACTACCGCGAACGTCTCATCTAATGGGATGAGGTCTTGTAAGGATTGTTCCCTCATTCTCCGGATAGCCCTTTGACGAGCCTCCCTAGCTCTAGGGCACTTAGGAGATGTAGCCTCGTGTGCACCTTTGCAGTTAGCACACCTGATTACTGTGTGTTTGCAAGGTTTAGCTGGCTCAACCCTACAATCCACTACTGTACATGAGTGCTCTATTGCCTCATGGTCACCTGCGCAGATCGCGCATTTAGGAGGCTTGCCACCACAAGCCATGAAGCCAGAGTGGCTAATTCCGCAGCATCGAGGGCAGATACTCTCAGGATTTGACTCCCAATAAGGGGCTACTCGATGGTGTCGGCCTCCAAACTTGATGCCTTTATTGATCAGTGTTCGAGCTTCCTCTAAAGAACCTACTGTGATCACAATCGTGGCAAATCTCTGGTTGCTAGCCTGTATCGTCTTAGCTCTCTTGAGCCATGTTGGCTCTCGTTTAAGCCTATAAGGTGTTCCCAACTCAATCTCTTCCTGGGCTAGTCCTAAGCCTTAATCATTGTACATGGAGCGATCCACAGGCACTGCCTGGATCTTGACACGGTGCCACTGTTCACTAATCTCTACTGAAATGACTGCCGGGTCTGTTTGCCTTACAGCGGCTAGTAGAGTATCGTTATAAGTAGGTATGATGGTGCTGCTGCGAGTTCCTCGCTCAAGGAGCACCGTCAAGGCTCCTGAGGCTGCGTATCCAGAATCGACCGCTCTTACAAAGTTAGGAAAACCTGCCTTTGCAAGGGCACGGTTAAGGGCCAAGAGAACATCAGCTTTCAATGCGGTCGGAGCATCTTTAGGATATCGTCGTCTGAAGATGAGGCGTCTTTCCTCCTTGCTCCGGGTACTCACAGGCTTCAAGTCAGTTATCGATAGAGCCTTAGAGGGTGCTAAGGGCTGTTTCTTATACTGGACGGTTTTCCATCCTCCAGATTGGGTATTATTTGCGGCAATAGCGGCCCATTTCGTAGGTGCGGGCTTGGTCAGTGGCTTAGCGGTAGTTTCGGGCTGTTTAGTGGTCTTCGCGGCGGTTCCAGGTACTTTTTTGGGGCCCTCAGGTGGCTGTACGGCTTGTTTCGTAGCCTTTGTTGGATTCTGATATCGCGGTGGAGGCTGAGGTGCGGTTGAGTTTATCGCGCGGCTCTCAGGCGCGGCATCTAGCTGTATTGGGGTGGACGCTAAACCTCTTGTGGAAGCAGCTCTTGGTGGTGGCCCGTGCGCCGCAACCTCACGCGTTGCAGTGAAGGGGTCGAGTGGTAGGATCTGACGGCTTTGTAGCGCGTTCACGTAGGTTTCAAGGCTCTCTAGCCTAGCGTTGAGAGTAGTAATGAGGCCCTGTTAGGTATTGATCACGTTTCTGGCAGTCGTCAGCTCCGCGGAGAGCTGGTGGACCGCTTCTTACAGATGGCCGTTGAGGTCCTCGATCAGGCCCATCACGAGGCTATCCTCTGCAGGAGCACTCGCTGCACGCATTGCGGTAAGTATAATCTTCCTCTTCAGAGCCGCGCTCAATCCAGACCTAGTTATAGGAGTCCGAGATCCTATAATCAGCCTTGAGGCCTTCCTTTTCTCGAGGATCGTTCCTAGGGCTTGTTAGGCTTCTTCAGTCTATCATGGCGCTTGTAGAGCGTCGCTGTTGCTCAAAGTAGGTTCATTGGACTGTTTCTGACAGTCTCCAAGTCCTGCAAACAGTGCACGGGTAGTTGGAGGTAGCTGTGACGGTTCCTGGGAGGGTATCGATGAATCAACCCCAGATCCAGGTCCTATGATTTCTGGATCTCCAGTGGCCCCTGGAGGCCTCTCTGGACTTTCCATGAGGGTTTTTCGATGCTAAGAAGCCTGCAAAGGCCCTTGGAAAGCTCAATAAGCGTGGTTCGTCGTCAAATCAGGATCTCCTATCAGGCGATTCCCGGTATTGGATTTACCATGTTGATAAGCTGGATTTCTTAGATATGCTTTACAGCGTACGGATCCAAACTTATACCACACAAAATATTAAGAGCGGCTTTTCACACACTGGGATTGTGCCATATAATCCACAAAAAGTCCTATCTCAGTTGCAAATTGCTGTCCGGGAGGCTACTCCAGCCTCAATTCGCCCTAGCACGTCAAGCAGCAGCACCTGGAGCCCAAAAACGCCTTACAATGCCCGTACGCTAGAAAAACAGGCCAAATCTGTCAAGAGATCTCTCAATATGGGAGATTTAGACAGCAATTCGCCATCGTGTCCGGCTTTTAACCAGTTGATCAAGGGATCCCTTGTAGTGATGCACCAAGCTGCCATTTTAGCTAGGGAGAACCATAACCTACGCGAAGCAAATGATATTTTACAGAAGCGCCGCACTCGCCGTACAAAAGCCCTACAAGCCGATGGTATTTTGACAGTCGCTGAAGGCCGAGAGCTTGCTCAGGAGCTTCCTGAAGAGGCTCAACCCCCTCCTCCACCCAACGGGAGCGCGCCTTTGCAGCCAGCTCAACGGGCCCCCCCAAGGTGTAGTAATTGCTGGGAAATAGGGCATAAGCGCAATCGCTGTCCAAATATATCTACATAGGTAAATATTAATTTATTCACTGTTTGCATATAAATTGTACGAGTTCTTTGAACCAAGTGGGATGCGGCTGTGCCACTTACCCGGGTGCGCCGTTTACCCATGAAACACGTTACCCGCTGTAGCTGGCCGCTGACTAAGAGCCGCTATCCAGGTGTGTGCCTAAGCCTGCAGGCACAGAGATCCGCGGCCCAGCCACGGGTGGTGCGCCATAGAGGCGCGCCACAGAGAACGGAAGCTAAGGAAACAAGAATAACGAATGCAAACATGTCAAACAAACAAATAAATCAAACATCTTGGTCGGCTAGTGCGCGTACGCCCGCCTACAAAAATTCCCAAATTCTTTTCAAGTCCTCCGAACTGCACCAGTTCGCTTCAAACCCACATATCCTGTATCCCTCATAAAAATCTGCGTATCTCACCCTTCGCAAATCCGAATTGTACGTCCTCTACATCGCATCCCGTTGGCTGGCTCTGAATCACTTGATCCAAGGCTCGTATTCGTGTCAATCCTGGTCCTTACTGATAACGACGTCGACCTGGAACGCACGTCATCTGCGTGCGTGTTCGTACATGTTCCCACGTCAGTGTCCTTGTCATTTGCAGGCTCCAATTGAGCCGCTGTTTCTGCGTTTTCATAGGTGCCAACTGCTTCCGGATCTACCTCACGGAATTGATCAAGCACTCGCGTGTCAATGATGAACTGCGCGATTGCAATTGCGGCCTTTTTTTCCTTGAGTAATGCTTGCAGATCTGTTGTGCGTCGGAATCCCTTGATTCGTGACCACATGAGACCGCGTTCATTCTCATACAGTGGGCATTCCATGAGGATATGTCGTACTGATTGACCAGATAGGCCGCAGGCACAGTATAGTTGTTCTCGCCTGTTAATTCGCCACAGATAGTGCGCCAGCCCGATTCGTTCGGTACGCAGCTGTATCAGTATTGACGATGTTGCTTTGCGGAGAAAGGTCCAATATTGGAGTGTGCGCTTGGAAGGCTGAGTGACAAGTTTTTTGGTAGGTTTCCCTGCCTTTTGCTTGTCCCACCGTCTCTCCCAGGCATCCTTGGTTGATTGGCGTATTCTGCGTTTTGCAGCTGCTGCGAGTATGGTCCATCCTTCACTTGATAGATCTCCAGGTACGATTTGCCCTCGTGCACCCATTAGAGCCGCACGTTTTGCAGCCCTGTCTGCAGCTTCATTTCCAGGAACGCCCTCATGGCCTGGAATCCACCTCAGTGTTACATCGATGTCCTCATCCGTACACTTCCTCAGTGAATCGACACAGCCCTGAATGTACGTTTGACCAGAGACCATACGCGGGTTCATGAGAGTTTTAAGCGCGGCTTAGCTATCTGAGAAAATAACTAGTTTCTTGGTTCGTATGTCCTGATCTGCAATTTGAAGCGCAGTTTCGAGCGCGAATTTGATCCCACAGACCTCAGCTGCGTATACTGTTGAGGTGCCTTCCGTACCAATACACTCCGTTCGTTGTTTTCTGAATGTTGGAATGACCATGGACGCGCCAATATAGCCTTGATATCCACTGCCGTCCGTGTATATTGCGATATGCTCATTCTTGCATGTGATATTCTTCCCCTGTATACATGGTTGACGTACCCTCTGTACCGATGCACTGCGCATGTTGCTTTCCGAAGGCTGGGATGACCATTGATGCGCTAATATAGCCTTGATAGCCACTCCCGTCCGTATAGATTGCAATATGTTCTTTCTTGCGCGTGATGTTATCATATACCGATACCGCCTTCTCTTGCTCATCAATTACTATATTTGGAAGCTCTCGCCATGGCTCCTGGACGTATGCAAAGCGGCTCTCCCATCTCCCGGCCAAGGTTCCTAGGGGAACCAATGAGCATCCGTTCTTCTTCTAAGCATAAGCTTCCATAGGAGTGTAGCCGCCGAGCTTTAGATCTTGACTAGTACGTCGATTGACCATGCCGCTAGGAATCGCAAAGGCAGGACCCGTGCGAATTCGTATAGCGGTAGCCTTTGTGAGTTGATCCAATTGCAATCGTATTGGCATTAGGTGAAGTTCTATATTAAGCGCTTCTGCAGCCGTCGTATTGATTATTTTGTATAGTTTGTTTTCTTAACTTCCGTTCTGTTTCACGATTTTCTTGGTGCCTACAGGCTTAGGTACACACCTGGATTGTAGCCGTGGCTTAGCTACAACAGGTATATCAAATCTACCACGGAGTACAAGGATAGTGCTCTATAGGGTTAGGGATAAATATCATTCAGATCCACAACTTCCTACGCAACTCATTTCTAAACCTCCTTAATCTCCGCTCAGGACGCCACTGAAAAGTTCATCTCACTCTAGTCGTTGTACCTACACCATGTCCTCATGGTTCGAGCCGACACTGCTCATACCACTGTCTGATATTTGCAAGGAATGCTGGAACGAGCACTCAGATGTTCGGACAAAGGTTCTAGATCGCTTCGAAGCAGGCATCAAAGAAAGAACTGGCAGAGACACAGGCCCCCTAGGTTCTGAGCGTTCTGCCAAGTTGCCGACGCTTCCAAACTAGAAAGACTCATCGCTCTGGTAGAGCCGATTCAGGACCGTGTATTATCTAAACAACTTGTTCTAGAGCCAATGATCAAAAATTGCGATATGGTAATTGCCCGATGTTAGTTTCTCCCACTTTACACTCATCAAGTTTTCTGAAACTATCCCTTACTCAGGGCTCCAGAACATAAGTGTTAGCATTGAGTTCAGCCGCCAGTACAAAGAATTCGCATCGGTCAAATACAGCAATCAGCAAGGGTTGTTATTTGGCATATACTCGTTCGAGCTTTGCTAGTGTCTTGAATAGCGTAAGAAGCGAGACAATCAAATGTGTGTTCTTACCGGGCTACTAGAGCCAGATGCTGCTCATATATACCCATACTACCTTATCAAAACATCTGCTTGTGAGCCAACAATTGTGGGGCGATTCTGGAACGTCATGAACACATTCTGGGAAGATAGTCGTGTTGAGCAATGGGAAAAGGAGATATTTGGTGATGAATTGGACTTACAGAACCCCTGGGACACAACTGCTTCAATATGTTAAGTCTCGGCCAACACCCACATGCAATGTGGGGAGCTGGTCACTTTGCGCTTCGCTCAATGGAAAAACTTGACTTTAAGACCCTGAAGGTTCAATTTTACTGGGAAAGAAAGTTATTGAACGGGGTAACCGAAATCAAACTCTTGACAGAGCCCAAGTCTACTCGTGGGCTGTATGTTGACCGGCATACCTTTGCAATTCCGACTGGCACAGATAAGGATAATGGGGAGCCATAGTATAAAGCTGTTGTTTCTGGTGACACTTTCACTCTGACTACACCTGATCCCGATCGATTGCCACTGCCAAGTTGGTCCCTCCTCGAAATACAGTGGCATCTCCAGCGCATCGTAGCAACGAGTGGCACCGCCGAAGCGCAAGACTACCCGGATTCTGATGATGACTTTGATGATATTGAGGAGTGTTTGATGTAAATGAAACTTCAGCCAGGATTGTGTCAGAGAATACATATTGCCAGCTGCGAAGCCGAAATTACGCTTGCAGGCCCTCCCTACGAAATTCTACTTTAGTGTCTAAACTACCCTACTCAAAAGGTCATTGGATTAAACCTGTACGAATGCTTCACAAGGTCTGTCATGGCCTATAGAGCTAGGTATGGGAAGAAACATTATTAAATAGATAAGCTAATCGCTTTGGATGCCATGTATTGAACTTAGCGAGGACCCTAGCCTAAACCCATCCCATATGAGGTCAGCCCATATCATAACTAACTAGTTTCTTTTATTATAACAATGAACTTCCCTTACTCCTCTATGCCATTCCCCATCCTCTGCCGATTAGGCCAAATTGAAAATGAATTTCTCTGGCTTATCATAAAATATCCTAACGCGTTATCATCACAAACATCCCCGAGGTGGTGGTTACATGCCCTTTTGACTCATGATGCCGAGGTCGTACGATTGACATCAGTATCTGCTTCGACCTCGCGTACGATACCACTGCCCTGCTTCTCGTCTACACCTGGGAACTCCTCCTCAAAGACTGGCTCAGGTTCTACGGTCTCGAACTTGGTCTTGAAGTCGGATAACCCGTGGTTGCTGCTGTTTGAGCGACGGCGAGCGTTGGTGAAATTGTAGTCATAGTCCTGAACTTCTTCTCCAGAACGGCCCCTAGATCAATTGCCGTTAGCCCAAGGTCTTTGCATCCACGGAGACTCCTGACTCAGAGATCAGGTGCTTTATCTCTTACCAGTTGCCCTTGCCGCCTCCGTCTTTCTTGGTCTTGTTGGGATCAGCATTGATGGGGCCTGTCTTTGCGAAGTAACGAGGCACAACGTCGTCGGCAAGGCCAGTATGGTCGTGGTCGTTGACCTTGTGTGAGCGTGTCACTAGATTTCTAGATTAGAAAGTGACGGCAGATACGGGCCTTGAAAGCGTAAGGGAAAAACTTACTGTTAGAATGTGATGAAGGACCTGTTCAGGGATGGTATGGAGGATAAACTGATTCTATGTTAGAACAAGCAAAGTGTCGTGTGATCATAAAGGGAAATCGAGTATCAATTGTAGAAAATCAATCAATTCATCACTCTTGGTTCGGAGTACTTACTCAACGGCTCAATAGTGGCGTGATGGAAAGGAATCGCGATACCTGATATTCGTTGTGAGATGTAGAGATGGAGCAAGAGAAAGCGAGGGAGGAGGAGAGGCTTTTTATATGGAAGCTCAAAGGGGAGGGCACATGACCTCATACGTTACCAGACCATCAGCAGACACTCGTACCAAAAGGGTTTAGCCTGCTTGATGTGCAATCCGGGGTAATACCCCGGATCTAAACGTTTATTGGCCTAGCTTGTATTACATAATATGGCATGATCCGCTGTAGAATCTTCCCGGTAATTCGCAATGCATCATGCTTAGCATACCATTGTATGGAGCTGCACTGGCTGGAATGTTAGCTGCCACCCATCAGTGATAGGCTGATAGCAATGGAAAATGCTAGCGAATCTGAGGTCCCTGATAGGAACAAGTCCCGGTGCGCCGATCGATATGGTCGGACCAGTAAGGCGATATGCCTCTCTGCTCGGAACCCCGATTGCTTTGTCGGATATTCCATGCAGGCACCAACGGTCATAACGGTGATAGAGTACATGGCAACCGATTGGTACGCAGTCTTCAAGTAGCGGCGCTTCCCCAACATGATCATCCCGATTGGTATTACCTCAGCCCTTTTGTTAGTTAGATGGTAACCAAAGCCGTATGTACATATACTCTGTTCAGAGTTCCCGAATCTGTATCAATGGTTGATATATATGGGCCAATTATGTTGCGCGCATTATTAAACTAACTCTCAGACGGCCAATCAGAAGTGAGAACAGAGCCGAGGACGGCTCCTGCCAATCCGAGACGTGCTCCATTTGCCGCTCAGCCGCTTTCCCGCACAGAATCCTGTGAATATACAGCCACATGAGAGCATGGTATTAAAATAAATTATCACATCTTCTTTGCTTTGATAATTTTCATACTCTTCCATCGCACGAGGCATTGAGTTCTTAAAATATTCAAGACGATCGGATCGCATTGCAATTGCCACAAAATGTCTTTCTCAACACTGGTTTCGGATATAGCGTTTAGAGACGCCGCACCAGCGGATCGAGACTCCCAGATTTCTCGTGCTCGTTCTCAAGTCACCGCTCGATCACTTGCGAGCACTCGAGCGACTAGTGTTAGTATCTCGGGCGATATCTCGAGTCAATTACATGCTGGCTATAGCCACCCATTAGCCAGATCATGGCAGGCGGAAAGACAGTTAACCAAGGTGCGGACGATAAGATTTGATCGAGGCCCATACACACTGACAGTATGTGGATAGGAAATGCTCATTTACCCATTATTCGTCACCGATAACCCGGATGAAGAAACCCCCATTCCGTCCCTACCAAACCAATATCGCCGAGGCTTGAACCGACTCGTACCCTTTTTGACACCTCTGGTGCGCAAAGGATTGCGAAGTGTTATGCTTTTCGGCGTACCTCTAAACCCCAATGCAAAGGATCCTCTTGGAACTGCCGCCGATGATCCGTCTGGTCCTGTCATACAGGCGATTCGATTGCTACGAGCACAGTTTCCAAACCTTTACATAACTGTAGACGTCTGTCTATGTGAATACACATCGCACGGTCACTGTGGCATCCTCTGCGACGACGGAAGCCTGAATAACACGCAATCAGTCGAGAGAATATCTGATGTGGCGTTGGCATATGCGTTGGCAGGTGCACACTGTGTTGCCCCTTCGGATATGAACGATGGGCGTGTGCGCGCTATAAAACTTAAACTGATCGAGGCCGGTATCTCTCACCAGGTTCTCCTCATGTCATATGCCGCCAAGTTCAGCGGCAGTCTCTATGGACCTTTCAGAGATGCTGCGGGCTCAGCACCATCGTTTGGTGACCGCAAATGCTACCAGTTGCCACCGGGCGGGCGTGGACTTGCTCGTCGTGCTATCGTACGCGATGTCGCCGAGGGCGCTGATATCATCATGGTGAAGCCCGCTAGTAACTTTCTTGATATTATCAGTGACGCAAAAGAGTTAGCCAAGGACATGCCCATTGCGGCTTATCAAGTTAGTGGAGAGTATGCCATGATCCATGCTGCTGCTAAGGCAGGTGTGTTTGATCTGAAAGAAATGGCTTTCGAGAGTACGCAAGGAATCCTGAGAGCTGGTGCTGGCATTGTTATAAGCTACTTCACACCGGATTTCCTTGACTGGCTGTCCACATAAGCTTCGATACGGTCCAATTTTCTTTTGTCTTTACTTCCGTTTATACCAGATAAGAGAAGCTCGTCTCAGGTTATGTACTATCAACACTGTCAATACACATGGAAATACCAGTAGTCAAATAGCTCCACGAGATTTTTCATTCAATCATTCAATAAACCACAGTGAAGATAAGATGAAGCTCGATTTCCCCCCGTATCTAGAATCCATACCCAGTCATAACTTACCGCGTCGTATAAGGAAAAAGGTCATGAAAAAAAAAAAACGAAGAGAAAACGCTCAACTCATTTACAAAGAGACATACATCATCATATATTCATGCGACATGAAAGACACCCTTCAAGACAATAAATGAAAAACAAAAGTAGCATCTTTTTCACATGTAGCTGGGCTTGAGCCCTTGGAACCCATATGCAACGATATCCGACTTCACTACTTCACCTGGGGCGACATAGGCACCCCGTCGGAGACGCACACCTGGGTATATAGTGCAGTTTGCACCGACATAGCAATCTTCTTCAATGGTAACTGGACGACCTTGATATCGGCTCTGGGAGCCTTTGCGCTCCTGCATATTAGCATGGGCCATTGAGCCAAGGATGGTGACGTTAGGGCCTATCCAAGTGTGTGCACCAATGTTTATTGGGCAATCGTCGACCATAGAGCAATTTTCGGAGATCATCACGTCTTCTCCAATGTGTATATTGAAGCCGTAATGACAACGAAAGGGAGCCTCGACAACCGCCCCTTGACCAATCGAGCCAACGGGTCGTGGCGTAGGGGATCCGGATGGGCTTGTGGATGCCGGAGGTATGATGATTTCTCGTAGCAACCGGTTCTGTTCCTTAGAACTCACTCCAGAGAGTGGGTTGCAAGCATTGTTGAACCGCCAGAGCGCCGATTTGCAACGGTCCCGGTCTTCCACTAGTTGCATATCGAAAGGACGGTATAATTCTCCATGGATCATTTTATCCCTCTCCGTGTCCTCCCCGGGATTATGACGCGCTGATAATTGGTGTTCAATGCTCAATGCCAACCGAGCCTGTGCCTGCGGACTACTAGTGTCTATGGTGCTGGGATGCGGAGGTCTTTGATCGACAGTACCTTGAAAAATAGGCATACCAGGTTTTGGATGGGGACCTTGTTGCGAAAGTTCACGAATAGAGGGTACGACATGATACTCAGTCTTTGGTTGGCCGTCACGGGAGAGTTCATGGATAGGAGGGACTTCTCGATAGTCGGTAGATTTTGCCATGTGCTCTGCCATGTAAGGAGGATGCGAGGAGGCGCTTGGCCAACTCCTCTTGGGCCAAGCGTTCCGATTCCCTGCTACGCTTGTTGGCGTGGCCAAGTACTGAGCGTTGGTATTCTCATTGTCCTCGACAACCGGTGGTCTGACCTTGTTGACTTCGGTTTGTTGGCCCGTGGTTTGAATTCGCTCGTGATGACGGGCGTTGATATCTTGCAAATACTGATTCGCTGCTTCAGAGTATCCGTCTTTGGACTGCAGAGGCACTGGACCCTTGCTACTTGACGGTTTCTGCCATGTACTTCTAGAAGAGTAACCTTCGCAAACGAATCCACCTCGGATACAATTGTTGCCTGAAAAATATTTTGATATACATGTTTAGCTACCCCACTCGACAAACGGCCAGAACCCGATCTCCTCAGGTGTACGCAGATGAAGACAAACTTACATGCGGGATGCTGTTCATCGCATTTCTTCTTTCTCCTCCGGCAGGTTAGACAACCAGTCTTGGTTCGGTTGCTAAAAACGCGTTTCCTCTTTGGTCCAACTTGGACAGCTGATTGTGGCTTTTCTTGCGGATAAGGCGACATGGATTCGCCCGCGACGGAGGGAGGACCGGCGGACCACGGTTTTTGTTCCATCGACTCAGTCGAATGAGTTTCTCTTTGGAGGGCTTCCACCAGTTGGGCATCCGAGGTATCCAAATTCTGGGCTTTCTGGGCTTGACTAATCAGATGAGAGTCATAATCTTGCCATGAGCCACCCGTCGCATGTGCATCTTTGATCTCTGCATGCATGTACCCGGTAGAGGACTGTCCCGAATACTCGTGTCCTGCAGGAAATAACTTGGCACCGTTCGATGCTTCAGACTGTATAGGTGGCTCTGAACCCATCTCCGAGCTGCGCCCAGAAATCGCCTGGACATCGCTTGGGAGATCCTGTTGCTGGGATTGGCGTTCGAGGGACTCCGAACGCTTTCGTTTATTCCTGTTCGCACCATTGGGCGTCGTTTGAGGCGATGAGTTTTGCGGGCCGTGTTCGACGACTTGTTCCGCGCTTGCATTAAACGACTCGTGTGAATTTTCGTCCTGTCTTGAACCGTTTGTGTTGCCGTTGGCTCCTCCCACATCGGCGTTTTCATTACTCTGCGATGGATTGCCGGTGGATGTTGCCATATTGTGCATGGTGCTGTCCTTGCCGTTGACAGCAGTGAAACGTGGAGGGCCATGTTCGGTATGCTGGTCGTTCTCTTGCGCATAGGTCCCGTTGGCGATGGGCGCGGGTTGCGCTACAGTGGCCATAACGGACAGAATGCCGCTATCTCAATCGGTTTGTTCCGTCGGCGGATATGGCAAAGAGCTTCCTATGGTATTTTTTGAACGGAAATGCGCAACCACTGTCTAGTGAGAAAGGCGGCGTAAAATCTGATGATGATGATGATGATATGTCAAACAATCGTGTATTTGACAATAAGAAACCTGCTGTTTCTGCGCCAGCAGAAAAAAATAAAAAAAAAAAAAAAAAAAAAGGAATTCACAGGGCACGCAGGCCCCCTCGGACTATCAGATGTGGTCGAATTGGTATTGAGATATACGGGGAAGTTCTGGGTGCTGGTGGTTCTCCGAGCTCGGAATCAATTATTGCGCCTCGATGGGATTCGGCCACGAAGCTAATCGAACAAGCCCTAGGATTTCGACTCTAAAGACGCGCGACTGTTGAGAATCGCTGAAAAGATGCGACGGACTCATTCAGAAACGCTGCAGTTCCGGCGTACACTAAACGGCGCGAGCCTCGGTTTTCCTAGTGCGTGGTAATTAATTACCTAAGAAAGCGTCTGCGAGACCAGAGAAAGAGATGTGCTCGAACGTAAATCGACACCAGCCAGTTGTACGATTTGGATGAGTGCAGAGATGAGAAGGAGAAGGCAGGACGAAAGAGATGGAAGAAGATAGGAATGAGTAGAGGGGAGGGAGAAAGGGAGAGAGGAGAGGAAAGGAAAGGGAGGAAGGAAGAAAGAAAGAGAGCAAGTCTCCGCGCAGGATGTTTTGGCGGTTAATTATATAATGTAATATGAGACTACATCTTTAGGCTCTGCAAGGTGATACAGTCTAGGGAAGGAACCTACCCACCCTCCCCCCCCAAAAAGTTTTTGGCAGGTGCGTCTGACACTGGCATCTGCGTCTTTGGGAAAGAGGGGAGGGGCGGGCGCAGCTTCCCTTCTGCAAATTCAAAAGTTGCAAGCGCGCAGCACAGCGGGCCCAGGCCAACAATGAGGCGGCAGCGGCTTGACGTTGGCGCGCGATCGGCGGCGGCAGAGTTGGCCTTGGTTGGTCTGTCTCGTTAGCGCCAGTGTCTTCCCTGCTACCTGCCAGCCAATCAGTGCTCGTAGTCTCGGGTCTCAACTGCAAGGACAGGCCCCACGGAGTCACGGGCCAATCGGCGCTTCTCTCGCTGGAGGGTAGCACTGTAGCCAGAAGGACGAGAAGAAATGTGATTAAAACACTCTTCTTTTCAGAGCTTCCTGGCGAAAGCCATGATCCCGCATCCAGACATATAACAATAAATGATCTACTGTTTGTTTGTGTTCTGGTTTGAGACGTACGGATCACGGAATCGAGGGATCCGATCTCTACCAGCCGCATCCGGTGCTTACATAGTATAGAACTTGTAGTACCCGTAGTACTTGTAGTACCCGTAGTACCTGTAGTACCTGTAGTACTGGTAGTACTGGTAGTACTGGTAGTACTTGTTTATCGCTCAAGTTTGGGCCGCCGTCGCGCGCGCCAGCGTATGATTCAGCGCTAACGGGCTTACTGACGTCTCTTTCCAGAGTGGCGTCTAATGTTCTCTTGGTATTGTCACAGGCGGGCTGATCTCGATTGCATGCCATCCTATCTCTCTTCTGACGAAAGATAGTTTTGCCCAGGCGTGTACGCAGAACGGAGTAGTAAGGGCAGAAACAGAAGAGGTCAAAATAGGAGCCGCCCGCACGGGCAAGAGGCGGCTGTGACACGACCGCTTACTTGCTGAACGGCTACCCTCCATAAAGCCTGCCGCCCCCACCATGCATCCAGGTCACACTCACTGCCGGATACTTCGCCATTGGCGCCGCATTGGCGCGTCTAGACAGGATTCAACCACACCAATGCACTGTTGGAATTATTGTATTCTTTTGTAGTCATTGCTGGCGTCTATCTGAGACGAGATCTTTTTGTTCTCCTTGCTATTTTTGGAAATTATCAAGAAGGATGTATCCACGCTGCTCCTGGTATTTCAGGCTTACCCGTCAATCAGCCGCCGAATCATGGGACTTCTGCAGAAATGCGAAACATAGGCGTGAAAAGGACCCGACCTCTTAAAACTTGAAACCTTTTCGTCATCCTTGAACCGCCGAGTGTATGCTGCTCAATCCTCGTAGCCGGACCGACGCTGACGCTTTAGAAACTGCGATAATGGCATTCCTTTTCGCCTGGGCCGACGTAGGAGGAGGAGGAGGAGGAGAATTCCCGCTTCGAGAATGATGTAGCCAGATAGTGTTGCTTCTACGTAGTAGGCATGGGAGCACTGAAAGTCTAAAAACGAGAAGCCTGGTGTTTGTTATGGATGCTGACTAAGCATGATGGCGCTTTCCCTTCAAACCACTAGTTATCGCTGCCTCACCAAGCTTCACGAGACAACCAGTTTGATTTTTTACCATCCAACCCTCTCTCGTGGAACAACTTAACGACCGACCGCGCCAAATCCATATCTGAAGCTATCACGGTTTTGCTTCTGTGGGAACACGTCTCCACCTGTCTATTATTGTTTGATGCTTCGCGTTTGACCGCCTAGCTAGCTATCGTGCTCTGCCCCGCCTTCAGTCTTTCCTTCTGGCTCTCTTCCATCGGTTGATCTTCCTTCCTGCAGCCAACCCCACCAGTTTATTCATTTTTCTTTACGACAGCGACTTGAGTTGAGCCTTCAATTATACCGCGAATCTAGAGTTTCATCTTACGCTGAAGGCGATCTCGCCAGAGTTTGGGGCGGAATGTCTTTCTCAGTGCAAGAACTGGACAACACTGTCCGCGCCTTCTATGAGGGCAAAGGCGATGTGGTGAGTATCCATCGTTTTGTCCATCAACAAGGTGAAACCAGAGAGGACAACAGCTGACGTCGGGCAATATAGCAAAAACAAGCACAACAATCTTTGACCGAGGTATGATGGGAAAAAAGGGCTCTCACTTTGCTCGAAGAACATCGACTGATACATTGACGGAACAGTTTAAACAAAATCCAGACGCGTGGTTATCGGTGGGAGAGATCTTACAGGAATCATCATACTCCCAGACAAAGTGTAAGTGTGCTCTTGCTCAGGTCCATTTTCAGAATTCAGGGAAAAAAGAAAGAAAGAAAACGAAAACTTATTCTTTGTGGTAGATCTCGGACTGCAGGTTCTAGACGAGGTGATTATGACAAGATGGAAAGTCCTACCACGAGATCAATGCCAAGGTGAGTATTCGTTATGAATGAGGCTTCGGACAGTGCAGATAGTTGACGTTTGGTTTAGGAATTCGCAACTTCGTCGTGAATCTGATCATCGAACATTCGAAATCCGAAGAAAAACTCAAGAGCGAACGCGCCTTTTTGAATAAATTGAACCTCGTCCTCGTCTCAATACTGAAACAAGAGTGGCCCCATAACTGGCCGACTTTCATCAATGAAATTATTTCCTCGTGCCACACCAGCCTTTCCATCTGTGAAAACAACATGGCCATCCTCCGATTGTTGTCAGAAGAGGTCTTTGATTATTCACAGGATCAGATGACGTCTACCAAAGCCAAAAACCTCAAGACAACGATGACCCAGGAGTTTTCATCCATCTTCCAGCTATGTTCCGAAGTTCTGAACACTGCCAACCAGCCCGCTCTCATCAAAGCAACACTGGAAACGTTACTCCGATTTTTGAACTGGATTCCTCTGGGCTATATTTTCGAGACTCCCATTATCAACACTCTTCTTACTAGGTTTCTCGATGCACCGGAAACCCGTAATGTGACACTGAAATGTCTGACTGAGATTGGCGGTCTCCAAATTGGCCCACAGTACTCCTACGATGAAAAGTTGGTCTTGATGTTCACCGAAACTCTTACACGAGTGTCTAGGATCATTCCACTATCTCTGGATCTGAAGAGCACGTACGCAAGCAGCAACTCCAGAGATCAGGAGTTCGTTCTGAACCTCGCGCTCTTCCTCTGCAACTTCTTCAGTGTGCATCTCAACGTAAGTCAATTTTTTTTCCTCTCTTTTTCTTTGCTCGTTGGAAACTGCTTAGGTAGCTAACTACTCAAAAAAAGCTTATCGAAAAATTGCCCAATCTGGATTACCTTACCCACGCGCACTTCTACCTCATTCGAATCAGCCAGATTGACGACCGCGAAATTTTCAAAATCTGCCTAGAATACTGGACTAAGCTTGTGCAGGAACTGTATGAAGAGATGCAACAGCTCCCCATCACGGACATCAACCCATTAGTAGGCATGGGCGTCAGTGGTCTATCGAACGGCGGTGCGCCACATCCCAGCACACTCGCAAACTACCCCTTGCGCAAACATAAGTATCAAGAAGTACTATCGAGTCTGCGAACTGTTATGATTGAGAAAATGGTACGGCCCGAAGAGGTTCTCATTGTGGAAAACGATGAGGGAGAAATTGTCCGCGAGTTTGTGAAGGAAAGCGACACCATCCAACTGTACAAAACTACAAGAGAATGTCTGGTCTATCTGACGCATCTTGACGTTGTCGACACAGAGACTATCATGGCCGATAAACTTGCTAAACAGGTCGATGGCACAGAGTGGTCGTGGGCTAACTGCAATACTTTGTGCTGGGCCATCGGCTCCATCTCTGGCGCTATGAACGAGGAGACTGAGAAACGTTTCTTGGTCACCGTAATCAAGGATCTTCTCGGTCTTACGGAACAGAAGCGTGGGAAAGACAACAAGGCAGTCGTTGCCAGTAATATCATGTATATTGTTGGCCAATATCCAAGGTTTTTGAAGGCACACTGGAAGTTCCTGAAGACTGTCGTGAACAAGTTGTTCGAGTTCATGCACGAAACGCACGAAGGTTTGTTTCATTAAGTGACTACGCACTTTGGACACCCAACTGACTTCTTTCAGGTGTCCAGGACATGGCTTGCGATACGTTCATCAAGATTGCCAACAAATGTAAACGTCATTTCGTGGCTCTTCAGCCTGGAGAGAGTGAACCCTTTATTGAAGAAATAGTCCGCAACATGCGTAAGATCACTTGCGACCTTTCACCACAGCAGATCCATACCTTTTATGAGGCTTGCGGCTACATGATCTCGGCTCAGGGTCAAAAGGGCCTCCAGGATCGATTGATTGAAAGTTTAATGGCATTGCCTAACTCTGCGTGGGATGCCATCATTGCGCAAGCCAACCAAGACCCTTCAATTTTGCAGGATGCCGAAACTATCAAAATTGTCGGAAACATCATGAAGACCAACGTGGCGGCTTGCTCTTCAATAGGCACTTACTTTTATCCTCAAATCGGCCGCATCTACCACGATATGCTCAATATGTACCGCGCTTCCAGCCAACTTATATCCGACGCTGTTGCTAGTGATGGTAAGTTTCCTAAACAAATAGTCCCATACCTTGTCCTAATGCCTCTTTTTTTTCCAGGAAATATTGCGACGAAAACTCCTCGGGTGCGAGGATTGCGCACCATCAAGAAGGAAATCCTCAAGCTTATTGACACATATGTTCAAAAGGCAGATGACCTGGAAATGGTCAATCAGAACATGGTTCCGCCGTTGCTCGAAGCCGTTTTGTTAGACTACAACCGAAATGTCCCCGATGCGCGGGAAGCAGAGGTTTTGAATGTTATGACAACCATTATTCACAAGCTCCATGTACGTTGGACCCCAAGAACTTCGCGGTTCTCGGTTAGAATACCAGTTACTATATCCTGGGAGTCAGTGCTAACTTCTCTCTTAGAATCTTATGGACGACAAGGTGCCGATTATCATGGAGAGCGTCTTTGAGTGCACTCTTGAGATGATTAATAAGGATTTCCATGAATATCCCGAACATCGTGTTCAATTTTTCAAGTTGCTACAGGCGATCAACCTGTATTGCTTCCCAGCCTTATTGAAACTAGATGGCAATCAGTTCAAATTTGTCATCGACTCATGCATGTGGGCAAGCAAGCACGACAACCGTGAGGTCGAGAACACCGGTCTGACCATGTGCCTTGAACTTATGAACAATATGGCGGAAACTGATTTGCAGACATCGAGTATCTTCTTCCGCCAGTTCTATCTACCCATTCTCCAAGATGTGTTCTTTGTGCTTACCGACACCGATCACAAAGCTGGTGAGTTAATCCGCATCGCAACTTTGCAGAACTCTTGGCTGACAGAGGAACAGGATTCAAGTCTCAAGCTATGCTCTTGTCGCGCATGTTCTACTTCGTTGAATCTGGCAAGATACAAGAGCCTATATACTCTCCAGAACAAGCGCCGGTTGGCACCTCGAACAAGGACTTCCTACAAGAATACGTTGCTAGCCTTCTTCAGTCGGCTTTTAAGAATCTTCAGGAGTAAGTCATTCCGTTGTATTCCTCCTACATCGATTACTAACATATGGTGTGTAGAATTCAAATCAAGCAGTTTGTTATCGGACTCTTCGCATATAATGACGATTTTACGAAATTCAAGACACACCTGCGTGACTTTTTGATCTCTCTCAAGGAATTCGCGGGAGATAATGCCGAACTCTACGCAGAAGAACGGGAACAAGCATTACAGGATGCCAAGGCTGCCGAAAGAGATCGTGCAATGAAGGTTGGAGGTTTAATGAAGCCAGCTGATATGGACCAAGACGACGATCTATAGTCCGGTTGGCCGATTTGAAGGTTTTGGAGAAACTTGGAGAACAGATTGGAAGCAAAGCAGATCTTCAGCACGCTTCGTGAGCTTGGGAACTGTGCAAAGTCTTGTATATTTCCTTGACTTTGCCCTCTTTTGCTTGAATTCTTTTTTTTTTTTTTTTGGACCGTTGATGTATCAAAAGGCATATCCAGTATACATGCACCCAGGGTATGTATATTGTGGAGGAAGCGCCTGCTGGGGGTTCCAAGGGGCCGGATCAGGAGAAGAAAAAAAGGAGTCATTCTAGCATTAGTCTAATCACTCTAAAGGTCAAATAAAATAATGATATTGCTCAGGGGAACTCATTGTGTACAAATTCCAATAAGATATGTGATAAGGTGACGTAGGGACGATCTACAGCGGAGAAACGGCTCGTTGACGGCCCCACCTAACTTTTTATGCTTGCCATCTCGCCATCACCTGCTCAACCCTTTCCCATTCTCAACTTGACAGAGAATCTTGATAACTACTCCTTTCAATAGCCTGTTTGCTCTTGTCTGAAATATCCTACACTGGTGATAAATCAATTTCACGTTTGACCAACGATGCAACGACAATCCCAACGACAGCGACAGCTGAATACAACCGGCACAAGTACGACAACTTCAGAGTCGGACTCAACAATAGCAAACTTTCCGCATACCCTGCGGCTTCGAGGCGAAAGCACTGCTTATCAGAACGAAAGTACAGAGACCCAACAACAACAGGGACAAGACGGGTCTACATCCCATCGCGTGAGGTGGGATGAGAATGTAATTAATAATGAGGGTATGGGGAAAAAGAGTTCAAAAGGTTTGTTCTCTCGAGCTCACTGAGAGTATATGATGATTCTATTATTAACTCTACTTAGTATGCTGCATATATCATAGACCTCGAGCCGTGGACGAAAGTAGTTCCGAGTCTGAGTCGTCGTCTAGCTCAGATGACTCGGATACCGATGATGATAACGATATGCGCGCTACGAGAAGATCCGGTCGGCGACAAGGATGTGATCATGATGGCCATGAGCATGAATACGATCATGACCATGGAATTAAGAAAGTCAGGAGGAAGAGGAGGCCGAGTCCGAATGCTTATGAGAGGCAGCCCAAGAACGAGCAGAAGCCTACGCAACAACCTAAGGCTGAGTAATGGAGCAATGTTGAAGAAGAGAATAAAGCAATGGTGGCTACATTGTTATTATGAACTACAGACTTCTAGCTATAAGATATAATACCTTATGGAAACAGCACGACGCAAGACACAATTGGCGGGTATATATCCTTTTCAAACCGAGCCATTCTACACTCTTTTCTCCTCAAAACTCCGACCATTCTGATGAAAGACAAACAGACATTCGAGCAACAACAGTTGAGAAACACAGTCATACAATAATCAACCTATACCATCATACTCCGTCTTCTTGCCGAAACACGTTGACCTCGCTTGGCTGGCAGAATACTGCTCTCTTCCGTGAGAGCTCGTGTCGTTTTGGCTCTCGTTCCTTCGATATGCTTGAAAGAATCCTCCAAACTATCGTCGTGGGATTCACTATCAATCTCGAATGTCTCATCATCTAAATTGGGCTTTTCGCGGTCAGAAACTGCAGGGTTTGAGGAATGTCGGCGAGATTGCGAATTAGGATTGGCTGACCGTCGCCGTGTTTGCGCTTGTGTAGTATTATTGGTAGTGATGCTCTTGTCGGCCGAAGGGCTCAACATGGCGCTTGAGTTGTGGACTTGACCATCCTGCTTCGAATCTAATCCACACTCTGGATCGTCCAGTCGTAGAATATCATTTGTGCTCGCGGATAATGTCCTTCGTTTTCTCTTTGTTACCATGTGCTTTGGTAACTCACCAATTCCTTGGGTTGTGGTAGTCGCAGCCTTATTGTCAATAGACGATTCGTTTTCTTCGGGGATGTTGTTCAATGTCGACTTGTCGGGATCGTACTCTTGACCACTCGTGCCCGTGACAGTAGTAGAAGAACGTCGTCCACCTGCAATTATCACTGCATCTACAAGCTCATTCGTAGCTCTTCGCATCTTGTCACGCAAATTCGGCTCTGCGTAGCTGATTGCGCCTCTTGCACGCCTGGACGGGCGTGATCCGAGACCCGGGAGAGGCATCGAGTCTGTCACCGCAGGCTCGTCCGCGTTGAATAGCTTTTTCTGAACGCATCCACTCTCCACAGGTTCAGGTATAGTCGATACAAGTGGTTTGACAGGCTCATCCTCGTGTATAATAGCTGTGACTGTTCGCTTTGCTTTTTTGGCAGTGCCGGATTGAGATTGTGAAAGTTTCTTTGCTGGTTCTGGGTTGTGCGAGTTTTCGTCTCTTCCTTGTTTATTTGTCGGTTTCTCTGGCTTATCTTCAACCAGCTGAACTGCCTCCCTGCCATGCTTCTTCACTGAAGATGCCATATTTGTGGTTTCTACATCAGTATCTTGTCAGCATTGGTTCAAAAAGCAATATATATGTAATTGTGTAAACCTACTCGGCTCCAAAGCCCTCCGCTTCGAAGCAGCTGCTTTCTTTGGAGGTTGCTGCTTCGCTTGTGACACAGGTCCATTCATAACCTCAACGGCCATATTTTGGGTATGGGTTCGCGAAGAACCCACTGCGCGGGTAAACTGAAAGTCGTCGTCGATTGAGCCGGTATTCGTTACAGGCAGCGGCGAAAATGTGAGCTCTTCTTCTGCCGCGCTAAACTTTCTCTTTGAGCCGGACAGTGTTGGAGGCGACGCTGATTTTGACGGCGAGACTGATTGTTCGAGGATCGGCAGCCCATCGTTCGTATTGTTTAGAGACTTCTCAGGGCTCTGACGGTCGGAATGAGCGATATCTTCTGCATCTGATGAGAGAGCATCGGCAGTATCAAGGAAATCATGGTGTCTTCGTGAAAGGGGGCTTTGATGTATATCGAAATGTGCAACCGGCGGGGAGCCGATGCTAGGAGAATCTATGTCCTGTTGTTCTGCAAGTTCCTGTGGACTAGGAAAAGGTGTTAGCGCTAAATATCAAATTGTGATTCTAGCCGTCCTTACTCGAGAGTGCGTCGTGGGAAGTATTTATCTTCCAGAATGGTCGGTAGCCTGTCGTCATTGTCGTTCCATGTTATTGGTCTCCGGTTGGGGTCAGACGAGCGTTGGCTTTCGCCTGCCGACTCGAGATGTGCGGTCTTCTTCTGAAAGTTCGCAGGGAGCAAGCCTAACTCGTTGACTAAATTGTTCAATTCTGCTACCTTGGCTGCCAATTTATCCTTGCATTGATAAATGTCCTTGTGGAAAGCTCTGCCAGCTTCGTACTTTTCGGCATCATGTTGTAATGAAATCACTTGTTCCTTGAGCGCGGCGTTTTCTTTGAGTAGATGAGATAGTTCGGTTTCTAGACCCTGGATTCGCAATGATTGGAGGGAGTTGACTCTTGCAATTTCACGGTTCTGACGTATAAAACGTCTCTTGACTGTCATTGATACTCGAGTCAGCAATCACGCGGTCAAAGAACGGGCGGTATCAACTCACGAGCCTCTATAGATTCAGCTGGGCCTGGAAGTTCGTTCAGTCGTGCCATGTCGCTAATTTAAAGATATTTCTTCGGCTCATATAGCCTCAAGCCGGTAGGCGCGGCAAACTCTTCGAGTTTTCGAATTTAGCCTAGTATGATAATATTCTCGTGGTGGTCCTTAGGATATTTGCGTTTTTCGACTGGACAGTGACTGAGATATGATGGTGAACTGGTAAGTGTAAGTCATAGGTAGGTGAAGAATGAATGTTTTACCGCTTGTTTGGGTTACTTGTTGATGTTTGTCCATATTTGGTTTAGCTTCCAGGCGCGAGTCACCCCCACTTGCTTCTTGGACATTTTCACCACAACTGACTACTCTCATCGACAGGACTATTAAAACTTCGCAAACTACGTACAGAATACACACCATGACGCATCCCACAATCAACGCATCTCTTCGTCAGAGCAATGCTTATCCGACAACGTCACAGCAAGCAATAGCTTTGACGATGCGAATCGAAGCGAAGAAAGCCGAATTGGAGAATCTCAGCCAATTGCGTGATTTGAGCAGTGCTCTTGCCTCGCAGATGCAAGCTCTGGAGGCGAAATTGGCTACTTTGAAGGACGGCACAGAATGTCTGTAATCATTCCACTCACCATCCCTGTGCTTTTGTACTAACTCTCAAATAGCCATCGCCTGTGTTTTGGCAAACTGGCAGAGCGTTCTGCAGGCGATCAATATGGCGACTAGTATGTGGATTGCGTTTTACACTTCATGCCGTGGAAGAGAATGAAGCTGATTTGTGAACGAGCAGAGAAAACAGCGACTAGTGTCCAGGGACTCGCGACCGTTGAGAACCGCCCAGCAACACTCGTGCGGATACCCACTGCAACAATTGACACGCTTCCAGATGCTTGATCGACCGGTCTATTTATTGGTGCTCTTACAAACTCTCGAGAAGGGCGCCGGCATACAAGTCCATGAATAACACGTGTTGCAGTGGACTCCGGGTCGAAGGATAACGGGGCCGTTCCGTGAGGAAGCATGAGGATTTCTCAAACCCGTGCCACGTATGTCCGACACCCACAGCAGCAACACAATGCTCAACGATGCTTGGCCGTTTATTGCCATTATCACAAACGCGATGCAAGCGATGGCTGCTGCGAAATATGACAATTCGTGTCGCAGGAGCTCGAAGGCGATCTAATCGGCTGTTAACAGATAATGAGAGGGGTGCTGCATTGATGGACCGTCTGTTCGCGGGAACTTGACAATACAAAATGTTGGACTTGTCTTGGCCGTGCTTTGGTGTAGAGCAACATTGAGAGTACAGATAAGCTATCTATATGTTTATATCTACGGTAGTGGCAGATTAGTATGCGGTGCTAGGGTCTGTGTGGCTCAATCATGGCTGAACTTAAAAATTTTGGTCATGCCCTGAGTCGAGGGAAGAAAGACTGATGCCGTGTTTGGTTAGATAGGATGTGCAAGAGGGAGGGATCAACACCATCAACCAGGATTGTCAACTTGTCAAGGTCAAAAATGAGCACATCTTTGATCGTCTCAGCCATACGAGCTAAACAGGCCAATCACAGGCTACACTGCAGGCTAACCAAGTCCGGCCAGCGTCACGAGCTAGGCTTTTTCCCTTAAGCGCGCGAGCCAGAATAAATTATATTTTTTTCTCTTCTCTTATCAGGAATGCTGAATAACTCTATCTACAGTCAGCTGTGTGTCTGCTCGCATTGATAGTACACCTACCCCAAATGTGCCACAACTCGAGACCAAGCACGTCCGTCGCACGAGCTTCCCCTCATTTGCTGTCAGTGGAATGAGCATTAGTTTCAGCATCGACCATCAGCTAACCTTGATCCGTCGTGGGCCGAATATCATGATATATGTTTCATAGTTTGACACTCAACTACATGTGCATACAGCTTGACGTGGAACCAGTCAGTCCGCGGCGTGGTATGTTGCTATTTGCTCAGGAACGTAGTCTTACTGCTGGCTGATATAGCTGAGGCATTATGCATGCAGTCGACAATGAAATTGAGGTACGATAGGAGACGCCCAATCAGTGCTCGCGGGGGACGAAGCACCGTCCTCTTGCTAGCCTCCTTAGACTGGCACTACGACTAGTAGTGCACTGCGTCGTCTACACCTTCTGTCGTTTGAATGAATGGAGATGAAAAACCGTTCAGCTCTTTTACTCAGAGAAAAGTGAGCAATTGCACACAGAATATTCCTCTTCAATGATGCGATCCAGCGTTGCTCGAATCAGATGACATTCCTGTCTGTCTGGTTTGGTACGCGTATGGGCTAATGAGTCAGTAGCAGAATGCGTGTAATTTATGGTAATATATGGTAATCTGCAGTAATTGTAATATATCATGCAGGGTGCCCGGCGCATCCAAGCGGAGTCATGGCGTTATTTATCGTGATCATTCAATGTTGCTGTGGGGAACTTGGGGATGAGACCCCTCAGCGCACTGCCTATATATCCGACCTTTCCTGCCTCTCGCTCGCTCTCTGTTCTTCTCACCATACCCAACCCCTCTCTTTCAAGCGATGACCTGACTGGAACTCTTCTGCCTTCTTCTCGCTCAAACCACCCCCGGGGCTCTCGGATCCCATCAGCCTTGCCAGTCGTGTGTGTCTTGTCTCTTGTCTTGACCGGTCAAGCCTGACCAGGCAGACATGATACAGCCTTCTGATCGTATACGTTTATAATCCATGAATGAAAACAGAGCCGTGTCCATTTCTTCATATATAAAGCTGGCCACCTCTCGATACTTGGACGAATATATTTATGAAACCTGCTCCATTCAATTCTTCTGAATCACCACAGCTATTAGTCATACCAGAGTCCATTAGGAAAAAACATGTCTGCCGACTGGTCACTTGACTTCTGTCTGGTCTGTGACCAACAGACTTCTGGAGCAGGACCTTACTGCTCTCAGAGCTGCCGACTAGCCGATCTAGATCAAAATGGCTCTGAATCGTCCGTCTCGAGCTATCCCGTCTATCTGTCTTCTAAATCCACGCTGCAACCGAAGACGAGCTCATCCAGTACTGCCGGTCGACAGAGTATCGGCAAACGCACCACTTCTTCCTTCTCCTCCACAAGTTCGAATGATCAGTCATCAAGCCTGACGTCGACGTCGTCTCAGACCTCACTGTCATCACTCACAAGCACATTAACTCCGTCGGCGGCGCTTTCGAATCAAGTTCGGCATGAACTGCAGGATTATTCAAAAAGTTTTGATCAAGTCCGAGACTGGAAGAGGCGATTAACGAATTCATGAACATATCCTTTCTGTTGAGCTTGGTCATAACGACGGCATACCAACACAAAACTTCTTTTTCGGCGTCTGGGTTGGCTTTACCTATTACGGGCGTTTTCAGGAATCTCGCATATCACACGTGTCTCGAATATCCGGCTAGCGATCTTTCATGTCGTCGACATCAGCATCACGACACATTATTATAGACGGAGGCTGAACTGTAACATCATATCATCTCATCATCCTTGACCACATGGACTATCCGGTAAAACAGTCACGGATACTGGTCTCGATCATTTTCTCGGGTTCTCGAAACCAGGGTTAGGGTTCTATTCAGCGATTGGCGGTTTTTCTTTGCATTTGTTTGATCAGTTTGGAAGATATCATTCACACGACTTGATTAATGGACCTAGAGACATGAATAGGAGCACATGCCGAGCCATATCATTTGCGCAACTCCAATCTCGGGCCGAAAGGAGACGAGCAAGTTCAGCATTGCTCCACTTGATCGGCACGGAGGCTGTTGCCCTTGATTGCTCTAGCTTTTGCAAGTCTCGTGTTTACTATAGTATCATATAACATGAATATATATGATCACTGGTGTTAGCTCTTCCGTACCGGATCCCGTGTAGAATATATGCTATCAAGAGGCTGAGTTGCTGCTGGCTACGGGATGTAGAAGTACGTATGGCTAGATTTTCACAGCGGAGCCAAAGGTACCAACTCTACCAACTCCCCACAGTGGGTATACTCCGTATGCAAAGGTTAAAAAAAAGATATGGGGAATATCAGATTCTGCTGGTCATCTGATGGGACTCTAGCTTGGCCAGACTGAAAGCTGAAAGAAGGAGTTCGGTAGAAGTGATCTAGACTGCGACAATTCGAATTGGATTCAGATTCCAAAGCATTTCGAAATCTTCATTGGGATGGGATAGAGACTGTATGGCATGCGGACTGGTCTCCGATCGTGATTGGTGGGAGAATAGTATCCGACGAATCTGCGCGCTGAACAAAAGCCAACCATTATGATAACTCGTAATTGAGCCAGCAGCATGAAGCTTAGGTAGCAATGGTCCGAGATGTAGAGACGAGCAAAGAGGCTGTGATGGTGAAGCTGATCGCTTGCATAGTCCAAGCATAGGTGGAGTTCTCTCCGAATCTAGATGCCGGCGTGTCACCGGAGGGCCATTCCATTGCTGATCTCTGTACGAGGGAGCCGGCTAATCAGTTAGTTATAAACCACAGCATTGACTCATTTCAACATTTGTTGCCATCAGTTGAAGGACATCTTCTTATATAAAAAGAGGATAGAACAAGGACGTAAGCTGACCCGCCAGAGCTCGTGGATCAACACGTCATAGCCCATCCAACTTTTTAAACCAACGTCCGCTCCCTCTTTTCTCTCTCCTTCAGTCAACTACTCTCCTTCAGGGGCTCCCTTGTGTCAATTCGACAATTTTTCCTGACGGAAAAATTTCATTCTTCTTGTTCTCTTTATTATTTGTATCTTTTATTTATTCGCCGTTCATAGACAATGGTCGCCCAGCACTCTCGCCGCTTCGTTCGGCCTCTTTTATATACCTCCGCCGCACTAGCTACCGGTGCTGGCTTACTTTACGTCGCATATCGTCCACGAAATATCCCAGGTTCAGAGCCGGCTGTAGTGCCTCCGCCCGGTTATCGATCAGGGAAGCTTGTGCCTCCCAGCTTCCCGCGCATCAAATCGCGTGAAGAGCAAATCGCCGACTTGCGACGGAGCGCTGGCATTGGCGCTCAGAATGGGGAAGTAGAGCCCTACGATTTGCTCGTCATCGGAGGAGGTGCGACCGGCTCAGGTATCGCGCTTGATGCTGCCACGCGAGGGTTGAAAGTCGCCGTTGTCGAAAGAGATGATTTCAGCGCTGGAACCAGTAGTAAGAGTACAAAGCTGGTTCATGGCGGTGTCCGTTATTTGGAGAAGGCAGTTTGGGAATTGGATTATGCCCAGTATGCTTCTACACCATAACCACCATTTCAACACAACGGAGAAGACACAAAATGCGAATCACCCAACTCGTTCGAATAAAGGATGCAGCTGACGAGATTCTTTTCTTCTGCTATTTCTCAGGTACTCGCTTGTCAAAGAAGCGCTCCGTGAGCGTAAATATTTCTTGAAGACCGCGCCCCATTTGTCCATGTGGCTGCCGATTATGGTCCCTGTGCAGAAGTGGTGGCAAGCACCATACTTCTGGATGGGCTGCAAGGCCTACGACTTTTTGGCCGGTTCCGAGGGAATTGAGAGTTCTTACTTCCTTACGCACAGCAAAGCTCTCGATGCTTTCCCCATGCTGAAGAAAGAGGACTTGTTTGGTGCTGTGGTCTATTATGGTATGATCAACACCTAGCTTTGTAACCTGTCTTGGAACTGCTTTTACTGATATCACGCAGACGGAGCACACAATGATTCGCGTATGAATGTCTCCTTAGCAATGACTGCCGCCTTGTACGGTAGCACAGTCGTCAACCATTTGGAAGTGACTGGTTTGACCAAGGATGCCAAGGGAAGACTCAACGGAGCTTTCGTCAAGGATCTCATAGCTGAAAAGAACGGTAAAGGGTCTGAAGTATTCCATATTCGTGCCAAGGGAATCATTAATGCCACCGGTCCTTTCTCCGACGCTATTCGCAAAATGGATGAACCCGAGACAATGGAAATTGTTGCTCCTAGTTCCGGTGTCCATGTCATTTTACCCGGTTATTACAGCCCCTCTAACATGGGACTTATTGACCCTTCGACATCGGACGGTCGCGTGATTTTCTTCTTGCCATGGCAAGGAAACACCATTGCTGGAACGACTGATCGGGCCACCGAGATCACTCCTCACCCTCAACCTGCCGAAGAGGACATTGACTGGATTTTGAAAGAGATTAGCGGTTACCTTGCGCCGGATATCAATGTACGACGAGACGACGTTCTTGCGGCATGGGCAGGAATTCGACCTCTGGTCCGAGACCCCAAGGCTAAGAATACAGAATCTCTCGTCCGAAACCACTTGATTACTATTTCCGCGTCCGGTCTCTTGACCTGCGCCGGTGGAAAATGGACAACCTACCGACAGATGGCTGAAGAGGCTGTTGACGAAGCCATCAAGGCATTCGCTCTCCAGCCTCGCAAGGTGCAAAACATCCCCGACGTAAGCGGCACAGGTCTCAAGACAGACAACTTCAACCTCGACGGATCCTGCCAGACTCACCAAGTTCGCCTGATTGGTGCCCACGGTTGGTCAAAGACTCTCTTCATCAACCTCATTCAGCATTTCGGTATTGAAACAGACGTCGCAAAGCACTTGACGAGCTCGTACGGTGACCGTGCATGGCAAGTTGCTGCTCTTTCCTCCCCCACGGACGCTCGCTTCCCTCTTCGTGGAATTCGCATCTCGGCGTTGTATCCGTTTATTGATGGCGAGGTTCGCTATGCCGTGAGACACGAGTATGCTCAAACCGCAGTTGATGTCTTGGCCCGCCGAACTCGACTTGCTTTCTTGAATGCTCAAGCCGCCCTTGAAGCGCTACCTAACGTCATTGACCTGATGGCCGAGGAATTGAAATGGGACGAGAAGCGAAAGAACCTTGAATGGAAGGATACTGTTCAGTTCTTGACATCCATGGGCCTTCCTAAAGATCGTGTCAACATCACAAGGAAGGAAGTTGAGGAGGGCAAGACTCGTATCTTGATTGAGGGCACGTCAAGCTCAGCCCGGACTGGTACGTTACATTCCTGGGTCTCTCACATATATGCTTATAGACTAATTATTCTCTAGACTCTCCGGCCGATATTCTTCAGGGCGATCTTTCGAGCATAGGGAAAAAAGATCCTGGTATGAGCCCTAGCTCGCCAGTCAACAAATAGATTGCACTTTTTTTGGAGGGTGTTTGTATTATACTTATAGAATAACTATACTATAAAGCGGTGTACGAGGGACAACGATCTTGCCGGTCCCTCTGGGTTAGTGATAGACCGTATATAGATCGTTTGTGTTTGAACCAACTGTTTTGTCTTAATCAAGTGTCATTGAGGACTCATTGCATCTATATATATACGGAGTATAGTCATGAGATGTCAGATATGGATAGTGAAAAGCGGCTGTTCTGATTGGCGAAAACCAAATAATGGATGAAGCCCCACCTGATCTCTAAATCTGTACCTTTCAATCACAGACAATTAATCGGTCCAGAACTATTACTCAACGATTCTATCTCTTGAATACCAGCTCCTTGAAAATGGTATACTACTTCGTCTCCAATGTTGTGTCCCCCCCTGCGACCATATACGTCGGCAAGGACAAGTTCGAAAGTGCGCAGCCCTCCCACTAGCAAGACAAATCACAATGGCTGACATACGCTTTCTTTAGATGAGGAACTCATAAAACACGGCCTGGAATCAGACGTTTGGTAATCCACATCCATTCTTCGGTTGTTTCAAACAGTATCGAACGGTATATACTGATTGCATGGTGTCAGGGTTCGTTGCTCACTTTCCTTTCCTCCCCGCCGAATGTGATGTGAAAGAGAATCAAGCCTGACAGGCTGCTAGTTCCATGTCGATAATCTATCCAGTGCCCACGTTTACCTACGTCTCAGAGAAGGGGAAACATGGGAAAATATACCCAAGGAAGTCCTGGAAGACTGCGCGCAGTTGACCAAGGCCAATTCTATCGAGGGTATGTCAACACTCACAGACTCGGGGAAGGGAAGTACTGATTTGAATGTATTTAGGAAACAAAAAAGATAACATCACAGTAATCTACACCCCTTGGTCGAACCTCATGAAGAACGCCTCCATGGCCACAGGCCAAGTCTCATTCCATAATCCCAAACAAGTGAGAAAGATTTTCGTGGCCGTGCGTCAAAACCCAATTGTCAACCGACTCAACAAGACCCGCGTCGAGAAATTTCCGGACTTGCAGGCTGAAAAGGAAGAAATTCTAAAGAAGCAGCGCAAGGAAGAACGAAGAGCGAGAGAGGAAAAGAAAGCAGCGGAGAAGAAGGAGAAGCAGGAAAGGGAGCAGTTGAAATGGCAAAAGGAACATGCTTATGATGATTTGTTTAGTGAGGAGAATATGATGCAGAGTAATAATCAGGATCGCGGGGATGATTTCTTGGATGATTTTATGTGATATGCATGTTAAATATAAATACTGTCTTTGCAAACTCAAAAAAAATCGTTGAAATCAGAATAAAAGCTCATACATATGGAATATTCAATTGTTCATTGTATTGAAGTATATAGTCCGACAGCTCCGGTATTGGCACGCACCTCCTGTCAGCGGCCCGCATTGACGGTAGCACTAATTATATTCTACGTCGACAGTTACGTATACCTGTTCCCAACAACAGTCAATCTACAGCCCTACAACGACAACAACCTGCAAAACACCAATCCACCATGTCGCCAGACAAGCAGTCTTCTAGTTAGTTGTTCCGCATTCTATTGTTCAAATTGCCACTAATGATCTGTACAGGCGCAAAGTCCAAGAAGAACAAGAAGAAGAACCAAGCCAACAAGCAGAATGCCGACAGCAGCAAAGCCGGAAATAATGAATCACAAAACGATGCCGCTGCTGAAGAAGAGTCGAAGGAGGAACTGGAGGAAGAAGAAGTGAATGGCTCAGTCAGTGCAGTCCTCCCATGTTCATTCTCCAACTCGCTAACAGATTGGATCAGAACCAAGGCCAGAAAGTCAACGGTGGAAGTAAAGTTGCTGCAGATTCTGCGACAGAGAAACAAAACGATGACGGAGATGGCGATGAAGACGACGCCGATGCCTCAGACCCCGAGACAACAACCACCACGAAGCCAACGGTCTCAGAAGACAATAACAAATTCGACGACCTAGTACGAGACCGCGACTCTCTTCGCGCCGAAGTCACTGAGCTCCGCAAATCGCTAGAACAAATCCAACACAAACACGAAGAAGAAATGGAAGCGCTGCAACATAAATTGAACGAATCCGAGGACAAGAAAACGCAAGCTGAGACGCAATTTCAGAAACTCCTGGAGCGAGTGAATACGATCAAGTCGCAGTTGGGAGAGAGGTTGAAAGAGGATGCTGTATGTTTCTTATACTCTTTTCGTGAAAGAATACTACTGACTCTAATATAGGAGGAACTCTCTCAGGCTCGGTCCCGTATAGAAGAATTGGAAGACCAGAACTCAGCGTTAACAGAAGAAGTGAGCGAGAAGTTGACCAAGATCGCAGAGCTGGAGAAAGATGCACGAGAACATTCGAATGAATTATCGAACTTGCGCAACAGAGCCAATCTATCACAGCAGAATTGGCTTCAAGAGAAAGAGGAACTCCTTGAACAAGAGTCGTATATTCGGGCAGAATTTGAAGAGGCTAAGCAGGCGATGCATAATTGGGAAGTGTTGGCAATGGAAGAGCGATCCATTCGGGAAGGACTTGCGGAGAAGGTCAATGATTTGGAAGATCAGCTCTCGATTCTTCGTGATGAGTACAATAGTGCTGTTTCGGATAATAATACACAGTCGAACACAATTGATGGACTGCAGCGAGCATTGCAGGAGATACAAGACGGTGAGTTTCCTTTTCATTTTCCAAAGTGCCGAAGGCTGACGTGTCATTAAAGCTCGAAAACAAGAACTGCGTGAACTTGTACAAAGCTCTGATGCTCAGCTGGAAGAGCTCAGGGAGAAACTCCAACAAGTCGAGAAACGAGCCGAAGAAGCCAAAACAGAACTCAAAAAGGCGCAAACAGAACTAGATCGACTCCTCCCATTTGAGAAAGAGGTCAAGGAGAAGAATCTGCTCATTGGCAAATTGCGACATGAAGCTGTTACTTTGAATGATCATTTGACCAAGGCGTTGAGATTCTTGAAGAGAGGTAAACCAGAGGACAATGTCGATAGGTATGTAACACATCTTTTCAAAACCGAAAGATTACTGACTCCTTCAAGGCACGTCGTAACAAACCATTTCTTGCATTTTTTGGCTCTCGATCGGTCCGATCCAAAAAAGTTCCAAATCTTGCAACTTATAGCGGCTCTCTTGCAATGGGATGATGGTGAGAAGCCCCCTATTTTTCACCTTTTCATATTTGGCTTATACTAATTCCAACAGACCAAAGGGAACAAGCCGGACTCAGTCGTCCCGGCACATCAACTACTTCTCTCAAAGTACCCAGTTTCTACGTCCATCGAACACCAAGCACACCCTCTCTGATGAGTGATTACATGGAGAATGGGAACAATGCTGCCGGCGGAAAAGAAACGCTTGCAGAGCTGTGGTCTAACTTCTTGGAACAAGAGGCTGAAGCTGCTGGGGGGAATGCAAGTAAGAGGGGGTCTACTGCTGGTCTTTCATCTTCATAGCCCTCTCGCGGGATGTTATTTCTAAATAGTACATGTATAGAAGATTAACTATAATAAATCATAACTCCTCAAGGATCATGCCCCATAATGGTATATGTATTATTATCCTTATGTACGTAGCCACGATATAAAACAACTCTATATGCAGGAAAAGAATCACTCGCTAGCCCCAAACTTCCCACCACCAACAATCCAATCCCTCAATTCCGTATACGCCTTTTCCAAATCATCATTAACGATGATCTTGTCATGTGCACCGGGCTGTTTCGCATAATTCAATTCATTCTTGGCCTGTGCCAGGCGTTTGTTCAAGCTTTCCTCTGTTTCGGTACCGCGCCCTCGTAGTCGACGCTCGAGTTCTTCGAGGGATGGGGGGGAGAGGAAGAGGAAGCGCGCGTTGAGGTCTGTTCTTTTGACTTGTTTGACGCCCTTCACCAATATTTACATTTAGTATGGGTCTCTAAAGAAGATCTGGTTAAGGATCATTACCTCCATCTCAATGTCAAGGATACATATCCTCTGCTTTTCAGCAATGTTCTTCACAGCCTGGACACTGGTTCCATAAAAGTTTCCGCCAAATTGGGCGTCTATAAGATGCGAATCAGTGTCCTAGCCTCACGGATTGGCTTCAGGAGGAGAGGACTCACGTTCAATAAACCCATTCTCACTCACAAGCTTCAAGAATTCCTCCTTTGTCGTGAAGTAGTATTCCCTCCCATTTTCTTCGCCTGGTCTAGGGGCGCGGGTGGTATCTTTTATTCCATCATATTAGCGGATATCTCCCAAATGTTGCCTCGATACTAGCATAGGCAGAGACCCTACGAGAAACAGAAAAGCCAAATGTATCCGGATACTCGGCAAAAAGTCGTTTGAGGAGAGTCGATTTCCCTGTACCTGAAGGACCGGATACGACGACGGGACGGTATTTGTGTACTGTATAATCCTGTCAGTTCATCCAATCTTATTCACAATTGTATGTCGAAGTACATGCGCAAAACTTGTTGACCTACCTGAAGATGTAGCCATGGTTGCTATGCGCATATGCGGGTAAATGTTGTGACGACCACGGACACACGACCTTGTCAATATGGATCGAATCTTTTGAGAGTCAAGCAACCGCGTGGGAAACATGTACTTGGCGTTTCTTCGTTTTGTCGTTATTGGAGTTCTGAGACATCTGATATAAAACATGTCGGAGAGAAATTGACGCGGGGAAATGTCAAATGTCGGGCGGTGAGCGGACTGTTCAGAGTTTACGAAGTACAGTCTATCAAAAGTCTAGACTTCGCTATCTTGCTCGTGCATACGGTGGATAATCAATCATTCATAATTGAAAAGGCACTGCTAATTATTTAATCAAATGTCGTTGTAAAAGATATAACTAGTCATTCCCGACTATCGGGACAGCAAAGGAAAGACAAAGAGAGTGTAACAGGTCGACTTGAAAAAAGAAAATTGCGTAGTTAAAAATGGATATCTGTAACAGGCAAAAGGAAAACCACTCTCACGCGCTTATTATAACAGTAAGCTTGTTCATTTTTTTGTCTGCGTCCCCCTATTCCCATTCGGAGCGCCATCAACTGACGTGTCGGTTAAACATGTTTGTTGTCGATTAGTTGTTAGTATCATCGTCCATACATAGCCGAGTCAGACTCTAGTATCCGTTCATGGTAACTCTTTGGGAGTTTCGGCTCAACTCGCGATCAGCAGATGGGCTGATGGGTCTGCTACCACTGTGTGGACCACCTCCGGCGGCGCTGCTCTCCTTCAAGGCCATGAGTTGTTTAGCACGGAAAGTCTCGTAGTGGATCTGGCTGGTGGTTTCAATGAGGTCCTGAAGGTGGGTGCGAGTCAAGAAGTTGCGTAGATACACGAATTCGCAGTGGTTCTCGTCTTCAACATTGATCACGCCCCAACGGTTCTGGCGGCCGCGCACCTGCTTGCCGTTAACAACAATGTTCTTCTCGCTTCCGACGACGGCGAATGGAATAATATCCTAGCTTTCGTTAGCATCTAAGCGCATGTTATACTTGAAATCGTGCATACTTTGATTTGAGCGTTCATCACGCGCTCCTCATCATCCAATTCATCATTGTCATAGGGATACATCTTCAAGTTGTGGAAAGTAAATTCCTCCTTAATTCTCTCCTTGAATGCTTGTCGCTCTTCCAAGGTCAAGGAATCGGACTTGGCAATCACAGGGACAACGTTGACAACGTCGGAAAGCTTCTTCAGGACAACGATATCGATGGGCTTAAGGCTAATAATCGATCAGTATCATGGTTAAATCTGCGGTGTCGGAGGGACCTACGCATGTCCGGATGGCTGAATGAAGAAGAGGCAGCAGTGAATACGTGTGTCTTGAATGTAACGTTCTCGCTGAGCTGTGAGTTCCTTGCGAAGGTAGGCCGAGTGCTGATCTTTGATGTACTTGACGATTGGGTCCCAGCTAGATGACAGTTAGTATGAGTGTTTCCATTTCTTCTAACGCTATATCGTACCATCGGTCGTTGTTGACTTGATCACCGTATCCTGGGGTGTCGACAATATTGAGCCTCAAACGTACACCGTTTTCTTCGATGACTATAATTCCACAACGTTGAGTATACTATTTTGCGAACACGTAGATAGATCCAAGACGTCGACGTACTGTGAGAGACAGTCTGAATTTCAGTAGTAGAGCGAACGGGCTCGTTGGGGGTCAGACGACCCTTGGAGTCGATCAAATGTGAAGCGAAGATGGTGTTGATCAAAGTTGACTTTCCGAGACCAGTTTGGCCTTTTGAGACACACCGTCAGTTCATTGTCCATTTCCGAATACACTCGAATCGAGGAGTCTTGCAAACTAACCAACACACATAACGTTGAACTGAAAGCCACGCTTCAAGAGCTTCTTCTCAATCTGAGACGTAATGCTGTCAAAACCGACATGACTGCGAGGAAACACAGTGCTCGGAGGAGCTGCGACGGAGGGTGCAGAGGCCATGGTTGAATGAAACGGAGGACACACGTAGCCTGACGAAGAGCGAATATAAGATGAGAAGCAGAAATGCAAAGAGAGAAAGAAACAGCCAGCAATCCGAACACCCAAGGACGTTTCTCTTGATTCAAGACAGACAAGTCAGCCCCTATTATTATTGCTGGGTTGTTGTTTCTGTTGCGGGAGGCTGATCGCTCAATCAGGGGGAGGCCACACCGCGCTAGACTGCATCAGGACTAGTTGGATAATAGCTCAATTGACCAACCAAAACATCCCGTCGTGCTCCACTCAAGTCGAAAGGCTTCATTGCGAAATTTCCAGGTTGAACTGCTGTATGCCGAATGCCACTCCGCCCTTGTGTCACTCTCTCGTCGCCTGTGATTTGGCTCAGCTACTGCAGTATTTTTCTAGAGATATTTCTTCCTTCAAAACCCCACCGCCTGCGACCGACCTCTAAAGACACGAACCATGGCCATCCGACATATTTCAGCGCTTCCTTTCCTGTCGCCACTCACATCCCCCGTTCTGCGACAATCACAACGATGGAGCACCATCTACCAGCGAGCGGTCTTACTCCAGGGCTTACCTGTTCTGAGCGGATACATCGCCAATGAGATACCTTCATTCTTAGCTGGTCTCTGGGAATCAGTTCTCCGCGCCGTCCCCAAAAAGAAGACCTCGCATATGAAGAAACGTCACAGACAGATGGCTGGCAAGGCATTGAAGGATGTAAAGAGTTTGAGTAAATGCCCTGGCTGTGGAGAAACGAAAAGATCGCATGTTCTATGCCCTACGTGTGTCAAAGGTACTGCAACTCCCCAGACCCGGTTGTCGACTGTTCATGGACTAATTTTTTTTTCTCTCATAGACATCAAAGACCAATGGGCACAAGCCGCAATCGAGAAACAAAAGGCAGCAGATGCTGCTGCTACACGCTACTAGTTCATTGTCTCGCATCTACGAACATTGAAGACTGTATAGTTCCGAAATGGTGGTCCTTCGGGTAGTCAGTGCATGGCAATAGGCGTTTATCTGGGTGTTTTGTATTGTAGCATCGATGTTTAGTTTAGAGCTATAATGCTCATTGATATGTACTATATATGGATTCCAAAATTGAAAAACAAATTGGTCTCTTTTCCTTATATCTTGGAGATGGAGATGTGACGTTCTTTCCGTATATAAAAAAAAGTCCCATCTTCCCGCACACCAATCTTGGCAACAACAACAACCAACTTCATTGAGGCTCACAACCTTCCCACTAATGGCCCTGCAGTTCTCGTGATAGAGCTGTCAAATCATGGTGAGAACAATATTTACCTGCTTATAGATTTTAATCATCTCTAACAGTCGTGAAAAGTCCAAGCAATATCTGTCGTGGGGCTCAGCAGATAATGGCAAGTAACTCGGCCTGCTTGAGTTGAAGAAGAGCTGACGTGACTGATATAGCCCACCCGATTGACATTTTCTCTCTGGCTGTGACTTATAATCAAATTATATCAGCTTCAGGAGCATCTGCCCTCAAAGTACATTCTACTGCAGATCCAGATTTCCCACTTGTCCAAACTATCGAAGCTGCTCATAAGATTGGTTGCCATCATGTCGTCACATCAAGAAACGGCCTCAAAGCTGCCAGCATTGGCTTTGCGGGTGAAATCAAGATCTGGATCAACAATAATGGAGAATGGTCTGAGGAGACAGCTTTATCGAGTAAGTTTTTCTACCATGCATTCGTGGTTGAAGACTATTTTCTAAGCACACCTCAACAGACTCAATAAAAGACCCCGAGGCTTGGGCAATTTGCCTGTCAGAAGATGGTAGATACCTTGCAGGGACGACACATGATGGCCATATTAAGGTCTGGGATTTGAACAACAAGGGGGAACAGTTCAGAGATTACGAAACGAAAGGAGCCTTTGGCGCTTGTCTTGACATGGTGCGTTTAACTTGAGTGCGTTGCCTACCAATCGCTAACTATGGACCAGTCGATCGATGGCAAGTACATAGCAAGCGGCCATCAAAATGGGAGCATCTACATGTTTAATAATGAGACCGGTCGCATGCCATTCTCGTTATCTGGTAAGACCTTTGATGACTCTTAGCTAGGAGAGCCTGATTATCTAATCCATAATTCATAGGACTTGTCAAACCTGTTCGTACAGTTGCGTTCTCGCCAGGTGGAAAGCTACTTGCAGCAGCCGGAGATGCCAAAGTCATTGTCCTTTATGACACTGAGTCGGGCGAACAAGTGACACAACTTACTGGACACTCAGCATGGATTCTGTCATTAGACTGGAGTCATACAGGGGAGTACTTGTTAAGCGGGTAAGTTTGGTTATTTGATCATGGAATCTACTCTCACTTCTCTCTAACTACTTTTAGATCCTTCGATGGCAAGATAAAAGTATGGTCTATCGAACGCCGAGCCTGTGTCGCGACTCATTCAGAGAATGAGAAGGCCGTTTGGAGTGTGAAGTGGTTACCCAAAATAGGCAGAACGGAAGGATTTGCGACTGCCGGTGCTTCTCGCAGTATATCATTCTACAGAGAAGCCACAGGTGGTTAGGCCAGAGACAGTGACTCTAACTGGCGGGGAGAACTCGAATTTATGCATGAAACGTATGATATTAACATAATGAGCGGTGGGGTTCTGTCTTTGCGACCTGATCTCAATATTTTATTGAGACAATATCCAGAGAAATTCAAACAGATCAATGTTGACAATGAATACTTATACCTAGTAAGAGAGCCGTCACTTCATAGACTCGACAAATAGCCGACGCATCCTCTTCAAAAGAGCGCCGAAATCTCGATCTTCATTGACAATTTCCAATTCGCGTTCAATTGCTTCCCTGTCCAACTTGGGCTTGGTATGATATATTTCGTAATCCCTGGAAGCAGTACCTAACTCAAACCACGCCTCTTTCTCCCAATCCTTCTCAAGCAGATGTGTATAAACAATTTTCAACCGATCTTCTCGCCCGGCGCCTTCAATTCGCATACAAAGATAATCCTGCCAAAACTCTAGCTCGGGAACGTTTAGTCGTGCTTGAGAATCAAGATATTGAGCGTGCGCCTTTTGCGCCTGTAGTTTTTGATCGATTGCATTCTGTGTTTCTGCAATTTGTCGCTTCAGTCTGTCCCGTTTCGCCAGTCGGTTGTCGCGTTCGAGTGTGATTGAGGAAATATGTGCATGGATTTCTGCGGCTTCGGCTGCTTCCCTCTGGATGGTTTGCTGGTGATCTTGGGTTTTTGATGTTAAGATCTTAACATCATTTTGCTTCATATCATAGTCCTCTGTCAGAACGATACAGTTAGCATATTATGAAATTTGTTTAACGGACGCCATGGGAAGAGATGGTGACATACTCTGAAGCTCGGCCAAATTGCTATGAAACTGATTACGTTCCTGCAAAACCTGTTTCCGTCCTTTTTCAATGAACGCGTCAAACTTTGCTGTGAATTGCGCCATTCGGCTTCGCAAATCTTCGAAACCGAAATTGAGGCTCGGGAGAGAATCTGCCATGGACGGAGCTTCTGCAGATGCCAATGGCGGTCGCATGCCACTGGTGGATAGCGAGGGTTCGAAAGAAGACATATCGAAAGTTTATGCGGTAATATAAATGTATTCGGAGGTAGATGAGGACGTCGGTGCGTATAATTCAGTTGGTGGGAGATTGGATTGATCTGAAGTTGCGAACGTGCCTGATGAACGCGAAAGGCAGTTGCGGGGCAACCGCAGACTCTATACAAATTAATCAGATGGAGCTAGACCGTAACGGGATGTCCAGCTAAAAAAAAATATTGGACGTTTCTTTCCTTCCTGTTTGCTTCTTCACCTTGTCTCGCTCAGAGCTCACTTCAAGCTCGTATATCTTCATTATAACATCTACATCGATTGAAATTTGGGCTACTGACGTGTAGTTCACTGCAAAGCCCCCGCTACTAAGCAATTCGAGCTCCTACATGCTTGTTTTGTCGCCATGAGTGAACGATCTTACATTTTGACCGATATCGTGACAACAATTAGGACAGGTCCAAATGGATGACCATACTTATGGCGTTGCCCTCCAATATGGTAATATGGGGCCTGCGACCTATTCTTCAGCCAGTCAAGCCTGGCATTTCGCTCGACGTTTTAGGCCAGGTATGTTTTCGTTACGATTATTTCCGCTGATACAAGCTAAATTCGTTTCTAGCACAAATAATCTCCTATACAGGGTATGAAAAGCAGGTAGTTGCCCCATCAGCAGTGAATTTGCCGGTCGTCAAAAAGCACGAGAAAGATACGAAATCTCTGTTGGCGGATTATCCAGAGTTAATCAGCGTCGTCTCGTCCTTTGCGCGGGAAGAGGAACTATCGCAAACCGTTCAACAGGCCGACTCGTATTTCAATCCTCAAGTATCCTCAGTGCTCGACTTTGGGAATGCCCAACTTTCAGAGGCCGTACGTTCTCGTCGAGGTCGGATGCGAACCGTTCCTATTGCAGCCTTTGCATCTGGACAGAATGGGAACATGCTTTCTCTTCGAACCATCGAAGCTGAAAAGGTCGCGACCAATCTCGAACAAGATGCAGCTTTCCGTTTACCGACGGTAGGCGATTCCAAGGCAGTCGATTGGGCTTGCACTGAGACGCCTATCCGCCAAGTCAAGTTTGCAGATAGTACCGAGACTCCAGGGAATCTATTGGCTGTCCGTCTACTTTCCAGCACAGCCATACTTCAACCAATCTACCACCGAGAGGCTCAGATGATTGAGCACCCGGAATTATCCCGTCGAGCAGACTCGAGGCCGCAAGTTTCTCATATCGACCCGTGTCTGGTGGCCGAAATTGACGTTTCCCAGACAGGCGGATTCGCTCATGTCGATGTGACTTTCAACCCGTGGTATCTGAAACAATTCTCAATACTTGATGAGCGTGGCCATTGGAGTATCTGGCAGCTGCAAGATATCGTCAGACTCGGTAGCGGCGTGGCTCCCGAACTTCTACAGTCCGGCTATTTACCTTGCGATACTGTCGATGGAGATGAGAGCGGGGAATTCACTGTGGAAGTGAAGTACGACACTTGGGGCAGGATCGAATGGACAAGGGATGTCAATACGTTCATAGTCTGCGGTCGACGTAATGCTATGCTCTATGTTTTGGAAGGGACGACTACCATATCTCAAGCGATCCGGCTTAATTGGCAATCCTCTACCGAATGGATTCTTGACGTCAAAACCTGCTCGTCCCAAAGTTCTCTCGTCTTCATACTAACTACATTACGAGTATTATGCTTCGATCTGAAGCTGCCAGAACAAGAGGGCCAGCCCTTTGCTCCGCAGTTTGCGTGGTTGCATGGTCGCGATGCAGATGATCTCACTCTCCGACTAACATCACTTACTATTGGTGAAGGTATGAAAATGTACCAGGAGTTTTCAATCTCCTTATATTTCTAACGTTTCTTTCCTAGAGTATTACTTACTTCTCTACTCACGTCTCGACTCCTGCATATTGGCCTTTCAGCTTCCTATCGAAGAATACGAAGAAGGCAACTACTCCATGTCGGATCCATTTTTCGTCTATATTCCCGGCAATAAAGATACTAATGGATTGAAGACGATCCGTTACGATTTCCCCATCAGGCAGATCCTCTTCAAGGAAGTTGAACAACAAATCTACCTGTCAAAGCGCATTTGTCTCGATAACTGTCCCAAGTTCATGAAGCTTTTCATCATTGACAGTACAATGGCTATTCACGAATACCTATACTCAAAGCCTACCGGCCGATCATCCGCAGAAGAGCTCAAAATGGGCCGCGAAGCATTGTTCTTGAGCGCAGTATCTCTTTTACCGAATAAGAAACGCAAAGGCGAAAGAGATATAAGCGTCGTACCATCTGATAATGATGAGATCAATCAACTCGGTGAAATGTTTCTACAGCTCTCCAAATCCATCAAAAGCAGACCACCACCGGCGTCTGTGGACTTTACAAGGATATACTCTCTGCTTTCTAAGGATGACCGAAACTTGATCAGGCCGTCAGCATCTGTTCCAGAGTACGAGAGTTTCAGAGAATATGTAGAGCATTTGGTTGTAGCAGTATCTAACTTGGCTGAAGAGGGATCTGCTTTTGTACATACCATGTAGGTACCACCTCTCATTTATACCGCCTGAGTAATGCTGACATTTGTACAGGCTGGACATCATGGACAACCCACCTTCCTTACCTGATATCGACGAAAGTGCTCAGGAACTCGACTGGTTCAAATCTCGCTTTACGCCTATGGAATCTTCTGCGGAAACCGCCTTATGCTATTTGCCGTTAAGTGTTTCTTCGTATGAACAGTTACAGAAAAAGGCCAACATTATTCGTTCACTTCGACCGCTTGGTGTACTAGACCTCTACGAGAATCTTCTGCGTGACTGGCTATCGAAACTGTCGCGGAGGCTACCAAGTTGGATCCGGATTTCCAAGGAGAGGCTGATCCGACAAGTGTCTATTGAGCTGTCATTGGCAAGCATGGTACAAATAGATGCCGCTATTCCCGAAAGTATCCGTGCCATTTCATCTCAATCATCATTACTAGGGCGGAGCAACTCGACAAGCTGTCAGGCGGATCCTGTCAGTGAAGTGGCGGAAATACAGGAAGAGGATATTGTGATCACTCATGGCAGGTTAGATCTCAAGACAGTTTCACCGTCAAGCATGGGTGTATCTTCAGGTGGCGCCGCACAAGATGTTCTTTCTTTTTGGAACGTTGGAGGTGATCCTGATGCCTTTGATTGGGAGAAGGCCTTGACGACAGAGACAGACGAGGAAGATGCAAAGTCTAGATCTAGATCCAAGTCACAGCAGCGCACGCGGACTCGTTCGCGATCGAGGGCTAATAGCGTGGGCTCGAGAAATATTAGGAGTTCACCAGTCGTGCCAGCGATGCAGTTCCCAGGCAGCCAGCCTCAGTTCGACAGTAGACTGCCTATACGAAGTAGTCAAGTCTTACCAAGTAGTCAGATTGCGGATGATATTCCCATGACTCAGGTCGAACGAGGTGTATTTGGCAGCCGAGAAGCTGGGAAAAAGAGCAACGTCAAGGCGAGGAAAAAGAAGAGGGCGGCAGGGTTCTGATGGCTGTGTTGTTGAATGATTCGCTAACCTAAAGATTTTTTAGCAGTTTTAGGTGCAGGTTTAAGGGTTTTGTATCAGATGGAAACTGCATTATTAATCTGATACGACGAGAATGTACATACATGAAACCTCAATGAGATATTTTCGCATTGAGCGGTTTATGCGTCGCATCTGCGACATAATCAATAATCCTTTTCTGGCCAATTATTCTTTATCCAGTCTTTATCTAGACGTCGTAGTCAAACAAGGTACCTTGTAGGAGGCAAGGTCTATGTAGCATTTGTAATTCATTTGGCTAGGCCATTTCCCGCTTTGGAGTTAATAAATGGCATCATCGATATAAATATTTACCTATTTGCACCTACCCACCTTCAGTAAACCCCATATTTACATCCTCTCCAAAAGTTCAGCACATACTCTTCCTGCGAACATATACAAGCGCATAGCCGAACAATCAAATATCCATCCTCTCCATCCTCTCCAATTGTCCAAAGACCGAAAGCGCGCCCTTTTATTACCCCGCATATATCTTCCGCAAAAATGGCCGAGCATCAATACAAATTCAATGTCAGCATGAGCTGCGGCGGCTGCTCCGGCGCCGTTGAACGTGTCCTCAAAAAACTTGACGGTTGGTTTTGCCTTTCGCATTCTTTCAATCAAACAGAAGTGCTAATCAATCACCATTAATTTGAGCAGGCGTCAAATCCTACGATGTAAGCCTTGAGTCGCAAACGGCTACCGTCGTCGCGGAAGATTCCTTGGGATACGAAAAGGTTCTTGAGACTATTAAGAAAACTGGCAAGACTGTTAATAGCGGAGAGGCGGACGGGACTCCCCAGGCTGTTTGATAGAGGGTCTATTAGCCTATATCGAAGAGGGGAGGGATTACGGGACATGTTCTCTACATACACTGAACTGTCTACTTGCATGTGCATATCAGACTAGTTCTTACGACTTTTACGAAAGCGAATGCAATACTTCATTCGAAAGACCAGAATGGAATGGATGTGTCTATGCACATATTCATTCGATAACGCTGACATGTGCGAGGAATAACATCTACAACCAGGGTATCATTGATAAAACATGCAAAACCAGCCAATAACACGCCATGTAAAGCTGCAGCAGTGCCTGATCGGGTATAATATAGTGTAATGCAAAATCAGCTCACAATAAGCTAAGTTGTGACAAAAAAGAAAAAAAAAGGCCAAACACAACACATCATTGCCGCTCCTGAAATGGAGTAGAACCGTAGCGATGAGGGTTCATCGACCTTTCCAACTGCACCTCGTATCGTCTCATTGCTGACGCAGGAAGCGCGTCTCTCTTTCTCTGACCATCTAGGACCGGAGGCTGTGAAGAGATGCGCCGGGTTTGCGTCCCATAGTATTGAGGTGTATTGTCAGCTCTGGTGTCAAGGGTCAAATCAATGGGTTGGTCTGCAAACTCTTCTGGATTATGTGCAGGACTGTGAGTGACTCGTTCAAGTCTTTGCGCCCTACTCACTGACAACGGTGGTTGAGGCGCATTCATCGAACCTGCCAACCAAGTAGAATCTTGGACCTCTAACAATCTCCTATGCGATTCATAGGAAGTAGCCTTGCTTCTCCAGACCGCATCATCAGAACCAGCACCACGACTATGATGGCTGCTGACTGGACGATCTGATCGGAGAATCGGTTCTTTTGTAACTTCCACTACGTAGTTTTCACCGCTGGGGTTCAGATTCCTGTGCTGTAACAGAGCATCAACATATGGACGGCCTGAAGGCGCATTATCAGATCCAGCGAAGGCCACCGGGGATTCTAGAAGAACCTGGGGGAGTGAACCAGAGGAATCATGTAGCCTAGTATGCGGAAGGTATGCTACCCGGTCAGTAGTCTCCTCTCTGGGCCTGTTCATCATATATGGAACTGGATCAGTCCTAATAATATGCGTCATGTCATGCTTATCGCCATGGTAGACATGCTCAAAGTATCGTTTGTGCTTCAATACTTGCGCAGATTGGGTTCTTGATCCTGGAGGCTCGGAATGTATAAATTCATCCCTATATGAAGAGCGGTGGGGATCGGGGGTTACTTCCTGGGAGTCGAGTCGCCTCCTCTTTGGATACTCGTGTGTATCTTCGGTCAAGTTAATCAAATCAATTCTCCTCGAAAGTTCATCGAGTGGTCGCCGATATTGTGAAGCTAAACTCCCACGCGTAACAGTCGGCAAGATATTGGGGTCGCTAATTTTGTGCTGAAGCGGGAATCCTGAGGGTATCGGGGAATCTCGACGTTCTATAGATGGGACTATTGTGTGGCTCCGCGGAGAATCACCACTGCGGTTGTGGCTGGCCGGTCGATGAGCAGTCGGATGAGCTCGTTTGAGGGTAGCCTCATTTCCTTCCGAGGACATTCTAGGCCCCGCGACGAAGATCGGCTCAGAGGAGACATCAATTGGGAAGGAATTCCTTTTACGCGACGAGACTGGAGTGATTTTAGTAAAAACTGAGCCGTCAGAGAAATGAAGGATATCCGGGGCTTTGTGCTCTCTGGGTTGGGCCTGATTCAAGGTTAGCATAATCACGTCCATCCAGAGTCTCACTTATGGAGGGTAGCGAGTGTCATTACTGCTTGTAATCTGCTTCCGTCCTGCCAGGCATATACTCTCCTGTGATGGAGCATATCGCTGGAATGAGGCCGATCGTCATACAGCACACCTTGAATCGGCGGATCGAAATGGCGTTCTACGATGGGCGTGAGAGGCCGACCTGTGACTTTATTTCCGTGAATGTGTAATGGCCTTGAGGGAATGGGTGGTTCGTCTCTGGTTACTGTAGGGGCCCTAGACAATGTTGATTCGTCATATCTCGAGAGGGCCTTCTCGCGATAGCGAACCATGGCTCGATCCCAAGCTCGATAACGACTGAAGCCACGCCGATCAACCTTTGCTTTACTTGAAGCTTGGCTGGTGGTTTCAGAACCAAAGTTGTAATCACTGAAAAGGGGTTTCCTGCCGACTCGAATTGGAAAGGGGCTAACGATATGGTTACTATCGTCGTTTGTACCCTCGAGCTGGTCGGCAACCACTTGACTTGATAGGACCTCAACACTGAGACCCCGGCCGGTTGCAGCAGTATTTCCATTTTCGATGAAATCGCCTTCTTCAGTATCCCCTTCCTCGTCATCAGAGATAACGATAACTTCTCGGAAGACATCTTCTAGTTCTGGCATCCCGCTTTCGTCATCACCACGCCACTGAACGAGCTTTTCTAAAGTAGAATCTTCTACTGAGCGCCTAGCTTGTTGAAAAGATGTCGCTTTGAGCAACTTGTCGTAGTCCGTGTATACATGGCGAATATGCGCCACCACAGCAAGCTGCGCTCTACGGGCCAGTGGTAGCTCAACAGCAGTTCCCACTTTCCGTTGCCCCTAAAAAAATATCAGTTGGTACTGAGAAAATGGGGACATGATGCAATAGGATTTACTTTTTGAAAAGCCGTCTTGATAATCTGATTTATGTCTTCTTCCGGGATATTGGGAAAGAGGTCGCGAATCACATCTCTGGCTTCAGTATTAATTGTAATTTGAGGGACGTCTGCGTCGCCGTCGGTCCTAGTGGATTTGCTGCCGAATTGTTCAAACGGCACCACATTTCCATTTTCCGAGATGTACAGGCCAAGCTCCATGCACTGTTTAGCCACGACAGTGCTGGGGAAGTGGTATCCTACTCGATGGACTTGTTGGGACAGACTGTGGGTATTCTGATGCGGAGTTGTCTTTTTATTCAAATTGTTAGCTATACAATGCCCACTAACAACCGTAACTTAATTAACAACGGATCACAAGCTTACTGTGACGGTGAAGATCTTCAAGCCCTGTTCGCGGCAGGACTCCTTGCAGGCTACCGTGAAACGCGGGTTGCCGGCTGGTATAAAGGTGTATCCAGGAGGAGCTTCTGCTTCGAATGATAGCTATGTCCAGGTTTAGTGAGTGATGCATGCAGGGCAAGGGGTACGAGAGAGACCAACAATGGTCCGAAGCTTCTTTCGTTTTTGGGTCACGCTTTCTAGTATGACCTTGTGCTTGCGAAACCTGGTTCTGGTCGAGCTATTCTGAGCTCGACCTAGCCCAAACCGCCCTGGTAACCGCGTCATTATGTCTCTGGAAGTGATACCCCTCTTGTAGAACCAGGCTATCTCCTATTATGAGCCGCTCAGGCACGGAAAGACAAGTGAGCTAACTAGTGTATGCGTTGCCACTGGCAGTCATACATGGTTTCCTGCTCCTTGTTTAGGTAGATTTGGTTCGAACTCGTTCCGAGCAAAAGGGATGACAAAATCTGCATCGGTCCTGAGGGTTGAGAATTTACTTCCCGTTGGACAGGCACGTGTCGTGATGGTTCAACATCGAGAATGGGCTCAACATGTAGATATGTAGGTACATACGGACCTTAAAACACTGCGTGACGTGGAGGGAGGAACGGCAAGGGTCAGCTCTAGCATACCGGAGATGCTGGTATATGAGGACGGAAGATTCTCCCCTAGGGAAACAGGGCAGAGAACAAATAGGGATGAGAAGAAAAGAAGAAGAAGAATCCTCCACAGAGTCGTGGATGCCCAGCGAGCCTCTTTTTGGGGGAAGCTCTTTTTATGCCATCGGGCTGCGAGGGGAAGGAGCTGTCCCATTGGCTCCTGCCGTGACCGCTTTGTCGCTGTTTGACCTTGTTGGCCGAAACACCACCACCACCACCAGACAGCAACAGCACCACCACCACCTCACTGCACAATCTCCCAGATGGAAGACCGTCTGGTCGTCAATGCATATCGCCAATTATATAAAAAGGGTCTGCAAGCCGTCAGACGTGCAACCCCGGCGCGCCATGTCCTGAGGAACACGTTGAGGACCTCCTTTCGATCCGAGAGTCGAGCCGAATTCGATCTAACCAAGATTGCACGCACTCTGGAGTTCCTTGATCGTGCGGCCGAGTCTACTAGCTACGAACATAAGATACTCAAGAACTTGCTACATGTCCGATACTACGAACAACCCTCCTCACGGGTCGAGAAGGAGGCGAAGATGTGAGCTCACCGAGAAACTTCCAATACTGGTTGCGCTCAAGACAGGAGGAACTGACCTTTACAGCTCTGGTCGCCGTGATCGTGTACAGAACTATATCCGACTGTCTACCGCCGCGCATTTCAACTCCACATTGATGCTTCTGAACGAGAGTCTCGGTACTTGCCTGAGATAATTTCTGTTCGACAGACTCGAAACACCGAGAGTCGCAAGTCCTCCACCACATTCTAGAACCCCACCCAGTAGAAGGCTTTCATACCCGGCCTTAGGCCATCACCGATTGGGTCAGTGATTTTAAATAAACCTTTCTGGCGCATACGGAGAAAGAGAGAGAGCGGTCAGCGCTCTTTGACCACATCTGGTGACGTGGTTAACTGCAACCGACGAGCGGGCCAATTGGTCCCTCGATCTCACTCTTCACGAGGGTGCATTTAACATTGAACCGACAGGGTTTCTTGAATATAAATATTCGTTAGAGATTCGACAATTTGAAAATGAATGAACAAGTAGAAAGCAGAAGAAAATACGATGTGTATGCAAGGTGACAGGCAATAGTGGGCTCGCGTGAGGTGTGTCACATGCTTCACCAATTGCCCCCCAAATGGCTCTCTGCAGGCATAAGTAGTAGAGACAATATACAATTGTAATTTTGACTACATAAGCAAATAGCTTCTCTGATTGTAGAATGCTTTTAATTATTCCACATATGAAGTGATACGTGGATATCCCAATGAGTGACTACATTTCGTCTTTATTCATTGAGCCGATCTTACGACACGCTCGCCGATTTTCTCAGCTCCCCGAATTATCCGCATCGGACGACGAATCACTCCCGCCTTCCCCAGGACACCATGACCTCGACGAGCCTGCTCAGTCAGCACTCCTGCAACTCCCGATTCCTTCACCGCAGAAATTCATCAGTGATGTGCCTCACTCAGTAACACGGAGTGCCCTGTTAGACACGGATCTCGACTGTGCTCAAAGACGATTGGTGGCATGTAGGGCGTCAGACTCTAATGACGACGTGAGACTAGGGACAATGGACGCTTCTCAAAGCCAACAAGTTAGCAGCGATGAAGATACCCGACAGCTTCCATCACATCCAGCCACAAACACCTATACAGAGAGCAATACCGGTGGAATAACATCTACGCCGAGCGATGCGACTGGCGATCGATCTCCTGGTTCTAAACTGCGTGAACTACCTGAAGATGATGGTATGACTGACCTGCGAAGGAGAATACATGCTATCAGAGACAACGATGCAAGTGGTATCCAAAAAGCGCGGTTGATCCATTCCTTGATGATCGAGAGCTACGAAGCTGCGCGCAAGACATTCAGTGAACGACCGACATCATCACAATCTCCACCCCGCCCCCGAAGTCGAGAGCGCTCTGTAACCTCTTCACCACCAAGAACAAGGCGCAGTCCCAACAGGGATCCCAATGATTATATAGAACGGAGACCAGGTACCCCTCTCAGAATATACTATAATGTGTCCCCCCAAGACTTGGAACCAACGTTCGCGCCAAAAGATATCGATGTTACTGTGGACAATAACGAGGAGTCCTTGGCTGAAAAGCCCGTGCCATCAACTGAAAATGATGACATCTTTAGCAACAGCGATTATGCGGACGAGGATGTGCTGGTTCTGGGCTGCCCGCATTATAAGCGCAATGTCAAGTTGCAATGCTATACGTGCAGGAAATGGTATACATGCCGATTTTGTCATAATCAGCTCGAAGACCACCCTCTCGAACGTCAAAAGACCGAGAACATGCTCTGCATGCTATGTGGACTTCCTCAGCCGGCAGGACAGTGGTGTAAGGGATGTGGCGAACAAACGGCTTCATACTTTTGTGCCCTCTGTAAGTTATGGGACAATGATAGCTCGAAGAGCATCTATCACTGCTATGACTGTGGAATCTGCCGTATTGGACAGGGTATCGGGAAGGACTTCTTTCATTGCAAAGTATAGTGCTTTCCCCTATTACTTTAATCAATTGTTCTATTACCCTAACACCATTTAGACCTGCAGTGTATGCATGCCGATCTCTATCGAAAATACCCACCGCTGTATTGAGCGCTCAACACAATGTGACTGTCCGATCTGTGGCGAATATATGTTTACCTCACCAGATACTGTCGTGTTCATGAAGTGTGGGCACAGCATCCATCAGAAGTGTTATGACGAGTTTTCCAAAAGTTCGTATAGGTGTCCGATCTGCAGTAAGAGTATCATGAACATGGAGGCTCGGTTTAGGAATCTCGACCGTACCATCGAAAGCCAACCGATGCCAAGCGAGTTTGAAGACACAAGGGCTATGATATATTGTAATGACTGCGGTGCCAAGTCAAACGTTCCGTATCATTGGCTTGGTTTGAAGTGTGATTTGTATGCTCCTACTTGGTCCTTATCTATTTGAAGTGACAATACTGATTGATGTCTAGGTGTGAATCATATAATACAGCACAGCTTCGACTTCTTCGTGGAGATGGCGAGACTACTGAATCCGAGCTAGTTTTGAGAACCAGGGCTATTCCCGTTAACATCCCAGACCACAGCTTTGAATCCATGTCAGCAACTAGATTGGGAGCGGAACATTTCTCCAGAGATGCGAATGATCGTCGGCGACCATCCACTGCAACTTCCGCCAACGGACACCCGATCCCACCCCGCCGGCGGGCAGTGTCACCTACGGTTGGGAACTACTTTGAATTGTCTCGAGACTCAACCTGGGCTGCATCCATCTTCTCTAGTCGTCGAAGTGAAGGAGGCAACGACGATGATGATGAGGAGGAACCTGGCTTCTGGGCTACTTCGCCTTTACGAAAATACTCCTTTTTTAGGAAACACACCGGGTTAAGTGATGACGAAAGTGACAGTGACAATGATAGCGGAACTACAAATGATATAGAAGATGAAGACGAAGACGACAACGATGTGGAAGAAGACGAAGAGGATGAGATGGATGCCATTGAGATTTTTGGTCATCGCTGAAATCTCTTTACATTCTAACACCCGTAACGGGGTTGTCTAACAGATGACCACATTCCTACTACCGTCTTTGACGCTTTGGGTTTATGTATAAGTAGCATTTTTTATATCCAGGTTACAAGATGACCTTCGAGTGGTATAGAACTATGCTGAATCTCCTACGACTCCGGCTTTCTGCGCCTGATAGAAGCGTGTCCGGTTAATGCTTTGGTTGGCCTGAAAAAGTGTCCGTCAACTTAAATCAGGCCATCATGCTATATTATCCTGTAACCACTACTTTATGAAGACTTTATGATACATAATGAAAGTTCCACTTTTATAGGTGATAAGGGAGACCATTCAAAGGGGAAGGATATAAAATCTAGGGATGGAAATCAGGTTGAACTGCACTCAAAGTCGTATATTATAGAAAAACTCAATCAAACACCTATTCTCACCTCTGTACAGAATCAATACTCAATTTAAATACATGCCATGCTTCGTGGATATCATTATTGACGAGGAAAAGAGACGAACAATAAATGCATCCTGACAAAACAATAATCAACAAGACCAAATCAGGAAGACACTCAACCAGTCTTCAGGGATAGTAGTAAAATGTAAGATATAAGAATATGTACGATTTCAGAAGACCGGCGAAAAAATCCAGAAACGCCAATGCTTAGAAACCCCAATCAAGCCAATAATTTTCCATTCCTAAATATCAGGAACGTCTTTCAATCCAAGTGACCCTTCGCGTCGTCTCTGACTATCTCGTTTCATCGAGAGTTCATTCTTAGCACGGCGAAGACTCTCGCCGATTTTCTTAGCCTTGGCCCATTCTCGGCTCATGCTTTGCATCCGGACAGTAGCCATCACGGCAAAACCTGCTGTTCGGAGCTTACGGCGCGCATCGTGGACTTTCTTGGGTTCGGGAGCGGTGATACCCATCTCAGCGATCATGCGAAGATCAGCCTCATTACTGTAATGGAAACAGGAATGTTAGTCATTTGTTCACGTGGAAAATATGAAAGAGGTGAATGATCACGTACCAAGCCACTCGAACCTGTTCACCAAGTTCCATAAGCCCTTTGCTCCAAGCCAAATCACGACGGAACTTTTCTTCTCTCCTCAGACGCGTCCTTAGCCATATGATCTCCTTGCCGAGTCCACGGATTTCTTTCTCATGGCGGTTCTTACGACTCGCTTTAGTATTCGCATCTTCCATGAGTGAGTCTATCCGTTCTTGAAGGACTTCACATTCTTGGTTCGCTTTGTCTGATTTCTTAATCGCAATGCTGCGTTCCTCACGGATTCGACGAATCGATGCCCTGAGTTCATTCAGTTGAAGTTCTTTTTCGGAGAGTTTCAAAGCAAGCGATTCAGCTTCAAGAGTAGATGATTTTAGTAGTTCATGAAGATCTTTCCGGTCTTCTGCTCTGATCGCGCCTCTTTCTAGCTCTTGATTCTTCGTTTTGAGTTCCATCACGATTGAATGTGCGTCCTTGAGCCTCGTGCGCATTGACCGTAGTTCTTCTTGTAAACCGTTGGGCGATGACCTTGCAGGGGATGCAATGTTCAATTTCTGCATCTGAGCTTCATGAAGCGCTTCTTCGAGCTCCGAGATTCGGTGTCTCAATTCACGTATCGACTTCTTGTGTTCGCCTTCACGTTCAAGTAATGTTTTCTCTCGCTTTCGCGCGTCGTCAAGGTTTTGACGAAGTAAAGGAATATCAGCAGCAACCGATGAGCTTTCTACATTGACGGGCTGCTGCTGCTCCTCCAATATGACCTCAAGTTCGGCTATCCTCCTTTCGAGTTGGTGCGCTTTGCTCTTCGCAACGGTTAACTCTCTGTCCCGTGTCCTTAACGTTGCTCGCAATTTATCTTGTAGCTGAACTAGTTCGCTCGACAATCGGTTTTCTTCCGCCGTTGAACGCTCAATCTCTGCGTTCAATGCATCCTCAATTGATTTTCGCGCTTCTTCCAACAATGTCTTTTCGTCTTTCAGTCGCTGAAGCTCATTTTCAAGTCGAAGCTTGGCCTTGCGGAGCTCAACCTTCTCGTGATCAAAGTTAGTGTTTCCATTAGATTTGCTCTGAATCTGATTGAGCTCATTTTGCAGCAAGTCGCGTTCGGCTTCGGCCTCTGCGGTGGATGTGCGCAGTCTGTGTAGTTCAACGTCCGCACTGGCAAGTTGATCCCGCAGGCTCTGTCGTTCATTCAGAACCTTCTGCAATTGACTGTCTTGGCTGGAGGGCCCCTGAAGGTTCTTGGCTTTCGAATATTCCTTTTCTTCCTGTAGACTTGCCCGCAGTATGGCGATTTCGTCCTCCAGCGCTTGAACCTTCTCTTTAAGGACTTCTTCCTCGCGTCGACTGATTCGAAGATCCTCCTTTAATGTGAGCAACTCACTCCGCTGCTCGCTGATAACGTGTCTCTTAGACGTGATATCATCGCTCAGCTCCTTGATCTGCCGACTCAAGACAGCCTCCTCCTGTAAATGGCGTTCTTTTTCGCTATCAATCACATCTTGAAGTTTTGCTGCGCGTCCGGAAACGGTTAATTCGACGTCCTGAAGCTTCTCAATCGTACGCTTATACCCAGCGGCTTGCTCCTCAGCCCGATCCTTCTGCGACTGTAATGTACGCTTCGCGCTTTCCCAACGATCCTGGTCAAGAGCATATTGCCCTTCCTTATTCTCAATCTCCTGATGCAAAGACATAATCTCTTCATTTAAACGCTCTATTTCTTCTCGATGTTGAGTGCGAAGATCGTGATTGTTATCCATGCTACGCTGTTTTTCGTCTTCAATTTCTTGTTCAAGGCGTCGAATCGTAGCCTGGACGTTAGCTAATTCTCTCTGTAAACCAGCTGATTCATCCGTTAGAGCGTGATGGCGAGTTTGAAGAAGTTCTTTCTCGTCAGTTTTGCGATCAAGATCGTCGAGGACCTCCTTTAACCTGCTTAGGGCCTCGTCTCGCTCCGCAAGATATTGCTCTGCTGCTGCTGCTTTGCTGCGAAGGGCGTCCAATTCGGCTGCACGCTCTTCTTGAACCTCCTCTAGCTGTCCTTCGAGCATCTCTTCTCGGCGCTCTTTCAAGGCGTAATCTTCCTTCAAATCGTTGTATTCCTCACGAAGCTGATTAAGCTCCTTTTCGAGATCTTCAGCCTTTTCTTCAAGCTGTCGACTGAGCCCTTTGGTGGAGAAAGACTTGTTTGCCATCTCTTCTTGAAGTTCTTTAAGGTTCTCCTCCGCCTTCTCTTTTTGCTGAAGAGCTTGCTCCCGATTACGATTTGCTTCGCGTGCATCAGATCTAGCTTTCTCAATGTGATCCTGGAACTCCTCCAACTGTTGTCTTGCCCGGTCCAGCTCAGCTTCTAATTCAGCAACAGCATTGCCGTTCTGGCCTTCATCTTCCTTTAAGCTTTCAATCTCTTCGTCCTTGGCATCAATTATCCGGTCTTTCTCACGTAGTGTTGCTTCGAGGTCTCCAATTTCGTCGCGCAAGCGCTCTACCTCATCGGAGTCCTTATCCTTGACGTTGCGTAGCTCTTCCTGAAGGTTGTTGACTTGCGCTTCACGAGTTGCAATCTCTTCACGCATATAGTCCATTTCTCGCTGTATAGCCTCATCCGCCTGTCTTCGCTTTGCCTTTTCGCGGAGTTCTTGAAGTTGTAGGCGGTATGCTTCCAAGTCACGCTCCGCTTGATGGAGGCTTTTCTTATAGCGTGATATTTCTTGCTGCATCGTGATCCTTGCGACCTTTAGCTCAGTATTTTCCTTGAGTGCTGCCTGGTTGTATCCTGGACCGGCTTTTTTAAGTTGCTCTTCGAGATAATGAATTTTCAACTTCAGACCAAAATTCTCTTTGTCGAGTTTGTTGATTGCCTGCAGAAGAACATATTAGCTTATGACAACCCCTGGCGGTTCCATTCATCAAATTCTTACATTCTCTTGCTCTTTCAATGATAGCATGTTCTGGTCTGTATCCAGCACTCCTCCAGCACCCCCCTTACGCGAAAAGGATGGAAGCGGCGTGCCATTTGGGCTACTACTAGCGACTTGCGGTAGAGGCGTAACATCGTCCATGGCCATCGAAGTTGTTCCACCGTCCTCATAAATATTGGTCGCATCAATTGCTGGAAGCCCCGGGGTGTTCCCGTTACTACGATAGCCATCTTTGAGGTACGCCGGGGTCTTAGGAACGCCACTGCCTCTCAGTGCCGACATATTTCGAAGATAATTATTTCGCGTCACGCTCCGCATCATTGGTGTGAATTCGCCTTTTGGTGGTGGGTTCGCTGGTAGCGTTCTGCGGTCATTGAGGCCATTGCGTGAGCTTCTTGCTCCGGTACCAGATGCGCGCGGTGTCTGAGTTCCTCCTCCATTCGCAGCGTGTCTCCGGGCCTCCATAGTCTTTATAATATTTTCATCTTTCGAAGGTGTCTGAAAAGAGTTTTCCACTGAGTCCAGGGCCGATAGATTGCCACGGTAGACGCTTCGAAGTCCGTTCGTTAAATAGGTCGCGTTTCCGTCTATCTCGGTTCGCGGTGTGTCAATGTAAGGTACCGGCATCTTGATAGAAGATGCAGTCCTGCTGCATAAATTTCAGGCAATGTAAATCAAGTAAGTAATATGACCGAACAGAGTGTCCATGACCAGATGAAGCTTCGAGTTCTCCGATCCGCTGAACTGGTCGTAAACTGTGTAGTCAACTGTTGTTGCGGGACGGGATTCGACGTGTTAGTGGAAAGACTCCATATTGATGATGCGCGTGTTTCCGCCCACCGTGTTGATGTTTAGCCGAATACGGTTAGGGCTTTCTGGGACATCTTTCCTCGGTCCGGATCTATTAGTTTTTCCGAACAGCTCTTTTCCATAAGGTCAAAATCATGAGATTCATGAGACTGGTGGCAATGTTCGCAACAGTAATGGCACCATGCCGCCCATGTCAGCAGAAGATCTGGAATGGTTCAAGTCGACATTTCGTCCCATTCCGCGCCCTCAGCTGCCCGAAGATGCTATAGAGTACTCGCTCTTTTTGCTTTCATCAGACCCCGCCCCCGCTACGACCGATACCGTTGTTCAGAGACGTGCCCGTCTGCAGGAAGTTCAGAAAAGTGCGTCGGAACTGGTCAAGGACCTTTTGAAGAATTATATTTGGCAGCGAGAAACGTTCGGTTTGGAGATTGTCAAAGAAAATGGTAAGTCGTGGCCATTCGTACCCGCGCTTTTTCCGCTGTGCACATAGCTTATTATCGTTCTGTGTATTAGATATCACCTTTCTCCGCGGGCGAACCAATTTTGGGGACTCTATTGAAGATGAATGGGTCATCGTTTATCTCCTGCGGGAATTGACTAAAAAACATCAGGATCTATGGGTTCGTGTTGTGGATAGCGATGGCGAATTTCTGCTTGTCGAGGCAGCCAGCAGTTTACCAACCTGGCTGGAGCCTGAAGTTGCAGACCACAGGGTAATTAACTTTGAGCAGATTTTAGGAAAAGAGACTAACATGATAACTTCAGGTTTGGGTCAACAACGGCCATTTGGTAATCATTAAACCGAAGAACGATCGGAAAAGAGTCACAGAGAACATAACGCTCGAGGAGTCGCTAAAAATTGCTTTACACGAACCCGGTCGCTTACTACGTGATTCAAACATCGAAGAGGAGGCCTTTTATCGCCTACGAAAATATCCCAAGCAGATCAAAGAAAATCTTCATTGCGCACTAGTGACCATCCCTCGGAAAGTTGCATACTTGCTCCATCAGAAACCAGCTTATATATCGCCAGCTGTAGAGGCCTTTTACATCCGCGACCCGATATCTTTACGGACTCTCAGAGCAAGAGGAAAGGACGATCTGCTGTTTCCTCCAGATGATTTCGTCACTGTTAGTGTTCGATTCACAAGAGTGGGTTATGCTCAGGTCAAAAGTCAAGACTTCCCGCCTCCAGCTTCATGGGCACAAAGTCTACCGCCTCCTACTGATACCAAAAGATTCGCCAAGGCTGAAACGGGGATGAAAGTGACTTGTGGATTTGAAATGCTTCTTGGTGACCCTCAGAACCAGGATAAGCCCATCATCCGAGAAATTAAACTTTTACTCGAGGATTTAGATACCGGTGATGAAGAGTTACCAACGGTGGATGAAATACAAAAGACATGGAGTATGCAACGGGACGATGAGAGCTGGTTGGATATTAGTTTTGAGGATCTTGATACGGAGCTCAAAGGGCAGCGCGATAAAAGTATGGAAGCCGGAGCATTTGGCGACCAGAGTGCACAGGAGAACCTGCAGCGAATTGTTGCCCGATTCGAGGAGTTCCTCAAAGATGACTCAGCGGACTTCGACGGGGTTAATCTTTACGACTCCGACACGGATGACGAGCCGGACGACGAAGAAGCTAGCAGCGAAGACGATGAAGGAGATCTTAGGTTCGACGAGGAAGAATTTGTAAAATTCATGAAGGATATGAAAATGGACCCCTCTGGCGTTGATTTACGATCAATACTCAATAAATCCTCGAAAGGAAGAGTTGAGGAACTTGAGCCATCCGAGGAAGATGATAGCCACGAGATTGAGGAGCTATCGCGGCAAATGGAGGCGGAGTTGAGACCTACTGGTGTACTGAACATTAGCAATCAGGATCCCGGTCGGAATCCGGGCGCGGTAAAAGGGAAAGGGAAAGACAAAGGCAAACAGAGACCTATGCCTGAAGATTTTGATTTTGACGAGGAAGATCCTGCGAACATCCACCTTGTGAAGAATCTTCTTGAGAGCCTACAGAGCCAGGCTGGGATGCCTGGTCCTGCTGGTAACCTTCTTGGAATGATGGGCATGAAAATGCCCCCGGATGACCGCAAGCGCAAATCATGAGGCTGTAAGTGATTCAACGGTCTACTTCGTGATGATATCCAGTAATCATGCAAAATCGAAGCTATTGCGTCGGTCCGAGAGGACCCGGATCCTGACTGAATGAGTGTATACCATCCAAGCTTTCGAAGCAACCTATACACTGAAGTTTTCTGATGCTACGATGCGTCAGGCGTTATGTAATATACAGCGCTCGATTGAAGGAAATACCGTGATAGCTCAGCCTACTCAATCAGCCGGTAGATGTAAGAGTGGACGTGTCCTTCGCACCGGCCAGAGGACATGATCTCGTCTGGTATAGGGTATACTCTGTCATATATACTGTAGTATCAGTTTACATAAATGAGTATTGAAGTCTTAGACACCAAATCCATATAAATCTTCTGAAGGGAATATATGTGACACTTGGATCCTGATTGGTCACTTTCATCTAGAACTGCGATACATCAACTTAGCTCACCAATCATATCAAGACGATAGTAAGATTGTGGATCCCAGAGAGCCTTATCTGAACGTCTTGTTCTATCCCCGCTTTGACCCGTCTCCATTACAAACTTCTACGTACTATGGTACGAGTCTTGATTTCTCTCGCCATTCACCTTGAGCCTGTTTGCATATCGTGCCTGGGTGCTGCCTGTTTCTCTCGCTTTCATATTTAGGTTGAGATTTATTGGTATGTTTCAAAAACCGAGAAACACAATCATTTCCAACTGAGAGGGATCACTCATCGATTGCCGGTTATCCTGCATTCTATCTCGACATTTCTCTACGTAAAGAATTTGATAGACTCAATAGCCATTAGAGGTCCGTTATTCCACTATTGGCTTACACCATGGCATCCCCGGCACAATGTTTCTACTGCTTCGAAACTCTGGCTGCTTCATACAAGAATGAGGAACCTCCTAGCCTTGCTGCTATAGAGCTCTCTTACTGGAATTATATGCAATCCAAGCAATTAGCCACTGTGGAAGACAAGGCGTGGGTTCTCCTCATTCTCTCCGAGATCACTGACTCGCTATAAGGTGACATGAAATTGCTGAGTTGTTGTCATTCTTTCCTTAGGCTTGTCGAAGAAGATGAAGAGGAAGAAGAACTCGAGAATAATATAACTCTTCCAAAAACTATCAAGACAACCCCCATAGCACGTTTACGACAAGATGCATCATCTGATTCATCAAGTACGACTACATTATCCGCTGCTTCATCTCGCTCGGCTTTGTCAAACTCGACAACCTTGACTACCCCAGATGAGCACCGAAACTCCGAACCACCTAGTTCTGCAGATGAATCTTATCCGTTATTCGTGACGTGGAATTTAATTTCGAGACATGGCCACAAGTCACTTCGTGGTTGTATCGGCACATTTGAACCGCAGAAGCTCTCCCATGGCTTGAAAGAGTATGCGCTGATCTCGTAAGTTTTCCTTGTCGTCCTGACTGATAAAGAACACAATATCCCGGAAACTGCCGGGTTTGATCTTTTTCCATAGGATTAGTAGACTCTGCCGCTAATCTAAGAATAATAGAGCCTTTGATGACACGAGATTCTCTCCAATCCCATCGTCTCAACTACCCCACTTGTCATGTTCATTGACATTACTTAGCAATTTCGAGATTTGTTCGGATCCCTTGAACTGGGATTTAGGAACCCATGGTATACGGATATCTTTTGTTCACCGAAATCGACGTTATGGAGCGACATACCTTCCCGATGTCGCAGTGGAACAAGGATGGACAAAGGAGGAGACAGTAGAGAGTCTTATGCGCAAAGCAGGCTGGGATGGTGGTAGTGGAAGTGGTGGTAGCGTGGCGAGGAGGATTCTTCGGGGAAGCAATACCACTGATAACAACAGCAAGCCTTGGGAGGAAGTCTCTGATTTCAGGACTACGCGTTATCAGGGGTTGATGGCATCTGCCGATTACAGTGAATGGCAAGAATGGAGGAAATGGGTTCATGCTGATAAGCCCAGGCTAGAGTTGCTGGAGCGTACATGAACGACTAGCATTAGATTTTCCACGATTTATGACAGATTTTGCTTTTACTCTAGTTAGATACATATTTGCTCTCTTATATGACCTTAATGAATCAACAAATTTCATTTCATGATCCAGGCTCACTTAAAATCTATTGTAACATTGAACTCAGTATCAATAGTACGGGTGGATACTACTAGGTTGTTGACAACGGATATATTCATGAATAGACTGGCAATATTGATCTTCTCAGCCGAGCTTTAGAAGAAGGCGATAGAGATGCAATTCATGTAGAAGAAATGATGTACGGTTGAATGAAACATATATAATAGAGCCAAAACTATGGAGTATAAAAGAAGCCGGCCCAACGGATTATCGCCTACAGGTTCACCCCATGGGAAAGGACTTCTGTAGATGAAATATCACTGCAGGTTCCCACCCGTTTTCGCCCAGAGGCCAGTCACTACCTCCTTGACTTTTCGTTCTTGCTCACGTATCTGCTCCTCTGTCTGACCTCGAGCGTTGCCACGGCTATCAATCTTCATCATATTGTCATCATATGGCTGTTGCGGAGTATGTCTCTCCTCTTCATGGACATCATTCCCATGCACCCGTTCAGGTCTCGGCTCAATACTAGTCGCACCATCCATCATCAACCCGCCACCTTCACGAAGCTTATTGATTGCGCGCACGGTATCAATAGCCTTGTGAAGGGTGCGTCGCGCATTAAAGTTCTTCTTAACAGTAGGCAGGAGATCTTCACCTTGTTTGGCGGAGAGATCGCTACTGATCCACGGATGCTGAAGAGCTTCGTGGGCTGTAATTCGTGCTTTAGGGTCAATGGTCAAGCACCGGTTGATGAAGTCACGGGCATTTTGGGAAATGCTTCGCCAATGCTCGATAGGTGTAAAGGAGTAATCCGCAACGAGGATGGCCTGCATTTCCTCGAGATTGGAATCACGGTCAAAGGGCGTGTAGCCGCAGAGAAGGAAGTAAGTGATTACACCTATGGCCCAGATATCTCTACAAATCGTGTGTTAGTAACTGTATGCATACTTTGGTGCTCTTAAAGAGCAAGACACCTACACGGGCTTGCCATGTCCAGTCTTCTTAAAAATTTCCGGCGCCATATAGCCCGGCGTTCCGCAAGTCGTCGTCAGAACATGAAACTGCTCCTCATCCATAATCCTTGACAAACCGAAGTCGGCAATCAAAAGGTCGGCATTATCTTCGGGGGTACGAAACAGCAGATTCTCCGGTTTGAGATCTCGATGCACAATGCCATGATCATGCAGATATGCAACGGCTGACAAGATAGCTCGCACAAGGTCCGCTGCATCAGCTTCGTAGTAACTTCCCTTGCGACATATACGATCAAATAGTTCTCCGCCTAGAGCCAGTTCGACGACGAGATATACTATTGTTTAATATCACCTTCAATCAGAAATGATCTTGCCGCTCACTGTCACTATATTCGAAACGTACGATTGTTCATGGTCTCGAAGTAGTCGACGAGAGTTAATATATTCTGATGGCCCATCGAAACTCGTTTAAGAACCGCAATCTCGTTTCGAACCTACATTCATCCAAACTCTGTTAGACAAGTTTAATCCCAAGGAATGCTGAGTAATGGATATACCATATGTTCCCTACCAGCCATTAATCGTTTATTAATGACCTTTGCGGCAAAATACCGTCCGGTATCGATATGAACACATTCTTTGACCACCGAATAGGAGCCAGCTCCAAGAGTTTTTCCAGTCTTATATCGGCATGGCTGTATTTGCGGCCGTTGAGGTTGCCCTTTGTTCGGTGTGGGTGCAGCCATTCGGAGTGGGTTTATCGATTCTGTTAAAGTGATTGATGATAAGTTGTCGATCAATTTATTGAGCTAAAGAACAGTTATAAAGAGTGAGGGTGATCAATGTTTTGGAGAGGGGAGGAGGAGGGGAAAACCGTTTTGGTCCTGTGGGGGGGATCCGACGGATTATGGATCGGAGTCGATGAGAACTAGACCCTCATCTAAAATCTTCTGCTAGTCTGCTATGTGTGTATCAGATATCTCAACTAAAATATCGGCGTTGTAAGTCGTCTCGAAATCCATTTGGTTGACTGGACTCTGAGACATACCAAGGAACTCTAGTCTTCTCATCTCATGCTCGATTACCTTGGCTTGTCAAACTGACGCAAAATTCTTAGATAAAGGTTTATGGGTATTGTTCTAGCGGCTAGGGGGATAAGAAGCTGTGTATATGTAGATGTATCAACGAATATCATTATCTGGATAAGCAGACAGACCTATTGCCCACACGTAAGTGGTATATAGACAATACATGGATCATTTTCTCCCGTCAACGCTGTAATATGCAGCGGCGCTCTGAGAAGTCAAAAAACAAAGTCATTAATAGATGGTATCTCTCTGCGTCACAATAGACGTGGGCAGACAATCACATTCTTTGGAGAACCTCTTCTGATACCCCCTCAAGAAGCTTCAAGTCATGGAATTTGGCCACGCTAAGCATAACACGGAGCTTTTTCTGAATCTCGTTCCTGTCCAAAGTTGTTGTCCACTTGCCGCTACAGGAACAATGTTCCATGAAAGCGTTGACCTTGAGGCTGTTGCATTTGGAGCATTTCAGATCCTGCGCCTGCCAGGAGACTATCATACCATGCACTTCTCCAACGAGTCTCTCCTCCTGAGCCAAGCGATCATATTCCGTTTGACAAAAGGGACAGCGCCACGCTTTGGGTGCTGTCTTTTTACCATCGCTGCCTAGATCAGGAAGAATATCCTCATCTCGGCAAAGATCCAAGTCACGAATCAGACAGCAAGCACTACACGTCAACTCTGGCAACTTCAGGCTGGCACTCGGATTCTCGAAACGGCCCTCTTTGCTAAACTCACGGACTTCAAATAAGGCCAGGAGCTCGCGCCGTAAAAGACGTGTCTCTAACGTCGTGGTCTTGGACAGACTGAGAACTTGCATCAGTGCCTTCACCAATTCCAGCACGGCATTGCGATTCTCTGTGTTTGGATCGACTAAGGCACCCGGTAGTATGGGAAAGACGTAGTCTGACGCGAGCTCAGGATGGAGAAGTTCATCTCGTTGTCGACGAATCAGGCCGACAATCTGTTTCTTAAGAGGTTTGGAGAATTTATCGGTTAGGAAATTAGTCACTTCGTCGTCCGTTGTTTCGGTCAGAGATTTGGGAATCTGGGTAAGGCGCGGCGTGGAGCTATTTTCGGATTCCTCATTTCCTCGTTTAAGGCCATGCATTAAGTCGATGTATTCGATAACCCAGTCATTGAAGACCTGTTGCATAGGGACTGGCAAGAATCTGTTCATTTGCCAATGCATAACAGTATTTAGTTGTTGAGATTCTGCTTCCACAACCTCCTGACAACCCTTGCCTCCGTAGTTGAATTCATCATACCACACCAAAAAGTCCCAATACTCCTTGAGTTCCAAGTCGATGAAATGGAAGACCGGGTTGGCTCTGATTGACTTTAGGATGTATTGGCTGTAAGCATAAGCGGTTCCAACTTCTTGCTTGGTCGTTTGCAACAGCAACCGTGTCGGGCTAGCAAAGATAACATTTGAGCCTACACGGCGAAAGTCTCCCATCAACTGTTGAAATGACTTTCGAGACATCATTCGGACATAATAGTGCAAAGACCGATCGTAGAGGCATGAACTGGGACTTTCCACCCACCGAACCAAATGTTGAACCATGATGTCCGCCATGGTTTTACCTGTACACGCCTCTGACCACCACTGTTTGACCATTTCTCGTAGAACAAAAACTCCTGCTGATGCAAAGGCTTTCTCTGAATAGAGCACACCATCGGCCGACTCTTTAGTAGAGGCGAGAAGTGTATCACTGCCTTCTAAATCATTGATGATTGAGGATGTGAGGATTGTGTTTATCGCCAGGTTTCGTACTTCAAGTTCAATCGAAACCGTTGTATAAGTACCCGGTACGTTGATAGAAGGCATGTCCACTGTGTCAAGAGAACCCAAGACGTCGTCTTTCTCATACCCAGCATGATCTGGTCGGGGCCCTGATGACCACCACAGCACCACGTTACTCTTTTCAAGCCGTCTCGCATACGAGACGTCTATCAAGTACCGGGGGTCATCACTCTCCAAGTTGCAAACAGGGACGTCTCCATAACGGGCGAGCATTTTAAGGTGCTGAATCCATGAACCCAAGTAGAGATAATGTGTCAGCAATCGCTTTGCAATGAAGGACTGCCATCCTAGAGGAGGCATATCCGTGTCCGAAACTTCCGCCTTGACAGATAGCATGGGATAGTCCTTTAAAATGGGAATATCATGGCACAGCTTCCGCCTTTGTTGCGACTGCATGACAAATACCACAGGTTGATTCTCTTCGTTCCGTAACTTCTTCACCAAGTCACCCACTTCTAGAATGGCTTTGCGGTAAGTAGTCACTTGAGTGGTTTTGAAATGTATTTTCTCCTGATAATCAAATGCCATTGTGGAAGTTTCGGATTCAGCAGCGACTTTCCGTCCAAGGAGTTCCATGTACATTTTGTCGATGTTGGGTAAACTTGACATGTCACGGTTGCGGTTTAAGATGATTATATTTGCCTCGCTCTTGCCAGTCGAGAACAGGGCAAAAACGTGGCGATCACCAGACGTAACATGATACAAGTAGTAGTAGGTTAAAGATATTCCTTCTAGGTATGGGTTCTCAGTAGTGGTATGCAATAATGATGACAGGTCAAAACCGCGATCCAGACCATCGCCCAGTACGCCTCGTTGGCTTTCGTCGAAAGTACACGTACTACCGAGTTTCATAACAGCGCGCAGGGTGAGGGGAACGTTGCGTTCGTAGACACCTTCGACACTGGGATGATTGAGCAAGACGGCCATCTTTTCGGACTCTGCTAAATAAACATCTTCTGGTAGTGTCAGCTTAAACAGGTGGACCGATGGATGACCATTGGGTAGAGTGTTGTTGACTTTCTCTACCTCACAACTGGGAAGCTCAACTTCCGGTAGAGAATCATCCTTGAAGTTGATGAAAAGTTGACGGGGCACTTTGACGGTGAGAGCGTGTACTTTACGATCAATTAGCACGAATGCTCGTACTTCTCCAGGTACGTCAGTCTCTTTCAGCTGCAACACTGTCCACGTGTTAATAAACAGCATTTGCGCCTGATTTCGAAAGTAGTGACTTAGAGAGTCTGATGCTTTGGATTTCTCTCCGAAAAGCTGTCGTCGGCGGATCCGAGCTTGCTTCTGAATCTTCCACTTTTGCTTTTGATACTTGATAAAGCCTTCGTAATCTTCGGTGATTGATGGCATGACAGCTGGTAGACTAGCATACGGATCAAGCGATGTTGTCGATGGACCCTCTGGTAACTTCCGCTTCTGTACCATCTTGCTTGAAGGAGAGACCTTCTTCTTGTCCATTTGGATTGAAATATCTTCAATGTCAGCATTGTGAGGAACGCGATGATCTAATATATTGGCGGACTTTTCGGAAAGTGGATTCTTTTCAAACATATCAGTCATCTTCTTCTGCTTGAACTTGTCATCCCTGGTGTTGATGCGTCGCTGGAGCCAGTCCGGATGTTGCACTCTGGGTACAGGGTTGCCGAGCTTTTGCAGTGCTGCTGGGATGGTAATTAGTTTCTGAATGACTGAGCCCAATCGCTCGAGATAGTAGTCCCAGTCGATAATAGAACGTGGATCCATGTCACTAGGATCGTCTTTGAGCCACTTGCGCAAGAAGAACCTTTTGACATTTTCTTCCGCAGAGAAAATGGTGACAGGGATGGCTCGTTCCGTAACCGGTGCATTTCTCGGTTTAGATGAGATAATGTAGCGACAATTAAGACCTCTATCCTTGATCATCTGCTCTCCAAGGAATTCCGCTAACCGTTTGGCAGTTGTAATAGAGGTTGATTTTTGTGTCCCGTACTCCTCGACCGTCTTGGACATGCTCCTGTTCTCGCAAATCAAATCGATGAGCTCCTCGTCCGCCAACGTAGCGCCATGCTCATAAAGCACGTCAAGCCATCTATTCGCCACGCGAGCAACTGATTGGTAGGTTTCTGCGAGGTCTTTCCCGTCTAAAAAGAACTTGAAGATCTGAGTCTGGAAGATCTTGATAAGTTTAAGTTCACCTCGACGTTTGACCTCGAAACCCTTTAATTCCGCGAGAGATCCATCGTCGTTGAAAACTGCATAACGTTTCTTCAAATTCTTGTCTTCTTCCTTGGACGCCGGAAGAATCATAGCTTTATATGGTCCATCGACCTCGAAGAAGATTGAATTGTCACTCGTCGTTTCGTACTTGAAAGTCTTGGGATCGACGAGTGTCTGGTATTGGTGGTTTGTGAAACGCCCGTGAACAAGATGATTCAGCATCACACAGGGATATGACAATGCCATTTTCTTCCCGTTCTTCAATGTGAACGCAAAGTTTTCGGGAAATGTCGCCGGAAGCATGCACCAAATACCATCTGTATCCAGTTCCAGGGGCCGTCCAATGCGTTCAACTAACTCTCTTGCCATCTGGATAATGCGAGCGCCTGTAAGACAGGTGACACCAGCCATCTCCATAGAGTACCAACGTGAACCTTTGCGCATGACATAGCCATAGAAACTGTTCAAGATGACTTTGTGCGCTAGTTGAAGAGAATCAAACAGGACGATCATCTTCTTAGCTTCGTCAATTTCGGCATTAGACGCACCGGCAGCCTTCAATGATTCCGTCTTGCCCTTCCATACCTTCTGTTTTCCCTTGAAATCGTATCTTCGGTCACGGAAGTCACGAACAGTATTGACGTAGAAGGGATTTTCTCGTTGACATATGATTGCTTCCCTCTCTATCGTTTTGCTGTCGTGGATTTTGTGATAGATCTTCTTACTGTATTCTTGCAGCCTTTTCTTGATAATGGCAGCTTGTTCTTCAGTTTGCATGTCTCTAAAGTAGCGCATCGGAGCGTTTTTGGTCTTTCCAGGAAATCGTTCATTCTCGACAGCTCGCCTGATCATGTTATATTCGTCTCGCTTGGCAGGTAAGAATTCACCACGCCACGCCCAAGGAAGTCGACGGTCACAAGTCTTGCCTGGCCGGTTGAAGTCACACGCTGCGCAGTCAGATTCCTGCTTCATGGAGTCTGGTTGTAAACGATTTGTTGTCATAATGTTCGGATACATTGAAGCAACGTCGAGATGGTAAATCAGTGGTCGTTCGCTGCGGTTCGGTGTTGTCTTCAAACTTTCCAATTGTTCAGTGATCTGAGCCTTCACTTCTTCGTAATTCGTGACGTCTTCCAGTGACTTCTTCTCCTCCACCACGATGCTGAATTTCAAGGCTGCATCAAGATCACGTAACAGCTCATCAATAGCCTTGGGGTCTACAACAAAATTGACGGGTATATCGCTGCGAAAGACCCCAGCTTCAATACTTTCAACGTGCCCACCGACATAGGTCTCGGAATCGAGAAGGTGGCCTTCGTAGAAAGATTCTGGTGGATCTTTATGCTTGTTTGGGAGAATGATCTCCCCTTTGTATGCTTGAACCATGAGAAGCATCTCACATAGTGTACCTGTGCCTTTTCGGAGGACGTCGTCCGGGTTCAGCGGAATGATGGTGCAGAGCGAGAAGATGAAAGGGTGGATATATTTCATATATAGGTAGTATGTGGCAACGGCATCGGATACTGAATATTCAGCCAGTGTCTGCGGCCGTTCTCTAGCATATCGAGTCATGAGTTCCGGATCCAGTTCGTCTGGGTCATATCCCAACTTTGCGACAGTGACGGCTTTTAGACCCCTGCTACCCTGTGGAAGATAACTGTCTCTGTTAACCCATGCAAAGCAGTCCATGTGGGCGCAATGATCGCTTTGGTAGATATCCTCGCTGTTCTTCTTGAAGCCAATTTCAGCATACATATCAATGCCCAGGACACTTGCACGTGCTTCGACAAAAGGCCAATCGAAAAAGTCACCGTTGTAAGTCGCAATAACCGTAGGCTTCGCCTCTTTGATATGACTGAAAAAGCGTTCCAAAACATGACGTTCATCAGGTTCGTTGAAAATCACAAATGGTCCATTATATTCGGGTTTAGGCGTATATTCGAAGTCATTGATGTCTTCGGAGACGATTTCGCGGTTGGTGATGAGAAATCCATTGCCGTCAATCATATACGAAATCATCATAATCTGGTCGATTACTGCGTCTGGAAATTTCAGGGGAAGTTTGGTTGTCTCAATATCGAAAGCGAGAACCACAGGATCGGCTCGCTGAAGTCGCTCTTCTATGCAGGTCAATTTGGTAACTCCATGTTTTGCTTCCACATTATACCATTTTCCGATTCGAATATCTGGAACAATTAGTCAGAAGACCTACGGTAGGGAAATACATTGTGAGCGAACCTTTATCAATAGAAACTCTAACATGATATGGGACATCATATTCTCTGATATCAATGATGAAATCGCTGGCATTCAAGGCGGCATTAGGTCGTGATTCATCAAGTTCGTCGTCAAAAAGATCGAAACCGGCAGAAGTCCTGCGATTGTCAGTCAATTAGATTGTGTCGGTAAGCAATCAGTACATCATATACCTGGCCATTTCAGCATATGTATCCATAGCCGTCACGTTCTTTTTATTTTTCTCAGCAATCGGCATAAGCAGCTTTCGGGCTTCGAGCAAATTGCTGACGTTCACAAAACTGAGGCGCAAAAACGTTCGTCGGTTCCCCAGTAGATGATTGGGCATCTGCAGGTCTTCCCTCACAACCCTACGGACGTCTTTAATGATACCTTCAAGTATCCTCCGACACCATTCCTCAACCTCTTGTTCTCGTCCTCCCTTAACGGCAATAAGGAAGTATGGGTCATATTCAACTGTAGCCTTGAAGCTGTTGCCGTCGTCTTCTAGGAAATAAAAGTCCACTCCGGCCCGACCACCAGGAATATTCGGATCTTCGACAGAGGTGCTGTGCATATTTATCAACCATCCCGCTCTCTTTTCGCCGGCTTCAAAGCGAGAAAAGCCCATGGTCTCGTCGATGCTGTTGGCCAGCCGGATAGCCTCGAATTTCTCACCTTGGGAGGTGGCCTCAGTGGAACGCAGCGAATTGAATTCTACCGTCTTTGCGCGTTTCGGGTTGAATGACGCCGTGCTCGACCGGAACTTGTTATTTCCATATTTGCTGGGCTTGCGTGAAGGCATGGTGTTGTTGCTGCAAGTGCTGCAGGCATGTAGCAGGGTCGAAGAATTGGTCGTTGCAGTCAATAGATCAAACCCATATGGTGAACGTTAAACATTAACAAGAATTAGGAAACTTCTCATTTCTTGCACTCGATAATGTTTATAAAGAGCTCCCGTTATGCGTATTGTCTACCAGTAGAAGGGAGTTGGTATGAATACTAATTGTCGTGGTGGTGCTGACTGTTATTGATGCATAAACACTTTTGGCAGTCACCCCGAAAAGACGCGACCGCGTAGAGTGGACAACGCGTCAAGCAGGATTGTCAATCTAACCTTTTTGGGAAACATTATCTTGGTCCGGATAATTACCCTTCCGCTTTCCGAGTCCGCTCCGACTAAAGTTTCTTATGTCTTATGGTGGTTCGCGAAAGCGGGCGAGTATGTAATGAAGTCAGTTTGATTTTGGAACGAGCTCAATAATCATCATATCGTCAATTAATTTCATATTCTTGCTACCTGTGCAATTGTTGAAATCTTCGACTTCGCGAGCGTCGCTTCTCACCCGGCCGGCCGCAAAACACCATGGCCGAAGACACTCAAGGCGGAGATCCCGCATCCAACAAAAGTCCTACGAACAGGCCTAAGCACGAATTCCCCAAAACACAGGTCGGAAAGCTATGGGAAGCATTCGGGAATCCGGAGGAACCAATCAATGTGCATCCGGGAGCTTCATATAATCCCACTCATGAGAAGCCGAAAGATATCACCATTTCCGAGTCGCTCAAGTCAATATCATTACAAGACTTCAGCACTTTCCACAAAAAGCCATGTGCACGAGATTCATTGTTGGTAGGACTCGGAGCTGGCTTTGGTATCGGCGGAGTCCGTGGGATAGTTGGAGGTGAGAGAATAATATTGTGCTGCTTCAAAGCTTAGGTTATGGTCTCGTCTGACTGATCTCTCGGTGCATGTAGGCATGCCAGCCATGTGGCCCGCCTGTAATTGGGCCGTCGGCGCATTCGCAATTGCTTCTTTAGCTTCGTACGAGTTCTGTCAACGGCGTCGAGTTAACGAGATGAAGGGTATGCAGAAGGCGGTGGAGCTCATGGCTGAGCTCAAGGTGAAGAAGCAAAAGGAAAAAGAGCAACTGAAAGCTATTCAAGAGGCAGAGGAGGAGGAACTTCGCAAACGGAAAAGTTGGACCAACCTCTCCAATTATAAGTTTTGGTAGAGGAAAGAGTATGTATTTCGTGGCATGAATGTGGAGTTACGGCGTTTCTGCATTGTATATATACCTCTCCCACTTGCTGATTGATGATGAGGCATCCTGTAAATTAGTGTGAATAGACATACGGTCCAATCGCTGGCTACAAACGCAAAATCTTGTTTGAAGAAGATTCAGTTTGTGCTCATAGCATGTGCAAGCTTTTTGGTAGCATTCACTATATCAGCGCAGATCAAATTTCACTTTTTTCTGAACTCCCGCGCCAGGATCATACTCTTGAACTCGCAAGGCTCCTTCCCGACGCTCTCTGCGCTTTTCTCGTGCCTCTCTAGCTTCTCGGTTCTTCCACTCGGCCACTTGTTTCTGTCTTTGCTGTGACCGAGCCCACGCGATTGCAGCAGTAGGTTTGAAACCAATACCATTGATCCCGTATCCATCATCATTGGGGTCGGTTGGGTCATGGCCCGTTATTTCGGAGTCACTCCAAGTCAATGATTCTAGGACAGCACCCTCATCTGGCGGAGGTGATTTTTTCGTTCGCGATTTTGTAGGTGATATCGGCTTCACCTTACTGCGAGAAGGCCCATTTGTTGATTGCGTTGTCGGTTTTCTTTGATCATCTGTAGCGTGCTCTTCACTGGGGTTCTCCATATCGAAAATCTTGGACTGTTTCGTCTTACTTGGACTCGCTTTGGTTGACGGTTGTGAGTTTTCAGCCTTTCCAGTTGCTTCAACACAGTCTGCTGCATTGTCTGAGGAATTATTCCACTGTGCAATGGGCGTTGAGTGCAGTACGCCCTCATGTAAAGCTAGTTCTTTGAAGCGACCGGCAACGGCTGTACGTGGGCTATAACGACCAAGTTCACCCCCTTCAATTAGCCTCAGTTCTGGATAGCTGGCCACTGAGAGAGTAGAAGTTGGAGAAGGTGGTGGGCTGGCATCTTCAACTTCTTCTACGGCGTCTCGTTTGCGCTTTGGGGAGCGATATAATGTTGCTGTAGGCACCATGTTTGTTGCGGGGTCGGAGGGATTGCCGAACATGGCCTTGTCTCATCGAGAAAAAGAAAGTGTTGACAGTCAGATTGATCACTTAGTTTCATTCATACATGGTCCATATGAGACTCAAAATTCCTGTTCAATGCATTTCATTTATATTCAACGTCGTTGCAATCTTGTGGGGCTCCAAGTGGCAGGCAATGACGGAAAAGAACTGCGGATTTGTGGCCAATCGCTCTTAGTCTGTCTACCTGCATGCTGCCTCAGGCGGCTATCTGAAACTGAGGCTTATTGCTAGTCATGGTAGTAACTGATAGTAGTATTTTTACAGCAACAACTAAATCCAAGAAGAGAACCACACAATATCAGAGTCGTTATCTGACAATAAATCAAAAGGAAATCAAGCAAAGCGATGAGCGCCAAAGATCCAAAACAACGCCATAAAATGAACACGTTCTTTTCCCATGCCGAACCAAAATGATCAAGCTTTAGATTTCTTCTTGGAGGAGCCCACCTCACTGTCGCGCTTTCGCTTCTTCTTCTCTTCTTTGCTCTTCTTATCCTTCTTGTCTTTCTTGTCCTTCTTGTTCTCCTTGTCTTTGCTCTCCTTCTCCTTCTTAGCCTTCTTGGGTTTCTCTTCGTCGGCCATCTCGATATCACTATCCTCAGGCTCATCAACTTCCATATCAGCGAGAATAGAGTCCATGGCGGATTTCTGTAATCCAAGTCAGTAAAATGATTGCCAACATTTGCAAGATTGTATATGGCGTACCATGGCGATTTCATTCTTAGTAGGGGGAGCACCAGAGGCATAAAATTCCAGACGTTCTTCAACCTGCTTCTTGAGAGCTTCGCCAAACTTGGTCGATGGAATTTCAGAAAAGTTGTCAATTCTGGAGGCGATAGAACACTTGTTGGCGAGGAAGCGAGAGATTCTGCCCTTGTTCTTGGGCCCTGCTCTACCGATGAACGAAGAATGATACAGTAAACCGTACTTGGGTGTGTTGCCCTTAGTCTTGAGAGCTCTGAACAAAGCTTTCTCTGCGCCGAGAATTTGGACAGTAGAAGCCGGGTACTTGGACAAGTTGGTCAAGCTACCGGCGTGAGAAATAAGACGAGCACCAACAACTTCGCCGATCAAAGCAGCCAAGTTAGGGGCAACAACACTCATCTTGGATACAAGGTATGAGTGCAATGACTTTCGGTAGTTGTGCAAGCTCACAACGCGCTTGGCGAAAGAGATGACATTCTCCATGTCAGTCTCAGAGATATCTTGACCCATACTATGTTTCGCAGCCTCAATGATGGTGCGAGCGACTCCTTCGTCGTCCTCTACCAAGGCGGCAAGATCGTGTAGACGGTTATCAGTCAAAGTCTTCTTGTCCTGGACAAAAAGCGCAACTTGAGCATAGCGATGATTTTCTGACACAATCTTGATAAGCTCGGGAAAGTGCCACGAGTACCATTCTCGCACTCTCATTGAGAAGGTGTTGATGGCCTTGTCCAACTGGTCCAAAATAGCAATCGCCTGGATGATATGGTTGTCGTCACGCTGAACAGAGAACTTGACCTTGGCACGCGAGTAGGCGTGACCGAGACCCAACTGAGCGGTATCCAAGTCGCCCTCCCTGAGACCTTTCAAAAGCTTTGTTGAGTGCAATCGGATGCCTCGAAGCATATCCTGCACGACTTCACTGGTGTCACCGGTTTCGCACTCGACGGATGGGAAAGCAGCCTTGATGCTGGTCGCCAGAACACGATCGTACACTCCCAAGCTGACCTTCTTCTTTTTACCCGCCTTGGGAAGATTGAGTTCAAGGAATGAAATAAGAGTCTGTGAAGCAACACCTTCGGAAATGTCGTTGATTTCGCTCAGGGCTTGCTTATTGTTTCTGGAAGCTTTGTCAGCACTAAAAGTCGTGCGATAGCAATCATGGGTACAGATAGTACGCACTCAAATGGCAAAAAGCTGACAAGCTCAACCATTTTTCCAAATTTGGCAAGATCCAACACACTTTCTTGAACTTCTTTCAAGCGGTTACCAACGGTATCGGCCTGGTGTACAGTCTTGAAGAGCGAGTAACCCATCGGGGCCTCGAAAAGAAGGTAGTCGGCCATGGCGAGGTTTGTCGCGAGTCACTCCAGGGAAAAATTGGAGTAATTGACTCAATCAAAAATTAAACCCGACCAGCAACCTCTCAATTGATGCGAATTAGCTGAACGTGGGATTCCGCGACACGGATTGATAATGCGAAAAAAGATTTGAGATGTTCACGGAAGCTCTTCATTTTTTTTTTCTTCGGCAGCGGCGCTAGTACAAATCGGCAATGTGGGCAATTTTGGGCAAAATTAAGCTCACCGCGTTGAGACGGCAGCACTACCAAGTCGATTACGGCTGTTGATTTTGTTCTGTCGGCGAAATTATTTCTATTGTATCCCTTTTGTTTATTGAGCCTGACAAGTTTTTACTTTGTCAAATAAACCATGTCTGCCACCCAGTTACTCAATCCAAAGGCGGAGTCCAGAGTAAGAGAGTACTTGTTACCCCTCCGCAAAACATGCACTGACAGGAATACAGCGGAGAGCGGAGGCTCTCAAGGTCAACATCAGCGCTGGTGAAGGTCTTCAGGATGTCTTGAAGTCAAATCTTGGGCCGGCCGGCACGATTAAGATGTGAGTGTTCTGAAGAGTCACTACTGGAGAAACTCATCTAACCTTCAATCCCTAGGCTCGTTGACGGTGCTGGAGGGGTACGTCTATCGCTATCGCTCATGAAAGAACAAAGCTTAACGTGGGAATAGATCAAGCTCACAAAAGATGGAAATGTGTTATTGAGAGAAATGGTGAGTATCTACATATTCTAAGTCAAAGATTCGTTTCGCTAACTTAAACAGCAAATTCAAAATCCTACAGCCGTAAGGGCCCTTTTCGGTACTGTACCTCGAATCGATCGCTAATTTGGGAAGGTCATGATTGCACGGGCAGCAACTGCACAAGATGATATTACAGGTGATGGAACAACGTCGGTCGTCCTTTTGGTCGGAGAGCTCCTCAAGCAAGCGGACAGACAGATCTCCGAGGGTCTACATCCGCGAGTTCTTACGGATGGATTTGAGCTTGCCAAGAACGAGACTTTGAAAGTGGGTTGCTATTTGTACCGTGTTATGAAGAAGCTTACTGATGGACCATGTGCAGTTTTTGGACAGCTTCAAGATTGAGCGTGAGATTGACCGTGAGCTCCTCCTGTCTGTCGCTCGAACATCCCTATCCACCAAGTTGAACAGCGCTCTTGCCGAGAGTCTCACCCCTGCGATTGTCGACGCTGTTCTCGCTATTTACAAGGCTCCAGCCAAACCAGACCTTCATATGATTGAAATCATGAAGATGCAACACCGAACAGCATCTGATACTCAATTAATTCGAGGCTTGGCTTTGGATCACGGTGCCCGTCACCCAGACATGCCCAAGAGAGTGGAGAACGCTTTCATCCTCACCCTCAACGTCAGTTTGGAATATGAGAAGTCAGAGATTAACTCCGGATTCTACTATTCGAGTGCGGAGCAGAGAGATAAGTTGGTGGAGAGTGAACGTCGGTTTGTTGATGCTAAACTTCAGAAGATTGTGGAGTTGAAAAAACAAGTATGCGGTAACGACCCTAAGAAGGGGTTTGTCATCATCAACCAGAAGGGAATTGATCCTCTCAGTTTGGATGTGCTTGTGAAGAACGGAATAATGGCACTCAGACGCGCTAAGCGACGTAACATGGAGCGTCTTCAGCTTGTCTGCGGCGGTGTTGCTCAGAACAGCGTGGATGACCTTACGCCAGATGTTCTTGGTTGGGCTGGCCTAGTCTATGAGCACCAACTCGGAGAGGAGAAGTACACATTCATTGAGGATGTTAAGGATCCTAAGTCCGTAACTCTTCTCATCAAGGGACCCAACCAGCACACCATTGCTCAGATCACAGATGCAGTCCGAGACGGTTTACGATCAGTCTACAACACAATAGTTGACAAGAGCGTGGTACCAGGAGCTGGCTCTTTCCAGGTTGCAGCTGCTGCCCATTTACTATCAGAAGAGTTCAGCAAGACTGTTAAAGGAAAGGCCCAATATGGTATCAGAGCTTTTGCAGATGCTTTACTTATCATTCCCAAGACGCTTGCTGCCAACTCCGGCCACGATATTCAGGACTCTCTCGCCAAGCTTATCGACGAACAACGTCAGGGACACGTTGTCGGATTGAATCTCTTGAGTGGAGAGGCCATGGATCCTGTTCAAGAAGGCGTATTCGACTCTTATCGTGTGCTACGTAACTGCATTGCTTCCAGCACAGGAATTGCTTCCAACCTATTGTTATGTGACGAGTTGTTGAAAGCGAGGCAAATGGGCAGGTCAGGTGGACCTGGGCCTGGCATGGACGAGTAATACTTCAACTAAGGGTATACTTTGTTGATAAAGAAGAGGTCCATGTACCAGTAGTCCAGTACCTTTGGGACTGTTTGAAATAAAAGTCGGAATATAAACTAATCTTTTAATTCATGGAAATACGTTATTCCTTCAACTTTGAAAAGTGCGAACTTCTACTGCATGTAAGTTAGGTGTCAAGCTGAATTTTTCTGACGAGGTTTGTCTCTTTCGACTGCAATTCAGTCCAGAAGAATTGGCGACGCTATAAACAGATAAATTCACGATAACTAGTGGGTATCTAAAACTTTCTCCCCTCTACATAGTCCTGAACGCCGCTGTATGCAAATCGCCAATGGTAAACAAATACTGCTGCCTATCATGAAACTTGACGGATTGCCCACCACCAACAAACCGGATGTAACTCTCAATGGTCTTCTTGCATTTGGAGTTTCTCAGGAGCCCATTCACCAATGAATCCATACTCTCTCACCGGGTCTCGGAGGGCGGCATTATGGATCTTTGTCCACTCTAGGACATTCGATTTGCGGATGATGACTGCCTCACCATCTGAAGTAGTAGTTTGAGCACGTTTACTCGTAGTTCTTGTCGTATGTTGCTTCTCTGGTTCCACCACACCCATCCCTTTCAATGCCGTAATCACGTCTTCCGGTAACATTCCAGTTGCCTGGCCGATTTCTCGCACCGTCATCCGTTCCCTAGGAGGGAAATTTTTTCCCGACGTAGTTGTTTTCATGGTTACCTGTTTCTGCTGAGCCTGTTGGACGTACTCATCTGCATCTCCGCCGGGAGGGCCAAGTAAGAAGTACCGTGCCATGCGCTCTTCCCAAAACCGTGTATAACTTCGACGACCTAGTTCACTGAGCGGTCTTTCGGGTCCGCCAATCAATCCTCCTTCCCACTCCCATGCACTTAATTTGTAGCTCACGCCCATTAAAAGTTTGCCTAGTTTCTTGTGTTGGTATGGAGGGAAGATAAGGATGCACGCGAGGTTATTCAAATCCCAGGACAATTTCTCCTTAGAGAAGTATCCAAGCACGTAGTAATCGTCTGGTGTCTTGGGGTCGGTGAACGTGAGAACGTAATATAAGAACGACGAGACATCAAAAAACACGGATTTATGGTCGAGGAATAATTTCGCAAAAAGAGACAGATTCTGTGCAAATAATTTATCGTCCTCGCCGTCAATTTCCCAGACCGCATACCCCCCGTGTTCATAGACTTTCTCGCCCGGAGGCGTCGTGCGTCGGTCACATAGCTTCACATGACTTGCGTAGGCTCCAGCGTCGCAGGTATATCGAAAACACCAGCGGCATACATATAATATCTCGGTATCTTTACTGACCAGTTCCTCGGGATAAATGGAATGATACCAAGTCGGGAAGGAGAGGTCGCCTAGTACGACGCGCTTTACGCCGCCGCGATTAGCATGTTGCTTTGCGATATTTGCGGCTGCAGATTGCGCCATTGGAGAGACGAGTGTCGGATCAAGCACGCGTTGCGTAAGGCTTTGCTGATACGGTCATGAGACGTTCGTGGGGGTTAAGGCAAATAATTTGATGGTGTCCTTGCTCTCATGAGGTTCCGTCAATTCACTACAATAGAGGCTAACCAAGGCTTTGTCTCAGATGGCACCGAGGGTCAACATCAAATCTCTGTTGACAGCACCAACCATGCTTTTTACTTGTTTATTCATTTGCACGTATATTAGTTCGTAGGGCGAGAGACCTATAGAGACAGTCTCTATTTGTATACAATCGATAAAAGGAGAAGAAATCGTGGAGATTCCCTAATACCACTCGATAAGGCCGAGCGGGGAACATCCGGCAGCCTAGGTTAGCTCCTTATCGATTAGAGCTCTCACTCGGATTCTTCCTTCCTCCTTCGAACTCGGCTGCCTGAGACTCCTCATTATTATTCATCATTTTCTTATATTATTATATCGTCTTCCTCCTTCTATTTGCTCCGTTACAATAGAGCCCTGCAACTGCACTCGATGATGCGGTGTTACTCTTCCGGTCTCGTGTAACTCTTATCGCCACTTGAAGCTCCCTGCCAAACTAGGCTGCCAATCTATCAAACCCATCAACTCTTCGGCTTCTTCCTCTCCGTCATTCACCCTCAGGAAACTCACTTGAAACTGGGAAAATGGCAGATATAGTGCTGAAGCCCTTCCAAATCAGGAACCTACATTTCTATCCGGCAGAGGAGAACCTTTATGACTCTTCGACGGAGAGTATAGTCTCCAACTCCCCAGCAGATGACACCCAAGCCAGGCCATCGAGCCTCATCCACTTGTCGGCGGGAGAATACGATAAAATTATCAACGATCATCCAAATGGAACTCTAACATATATTGACGACGATGACGGTGACATCATTACTGTGAGTGCTGCTCTCCTCCCCTTGACATTTATCTATTACTCACAATACTGCTAGGTTGGATCCTCTTTCGAACTCGAACAACGACTTGATGAACCAACACCATACACAGCGGTCACCTCATCAAATCAAACAGAACCAACTCCGATCCATCTGTTTGATATTCGTCGACGCAGGTCCATAATCAAGCTTTGGAAAGATATTGAGAAGCGCTCCGAACTGCACTGGGACTTCAAAGCTCCAGAACAAACCACTACGGAGTTCATGGACTCATCGAAACCTAGCGAAGCTGGTACTTCGCTTCACTCCCGTGGGCTAGACTCCAACGAGTCCACGGACTTGCGGAAACGATGGTTGGATGCATGCAGGCCGCCTCGGCTCCAGTCTCAGGAGACGGAGAAAGAAGTCCCATCCCCTATCTCTCAAGACGTGGAATCCTCCACGCCGACTATTATGTCACTGTCGGCTATTACAGAGGAGGGTAGGCGTCAGGTAAGCAATGGCTCCTTTAATCTTCGATTCGTCTATACTAATCTCCACAGGCTGAAGAAGCTGGAAGTCGTATACGAGGCATTTGGGATTTAAATAATACTGCAGCTTCTCAAGCAGCTCCCGACTTTATCCGCAACCAACCGAATCCTTGGGCTGTTTTGGTAGAACCGGTATTGGAAAGCAAGAGCAATAGTCATACGACCGAATCCTCAACTAAGCTGCCTTCGCAGGCATCAAAATTGCATGAGGGTCCGCTCCCAGACTCCCAATCATCATCATCGAAGACAGAGGCAGAGTCACAGCCACTCTTATCTGCATTCGAGGCTGAGATGGCCAAAATCCTGGAGAATGCTCAAGGCCGTGTAAACGAAGCAGGCAGCTCTTCTACCGCTCAGGAGCCACAAACCCACCGTCTCGGGTCGGTAGAGCCGACGTGGCCTGTCAATCTAATGACTGGTATTTTGCAGACGGTTGCAGGTGGGATTGAGAACCTGGGATCAGAGCTCAAAACAAAGATTCCGGAAGTGGAACGCCACTTAGTAAATGCACAGAGAGCCATACCTGAGGATTTAGGCCCCAAGTTGCAGACGGCATTGACAGTAGTTGAGTCACAGATCCAGAATCTGACACAGATTATACAGCACGCATCTGATGCGTCAGGCGAGGCCGCTGAAAGGGTTCGTCAGGCCGACCTCCGTGCTACCGAGGAGGTGCTCAACGGGCTTGGAGACATGGCTCATGAGTTTGAGGATTTTGGAAAAACCTTGTTTGCTGCTTTTGAGGCTGAGTTTGGTCAACAAAACAGCAGCAGCGAAACAAATTCCACCAATGCTACTATTGCAAGGGAAGGCGAGAATATTGCACAGTCCCAAACTCGAGAAGAGAAAGTCGCGGTAGTTACTCGGCCACTCGATCAGAGTACTGAAGCTGCTGCGGAAGCACCTTTGGATACAACCTCAGCTACTGCATATCAACATACACCCCCACCTCCTCCAGCTGCTCTCTTACCATCTCATCTACGAGAGTCTTTGCTCTCAGAAATCAGAAACAGTGCTGTTCAAAATAATCAGCCACGGGCAGTTAGCCCTCTCCAACAACAGATGCCAGAGTTATCGCCCAATATGCGAGACTCGTTGCTCTCCGAGATTAGAAGCAGACCTACTCTGCGAGATTCCTCTCCTTCGGAGGCTGGGAGCAGCCCTATTCAAACTAATCAGCCACAGGAAGCTTACCCTATTGAAAAACACGACAACATAAATCCCTTATTTGTCAATTGGCCAAACCGCCCAGCCTTTGTGTTGCCATCTAAACCAGCAGCCACTCAGCCTCCATCTGTACTCACAGTCACTCGTCCGCCAGTGCCTCCAAAGACTGTGAATGATAAGCCAACTGAGTTTCTCTGCTCATTGCAGGATGATACACAACCAGCAGTACATTCAGAAACCAAGGAGCCAGAGCAGGTAGATGATACAAGTAAGACCCTGTTCATGGGCAATATTGGATTTGAGGTCACTGAGCGAGTCATAGAGGAGGTATTCTCCTCTCAATCCTTCCCAACCAAAGTCCACCTACCAATAGATTCCTCTACTGGTAAGCATGCTGGATTCGGATATGCCAATTTCACCTCCGTTTCGTCTGCCAAAGCTGCTCTTGCCCGGTTTCAGGGTGTTGTCATTGACGGCCACTCATTGAATTTGGAGTTATGTGACAACTCTCCCATCGGTGACTTGCAAACCCAAACCCCTGTCAACCAATCGAGACTTTCAAACCTGTATACTTCAAGCGCTGGGGGAGTTGGAGAACGCCGGCCACCTGTTACCTCAGGTGACAACCTTCCAAGCGTTTTTAGTGGTAATGCTCGTAGCATTATGCCGCACTCCAACAGGCCCGGTTACCCGCATAGCAGTTTGACACCCCAAGATCATCCGGAGGAAACTCCCGAGTTTGCTGCACGGTACCCTTCTCTTCTTCCCGCCTTCAAGTCTCAGGAACATCCTTTGACAGCACCTGCACGTTCCATGACGTTCAGTCCCAGTTCGGAGATTGCTCGCTTTCCTCCTATTTCACAGATAGATGCACATCTTCTTGCGGAGACTAGCCAATCTCGGACGGGTCCCCATCGTGCCTCTACACTGCCGTGGGAGGAGTCCAGGACGAAAGGCGAAGAACACCGTCGAATGCGAGAGCCACGACGTGTCTCTTCCACTATCAACCGGAGGTCTCTCGCTCAACCTCCTACACAACCAGACAGCGCACACGCTCTTAGACGTAGAGCGACGGAGGCTAACTCATTGCGTCACCGCACTTACGGCAATCCCTTCCGAGAACAACGTCCCGTAAGCCTCTATGATAGACCTACAGGGCCGATTCCTGGCAGTTTCCCGGCGGATGATACCCCAATGCCGGCTACCAACAATGACGAGCATAACGCAGGCGATAGAGGGTTTCAATATGCGATGCAGCAAAGCCTAATTGACCAGTGTGTTGATGATCTGTTGAGTCTCGGCTATGGCACAGTTGTTGATGGAGGACGAGATAGACTGAGAATCATTGCCGAAGCTGCCAACTCTCAGGTCGCTGATGCAATTGATATGATTGAGGAGGAGCGGACGGCTTATGAACGCTATACTCCAAATGCTTGATCAAACTTGTTTCTGAAGAGCGAATACAAGTATGATACCACACTCATTCATGATTTTGCTTTCTTGTGCGAACGTGAAGATTAAGGGCGTATTTGGTGCCATTCATGCTGATAAATAAAAGATAGTTTAGTATCTGAATAAATTGAAGAATATCTCACTAGTTCGCTAAAAGTATCGTAAACTCATAGTTTATTGTTGGCCGTTGTAGATAGTCGATACTAGACAGTAGCTGCACTGGCAGTTAGTGGACCCACCTCGAATTATTGCTTCTCCAACACAACATGATTCAGAAACCACCTTAGCTATCCACGCAATAATATATCAATCAGGCGTGACTATTTCGGCAGTCAAATCCGCATACTCGCAATGCGGGCATGGCGACGCTCCTTCTCCACATCCGTCGTGAAACGATACAGTCCATCAAGCTCTCTGGCAGCTAGTCGATTACGGTGCGCCGAACTCTTGAATGCGACGACCGCAACGACGGTAACGGGAACAATAGCCGGAGATACGAAGACACATAAATATGAAAATGAGGAAGTTACATTAAAGGGATTTGTGCGATCAGTCAGGAAGCAGAAGCGGTTCGCCTTCGCGGAGATATCGGATGGGTCGACGGTGAAGTCGTTGCAGGCTATATTGACGCCAGAGCAGGCGGCTGAGTATGTGGTTTCCTATATAAGCCTTAGGCATGCTAATTATTTGTCGTTAGCTTGTCGACTGGAACGGCGATTGAGATTTCTGGGAGATGGAAGGCGTGTCCTGCTGGGAAAGAACAAACACATGAATTACAGACTTCAAAGGTCAAAATCGTTGGATATGCTGATCCGGAGGTGAGATCGCGTATTTCCTGATTGAGTCGATAAAACGTACCAAGAGGAACAAACTAATTCATGGCGTATATAGACATATCTAATTCAGAAGAAATATCACTCCCCCGATTTCCTACGACAAATCCCCCACCTACGGTTACGAACACCCTTCAACTCTCTCCTCTCCCGATTCCGCTCAGAGACCATATATCAGCTAGGACAAGTGTTTAGGTCCGTTCCGCAAGGAGGTTTTGTACAAGTGCAGCCGCCATTGATCACCTCGTCAGACTGTGAGGGTGCGGGAGAGACATTTACATTGTCCCCGCAATCATCTGCACCACCTCCATCTGGTTCAAAGGGATCGGAAGATGAAGAACATTTACATTTCTTCCGCAGTCCGAAATATCTTACAGTCTCGTCGCAACTTCATCTAGAAGCATACGCTGCTGAGTTGGGAAATGTATGGGCATTATCGCCGACGTTTCGGGCGGAAAAGAGTAAAACACCGCGTCATCTGAGTGAATTCTATATGCTGGAGGCTGAAGTGAATTTTACGGATGACCTACCCGCCCTGCTGGATTTGGTGGAATATTTGATTCGGGATCTGGCGCGCAGACTCTACGATACCCCAGTGGCACAGGAAGTGCTGTCAGCCAAACGGACGGGCGAGTCTGGCCTGGATAGTAGCGATGATATCCATGCTGTTCTTCGCAGGAGATGGGAGGTATTGTTATCCGAGACCATCAACTGGCCTCGAATTACATACACACGAGCAATTGAACTGCTCCAAGACGCACAAACCAATCATGGAGTCTCATTCGTGTACCCCCCATCCTGGTCCGAGGGTCTCCAGCTTGAGCATGAGAAATATATCGTCGACACTATCTTTCAAGGCGTCCCTGTCTTTGTCACGGATTATCCGCAAAAAGTCAAACCATTCTACATGGCGCCTTCAGAAGGTGCCGATGCTGCTCATCCAGACCAAGCTACCGTAGCTTGTTTCGATCTACTCTTCCCTGAAATCTGTGAAGTTGTCGGTGGTTCGCTTCGCGAACATCGATTGCCGCAACTGATCATCAAAATGCGCGAGTACGGTCTAATCAAGCATGGTTCCACAAAACCGTCATCATCATCACAGCCAAACGACGACAAAGACGACGAGCATGTGCTTGACCTCTCAAAGAATTACCCGTACTTACAACCCAGTGAAACTCTCGGCCATTTACAATGGTATGCTGACCTTCGTCGATGGGGAACTGCACCCCATGGCGGGTTTGGACTGGGGTTTGATCGGTTAATGGGATATTTGGCTGGAGTGAGCAGTTTGAGGGATGTGGTCCCTTTTCCTAGGTATTTTGGACGAGCTGATTGTTAGATATTCCGGTATGTGGAGATGTAAGTAACTTGTACGTATTATAATTGTATGCATAGATAGATCCAAGCCACTTAAGATGCAATTTTATATGGCCCCTATCCTTGACTCGGACAACTCGACTGAGACTTTTTCATCTTCAAGACTTGACTCAGGAACATGATGCCAGTTTGTACACACGAATCTAAACTTGAAATATTTTAAATCGTCCTAGTCCATGAGAGCAATCATCAATGTCAGCATTGCCATCGTTGGTCAGTACGTAGTTAGTCTCGGGGAGTCAAGGGACGTAATCGAGACAGCAGAGACCGGGATAGGATAGGAGATGTCTCACTTCTTTCTTCATTTACTCTAACCTCAGCCCCTATGGATCCTGTGGTCCTATCAGTCCAACGACAGCTACGTACAAAAGTAAACGAGGCTGAAACGAACCCCTGGAGAAATATACGAATACCGTATAAACAATTAAGCATTGTCCAAAACAGAAATATCTCCATATAGAAACATACGTAATCACCTATAAAAAACAATTATAAGACCTATCATAAGATGAAGAAAAGTTTCAATAGTAAATATATTTTTCAGAATCCGAAAAACCATCTACCTACGGGTATAGTATCCGTAACCCCTGAAAAAACAATAAACAGTGAAGTTTCCCAATCCCGTATACGTGCGTATCATCATCCAGTAAAGGCAACCGGGCCTGACCTGTTTTTTCTTCGTACGTTATAAAATATATTGATTTATATATTTTATTGACTGTCATAAAAGATGTTCCCAGTTCCTTTCTATATTCAAAAATCCTTCCCAAAATAAACGAATAAATAAATCCCAATAGTCCGTCATAGAAGTTTAAAAAGGGGGTGCGACAAGCTGGGAGTCCAGCCTGTCCTAAGAAGAAAATAAAAGTCGAAAGAAGAAAAAAAACGATCGAGTCAAGTCAACTGACTTCCAGAATGAATGGGTCTACCTGGACCTGGCTGTAGCTCAAGAAATTGAAAACTTTTGAGACAAAGCGTTTACTCAAGGAGAGATCCAAGGTCAAGTTTAAGCAGATCGTGGCTCTGGCAAGAGTGGGTAGCCCAGTTGTCGTCGGGAAGCAAGTAAGCTGCAGCACAGGCAATGTCACCAGGGGCGCAGGTAGCAGCCTCGCAGGTAGAGTCAGCGGAGCTGACGGCGAAGCCCATGGTGGTGAATTCGGAATTGTCACCCATGTTGATGCAGGAGAGATCCCACCAGATGATGGGGTCTTGGTAGGTGTATTCGTATTGCAAGACATTGGTCTGCTCAGGAGAGAAGGAGATCTTGATGGAAACACCGCCACCGTTGGGGTTGGTGCGCCAGTTCTCGGAGTAGCTCTCGCCGCTGTTGAGGGTGTACATTTCGCTCGAGACATCGGAGACGGACCAAAGGTAGACGGTCTTTTCCATGTTGTTGACGATCTGGACGCCGTCGCTGGTGATGTTTGCCTCTTGACGGGCCATCAATTGACGGTGTTGAGAGTGAGCATGATGGCGGACGTTGTTGCTGTTGTGGACAGCAGGGAGGGCAGTTGCCACTGCGCTGAGGGCAGCGAAAAGACCGAGAGCCTTAGAGAACATATTTGAGTTTATGAACAAAAAAAAGAGTGTTTCTGGAGTGTTTCGAGGATTCGAATGAATGTTTTCAATCTTTTCAAAAGACTGTATAACCTCTATCAAAGAGATTGGAAAGTTCGACTGATGGGTGAGCTTTGGAGGGCTTCAAGGGAATGACTACTCTCACAAGAGTTGATATAATGAACGATCGATAGGGAACGAAACAAAGCAGGAAACATCGGAACCGGGGTCAAGGATCATCTTATATACAAATGACCCTCGGGTTACCCATGTGGGCGCTGAGGGGCGGAGACATGTTTGTTTCAGGCACACACAGAGTACTTCGCTAAACCTGAGTAGCACTTAGTCGTATTTCCAGTCTCCATCTGGCGTTCTTTCTTTTCCCCTCTTCCGACAAAGTTTTCGTTCGGAGTAGTCCACCCACACCTGTTTGACCGTCGGACGGTGTCTAGTCCACGAATCCTAAGGAGGAATCAGACATCCGGGTGCCATCTGTCCCACAGGTCAGGACCAACGTCAGACACACTGCAGTTTAGACCTGGACTAGTCAGATTAGTCGGACAAATACTACAAAAGAAGGCTAAATCGAGGCACCCACTCAGTGGCGCTGGCCAGACGCAAAGCCAAGAGCAAGCCCTTCGATCTCGCCGGTGAAAAATCCGTCTTTCATCAACTAAAAGTTGTGACTAAAGGATCCAGACCTGATCAGCCATCGGATTGGCAGATTACCGGCCGCTTATTTAGCTGCATCGGCGCACAACGATCTGACGTCGTGTCATTGGCGTGTTCCTGAATTGGCATCTACACGTTGGCGCCGAGCTGGCGCTGGCAGTGTGAACAGAGTCCGGAGTAATCCCAAAGATGTGAGAGAGGTGCATGTCAATTGAGATAGAGGGACAACCATGGGAAAGAGGAAAAGCAGACAGCGAGAGGCCAGTCGGGTGCTCGTCCAGTCTGAGTCGCTGTTTGGTTGGTTTGTTTCCTCTTTTTCGGTCAGGCACCGAATCCTACCTGGCCAATCATCATCCGAGAGTATCGATTTTACGTCTTCTGATTGGCTATAATGCCTGACTCGTCCCGCTCAGAGTTCCACTCATTGAAAAATTCGGATTGGCTCTGAGTGAGGGCTTTTTTTTTGTCTGTGCGTGGCTATATCCGTGATTTATTATTTCCACACACTAATCCTGTAATGCTACGGCATGGTAGCTGTGGCATTATTGTTCTGTATCCTCAGCACACACTCCTCACTGCAACCCGGCATTGTTCGCATACGCGCCGGTTCAATGGGTGACAGAACCATAGGCAACTGTTCACATGAATAAAGCGACCGACTCCTCGGTAAGCAGGACAAAATAGTTGAGTCGGCCTTGTGGCAAGTACAGATGATTTCCAAATACACTATTGTACGTAAAAGGAAGGCAATAGAGAAAGCTTTCTCGCAACTCAATTCTGACTAATTCGACAGAGTCCAGTCAGTGAGATGATATATTTTTTTCATCATAAAAAAAGTAAGGCGAAGAGGACGGAATACTTGAAAGGTAAGCTGATGTAGTGGCGAACATCGTTGGTGGGATATGCCCAATAGCAGTGTAGGCAGTGGACATCCAGGAAGAGTTTTCATTGTAGTCTTCTATCCAGCAAATCACAAGCACGATCTATATTACTTGTCTGCAGTCTCCGACTCTCTCTCTCTCTCTCTTCCCGATTACAGAGTCTCCATCTCATCGGATTATGCGGGTTAAGTTCCCTCACCTTATGGCTCACAGTCATCGTGATCAGACCTACTGTCAATTCTTGCAAATAACTGACTAGCCAGTGGCAAATCAATGCAAAATCAAGCGGTCGTTGCGGACTTCTTTCTTTATTCGAACGTTACTCAAAATCGTCTACTATGTACTTATGTTCTTCATTATTGTTCTATCTCCATCGTCTTTTGAATAAGGCTAGGGCTTATCGATACGGAAGCCACCACGTGTTCTAGCCCATTGTCCGCTGGGAGATCGGCCGAGCCTAAATCTCTTGTCATCGGTCGAATGCAAAGAATCATGATTAATATTGAATGAGTCCAGATTAGATGAACACGTAGTGCCAACTGTTTTGATCACGTCCAAATCGAATTATGTACATGTCAACTTAAGGAAAGAAGAACTAAGAAACTTTGTTCCTGGTACCTTGCATAGTCATCAAGTCTCCGCCAATAAGATCAGCGTATCGTTGACCGATTCGCGCAAATGCGATCTATCTAGAAAATCTTTCTGCCTGAAATTATTCTATTCGTCGTTCTTTTCTTGGAGCATTTTTTATTCCATATGATTCGAAAGGAATGCATGTGATTGACTACCTCGTTAGACTAAAAGAGAATTTCAAACCGAGGGATTCCGGTGCATCGGGATATAATTATACATATATTCGTGTTACGTAGATGGCTTTGGAATCGACAGGTCATCGTGCTTGACGAGGACAAATCACAAATAAAAACTTTGATGCATGAAAAGACTGAATCGGTATATGCATTGGAATCAAGTATGCAAAGAATAGAAGAGATGTTCCACACGCTGATAATTTCGGCTCTGCTCGCTCGCTTCGAAGTTTTTAATATAATTAATCATTCAGAGAAGGAAAAAAATTCACATTCGTTGCCACCACCATAGTATAGAACCTGATTACCAATAAGGCGCTCGTATTCCTGCAAGACTAGCAAGTGCCCCTTCACCCGAACCAGTATTACTCTCGTCTTTTTTCCGATGCCCTGCCAATTCAAGATTGATCTGGCGGTGTATATGCACCAGCCAATCGACGTAACTCTGTGCCTCGTTGTTACGATCTTCCACTAATAATCGTGCAAACTCGTATTCTGCACCGTCTATGCCCTGCCGCGCCAATTGGATGGTGACTGCTTTTGATCCGCGTACTGTAGAGAGGTATTGGAGTAAATTGCGCACTTGGGCGTTGAGATGCGTCTCAAGGACCGGAAGTGATGACGTGTTCGGGTCCAAGGCTTGCAGAGAGGTGATTCCTGGACCGAAGAGGTCTTCGAGTAAGTTGGGGGATACGAAGGAGTGTATCCAGAGGAGAATGCTTTGGCCATTGTCAATGAGGTATGCCCCTCCTTCTTCAACGCGGGAGAACGATGCTCGCATTGCAGGAGGGACTTGCAGCTGGCCTTGTTCACTGGCAAACCCGTCCTCGGCGCTCATGTTGTGGATTGGGATGATTCGTGGATACAGATACAACGACAACTCCAAGCAACCAATAGCACGGAGCATTCGCAAGTCATGTACACGTCGATCTGCCGTCTCGCTGCCGCCTGTACAACACATCTGTTAGCTTTGCAGTGAAACCATGGGAACAGTCGATTAACAACCTACCTTTGAAAGCTCTCGACTTGATCAGACCAAGCATGTACATTGAGAATTCTTTGAGGTTTTCTGGCAGGACCAGCTGACCAGGAGGATGCGAGCCAGAGAAATTCTTGCGATATCCAGAAAAGATATCCACAGTCTTTTCCGTGATACTGGCACGGATATCCTTCAATGTCTTATCTCCCGCTTTCGAGGCAGCTATTCCAAGTCAGCACATATTCGCCATCTCGTAGTGTATAGAAGACTCACCTTCTTTGGCAATAATGGCCACAACGGCGTCTTGATCAATGCACTTCATTGTCTCAATACCACCCTCATTAACGCCAGCAACAACATTGATACACCGAACTCGTCGCTGTCCAGTTGCTGTAGTGTACAATAAAGCAGCTTGGAAATGTGCGTCAAGTTTGGGGTCAAGTTTTCCATCGTAACTAAAGAGCACTCCCAGCGCCTTATCAGCATCCATCGTTCCGATCTCAAGATCCGCACCAAATGTATGCTGCAAGAAGTTGCCATGATATGCCGAAACCTGTAGCCCGTTGGAGCATCGAACTTTCATCAAAGCTTGATATCCAGTCTCGCGAGTCACCGAGTGGGATAGCTCTTGCGAGAGTTTTAATGAATCCCGAGGCGAGTGGAAATTGGGATAGAAGAAGGATTCACCGCCAGAGATAGCCGCAGTATAACCTACACCAACGTCAGTCCGACTTGAACAAAATATATCAGCAGTTGGTCGACTCACCTATCGTTGTCAAGTCCATGAATTGTCCACCAGGTGCCGCGACGAAAAAGTCAATTCCAACTCCGGCTTCTGTTAATTTGTTCGCCGCCGCCTTCCAGTCAGGATTATCAATAGCAAATAGTTTATTTTCCCCATCTGGTGCCTGGCTCTTATCTTTCATGACGAGTTTACCCGGGCCATAGGTAGGTAGACTGGCTAAACAACAAACAAGCTTGCCGCCTGTTGATTGTAATGCGGATAAAGCCGCTTTTATAGTGGGTAGTAAAGTAGATTCAGGGCACTTTACGCGTGAGAACAAAGTCGGTAATTGTTCCAGTAGAGAGGTAATAACGGCCCTGCACATATGTCAATATTCCTTGGCGATTCAATCATTCGTAAGATTATCATACTTCGATTCATAGGGGTCCACAAAAAGACCTTCACTGAGAGGGACGAAGGGCTCTTCCAAATCCGTCATCACTATCATCTGTGCTTTGTCGAGCCGGGACTATCCACACTCCGTTAGCATCCGTCTTCGAATATGCAGAAAGGAATTCCTTACGCAGAGATTGTAAAAATGTATTTCCCTGTCAAATGTGACAATGCCAATCTTTGACTCTTCAGGAACCGTTCTGGACTCAGATTCCGTTTCCTCAACCTGCTCCTCCTCTTCGTCACCATAGAGAGCATTGATGATACCGTCGCACACTGCTTTCAAGAACCCCCTATTTACGGACTCCTGACTAACATCAATCAAAAAGAGCTGTTGTAATCCAACTGGTTCCTTTACCCAGTATTCCTTGGGCACTGTAAACTCAACCGTCCCCAAAACCAATTCAGGTCGCTGCAAACGATCGACGCGCACCCCTGAAGGGTCCACAGGAGCAAAATATTCGGGTGGAACTTCGTTCGGGAACGTGCACATATTACAGATAAACTTGTTGCCTCCGGATCGGAACGTCATGAACGGGTTAATGTATGTTCGGCATCTTCGACACCTCGGGGGACCTATATCGCCAAAATCGATCACTGGCACGGGCTGTTCCCCGGCATCTAACCTCGCCAGTGGCTGCAAAATCATGCCGAGTGGGAGACCGGTGGAATGCAGAAAGTCGGAAGATGAGGGAATATTGTTTAATGTCAACCGCGCAAATTTTGGTGATGAGTTCCCCTGGTCTTGAGCGATAAATGGTATAGAGGCTGGTGGAGGTACATGCTTTTCCATGGTAGGGTAGACATGGCTGAAATAGTATTGTGCGGGAATGTCTCGCGACCTGGGGACGCTGGGGATCTGCTCGGGGTCAATCTTTCCTTGTGTAGGAACTGACCCAGCACCTCCTCCTATGTCTGCTGTTGCGCCGGGAGCAACATTAGCTGGTATTTGCGCAGTCGAAGCCCCAGGGAATGCTGCGGGCGTTGCTGGATGTTGCTCTGGTTGATTCAAACCGGTGTTGAGATATTGTGACTGAAGGTTACTCTGAGAAGGAAATGTGTTAAGTCCCTGGGTGGAGGGACCTCCAATATCATGATACGCATGTCGATGCTTCTTTTTGTGTCCCCGAGCGCCGGCGTCCGAACTTATGCCTAATCCTTCCATCTGCGCAGCTAGACCACCCACAGTAGATCCGCCTAGAGCTTGTGGTGATGAAGGTACAGGACCCGGTCCATAACCGACGCCAGGCTGTCCAGCAAACTGCGCAGGTTGTGCTGCTCCATACGGTGGTAGTCCGGGCTGTTGTACGGCTTGACCAGGAGGGGCATTCGGATGGTAATATGGCGCGGGTACAGCTGACTGTTGTCTGTTCGGGTCCTCACCAGGGGCGCCAGCATAGCCAGAGCTATGATATGTACCGTACTCGGCCATTGCGACTCATGGACAGCTAGAGGACGACAGCGATATATTGCGGAGGGGTCGCTAGTAGAGTCCGGATTGAGATCGTTTCAAAATGGTGCCATCACCCCTATGTCCGGTAAGTAGTCAGAGATAAATGTAAGTCTGGGTTGTGCTATTCATACAGGCACCAGCAGATTGTATGCCGACCAATCTGTCCAGAGGTAGTGTAAAGCGTGATAACTGGGGGGAAGCTACAAGTGAACTGACCACCAAAAGGTCTCTGGTTGGTCGATCCATCGCGGATTTACTTGGGGCCGACGGAAGGCCCACGCGTTGCTGCCTGAGGCATCAAGAACTGCCATGTATATAAATCATCGATAATTCTGTCGTGCTATGCTTCGGTCAGCGGTGTTAGGTTAGGAAACCTAGGCTGAATAAAAGGACTGTCGCTGCAATTCAACGGCCTTGACTGTTGCAACGGACTGATAGAATTCATTAAGGAACAATCTCTTTTTGCTCCACAAGTCCAAGCAAGCTGTGTGATGCGTATTAAAGATATGCTACAAGATGAAGTAGAGAATCTTTCTGGCTGCATCACCCCTCTCTGTAAGCCCTAGCTCGCCCAAAAATAACTACAGAATGATAAGTTGGCCGGCATACGGAGTCCTACTTCCCGGGCAGCCCCAGTATGAAGCATGACAGCAGCAATGTCATGATAGTATCAACAGCGACGTGTAACTACTTCGCTATCAAGGTATGCCTGTAATCCACTGCCCAAATAGGCAGCCAACGTACGATGCATAAATTGTGAGGGGTAAAAGGAAGGAGGAGCGACGGGTCGGCCCTTCCTTTCGCCATTCCATCCACTTATTGAGTCTTCCAAAACTTGTGGAAATTCATTTTCTTATCTTCACCTCTTATTTCTTCTTTTTTTCAGATGGATTAACCAGCCAGTCATAGATAAGGTCGTGCTCACTCGTGTCACTGTCGTAGCGCGTCCTACCATGCAGTCTGTTATCAATCAAAAACCAGCTCACAGTGGGTCTGGCATATGCATGGATAGCTACATACCTTGCTCCTCAATACAAACCAATCCTGAGACTTCATTCTAGCATGTCCAATTCATCTAATGCACAACAACCCTCATCATTTGCCCGGATATCTCCCCAGCTTTGCATGTGTCGAATTACGCAGCTTCCTTTTGATTGCAGTGCGGGACACCTATTCTTATCATTCAATCGTCTGGCATATAATCCCTGGTAACACGACATACAACGAGGAAGAAGAACAGAATCATAGACCGGTAGCCGGTCTAGCTAGACACTGATCGTGGTACCATTGCCACTACCAAGCTGTCCCACTTGGAAATTTAGCTTCTTATATTCGGTATGCTGTCACCTCTTTCCGCTGATCTTAAATTCATCCGGCATACAATCATCTGCTATACGATAAGCAATCATGGAACTAAATTCTACTGTGCAGTATCCGGAAGGTGTTGTAACAGAAGAGAAAAGCAAGCAAACACCGGCAAATAGACCACTAGATGATAATAGACAGCCGGCAGATATGGCGACTATACACGATGACGACGAAAGGCTTCTAGCCCGTATCGGTTATAAACAGGTATGTACTTCAACTTGGTCAACATTCGCCTTGCATTAAGATCATCATGCTCCAGGAACTTAGACGTGAGTTCTCAAGATGGTCGACTGTTTCTTATGCCATTTCAATTCTTGGAGTGCTGGGTTCAGTTCCGGCCACATTCTCATACCCGCTCGCAGCCGGCGGACCAGCTGCTGTCGTCTGGTGTTGGTTCATTGGCTCTTGTATGTCAATGTGTGTCGGCAGCTCTGTGGCCGAGCTGGTATCTGCCTATCCTACCGCCGGTGGTATGTACTTTGTCACCAAGCATGTTGTACCAAAGGAACAGGTCGCCATTTTTGCATGGATTCAGGGATGGTGCAATCTTCTTGGCCAGACGGCAGGTGTGTCGAGCGTCGCATATACTGTCAGTCAGATGCTTCTAGCCTGTGTCAGTATGAATTCGACTTATCAAAGTAATGGGGAGTACTCCTTTTCTCCGTGAGTGAGCCATCGTCTATAGAGTGTGCCAAGATTATTGACTCATGGTTTATAGAACGGCTGCCCAGACAGTACTTGTGTCTATAGCACTGCTGTGTGTAATGGGTGTCATTTGTTCCCTTTCGACAAAGACATTGCATCGGACTGTTATGTGGTTTGCACCAGTAAATAGTAAGATATGAACTTAACCATTTTTCAAAAGCCTGCCACTGATCTTACCATATTATCTAGTGCTTGCGACTGTTGGTATATGTGCCGCGATCTTATACTTGACTCCCGAAAAACAGTCTGCCAAATGGGTGTTCACTACCGTAACAGATGGATCGGGATGGGGGTCAAAGACTTTCTCGTTTCTCCTCGGGTTTTTGTCTGTAACATGGACGATGACTGATTACGACGGAACAACCCAGTATGCACCACTCTAAACCCCGGACTTACAGTTTACTGATAATATCTCATAGCATGTCCGAAGAAACTCACGACGCGGCTGTGCTGGGACCACGGGCCATCCGAACGGCAGTTCTCGTATCAGGAATTTTCGGATGGCTACTGAATGTGTCCATGTGCTTTTGTATCAATGACCTGGATGCAGTATTGAACAGCCCAACTGGAATGCCTGCAGCTCAAATCTTCCTTAATGCCGGTGGCCAGACCGGAGGAACTGTGATGTGGTTTTTTGTGATTCTAGTTCAGTTCTTCACCGGGTGCTCTGCAATGTTGGCTGATACTCGGATGACTTATGCATTTGCTCGAGACGAAGCCCTGCCATTCTCGAAGTAAGTGGATTTTATTTTCTCGACAGACTAGTTCCAGAAGCTTTGCTTACCGGCGGTTCAGGTTTCTAGCTAAAATCAACTGGATAACACATACTCCTGTGAATTCCGTCTGGTTTGTGGTCTTCTTCAGTACCGTACTCAACCTGATTGCTATCGGATCAACTCAAACAGCAACTGCTATTTTCAACGTTACCGCCCCTGCTTTGGATCTTTCGTATATCGCGGTGATTCTCGCTCATCGGATTTATAGACATCGTGTCCGGTTTATAGAAGGGCCGTTTACCCTTGGACGATGGGGCGCACCTGTGAACTGGATCTCAATAGTATGGGTTATGTTCATTAGTATTGTGCTATTCTTCCCTACCACGAGACCTATTACAGCGGCAAATATGTGAGTATCTCGATTCACGCCCAAGCTGACTCCAATAGCGTAGTAAACTGACATGTGACAATCATTCAGGAACTACGCTGTATGCGTAGCCCTTTTCATTGCCATCTTCTCTTTATCGTGGTGGTGGCTGTCAGCTAGAGAGTGAGTAAAGCTACCTATATGCCCTCCGAAGACTACGGTATTTTGTATGCTAACTCGGGAATAGCAAATATATCGGTCCTCGTACCAAAGACCTTATGGAGTCCGTTCCGGAAGACGATTACGACGACCTCGGTCAACGGAACTCGAACGACGTATGATTGGACATGTTGATATATCATGTCAATGCTAGATTTTAGGTTTTCGATTTCGGTTAAAGATAGAGAAGCGCTAGAGGGTCGGATTACACTATAGCGCAGATTGGCGATAAACGATAAAATTTCTTCTGAATATCACTGCCGCAGCAGAAGTTATAGGGCATTCAGTCCGTTCCGCAATATTCAAGGTTCGGGTCGTTCATCGTAACGTTAAAATCCCAGCCAGGTATTTTTATACCTAAGTGAAAACTGCTCCCTATATTAAATCATTGCATCCCAAGGTCACTCGGCATTGAGCACCATAGAGTTCTTAATTATGTAATATTACACTTCAATAAACTACATAGCCCTCGTGGTTCCCTTTCCGTACTCAGTTCTTCCATCGCAAGCTCTTGTTGCCTTGTTACCGATCTGTTTGGTTGTTGGCTTGTATTCACCGTGGGTTGACCGGGCTCCTGACTATCATGTAGTCATGCACTACCAGTAACATTACTACCAACAACGACCTTGGAGACGGTCTCGCAGAACGCCTTGCCCTGACTTGTGGCAATTTGCAGTTCTAGTGCGCTGGGTTGACGCGAGCCATCGGTAGCCTATTAATATATTAGCTCGGCGCATCTCCTGAGAGCAATTCGTGAAGAGAACGCATTACGGCAAATGTTCCAGCACCCCATGCACTTCCACCGTGGACTTCGTCTAAGTTCGACAACATCGGAAAGACAGTCTTGTATCCCAACGGAACGTAGATAAAGCCGTGGTGCGCCAGCGTGCTCATAGCAGCAATACAGGTAGACTCCTGCCCACCACCCAAGGTTCCCGTAGAGACGAACAGGCCAGCATATTTACCCCAATAGCCCCCAGAGGCCCAGATTCCTCCGGTCCGGTCCCAGAATGCTTTCCATTGAGCGGGGAAGTTTCCATAGCGAGTTGGAATTCCGAAGAGGACTGCGTTGTAGTCCAACAGGGTGTTGACTGTTGCAATGGGGTAGGATGATTTGGGAGGAGCGTGCATTTTGGCGAGAACGTCCTCTGGTAAGGTTTCCTCGATTCTGGATAGTTAAATCATCAATGGATACACGAGGTAGCAGAGAAGGTACAGTACCACTCACTGGTAGATATCGGCTTTACCACCAGCTGCTTCTATCCCGGCTTTTTCAGCTTCGGCCAGCTTCAAGATGTGACCGTACATGGAATACTACATGTAGGTGCTAGGGATCAGTCTTCTGACCCATCGCACGGGGAGCATATATAGAACTCACGAAGATGATGGCGATTTTTGGTGAGGAAGACATGGTGACTGTCAATTGACCATGCCGGTGAAATTTCGTATGTGATAAATGAATTGATTCAACCTTAAGTGATTTTGACTATCACAATACAGCAAAGATACAAAAAGCTGGATTGTAAAATGCTATGCTTACATACTCCCCTGAATTGCCGGAAGTCATGTCACCATGATGACGCTGTCATTATCAAATATGGACGCAATCGGCGAACCTAGAAGTTACTTTGCAAATGGTGTTGGTTATAATTGGCGCCATCAACACTGATCGAGCGAAAATGCTGTGCGTCCGTGCTTTAGGTGTTTTGTAGTATGATAGGGTTATATGCGTCAACTGGTAGGGACTAGTTAAGGAATGAAGGATATGCGACCTGCCTATTCTGGCCAGAAGCGGTTCAAGTAGCATCACCACTATAACGCTCAGGTGATACTTACCATTGTTCCTTCTATATGGTCATACCGTAGATAGCAATGATACTGGAAAGACAATAAAAACAACGTCCACTATGAAGGTTTACCTTCCTTTCCAACCGGCCATGAGAAAGGCATTTTCGCCATGCGGAAGTAGTCATATAGAGGCTAATGATGAACAATCATCCTCTATCTCAACACATATCGTATTTATTCATAAAAGTAAAGACTATCGTGTACACAAATTCGATGGGATATAAGTCCCTTTCCCGGTTCTTCTAGCACATACGACCATAGGGTGTGGAAAATAGGGCTTCCCGTCCGCTCAGCCGTACTTAAGCCACACGCCGGCTGGTTAGTAGTTGGGTGGGTGACCACCAGCGAATCCCAACTGTTGTATGTTTTTTGTTCTTTTATTTTCTTTTTATCTTCTATCAATTCCACCCCTCTCTTTCCAGAGTCAGCCCCCTTCGTTTTACCAGCCTCTTGATTTCTCAGGACCAATGAGACTAAGTTCGCTAATCAAATATGTACTAGTACTATGTATTTCGACACGTGATATCATTGAAATTACACCAGAGCAAATCGAAAAGAAAGAGTCTCCAAGAGTAGGCATATTTCCAAAATGATGCGGAGGATTGACCCTGCGCTATTCAGCGACTCCAACCGCCTATTACCCGACAACCTCATCAACATCTTCCGTGTAGATGACAAGACAGTGGTCAAACTCTGTGAGCCGAACCGCCTCGCTGAAGCTGAGGCTCTTCGTTTCGTTCGAGCACATACAAAAGTCCCGGTTCCGGAGGTTTATGACTCCTATGTTGATGAATCCATAAACCGCGGGGTAATTGTCATGGAATACGCCAATGGGGAAGTCCTCTGTGATGTTTGGGAAGACATGGATGATGGCCAGCGTCAGAACATCATAGACCAATTGAAACGATACATGGAGGAGCTACATCAAATCAAGGGTGACTTCATCGGTTCTGTCGATGGAACTGCTTGCGAAGACCCGATCTTTTGTGCAGACCTCGGTGGATTTGGGCCTTACAAAACAGAACACGAGTTTAATGAGGGCTTGATCCGAGCTATGAAACTGTCCCAAGAAAACTCATGGGTGGATCATATTGCTAAATTCATTAGAGCTCTGCCTAGTCATAATATTGTTCTCACCCATTCGGACATCTCACCACGAAACATTATCGTGAGAGATGATCAGGTTGTCGCCATTATCGACTGGGAAATGGCCGGATTCTACCCTTCATATTGGGAGTATGTTAAGGCGTTGTATTACCCAGACTGGGAAAGTCGTTGGATAGCTGAGGGCACGGTTGACAAGATATTGCAACCATATTATCTCGAACATGCTGCACTCATGCACGTTCAGGAACTTCTTTTCTGATGACAAATATATTGAATACGAACTTAGATATACAAACCGGCCTAAGCAACCACTGCAAACGGCCAACAAATGAATCAGAATCATAGCCATGCGCAACAAGATACCGAAAACGATAGCAGAAACTGGACAGGGATTCCACAAACATAAACACAAAAGGAATAAGTGCTGAAAGGTATCACATGTTGTACACATGTAGGTCGAGATAGTGAAGGCATCAGAGTAGACATCAATGAAATATAACAGAATATGGGGGCTTCTCTCAACGATATTGCAATGAATATTGGCTACTCTGGTATCTGCTACCGATACCACTGCTCCCTCTAGGACTTCCACTTTGCCTACTTCCAGTTCCACTTCCACTGCTACTGCCACTTCTTATTCCACTCCTGCTTCCACTAGAGGGGTCCCGACTCCCAGACTGCTCGAATCGCGAGGGTTCTATCTGGCTCTCAAACTCGGCCATTGTTCCTGGCGGCACTAGGCGCTTTGCTTCTAGCTGCCCAAGAACTGCGGTTGTCCAGCGCTGGCACCTTTGTAAAGGCACCGATTGAGCCGCTGATTTGATTTTGTTGATTTCACTTGCCGGGATGGTGCTGATGAACCTCTTGCCGGATAAACCGAAACTGTTGAGCCTCTTATTGGCTTGGATCTGAAGCGTGTAGCCCCGGGCTTGTGTTGGACCACCAGTGACATGATACCAAGTGCATCTGTCGGTTCCAGGGGTTGCAAGCATGAGAATCCAGTGTAAGGTATCATTACCTCGGCGATTGCCGAATCCGATATATATATCCAAAGTGGAAGACATTGCAACGCTTGACAGAATTTGAGTTTGAAGACAACTTAGACACTTTAGTATTCAATGGCAAGAATGAAAGAGATGGAAGATGGTATTTATGACTTCATGTTCTAAAAATTACCTCCTTCAAAGGCGCCTATATACCATGATTTGTCCTACCATAGGAGGTTTGAAATTTCTAGCGGTGGTCATTAACAAGGTACATGGTCCAACAATTGGTTGATAGACATACATCTATCGCCCTGGGCTATGAGGCATTAGCGACAGTACAAAACTGTCAGGAACAGTGGCAATCAACAATTGGTCTGCCATGCTATGGAGGGTGCATCCCGTCTCCCCTGACCTGGGTACATTACGAGAGGCCGTTGGTTACTCGAGTCACTCGCCCAAGTAGTAGCCTAGAAATCTTGTCAGTAAGCAACAAATAATATCCAATGCTTGGAATGATATATATAAGTGTGTCTAATAATAGCAAGTTCTAGGGGTTCACTCACGTAGTCTTTCATTTCATTAGTGGCGGCAATAAAAAAAAGCTGGCGCTAAATAAAACAGTCCCTATCTCTTTGGTGGGCGGCTAACTGGGCTTCCTGTCTCTACATGACGCTTTGGTCAGATGCAAGTTATTCTTTTGATTGCTCCTACACATTATCGAGTGATTGCTGCATTTGCTTCAGCTACATTCGCAATATCCCTAAACACCGCGAACCTCACTGAGGCTGCCCAGGTGGTGTCTATACTGGATTATATTTTCAGCACCTTCACTACCTAATACACGCGAAAATGCACAAGCAAGGAAAGAAAAATCCTTATCCAATCCCATTCTGCGTCGAGCCTTTGAGACCCCAACATACACATACATTCATTATCCTCCATGGCAGAGGCAGTAATGCAGAGAAGTTCGGTCGCGAGCTTTTGGCTTCGGCCAATCTCCCCGCTCGTCTGCCTACTGTGAAGTTCGTCTTTCCCACTGCCTCCAAGCGGCGATCTACAGTTTTGAAAAAGATGCCAATCAACCAGTGGTTTGATAACTATAGCTTGGATGATCCGAATCAGAGAACGGATCTGCAGGCTGATGGGCTGATGGAGACGGCAAAGTTCTTGAGAGAATTGGTTGATGCTGAAGCACGGGTTCTGGATAACGGTGCCGGTGAGACGGGACACAAAAGAATTATTATCGGAGGACTGAGTCAGGGGTGTGCTGCTGCCATTTTTACTCTTCTTGGCGGTGGATTTGGAGAGAGTGGAAATGAGAGGCCTGGAGCTTTCTTTGGGATGAGCGGTTGGCTACCGTTTGAGAAACAGCTGAATAGTATGATGAACGTTCAGGGCATGAGTAGTGATCGAGTCCATGAGACGGAAGAGGAAGATGAAGAAGAGGATGACAGTGAAAGTAGTGATGATGATGATGACCGCTCAGAGAGCGACGTTGGGATAAATGTCTCGTTCAATGACACTGCAAGTGATAACTTCGCATCGGATGCAGAAGTCAATTTGGCTTCCTTCGACCCATTTCAGCGTGATCCTCAGGATAATCCCGAAAATAACATTGCGGATGCCCTCAATTCTGTCCGCGACATACTGGATCTTCCACCCGTGGTTATTGGCCTTTCTGCTCCTGACGACGATGATAACGAAACAACCCATGAAGTGACCACAGAGGCTTTCCCAATCCTTCAGACACCAATTTTTCTAGGTCATGGATCGGCTGATTCCAAAGTGTCTGTTCGCTTGGGTGAGAAAATGGCCGAGCTACTGTCGAAAAAGATGAAAATAGATGTCACATGGAAGACTTACGATGGGTTTGGTCACTGGTACAAAGTCCCTGATGAAATTGACGACATTCTGGAATTCCTGCAGCAAAATATTAATTTGCCAGTTGAGATGTTAGCTAAGTAGCACTTTCTTATATGTTAATTGCATTTGGAGTTGTACAGGATATGGTCTATCTTTGAATATAATTACACAGCTACGTTTGACAAAGACTTGTCACTTGTTTTAATCTTGCCTATCACTCTGACTGTAACTCATATTGATTTAGACCCGTGCTTTTCCGATGGTACAGTTGTTTAATATGTTTCATCCTATTCTCTATAAGGCATACAGCACCTTGCAAGTGCGGCTTTACACGGTCTGCAACTCTTTCACTCTTTCTCAGCGCTACCTCTGCAATCTAGATATGGTTAGCCGGCTCCATCCGTCAATTGTTATGGCTTTGTGAGCTGCCTTTGTGACATGTCATATCGGTACTCTCCGAGCTGTACATGTTGGATCTTTGTATCTAGCGATTTACTATTGTAGGGAGATGGCTCCAACTCCACTAGCTAGCTCTGTCCTTGCTCCTGTCCCTATGATTAGTTTTTCTTCATCGATACCGCTACTCACTGACAGATTCAAGCTTTCGGCCTTGAGCTCTCGTCTTAGTTGACTGACGATGGGAACTTGGAGATTTACGGACTAAGTTTTACTTAATTATGGACTTAATGCTTAACATATACTCGTCTATTCTTTCCAGTAATTGTTCTTACCGGTGTCATGTAGAAGTTTGGTTGAGCAAAAAGCTGATGGTTGAAGCGTGGAAGGTTCATGTGTGGGCGTGACCTCAGAACACTGAGTAAAGGAGCTTTCGGGCATTCGACATCAGATTGACAGTGTTTATACTCGATCCTCGTAGTATCGGTAGGTATGGCTCAGTCGCTAGATTTTGGCCTGATAGACGTCTGGGTTCTCGATCAACCCAGGGTTGAATAAAGGGACGTTTCAGTTCGCAGACCTCTCCATAACGCGAGAAATTGGCCTGCTCAGGCAAATAAGCCATGTCTGTCAGGTTATTAGTGAATATCACAGGCCTGGCGTTCCAATCATCTGACTGCCGTGCTTGAAGATTTTGAACATGTGAGGGAGACATTGTTACGACCATTGTCCTGAAATCGAAGAGATCGATAACCGAGCTCTAGCAACATATATCTGCATATCTTGCTATGGTGTATCACCTATCCGTCTTTAACACTAAGAAAGCAGAGTTGAACGCTCATCCAGTATCGAAGGATGGACTGTTTCCTTTGATAGGGTTTGAGAATGTCACATGACCGGAAAATGTTAGATTCCATGAACCTTTATAATTTAATTAGGGATCAAACACTGTGTCCATTCCTTTTTGAGCTTGTCTGCCTGGATGCTCTGGAGAAAAGTATAGGAGTTTGGTACTTCGAACCACTTTCTTCTTTCAATCAGACTGAGTCAGTACCCCATGGACACATTCTGTAACGTCCCGTAATAGTTAGAAAGTACATTTTGCATGTCAATGTTTTATCTCAGAGATCATATCAAGAAATTCAAACATACGTGGAACACGATACGTACGCTAATTCCATATGACTGATATTCGAGTCTCCACGCAGTGAAGATCATTGTAGATCGTCCGGTGAAATGGAGGTAGGCATTGCACTGATTAGTTCTCAGTGCGCCTCGGTAGTATCTATGCGCAAAGATCTGCCTGAATGAAATGGTAGACCTCCATAGTCAGTGACCGTGTACTTCAGGTAGTTGTATTTGATATTCTCTTCACAGTGGTTTGGAGTTATGCAATGCTATTGTTGCAGTGTATCCACCATTTATTCGTAATACAAACAAGCTGACTACCGTTCGGCTGTGTAGATGGGCGCTATGAGAAGATCGCCTCTATTGCAAGATCTTTTCAACCCATTAACATGATAAGTGTGTATAGCTGAATTTATGGAATGTATGGAAGGTATAAAATTATGCGTACCTGATGCTCAGCTTAAGCTTAATTACAGTTTTAACCTAACTCCAAACAAAAATCTACTTTGAGCATATCCTGACACGTATTGTATTCGGACTTTCCTTTCCTATATTTTACAACTCCGAGCTGTCGTATATTTTAGAATACTCGGAGATAGACCCGGATCTTGCAAGATGATAAGTAAAGACGGACAGTAAAGAACGGAGTCCGAACGGTGAACTACGGATTCGACAATGTACTTCCCCTTGGTAATTAATCTCTTTAGTGCTTAGTTATGATCATTGATCACTTGTTGGTGTAACTTTAATCAACCTCGTATTGAGACATGGACACTAGCAACGAACTGATGGTCTGACAGTAGCGGCTCAGACACCAATTATGATAGCATTACACACCCGGGGGTTTCAAGGCTGGAGTTGGGCTAAGTGACAATAAGTGTACTTCACACCTGTGCACGACGCCGCGTAAAACGCTATCTGCGTATAAGGTTTCCTGGGAATAGTCCGCTATTATTAAACGTTACATGCTCCATGTTGCTAGCGTTATTACTATATGGACGGTTCTCCTTCCTGGCCCCCATCGTCGACAAGAAAGTCCGTGATTGACGTAATTGGAGGTTCTCAAACGTTACCAAATCGGGATAACCGAGAAAGATGCACGTTGTATGTGAGTTTCCGACTTTCAATGCCTGAATAGGCAGGTAAGCATGTAGCAGGATGACCGTATGTATCCTAGATGGTGCGAGGAAGAAGTTTCTTTTTTGGAGTGATGGTAATGGAGGCACGAAGCTTTTCCTCCGCATGTACGTAAATTCGAATTTATAGGATGATATAAGATTTTTTGTAGACCATTAGTTATGAGAACTTGATGATCTATTTGTAATCTTTTCCCCAAACTAGATGTTGCTCGGAACTGATTTGTCTCTCGTATAATGACAGCCCTCTAAATCACTAATGCTCTTTGGGTTCTGGATATTAAGCTTACGTATCTTTCCGTCGCCCGTCGATCTGGGCTGGAATGTGCGAGAACCACTAACTTAGTAGTAGGATCGTCAATACGGTACATCTACTCAGATGATAGCCTACCTTAGATGTTTCCTTTTCAGGCATTTGAACACGAGTATTACCACTTGACCATAACCCTGTCGTGTGCAACGTCGGGAAATAACTGCTACACATGAACGCGCGGACTAAATGCACCATCATTATATTGCAGCATATACCTGGGTAAGTTGCTGAACAGCCTGAATTGAATGCGGAGCAGGTGGAATCAGCCCTCGCCGACAGGGATATACCCTTGACTGCTAGCCTGGTCTAACTGTAGGTAGTACTATATCGGGACCGGGATTGAATAGATAGAAGTGTGTAGCTACATAAGAATGGTGCAATGTAATACACATATGACTTCTTTTACAAGGTTGGCGCATGTGTTCGCCGCGAAGCTACGGAACCGAACACGGCACTCTCTCGATGGGGGGAAATGCCTATGTTCAGACTTCGGAGACCTTTGTAAGCTAGTTATAGAATAGTCGTCTTTGAAGAATTAGACCTGATTGCAATCCACAAAGTTCCAGTAAACGATAATGGCAACGACATTCGTGACACAAGTAGGTGGTTCAAAGAGGAACCTAAAAGGTACCGAATTAGTGCTTCTTTTTGTGTAGTACAGCGTGGTACCTAGGAAGCACGCAGTAGCAAGCCAACAACGACAAGGTTACCAATTCCAAATGATCGCCGCGGCTCAGTTACATCCTACTATTCCATAGAACGCAATCTATCGCAGATGCACTGTTGGGGCGGGAAAGTACCAATTCTAGTAGATGCTTATTTCGAAGTCAGCCGTTGGTTACCTGAATGTCATCTAAATCTCACAGCTAAGCCTACTTGCATGTCACAGTATGTACAGGACAAAGGTTCAGCCGTTCATCCCGATCTTGGAACTGGATCGAAATAGAATAACAATTGAGGCTGAATCTCGGTCCCTTTATTCTTACCTGGAGACTAGGTTTCAACGCCCGTTACTTTTCTAGTAGCCATTGCGTAGTGCGACAGTGCAAACAGTAGAAAAAAACATAGTACACCCTTATCTACACAATCACTTCATACATCCAGAGAACTTTTTTCCAGCGTCGTAGTGGTCCAAGTCTTAGTAAACCTATCGTACCTATAGATATCGTAAACTCAGGTCCGGACCCGTTCTCGGTGTGCGGAGGTAGATGGTCCTCACTCACCGCAGAAATACGTACTCTTTCGTTACCGAGTATTATCGGCTACATACAAAGTAGTTGACTGATAGTTAAAGCCGACAAGGAATAAGGCAAGTCACTTGCTAAGTATGTAAAACTCTCTGTAGTATCCATTGGCTTGTGTTTGATCATCAATCTACCCATACGAAGAAGCTTGGACACGTTGTAGTTAAGCCGAATGCTTAAAAATAAGCATAAAGCAACCATTTTTCCACGCTTAGTATCCAAATAGCCCATCTTTCTTTAGAAATCACTCTTAGCAAGGATAGTTTATCCGCCTCAATTTTGGGTAAAACCCTAACTCGAATGATTAGCGATTGGCTCCGAACACCGTTAAGTACTAATTTAGTCGACGCGACACCTAAGAGCCAAAAGAAAAAAGAGTCCGGCGTTATGCTATAAAAAGTAAGAGCTTAGATCCATTTTCTTTGTTTCTCAAGAAATCTAGCAAGATAAGCTGCATAAATGCGACATGCACTTGTCATTTAGAGCATATTCCTTCTTTTTCTAGCTCGCCCCACTGTTCAGCTTAGAAGGTGTACTAATTCTTGACCAAGTAACTACTCCTCTATCTGTAGGCTGTTGAGACACCGTTCACATGATATTTAATATATGTTGCAGCTAGCCAGTGCGAATCTGAATCCAATAAGTAAATGGTATTGTTTAATACTCGCCGTAAGCGATGTATATTGTAATACACAGACAGGGATACCCTGCTACCATCCCAGTCTCTCGCAAAAAAAGAGGTTAACAAACGCACACACACAAATGACCCTGCATATGCAATGTATATATTTATACATGCTTATCAGTGGAAAAAAAAATAGGTAGGCAACAAAACAAGCCTGTTGGTGCATCACCTGATCAGACTGTAGCTAAATTGGAATAAGCAATACGGAGTAAACGAGTCATGCTATAATACTACGTATAACCAACAACCAACATTTTCCCAATATGGGTAGCAGGTATATGTAAGCTAGCTGATTGCTTCTTTAGTTGTACAACGGGTGACATTTGTATGCGTATATGCGTACCTAGGTAATATTTGCAGTACCTCAATTTGGAAATGCGTCATCGTTTTCCCAGGTCTGGCTGTACGACTATCTATACCCGTTGCTGAACTATGTGTTTGTATCTGTATGTCATGCATTTATGACTACTATGCAGTCATAATATTCGGTCATCTATCTAACCTAGTCCTCGTAGTATCAATCAAAACAATAAGGCAAGGGAATCATGCACACATACACACAGTAGAAACTGGCTAATGCTAAAAACAAATGTAGTCACGGACGAAACAATCAAACAGCCGTCCTGTGATTATACATACATACGAAATACCCCTGTATGAATAAAAAAAATCCCCGTAAAACCTTGGAAAACCAGAACCGCCCATGCAAAGTTCAAACCCCAGCAAATGTCTCAGATTCATAAACGCCGTTCCCATGAGCCCGTAGGCTAGTTAAAACACCCATTGAAACCAAAACAAAACAAAAACAAAATACATAACTGCTTTTTTGAGTTGTAATCGGAATCGGACAGAAAGCCTAAGCTGTAAATACCCGATCCAATTGTCGTAGAGCACGCATATCTTCTCCACCAAATCCAATCTTATCTGTCGGGATGTCCTTTGGACCGTCCACGCGTAGAGAATTTGGACTGCCGTTCAATTTCGAATAAGGTGAAGTAGGAGGGCCACTCATCAGTGTTCCGATACTGGGCACCGTCGTTCTAGTTGCATGATTTTCATGAGGTGGTGGTAGATGTGATTGATTAGGCGTTAGAGGTTGCCGAGGGGAGGGCCTGTTTTCACTGCTGGAGCTTGCCTGTTTTTGAGACCGAGGAGACATAAGGCGAGGGTCGACCTGTCCAGGGAGATTCGCCTTGACTGCATAACTGGGCGAATGTACCCTTTGAGCCTCCATAGACATAGGACCACTGCCCGGCGAGCGGGTGTAACCAGGATAACCAGGTGCCGAGACAGTGCCAGAGGGGACGGGTGGGGGAAGCGTTGTTTCGAGATGTAGTGGTCTCTCCGATGGTGTGGGAAGCTGGTGGTGAGGAACAGCGATAGCTTGTGGATGTGGTGGTAGTTGTTGTCCATAAGGCGAGGGCGCAGCGAGAGGTGGGAGATAATTCGGTCCAGGATGGTATGGAACAGTGGCGGCTGGCGGAGTCGCTGAGGGAGTTGGAGGCCAGCTGTACAACGGAACGTACGACTGTGGGTGAGTAGCGCCGTTTCGGGCATAGCCCGCCATGTGCATATGAGGAGACAGTGTCATAGTGCCGGGCATTGGGCCTCGGGTCACGACGGGGAGGTTCTGCTGATCGTTGACTGTTGACTCTGGATAAAGACCTTTTTGTGGGCGAATATGGCGTAGAGCGGGATCTGTAGAAGGCTGGTTGAAATTAGGGGCTGTCGGATGTGATCGAGCGTAGTAGCTGATGAGGTGTAGGTGTTGCCCTGTAGACGTGGTGATGCTAAAAGACTGTTTCATGAGACCGTCTGGTTTGTATCTGTATCCATCTGGGCCATCTTCTGATCCATCCCTGTCGTCGTCGCTGTTTCCTCGACTGTCGGGAGTCTTTTCGCTTCGAGATGTCGAGACGCCGCCTCCACGCTTGCCCTCCATTTCGCGATAGGTAAGAAAACTGCCTGAGACTCGGCTGGCGCTCCATGATTTGCCGTCCGTCCACCTGCGCATACCCGCTTCACGTTCGTCCCACACAAATACTGAGCCAGACTTGATAGCTTGTCGTTCCTTTTCGGACAGGCGACGTTGCACGCGAGGAAGCAATCCTAACCGGCAGGCTTCGAAGAGAATGATGGCGTCCGCGGGAGTGCGAACGAGACCGTGGTAGGTTTCCATTGGAGTTGACGTTGGGAGAGCCTCTGCTTCCCGAGAGATGCCTGTTGTGTGTACGTATGCTATTTCAACTGTGGACTGCTGATATTTTCTTTCCCCAGGGAGTTGTAATTAGTAGGGCGACCTGAGGTTGAGAGAGAGAAAGGGAGGGGTGAGTGGGTGAGAAGAAGAAGAAGAAGTGGTGGAAAAAAAGAAATGAAAGAGGAAAGAACAAGGAAGGAAGGAAGGAAGGAGGGAAGGATCGGCGCAGACGGGAGAAGCGACAATAATATAAATTTTGTTATAAAATTGTGCTACAGAGCGACTAGCCAAGAAGGCAAGAACAGGCAGGGGGCTCTCGGATATCAGATCGATGCATCCATCCATGTGGGCAAGAAGCTTTAATTTCACCTAAAGTTACCTATGGTACGTCACCCAACGGGGCCAAGCTGGTCGAAACCATGGATACGTCCGTAACCATACAAATGATACATACAATATACAAAAAATACATACAGTACGTACGGAGTTCTCTTAAGGACAGGCATTAGAGATTTAAGCTTAGTTGGCCAATGCCGGAGTAACAGCCTAGAGTTACGTAGTATGTTACTAGCGCAGCGATAGCGAAGCATAATCTGATATTAGTCAGTGGGTAACCATCTCGATGATTTACTTAACTGGGCAGTGGTTGAGTCTAACAAATCCTGACTAATGGTGCAGAAATAAGTGCGGCGCAGTGCATCCAACGAAGCAATCATCGACTATATTATTGGAGCAGTTATAAGAAAGACACTGGTGGATCGCCGCAATCCAAGACAAGCTGATACTTTTTATTTGCTATCTGCCATGTTGATTTTTGCCTCTTGACCAAGCTTGGGTACTTGTTTCTGCCAGAGAAAAAGAACAAGCTGGATTTGACTTTGTTCGCTATCTTGCGCCAAAAATAAAGTAACGATGTTTCAGGACAGATTGCATAAACAATGATTACTGACACCCAGCTAGAATTTACTATGTAGACTTGGCGATTAAGTGGAAGCCCTAATCTCCACCGGGGCCACACGCACAGATGGATCATGCATTGTTGGTAGAATCAATCAGGAAAGCAGTCGGAGAGCACTGATAACAGTGTGAATGGTATGTTTTGGCGAACCACAACTCGGGATTCGAATTTGAGTTGCATGTAGACCCTCGCTTTGTTTTTAATCTGTCCCCATACGTTATTTTGGCTCCTGGGACGTGTGGCGGAACGCCACAAATCAGTCAATCAGAAGAGAAGAAGCCTGAAAGAGTTAAAAAAAAAAAAAGGTCAGTCAAAGGACAAGGTTTGGTTGTCAAAATTAGTTACTATGTATATCGTATCAAGGGCCTAGGACAAGACAGTCTGAAAGTCTTCCTTCCGTTCACCCGTTCTCAACAGCTGTAAAAATATCTGATTGGACAGTGCGAGTAATGCCATGAATGTCAGTTCCATACCTGAAAATAGCCCTTTGGATGGCCAAGACTCGCTGTCCATGATATGGTAACCTTTATAAAGTGGGGAAATCATAGAGCGATAATGAATAAGCATAGTGCATTTTTGGATACGCACTACTACAACCGACAACTGTAGATAAAATAAATAAACAAGACCCTTGTCTACTTTCAAGCAAGGCGTGCATTCTTTTGCGAAATGCGAGGACAAGATCAACATGAATCATGATTCTGGGTCAGTCCGTACGACAAGGCTTGGCTGTCTTGGCTTTGCTTAGCCTTGAGAGATAGATGGATTGTTGAATATACTTTGGCGTTCTAGAAACTAACGCATTCATAATCTAAGCACACTGACTCATCTAAACAGTACATAGCAGTCAAATAAAAGAGCAATTAATCGAACCAACAAGGAAATGCGGACCGAGGAACGGTACGGCTGTCACACCTGCGATGTGAGTGGCTCGTAATAATTTATGGATACGACGCATAATGCGTAATAAGATTGGCAGAGGTTGCGAAGCTTAAGCTTAATCCAACACGAGGCATCAGACGCTAGTTTAGTCTGAATTACTCCTATTGAGGCAGTATTGGTCAGTGGCCAAAGCTCACGCCAAGTCTTGGTGTCCCCCACTGGCTTACGAGGACTGAGACCCTGACAGTCACGTATGCCGGGACCGGCAAGGAGTACTCACTATAAGTTGTTACTCCGTATATTCGTGTATAGAGTACATTAATAGTCGATCAAGTGCAAAGTCAGAAAATTATCATAGGACATCCAGCAAAGCAAATCGCACTCCGTAACTTATACGGACAACGGACAATAATAGAGTTGTCCGAGTCTATCACCAATCCCGGTCCCGGTCCCGGCCGTAATAGACGCCTTGGCCCTTGGCGCTCAGTCGCCTGACGTTAAATGCCGCCAGAATTTTTTTTAATGTTTTGGCGTACTTTCAAGAATTTTGAGCTTAAATCCGACCGATTCTGGCGCGACTCGCCTAAGATTTGCCGCTATTGGGTGGATTTCTTTTGTTTAATTCTGAACTTTATCCTTACATATCGTATCCGCAAGAAGGATTCGTACTCGGTTGAATTCACCCTGCTTTGAATATCGAAGCGAATTTAGGCCTTTGTTAAAGGCCGTTCGTGCGTATTTTATTTTATTTTACTACGTATATACTTCGTACCGGGTACGTAAATACTTATACGATTAAAGTTGTGGGTCATTTCAGCGTGGGAAGGCTAAACTCGATGCCTACATTTGTAGCGAGTCGGTCCTTACTGTATTCGGTAGTAAGGGCAAAAGAATAGCCATAATGACTAAGGGTGGAGCATCATTGAATACCGACATCCGAGACAATTCGTATGTACGGAGTCGGAGAATGTTTTGCAATCATTTTATTTTATAAACTTAAAAGAGATGCGATTAGACGTGAAAATAAACTTATTTTTTTTTTGGTGGTTGAGCGTGAAGTCACATGCGACTTGACAACCCCTAATTCATCTCACAGCTGCAGATGCTAAATGATAATAAGCAAGAATAAGCGTCGATAATATGTGCTCCGTCCACTGATTAGTGATCACCAATTACACTGTCAGGCCTGATACACGGAGTTAGGGGTGCCGATGAATTTTACTAACGGACGTTAGAATTGAGCAGTGCGTCCACTGCTGTGGGCCTTTCTTTTCCTTCTTCAGCCGGTTTACCTGCTTTTTGTGGATATCAAAAAGGCCCGACCATCATCATTCAATTGCCCAGCAAGTAAGCATGCTGGTGCAGAGGTTACGACCGTGTAATACTTACTACTGTCAAGAATAAGCAGTGACGATGCATGTAGGGTCTTATCCTAACGCACTACATGCATATATATACCCGCATATACTTGATAAAATTGTAGGGATGAGGGCTTAAACTGTGATCTACGGCACCATTGGGAATTTCATTCGTTCTGGCGTATTTGTAGAGTCTATTTCACTGTCAGATGGGTATCTTAAACTCCGTTCCGCATTACGTATTTAAAGGGCATGTATGTGGCTACTGTAGTTAATAATATATATATAGCCCATGCAGATCATGTCGACCCAAATGAGTCAAATTGAGTGGTTAGGTCCATATAGAATGCGACTGTAACACAAACATTCTCACATAAGCTGGCGATCTGTTTGATCGACATCGATGTCGCGAACATATTAAATCTTATTTGACTACATAAGTACGTACTACATGCCCATATATGGAGTATATACGTGCGTGCCAATTGACAAACTGCATCCGACTCTCGATACACAACTCATCAAAATGCGCCGAGATGCAACCCGAAGCCCCTCGCTTCACCTTACTCCGAGTCCTCAGTCTGAGACGTGGAGTCGAGACGCTAGATCCGGCCGGACATACTACTATCATCGTTGGGCTGCCTCATGCACGATGACAACACCGAAGATCAATGGCTCTGTGCTTAGCATCTAGTTATTTGGCATAACGCCATTTGCTTGGTGTTACTTGTCGGTAAGACGGGTATCTTTTCCGACACTTTCCGTCTTTGCATGAGAATCTGGTACGCATATTCTTGTATGCGTAGTATGCATGCTCCATTTCCTTATTTGTTCACTACCTACCCAAGTCTGACTCCAGCGGATTCTCGATTTTGGACCGTCTAGTTTGCAATCAGTCCAATTTTTCAGCAGCTATCTGCTATTTCAGATCCTGTAATAACGACTCAGTCGATCGAAAATCAGGTGACAGGCCAAGAAATAGTAAAAATTCATTTTCCGGGTGTGCATGGAAAAGTTCGAAAGAAGATCTTGATCAAGGATTGACACCGGAATATACCCAGAAAGGGAAACACTCTTCGGTTTTCGGGAACTAAACTGAACCCTAACATACCTAACTTCTAGATATAGAACTACCCGGATGGACTGCATACTCTTAAATAGTCCGCAACAGTTGGCTGGTGGTCATAAAGAGTGATTGGGCTACTTTTGCCTCAAAAAATCATAAAAGGAAGGCCCGAGAGACCGAGAGGAATAATATATCGTGACGGTGTGCGCAGAGTCAAAGACGATAAGCGAATCAAGATCTGCGTAATGGATGGATGCATAATGGTTGGCATAAGGCCGCCAACGGCCCACATAATTACGCATGCTCATCAAAGAGGATCTTTATGGTATTTTCCACTGAGCAGATTCTCTTTCGTAAGTTCCTATGAATCTACATACGAGTATTCCGTGATTGTCTACATATAGAGAGTATGGGCAATGCCAATGACTTCAGAATAGAGCGGAGCATGCCGCCGGTGTCCCTTCAAGGTTAAGCATGTTATGCCTATCGCCGTTAAGGTTTTTAAGCATGATTCAGCCACATCTTTTTTGATGCATTAGTTACGTTTATGTACCTCGTACTACCGTGTTTGTAACTACATTAACTCGTACTACGTATGTATCTTTCGACTCACTGCCAAGGGCTTGGAACCGGTCTATTTTCGCCATACGTAGTACATTATTCTGAAGTTGGTTGGTAGACAGTTAAATGACTATCAACTTGGCATTAGCCTGTTCCATACAGCGCAGGTCACCATCATGAATTAGCTACATACACGGATCCCTTGCTTACTTGCAAGTTTTCAATCCGCCACACTCGCTCAGATGAGAACTACATAATGCCGAGACATGGATGTACCAGGTAAATTATGCAGTATACTACCACCTTTGACAGGGACTACATGTGTCTACCATGAAACTTGTTTCGCCGGTGTTGAGAATAAGAAGTGGTCATTACCCAGCTATACTACCTTTAGTGATGATCAGTCATTAGTAATCTATTGGGTTCAGCCTAGTTTATGCATGTCAGGGTTGAAAAGCGCTTGATAATCCATGAAATTACACACTTTCCTAGTACGGAGTACGTAAATACACGTTCTACG